TGTTGTCAGGAGGTCAACTTGTGAGTAACTTTCTCCCTTCTTGAAGCATTGACTGAACTAGTTAGGTACGTCTTGCCTTGGCGAGAGTCGTATGGAACTCACCACAACTACTGATTCTGGATGAAATTACGACACACCTGGACTTCCACACAGTAACCGCTCTCTCATCAACACTCTCCTCTTTCAACGGTGCTATCATATTGGTATCCCATGACCGTTTCCTCGTCCGGTCCGTGATTGAAGGGAAGAAAGATGAGGATCACAATCTGGACGACGATTTTGAAGGCGTTGACGATGAGCCGGAGGAATCGCAGAATCGACGACGGGCAGTTTATGTTATCAAGACAGGGAAGCTCAACGAGCAGCAGAACGGCGTAGAGCAGTTCGAACAAAGTCTCATGAAGAGGGTTCAAAAGATGCTCCCGACACCAGGATAAGTACTGAGTCACCAGTTGACTCCCATCGCAGTTGATACCACTTCAGATAGCAATTGTACAAATAAAACCGGGGAGTCATGGGATATGGATGTCATAGAAGTAGTTGAAGTCATTCACGGTCCAATGCATTTGAGTTAGGAAATACGTCGGACGCAGCATAATCCGATACAGACCCTCCTCCATTATCAACGGCATGGATAAGATTGGCTGGGACGGGTATGGGTAAACTAGGTGTACATCCAAACCCTCGCCGGAATTTACGTGGAGGAACTCGACGTGACATACAACACTTGTACGAAAGTGGACTGTAAAAGGTACAAGCTCAGTTGCTTGTCTTGAAAGCGCATGGCAGTAGCAGCTAACGAAGAGCGAAAAGCAAGGTCACTGGGTTTCGGGCGACGGAGGCAAAAGACACGTCCATCCCTGAGTGTGATATCTACTCGTGTGTACTCCTTTTTCCCCCCTTCCCTTTCCCTATATGTATCTGTTGATGTTGGATTGCTGACTTTGATGTACCGGGAAAGGAGCACGGACTACTCTAGGGAGCCTATTCTCGTGGATGGAGATTATCTGATTGATCGGCAGCGGATGAGCTTACTGAAGTGTAATCATGCAGAGTACCACCAGGAGGATGAGGAGGTCAACGAGTAGTCGGATCAGGATCAGGATTTAAAAGTTAGATCTAGATCCGCCCCATTTCAATGCCTAATAATGACACCCTAGAGTAAATCCAGACAGGAATTACTGGTGTATAGATCTAGTAGATCAAGATGAAGATATAAAAGTCAGATTCTGACCCGTCCCATTTTGAGGTCTAAGCCCGTTTGCTTGATGATGATGTTTGTTTTCCAATCAACCCCCCTGTCATCTCCTACCCCGCCTGCTTTTGACAGCACATCATCTTGCATCCTCTTCCATCATCTTCCTTTTCTACAAGAGTGCTCAGTTGATATCGCAAACAATTTTTTCTAGTCTCTTTGTACATCTCTTTGATACTCAATACACCTTTCCATGACTTGACCATTTTGTAATCAGCATGGATATCCACGACGTCTCTAATGCTCCCGAGTGTCTTAGGTATCTTCAAACACATCAGCAAAATCTCAAAAATGCGCAGGCTGTCAAAGGGCGTCAAGCAAGACCCCAAAAGTCCAAAAATGAAATCCTGAAGCAGTTCATGTTTCGACGATGGATGGCAACGAACGCTTCTGCTAATTTGACAAATATCCAATCCTCGTTCCTACCGCCTGCCTACCCCCCATGTGTCAAACCCTTCAACGAGTTAAAGAAGGTCATGGTCAAAAATCTGTGTCTTGAGACTCATCACCGGGAACAGTATCTCCTTCTGAGGACGATCACTCCCACAGATACGCTGAGCGCCGTGATGGCCATCGTAGAGGATGAAGACGGCAGTGCTCTCATGCTGCAGCTCTACAACCAAGAGCAGGAACTATCGGGCGCACAGAGCCTCAAGGAAGGCACAGTGCTTGTTGTGAAAGAACCCTACGTGAAAGTAATGGCAGACGGGGACTACGGGATTCGAGTGGACCATCTGTCGGACGTCTGTTTTATCCCCGAGTTTGGCGACCTGGTTCCCTTATCTTGGAGGACACGTGTAACACGGGCCGATGAGAACTCGTCTTCTTGGAAGACGAAAGGAAGTGAGTATTTTCATCAGGGTGATTATCATTCAGCAATCCAATGGTAACTGCAAAATATTTCCATGTCCAAGAGGGGATGCTAATAATACCTTTAGCTATTCAAAGTCTTTGGACACTGATCCCTCGCCAGAATTGCTGATGATAGCGCTGCTCAACCGTGCCCTTTCCTTCTTAAAAAGCTACCGCTTTGATGCAGCGTTGAGAGATGTTGAAGATGTTTTACAAACATCGGAGCTATCAGAAAAGGCTCTTTTCAGGAAGGCTCAGGCTTTATATCAACTTCAAAGGTTCAAAGAATCCTGTGAAATCCATGCAGTACTTGCAGAGAAGTATCCAAATAATACCATGGCTGCGCATGATTATACACGAGCATCAGCTCGGCTTGTGGAGCAGGAGAGCGGGAACTACAAGTTCAGGCAAATGATACTAGAGGCCAAGAAACGTCAGCCCCCAACGCTTGATCGCGGCACTTACATTGGTCCTGTGACTGTGAAGCAAACTCAGTCTCATGGGAGAGGACTCTTCACGACAGAGGCGGTAAAGGCAGGTGACCTTCTGTTCTGTGAAAAGGCATTTGCTCATGCTTTCCACTATGAAAATGCCTCCACAAATCTCCGTCTATTACTTAATATCGACATGGACAAAGCTATCATTGGTACTCAAGCAGAGCTTCTCGAGTTGATTGTTCAGAAGCTTTACAAAAATCCGTCTCTGCTACCAGGCTTCGTTGATCTGTATCATGGCACATACAAATTAGTGGATGTCGTAGAGGTAGATGTAATACCAGTTGTGGATAGGTATGTCACCGATCATCTATCTTGACATCAAAGCTAACAATCTTCCAGCTTTCTTGTTGAACGGACCATGGCCCTAAATGGCTTTGGGTGTCCTCTTCTATCCCGCCAGAGCCACATTAGCAGCATGAAAGGGGGTGATGATACGGCCAAAACAGCCAATGAACAATTTCATTCTTGTGGGTTCTGGTCGATGGCTTCATACATTAACCACTCCTGCCTGAGCAATGCCCGTCGTTCTTTCATTGGGGACATGATGATCGTTCGTGCTTCGAGGGACCTGCCTCCTGAGACCGAAATTACCTTCTGGTACCAATCACCCATGAACTGCGACCCCAAAGAATTACCCGTCGACCTACAGAATTGGGGTTTCAAGTGCGACTGCGAATTATGCCAAGACACACGAAGTCATAGCAGAAATGCTCTATCAAACAGAGACAATATTTTTGCTGAGCTGCAAAGATTATTCAAACGACCAAAGAGTAATCTGCGAAAGATCGAAGACACGCTTCTGAGCCTCGCAGGGACATATCGTCGACCAACGTATGAAGTCCCTCGTCTTGCACTTCTTTCACCCTATCTGTCTCTTGCTGTGATCTATGCTTCATCCCAGAGACATGGGAAGGCCGTGGAATTTGGATTGATGAGCCTAGAGTCACTTGGTTTCGTAATCAAAGGTGGAACTATTCCTCATGTCTCGAATCTTCCATTAGTTGTCCAAAAATGGGGCCTGATGACTGACCAAGTTGTGGCATGCTGGATGATTCTTTGCCGTGCATATCAAGAGCTCGCACCTAAACTCGCGTCCCAAGCTGAGGAATATGCCAGAGTCTCCTACAGAATCTGCGTTGGCGAAGATGAGACTTTTGATCAGACATACAACCGGCTATCAGAACGCGTGGATGGCTTGTTGACGACCGCAATGTAGTTGTTCGAGGCTATAACGCAATGACTGCACATTTTTATACTCATGAAAGCAAGAGCAGTAAATTCCTGAAACATATCTCGAGCTATTATATAGAGAGACGTCCTTGTCCCCCCTGCTTTTTCATTTACGCCTAACTGAGGAAGTATATGATATATATAATATAGTTACAATTTTAGCTACATATGTCAAGGCCTCAAGCGACTCCTAGATCACGGAAGGTATGAATGTAGAACTAACCACATATTCTAGAGGCAAAACTACTAGCGGAATGCTGACTAGGTATATTACTAGAGAGCATAATATTAGCATAGTCAAGACAGACTACTTACCAAAATACGTTGGCAGCCACACAGTGGATATTATACGAAAGCTTAGTCGCCTTACTGAGAATTGAGAGGAAACACATCAATTACACGCACATGCAGCTGAAATAATCTCTGGATCCTCTTTCACTTCTTAATTATGTAAAGACATTTCACCAGAACACGCTCTCTGATACATCAAAGCACTAGTCTAATACTGCAATAACAAGTTTCAAATTTATACTTTTAGTTCTAAGATAATTAGTGATATTATCTGGCCTTGGTTAAACAGTAAACTTTGGGCATACCAATAAAGAGCCGGTTCAGGAAGTATTAACAAAAGAAACCCGGAGCTCGCTAGATGTCGATGTGTTTTGTGAATTGGATGGAAATTCCCTGCCTGAGGTGACCTGAGGATTAAGTCTTAAGCAGTAAAGTCACATCTGTTCTCCCTAGTAGAAAAGTATTGAAACCACTGAATCGCTCATACATTACATCTTGCTCATTCGTGCCATTTGAGCTTCTGACACTGAATGATTAGTTTATTTGAGTCGACACAGGCGGTGGTTACGGAATCATGCAGGGGATTCTGGCAATGTTTGTGGATTAACCCATTTTTGGCTCTAGTCTCTCACTGGCTTGGCACTGTTATATTCTCCGCAGTGCTAGATTGGAATAAGAACTGAAATCATTATATTATTATGGGATCTAAGCTACTCAAACATCACTCACCTAACTTTTTTTTCTTGTTATTCTCGGCATTTTTGCGTAGTGATTCTACAGTATCAGGGGCATAAAAATCTTATAATCCTCAAATAAATTCAAAAACAAGGCCCACTGAGTATGCTATTACCCTGTCCGCCGAAGTACGTTCCTATTCAGGTGCTCTGGATGCACCGATCGAATACCCGACAAATGAAGCGTGAGCTGTAAATCCCCAAGATACTCTTGAGCACATGGCGGACACCACTCTCCCCCGCAATAGAAAGCCCATACACATATGGCCGGCCGAGGAGAACCATCTTGGCGCCTAATGCGAGAGCCTTGGCCACGTCGGCACCACACCGCACGCCCGAGTCAAAAATCACCCCTAGCTCACTTCCAACGGCGTCGACAACTTCCGGGAGCATGTCTAGAGATCCAACACCACCATCCTGTTGTCGTCCACCGTGATTAGACACGACTATACCTTGCATTCTGCAGTCGAGTGCTTGCTTTGCATCCTCAACCGTCTGTATGCCTTTTAAGACAATCGGCCCGTCCCAGTGCTGACGGAGAAACTGCAGGTCCTCCCACCCATGACTTGTGCCCGGAAAGATAGTATGGGTCCATTCAGTGGTGGCGAGGGAAATGTCATCCTCCACTTCCTTGCCGTGCTTTTCAGCGAATTTCTTGCGAAAGACTGGATCGGTGAAGCCAATCTCCACACCAATCTTATCTTTTCGAAGGAAGGGGTTGTATCTGTTTGACAGATCTGAAGGTCGCCATCCAAGGATATAAGTGTCAAGGGTGACAACCAAGACACTGAAATTAGCAGCCTTGGCTCGGTTGAGCAAACTCTGCGTGATGTCGTTATGTTCATTGGATGGCCAATACAGTTGGAACCACCGGTGGCCGTTTCCATTGACTTCCGTGCGCTCCTTGGGTATAGAGTATGTTCACACAGGAAATTTCTCCATAGTAAACAATTTGGCCTCGGAAAGACTAATTAAGGTGAACATGTGAGCTTCTCGCGCATGAATATTGAATCCACTTTTTGTCGAGTATTAGAGGACTACCACACTGGTCCACTTCTTTATCAACGATATCATACTGGCAAGGATAATTTCTTATAGGCTTTACTGTACTTAGTATATCAGAACTTGTCAATTCATAGTATTAGCTAGAAGAGGTCTGACTGGACGAGGTTTGACCAGAGGGGACCTTGGCGGCTCTGATGTTAAGTGATTTCTTATAGGGTAGTCTCCATATATTATTATCTTTAAAGTACTACCGCTAAATATGTGATAGAGCAGATAAGCCCTGGAGTTTGTTATCCCACAAGGATTACAAGCATCCCTTGTTATCGCGAATATGCTATCATATTCATGTGAGTGAACAATCCATTCATGGATATTATCCGAGCGTTCTGCTAATATTTCTAAATAGTTGTCAATGTTTCCTTTTATGCATTTAGCCCAAGCCCGGGTCGGGAATTCTGTCTCCGACTGCCGCACTGACATTGTTAAGATGGTAGTAGAAAACGGAACCCCTCTATAATATAGGTCAAGAAGTCATATTCTTTGTGACTGAGGAGTACATATACGCTGGATATGTCTACTAAAGTCTACATGTTTGGGTGATTTCGGAGGTCTGGGGGCCTACGGTAATTATATGGAGAATGATACCACGAGCTCTACTTTTGACTCAAGGAAGACAAACATGAAATCAATGTTCTACACGCGGCATGAGTGAGCAATTGTTGTCCCAGCCTTGTGATCCTCAATAGGAGATTTAAGTCGATTGACCAAGGGAGGAAAGAACCGGGGGCTGGGAAGGTTGTTGAATGTAAAATCTCCTGCATGCCTCAGGGACAACCCTACAAACTGCTAACTGGATACAGGGTGGGTCCAATGTGGTGAAGCTAGCCCAATAAGAACCTTGCATGACGATCTTTTGATTGTGTGGTATTTGTAGGGTTGTGTATGGCAACAGTCGGCATTTGAGCCAGTCTCTCAAGAATGTGGTCATGGGCTGTAAATAAAACCATAGGATATCAATCTGTCTCTTACATACACTTTTTGCTTTTCTTTCGGTTCCTGTATCTTCCGTGGAGGGTCTGCGTAGCTACTATCATGCAGTTATCAACCACCAACCTTGTAACCAGTTTCATTCTGGGTCTATCTGTCGTCCGCAAGGTCTTAGGTCTGTCCCCTTCACTGCACTGTGACTATGACACATTCGACACAACAGACGTTGTGATTCTTGGAGGCGGTGCGGCGGGCACCTACGCAGCTGTCCAGCTTCATCGGCAAAACAGGACCGTGGCTCTTATTGAGAAGCAAGGAAGACTGGGAGGCCAGGTGAATACATTTCTGGAACAAGAACGTGGAATATCCGTCGAATACGGTGTCAGCCATTACATGAATGAGGATGTGACAACCGAGCTGTTCGACTACCTTGGCATCCCTTACTACCACGGCACTGTCCCGAAAGAAACAGTGACTCATTTCGACTTCGAGACCGGGCGCCTTCTGGAGGAGCAACATCAAAATGATACGGCCCAGGCGATTCAGGTCTATAAGCAGCACCTGGCCCAATATCCCTATCTTGAGGACGGCTTCTCGCTTCCAGACCCAGTCCCAGAGGATCTTGTGCTTCCTTTTGGCAGCTTCGCTACAAAATATGGAATAGAGAAGGCAGTCGCATCGCTTTCCGTTGGTATGGGTAGCGTTCTAGATATACCCACAATCTATGTGATGAAGCATTACGGATTGGGCGTTTTCAAAAATGATTTCCTTTTCACTTCCCACAAGAACAACCAGGAGATCTACGACACGGCCGAGGCGGTCCTAGGTTCAAGTGTGCTCCTTTCCAGTCGGGCTCTTGCCATACAACGGACTAGGGAGAATAATGTTGAAATCTGCGTGAAAACACCGACAGGCACGCGCCTACTGCATGCAAAATATCTAATGATTACTTTGCCACCTACACTAGATAATTTGCGAAGCACAGGATTGGACCTGACCAGGGAGGAGACAGCTCTGTTCTCAGAACTCGCCCCAATAGGCTTTTATGTTGCTCTTGTCCGGATTGCTGGGCTGCAAAGAGACATTCTTCCACTCCAAAACGCAGCCGCAAATGACACAACCTACAGGGTGGCACAGCTCCCTGGCATCTGGGACATCAATCCTACCGCGATACACGACCTATTCATTGTCGAGTATGGATCTGATATTGTATTGCCCGATGATCTTGTGTATGACCAGCTCCTGAAAGCCCTGGACCGGTTGCGGGATGCCGGCTTTATCACGGGCGAAGGACGACCGGAGCTTATACGCTTTGCGAACCATTCGCCCTTCTATCCACATGTTCAGGGAAAGGCCATCCACGAAGGGTTTTACGGACGACTCAATGGTTTACAGGGCAAAACAAATACATTCTGGGCAGGTTCCACCTTCCATGTCCCAGATTCGACCTCAATTTGGCGTTCCACGAGAAAGATTCTCGCAGACCTCACAGCAAATTTGTCTACTTAGATTTCTTTACATATGTGGTCAGCACCATTATTTCAATACTATGGCTTATGACATGATATATAATGTATGGAGTGACCGCAGTTAGTAAGCTGACCTACAAAGAATTTCCCCATACTGTTTTATATTTCAATCTTGCAAATTATTTATAGTCCTTTGTAATCATTAAATTCACCATCACTTTTGACTGTTTGTATCTGTTATTTGCACAGGCTATGGTCCCGGAGCCTCTACAACTACCATGTTATCATTTTTGAAGCCATTCCGGCCCACCTCACCTCGCTAGGTATCTTGTGATAGTGACAGATTTTGAGACGTCTACTCCGCACATCCATCCTAATGATCACAGTGACGCCTATCCCAATCACCAAATCCTTCTAAGCAGCTAATATGCAACTATCATGTGTACAATACCAATACAAGGAGAGACTTCAGATCTATACACACTACGTACCTGCATAAAGTAGATATATTGCCTGTATGATGTAAACATTGCCCATAGAACATTGTGCCCATTTTCCGGTAAGCTGCACCAGACAGGACCACATGGCTTGATTAACCCTCCTGACTTTTGACCACAGTAGCTTCGCAGTTTAATCTTGCCTACATCTGGTCGACGGTTCCAGTTTTGTTGTTCCCCATGGCATATGTCAGTAGCCGTTGATTGACAATTCAGGGAAAGTTCAACTGTGTCATACCTTTTCACCAGCAATCTCTGTCGCTAACTTGATGATATATTTTGGAGCACAATCCTTGAGAAATAGCCTGCACTGGTGGGGGATGTAATGGAATTTGGGATGCGAGAAGTACGCGTGCCCTCGCCTGGGGTTGAGAGGAAACAAAAACTTTGGGCCGCAGGGGTCGGGGATGGGCATAGGTGTAACAGCACAACTGCTTGATGGGGATTGATGGGAATGGAAGGGTCCTGGATGGCATATCATAAATCAAAAAGTACGTGTCATATTCTATGGCTCATCTGGCTTCGGGGAAACATCATACACCATAAAGTAGGCACCATATTCGCCCTGTCCACCATATTTGGTATCATCCTGTATAACGCGATCCACTTCTTTGAATCCTAACCGCTCATAAATTCCTCGGGCCGCCTTGAACGCCAGAACAAAGATAGGAAGGCCGAATTTCTCCGCATACTGAATTCCACTGTCGACGAGCGCGCTGGCAATCCCTTTTCCTTGATGTTCCGGATGGACCGCTAGGTACTCCAAACCTAAGCGAACGCCAGGTCAGCACTTGGTCTAGGCAGGGTTCTTGGGCCGACCTGAGGGGTACATACTGATGTATGGCTTCTCGGCCAAGATGCGTTGCTTCACCAAATTATTCTTCACATCAAGCTCGTCCATATCCTCTCTCGGATTCCACCATGCAGACGCCGCCAATTGCTCATGGTGTTTCCGCTCCTCCTCCTCGACGTCAGGAACTTGCACCTCAGCCCACATTGGCCCACCACCCACGGCAGTCACATGGCCCGGTGGCAGGATCCAGCGCACATACCCGACTACCGCACCGGTAGCCGGGTCAACGGCCTTCTGGTGGCGAGTATCATCTCGCGAGCGAAGGAGGTTGCGTGCCTGCCGCTTTGTGGACTGTTCAATGAGGAAATCCAATGTGATGTCATTGGGCCACACGAGGATCCAAGTCGGATCTTCCCAAAAAGCGGCCATGTTATTGCGCGCCAGGGCGGCAGCGTCGGCCACGGTGCAACCCTTGATCTTCCAGCCGGTCATGACTGCGCTAGGATGTTGTTGCATAGAGAGTAATGGTACCTGGATTAGTGACTGAAGTTTGTATTCAAAAATATTATGCCGTATAGGGTATCTATCAAAAGATTGGTTCAAGATGATTATTTGCCTTAATCTATCATAGAGTGGGTTATTCTGGTAAATATGTTTTGCAAATGAAAAGGAGGAAGTGGCATGGAAGCCTTGCTCACTTCGATGAGAATGCCTGTTTATATATTTCGCGACGGGAATTAAAGCCGCCTATTTGAGCTAGAACAGCCTGGTGCTCATTAGTGCTGAGAACTTGAATTAGGCTACTGTAACTGAAGGTGATGGCGCGCCCATGACCAGGTAATAAATAGTATTATGGTTTATGGTGTGCTGTATGGTCCACCCCAGCGTACCACGCAGCAGGGCAATTGGCTGAGAAGTTCATATCCATCCTAGCCCAGTCATGGTTCAGACCTCCAGACTTCGGACTTGTCCGGTGGCTCACTGTTCGGCAAGATCCACCAACCACAGAGTGGCAAGTGCCGTATAGCCAAAAAAGGCTAGCTTCGTTATTTTTAGATCCCGGCTCTCTAGGTAACTGGTACTGCTAAGACTGTGTGACTTCGACCCTTGTTTCATTGTTTCAATAAGTCACAACATGTTGTTGCTGAATGACAACAAAATGCTAGATCTTCCCAGCTCTGTATCATGCCAGACATAATGACTATTCAACGCTACTTCCTGAGAAATATTCTGGGAGCCACGCTTTCTGGCCGCTCGAACTCCTATCATGCACCCATGGCGTCTTTTTCCACTGGTTATACTAACATGAGCGAAACGGATGCTATCGCAGACGCAGGGCAAGACCTTGACGCACTCAATTAGTTTACCTTAGGTCGCTGGCTTTGGAACGAGCGACAGCAACTTGCTTGTCGCTATGGCAAGTTCGACTTCTCAGCACTTTTACAGCTCGCTGCATCTGCCATTGGATCAGGCTCATGCACCCGGGTATTGAAGGTTTCGGAGGGCCAATATAACAAAGTATTTCAGCATACCATGGACGATGGCCTCGAGATTATTGCAAAACTCCCGAACCCAAACGCAGGCAGACCACACTTTACGACAGCTAGTGAGGTTGCAACTATGGATTTTGTATGGCCGGCCTGTTTTTATCTCTACCACCATCCCCCTTTCCTCCCATTTGTACTAACTTCTCTAGTTGAGGAACGTTCTGGATCTCCCTGCTCCGAGAGTGTATGCATGGAGCTCCCGAGCATCAGAGAGCCCTCTCGGCGCAGAGTATATCCTCATGGAGAAGCAGGCCGGCATGATACTAACCGATGTATGGGACAGCATCAAAGGAAAGCAGAAAGTACGCATCTTGGACCAGGTGGTCGATACTGAAAGGCGCTTAGCAGCTACGAATTTCTCCACGTTCGGGTCGTTGTACTATAAAGATGATCTTCCTGAGAAGTCAGATTCCACTTCGCTTCTATACATTGACGCGGTTGGAAATGAGGTGCAGAGCGAAGTGTTTCGTATTGGGCCGACCAATCATCGTTCTTTCTTTGACTTCGGGAGAGGCGAGTTGGATATTGACCATGGTCCATGTAAGTTCATCTCTGACCTGTATGGTATTACTATCCTGTGCTTATCCATGCACGGTTGTTCAGGGTCAACAATCACAGAGCTTGTGACAGCTGTTGCGCAGAGGGAAATCGCGGTCGCAGAGGTCGGTCTTCGGTACCCCTTAATGCCGGAGGGTCTTTTCTACGGGCCCCGGCAATACCAGCCCAGCCTTTCCAAAAAAAGCTCTCCGCGTTGGGAAACTACCTTAAAGTGGCACCTCATGTTCTGCCCGAAAATAAGGCCACCCATGCGTCAGCTTTATGGCATGGCGATCTTCATTCACAGGATATATTTGTCGATCCGGAAGACCCAAGTCGCGTCGTTGGAATCATTGACTGGCAGTCTGCCAGTGCATGTCCACTTTTTATGCAGGCTGGGCGTCCAGCATTCCTCGATTACAATGGCCCAGTTCCTGAAGATTTGGGGAAGGCCCCTTTACCACCAAATTTTGACGCCATGGACCCAGACGAGCAGCGAAAAGCAAAAGCACTCCACAGAGGACAGACTCTTCACAATTTATATCTAGTTCGGTGTCTTCAAGTTAACGAAACAATCTTTCAAGCGATACAGGACCAAAATGCTCCGGCACCAGGTTAGTGTGGTTCCCGGCTTAGTCTTAATAGACTACGAGCCGCTCCTCCACAGCCTGTTAAGGGATGTTGGGGAGGAATGGGCACACATTGTTGGCGTAGGGGGGGGTGGCAGCTCTCCCAGAATGCCGTTCCCATTACAATTCTCGGACGAAGAAATCCGGCAGCAGGACCATGATGCTGAGCTATGGGCCCAAGGCGTTGAGCTCATGAATGCTTTCGTTGAGGATACTGGCTGTTATAAACATTGGGGTGGTAGGGTTAGCAATGTAGATTATGACAAGTCTAAGAGAGAGTTAGATGAGGGGGCACGGAGGTTCTTGGATCGTGAAGCTAGGAGTGATGAAGAACGGAAGGAGTGGCTAAAAGCCCTACCCTTCGTGGATTAAAGTGTGTGGCAAGGTCAGAAGTTATCAGTGGTTCTAATGTTCCCAGCAATCTGGATGCAGTTTCCTTGTATTACTATAGAATATATATACCATTTGCTTCCGTAGATCATGGATGTAGGAACCTCTCGTGCATCGGTACTCGACGCATATCTGTCAAAAAAAAAAAAAAAAAAAAAAAAGTCCCCACGTTGCTTCAAAGAAGGTGTCCTTCAGCTGGAACACATGGCGTGAATGTTCAATGCCGTGTCTTTCTGGGATGCCAACGATCCCGGTGTCTGTGTATCCACATAACATATTAATTCGACCCTTAATCCACAGTAGGTATTACTGGCCTGCAGGAATGAAATCATATCAAGTGCTGGATCATAGAATTTGGCCATTGATTGCCGGCGCGTACCTTGTATTTCTAGCCACGCGCGGACCGGAAGACATAACATTGCAGGCCCTGCTATCATGGCAACTCCAGGTAGAGATATCGTGTCCGAAGACCACAGAAACTACAATATCATGCTGTTGTGAAGCCTATGAGAGAACCAATGCAATGAGGAAGCGGGGGGTGCTCTCCGTACTGCATCTGTGAAGGGATACAGGTAACTAGTATTTCAATCGCGGGTTGTATACTACTTAAGGTACGGAGTACACAGGATATCGACACATGCTGAGGCTCACATGGGTATTCTGGGATCAGAAGGAAACAGGGCATGTTTGCATATTCACTAATCCAGTCGCACTTATCATACTGCGTTGTAAATAGCCGGTCTTCAATACTAAAAACGAGCCACAAGTGGATATGAAGAGTCCGAGTGATGTGGCTAGACCCATAAAGCTGGCATCTCAGACAAACTCAAGCTTTCTCGGTTGAAAGACTAAGCCCATCCCTTGAGTTCTTTCACTGCATCGTCATCGCTTGGTTGGCTCACGTTTGGCATTTTAAACTGACCAAGGGAAACACACCTCCCCTGCTTAACTCCGACACGATATGTTGTCTTTTTGCCCGAGGTTTGCATCGTTTCGGTGTGAAAGACCCCCCCGGTGCCTGCTTTGTTGTTTCCATGGACCCTTCTCCACCTTCCTGCCGGCTCCAGTAGCTGGCAAAGTCTCCATATTTTATGTCCTCGACATATTGACCGCCTTGCCTAAGATATTCGCATATCTAGTCATACTCGTTCTTCCTTTCTGGCCCATCTTCTGCACTGTCTTATAACCCTCACGCGCCAGGTGAAGGTGTCGATATCCAATATTGAAGGAACTATGAGTCCCATTTATACTTCAAGGTCATCCGCCTCATGCATTTGGCCCAATGTGGCGGTCACGGTGACAAGTATGCGATTCACTCGGCTTCCGAAAAATCAAATTCCCAGGGGAGAAAAATTGGGAGCTGGTTGTGGAGGGCAGAATTGTGCCCAGCATTGTCAAACCCGGAGTGGCTTGCAAAGTAACCTTTTTGCCTAAAACTCTGACCGATGAAACCAGGCACCTCCGAAAGTGGGGACCATGACTGCTTCTTCATCCCCTTCAGTGGGAACAACGGGCAGGAGGTTTCGAAGGCTGGACCATCTATCCCCATACACAATAAGGGCCCCGATTGTCGCTGGTAGTTCATCTCCCACTCATCATTCTGCGCGCTGAAAGCATCTTTTGATGTTTTCAAAGAGTGTGTAGGCGTTCCACAACTTGGCTGATTAAATTTGGATGAGCTATCACACCGCGAGTAGCATTTTCTACATCAATCCAAAAGTTAGAGGATGGTAGAAGCGACAAGACTAGGGATTACCATAGGCGTACTCGGTATATCTTGTAACGACATTGCCTGGATATTCTGATGTCGGTCGGATTCGGTTGACGCATGAAGGGTCTAGAGAGCGGTGGTTAGCGATACATTCGGTCCTCTTTTGAACCTACCGAGGCAGACTTCTCATGGAAAAGAGACTAACCACGAAGCGGTAGAAATAGTAAAAGCTCACATCATTTTGGTCAAATGTGCTGCTGTTCCTGTCGAACTGACAGCTGTATTGAGGAGCCACTGAGGCGGTAGGTTCGGATTGTGTAGATGGAATCGAAAGTGAAGTCCATGTCAGAACATCGCCTCGTGGGATGATCAAAGGTCTGTTGGAAGTAACCAACTGATCGTTCCTACCTTTGATTGTCCACACTGCACTTGCCATTTACTGCCTCATTGTTATATTTGTCATCCCTGGATTCCTTCATACACCCCGTGTTTTATTACTCGAATTGAGAATCTATCAAGTCTAACAGATGCTGGTAGGATTAATCACAAAAGAAAAGGCATCTGGAACAATACTATATTTTCTTAATCCCAGTCACTCTTCCAGTGACAGTGATCAGCCCTGACTGTATGTGAAGAGTCACTGTGCTTGCGGACCACAATCCTCGATCATTATATTTTCATCTTGTTTAATCACTGTCCCTGAACGCGCAATCCGTGGATTAAATTATGGGTTGTCCTGATCAAACTTGGGTAGGTAATTTGCGCCCTGTCAAGTTAGGAAATTGAGCGACCGATATTAGCCAACAGGAGATATCAGGGTGGCTCTAATATATGGGATCGATCGTCTTTCGACATTGAACATAATACCGACTCCCAATCGCTCTCCAGACTCCATATTGATGTCGAAACTGTGCTGTGGTCTACACTGCCAAGTCTTTCTTTCTTTGATTTGAGTATATACAGGTCGATGGGCTGTGCGCCAGAGAACATTTCGCACAATATTGAAATACGTAGTACTTCAATAAGCGCCTGTAACGGGCATTGAATTATCATCGGTAGCGACCCAATTGACACCGGTTTTGATTGTTCCCGGATCTCTGAAGATGGTATATAACGGTCAACGCTCCAGGATTAAGGAATGGGTCGGCTGGCCGCAAACTATAATAAGCAAGACGACAGTATCATCGCACGGCAGTGAGAGCGTAGTATGGCGCGGCCAATGCTACCTTAGCTTCCATGATTTGTGTATTGACAGTAGAGTCTATTGTTATAGGATAACATATGTCTATTTCTATCCACGAATTCAAGATTGACTATGATGTATCGTCGGTATCTAAGCTGGACAGACCCAATTTGGCGTCTTATCCATGGCCTTTCTCTTCCCCGCAAGCGACGCTCGAGCAAGTGGTGGAGGTCGACTCCTCGTTCCGCAGGTGCGATAGCCGTCCCATACGCTATGCCTCCCAGGCCCAGTAGCGAGGTCGGTTGTGCATCTTGGATCGTGACTGGCGTCCCGTGTGGTGAAACGAACTTTCCTTCATCCGCCCCATGAATTTTCAGTATGGCGAAGGAACTCATCGTTCCATCCCACTTGCCCACATTTGCATGGCTGTCTCGTGTGCTCACCACGAATTGACTCGTTCTTTGTTGGCCCTCGAACCCAATAGCTTGGACGGATGGTACACGCTCATCACAATCATAGTCAGGAACATCAACATCGAGTCAAAGACATACATATATACCTCGTGGCTGATGAGGTAGCCAGAATTGCCTTGGACATACTCGACCAGTCGGAAGATAGACCGGATGAGAATCAAAACACTGGACGTGTAAAGCACCAACATTATCGTTTTCCAACTCGTCTTCCTCCAGTCCATTGCGGTCACTTCCAGCGATGTTGGCGTAGGGTTCTTGCGAATGCGGAAGTGCGACACCGCCGAAGTGATGATGAAAACACTGAAAAAGAGGAGCTGGACGCATAACCCGGCGATGGTGATGTTCTCACCCGTTTCCATCGCCTCGATGGTGCCACTCGCCATGATACCACCGCCTACAGCCATGGTTAGTATGAAGACGGACAATTGAAGGGGACAAGGTAAGCGATTGGAGAGGGTTGAACAGACCAGCGGCTTGCATCAAAAACGCGACCACATCCCCAACCAGGAAAATCTTGGTCAACCACTTGGTGGGGATCAGACTTTGTGACTCGGCGCCCAGGTAGCGGATCAGTCGACCCAAGGTCATGTAAATCGACGCAGCATATAGTGGCGGTGCGAGGAGGATCAGGATTGTTTGAACCGAGTATATCGGGATGGATTTATTATCATCGTGAGCCAGTATTCGGCAGATATACCCGATGACCTGGACTACACCATGAACCACGGATATTAGTCTAAGCGTTTCACGGTGGTCGGAGGTCGGTCGAATACTCACATACACCCCCTGTGACGAACACTAGCATGTACCATGAGCGCATGCGAACCACCTGGTAAATGTGGTATGCCGTCGTGATGATGAACAAGACCAGGAACAGGATCGCCGCAGCGCGCGAGGGGACATAGCGGTACAGCTGGAAGTCAATTGCGGGGTTGGAGCTGGAGCTCATGATGAAAACTAGATTTATATAACCTAGACCGGTCCCAGATCATGGTGTGAAATATAATCATGGCCGTTGTCTGGGGCCCGCTCTCTTATGAGATTCGATTGTCGTGTTCGAACTCGTTTTCGCTTTCAATCCCTTATATTCTTGCAGACCCACTGATATCTTCTAGATCGCGCGATCCACTAGGAGAGGCTTGTACGGAGTATCCGACCGGGGTGGTTGATTTTTACTTACAGGTTTTACTGCTCTGCCTACTAATACCGGTCGAGGGAGAGTATAGCGACAGGGATCGAGCTATTCTGCCTAACATTGACTCTTTTGTCGCTCTTCCGAGCGCTTTCAATATGTGGATCTCACTGATCAAAATAACGACTTCATCATCCAGGCATTGGCTTACCAGACCATGTTCTTATCCGTAATCGTATTCGTTTTTGTGTGGTTCAGGCAACCGCTTAAACTTTTAGTCTAACATGAGAACCGCTGTGGAGCACCATCATCCAATGGCCTTAGTTTGAACCATGAATCTTCCGACGCGTTGGGCCATTCAAACACGCCGGGTGGATCCACAGTCCAACCTCAATGGCCAAGTGCGCTGGTCTATTAAAGGAGTACTCCAGTGTAATGTCTTATCTGTCCGTATTCGCATTCGCCTTCTCTGCTCCTTGGCGTCTCTCACGAACGTTGATCTCGCATTGCCCCTGGGTTTTCCACTAATTAATAGACTCGTATGACACCATAGGTGTGGTTGATGTCTTCTCGGAGATCCCATAAAAAGTCTCGGAACGGGTGCGATCAATGTAAGCGCCGGCGAGTTAAGGCCAGTTGTACGACCCCTCTTGGTACCAGATAGCTCCGGTTAACATTCTTGCAGTGTGATGAAGCTGATCCATGCACGAACTGCACCAGACGTCATCTTGTCTGTGTCTACAATCGACATGGTTCGCCTTCGATCCAAGCTCACAACGCGACCAAGGAAGGTGCTCAATTCGCCACACCCTCCGAGCCCGCGCCTTCCGACCTGGATGATACCTTGAGTACGTTCCAGGACAGGATTCGGAGTGGCTTCTTCTTGCCTCGAGAGTGGGATGGGCAGGACTTTGAACTGATGCACCACTATTCGATCGCCACGGGGCATACCATGTCCCAAAAAGACGCCGTTCGCAATGTCTGGGTCACGGAGATCCCGAGGATCGCGTACTCGTATGAGTTTCTCATGCATGGGATCCTCTCTCTGGCCGCCATGCATCTCACGGTTGTCAAACCCGAGCGGTATAGCCATTATCACACGCGGTCTACCTTCCACATGGCACTAGGTCTCCAGAGCTTTCGAAAGATTCTGCAATCCCCGACCGCGGAGAACAGCTGCGCCCTCTTCTCCTTTTCGAGTATCATCATGGTGTGGATCTGCGCGGTTCCCGGGGAGGTGGAGTCCGTCCGGCCGCTGGACAATGCCTATGAGCTGTTCAAACTGTGCCGCGGCATCTTGGCCCTAAAAGATTTCTTAGGCGTCGTCCGCAATTCTCCACTGAATCCATTACTGTCCCCCGATTACATGCTACAGGAACATGAGATCCCGTAAGTCATCTTCAGCCGTCAATACTCCGATCTAATTGGTGGCAGAAAGGGCATGGAATTCCGGTTGTTTGCCGGTCTAGGCGACCAGCTCTGTCGTTTAAGATCTAAGCTCGCCTCGGAGACACTCAGCGAGTCGACCAGATATGTCTACGACCAGGCCATATATCAGTTCGAGAAGAGCTGCCGGCTGATCGAGCATGCCGAGACACCCATGGAATGCGGCATGATCTTTTGCTGGCCGATCTCCGTTCTGGAAGACTTCCTCGGTTTGATTGAGGGACGGGACCCCCTGGCGATTGTTCTCCTGGGCTACTACAGTACCCAATTGAACTTGTTCCGGCACTTTTGGTTCGTGGAGAAGCGGGTGGATGCTCTGTTGCATACGACAGTGGCGACCATTCCTTCGGAGTACGCGGGTTTGTTGGACTGGCCCAGGCGTTTCTGCTCTCATCGCACGCTTGATATGTGATGCTCCGCGGGGGAGTACACAAAGGTTTACCTGAAGTTGTACATACAATTAGCATTTTCTGGCGCAGGGTATTTGTTTGGGGGCTTGTTTGTTCTCATCCTCGAGGTTCGACACAGTGTCTAGGTAATGAGTATTCCTAATTCATATTATGCTCCTGTCTCCTAATTCCCTCTTGACGGGTTTGATATACGCTTCCCACCAGTCACAAAATCGCAAAGAGCATTGTTCAGTCTGCGGCCGTGTATCCCGGATGAAATATGGCAAATGATGATTAATATGTATGAAAGATACAGAGCACAGGGCGCTATTAACAGGGAATATCCATAACGTTTGGCATGTACAATAAAAACGAATGATTAGTTATAACGGAAGTACAATGATGCAAACTCTAGACCAGCCGAGAGTCCTAAAACACCAGCGTCAGGAGGTGCGCGAGCCCCCCAATCAGCATGACGGCGCCCAGCCCCTGCGGGACCGACGTCGTCGCGTCCGATGACTTGCCGCAACAATTCCCCTTGTAAGTTACATTGTTCATCTGGGCTGCGACTTCGAAAACCGATCCGTTGGGTTTGCCATAGTTGTAGTAGTCGACCAGCAGGAAGTTCGGCGGACGACCCCATTTATCTAACCAGATTAGCCGAGGGACTTGGGGGGACTTGGGCCAAGATTACGAGGGAAAAGGTTACATACCGGTACAGTTCTCCGCCATCGACCCCAGGCTGCCATATCCGCTAACGCCGTTCGTATCGACCAAATAGGCCATGTTGGGGACCAGAATCTCCGCATCCGTCAGGCCCAGGTCGACCCGCAAGTTGAGATTGTGGTTGGCCATGTACATGCGGTTGGCGATTTCCTTGGGCGGCAAACCAGGAGGCCGCTGGACGGTACAAGGGAAGTCCTCGTGGGTGGGGGAGAAGGGGGTCTCCCAGACCTGGGAGAACTGATCCATCAACCAGGGGAACGCGGTCTGGTTGGTGCCGTAATCGAGAGTGAAGATGGCGCGCTTGTTGGAAAGGATCATGGAGGCGAGGGTAGGCCAGTCGTCCAGGCCCATGGGGACCTTGGGCGGCGTCCACACCAGGTCCATCAGCCCGGAACGCTCGATGGGGCCAGAGAAGTTGGCCGGGTTGACGAGGTCAAAATTGCCCATGAAGATCGTGATGACCTCGTAGGGGTTCTTCCGCATCCAGCGGTTCACGCGCGCCAGGTAGTCTTCCAAGGTACCGACGTTGAGCAGGTCGCAATTCGTGTGGCAGAGGTATAGCGTTCCGTTGATGAGATGGGTCTGGAATTGAACTGCGACGAGCGATGGTCATTAGCATGGTCCAATCCCGCACACATCCACACATGTATATGAGTCGAAAAACTTACTGGTGCGGATTCCATCGTTCAGTTGATCCTCCAAGTCCAACGCCTGGTTCGAGGCGATGTTTCCGGGCCGAACAAAAGGGCTGTTGTGGGCGACGATATTGGTGATGTTGGAGTAGGAGCGGTCGCAGAACTCGACATAGCCATTGCAAGGTTGCGTGTTTACCACGGGGGACGAGGAGGGCGTGGGAGTGGACGAGCTGGTGGCAGTGCCGTTGATGAGGGTGGTGGTGTGGTGGCCGCCCTCGAGGACGGTCATAGAATCAGATTCGGTGCTCACGACAGACATGCTGGCATTGCCGGGAGTGCCCGTGGGCAGCAGCGAGCCGGTTGTAGTCGAGGTTGCATCGGGATGATTGTCGTTGATATCATCGTCGAGCGTGCTGGTGGTCTGGTAGGAGATATAGGGTCCGGTCGGCACGCTGGCTTCCCCAGTGGAGATGATGCTGGGGGTGAAATCCTTGGTTTCTTCTGTGGTTTCGTCGGCGCACAACACCCCCGCCACCGCGACTGCTAAGCAGCGAACGAGGAGCCCGTCAAACCGCATGATGGCACAGTGCGACTAAAGGATAAGATAACGCGGAGAAGACAGACAGGAACCAAAGCTGAGGGGATAGGGCTGAGCGTGGGAAAAGGGAGATAAATAAGGCGTGGAGGGGCGTGTGTGGGGGGCGCCAACCCAGATGGATCATGATGACCGAACGGCCAATTCGTCCATCGATTCGACCAGGATCAGATGGCTTCGGTCTTACCATTATTAACGTGGATCCCGGGTCGGTTGTTGACCAGTCTAGCCTCGCGATAGCGCGTCCTTGGCGTCGATCATTCGACCCGATTCTTCCACGGCCGCGACGCCCACGAGCAATCTGTGATCCTTCAGACGGGGATGGCAGAGGAGAGCGTATGTAATTGATCCCTTGGTCCAGGAGATCAAACCAGATGCGTTCAGCAAGATTATCATTATGGGTGATATCCGAATCGGTTCATTCCGTCTCCATCACGACCCAGACTAGTGGCGCAAAAGACCAAAAATAACCTCCACCCGGATGAGCCATGGGTTCCGTGGTCCACTGCCGTGTGCTGCGCGACTCACTAGTTCGATGTTCCACTAAAGAAGTGTTTTTGTTGCCACTGATGTTGAGTTTTCATCTGTCTCGTCGGCGAATGGTTGCGACCGTGACAAGACCCACCATCAAACCAACTGGACGGCGATGGCCTTTCTTCGTCTTGTTGTCAGCATTGGACGACAATCATTTGTCTTTAGTTGGCTGAGAGATTGAATGTGGTGTCTGTGCCTCCCCAGTGGAGTCGCGACGGCAGATCCTGTCCAATACCCGTTGATTCCCTATCGAAAAGTAAAAAATCCAGCAGCCTAATCCTCTGGGTCAGGGGGGGGGGTGACTGATCTCATCAACCATGGCCCATTGCCGCTCGCTATCCATCAATATTGTCCGTCTGTACGGGGTACCGACTGCGAGTACACAATCTAGTGGTGGTTGGGTATATGAACATCGGGCGGCATTAACAACCCCGATATATATTGTCGCAATATCAGTTTGTGAGGTTACCCACTGGGCGCAAAATTGTGATGTGGCAATTCTTTTTCCAAATATATAATCTAGCAACGGCTCGGTATCAGATTAATCGGCCTAGAACATGAGGACCCACGACTGTCAAGACAAGCAATTTGCCTCACGGTTCACCGACGCTGTTGGTTTTCCAGATCAATGAGATCTACCCTAGTCGTCCTCAACCATATATATAAAAGAATTACGCAAGAAGATGGAAGGAGTAGAGCGGAAGTTCCCTGATGACAAAACACGACAGAAGTAACCAACTAACCACAATAGGAAACAAGGTTCCTGATTGACTGGGGAAACTACTTTTTAGATCACACCCAGTGCTGTCCTTGCTGGTTTTGAACTGTTAGAATATGAGTTTATAAGATTACTTATAGAGCGCAAGTGTCATAATACTTTCTACAGCCGAGTGGTAATTCTTTTCCACATGAACCAACTGTTCTCGACCAAGTCATCCCCGCCGCTTGTTAGGGTCATCGAAGGCCTGCAGATCCAGCACATCACTGTCCTCACAGCAAAGTCACTCAAGGTGACAAGACATTGTGTGATATGCAGGTAGTGTTGCACATAGGAGTATATATAGGGGTGTCTGGTTATTTCAAGAATAGAAGCTTGACATACAGAAAATAAACCTAGTTAGTCTTTCTAGACTTGTGGTATGGTTGGTATATCTAAGAGTGCGTTGGAACAGGGTGCCAGTGAATGAACATGTTAGAAAGTGGAAGTTACAGGGTGTTCAGTCAGATACTTTCTCCCCATTCTTGATTTTAAATAATCATATTATTAACAGTGACTGAATGCTTAGGCCGGCAGGGTTGTGGTACACTGTGGACCAGGATGATCATTATCCACAGCCTATTTTGCATACCTACAAGACCTGGTTGATTAACTATACGATATACCACCTCACAGGAGACCCATCTCTAATGCTCAAATAGCTTGGATATTGCTTGGCTGGGATGCAGGTGGTAGGTTAAACAGTCAAGACTCGTGCTGCTCAGAATAACCACCCCCCACGGACGAGTTTCTATCAACCTCCATACCTAGTGGTAATCCAGAATGACAAGTTTAGGTATTTGCAGCCGCATATATCCACAGATCGCTTCCTGGGATTAGAGATAGGGTTGATTGTGGGCTAACTCGTCATAATTCCAAAACAGGCTGATAGACAAGGCGAAGCATTCCAAGTATTCGGAGACAGAACACCCACTTCATATAACAGTCCAGGTTTACCTACGCTTCCCGTAGGTCGATTTGATCTCTTTGAACGCATTGTGCTGGTGGATGCCCGGAATGTCAATACACTGGCCACACAGGTCGTAGTCCGAACATTCGCGACACTTGTGGCGCGTACCATACACTCTCTATGACTTTGTGTCAGCGCGGGATCAAAGCAAATCAATGATTTTGATGGAATCTCACATCCCCACAATAATCGCATCGAACGCCGTCGTGCTGCCCGAGCCGGATTTCCTTGAAGCTATGCGACGGATGCGTCTCAGCAGCGCCTTGGTGGCAGTTGGAGCAGTAATCGAAACCCTCGCACGTCTTGCAGATATATCGCGGGCCAAAGATTTCCTAGAGTCATCAGTCTGGATGCACCGACAAGGGACGCCATAGCACTCACCAGGCCGCATCCATCACAGAGCCGTCCCGGATGCCAATACGCGTCGTCCACAGAGGCAATGTATACCACCCACATCCGTTTTCCCTGCACAATCTCATCCAACATGACCACCCGATACCAACCATCATCCCCATTGACTCCACGCAGTCTATCTCCCACATGAACCCCTTCGAGAGCGGGCGGGTCCATCCAGTCAGATAACATCACGGTGTCAAACGCGCGGGGGTCGCGGGCATTCCGCGCTCGCGGGCCGAGAATGTGGCCGCCATACTGGCAGGCTGGGTTGAAATTGGCGTCGAATCCCAGTTTCAGGTTCACCACGTTACCCCCCTTGGGTCTATAGCGGATGACGGCCGCCGTGCCATACGCGCCCGGCGGTAGCGAAACAATCCGGTCGCGGTCGTTCCAAGAACTCCACGCCGTGAATTCCCAGCGTGCATTGGGACCCGTTTCAGGCGGCGGGATGTGGCGCAGCCAGAACCCGTACAGCCGCGAGGGGGGTTTGCCCTCTCGTGACATGTTCTGTCGCACGTAGATCCGCCGCCGTCTCGAGGACCCGTTAGAGGAGAAACGAGGAAGGTCGATCTCGTCGAGCATGACTCGGCCATACTGATTTGGCTCCCGGAGAGGTGTGAGGTAGATCCCCAGGCGCTGGCGCGTATGGTCCTGGCAGTCGAGAGCCGCCAGGTAGACCTCCATTCCCCACTGGACCATGGATAGCTCAATGGACAGGCCCATGTTGGTCATCGAGTACGGAGACGCGTTGACTTTGTCCGTGGATACAATGAAGTGCGAACTGCCCGCAAAGTCGGCGGGCGATCGTGCCAGGAGGCCACGGTAATTATCATCTTTGCTTGACCAGGCGAAGAGCGTCTGATCGTCCGATTGCTTCATGATCTCCTCCTGGAGTCGCATAAACGCCTTTGGACCCTCGCCGTACAACATCGGCATATTCACATCAAACAGTCCAATCAGGCTGTAGGCGATGTCCTCCACTTTGGTTGTCGTCCGCCCCGCGGCCCACGACATACGCTGGGCCACGCTGAAGGACTGCGGCTGGACGGTGCCGAGCAACACGTCCTCGTGGATTCCGGTAATTTCGGAGATTTCAGTCTTCAGCGTTGCCTTGGTTCCCAACGGTCGCCACGCCGTGTTGAAGAATTCTACCGCGACGGGCGCAAGGAGCTCCTGTAGGGTCCAGCCGCGGGTAAACCAGACACTGCGCTGGAACTCGCCGTCGCTAGTGACCGATGTCTGGGTGACATCAACCAGGTAGGCCAGACAGACAGCGGACTTGTGGTACCATTCGTACATGGAGTTTAACGACTCGGACAACTCGGCGCTGCTGGACTTGTCGATACAGAGGGTGTCGATCCAGACATATTCCAGGCCTCGCGACGCCGCCTCGGCACAGCACGACTCGACTTTGCCGAAGCCTTTCTTTTCCCGTGCAGTCCCGGATTCAATGTCGCGCAGAAGGACCTCCCCCTCCTGCCAGCGATGTGAGAAGACGGCATACGGCGGGATAGAATCATCCAAGAACTCATGGAGGTCCAGAGTCTTGGAGTGTAGGAGACGCATCGTTGCAGGATGTGTGAGATGGGAGAATATTTTCCTCGGGGCGTCAGCGGGGTCAAGTCAGGATTTATATATCCCCTTAGCTCCTCGTGTTAATCCTCGGCGTCGTATTAATTTACGACGCCATTCTCTTTTTGGCCCCCTTTTCGCGCTAGGAGGATCACGCTGGGCTTTAGACTGACATTTGGGCACGGTGCCTCTGAATACGAGGATCCCTGAGCCATCCGTTTGCTAATTGCTTCTTAGATAGGAAGGTAGTCAGGTCATTTGGTCAAGGTAGACTTTAACACTTGGCGCAGTTTACAATCTAAATAAGGATGATCGAGCAATAAACCTGGCTGTGGTAGAGGTGGAAGACTGATATCCTAGAATTATCCAAACACACTAGGGGTGTCAATGTTGTCAACTTGGAGGTAACGCCACCAGCGGAGATGCGGAAAGTCTGTATAAACATCGATGTCATGATGATCGAACATGCCGTTCCGCTGATGTGATTTCGGACATAGAAGCCCCAACTCCCGGTCAACTTGACCCTTCCCCGTACGTACATCAACAGGGCACAGGGAGCGTGGGATCTATTGCAAAACCACACATCATGCACTGCAATCCGGATACAGAAATAGTCCATGGACGCCTTCTGGAAGATATTCTAGCTCCCGAGAATAGACAGAAGGGTAAGCAGGTGGACGGAATGCCCAGTGGTATGGAGCTGGCAGTAACGCCCGTGATGGATGATGTTCTCACGGCTGGAATCTCAAGTCCGGATCGAACCCTAGCTATCAGCAATGCGATGGTCACGGACGGCAACATCCTCGCCTCTATCTGCCACGGTGAGAACGTGACCGAACAGGATCGCCTGTACGCCGCGACACTGGATGACGATGATGATGCCCGTGATGCACCAGCACCCACGCCCAACGAACCAAACTTTGACAATGGGGTGGCCGACGACAGTGTCTTGGGGTATGTTATGGACCGCCTGGATTTGACACAAGAAAGCGGCGCCGGCGAAGGTCCGTCGCATCGGCCATCTTCCCAGCAGGCGCCCGCCATGCTCACCGAATGTGTCTCTTGCATGGAGCAGGTCGAGACCAGTGGCATGCTTTTGAGCGCCTGTGGTCACAGCTTTTGCCTCGACTGCACGCGGCAGATGGTCCTCGGGATTATCAAGCAGGAACAGTTTTATCCACCGCGATGTTGTGGATACATCATCCCCCCGAGCACGGCGTTGCGGGTCCTTAACTACGAAGAGTTGTGCGGGTTCAGCGACCGAGTCATGGAATACATGGCCAAAGACCCCATCTACTGTGCGGTCCCGACGTGCTCCAAGTTTATTCCACCCTTCGCCATGGACGATGATTACGGCACTTGTCCCGCCTGCCGGCAAAAGACACATCTCTCCTGTCTGTCCCTAGAGCACCCCGGTGTGGACTGCCCCACGGACGAGACCCTGCAACGTGTGCTCGCCATGGCCAACGCAGCGGACTGGCAAAGGTGCTTCCATTGCCGCACGATGGTGGAGCTACAGCAGGGATGCAACCACATAAGATGCCGGTGAGTGAAGAATCCTGCTCCAGTCTTCCAGATGATCACCGGCGTCCCATACTCACTGGGGATCCTCAGATGCGGTTGGGAGTTTTGCTGCGCCTGCGGGCAGGTGTGGAAAACCTGCTCTTGTTGTCTCAGGTACACACCGAACGACGCATCGAACCGGCCATCAGGTGGTGCAGGAGGAAGACGTGGCCCCTGAGACGGCTCCGGACGTCCACATTCGCGCTTTTGATCAAGTCCTGGAGGACCTGCTCAACCACGAAGATGTCGGATGTGAGCATCACCGGAACCCACAGGGAGCTTCGAGAGTGAGGTTCGCAATCACGACCGGCCCGAGTATATCTTAAGTTGTAACATTTGACGAATGCGGGCATGCAATCGCTGTCGCCGGCATCGTCTACGATAGCGGTATGGTAATGGGACCCTCTCCCTTGATTGATTCCAGTTATGTGTGAGTGCACGCAGGGCGGCCCAGACAGATTGATGACAGAAATGCACTGTGCACTACCTATACAGAATCACTACCGTAATCAAGGGTGCAATTTACACCCGACACACGGAGCCGGTGCCTCGGTACTTTCATAGATGTCCGGCCGAGGCGGCCCTGCCACATTTAAATACCCCACAGCCCCCTTGTCCAGGCGGAATATGGCATGGTCTACAATGGTATATGTGCCTGGCACAGTCATCTTCATGTCGACGATCGTCGCGCCACCGGAGGGCACACTGGTAGTTTGGACGTACCGCGCCGGCGGACTGAGCACGTCGGCATCGCGGTACAGTCGGTGGAAATTACTCCCAATGACGTGGAATGAACTGGTCAGGTTGGGCCCCGCATTGCCAAAGTAGATGCGCACCGTCTCGTCCAACTTGGCCTTGAGGGGGTTCTCAATCGTCACGGCACCCTCGTGGCCATTGAAAACGACCGCTGTGGGGCTCTCGTCCAGTGCATTTGGGTACGAGAATTCGACAACGGGGGAGGGGCGTCCGTTATCCATGATCTCGGGCGGTTCGCAGTAGAATTCACTCTGCATGATGAAGTATTCCCGGTCCACGGGGGGCAGGTCCCCCTCTTCGGGCTGCACGTAGATGAGACCGTACATGCCGTTGGCGATGTGGACAGGGACGGGGGCCGCCGCGCAGTGGTAGACGAACAACCCGGGGTATGCCAGGTGGAATCGCGCCGTCTTGGTCTCACCCTCCGATGCGGTGGTCACGCCCGAACCACCGCCGGGTCCCATCACGGCATGACAGTCAATGTTGTGTGGGTTGCCGGATTCGTCGCGGTTGGTCAGCGAGAGCTCCAGGACGTCGCCGACGCGCGCACGGATGAACGGAGCGGGCACCCGGTCGTTAAAAGTCCACATCTCGTACTTGTGTGTACTTGTCAGCTGCATCGTCTTTGTCGTCGTCTCGAGCGGAACTTGTAAGACGACTGGGTGGTCGCGCGTGATGCGGGGAGGCACATTGGGCGCGGCGGTGAGAATGGCTTGCTCCGTGGGGAAGTCAACCTCCCCCAGATGACCTTTTGATCCAATGGGTTCCCGATAGTGCTCAGGGTCAATCGTTCGTGGCACTAGGGTAGGGTCCACACCGGGCACGAGTCCCTCCAGGGACGCGGTGCCTTGCTGTCTTGAGTATATCGCCCAGGCCAGGATTGCCGACGTCGCCAGGGGGAGGAGGTATCTCCACCGACTGTACTCCTTCGGCACTCCATCCTCCGTCTGCACCTGCCTGGAAGAGAATAAGCTCCGACTGATGCACACCCCTCGTCCGGGGCGGGAACAATGTCGCGCCGTCGCATTCCAAGAGCGTCCCCGGCAATAGACGGGGACGCGATGGGCAACCCCCTGCTGGAAGGGTCCCCAAGCGTAGCGGATTGGTGGGACAATGGCACGCATGATGCAGATAGTCAATTCAACATCGTACAGATAATCAATCCCATACGGGAAAACGTGCTGGTCGTGGAAGATGGTGACGACGCGTCGCATTTATAAGGTCTCTTGCGAATTTCCCGATCCGGGACCGCGATACTACCCCACATCCGCACCAGGTGCAACCAGCCGTCGTGATGTCACCGTCGGGCGGCCAGACTGAAGCCCCAAAGTTCAACCATGGCTCTGCCTCGCACCAGGGGGGTTTCTCCTCGGAGGTTCTGCGTGATGGACGGGGATCTGCCTCGTGGTGTGGGGTTGAACATCCAGATCCTTAGGCTCGGTATCAGGGATTCATCTCCGACGTTCGAAGGCCTAACTAGCATATACTTTATTTCCAAGCTGTAGGTCTATTCCATCCATCTGATGGGTGTGTTTCCGTGGTATGTTAGCCTAGAGGTTGTTGCTTTGTCGAGGGTTGATGGTCCTGCGAACATGCTCCCCATAGATTAATTGTAGTTGGATCTTGTGTTGAATAAGTGTGAGCATCGCTAGGAACCAGGGAATTAGGGCATAAATTGTTGGGTATATCAGTCAGGTCAAGCCCTTTACCAATTGTTGGTAAACACCTTGGCGTAGCGGTCATGATATGTTAGCCGGGTGCATGTTTTACAGTTCAGTTGGTAGCATACCATGCTTGTAGTGACCAGCCCTACGCTTGGCATCAACTGTTATATCTAAGCTGGATCCAGATCATTTTTGGCTAGGCTATTCTATCTACCACGTAACATACCTGAGAAGTTTGTTCTATTGGTGGAGCATTGATACTCGCGGGCATATATCAATAGGCGACTAGCACAATGATGTTATTTAATGAGCGGATAATGTCCTAACACGGTATCGTCTCTTTGACATTTCTATCCTACTTTATGTACTTGTAGTAAAATTATTACAGAGATTTGCTAAAAGTCAGCGATTGTAGTGATATGCCAAAGTGAAAGTATCAATCCATGATGTCTACAACTGGTCTGCGTGTTATATATATATCAGCCTGAGACTAGGGTATATTTACGACGATTATCCACAATATGTTGTTGCCTGAATTAACCTCCCTTCACTTCAATTGTTGGGCAGATCTAATGTTAACATTGATATATTGCTAGAAACAAGCACCAGGATACATCACTATGACGTCCCGTCTGTTGTTTGGCAGCGGCGACCCGGCTACGTCATGGCCAAACATGGCCAAACTCCATCTATAAATGTCGGTTGATCAACCATAGATATCAGCATTAAATTGTTAATAATTGATATACCCATCGAGATATTTCTTGATAATACTCTGTTATAAGTATTCTAATCCGCTACTTCTGTAAAGTTAAATCGCATACCCAAATATGTCGGATCAAACCCCAGCCACAAGCGACGGATCCTCGAGGTTTACGGTAAGCCATTGTCCACCCCACTATCGATGTCCCAACACAAACTCAGCTGTTCATACTGATGACACAAAATACTCCAGATCTCCTCCGATTTCCCCAATCTCCACAACCAGAAGGAGTCCGACGAACTACACTACGATGAACGCACAAAAGAAGCAGCAGGCCTCCAACCCCAACGAGATCAACACACGTGCGAAACAGAAGACCACTCCTTTCAGGGGACCAAGCCCGGTCAGGAGTCGGACACTTTGCCGGGGTGGGAGACGCTGAAGGACGGGGTGAAGGGGATGGCGGGGTCTCGTTGAGTGGGTCTTTCTCGTATGTCGAAGGATGATCGGACAAGGTGTATGTACAGCGATGATATGAGATTTGTATATTGTTTTGAATTGTGTGAATACGCAGCGGAAGGTTTAATCGAAGGTGGGTAAGGCCTGTCACAGAAATGGTATTGATAATAGCCGCCTGACAAGAGACTAAATGGATTACTACATCAATAGCTATCTTTCTGAGAACTAGAAGAGTGCTGAACGAGGCTAAAGAAAAAAAGAACAGTGTCCACGGTTACTTCTGCCGCGCGAGTTTCGCGCGGTAAGCCGGTAGTGTCACGGCATCTGCGCGCCCACCGTGTTCAGCTTCCGCATCGAATACGAAGAGCGTTACATCTTCCACCCCATAGGTCGTCGTATCGAGCGTGCCCACCCAATCATTGACATCGTACATCTGGGAGACGAGTCGCGTTCCGGGCAATCCGTTCCCGATGGATGGATCAGTGAGGGAGTACGCTCGGAACGCCACCTGCGCGGGCGGACCGGACTGAGCGATCGTCGGGACTAGTCGAACGCCCTTCCCCCCGACTAACTTCGAGATAATGGGGACCATGTCAGTTCCATTGCTGATCCACGACGAGATCGCCAGGCCAGGCGCCCCCTCAGACGATGTGGGGATCGACAGCGTCACGGACGAGTTCAACCCGTCCACCGTGGACCGGTAGGAGCCAGCAAAACGTTCGCGGGCTTCCTCCGCTGCCTGCTCCATCAATGCGGGAACGATGGCATCGATGACCAGGTCCGCCAACCAAGGGACCGCCTTCGTGGGTTTATCAGTACTGCCGCCTAGGATAGTGAAACCCGTGTCAAAGTCCGGGAGGAGCACAAGAATGGCGGTGTACGGGCCTGAGTCGCCCAATTTGGTGTAGATGTCTGTGACCACGTGGGAGTCGGGATGGACGTAGCGGTAGATCTCCCATGGCTGCCCCAGTGAGTACCGTAGATCGGCCGTGTGTGCGACCGGCTTCATCCACTTGCGCGTGCGCGCAGGCGAGAGAAGCGTCGAATTGAGGATTCCCCGACCAAAGCCTTTCATGTCATTTAGCGTCGAGAAGACCCCACCAGACGACTTGGAGATGCCGCCGTCGAGAGCAAAACCGGCCTCCGCGGCGCCGGGGATGACCGACCGTGCAATGAGTTTCGGATCCTTCGGCGGACTCGAGAAGGTGGAGTCCAGACCCAGGGGCTTGAATATGCTCTCCTGGTACACCTGGTCGATGGATTTTCCGGTCAGTTTGGCGATGACGACTCCCAGAAGGACGAAGCCATTGTTCGAGTAGACAGGGCTTGCCCAGGGGTTGAATTCGGGAGTAATTGTGGCGATCCCCGCAATGTAAGCTTCCGGTGTGCACTTCGAAATGTCATTCTGCATGCAGGGGTATCGAGCCAGTTCCTCCGTGAGGTTCAGTGGGGGCAAGCCAATTGTGACCGGGTCGACTTCGCCGCCCATCAGCAGATCGGGATGGAAGGGCACGCCCGCACGAGGGATACCCATGTGGGCCGCAAGGGCCCCGGCAGTGACCTGGTCCCACTGGATCTGATGAAGCGGCTGGGGGGCCTTCTGGTTCTTTTGAGTGAGGTCCTTCAGGGCCGGGAAGATCTCCGTCAGCGGTCGTTCCCAGTCCCCCGCATCCAGTTCCACTAGGCCTGCGAGGACCGTGAAGAGTTTGGTGACACTGGCGATACGGTAGATACTATCCGCATCGACTTCCTTCACGCCGAGGGAGCCATTCAACGTGGTGGGCGCTGTGTGGTGGTACTGGAGGGTCTCGGCGTCGGGATCCTGGAGGGAGAACATGCCCATGGAGAAAGTCAAATTCTTCAGCCGTTTCACGGTCGCATTGGCTGCCTTGTCGTCCTGATTCAAGGCCTTGTCCAGGGACGCGGTCAGGGCGTTCCAATTGGTTGCCACGCGACTGGACTTGGTACTTATGTCGCGGGGAGCGGGATAGATGGGCCCCCGAATGTCGGCGAGTGTGCCTGGAAGGCATAGTGACAGGATGGTGAGACCTTGCGAGAGGAATCTCATAGTGAGCACAATGCAGTAGGAGATGAATGGTTACAGAATATCCATGTTTCAATGTGATGTCCATTGTCTACTTATACACACTCCCTCCAGGTTATCCTCGCTGACCCAGAGGGTTGATGACCTCATTTTTAGGCTCCGGGCAGTGCATCGGGCGCTGTATCTCCATAGCAGGCGGTCCCGGTGGAGATGGATGTAGATGACAGACCAGCTCATGCAGACAGACTGACGGAGATGATAGGTCCCAGATGAGGCTATTAGGGCCAAATCACCACAACACGTAATATTATAAGAGGGACGATCCCGTGGACACGCTAACCCAATCGGGTCCTACGCGGCGCTGGCCCCCAACGGGCATCCACATTGTTGACCTGAATAGTAACATCGTCACGACCTCGCTCTTGGAGTGACGCAGCCGTCCAGGAAACCAAGGATTGCCAACGCACGGTCATATTCCCGATCCGCCTGCTATGCGCCAATCTTGACAGGTTTAGCCAGAACAATGTTGACGATCATTGCCAAATGAGCAGTTAGTGTCCTTCTAGGTCGCTTCTTTTCACTTGCACTCGCCCGATGTCTGAGGACCGGAAGAGCCGAGCCTCTGGGGACTCTGAAATAAACACTCTTCCGTCTTTCATCGGATTTCTGGTCGGATAGCATCTCGGAATGGTGGATACAGACCAGACTCAGAAGATTACCACTACTATGTCTCAGCGTTCGATTGCGTTTCAAGAGGGGGAAGATTATGGTGGAGAAGTTGGCATGATTCAAATAGATAGCTCGAAAGGAGAAACAGGTGATGGGGCAGTCAGGTAATATGGTCCCTGGTGGTATCTCTGATCGGCTTCCCGATCTGACCAAGTTTTTCAACGCCATCCCCGATCCGTCCGTCCATCCGTCCGTCCTTCCATCTATCCATGTCAAATCCCTTTGATACTCCGTATCAAATTGCATAGCGAAACTCGGGATTCTCCCGGTCCGTCAGGTCCAAGAACTCGTGGTTCTGTGGTACGACATACGCGTCACCCAATGCCTCCTTCTCGCGATCGCGTCGGCGGTTCTCCCGGATCGACACCCAGCGGATCAACAGGAGATCAAGTGTGACAAGGAAGTACAGGACCACAATCGAAATTTTGGCCGGAAGGTACTTGGGGCCGTCACTGGATTGGAAGGTCTGTGGGGAGATGATGTTTCCGACCGTATAGGCGATCGTTTGGATGCACGACACGGTGATCTTCTTGGTTGACCCGGCCACGTTGGTGCTGGTGAGTCCCAGGATCGTCGTCCAGCCGATGGGGATTCCCCCGGTCAAGTAGAAGCCCACCAGGGCTCCTGCCTTGTCCGTCGTCGCCATGAGGATTGCCCCCACAATCGCCGGAATGTGGCCGACAATACACCAGAACAGTCGTTGGTCCGTTTTCATACTAAGGTAGGTGAGTCCCACCAGCAGGACCACTTCGTACGCTCCGAGCGGCGTCACGAGGAGCAGACTCTGCCGCTGCGTGTAGCCCATGCCGCTCACCAAGATATTCCCGAAACTGGTGGCGGTTGAGTTTGGTATATTGGCCGCGAACACCCAGAAGGCGTACAGCCAGGTGTGAGGATCAACCAGAGCCTCGTAGACCTGTGCCGGTTTGAACACGGTGCTTCCGATGCCCTGCTCGTTCGCTCGAAGCCGCTCGGCATGTAGGGCCTTCTCTTCGGCGGAGAGGAATCGGGCCGTGACTGGCGAATCGGGCAGAATGAAGAAGAAGAGAACGCCGGTCACGACGGTGAACAGACCGAGGATCAGGAAGATGACTTGCCAACCCCGTAGGGAGGCGTTGGGGTCGCCCCCGATGTGGACGGCCACCCCATAGGCAATGTAGCCTCCGAGCATCTGGGCCCACCCGCACATGGAAAACCAGACACCAACGCGGAAAGCCTGCTCTTCCTTGCGGTACCACTGCGAGGTGAAGACCACCCAGGCGGGCACCACGGCCGCCTCCATGGCGCCCAGAAGCGTGCGACAGACCATCAGCGACGCAAACGATTGACAGGCCGCCATGCAAGCCAAGATTATTCCCCAGAGGGTCACGTTGACGGCGACGTAGCGCGCCAGGGGGAAGGCCTGGATGAGGCGCATAGTCGGGAATGAGAGCGCCAGCTGGCCAAAGAAGAACATGCTGGACACCCAGTTGAATTGATTGCCGTGGAGATTTGTGGACTCGCGCATTCCCGTCACACTGGCGTAGCTGATCGCGATCTTGTCCAGGTACTGGAGGAAATACACGACGCAGATCAACGGCATGACGTACAGGTCGATCTTGCGCACCAGGCGCCCCGATGCTTCAGGATCTAGGCTGTTGCCACGGCCACCTGCTGCCAACAACTCGAGCGCTCCATCGCCGCCGCTGGTTTGGACGGCGGGTGATTTCTCATCGGAAGAGACGTGCGGTGGTGGAAGGTGGTCCACTTGGGATGGCTCCGGGGATGCCATGTTCACGTCTAGTTTCCCGGGGCCGGGAGTGAGTTCGATTTGATTTTTTTCGTATCCTTCGAAACGCCGAACCGCGCTGATGGATTCCCGTTGATCTTTAAATCGATTTGGCCTCTTGTCCCTGTCGATGGCGCTGCACTACTTCCTGAGCACGCCATCGCCGGATCGGCCCCTAGCCGGCAGTTTGAGTCATTTTTGGTACGCTTGACTATGGTTTTCCCTTATTTCTTTCCGGCCATCGCTCGGGTTGATAGCTCGGTGGGGGCCGCGATAAACTCGGCTTGGTCTGGGCTTGGCACGGAAAAGTCCTCCATGGACCGGGGACGCCCGTCACACTGGGACACCTTATATCAGCGACACCAGTCTACATCTCACCGAACTCTGAGATGTCAAGTATTATCGGAGATTGGTAGACACGATAGTTCGATTTTTTCAGCCATGCGTTCTGTGTAGAATTGAGTCAATGATGGTGCAACCTGACCATTAATATGATCTAAACCCGCCAAGTCCCCCCAGCTCAATCTTTTTCTAAGCCGTCGGCTGGTACCGAAGGCGACTAGCTAGCTGTCTAGGCCCGCTTTTCACACGGGGGAGCGCAACGTGGCCGATGTCGGCTTATTGGCCAAAGTCTACATACATCGGGGATAGATACGGTGCGGTTGAGATCTTAAGATCCCGAATAACACTGAATTTTCTAGCCACCTGTGGTTGTGGATTTTTCAATTCTTGACTTGTGCCCAAAACTCAATATAGGTAGAATTGCTGTTCACCTTTTGGCCTGTCCTTTGGTATAGAACGTATTGGTACGACTGCGCCATGCATAACACATGGGAATTGCACTCTACCCTATGTTCAGCAACCAGGCAGCTCCAATAGGGCTGTTATATCAAGATTTTGGGCAATGTAAGTGACACTGATGAATCAACTCAGTCGTCATCCAAACTTTAATCATAACTCGTATCAAATTCAGCTCTATGTCGTGGACCTCTGAGCGCCAAACCGCCGAGCGTCCTTGAGAATCGCATAAGTACACCGTGCGGAAATTCGTGCCAGAACCAGGAACCAGGAACAGGGTCTAGTCATCCATCAACGGCATTCCCGTCCATTCGACGGCCTCCTCAACCGGCTCTTCTGACGAACACCGCTCACACCGACACACAAATCGGAATGATTTACGCAGGTGTTCCCGGCGGGTGTTCAAGTCACCGAAACGCGTCAAGTCGAAGTACGAGATGCAGCACTCTTCACCGGGCAAGATATCTCGAGATGCGGTAAAAACCATACGGCCCTGAACATCCGGTTTGTGCGATATCTGGAACACACTTAGCATTTCAATCTTCCCCCAGCCAGAGGGCAGTACATACGTTGGGCAAGCAGGAATGGTTAGCGATAGCCGCTACCGCATATACAGCCGCTGCAAACTGCTCCCCTCGGTCGACCGGCGGGTGGGGGAGGGGAAAAATCCCCGTTTCTCGCGGGTAGAGGCCGAAGGAGTTGGCCTCCTCCTGGCAGATGAGATGCAGTATGCCGTCTGTTGGGTGACCATGCGGTAGGATCGGGCTGCTTCGGAGATACTTCTTCACGAGGGTGCTCCATGCCTTGACCTGTTCGTGGGACCACGTATCCTGCGACCCGCACAGGGATTCAATGGCATCCCACCCCTGCTTGAAGCGCTCTTCTTTCCCTTGGGGTTCGCAATTCGCCGTTGGCGATGCGTGATGAGTGTGTCGCGTGGCCAATATCCGGACAATCAGCCACAACATGCCAAAGTCGTATTCACCCCATTTGGCCCGGATCGGGCCCGCATATCTCTTGAGCCAGAGACATTCAAAACCATGGCGCAGGGTGTCGGCATTCCGACAGGCCTCGCCGCACCAGACGACGTCAGCGATACAGGCATTAGGGCAGGGCACGCGCGTAGGGCAACTCGCTCGACTATTACATGTGGGATTGCTGCAGAGGAGGTTGTCGTTGGAGGCCGGCTCATCAACGACGGGAATGATCGCGTAAGGGTGATCGACAAGGAGGCGCTCGCCTTTCTGGACAGGTCCAGAGACGCGGAACTGACGACCTTTGTCCGGGTGCACGCTTTCCATTAAGTGCGGGTGAATCCACTCTGCCTGGGCGGAGGCGTTCCCATCTCCCTGAGCCCGGTCGGGAGACTCGACAGTTATATATACTACCTGGGACATGGTGATAATCGTAGTGATAGAGGGAGCATACGTGGGGGAGGGAAAACTGGGGAAACTACTCTGTAGAGCCCAGGGCAATGGGCTTCGATGGGGCTGGCATTTCGCATGCATCCGCAAATTTTTTTTTCATTTCGCTGTTTGCTAGACCCGGAGTTTGGCCTTATCCAGACACTTTTTGTGGGCTCTCTGTGGCCACTTGGACAGAGCGGGTCAAGTTGCCATAGTGGGTCGACAGCGGGTGGCCAATACAATGGCCATGATAGCCCCCGAAAGTGCGGTTATCGCAAGCGGTACCAGTTGATTGGCGAGGAGATCAACACTTCAAGCGGGCTGGATATAATTGGTTCGGGGCGTCTTGTCCCTTGCCTAGAACAAGTCTGGGGCCTCAGGCTGGCTATGCCGACCTGCAGAATGCAAGTTCGTCAGTATGTATGAATTTCCTGCGAACGCAGATGTTTGCGTCGCAAGGGCAGAGCCCCCAGCGTGTTGTTTTGGACATGGGACTGCCAACTGGTAGGCTGATTTTGGTATTGTGCCAAATCGTGCAGTTCGGGTGGCTTCAGGTGTTGATACGACCAAACCTACTGAGACTCAAATGACGGTCGAAAGACTTGACAGATTTTAGATGCGCTTAGAGAAATACATACCTGTAGATGACAGCTACATAGTCAATCAGTCACATCTGGTCAGTGGCCGAATTCCAACGGCTCAAATCAGGGTCTGGAAGCGTTTGCATCCCATGCAGGTCCGAATCCCTTCCATGGCACACCACTCGACAGCATTTGCGGTGGACTTTGTTGATTTCTGCTATCACTTCGGTGGCGCTATAATAGTATCGCAAAGACAAAGTACTACTGGACGCTGCCGATCATAAAGGCAAAGTCCAACACCCATTTTTGGATCGATGTCGACACATTCGGATAATCTGATCGATTTTGGTTTCTAAAAATTGTAGACAATCATTTCCTTCTCTCGGATCCTTCAAGCCAAGAAATGAAGCTAATAGCCCTTGCGTTTGAGAGCGTTGGAAACGAAATTTATCCCCGCACGTCGGGGATGGTGTGATTGCGTTCCCGGAAGATGTCATTATCCCCGGTACGCAGATAGCTGTCCACATAGGATATCGAAACGTTTGTACGAGAGAGAGAGTGAGAGTGTGTGTATGCTCAACCGTGTCCAAGACACTGTTATTCTTGTAATCCATGGTTCTGGGTCATTAGACACGCGTGCGTCACCAAAGGCTTGGATTCCCCGAATTCAAGGGACTTGAATTTGGTTGCGATTGCCTGGATAAGGGCGAGTTGAATGCCATGCGACAGGACAGGTGTAAGTGATATGCCACAATAAACGATGGAGACGATTGGCTTCGATGTGTAGATGTTGAGAGCCTGCCACTGTCAATTATCACGCCTTCGAGTGCTAGATTCAAATGAACATGTGAGACAGTACCAAGTACTTTACTCACTCGATCAGGGCCAAACCACTAAACCTGCGAATAGCTATCCTAACCCAGGCAGGAAATAGAATTGAATATCCAATCCTAAAAATCAATTGACAGCACGCGTGTTTTCCGCGTCCCATCTGCTGCAGAGCACCCGTGGTGACGTCTTCCTCGACCCCTCGCTGAAACGGCGGCGGGATAAACACAATGCATACTCGATTGGACTCGCGTAGCGCGCCGCGATGATGACATCTGTGCCGTATCCCGAGACCAGATAACGAAAGGCGCATGGGCCAGAACGCGGGATTCATCAGATCCATGCAGTCGCAGCTAGAATCAAGATATATACCCCGCGATTGGCTGCTAGGGCCAGTTGCGCAACCAGGCTAGCGGATCGTCCCATCGTCCATGCGCCAGACTGTCAACAAGGTCACTGAATGGCGAAATCTGACATGATTGCCCGCGACGATGGCGGAAGACCCTGAATGACATATACGACACATTCATGGCACGATGCCGATATATCCGGTCGCGTAGCATGCTCTCAGCTGTATGGACAGAGATGGAGTCATCTCTGGGCGCGAGGCGGGGTCGAAGACGGATGGTATATTCGCACAAGAGATAATTCTCGCCAAGCGAGGGGGAATGGCGCATATAAATACGGGCGACATTCGCCGTCAAGATGCTATGTTTGTATAACCAACAGCATTGAAACATCATCTGCAAAATGGCAACCTCTCTTACCGAAACCGCTCCCACCGTGGACAGCAAGGTCTCCCTTCAGGGCACCGCGCGAGAGCCACTCAAGCCCAGCGGGGTTTTGGATGCGTTCGAGTCCTTCGAAGTGACTCCCATCATCGGCCGGGAGTATCCCAACGCGAGCCTGAAGGATTTCCTCCGCGCCCCCAACTCGGATGACCTGTTGCGCGACCTGGCCATCACCAGTAAGCAAGACATGTACCATTCTTCCATGAACACAATGAAGCTGACCCATCCCAGTCTCCCAGCGGGGAGTGGTGTTCTTCCGAAAGCAGGACGGCCTCGACGACGACCTGCAGAAGGAGCTCATCCAACGTCTCGGAGAGCTGTCCGGCAAGCCCAGCACGTCCGGGCTGCATATCCACCCGATTGCGAACTCCGAGCGCGAGCACAGTGTCAAAGACAACGAGATCAGTATCATTAGCTCGAAGCAGCGACAGACGCTGTACAAGGATCGCAACACACGCCGGCAGAGCTCTCGCCGCGAGTGGCACAGCGACATCACTTTCGAGCCTGTGCCGGCCGACTACACCATTCTCCGCCTGACGGAGCTCCCTAAGACTGGTGGTGGTAAGCATGACAGCCCAGCCGCTAGCGTCTTCACTGTTTCAGAGATGGCTAATTGGCAACAGACACCTTGTGGGCCTCTGGATACGAGGTGTACGACCGCATCTCGGAGCCGTACCAGAAGTTCCTGGAGGGCCTGACTGCGACGTACGCCCAGCCGGGCTTCAACAAGGTCGCCGAGGAGAACTCCTTCAAGGTATTCCACGGACCTCGCGGGGCTCCCGAGAACGTCGGCGATGCGCTGAGCGCCGTGCACCCTGTCATCCGCACGAACCCCGTCACCGGCTGGAAGAGCGTGTTCGCCGTGGGCTCGCACTGCCAGAGGGTGAACGGAGTGACCGAGGAAGAGAGCCAACATCTGCTCAAGTGGTTTGTGACGCTCATTGTGGAGAACCACGACCTGCAGGCGCGGCTTCGCTATCAGAACCCGAATGATCTTGGTAAGTCCACATCATTCTTGGAAAGGAACACTTTTGCTGATTGTTGTTGGTAGCCATCTGGGACAACCGCTCCGTGTATCACGCCGCCACCTGGGACTACGAGAATATTGGCCCCCGGACTGGCCACCGTGTTGTTGGTCTGGGCGAACGGCCGTATTTCGACCCGAACAGCAAGAGCCGCCGGGACACGCTGGAGCAGGAGGCGTAGTTCATCTTCCATTGCAGACTGGGTGGTCTCTGGGAAGAGTAAGATCGGTGGGCTGGATATTTCAATGATTATAGTTAGTATGTTTGTCCTCATGAATGAAATATACTCTTGAATTTCATCCTGCATAGTCTGGACTGTAGCGTACGTACCCAGTCCTTCCCCAACAAGACTATGCATAGAGTGATGGTGGTTATGGTGGTTGGGAAAGAAGAAAACCCGCAGAAGACGCAGTGACAAGCGCGGGCTGCTGTCGCAGTCAGCTGACATGGCCGCTGGTTTTCCCAATCTACACCCTTCGTTGATGATTAGTCCTTCTCTGTTCCATATAGCTAAGGATGTTAGATTTATTGCATTCTTGTGAGAACGAGACGGTGACCCGAGTATACTAGATAAGTGATTGATCTAAAAACCTAAAGTGGGATAGATTATAACTCATTGCATGTAGATACCCATCACGGATCCCTGTGAAATTATAAAAAAATTGATGAAATGTATATTGACTAGCCAAAGGTATATCCAACCGCATTTATACAATCCCCACTGCGGCCATGAACGGGGATGACAAGGAGAAAAAAGCGCATGTACAGGAAAGAAAAACGATCCGCCAAAACAGGCGGATCCACGAGAACATAACATGGTGGGCGCATCTCACCCACCCATAATCATCCACGCGACAAGACCGATCCAGCCCCCGGAGAACAGGATGGTCAGGATCGATGCACCGGCCTTGTCGCCGGCGGTAATTGCCGGCAGCTTGCCACCTTTACCGCCTTTACCGGAGCCAGCGTTGGGGTCACTGCTGCTCTTGCCGCCCGTGTCGGAGGTGACGGGCACCTTATCGGGCATGTCCATCACGAGGAGAGAGGTGATCACATCCGTAGCGATGACCTGCTCTTCCACTCCATTCCAGCCGTCCCACTTCTTCTGGTACCACCGCACGCTGCAGGTGTTGTTGTTCATGCCGGAGCAGGACGCGGCCGCGGCTTCGGCGGAGGCCTGCAGCTTGGGGAGAATCTGGTCGTAGGTGGACGGCACCAGCAGGGCGACGTAGGCCAGCCAGCTCGTGACGAGGCCCTTGAACAAAATCTCGTTCTGATTACACAGCTCCTTCTCATCACACGGCTCGACGAGAATGTTTCCGCCGTACTTCTGGGGGAAGAATGTGCGGAGGGTGACTCTGAGGAGACCGTCGACGACCTCTTTCCACGAGTCACTCTCGGTCTGGTTGGGGTTAGCCGCGGGGGCACCGAACAGGTGAGGAGGAAGGCGAAACGCACCATATTATATAGATATGCGGCACCGCTGAGGTAGGTGCCGTAGTTGTAGGACCACTGGTTGTTGCCCATGGTCGAGCACCCGTCGGGGATGTCGGTCGAGTCGGCGACATTCCACGTCTTCTTATCGACTAGCGGCGACTCAGTGGACCAGTCCCAGATCTTGTGAGCCCAATCCGTATAGGTCTGATTGTTGGTGTAGCGGGCCAAACGGGCGGCCAGCATGAACAGGCCGCCGTTGGAGACGGAGTTCTTCATGTTGTATCCAGCCTGGTAGGGGAAGATCTGCCAGCGAAGGCCACCCCCGCAGTTCATCGTGTCCCAGCGGGCAGCTTGCGTATTGAACACGCCCTGGGCCAGCGACAGCCACGAATAAGAGTCCTCGACATCCGGGAACTTGATCTCGGCGGCCGTCATAGCCGCCTGACCCCAGAACATCTGATCGTCGTTGCCCAGGTAGCTACTGTAGTTGTCGGGCATGTAGTCTCCGTTCCCTGCCTGCCATTCCATGCCCTGGCTGACCTGATCGTTGTAGGTGGAATCGCCGGTGTAGTGCCAATAATAGAGAAGACTCATGAACAGAGCACTGCCTTCCCACCATTTTTCGGGGAAGGCACCGGGGATGCCTCCGGTATCGTTGCCCCCATACCAGCCCATGGATCCGAAGGCGGTCTTGCTGGCGGCATCTTTGATGGATTCTGTCGGACAGAACAAACTCGTCAGTACGATTCAACCCTAGTCGACGGAGGAGCTAGCCGAACGGATGGACGGGAAGAGGGAAGAGGATCGGGGATTTGCGCACGATGATCATTGACGTCGAGACTGATCGCGGGCGCCAGCGAGGAAAACAGCGCCGACCCGAGGATCGCCGATCGGAAGAGATTTGCGACCATGACGAGCAGTCGATCACTTACTCGGCGGAGAAGCGAGAAGAGCGAAGAAAGTCCAAGAGGAAGGAAGAGGGTTGATTTGGATGCCGCATGGGAGTCAATCAACCGAGCCGGTAAGGAACGACAGGAACGAAGACGAGCAGTGGTTGGCGAGAGAGACGGACGGACAGACCGACCGCGAGAGAGAGAGATCAAGAATTGCGCGTCCAAGTAACTGGGCGTCGAGGCACCAATCAAGGAAATGGTCCTGGTGGAACCAGTGGAGCCCATCCATGCTGGGAGTTTAAGCTTTGCCCAGACCGAGACCAAGACTTTTTAGCACCATCGAAGGATTCCGGGATTTGCATGCTCATCCATTGTCGATCGTACGTCAGCACGGGCTTATGATTTCCCATCCGCTGGAATGAGGAAGGAGAGTGACGAGAGAAGGAATGCCTGAGTAGGATGCAACAGGAGATGGGAAAAAAGGTGGGTTTCCATTCCTGTATCTCATTCCCATGAAATGACGTGGTGACTCAGCGATACGGTCTGAGTCAGCCATGCGTCATCCTTGCTCTTGACTCTTGGGTCAGGGGTAGCAGCGTGGTATGAGTACCTGGTGGCGAGTAATAAGATTATGGTGATTGACTGCAGGTTTGAAGAGGTAGAAGTTGTCCCTAGGTAAATTGCTGCAATGGTTCAGGAGATTCAGGGCAGCTGTGGTCATGTGCCTGTCAAACCGACTAACGTGATATATATATAAACATCATATAGACAGGGCTGAGACCAAACACGTGTAGACAATATAATATGATATCAACAACTGTAATGTATCTATCTATCAACCAATTGGACCTAGGGGCCATGGGTAGCACAGATCTATAAACGATGGCTCTAGCATGACACAGAATGAAGGTTACGACAGGTCACCACAAGCCAGCAGGGCTATTGCACGGGCTCGACCGCTGGCAAATTGACCTTATCCATGATCTTGCCGTGTTCGGCCTTTTTCTGAACCTCTTCATCCTCGTGTTCAATGAACTGCCGCGGACGCCGGCGGGAAATGACATCGGGATCGCCAACGACCACCAAGGGCGGGTCAGTACGGTAATACGCGTCGATATCTTCCAGGGTGCGGTTGGCTGTGATATGGTCAGCTAGTCAAGCAATTGAACAAAGTAGGAAGGGCGTATACCAGTCTCGGGGTAGAAAAAGTAGACGATCGGGAAAAAGACCGCGTTGAGGACGGTCCAGACAATGTAGAACCGCCATCCGATGTTCTGGATCCCGATAGGGGTGATTTCAACAATCACGAAGTTCGTGATCCTGAGGGCCGCCCATAGTCAGTTAAGGCTCTTTCGTTTATGTGGAAACTCAAGAAGATCCTACCAATCGGTTGCCGTGGCCACCGCAGCCCCCTTCGTGCGCATCGGTAACGAGTTGATCTCGGTCGGGTACAACCACGGGACTCCCAGCATGCCGATCCCAAAGGAGACGTGGAAAAGAAAGAAAAAGGCAATGGAGGCGGTTCCGTAGACAGGGTCGAATTCAGCGAAGCGCAGCAGGATAGTGATGATCAGAAATGAGGCGAACTGGCCGAAGATCGAAAGCAGCATCAGCCCGCGACGCCCAAACCTCTCAACGAGAGTGACGGCGAACGTGGCAAAGAGGAAGTACGAGGTCGCGTTGACGGCCGTCAGCAACCGGGCCATGGTGTTGGTCAGTCCCACCGAGTTTATCAGGACCATGGGGAGGTAATAGGACATCAAGTTGATGCCGCCGAATTGCTGCATTGCCTGGGAGCCCGCCCCGAGGAGTAGCCGTCGCAACGTCTTGGTGTCGTTGCCCTTGTCCCGCTTGAGCAGGTCCTTCCACGCAATGGCGTTTTGTCGCTCGTAGCTAATGCTGTACATGATCTCATCATACTGGGTCGTGATGTACGGGTCGTCGACGGGCTTGTCTTCGATGCAGGAGAGAACCTGCAGGGCTTCGCTTTCGCGGTCATGGGAGAGGAGCCATCTTGAATCAGTTAGAGAGCGTTCATCAGTGAGTCGACGCGATCCACAACTCGAAAAAGACCAACCTCGGGGACTCAGGAAGCCACGGGACCGTCGCATAGAGGAGGAAGATGAAGACGAATTGAAAGGCGATGGGGAAGCGCCACGCGACGGCTCCTGCATTAAAGGACAGACCATAGTTGATCCAGTTGACCAGACAGTATCCACCCACGTTCAGCCCCATCTCCAGAATGACCAACTTGCCGCGCCATCTAGCCTGCGCTGTCTCGGTCTGCCAGATGGGAGCTGTGGCAGTGTTGATGCCGTTGCCAACCCTACCGCGCGTTAGCACTACGATGAGACGTCGACAGATGCGGCCGTGGGGACTGACCCCAACACGATGCGACCCACAAACATCTGAGGCAGACTGTAGGAGGAGGCCTGCAAGATGGTGCCAATGCCCATGATGCTCGTGCCCAGGATGATGCTCATCTTGCGACCCAGCCTCTCCCCAACAGTGAAGGCGACGATGGCCCCGAAGAAGCACCCGATGTCGTAGATGGCGGTGACTGTGGAGAGCGTCTTGGTTTTGGAGGGCCCTACCAGGTCATGACTTTCGAGGAAATCCTGCGTGACGACGACGCCGGAGAAGACGCCTTGATCGTATCCGAAGAGGAGCATATCCGTGGAACAGGCGACCTAATTTGTTAGCAGACAGGACCCTGGAAAAAAATAGGAGATATAAACGTATAATAGATAGTAACAAATGGGAAAGATGTATACAAATCATGTATAGATAAACCAAGAACAAAACGCACCGTAATCCAAAAAGTTAGCCACCCCCCCGTGAGCCCAAAGTATGGTTTCTTTTCCCGAAGGATACCCATATTGATCACAACCAAAAGGAAGCCGTATTCAATTCCACAAAAACAAGGGTAATTTGAGATCCCCAGGGACTTCAGGGTCCAAGTCAGTATTTATACCGGATGGGACCGAGGCCGATCCCCCGGATCGCCAGACCTACCGATGCGGGGAGAACGCGGGGAAATCCACGAGGGCAGTCGGGTACAAACCTACTATCTAAGGTATGGATCCTCTCGACACGACCGGATCGTAAGTCACCGGCCGTTTGTTCCACCCGGTTAGGAGTTATTGGTGGATGGCGGCCAGAACCGCCGAGCTATGAGTGGTCTAAGTCGGATTCCCCCACACTAACTTTCCATGGCGGATCTACTTTATGGGTGGAAGGAGAAGGCAGTCACACACGGGAAAGGAAAGTGGAGACCCCGTTGAATTAACCGAGAGGGGGGAAGAAAAAAGGATCAAGGGTATGGAGAGGAGAAGGGAGGTTGGGGTCGGGACAAACAATGGTCTCCGGCATGGGGTGTCTCAAGCGAACACGACACTCCGTCGGGTACTTGCAAGTATGATGGCAGCAAACAAAGGGATGACACCGGGCAAAGAGCTACTGGTACATCATTGGAGCTTTGTGAAGTCTGACTTAGGGCATGCCCGTATATTTCAAGGCTATCCCTACTCAACATATGATACAACTGAAGGTTTATGCCACCTTCATTACCCTCTCGATTTTTAGAAGGCCCACATCCCTCTCCATACACGGTCATATTCGTGACACAAGCACTGAGCTATGGGGGATTGCTACTAACGGTGACTGGCCTATGCCTGGGTTTAACTGCAAGGGACCGCTTGAATATGACAAAAAGATGATGCCTCAATTGCGGTCCGGATACATACCAGAATTGTTGTTGGACCATGTAATAGTAGAAAGATTTGTGCCCGTTGTCAGTTAGACAGTGACATACACATATGAGGCAGATGGGGCAAGGGAATAGTGAATGACAGGATATTGCGTCCAGAGCACTACATGTCACTACTTGTCAGTTACTAGCAGCCCTATTCTCGCTGTCTGGTCATTTTATTTGAAGAGTTCTTTTCATAGCCTCTCTTATCAACTTACTACAGCAAAATATTGAACGGCATCTTGGTCAGGCTGGATATGACTGATATCCCCAACTTTTATCCTGACACAAGGTCATCCCTTCCTGTGTTCCTCTACCTATCAATGTATAACATCGATCTGGCAACATGGGTGAGCGAAGCCCTAGACAATGTGTCCACAATATCAGTCTCCCGCCTGCCATCAGTTGCATGTATCCAACATATGCACGATTCCCTACACCGTGGGCTCGTTTGGCAATACCGCCGTCGTGGATGGAGGGGGCCCTAATCTCTGGTCTATAGCGAATGTTTCCCTCGACGCGACCCTTGCATTCCAAGCGATGACTATCATTCGCCTGGAGCTATATGGCCCTGGTAGGTAGCATTCGTTATCGCACCAGCCTACTTGACCATGTCGCCAATGAATTACACTGTCTCAATATCATGCCAAGAAATGTATCGCAAAACGCAGAGAGAAGGTGATGGACTATGAACGTCCCGACTCGCCTTTCTAGTCCGCGGATCACCTGCTATGAGGGCAATGTTGCCAATATTCGAGACCAAGTAATCGCCCACAATGGGAAACCTCTCATGCGGTGCATGTGGCCTGGGGAGCAAGGATATGTCGCTGCTGTACTCAAAGAATTTGGGATATACAGTCTTCTTATAGACTCTGAGATGGCCAAGTTGGCAATACTGGTGTACAGCAAACGGAACATGGTCTGTCCTGCAAGCGTTGCCGCCACCGAGATAGCACGGGCGTGCCATATACCATTTCCATAGATCTGGTAGGTCATGGACCCCTGCAATAGCAAACATGGGCAATATGGGCTAGTTCATGCCGAATGATGGAGAGGTGGTGATGTACGTGTTGCTCCGCAATAGAACTTAGACCAGAGTGGCATCTTCTTTCCTCAACAAAGTCTTGCAGCGACACTGTCACCCGCAGCTCGTCGTTCAATTCGACTATCTGGTCCGAGGGGTTCGCAATCCCAACTAGCAATTTCTATAGTGCTTGATCCAATGACCGATCTATACGGGCTCCCAATATCTACTGGCCTGCGCATCTTCGCGAGTTACTTGCAGACGATTCGGGTGTTAAAGTGGATGTTATCGCCCTCGGCAACATCTGGAAGACCTAGACTGGCCTCCTTAATGCAAGCGAAGAGGTGTCTACACAGAATACAGGGAAAGTAGTCTGTTAATTCTCCCCCTAAAAATCATATGTCACGTTGGTGCTGTGGGTATTAAATACTCGTGGCACTATGTCCATCAATATCCCTACCACGAAGCCGTTAGAAGATTTGTATTAGCGGCTATGGTCACAGAAGGCACGGAGCCAACAAGAGGTTTATGGACGTCCGGTGCGAACAAGAGCTTGAGTACCACGACTCATCTCGCACTGGAGAAACGGATACTCCACAGGTGGAGCGAATGGCGTCGACTAACTCAAGACACGCAGCAGGAGCATCGCCGTCTCCATAATTGCGTCCAGAAAATGAGGAAAAAAGTAGTGGATTGGAAGGAGGAAGGATTATCCTATTATGCCATTCAATCGGAGTTGGTGGCCCTTCAAAACCAGGACCAGGAATACGTCACGGAATCAGCAAAGTCAGCATGATCATATTGGTTCCATACTGTCTATCGCGAGAAATCTTCATCGTCTCTGCGTCCGAGCGGAATCGAGAAATTCAACTCGGTACTATTCACCGTTAATATTTAGCACATGATATCATACACGCGGTGGAGTGGAGGAAATATAACATCAGCCTCTGTACTTTATTATCAAGAACCAACCGCACCGTAATCGAAAACGTCAGCCACCCCCCCGTGAGCCCAAAGTAGAATATAATGACCCTAATCATGATGGCACTGCTCAAGAATGGTTTATCTTCTGTCTATACTTGAATGTGTAAATCTCTATCTAATCGTTGGAACTCTCTATGCACAGACAAATACCGAATGTAATGCATAGAATAGAACTTAGTTGTAAAGATCCAACTCGTTGACAAACACCTCCCTGGGCTTGCTCAACGTACTCCGTCCACGCTTCACAAACCGCCCACATCCCTTCTGACCCACCAGGCCGTCGCCCTCCCGGTCCCAGACCACCTGGCCTCGGAGAATTGTATAGCGCGGCCAATTCTTGAACTCCATCCCCTCAAACGGCGTATGGTCGATATCATGGTGCAGCATCTCATTCACCAGGTGGAAAGGCTCCATCGTGTTAGCGCCATTCCCGGTCTGGGCGGCCTGTTCAGAAGTGGGGTACCAGATCGTCAAATCAGCATCGTATCCCGGAGCGATGGTCCCCTTAGTATGGAGACCGTATAGTTTGGCGGGGTTCGAGCTCGTCAGCTCCACGAACTTTTGAACTGACAGCCGGCCCGTCAAGACACCACCGGAGAACAGGCTCGGCAGTCTGGTCTCGACACCCGGCATACCATTGGGGATTTTAGTGAACGTTTCCGTGCCGGCTTTTTTGCCCATCGGGTGATCAAACCTAATTTGTCAGTCCGGTCTACCCAGATAGAGAGGGTTGGAGGATATACTTAGTTGGCGCGTGGTCACTGGAAAAGGTAGTGAACGTCCCGTTTGCGAGACCATCCCACATCCCCTGGAGATCGAGGGGGCTTTCACGCAGCGCAGGAGAACAAACGCATTTTGCACCCTCGAAACCTTCTCCCTTCAGGCGATCGCTCGTGAAAAACAGATACTGCGGGCAGGTCTCGCCGTGGATGGGGAGTAGACGTGTCTGGGCGTTGCGAACGTGCTCGGCTGCTTTTTTGGAAGACATGTGCACGATCAGGATCGGAATGTCGGCGAGCTCCGACAGTGCAATAACACGGTAGGTGGCCTCGTCCTCTGCGATGGGCGGCCTGGATAAGGCATGGCCGTAGGGCTCGGTTCGACCCCGCGCATGCAGTTTCTCCGTCATCCACTCGATCATTTCCGTGTTCTCGGCGTGGACCATGGTGGTCATGCCCAGGCGGCGGGTGGACTCCATGACTTCGAGGATCTGGCGGTCGCGTAGGCGCAGCGGTTGATAGGTCATGTATACTTTGACGGAGCTGATGCCGTCACGGACAATGACAGGGAGTTCGTTGTCCAAGATGTGCGGGGTGGGGTTGGACAGGATGAGGTGAAAGCCGTAGTCACAGTACGTGACGTCGTTCGCGCGGCGGTGGTACTCTTCGACGACGGGGAAGACGCTCTCATCGGCGCGGTTTTGGCTTGCAAATGCCAGTACAGTCGTTGTTCCTCCTGCAATGGCCGATCGAGTTCCTGACTCCCAGTTGTCGCCCGTCGGGAAGTCATCCTGCGCCAGGTGGACGTGGCTGTCGATGCCGCCGGGGAGGACGTAACCGCCTTGTGCGTCGAGTGTCGCTGCATGTGGAAACAGGGCAGTCAGGTTCTGCCCGAGCAGGACTATCTTACCCCCACTTATGGCGATATCTTGGTTGGCGACGACGTCTGAAGCCGTGGCCTGTTAGGGTTAGCCAAGTCACGGGTGTACGACATCGGGCGACCGTACAATGGTGGCATTGGTGACAATGAGCTCAATGGGTGCAGGCTCATTGCCCACGGTAACCTTCATTTCGACCTTCATTTTTGTTCGTGTGTGATGTGATGGTGTCTGTAGACTCCACGGCGACGCCTCGGCTATGAACCCCTCTTCTTATCTACACCGCGTGTGGGGAAGTTGTCGCGTCGGGCAACGCCGATAAGATAGACATCCCCACCGGGCATACGATACGACAGGATCGCCGAGGGAATCCTTCGAGAGAAGCGGAGAAATGTCCGAGATAGGGGCGTGGAGTATATCTATTAGCAATGATAGACACATTCTGCCCCGCCTCGTCATACCCATTTTGTCACCGTAACGCTCACCCACAATGTCTCGCATCGTCCGCGTCGCCGCCGCCCAGATGGGCACGACTAACGTCTGGGATGCCCGTCCTGATACCCTGAATCGCATGATCGCGCTGCTGAACAATGCTGCAGATGGCGGTGCGCAGCTCGTCGTTTTCCCGGAAACGGCGTTCACCACGTTCTTCCCACGGTACATAATCCTCGACGAGCAAGAACTGGAAAGCTGGTTTGAGCACGGCGATATTCGTACCGCTCCCAACACAAAAGCCCTCTTCGATACCGCGCAGAGCCGGTCTGTGGATATCGTCGTAGGTTTCGCGGAGACGACTGACGCAGGCGACCACTACAACACCTGCGTATACTACCATGCCGCAACGGGGTCCATCCTCTCCAAGTACCGCAAGATCCACCTCCCAGGCGATAAGGAGCCTTTCCCCGACCCCGAGGCAGTCAACCAGCTCGAAAAGCGGTACTTCTTGCCGGGCGATCTGGGATGGCAGGCGTTTCGCGTCCCCGGTCTGGTCAACCCCGCGGGACAGGGCGACCCTATCATGGGAATGATGATCTGCAACGACCGACGTTGGGCGGAGTCGTGGCGGGTCCTCGGACTCCAGGGGGTGGAAATCGTGCTGGTTGGATACAACACGACCAGCTTCGCCCCGTCGCTGTGGGGCGTGGCGGCCGATATCGATCCCAAAGAGGCAGAGGAGATATCCCTGTTCCAGCACAAGCTGGTCATGCAGTGCTACAGCTACACCAATTCTTGTTTCTCCGTTTCCGCCGCGCGGGCTGGTCTAGACGATGGAAAGTACCCGTTGATCGGGGGATCAACTATCATTGATCCGGACGGGCGTTTGCTAGTTGAAAGCAAGACCACAGAGGACGAAGTTATCATCGCGGACTGCGACCTGCTGCTCTGTCGACCGGGAAAGACCAGGACGTTCGACTTTGCGCGCCACCGCCGCGTCGAGCACTACGGACGGATCGTCCAGCAGACGGGCGTGATTGAACCACCCCATGAGACAGTCGTGGGGCCCTGCGTCGAGGCCCATACAGCACAACGCCCCGTCGGACGATATCGCATTCTCCTCGTCAATCCTAATTCCTCCAAATTCATGACAGACAACTGTCTCGCATCCGTGCAGCCTACTCTCCCGCCAGATGTTGACGTCGTCGGCTTCACAGCGCCCGAGCCCGCACCAACAGCCGTAGAAAGTCACGCGGACGGGATTCTCTCTGCGGCAGCGACACTCCGCGCGCTGCTGCCCATTGCAGAGCAGTATGATGCGTTTGTTGTCGCATGTTACAGCGACCATCCGCTGATCCACGCACTGCGCGAGGAAGTACGCGCCCCCGTTGTCGGGATCATGGAAGCCAGTCTCTTTTCCGCGCGAACCGTCGGGACTAGATTTGGCGTAGTCGCCACGTCGGCACGATCAGAGACGATGCACGCGGACGCGGTGCGCCAGTATGGACTGAGCGCATTCTGCGCGGGGGTTAAAAGCAGCGGGCTATCTGTCCTAGAGCTAGACAGTGCAAACGGGAATGTAGTAGAGAAAGCTATGTGTAGCACGGCGGTGGAACTTGTCCAGAGGGGAGCGGATACTGTCACGCTCGGGTGTGCCGGTATGACGAACCTAAAACAAGCAGTGCAAGATGCTGTTGGGGAGGACGTTACGGTCATTGATGGGGTAGTGGCAGGCGTGCATCATGTCGTGGGTATTATACGGAGTGGACTGCGTACTGCTAAGGGAGGAGGCTATTCCAGTGCGAAGGCGCAGAGAGTGGCGCGAGGACAGGAATATGTTTGACGTCCTGATGGCATGTTCTATTCTCCTAGGGTTGGTTATTGATATCTAGTGCGCTTCTTGATTGTTTCTAATGTGACATGTCATTTTCAAATGGTTTGCTTTTCCAAAGAGATGTTGTCCTTCGGTTGGGTGGGTTTTCCTTATTTTGGGGCATATCGTGATTGACATGATGTGGATAATATTCAAGAGGACGTAGTATCGGCTTTGAGGAGCATTCAACGAGAGGAGTCTTGTCGCCTTGGTGGTATTCATTGAGAAGATCACCAGGCCGCCACCAAAAGTAAAGAATAAAGACGAGAGGCTACTTTACATAAAGGTAACACTGGACCGATGTGAAGATTTAAGATAGAGCATAGAGTGAAATACACTCATAAAATCTTTACTAGAGTCATGATCTACTAGTATCATTTGTGATGGAACTATACAGAATACGCGGCCGTCATGAAGATTATAGCTTAGACGGCTTCAAAAGCTTCTCCTGCGTCCGGTAGATCTTAACCAACTGTCGCACCGACAGGTCGAGAAGGACGTCCTCCGAGCCACCCGGGATACGGGCGCCAGGAACCTCACGGTAGATAGCTAGAAATGTCAGTACATATGCGTTGCAGTCATCGTCAGGGTGCATACCTTCGACCAGTTCTCCCTGACCAGAATGAGCCGTGAATCCAGCCCCACCGAAGAGGAGAACCGCACACTGGGCGCATTCGTTCAACACCATAGCTCCCTTGGCCTTGGCCATAGCAGTGACACCTCCCAACTGGCGGTCGGCCTCCTCCTTGCTAAGATGACACATCTGGTAGAGGAGTTGCTCAACAAAGGCCCACATGGTCTCCAGCTCGGCACCAGCCTTCGCCAGTCGGTGACGCACCACGGGCTGGTCCATGAGTGTCTTTCCGAAGGCCTCGCGCTTCAAGCAGTACCGAAAGGCCTCAGCCAGGGCGACGCGGGCCTGTCGAGTGACACCGACGGCGATCGTCAGACGCTCGTGGTTAAAGTTGGTCATGATAATGCGCATGCCTTCTCCCTCGCGACCGATGATATTTTCCACAGGCACCTTGACCTCGTCCAGTTCGATGTAGGTCGTGCCACCTGTCTTTTGGCCGGAGACGGTGAGACGACGCATGGTAACGCCGGGATAGCCCTTAAGGGGCACAACCATGACGGAGAGGCCCGCAGCACCAGGGCCCCCAGTCCGCACCGCCATGGTGGTGTAGTCGGACCAGATACCGTTCGTGATCCTGTCCCAAGAGTAAGTCGTCCGTGCGTAAAGACCGAGGAGACTGGATGCTTACCATTTCTTTTCGCCATTGATGATATAGTGTTTTCCATCCGCCGACTTGGTCGCCGTCGTCGCGATATTGGCGACGTCACTTCCGGCACCGGGTTCCGTGATGGCGATGCAGCCTCGCTTCTTGCCGGTCAGGAGGTCCGGAAGGACGCGTTCCTGCAACTCCGGGCTAGCATATTTGAGAATCGGCGAGATTCCATACGCCCATCCGGCGTTTAAAGAGGCTGAAGGCCCTGAGAGACCTGACCGCGCGAGCTTCACCGGTGTCAGTACGGACCAGTTCTGCCGGATAAACGATGATTCCTCACCTCATCTGTGTAGATGCCCGTATGCAGGTAATCCCAGTCCTCCACCTTGACGCCCAGAATATCATGAATTCCCAACCGTTTCAACCAGTCGACTGGGAGAGGGGCCGGTAAGTTGGGGACCAGCATGTTGTGCTCGCAGAAGGTCTTGAAGACATGCTCAGGAACGGTGCCCTGTTTCTCCCATTCGATGGCATGTTGCAGGAGGTGCTCCCAAAGAAATGCACGGCATGCTTTCTGGAACTTGCGATGACCCTCGGTGTAATAAGGGGAAGGGAGGCCGCGCAGGTACGGGGGTTCGGAGAATGGAATGGGATTGGGGTCGACAGTGGCCATGGTGAGTGGTTGTGTGCGGAGAGAGACCCACCGGGGGAATATTGGGAATGCGACCTTGGGGATGTGGACGGTGAAAATAGAAACTAGGAACCTGACCAGAATCGAGAAGATCCCACGACGAACAAGAATTATTTAAACCAAATCACGAACTGCAGAGAAGAAGTTCGATTTCTCCCCGCATGGAGAACCGAGGCTGACGGGCCGAACGGGTTGCACGGCCCGAGCGCGTCACATGGTTCCTTTCTCTCTTATACCGATCGTTCTCCTTCTTGGCTCCACAATCCGAGATATGCTTTGCTTTTACAACATACACCTGCAGCGGGAGTGAGAAGCAGTGACCATGACATCGTCAACCCTGAGAGAACCAGTAATGTTTCAGAAAACCTCCAGAATGCAGGAGATGACGTGGATGTGGAGCCAGCCCGTGTTCAGCCAGCACCACGCCTCAGCACCAAATAGTATATCAAGCGTTGATTGGAATATACTCCTCAGAATACCCCCGCCGATGCGCAGAATGTGACTCGTGCCGAATCCTTCTCGATACGAGCATAGACATAGATCGTGATCGACGTGCCAATGATAGTACAACGCCGACCCTCATCTACCACGCCCCCCTTAGTTAGGTGAAGACGCAAGGGACTTAGGTCCTAATTAATTCAATTAAATGCTACATATATCCCCATGGATCTCATCACTCCACTCGTCTTGCCGCCTTTTAACTATACTCCTCGTCTTCTACCCAACTGGTTTTGGGGATATCGGTTTAGCATCTCCTGTCACTTTTCCGCCGCGAGATGGTCTTTTTTGAGGGGCTCGGTCAGTTTTCCGTCTTCACGGCGCTGACTGCAATATTTGCGTATCTCATAGCATGCGTGGTGTATCGTCTCTACCTCAGTCCGGTGGCATCTTTCCCGGGCCACCCCTTGGCAGCTATAACATGGTTGTAAGTCATCGATGCTGCGGTCCAGCAGGTTCCAGAGGGACAATCTAGTACTGACACGCCACAGTTATGAATTCTACTACGATGCAATTTGCGGAGGTCAATATATCTTCAGAATCAGGGAGATGCACAAGAAGTTCGTAAGTTTCGTGTCTAGCCCGAACACGCCTACATACCCTCCTCATTGATATTCACGCACATAACCATAGGGCCCTATTATCCGCATCAACCCTGAGGAGCTTCATGTTGAGTCGTCCGAGTTCTACGGCAAACTTTACACCTCGGGTCGGGAGAAGAGGAACAAAACTCTTCAATCCAGTCGGCAGTTGGGGACCCCCAACTCGACCGTAGGTACTATCGACCACGACTTGCATCGCATGCGTCGCTCCGCCCTCAATCCGTTCTTCTCAAAAGCAAGTATAAGGCGGTTGCAGCCTGTGATATGGGCCCAAGTTGACATCCTGTTGGAACGGTTAGAAGAGTTCAAAGAATCTGGCCGGCCACTCCGCATGGACTTGGCCTACTTCGCGCTCACCAACGGTAAGCACGATGGTCAAGATTGTCGTCTATTGTAAACATTTTGGCTGACAAGATTAGATGTCATCATGGAGTACAGTTTCAACCGTTCGCTTCACCGATTGCAGAAAGTTGACTTCGATTTGCCCGCAAAGAAGGCGTTGCTCGCTGCCAGCAAGATTGTGCATTGGATGAAGCATTTTCCCTGGATTATCCACGTTGCCCAGGTAATTCCTTTGTGGATCATTTCGTGGATCAATCCAGCGTATGTTTGTCAGTGGTTTGTTGAATAACACATTGAGCTAACGGAGGCTGAAAAGGGTTGCAACCTTGCTAGAGGACGACAAAGTGGGCAATGTCACCTGGAATTTTCAAACCATTTGCTGATACCGTAACAGTCATTTGCAAAGGATAGCATGGTCCAGGTGCACCAGATCATGAACGGCACGGATCGGTCCAATGAGCACGGACACGCAACAATTTTCCATGAGATGATCTCAAATCCGACTTTGCCAGCCTCCGAGAAAGGCGTGTCCCGGCTTTCGGAAGAAGCCAAGATAGTTGTCAGCGCAGGATCCGAGACAACGGCTTGGGCCCTGACTTTGATTACATACCATCTACTCAGACAACGGCACACTCTATCGCGCCTTCGAGCCGAGTTGATCGCCTCTATCCCTGATCCTCGGGCTCATGTTGGCATCGAGGGGCTGGAACATCTTCCATACCTCACTGCTGTGATACAAGAGGGTCTGCGTTTCTCGTGCGGTGTGACTGGCCGACTGGCACGGGTCGCGCCCGAGGAAGAGCTGATCTTCCACGACAGCAAGCGCAACAAGGATTGGCATATTCGGCCAGGGACACCCGTCAGTATGACTTCAGTTTTCGTCCATAATGATCCCGCTATCTTCCCAGAGCCGACCAAGTTCCGCCCAGAGCGTTGGCTAGAGGCCAGCGAAGAGGGCCGAAACCTAGGCCGGTATCTCGTGTCTTTCACGAAGGGTTCAAGACAGTGTGTTGGTATCAATCTGGCGTATGCGGAGCTTTTCATTTGTGTCTCGACCATTTTCAGGCGGTATAGTGGTACAAAGGAGGACGAGAATGAGAAAGAAGGGATACTGGACTTATTCGAAACGTCTAACGACGATGTGGATATTGCGGCGGACATGTTCCTCCCATGTCCTAAAAGGGAGAATAAGGGGATCCGGTTGTTTGTCAAGGATCCTTGACTTGATGATATGATAACTTACGGTACTGGAGGCCATGCACGTGGTAGATGGCACCAGGGGCTTACGCGGCTTGTTCCTTGACACCCGTATTCAATGTCGGGCTTTAGGCTTTAGGTGATGGTCTTTAGAAAGAAGTTATTTAAACATCTAGAATGGATCAGTATCTACCGGGCTTATTGACTTGGTAGTATATTCACTGCTAAAATACACGACTATTTAAACCACTGCCACCGTCCCCAGATCATGAAGATGCAAGACATTGGCCATCAAGACCCTGGTAGAACGCGGCAGCTTCATCCCCGGCGATGCGGCCGAACACGACACACTCCAGCAACGACGATCCGCCCAACCGATTCTGGCCGTGGAGGCCTCCAGTGATCTCGCCCGCCGCCCACAGGCCCGGAATCGGCTGCCCTTGGCCATCCAACACCTGGCTGCGCTCGTTGATCACCACCCCGCCCATGGTGAAGTGCACCACAGGTGTCACCTTGCCCACATACACCCTGGACTCCGGTAGCACCTCCGTGAGCGTCCAATGCCCACACGACTGACGTCCAAACGGATCCTTCGTCTTTTCAGACACCACGTCGACATACTCCCGTAGTGCTCCATGCAGCAATGGTATTTCCTCGGCCAGCTCGCCCACCGTGGTCTGGCGTATCAGTCCCTTCATCGTATAAAACCCTAGATGCATCTGCAACGCGGCGGCAGCCCCCTCATCCAGCACCAAGTTGACGTCCCACTGTCTCGCCGTGGTGGGGAACTCTTTCGCCTGCTCCATCATGGCGTGCGTCACCGTTTCCCTCTTCTCCAATTCATTGACAAAGCGCCGCCCGTCTCCTCGAACCAAAATGCCCCCTTCCCCACGCAATGCCTCCGCTGCCAGGATCTTCACCGCCGCCTCCGGGTCCTTACTATCCACAAACCCGGTCGGGTGCACCTGCACGTGCTCCATGTCCACCACCGCAGCGCCAATCTCCTGCAGCAGAGGCTGCGTGCCTTCCCGGTGGTCATTCGTGGACGGGATGCCCGCCAAATCCGGCCGATACCGGGCTAACAATCCGCGTGCATCCCCGGCAAATCCTCCACTCGCCACCACAACCGGCCCATATGCCTTCTCCACCACGGTTTCGTTGTCCCGGACGTACGTATACTCCACCCCCGATACCTGGCCCCCCGCCTCTCGCAACAGTTTGGTCACGCGGCGCCCCGTCTCCATCCGGAACAGCTCATCCCCAGTGACTCGCCCCAGTAAGGTACTCACAATATCGTATCCGGGCGGTTTCTTCCCCGCCCCCCGATGAGTGCGTGCAAAGCTATGTCCGCCCAACTGTGCCACCCGGGACAGGTCAATGCCCTGCTCATCGGCTAGCCATGAAATCGCCCCCGAGGACTGTCCCACCAAGGTCTCAATGAGATTCTGCCGACGGGTCTTCTCTGCCCCCGAGGCCGCGACCAACGGTGCCCCAGCGGAAGTGACGGTATCGTCGTGAAAAGCCGCGACACTGTCGGAGTTCGGAATGGGTTGGAAAGGAGTAGGCGCGCCATTGATTCCCGACGAAGCCTTGATACTATTTCCACCGGGATGGGAGAATCGTTCCAGCATGAGAACCGGGATGCGCTGGCCGAGGAGTTGGATGGTGGCGGTTAGGCCGGCGAGGCCGGAGCCGACGACGATGACGGTAGATGGAATCATTGTTTCGTTTTCATGGCAGATGTGAGATAGCGATAGAGATGGATGGGTAACATACTTGGTGAGGAGATGAGTAGATGTAGATGGAGAATCATACGATCTGGGGTCTGGACTTTGTGGGGGATGGGGTGATACGATGAGGTCATGCTGACTGTCGGCCAATTAGGACCACACATATAGATGTAGCACTGTATATTAATAACGATATGGCAAAACTTAGAATTAACATAGTTGAATACCCCTTATATCAATCAATTCATTGGTGCGATCTGGAAATGTGTAGCATCTACGGCAGGGTCAGAGAGGGAAGTCCGATCCTAGTATATTCTACTAGTATTCGACCCATGGTCTTAGACTCGGTATATCAGCAGCTGAAGTCTGGAATCACAAATTAAATTAACAAAAAGAATGATAAAATTAATCCTCTCGAAACTACTGAAAAACTGCAACATTCTAAGAAAGATTAAGATACGAAATGGTGTGGCAAGACTCCACAAGTATCACAGTCCAGACAATTCGCCTGATTTTGTGGTAGACACCACACTATCCCACATCCATACTTTATAAAGCCTGTTCCCATCTTTCCATCTCTTGTAGTCTTTTCAACCAGAAATTCCACCGACCCATGCTCATCGGGCCTGCCGCCCAAAGTCTTCCCTCTCTCTCCAACGCCCAGCACTTCTCACCTCTCTTCGCGCCCTCTCGGAGCCTTTGCCCGGCTATCTTGATCCACACCGACGCAGCAGGTACCTCAAAGTCCCACACTGCGCCCTGACATTCCAGTCCCTCGGAGATGCACTCATAGCCCCAGCTCAGTGGCAAGAGACCATCTTTAGCATTTGGTCCCGGAGCAGCCATGGCACAAGATGCCTCCACGAAAGCCCGGTGCACGTGGGCCTCGCGCCTCTTCGCTCTGGTGGCTGGATCCCGCGTCACCAACGCCTCACGCCAGTGGCTCTGCTTCCACGCATCTGACCATGAGTCGCCGAAGCTCTTCAGACTGTTGCTCCAGATCGGTTCGCCGTCCTCTTCGTCCGGCAGCTGACTGATTTCCTTGAGCAGGTTGACGAGGGCGGGCGTGTGGCTTTGGGGCAGCTCGAAAAGCGCGTCTTCAATGATGCCCAGTACGCGACCTCGCAGGTCGGTCTTCTTCTCGGAACCATGCGGCTTGACCATGGCAGCAGCTGTCTCGGATGGGGTGGAGTCACCTTTCAGGTACGTCTGGAGAGCCGCAGCTTGATGGGGATGTGCCCCCGTCTCTTCCTCCCCGTCCATGGGTGCAGTGTGGTAGTCGAACCACGCGTCGTCCGCGGCGGAGCCGAAACCGTCGAGGTCGACGGATTTGCATATTATTTCTTGAATGCTGGTGTCCATGATGATGAACAGACGGTGCTTGTTAAAACAGTTTGTCTTCTATTTTACCTGTTCTCATAGAGTTGACTGTGTTGTGCAGATAATTAGAATACAATCTGAGGATGGGAGCAGACATTCGACCAGGAATATGAGCCACATATAAATAAAATCTTGGGTTTAGGTGAGAGACTAATGTCATGGCCTTGTTATGCTTGGGCTAGTGGTCATAATCAAAAGCGAATTAGGAATTGATCGCCAATTCGGTGCATTAGAGTGATTGATCACCACAGACAGTACATCCTTGTACGTAGCGAGTCCTCAGCAAGCCTAGGTGAGAAAATCACTTTCTATAGATAGTTCTAAAACATTCTCGAAGGCACAGGCTATGATTAGGAGACTTATGGCGCTAGGGCTTCACAGGGCCGATTTTCCGATATTTATACCGAAAGTCAGGCTCCAGCACCCCCACAAAGGCTCTAGTTCCAGGATATTGAGGGTATGAAACTACGTGGAAGGATACAAGACTATCATTCTTGCATCTGAGCCAAACATCCCTCGCGAATAAAGAATTGCAGCGTGCCATACACCTGTAATGCTGCGTAGGTATCTAGACCTGCTGGTTATATTGTCTAGTACGGTATCTATCATCCCACAAAGCTACACTATCATGTGTATGATCTTGACAAGCTTTGTTAGGTTAAGTCTTTACAAATAGTCAAGAATCATGCTGTTTTCAAGCTCCCAGGCCTGAGAGTGATTGTACTAGCAGGTCCAGCGCATACATAAAATCCCTTGCCTAATAAATATCACTGCATGCAACAAACAACAAACGAACCCAGTGATGTCTATAGAAAGCAGTGAATACCCAGGTAGGTCTGCAGATGGTGCCCTAAACACACAAAGAAGGGTTATGATAAATATTACCATCTACGCTGCAGATCTCAACCTTCCTTCTTGTACATCTCTCCTTCCCATGTACTGACACCTCCCTCTACTGTCCCAATACCTAGAATTTACATCATTTTGCTCCTCCCACCAAATAAATCATCTTTTTCTCTGTTGACCGCTCCCTGATAACTATCCTACGAGGCTAAGAATCTCATTGGCATCTCGACGATGGAAAGAAGTCAGAATCCTGATCAACTGGCGTTGTCCGACCCCGCGCTGCTGGATAAGATCGACAAGCTCTTTGCTTGTAACGTCGGCGAGTACATCTCGCTCCCTCAGCTTGTGGTGGTTGGCGACCAGTCTAGCGGCAAAAGCTCAGTGCTGGAGGGCCTCACCCGACTTCCTTTCCCTCGCGATAGCGGTCTCTGTACACGGTTTGCCACTCAGATCATCTTCCGCAGAACCAAGGAACATTCAGCTCGTACAATTACTGCATCCGCGCTACCTGGCCCGGATGCAAGCACGGAAAAGGCGGCCGCACTCAAGGAATGGACATGGAGAAAAGATGGCACGTTTGATTCTGATGAATTCTCGGATGTCATGAACGAGGTACGCATCTCAATCAATCACGAGGAGCCCGCATAAGTACTGACAGCCAGTTGAGGTCCACGCACTGATGGGTGTCTCGATTGTACCGAACGGTGCCAAATCGACCTTTTCAAATGATGTCTTCCGTCTAGAAATATGTGGTCCGGACGAGGATCATCTGAGCGTGATTGATGTCCCTGGAATATTCAAAAATACCGTGCCCGGGGTGACTTCAAAGGCCGACATTCAACTGGTCCACAACATGGTTGTTGGGTACATGAAGAATGCTCGATCCATTATGCTGATGGTCGTTCCGGCCAACGTGGATATCGCGACTCAGGAGATCGTAGAGCTGGCGCGCGAGTACGACCCCAATGGTCAGCGAACTCTGGGCGTTCTTACCAAACCAGACCTGGTCGACACGGGTGCCGAGCAAAGGGTGCTGGATCTCATTCATGGCGAAGACCTGATCTTCAAACATGGGTGGTTCCTTGTTCGCAACCTGGGGCAGCGCGAACTGCAGGAAGGAGGTGTCGACCGCAATGCTGCCGAGGACGCGTTCCGCCAAACAGAACCATGGAACTCGGTTCCTCAAGACCGATTCGGCGTCCAGTCGCTCCGATTACGCCTACAGGAGGCTGTCATTCACAATGCCCGACAGTCATTTTCCCAGGTCCGATCGGAGATCATGAAACGGCTCAAGTCGAGGCAGAAAAGCCTCAAAAACTTAGGTGACGAGCGCGTAACTTCCGAACAACAACGCAGCTTTCTTCTGGGGGTTGTATCGCGCTTCCAGGAAATCACGTCCCATGGCCTCAATTCCAATTATGCGATGGATGATGTCTTTGATAATCATCCGGACCTTCGTATAGCAACCCTAGTCATGAACTGCTACGTTGCTTTTGCCGAAAGCCTTTCTTCTTGGGCACATGAATATCGGTTCAGTTCGCAGAAAGAGACAAACGACTCCGAGGATGAACAAACACCGGGAGAGACGGATTCAGAGTCGCAGGATGAAGAGCCCAACAACAATTCGGATATGCGAGATCGGGAGTCCATCAATGAATCAGATGCGCCACCAGGCATCGACACCCGCACGACTGACGACATAGAAGAATTGACTGAAATCCTCCACGAGTCTACGTTAGAGAGGTATCCTAAGAGCAGCGGAATATACCAGTGGCTGACCGAGGTTTTTCATCTGTCGCGTGGATTTGAGATGGGCACTTTCAATCCGTCCATTCTCGCTGAAGTATTCAGGAAACAGTCTGCGAAGTGGCCCAATTTTGCGCAAGGTCACATCAGCGATGTCGTTATATTGGTTCACCGGTTCATTCTCAAAGCTCTTGAGCTGTCGTGCGTTAATCAGCGTGTCTGTGATAGATTGAAGGCACGACTGATTAACGACCTGCTGTCGCAATACCGCGATGCCATGAAGCAGGTGTGCTTTCTGCTCCATATCGAGCGAAATGGCACACCCTTGACACTAAATCATTACTTCAATGACACGCTGCAGCAAAGGTAACATTATTTCCGTGCCTCATCGTTACCCTCGGCCACCCTGACAATATCCAGGAGAGCCGCTCGCATCCAAGCCCACCTTGCCCCTAAGGTTATCAGCGACCACAAGCGTGGAGAGATAGTCCGTCTCTCAGACGTATCTACAGCCCATAATAAGAGCAACACCCGCCAAACGGTGGAGGATATCCACGACATACTACAGTCCTACTACAAAGCGTCCTTGAAGCGCTTCGCGGACAATGTCTGCATGCAGGCTGCAGACTTCTACCTGGTTCACGGCCCTGAAACGCCAACGAAGCTATTCAGTTCCCTTTTTGTTCACAAACTGTCTATGGAGGACTTGGAAGAGATTGCCGGGGAAGAGCCCCAGGCTCGCCGCTTGCGAGCCCAGTTGGTCAAAGAGATCAGGGATCTAGAGGCGGGGAAGAGGATTCTTCTGTAAACTAGACGACAGAGGTATTCACGAGTGGAGTGACTTGGCTTTGGCGATAATTCTCTACGGTATTCCCCAGCCTCAGTTGTCCATGTGAAATCGTGTCTGGATCTTGTTCACAGCTCATCGGCAAAGCCGAACACGATGGTCATCGTGCTAGATATACTACATGTTTCCTCCACGATAGCAACTCATACTACAGGATAATTTGTTTGAATGGTGAAATTAAGATCGACTAGCACAAGAAAAACACACCAGCACACCGCACGTATTAGATAACCACCGGAAACCATGTCAGTTGTTTACCATCATAACGTGGTCCATCCTGCCAACCATATTCCTTGACCGCATGTGCTCCTGTGGCGTAGGGGCACTTCTGTCCTGACGAATAGTGACTATTCCAGCCCAAACCAGGTCGCTTTTTTCACCATCCACTAACTGATTCTTTCCGAGGAAATACTTTATCCCATTTAGCATCTCCAGTACCACCATGCTAAGAATATCCAGGGAATTCTGTACTCGATCTATTCCAAATGTAATGAGGTCGTATTCCCTTATTTTAGTTGCATGTGTTCTGCTTGTATATCGGGGTCTAGGCATATATAGTGCATATTATTAGTAGGGATGGGAAAATGATGTCCTGGATGATGCAGAATGGGTCTTCACCCTAACCAATGCCGGACTAGGATGAAGTATACAACGTTACTTTATTGAATTTATCCAAAAGTCTATCTGAGTTAATGGAGTCCACCTGATCTCCATCCAGCTATGACTGGCATTTAGCCATTCCACCAACCACGTCAGCGAAGCTCGTCCTAGTGTCTATTTAGACTCGAGACCTGAAGACACACGGTCCCGTTATTATATACCTCACGTCGCTGCAAGACGCCACTGTTTAGTATTGGTGGAGTATGGCATGACGATCGAAGTCTCGAATGACCAGCAGTAATGTTTCACCACTATATCCCACATGGGTACGCTATTTACTCGGCTAGGTTCCGTACTGCAGCTTACGATGGTGCGATCGGTAATTATCGTGGAAGGACCAGCCAGTCAATCGGCCGAGGCACAAGAAAAAGCCCTATCACCACCTACCCCGTACGTAGCCTGCTGTTTTTGACCTCATGGTTCCATAAATAGACAGTATGACCAATTGTTTCATCAGCGAATGGATTGTTTCGGTCAAACCTTACCTACAGTGGACACGAGTGTGGATGAATAGTGCATACCCTGGTCGTTCCCCTAGGCAAATTAGCCAACCCCGCAATATTCAACACCAGGACGTGGATCGACGGAGATGGATTTCTCCTGGGCCTGTTTCATGCACCCCACAGTCTTGTCGGACATGCGATTCGACCCACTCGTCGACTAAAGGACGGCTAGTCGCCCTTGACCGAAACAGTAAATTCCCGGCCGTTTCGGGGACCCCTGGTTGGAAAGTTTCCTGTTCCTGATATGTTTCACCCATGATCCCAGAAGGCGTTTCGAACGGCACATAGTTAATATCGCAGCGGCGACATCATTGTCCGTAACGTCCACCCCAATTATCCAGACTTTAGCCGTGGATTAATGGGGCCAGGGATGGCTCTTTTGCAATTGTCAACTGCCGACGCCAAGCCCTGGGTTGGATATATGAATGAAGCCAGCCCGATACTGGATCGGTCTGCTCCTTGATCTCGAACTCTTCTCATACCCAGTCCTTCCTTACTACCAGCGTCAAAATGAACTCCCGCAACGTCAAGAAAAACCTCGCCGTCTCCGGCGCCGCCTTGCTGGCGGCCATTCCCGGCGTTACGGCGCAGTGCGCTCTGCCATCGGCCTACAAGTGGACCTCAACGGAACCGCTCGCAGAGCCCAAGGAGGGCTGGGCGGCGCTCAAGGACTTCACCAACGTGGTGTACAACGACCAGCATCTGGTGTACGCCAGCTTTCACGACATGGGAACCACCTACGGGTCAATGGTCTTCGGTGGCTTTGCGGATTGGCCCGACATGGCGGCCGCGACTCAGACCGAGACGGAGGGAGTCGGGGCCGTGGCGCCGACGCTGTTCCACTTCGCGCCCAAGGATGTCTGGATCCTCGCCTACCAATGGGGCTCGACGGCGTTCAGCTACCGGACGTCGAGCGACCCCACCGACGCGAACAGCTGGTCAGAAGAGCTGCCGCTCTTCTCGGGAACCATCACCGGCAGCGACACGGGCGCCATCGACCAGACGGTCATCGGCGACGACGAGAACATGTACCTGTTCTTTGCGGGCGACAACGGCAAGATCTACCGGGCGAGCATGCCGATCGACAAATTCCCCGGCGACTTCGGCACCGAGTTCGAGGAGATCATGAGCGACACGGTCAACAACCTCTTCGAAGCCGTGCAGGTCTACACGCTGGAGGGTGCCGGGTACCTGATGATTGTCGAGGCCCAAGGCTCCGGCGGCCGGTTCTTCCGCTCGTTCACAGCCGAGACGCTGGACGGCGAGTGGACGCCGAATGCGGCCACCGAGGACGCGCCTTTCGCCGGCAAGGCCAACAGCGGCGCGACCTGGACCAACGACATCAGCCACGGCGACCTGGTGCGCGCGAACCCCGACCAGACCATGACGGTCGATCCTTGCAACCTGCAGCTTCTCTACCAGGGACGGGACCCCGACGGGGGCGACGACTACAACCTGCTGCCGTACCGACCAGGTGTGTTGTCGCTGCAGGTTTAGATAGCTGGGAGATTGGGATTATGAGAGTTGCTAGTCTTCCTCGATGGATGTTGGGGCGTGTTTAGGGCGACAGGCAGGTATCCTAATGCCAGTTGTCTGTACAGGAATTACTCATGTATTTTGTATAAGCTTGCTATTGTTAAATTAAACAAATAAGGCCATTTTCCTAATCAGACATTCGGGGCCATGACACTCAACCACCAGCCTTGCGCTTGTAGGATGGCGCATTACCGTAATGGGGCCGTATGGTTTGCTCCAGAGTCTATGCCTAGGCTGGGAAGTTAACCCATGGAATGATGCCATATCCAAATATATATATATATATATATACATCTTACTAACACCCAGCTGGTGTCGTGGGCAGGGAGTAGACGAGGAGAAAGCTAGAGCCAGTCCCAGTAACGGGTTCTCTATAGTGACTCTATTGCGTTGAAGGCTTGCCATAACAAGTGTATCAGAACGGGACATGAAGAAAAGTATTAGAGGCAGCAGTAGCGATATCAATTTGGAGACAATCGACCGCGCGATATCGGTCTAGCTCTAGATCTAAGGTTGGGACGGCAAGACCTCCACTTGAGACTAGTGAACTATTTGCTTGGCCAGTCCTAGACTTAGAGTAGTAATATGGACAAGTCCAAAGTGTTGAAGATATGATTGAAGAATAGTTAATGGATAGAAGTAACCACGCCAGGAATGCAACAACTGAAGAGCAGCTCGGCACGTTCAACCGTTGAATTGGTGGGATCCCACACCTTGATCTTCGAAGTAAAAATAAACACAAATAGCATCAATATACTATACTGCATACCAATATACTTCCAGTGCGCCACTCATCCAAGCACAAGGAGGGATATAAACGACAGCCTATCGTTCAATAGTTACAATTCCGGACAAGCCAAAGATAGTAAACCTGGGAACGAGGCAGCCTCTCGATGACGTTGGAGGTGGACGTTGCAGCGCATTCTCAACATGGGGGCCATTCTGGATCCTCCCGCAAAGAAAACTCGTTCTACAACATCACAATCAGGAAGTGAAGATATCATCAACCGTAGAGGCACATGCCAAATTCAATGACAACGCGAGGCATCACGCAGTCGCGGCTCCGCCTGTCAGCCACCAAGCCTCCAATCTTCCTGCCGCTAGCGCAAGGCTACGATGGCGTCGCCGAACCCTACCTATTTCCTACCCCATACAGATATCGATCATAACGAAGCCGAGTTCTTGTCATCAACATGAAGTTCTTCTTTGCTCCTCTTCTCTGCCTCGTGGCAACGTCCGCGTCCGCGTTGACGATTCCTGTCAATGATACACTGGTCGAGAACAATGGACTGGAGAAGCGAAACCCGGTGATTGCGCTTGGGCTGTTCAATGAACTGCTTTCGGGTACTCGTGTTTTGGCTAGGACCAAGGGCATTAGGGTCTAATTGACGACCGATAGAGGCCGCCCTTGTGTACGTCTCTCGAGGGATACGGATTTCAATACCACGAACAAGCCGCTGACTGCTGCAGGACGAGAGCTCTGGAAACTGCATTATGTGCATCTCCACTCAGGGCGGCGTAAATAGATATCCAGACATGGTTGCGGAACCTAGTGGAATTATGCTGACCGTACCAGGGACATTGCAAGGCACAAACTACCCCTGGCAAGAGAGCAGATGCTGGAACCGACACTACCAAGCATGATGACAACTGGAACAGAAGTTCATCACAGGCGTGGCTTCTTTGTCCATGCTGGATCAATAGCTGTCTCTCAGTCAAGGCAATATTTTATCTGAAAAGTATTTACTATGTATATTCCCCGCGTAGACGCAATTTCGATCAAGTGAAAATTTGGTAGAAAGCCCTCCTGTTGGCTAGTTGATAAAATCAATTTATCCTGTTGTACATGATGCCGTCGACTCAGCCGTAGCAACGTAATTGAAAATTCATGACCGTGCCAGTGAAAAGGCCTAGCCTGGGCCTATAATTCAAATCAGGTCGATGTAACCACCAAATAGCCCCAGCTTGTAGAACGCCGCACTGTATAGCGCTTGGGATTTTCTATTATCTACCTTAAATGCGAGTTGTTGTGGGTACGTTACACCATACGCCCTAAACTCCGGTTAGTACAGTAGGATGGTGCCCTGTAGGTTAGTCGGGACCCAGGACACTCTTTCGATTTCATGCGACAAGGCGCTGACTCGATGTGTTTGACCCTAGGCTGACCTGGACTGCTCCCCTCGGTAGGGCTTCCAGAGGTTGAGGTCAAGGTCAAACACGGTTGGGTAACTTGTCAACCCCACCAGCAACTCCAGGTTTCCCTCAAACCTATGCACCCTCATGCGGAGGCTGGTGCGTATTCTCGTGATCGTCGTGATCGTCATCGTCGTCGTCGTCGTCATCGTCATCGTCCTCCCACCCGTCGGAGTCGCCATTATGCGCATCTGGAAACAAAGCCTCCAATTCATCTTCCCCCTCGTCTTCCTCCTCCAGCTCCCCAAACTCACCTCCGAGCATGTTGATCAGCTGCAAAAGTCCCGCTTGGGACCGCCAGACCTCCTCTGCTGGCGGATTTTGCGGGCCTCCACCTTCTCCAGCCTGGTTTTGGGCCTGGTCGGCGTCAGAGGGGGCATCCGACTTGTCGGAGAGTTCAGGTGCTAGGTTGACGATCCGGATGGCTTTCGTGGGGAAAATGCGGGCGGCGTTATCTTGTCGTGGAGGTTGGCCTCCGGGAAGGTTAATGAGGGGTTGGCGCCAGCCGAGGGTCTGAATTATAGAGTTAGTCTTCGTGCTTCCTAGAGTTGACCCAGGGTCCAACATACAGTGTAAGTCGACATGATCGCATCATCATAGAGCCCCATGAAACTGACCGGCACGGCTAGCTGTGGGGCAGAGCTGGTGAGGAGGGTGTACGACGCGCGGGCGGGACTGTCAGAACATTGGATTCGGTCGTCGTCATCCAGCGCGACGATATAAATCCGGTCCTGGATCTCGAACATCAGGCGATGGTTTCGCACGGACAGCCATCCTCCTAGATCAAAGGTGGATCCGTCTGTTTCGCACTCGATGATGGAACTGTTCCCCTCAACACCGCTTTGGAGGGCTTTACGCCAGTCCCAGCACACGAAGACCCGACCGGCGCGAGAGAAACCGACGAAAAGGTTCCCATTTATCATCCCTGATCCCCACTCGTTCTCGCCGTCCCAAACATGATCCGGATCGGTCGGGGTAGGAAGAGGACCCTTTGCGACCGTGACAGGTAGGAGAGAGTCTTTGCGCTTAGAGCCGGGAAGAAACGGTCGACTCGTAGCGTTCGGAGATTCGGCGGCTGGTGGGCGGATGTGATACATGTCCATACACTCCGACGGGTGGAGGGCACCCAAGAACTCCCCCGTCGTCTTGTCGTGCGCATGGAAGCCCCCCGGGCCCATGGAATAGATGACAACGTCGGCACTCTGGTCGAGGTGACCGATACCACCATCCTGAATCTTGAGGTGCGTCCGCAGCTTGGGAGGGCGTTGCGTCATATCATAGACAAAACCCTGGCCTTCACTTGACACCACGCAGAGCGTCCAGAAGGACAGCTGAAAGCCTCTGGTCTGGCAATCATGGTTCAAGACGGCAATCTGCCGGAACTCCCCATGTTGTGCACCTTCCAAGCCCGCCTGCCAGACCTCCACCGCATCCCCCTCACAATCGAACACCGCCATCCCATCCTGGTATTCCAAGTGTGCATACGGACGAACTCCATGCTCGCCATCCGCCGTATCCAGCGTCGACGGGAGTCGCCAGATAACGCGACCCGTGTCCATGCTAATGACATTCAAGCCACCGGCATGAGATGTGGAAACAAAGAATCGACGCTTAAAGTCAGGACGGAATCGCCAAACGGGATCATTCCCGACCTGCACGACAGATTCCCGGCTCGCTGGCGGGGACGCAGCCCAGTTGCGGGCGAGCAGCGTCTGTCGCTTGCAAAGGTCCTTCCATGACGACGTTCCTTCGAAAAGATTGGCGTAGCTAGTAGCGTTGGAAAGGAAGGAGAGGTCACGGGCGCCACCGGGGGGTTGTGTCGCCTTGGAGGTGTAAATTGCTTCTTGATGCGCGCCGTCGATAAATCGGTGCCAGGCCTTAGAGGCGGCGGTTAGAGACGCGAGGGTCGCGACCGGGGAGAATTCCAAGATGCGCAGGACAATCTCGGGGGGCAGAATAGTGAGTGGATCTGCCACGGGAAAGGTTGTCGTCATTCTCGATTGAAAGGGAGGAGATTTCGATCCAGGAACGATTGGAACAGTGAGAATAACGGAGGTGGAGAGAGTGCAATATTTGACTCTGAGCCCGTCTGTGGCGGGGCGATTCTGCCAGATGTCACCGCCTCAGGAACATGACGTCGTGATCTTTACGCGATCCCTTCGTCCGTCACTGTAGTCTGGTAGAGGGACATGAGATGAGGGAAGGATGGAACACATGGTATTTTATAGCGACGCAGGATGGGCTACGAGTGACTACATTAGGAGAAAGCATTTCACTCACCTTAGGTAGCGTTCGAATTGCTTGACTTTGGTACATGAACGACGGGCCCAGTATGTGGATTATTGACGGGATTCCGTCAGGTTGGCATTATTAAGTGGTAATATGTAAAAGGTCCAGCGGTTCTCCATCACTGGCAATTGGTTGTAGGATCATGCCTACGGTATCGTGACACCAAGCAGAAGTCACCATCGTCCTGCTCCCCCAAAGCACCATCATCTCTTCTGATATACAAGGGCATTCAAATGGTAAGCAGAATTAATAAACCCACGGCAGAATCCTCCAGCGCACCGTCTTCTTGTACTGCGCCCAGTCCTCTCCGTACTTCTTCGCACACATGGCATCATCCCGGCGCTCACGGTGTACCAGCAAGATAGCAAAGTACAGCACATAGAAGTAGGTGAAGATCATACCCCATCCTCGGGCATCACCTTGCACCACCTCGCGTCCGTCGCGCGTGGTGAACACCGACGACGTTGCCGCGGCACTCCCCGCAGCGAGAACCCGATACCCAGCCACGCCGGTGGGCAGACTGAACGGCGACGCCTGCAACCAATCGCCAAAGTAGTTGATATGGCGCGACATGCCCCACCAGCCTGCGGTGAGCAGTCTCGTTCCCCGCTTGGTCTGGATGTACGACAGATTCGCCACACTCGGGTCCTGGGGGTTGGTGCGGAAGACGCGTTTCTGGGTGTTGGCCGCGCGGAAGATATACAAGCCCAGGGCGAAAACGGCGCTGACGGCGGCAATAGAAGTCCAGCCCAGATGCAGCGGGTAGGTCGCCAAATAGCGGCACTGTGTGGAGTAAAGGAACGGCACCCAGACGATATCGCCAAAGGTGAGCATGAAGCCCATGCCATCGGTGATGATGTCCATCATGGAGAGGACATGCGACTCGTTATACTGGCCGTCGAGGACGTAGTATGCCTGCACGGCAGTCACAAAGAGAATGCTGTCGGTGACGTAGCCGTAGTTGCGGTACTGCTGGGCGACAAAAGCCAGGTCCAACAGCATCCACCCGGTCAGACCGGGCCGCATCTCCAGCCAGGTCTTGATGTCGACCTCGCCGATCAGCGGCAGCGTGACGCGTGGGTTGAGCTCACGGCCGATGTAGAAGTCATACATGACGTTGCCCGTGTCGCCGCCTTCGGCGAGCTCCCGTAGGTCGTCGTTGGGGTAGTTCGTGTTGACGGTGAAACTGTACGCATAGAGGAAGATGGAGATCCCGTACGCGATCAGCACATTGGCCGTCAAGATCTGAATGTAGTTGTCGGTCATGTAAGTCCAGACAACAAAGTCGGCGCCACGGTAGTAGGTGCCAATGGCGACCGCGGCCAGCTGGACCAGGCTGGACGAGAACGCTGCAGGGAGGTCAGAGACCTCGAACGGTAGTCATCAATTGGAGTACGAATTTTCTCACCATTGAGCCGGTACTTAAGCGGACGGCCATGGTGCACCAGCTTCGTGCCCAGCGTCTCGTTCGCGGGGAGAATCCTCCAGAGAACCAGACTGACGAGGTAGTAGGCCAACACCACGCCCATGACCTGCCAACTGCACAGGTCCCAGACTCCGCCCTGAGGCCAGCCAATTTCCCCCTTGAGCGTCTCCCAGTCCAGCGTACTGGGGCTCAACAAAGAGGGAACGGGACACCCAGCTACATCATTGCAGGCGAAGCGGAAGAAATACAACAGCACGGGTAGACCGACAGTGATGGCGGCTGTGCCAAGCCTGTTCCACGTCAGAGACTAAGATCGATGGATCAGGAGATCGGAAGGGACACTTACGGCCCACCGAATTCGTAGTGAGGCTCTGAATGAGGCATTTGGAGGGATATCCTGACGCGGTTGGCTTCCTTATCCAACCCCTATAATGATGTGGTTTGATGTCGCTGAGATAGGAAATTTATGTTGATTGCTGACTCAGCTGCATGGCGCCAGCCGGCTGCTCGTTGTCCCGAGTGCCAAGACTGGCGGACACCTGGACTGTGAGGCAGTAATTGCCCCAGATTTGTGGCATCAAGGCAGAAATCCATGAGGGCACTACAGTGATTGTAGTGACCTGTTTACTCTCTGCTGATGACTTCTACCAAGTTACTTAGAGAACAATTGTGTGATATGAACAATATCAGTATGTCCCTGGGCTTGTGCTGTATTCAGTGTGATGGAGACGGTCATCCTGGCCTGTCATTCTGGCCCATGCTTCTGGGTCAAGAGGACCAGGGCATACACAGGCAGAGTCCAGTCATAAAGCAAGATGGCGATCTACAACTCGGCACCTCGAGGTAAGTTCCGATTGATGTACATTGTGGACCCTGACCAACCGAGGTACATATTAAATGCCGAGTAAGGCGGGGTTGCGTGAGGGGACGACGATATATATACATTCTACAGCCAAATGCCGCTAGACACCACCACATCCAGAGCTGATTGGAAACAGATACCCACGAGATAACCATGCAAGCTGTCGTGTTTAAAGGACCCCTGGAGGTCGCCCTCGAACAGCGCCCCATCCCCCAGATCCAAGAACCCACCGATGTGATCGTCAAGGTGCGCTACACGGCGCTCTGCGGCAGCGAGCTGCACGTCTTCCGCGGCCACCAACCGTCCGCAACGGGGTTCATCATGGGCCACGAATTCACGGGCGATATTGTGGAATGCGGATCAGAAGTCAAGACATTCAAATCGGGCGATCGCATCGTGTCGCCCTTCACCACCAACTGCGGGGAATGCTTCTACTGCGTGCGGAAGTGCTCCTCGCGGTGCGCGAAGGGCAAGCTGTACGGATGTGTCGTCCTCGACGGCGGCCAGGCGGATTACGTGCGTATTCCCTCGGCGGATGCGACGCTCGTGGCGGCCCCGGCATCAGTGGACGAGAAGAAGCTCGTGCTGATGGCGGATATCCTGCCGACGGGGTATTTCGCGGCAAAGAACGCGTTCAAGGGCCAAGACGAGCAAGAGATCCGGGACAGCACAGTGTTGCTATTTGGGTGTGGGCCGGTGGGCATTTTCGCCTTGCTCAGCGCTTTGGAATACCGACCGAAGCATCTCATCGCGATCGATAGCGTTCCGTCGCGATTGGAACTGGCGAAGAATCTGGGGGCAGAGCCGTGGAATTTCCAGACGGACGGAGAGGGGCTGCGAAACCGAGTCAAGGAGTTGACGGACGGGCGCGGCGCAGACGTGGCTATCGAGGTGGTCGGACACAGCGATGCGCTGCGGATGGCGTTCGAGATGATCCGGCCCTGGGGACGAATTTCCAGTGTTGGCGTGCACAATGGCGAGATCCCGTGGACGGGAAATGAGGCATATGGCAAGAATCTCCAGCTGCAGATGGGACGCTGTCCGGTTCGAAGTATGGACCGCATGTACAATCGTAAATGGATATATCGCTAACTCATGAACCAGGCACTTTTGAGGATGCGCTGGACTTTCTGGTCAAGAAGCAGGATCTACTGGAGTAAGCCTGTCGCGTTTCTGAGATGGATATTGCTAACGTGTGATAGCTTCATGACGGCTGACATCCGCCCGCTATCGCAAGCCGTCCAAGCGTGAGTTGTTCCTGTCGCATCAGAAAGCTATCTACTAACAAGAGTAGATATGACGACTTCAATCACATGAAGAGCCAGAAGATCATCTTTGAGGCTGGTAAATAGGACCATACGACATCATATGGCGATCGACGGATTCCCAACACGTCTTGTTGTTTATAGGGAATGTATACGACATTTAGAGTCTTTCAGCAGACAATATCACTTATCTGTGTTGTTTATGCCTCCAAGACAGTGGCTCGTGCGATATGATAGATGTGGCGCGATTTCTTTGATTGTGGGGATAGCACGAGATGACCCAGACGATCCATTATGGCTCCTTCATTTAGGTCCACGCGTCGCTGAGTCGCTCATTCCAGACCCTTCAGAGCCCCCACCGTAGTGAAATTATGGGCAAGTACCGCGACGAAGGAGGCACATAAATAACTCACAGCAGTAATAGAGTTCCAGCAACCCCTTCAAGGGATAGGAAATGAACGCTGACGGCCTGCAAATGAGGCAAACGGAATCAGCAGTGGGATCAGTAAGGGCGGTGGTTGTATCCCGTCATTTTCCACAATGCCATCAGCTTTCTGCTGCTCGATCCATTTGGATGCTGACCTGACTCGAAGTGTTACGTATGGGCGGATCAAACAGCAAAAGGTTGGTTCTTCTTTCTTCTAATGCCAACGGATAGAAGGCCGTAGGGCTGATTTCAATCAAGATCATAACTAACAGACAATACCTCCAAAGGAAGAGGACAGAAATAGTACTCCTGATAGTACTCCCAAATGCAACATACTTCCACGATCTGCGTCAACAAAGTCTTTTAATTGCTGGATAATCATTGGAATCTCTCCCTGCGTTCACAATACAGCTGCAAAGAAACTTTGCCAGGCAGCACCGTTTCCAAGACAGGGGACGGTGGAGCCATATGTCGCATTATTGGACCGGAACGGCACACGGGTGGAGACAGCAGTCTGAATGGGCAGCCCTAGTGTCAATACTTCAGTCCTTTTGGGCGCTTGGCAGGGATTGTACTCCGTCGATACCAATCGATCTCAATATTGATCCAGTCGTTGAATCATGGCAGATTGCACTCCCTAGGGAAAGACACCAGAGTCGTTGCCTCGGCCACACCGATCCCTATGAGCTGTCCAGACATATCGGAATGCCGCCCACGTACGATGGGAGGTCCACCCTCCAGCAGCACCAAATGTATGGAAGACACCCCAGCCAGGTTGATCTCCTCCCTCATGTAGTCAAGCATCTGCGCACCGAGTAATTTGCAATCGAGCGAGACGCCAATGACCAACCTTGACCAATAGCCCCTTCAATCCTAAAGGCGCCGGCCGAGGTGGACCCGGGGTGTAAAATGCAGGCCAAGAGCGACCAGTACGTCGGCAGGGCTGAAGTTAGACCAGGATTTGTGCTGCCTGACTTGGTTCACCGTTCTTATAACTCCTGAGATCCCAGTCCTTTCCTTGCCTTTATATCGAACGATACTCCCTCCACACATTGCCGGCTCAGTCACCGTCGTCCGCTCGTTCGTTTCATTCTCTCTATCATTATGTCCTACCAGCAACCTCCCCCGGGGCAATAGTAAGTCACGCATCTACCAAGCTCTCTGACGAAATGTATACTGACTAGTCGCCAGCTACCCTCCTCCTGGAGGGTACGCCCCTCCGCCGCCCCAACCGATGCAGTACCAGCAGGCACCACCCCCAGAGCCGTCCAAAGACCGTGGCTGTCTTATGGGATGGTCAGTTGCTTTCCCTCAATAAACCAAAAACACCGGCTAACATCTACGATAGTATCATGGCTATGTGCTGTTGTTTCCTGTGCGAGGAGGCCTGCGAGTGCTGCGTTGAATGCTTGGAATGCTTGTGTCCTTGTTGATCCGGAGGATACGGTGGATATACCTAGTCTCGAAGGGAGCCTGCTACTTATGACTCTGGTTGTTTTTTTGTTTAATTGGATGACGATGGAATTCTGTCTATAATGTTCGTGTTTTAAGGGTGGGTCACCGCTTCGGTCCAGATTCCTAGGTACTATGGGGAATGATATACCAAGTTCGAATCCTCGCAGTTGCCACCCACTCAATATCATTCTTCTATGTACTCGGTTCATTGCCGACCTTTCAGCTATCTGTTGCTTGATACGAACAAGCTGGGGTAGATGGCTGTGTCGGATCATCTATACGATCTAGGTACCCACCGGGCTAGTAGTCGATCGTCCATCACGACGATCTCGTTGGGCATCTTGATACTCAAGGCCTATGATTATACAGGCCACGTTTTATCTATAGTGGCTACGGGCGGTATACTGATGTCATCATCTTGTTGTTGCTTTTTTTTTTTTTTTTTCAGCACTCGTCCAGTTAGACTCTTGATAAGACAAGCTTTGTCGAACCATGGTTTTGAGTTCCAACCAACTTATGAGATCTGCATTGTAAAACCGAGAACACTGCTATATTAGGTTAGGTCTAATTCTGTCTCAAGGACGACGCCATCTATACAATTTGAAGAAAATAGCAGACAATCAGTCCCGAATCACACTGGTTCGATGATGTCATTCATTTGTGGCCTAAGGCAAATGTTACTGTTGATCTGCTTGATTGTACGGAGTACAGTTGTCCATAGCCCCAATTCATTACATACTTGCAGGGATAATCAATTCGCAATGGAGTGGTTGAATAGTAAATGATAATAAGACAAGTCACTCCAGTTCAACTGTCTTCATGCAAGGGGCGGCGGGGACTATGATACATCATACATTATGGGGGCTCAACAATGAACATCAACAGAAGATGATTTCCTGGAAACTATACTGGTAACTTCTTTTATGCCGCTAGAAATTTGCGGTGATAATATCAGTGCATATCTATGAAAAGATCGCACATTTTTATGTCCATGGGGAGTGGAGCCAATGCCCAACTGTACCTGGGCCGTTGTTACTCTCACGGAGCCTTCCTATGACCGTCATATCGTATTCCCATCCTGTCGCCGAGATCGCAATATCTTCCCTAACAACGGTCGAAAAACAGAACCACTACCATCCTGCCGCGGTAGTGCCATCCACAGCAGCAAGATCGCCACAGACAAAGCCACAACGAACGGCATCAGCGACTCGACGCCCCTATTCTGCGCAATAGCTCCAACAATGAAGGGAATGACGGCAGCTCCGGAGCCACCAAACGCAGCCACAAACCCAATGGCCGTGACGTGGAGATGTTTCGGCAGCAGCACGGTCATGACCTGCACCACGGCCGGGAATAGCGGACCGAGAAAGAACCCCAAGAAACCGGCAGCCACGGCGGACGCATAGAAATTGGGCACGAGCCACAAAACCAGGTCGACACCGATGGAGCAAGAAATATAGATCTAGGACTGTCAGCCTACACACTGTGACGAGAAGAGGTGAAGTGAGTGAGCTCCTACCGTCGTCGCTAGCTTGACCCCCAAGCGTGCTGTGACAAAGCCCAGCACGACTCTCCCTACCGTGATGCCTAGCCAGAATCCAGTCGCCGTCATGCCACTAGCGTAATAAGCTGCATGGCGCACGTCGATCATAAAGGTCACGACCCAGCCGCCGACAGCCACTTCCACGCCGACATAGAAAAGCAGGAGGATGGCGCATACCCAGGAGATGTGCGCGGCGGGGCGGGAGAACAAGGTGGATCGGAGGCTGGCGTTGGTTTCGCCGGCGGTCTGCGCTCTTGTCTTTCGAAATGCGGCGCCGGTGAAACGCCAGAATGCCATTAATGTAAGGATGAACTCCACGGCTGCGATGCCGATCTGGGAAGCTTAGCTGCCGACGTTTTTACGGACAGGGAACACCGCTCACCATAAAGAAATAAAAGTAGTTCCATGGTACGTTGGCCTTCTTTACCATGTTGGTGACAACCAGCGGGCTGATCACGGCCCCCAGGCCGTAGACACCATGCAACAATCCCAGGAGCTCATTCGAGTTTTGCATATTGCCGATATAGGTGTTCCAGGCGGCGTCACCGAGGCCGTTCGCTATCCCGGCGAAGATATAGGCCACCACGAGAGCCGGATACGGCGGACGCGTGCAACTGATGATGTACCCGATCAGGTGGCAGACGGAGGCGATGAAGCCCACGCCACGCTGGCCGACCCAGAGGTGCAGCTTGTCGTTGATCAAGGCGGACAGTACATATCCCACCAGCGATGACAGGAAGACCAGCGATACGATCATATAGGTGATGTTGTAATACTCCTCGAGCTGTTGAACGTGAGCGAAGACATCCCTGTTCCAGCTGGGCGGTTCACCTTACATATGGGAGTAACGCCTGCCGTCGAGGTTAGCCAGTGTCAGACGCACGCTCAGATTGGTGATATCTCACTCCATAGGCGGCATCATTCGCGCCCATCACTAAGAAGACCCACAGCGTCGTGAACACGCGAAAGATATTCGATCGTGGATGATTCCACCGGGGGAGCAGAGACTCGGTGTCATCTGGTGGCGTCGCACCTTCCGACCCGTGAGCATCTGCATCTGGCTCTACATGGCCTTTTTCCGTGACATTATTGTCCGAACGCGCCGGCGACATAGGATCCTCCATGTGGGGTTCCATTTCCCCACGATCGGGGGTTGTCATAGTCATCTGCAGATATCGACGAGGGAATTGTCAATTCGCTAGGGGGGGGAAGCAGCAACTTATACCGCCCATACACAGTCCCCCAAAATCTCTATCCACTACTCGCTTGGCTCGCCCACAAGCGCAGTCTCCCAGTCCAGAGGCTAGTTGGAGATCGTGGGGACAGGCGGTTGCTGGCCGACCTGCCCAATGCGGGATGGGGGCACGGCGGACGGTGCTGAGCCAGACCCCCGCCCTGACTCAATGAACCAGTCGATTCCAGCGATTGGTTCACGACATAGATTATACTTTCAAAGACAGACGAGATGTAGCCGCATTCGCCGCCGATATGGGAGGCTGTTGTGCCCTAGGCCATGGGGGAGCCCACCAAGAATGCGGTCTGATGAACGCGGATGTGACGTCAATGCAGTAGCTTGGCTCGTATCCGAGGTTAACAGTAGGGAAAGTATTTCCATTTGAGGAAGTCTTTGTTTTCATTTCCACCACTGGGAGATCGATGTATCTGATGTCTGTACTGACACGAGTATACTGATCACGGTCCTCGTTGGGTTTGCCTGATGATGCGTCATGATATGGTTTCTGACTCAGGCATGTACTTTCCATTCCAGACACGGACACCTTCATATTAGAGAATACAATGTGTTTAGATCCATAGAGTCGGATTAATTATTCGTCGGAGTCATAGTATTCACTCTGACGAGTTTATGATTCATATTTCCTAGGCCGAGTTAGCAGACTGGTGAGAATAACACGTACAATATTAGCTAAGAGATTGGTAAAGCGACAAACGGGTAGAATATATATATCCTCTACTTTACAGTAAGGATAAATCCAATTATTAGCAGTCGATATTATGAAAATGGTGAACATCATCAATAAATGCGCCAAGTACTTGATCAGTTTTCTCATGCAAGTTGAAATTTCATTAGGTATACAATCTTTTACATTTGTTCATGTAGCAATCATCGATATTTGACTGTTTCCATCAATATTCTCCCACTAACATAACCAATGGAGATCACTACCAGACTATACACACAGATGTATGACTGCAAATTGCATGATCTCCTCTTCATATGATCAAAATTTCTATGATTTTCTGTACGCCAATGGTTCTATGATTTTTTGATCTTTTTCCCATCCTTGCCCAAAGTACACCTGACTTATAGGCTGTTCGAACAAGGTACAGGATCCACACCCCGGATGTAGGATGGAGGAATCTTCCGAGTACATAGATCCGTAACTCTCCTATCATGTCTTTCGAACTAAGTTCCGACACTGGGGTAGAACTAATTTCTAGGATAAACCAAAAAAATAAATAAAGTATAACTAAAAAGTAACTATGCTGAACCATTAGTTTTCAGTCAACTTTGCGGAGACCCACCACGCCAATTGATATGTATGACTTCGACGCTTAGACCTCGAATCTCAGGCTTTGTATCAAGATGCCAATGTCGAATGATTCTATAATCAATTCCACCAAAAATAGCAACGAGATCGGACCATCTAGGGGTGGGTGATGGACGGCCGCCCTCGGAGATGGCGATATGCTGTCCCCCCGACGGATGGCACCCATATTGGCTGCTGAGTGTGGTTCTGGGCCGGACCTGAAACATGGATCAACATTGCGGCCAGGAGACACGTCGTGATGCGTGGTCATGGTGAGATTCTGGTCGATTCTTTCTTCTTTTTGCATTCCGATTGGTAGATTCCTGGGGATGTAAAGTCTGAGAACCCGATCGGTTTCTATTTTGATTGACCAAATCCTAGGGTATATTCCTGCCTGTCTCTGAACCTAAACTCTAACATCCATGCCGGTGGGAAGATCAGCACGCGATTTCCTCCCCTGCACCAGGATTGTTCTGGATGCCTTGGCAGAGGAATCAGGGGACCCTGGCGCCGGCCTGGCTCTGGCCAGTTCTGGCCTGGTTCATGGCATCCGATCAAGCCGATTTGTCCGATTGGATGTGCCTTTGTCTCGTTTCATTGTCACCGAGGGTCTCGACAACTGGTCAACGATATCTGGCTCCAGGCTCCAGAGATGGTGTGAATGGTGTTCCTCCAGTATGTGTCTCCCTGGTGCGAGATCGTCGGCCAGATCTGTAGAGAGACAATTTATTATAGCAACAGTGATAGTCAGGATCATCCCAATCCATCCAAATTCATGACAAGGTGACGAATCTTTCTGTTTCTGTTGGTCAATTCAGGATCCATCCGACCCACTTGACACCTGAGGCCCCCTCCCATTGGCCAACTGGCGACGACTCGCTTCCCTGCAACTTCTTCTCTTCCCCCGTTCGTTCCATGGTTGAAATTTGTTGCCACCCACTCCCCTCCATCCGGTCAATTGGTTTGTTGTGTGTAGACTCCACTGATTGAGCGTCTCTTGCACGTTTCGACTTTTCTTCCCTTTTCTCGTTTTCTGCGCACTTGCCATGTCAACGACCCCGCAGTGCGAGCTCTCCTGCAAGTCACCCAGATCTCCCCAGGTCCATCGCCGCACGAACAGACCTTATTCGCGTCGAAATACCCACCGTCTCCTCGATCTGCTCGCTGAAATGCCCGAGAAAGCGATCAACAATGGCAGGGATCAAGAGGGATGCCGTGGCGACCCACCGGCTGATGAATGACAGGCGATCGAACTTGGCCCTGTCTCGGCTTCCCCCACCATGAGGTCATTTCTCGGGGGTGTCGCTAGTGAAAAACACTGTCGACCACCCCTAACTGTTTGTTCTAGACTCGATGGATTTTGGTCCGACCCAGACTTGACCCGGCTCATGGTCAATTGTCAATCAGCTTTTACCTTGTGCTCGGGTTCCTGTCCTGACCCGCTAGCCTTGGCCGCTGTCTACGCCACTGTCCGGCCGCATCGTGCGATTAATAAAAAAAAAAAAAAAATAACGTCCCCCAGCAGTTCATGTTCTCTCGTTTCCCCTCCCCTCATCATTAATTAACTGTCCCTCCACCGTTCATCCATTCGTTGGTTCAACCATCCTCAACGCATCACCGTCTGCGGACTAGCCGGACTGCCGCACCGCTCATGTCGAACATCAACCACCAAAATCAGTCCTCGGAATTGCTCAACCCGCACTACACTCCGCAGGGTCGACATTCGAGGACCAACAGCGCTGAACCGCATCCTCTATCCAACAGTGAGGTCCCCTCGCCGGACACCCCTGAAGCCCCCAATGACTTCACGCGCCCGACCAACCGCGTGCGTTTTCGCTCGATGAGCAACCATGCGCCCGTTCCAGAGCGTCCCCCCCTCGCACGACTGGGTTCCGATCAATCCGTGCAGTCCTACCACTCCGTCGGCACCCTGGTCGCCGAATCGGAGGGTACCCCCCGCAACCGATCCCGCTCGCGGTCCCCGGGGCCGGCGGAGCCCTTTCGCATTCGAGACACGTCCTACCGACCCGGGGACGATGTGATCACATCGTTGGAATCGGAGAAGCAAGTACCCGGCCGTGCCCCGTCCGGCCGGGAACGATGGAAGGCGGCGGGCCAGATGATCCGGCAGAAGACCGTGCGCTTGGGGGAGCGGCTCGGTCGGCCACATGACGAGGGCGAGGCCCTGGGCATGTCGTTGTTGCCGGAGGACCTCGAGACAGGCACGCCGCGCCGATTCGACTATGAGGCCCAGAACGGCCCAGGGGACACGGACGACGAGAAGGAACCCGCCCCCAGCGCCGAGGCCCACCGCCTCGTGCGGACCATCACCCAAGGCCACGCGCGCCGGCGGAAGCCAAGGTCCGCCTACACCCGGTCGGGGACCACGACCCCCGAGACGCCCAAACGTCCAGGCTCCTGGTACCACAACCGATCGTTCAGCGGGAGCGGCGGCGTGCTGGGCCAGCTGCTGAAGCTCCAGGCCGCCCAGGCCGCGGAGGAATCGCGCAGCGGCAGCATGTCCGTAACCGATTCGTCCGACAGCGAGTCGGGCGCGTCGTCGGGCGCCGCCACGCCCAAGAAGGAGAAGCTGAAGTGGTACAAGAAGCCCGCCCACCAGTCTACCGCCTCCCTCGTGGGCGCGTCCATGAACCTGAGCACGGCGAGCCTACCGGCTGGCGCCGACGCCATGCCTTTCACGCCGAAGAAGGGGCAGAAGAAGGCGCCCAGGAAGAAGACGCGGCTGGAGGACGAGATCCGGGTGACGGTCCACATCGCCGAGATCCTGGCCCGCCAGCGGTACATCATGCAGCTCTGTCGCGCCCTGATGCGCTACGGCGCCCCGACCCACCGGCTCGAGGAGTACATGACCATGACCGCGCGCGTCCTCTCCGTCGAGGGCCAGTTCCTCTACCTACCAGGCTGCATGATCATGTCGTTTGACGACCCAGCCACCCGAACCGCCGAGGTCAAGCTGGTCCGCATGGTCCAGGGGGTGGACCTCGGGCGCCTGGCGGAGACGCACAACGTGTATAAGAATGTCGTGCACGACCTGATCGGTGTGGAGGAGGCCATCCAGGAGCTGCATCTAATCATGAAGAAGCCGCCGCGCTTCAACAAGTGGCTGATGGTGCCGACTTACGGACTGGCCAGTGTGGCCGTGGGCCCGTTCGCCTTCGACGCGCGGCCGATCGACATGCCCATGATCTTCTTCCTCGGGTCGCTGGTCGGCTTCATGCAGCACATCCTCGCGCCCATGTCAGTCCTGTACTCCAACGTCTTTGAGGTGTCGGCCGCGGTGCTGACCTCGTTCCTGGCCCGTGCCCTCGGGTCCATCAAGGTGACCACCGACGGCGAGACGCACCGGCTGTTCTGCTTCTCGGCGCTGGCGCAAGCCCCGATCGCGCTGATCCTGCCGGGGTTCATGGTGCTGTGCAGCAGCCTGGAACTGCAGTCGCACCAGATGATCGCGGGGTCGATCCGCATGGTCTACGCCATCATCTACTCGCTGTTCCTGGGCTACGGCATCACAGTCGGCACGACCATCTACGGCCTGCTGGACAGCGACCCCACGTCGGAGAAGACGTGCCGCAACATGGACGTCTGGGGCAGCGAGTACATCCAACACTTCATCTTCGTTCCTGTATACGTGGTCTTCCTGGCCATCGTGAACCAGGGCCGGTGGAAGCAGGTGCCGGTGATGATGGCGATCGCGCTCTCGGGTTACGTGACCAACTATTTCAGCACCAAGAAACTGGGGAGCCGGTCGGAAGTAGCCAACACAGTGGGCGCCTTCACCATCGGCATCCTGGGCAATTTGTACAGCCGACTGTGGCACGGCCACGCTGCCACCGCCATCCTACCGGGCATATTCGTCCTGGTGCCGTCAGGCCTGGCCTCTAGCGACTCGCTAATGGCAGGTATCGACTACGCGAATTTGGTGCGGAACAACATCAAGGCGGACACTGGATCGGCCGACTCGACGGCGCAGGACACGTCCATTGCCAGTCTGGGTTTCGGGATGATTCAGGTTGCAATCGGCATCACGGTCGGGCTGTTCATTTCAGCCCTGGTGGTCTATCCATTTGGCAAGCGTCGGAGCGGGTTGTTCAGTTTCTGAGGTCGCACCAATTTGCAAAGCATGATGTCGCATTGCATATAAGATTATTTACGAAAGCCAAAAGTGTTATGGATCTGTCGTCGTCGAGTGATGAACTTTGAGAATGTTCTTTCGCAACTATCTGTTCGTGCATCTATCACTGCCGCTACCTATGTGTACATTCCGGACAGGGATGGGAAGCACGAAGATCCTACTACACCAGAACCGGCTTGACAGTCCGCCCGGACTTCATATCCCTCACAGCCGTCTCGAAATCCTCCACCGGAAAGTATCGGACGAGCTTCTCCAACGAGGGGACTTCCTCCTGCACCCACTTGACCAGCGGCGGGACGAACTCCCCCTCGACAGCCCCATAAGTAAATTCCCCGTCATCATGAACTCGAACATCGGGATCTCCACGCACCCTCTTCAGGCGTCACTCCACCTGCAACACCCACTCTTGAACGTCGTCATGCGGGTCCCGAAAGACGTGATTAGTGTCGTCCACATCAAAGTTGATATCGTTGAAACGCGAGCAGTACGCAGGTGGCCGTGCGCGCACGTTTCGCAGTCTTGACACTCGCTGAAGCTCAGGATGACGGGGTTGCCTGGTTTGGCGGTCGAGAAGGTGTTGGGTCCGAGGGCGCGGACGTAGCCGGACCCTTGACGCCATTCCATCAGCACTTACTGTGGGCTGCGTGGAAGAGGAGCGGGAGGGAGAGAGATACCTTCCATGCTCCATGAAGCGAGGATAGTGCACGCCTGCACCGGAGTCAATGCCGGCAAAATGCAGATCTGTCTGGAGACTGGGAGGACGTGTTCGATATATGTTTAAGATGTAGTATAGTATATTCAATATAATGACTCAAATGTATCAATATAATGAGCCAATCTAGATGAAATAAACAGGGAGGGAGATGCCATGAGAGAGCGGATATCACAATAACAATGTCTATAAACCCTCGGAAATTAGGCCCCTCATAATATCCCTCGCCCGCTCCACCTCCCCTTCTACATCCCCATCCCACAACCACCGCAGCCGCTCCTCGAACGCACCTCTCAGCTTCTCTTCCTCTGCACCCACCCCATCCAAACACAAGCACAGCAAATCCGCCTGCTCTTTACTGCTGGTAACCACGCGCTGACTGCGCGGCCGCCGCACGGCATCATACGCCTTGAAGGCAGCGACCACATCGCGCGCGTGGGTGACGCGCGGGTCGCCCAGGAGCTCAACCAGGACGTGGGCATCCTCGATAGCCTGTCCAGCCCCAGCGCCCATATGAGGCGTCGACGCATGCGCTGCGTCTCCGAGGATAGCCACGCGCGAGCGCGCATAGGTCGATATCGAGGGATGCTCGAAGATGGCCCATTGTTGTGAGTCGGGCATGTGCTGTCCATCATTAGCGTCATCTTAGTAGAAACAAGATACGACAAAAGGAGAAAGAGAAAAAGGAGAAGGAGAAAGGAAAGAAAAAAAGAGAGAATACATCAACCAAACCCTGCACAAACCCCCCCATATGGGCAAAATCCCTTCGCAGATCTTCCTTTTCAGCGGGCCTAACCCACTCCTCACCCTCCCAGTCCTCACGGAGCACATACAGCCCAACATTGGCCTGCTGCGCGCGCGCAATCGGGTACGAGACGCCGTACACGCCCTTACCCAGGTACAGCGTTGTCACGCGCGCACGATGCTCCCCCACGGCGGCAACCATATCCGGCATATCTAGCACGGCGCGATACCCATACATGCCGCTGTAGCGGGGTGTGGCGCGGGCGTGCTCCTCCTCGGATAGGATGAACTGCTTGACCGTTGAGCGGATCCCATCGCAACCGATGACGACGTCCGCGTGTGCAGTCGTGCCGTCTTCGAACTCTAGCCGAACCCCTTCCTCCCCTTCCCCCTCCCGCTCTACCAACCGCACCAACCGCTTCCCGAACACGGCCCTCTCCGGCGGGATCAGCGCAACAAGGGCATCAAGAAAGTCTGCCCTTCGTACGGTGGTCTGCCCCGATGGCCGGGCCTTCAACTCCATCAGTACCTGATCGTCTGCAGTGACGACCTCGCACCAGGTCTCGCGGAAGCGCTCGAAGCCCGGACTGTCAGCGTGGGTGGTGATCAGAGAATCGTAGATGCGGCGGAGGGCGGGCTCAATGAGGGGCAGGGCGCGGTGGGCGGCAGGCCCAATACTCAACCCCAGACCGACTTCTTGGAAGAGCGGCGCTGCTTCATAGATGGTGACGGGGATGTTGCGTTTGAGGAGACCGGCTGCTAGGGTGAGGCCGCCGATGCCGCCGCCTATGATGGCGACGGTGAATTGTTTGGTCATTCTCTTTCAATCTGTTTCGTTCTTTTTGATTATATTTGATATCTTGCCTCTGCTGGAGATGGTGGTGGCGAACGATGATAGGTGGGTATAACGGCCAACGCAGACAGGGATGAGAGATCAACAGACAGGGAAGACAGAAAATCCCCAGAAAATCAGGAAAAGGAAGGCAATGAATTGGATCCTGCAGATAATGATGGATGATTCCAGCAGTTAGTTAGCGGTTGATAAAAGTGGGGGGTCAGACGATCGTTACTGGATGGCGGATAGTGACACCAGGAGACGGACTAAAAGGGTTGTTCTGCAGCACCGTTGGCGAATGACATGACGATCAGAGGGGATGGATGGCGATCCTGGCTGTTTGGGTGTATTGTATAGGATGGGTTATAGAATATCAATCTACGCTAGGCACAGGCAAGGTTAGTAGAATGACGAAATTGTTAGATAGTAGTATAACTAGATCAAGACCTCAAGATAGGTTAAAGTAGTTAGTCTAATTTTATTAAGTAGCCAGAATGGGAACAGGGCATCTAAATCTTCCTGCAATCACTGTGCGCCCCCGGCGACCATAGGGAGCAGCTAGTAGAGTAGCAGACGGAGAGTTACTGGGTGATATCTTGCTGAACAGGTGCCATTACAAGCCACTGGGTGAAATCTGGGCCGAAAACAGCCTGATTTAGACGGGGAATTTCACGATTTCAATCTGTTATCAGAGAGGATGAGAAGTGTTCTGTACCTGAATATACTGCCCTTAACAAGCTGCTGCTGTTTGTTCTATAAAGGCTAATACTAGTAGTAGTAATAGCAGAACCAGCGTTCCCTTTTCCAGTCATGGCTGAAAACCCATCAATGACAGCGAAGAATTGATTGGACATTCACAACAAGCAGTTCAATAAAAGATAAACAATCCGAAGACCTGAGAGAAACACCCACACGCTGCCCTAAACTCGACACTTTGCCTTTTCTTACTAACCACGCTTGCTAACTTCCTAATAGAGCGCCTGAACACTACCTGCTTTCTCAAGATGGTAAAGGCTTCCGAGGACGCTTGCTAGGAGATAATGACCTCAAGCGACTACCAAACTTCCTAACAGATTCAAAGAACCTGTCACGGTGTCGTATCACATTATCAGTTTCCATCATGGCCTCAGCAAGTGGCATTGTCGTGAGGAATTGCTGAGCTCCATTCTTCACTAAGTCAACGATTAGTAACGCTAGCAAACCAGAGAGAATAGTTGAGACTCACGTCTCACTAAACTGTCGATTTTGACACGGATCTCATCCATACTTAATGATGAATCCACAAGTGCAATAGCAAGGTACTCGGGGGGCTTGGTGTAGAAAAAGCCTTGAGAACCCAGAGGTTTGTCAAACACCTTTACATTCATGATATGTCGGCGGATATCCGTGAACCTTTCCAGTTTGGATTTAGCATCTTCACAGTGATCATCTTTTGCCACCTCTAAGGCTAGGTTGTTCCGCCAAGTCTCTGTATCAAATACTAGACCTTCAGGAAACTGAAGATCTAGAAACGACACATAATGTGAGGCTAGTGTGATGGTTGACAGGCGGTAATCAAGCATGTCGTTGAGATCCATGAGAATTTCCTTGTCATACTGTTTTCCTTGAAGCAGTTGTTTAAGATCCCAATGTGCGACATTCGGTCCAATGTTGTCTGGGCCAGGAAATGAGTTCATGTAGACTGCAGCCTTGGCCTGGATAACATTATGGTAACCCTGACCAATACTACCGGCAAACCCCAAGGCAGCTGTCAAGTCTGGGGTTTCATCTGCGGGCGATGGGGACACGTCGACTTCACGTAATTCTTCCCATTTCGCTTGATAATTAAGGAGCGGAAAACCAGAGCGTTTCCTCCATTCAAGATTCCATCGGTCATCTTGCGCGGAGAAGGAAATCCCATGACTCCCATAGAAGGGGTCATTATTTTTGTATGCTTCGTATACGGAGCTACACATGTTAATATACGTCGGCGATGCACTTAGCTCCTCGTCGTCATAAAGGACTGGATGGGTGGGATCTTGACTGCTGACTTTTGCCATGTTGACCAGGGCATTGAGAACCGAAGTGGCATATATTGAACCACCCGCCCGTCCGCAGGACTGGCTGCATACCCATGAAACGCTGGTTTCCTCAGCATTGACAGCAGTCATCCCCGAAATATTGAGCTTTTTGGCGGGCGCCAATACTGATGCCCCAACAGGCTGGAGAATCCACCCGCCAGAGTAACAGGATGTCATCACGAGTGTTAGCTTGACACCCCTTCTGGTTGCAGAGGCAAACTTCTGCCTTGTTAGTCTTGGGGCTTGGTCCACCCGGTCTTCGCCACCAACTGAAACCCCAAAGGTGCCTGCATCGCCGTGCCCAAACACGAAAACCAGAACCGGTTGATCTTCTCTCGCGGCAATCTGTGTTTCCGACCGCAGGGTTGCCAGGAATCGCTCCAGTAAATCCTTTGCGGGGATGACCCGGATGTTGTGACTGGCCTCGATTCCATCCAGGAATGTTTCATCGAGGACGACTCGACGCTCACCACTTCTACTACCATGAACAAATTCTTTGTACTTTGAAACAAGTATTTTCGGGTCGACACAGGTCAACCATAGCTGGTTAGCTGAGCGGAATGTGTCTATTGATACTATCAGCCTGGATGAAAAAAACCTGGCCAGAATAGCAGGGTGTTCCACATACCACCGTCCGCCAGAAGGTGATGGAATAAGTAGAAGTCAGAAAAGAACCACCCATCCGCCTGGGGAGAGGCATTATCGCGCCAATCGTTGACTCCGCACAGCGCTATGATACGGGTATTTGGTTGAATATCTGGTGGGCAAAACATGGGAAACTCGCAGTTCTCAGCATCCGGCTCTCTTCCATCTCCCCCCATGTCTTTGGGCGTCAGTGTTCTTCCCGCCATCCCGTTCGACAGACAACGTGTAGAAGCTCTGTATGGGTACTTGTCACAAGTTCAACAAGGTCGGTTGTTGTGGTAGAGATATTCAAACTACCAAGCCAGCAACAGAATGAGGAAAGTGTAGTCTACATTACGTAGTATATACATATCCACTCCGTCACTGAACCTTGTTGCCTGGTTTGTGGTTCTGCCGTTCACCCCAACACTTTTCCATTACGAGACGTATACTAGGGAGTTATTCTGCGAATAGAATTTTGAACAAGTTCATTGGAGATTCACTGGAATCAAAGAGCTAATAATACATTCTCGCGCGCAACAATACCAGTTCGTAACCGTCTCATGATATCGTAAGATATGGGCCTGTACCCTCCATGTCACATTATTGACAAAAGCAAAGAACAAAAGGGATATGGAAAAAGAGGAAGGGGAAAATATGAGAAACCATCAACAAAGCGCAGTTTAGAAGTGCTGACGGTGGTCCAGATCGGAATCAACACGGGGATCCAGCTTGTTGGCCATCTTGGAGTTATGCGGGCCACCAGTGGCAGAGGTTGTTCCCGGGGTAGTATAGCTGCTGCCCGCCGGCGCGGCAACGTGGCCACGGTCCGAGTCAACACGCGGGTCCAAATGGTTGGCGAGGTGGGAGCTGTGCGGCGTGACGCTGGTGGCACCCGCGCCGGTGTTGCTTCCGTACGCATTACCACGACTGGGGGTTTGGCCGTAGGTGTCATGAGACCCGACGCCAGTGCCTCCGGTGTTCAGACCGGTGCCTGTGCTCAGACCGGTGCCTGTGCTCAGACCGGTGCCTGTGTTCAGACCGGTGCCTGTGCCCACACCGGTGCCCGCTCCATAACCCGAGTTGTATGCACTGCCACCGCCGAGAGTCGAGTCGTGAACTCCGTACGCCCCTCCCATCGCCTGGTGGTGGGCACGGTTATCCCGGTCCGAGTCGATGCGAGGATCGGCTTTGTTGGCCAGAGTCGAGTCGTGAGGCCCATGCGCTCCTCCCATCGCCTGGTGACGAGCACGGTTGTCGACGTCCGAGTCGACGCGGGGATCCAGCTTGTTGGCTAGGTTCGATTTATGAGGGCCGGTGGTCCCGGTATGGGTGGTTTGCGGGTTGGTGGTCCCGGTATGGGCGGGTTGGGGGCCGTGGGTGCTTGTATGGACGGTCTGACCACTGTATCCAGTTGTGGCAGATGGAGCGGCACGGGTATCTGGAGAAATCATGTTAGTGTTGACAGAGGCCATGTGTTGATGGGGCTTACCACGGTCGCTGTCCACGCGGGGATCCAGCTTGTTGCCCGGCTTGGAGCTGTGCGGTCCATGGTTGGTGCCATGGGACTCGTGGTGGCCGGTCAGGCTGTCTTTGACTTTGTGGATGACCCCAGACATGTTGGTTCAGTGTTGAAATTGTCTTTGATGAATGAGAACGATGTAGATGAGTTGTAGATGAGAACGATGTAGAATTATGATTATTAGATATGTATGCTCGAGGACGATAGGTTTGTGTCTTATATAGCCCAAATAGCTGGCTTGATGCGATGACGCAACACATATACAATCATTGACCCTCCTATACAAAGGTTTCACCATGACGTCGTGAGACTGGGATCAGGGCATCTCTGCTCGAATGGTAAACAACAGGGTCAAATGTGTCGTCATATCGGAAGCAAGAGTTGGCACTGCCAGGGGATTGATCATGTTGGAGTATCTCAACCATGGTATCATCCCAGGTCGATGGATCTAACAAGTAATCGCCCCGCATATCATCTATTTGTATCACTCGTCGTGAATGAAGGTGGGCTGTTGGCTACTGAGCACGGGAGATCTTGCCGAGACGATCGACGTCAGTGGCGTGTGGATGCCGATCGGACAATATGAGCGGCCAGCCATGCAGATCATGACTTCAGCTCAACCACACTGTGATGACACTGGCTATCACTGACAGCCAGCCTACAGAGGGAATGTGCGAGAAACCAGAAAGATGAAGATCGACAAGTGGAATGCGGAGACAGATCGATGGTCTGGATCAGGCAACCAGGCAGCCAGACACCCTGGCACCTGGCACCCGGGCATCCAGGCATCCATGGATCCAGGCATCCAGGCATGACTCCCGTGACTTGCCCAACATGAGTCAGCTATCCATTTTATGCACACCATGATTGGCGGAGTATTAATCCCCCTTATCTGAAACGTCGCGGGTTCGAAACCCCGTCTTGGCGCTTGCCCCTTTTTTTTCTCATCTGTGTCACTCTCCATCCTCCCGATCTACAGATCCACTTTCTCCATGCTCTATCCCGAACAATGAATGCCAATCCGCCCCCACTTGGTGACAGCGGCGCTTGTGTGAGTCCCGACGATATCTATGAGGGTCATCAATGTCTAATCCTGACCGTCCAGTGTGCCGCGTTGGCGTCAGCCCTAGGAGATAGTAAAGTCTCGTTTCCATCGTCAGACCCGTATACCGCGTCGCTATCGTCGTACTTCGCCCTGCAGGAATCCGAACTGCATCCCAAGTGCATCGTCTTCCCGGAATCAACCGGAGATGTGGCCGATGCGGTCAAAACTTTAACCTCGGGTGGGAAGCCGTCCGATAGCGCTGAGAAACAAGCGTGCGCGTTCGCCATCCGTTCCGGGGGCCACGCGACGACTCCAGGCACCGCCAATGTTGCGGACGGCGTGACACTCGACCTGAGCAAACTCAACCAGGTAAAGGTGCACGAGTCGAACCAGACCGTCTCGGTGGGTGTGGGCAACACCTGGGGCGACGTGTATGGCATTCTCGACCCGATGGGGCTGTCCGTGGCAGGAGGACGGGCGGCACAGGTCGGCGTTGGGGGTCTGACAACCGGCGGGGGAGTGTCGTACTTCTCCCCGCGATACGGCTGGACCTGCGACACGGTGGTCGACTTCGAAGTAGTGCTCGCGGACGGGTCGATCGTGCACGCCAACAAAGACGACAACCCCGATTTGCTGTATGCGCTGCGCGGCGGGTCGAACAACTTCGGCGTAGTCACGCAGGTTGAACTCGAGGCGTTTGAACAGGGTCTAGTCTGGGGTGGGGTGGTCCACCACGGTGTGGACACTATCGAGACGCAGTTGAAGGAGGCCTACGAGCTGATGAACTCGGCTGAAGGTTACGACGAGTACGCGTCGCTGATTATGAGCTTCACCCTCGCCGCTGGAGCGGGAGCGACAGTGTCCAACAGCATTGTGTACACGAAGGAAGAGGAGAACCCGGCAGTCTTCAAGCCGCTCATGGACATTCCGTTCAAGAAGAGCACTATGAAGCTCAAAACCATGAGCGAGATGTCCAAGGAGCAGGGCGCCTTTTCGGTGGATGGGAAGCGGTGAGTGTTGTTCCTCTGATGCCGTAACCCGGTGCTAATATAGCGACTTCAGGGAGCTCATGGTGGAAACAACGTACCGTTCAACCCCTCCCATCCTAGACGCGACGTTTCTCCACTGGAACGAGTCGCTCGAGGCCGTCCAAGACGTCGCTGGGCTAGTCTGGTCGTTCTCGCTGGAGCCCCTCCCCCCAGCCATCTACGCCAAGCACGCTGCGGAGAATGCGCTGGGAATCCCGGGGACGTCAGGGTCGCTGGTGATTGGGTTGCTCAGTGCGACATGGACAGACGAGGCGGACGACGCTCGTGTGGAAAAGGCCTCTCGCGAGCTCTTCCGCGCTATCGAGGACGACGCAAACCGCATGGGTGTCTACTCTCCGTTCGTCTATCTTAATTACGCGGCGCCATGGCAGGACCCTATTTCAAGCTATGGGGGCAAGAGCGTGGGGAAGCTGCACAAGGTGTCGAAGGAAGTAGATCCCAAGGGTATCTTCCAGTCTCAGGTGGCAGGGTTCAAGCTTCGCAGGCCGAACCCATGATCACACTACTATACTCGACCTATGTTGTCTTCTTTTTTGGAAATCGTTCGGTGTGAAAAGTTTACCTTTTGCTTTGATTGAATGGATCTTGATATGTATATATGACGCGCACGCAGCTAACAAACGTATGTGGATACTCACTCATCTCTATCCCTTTATTGCCTGCGTCAATGCCCGTCTTCTTCCCGCCGACGCATCCACTCGTCCACAATCCCAGCGTACGCCGCCGGGCCATAAGTTCCCATCAGCTCCTTCAAGCAGCCCCCGCCCAGCCGGTAAGGATTGAGCCCAAGGTCCCGCAACAGGACGTCGTTATACTGTCCACAGTCAGTCTCCAAACTCAGCCAGGAAGGAAATCAGACACCCACATGGATGGCATCGACATCTAAGCCGCTACCTGTCAGACTTCCCCAGACAACATCCTCCGAGACTGCATCCCTTAAGCTATCTTCCATATCCTCGTTGATCCGCAATGGTGACGGCAGCCCCCCACAGGAATGACCCTGTCCATCTAGGCCGCCCGTTAGAAACGCCGCTGCCCAGAGAGCCTGCACCTCCGCAACAACAGCGACAGTACTACTCAGCACGACACCAAGGACAACAAACGAGCGGTCACCCTGCGCCGCGAGCGACGGGGCCACCATCCTCCGGAACAGTCGGTAGGGCGTGCTCCCGGAACCCCCCCGCAGAGACCGGAATGTGCTGGCATCAAAGACACATCTCATCTTCGACTCTGTCCTCGAATCCAGCTCGTCCCATCCAGACAGCGACCGCGATATCCCCTCGCACGGCTGCTGCGCTAGCGAGTCCATGGAACAAGCCAGACCAAGGGTATACGCGAGCGAAGCTGGCTCAAACGGGATAGACGCTACGGGTTTCCATCCGGTCGCGTGCACAATGAGATCCGCGTAGGGGATTACTTCGCCATTGTCTAGATGAACGGTGGGGCTGTATGTTGATCCGGTGAAAGCCGTGATGTCGGCCCGGTGCACATGCACGTTCGCGCCGCGGAGTGTCTCCCAGAAGTTCGGGTGGTTTGCGATGCCGCCCGATGCGGCGCAGTCGATGACGCTGTTCATGTTAGCCACCTTCATTCAGAAACGAGAGAGGAGGAAAGACACATATGTATATGGGTGTGGTGTTTACGCACCTACTTCCCGGACGCAGCTTCTCCATCTTGGGATCCGAATCATACCCCGCCGACATCTTAATATCTCGATCGATAGACATCCACAACCGGCGGACTGCAAACCGACCAACAGGGTTACCGTGGAAAAGCCTACACCACCAGGTCCCTTCAACAAGAGGCCGCCATCCCCAAGCATCATTCCCACTCGGTGGTGAGAGGGCGATCCGCTTAGGGGTATTATACACACACGGCGTCAACATTCCCACCAGCCTCGTACTAGCCGCCTTGTCGCTGGGTGCGAACCGCCCATTGGGGAGCTTCGACTCCGGAGGCGCCATCCACGCCAGGCCTGCATTCTTCTCGCGAATCACCCAGTGAACCTGCACCTTTTCAGGATGTTTACTGTCCAACGAATGCGACGGCATGTCGCGGTGCAGAGATGCAAACAGATGGACAAAGTCAAAAGAGGACTTCGCTCCGCCTTGCACGACAACCGTACGTAGCGTCTGTTCATAAAGAAAGCGTATTTCATCGCTATCCTTCTTTTTCTTCTTCGCGCGCGGAATAGGACGATAGCCCAGGTTGTCGCGACAGTACTGACCGACTTCTTTGGCGTGGATCCTAGGCAGGCATTCTTTCTCTCCTACTTCTGTCTCGTCTGGGATATTTGGGACATTCGGCTCAGATGTCAATCCCGTTGCCAGAATCAACTTATCACAGATGAGCGTGGTGGAGCGGTCCTGGCAACCCTCATCAGAGATAATAACCCTGACTTCCCATTCCCCGGTGGGAAGCCGACGAATGCTCACGACCTGTACAATCAGCCATCACTACACCTTCCAGAAGTAAGGAGGAGAAATATAAAACGAGAGTGTGTTTGTGTGAGAGAAAGAAAGGGAGAAAACCAACCCTCCACCCGAACCTCATCCTCCCCAACAACCTCCACTTCTTGCACCAAACTTGAAGATACCGATGAATTTTCCATCCAGGAATAAACTGCCCGGCTGGGTCTTCTTCCTCGGGATTTTCACCGTTCCGGAGCGCATCCTCCAAAGGCAAATCACTGTACTCGTACAGACCGTAAGAATTCTGACTAAGCAGGTTAGGATAGAGGCGCTCTTTGGCCCACGTGCCACCGAGGGACTTCGCTGCGTCGATGATCAAGACGGTTGGTTTGGTGTCGACTGTGACATTGGATGTACTGGACCCAGATGAAGAACAAGAGGAAGTGAAGGCAGGTGGTACTTCCGGATTGGAAGCGGGGTCTTTCTTCTCACTGGACGCATCGTAGGCCCCTGATACTTGTAGGTAGGTCTTGGCTGCGACCAGACCGTACAGACCTGTGGTATTTGTTAGTGATATCATTTATATTGAGAAGACGAAGGGCGCTTGCCGGCTCCGATAATGAGTACCCGTGTCATCACTGTTGCTGCTGGGTTGGTGAAGGGACACGGTGGATTACACGGGGTTGGAAGAAGGTAGGACGGTGAGCTACACAATGCAAGCCAGGGGGATTAGGGGAAAGGAGGTGATTGATGAGTCCTGGTCGTGGACAAAGCAAAGGTATAAATTAGGGTTTGGTGAGGCGCTTGATATTGTTCCTTTGTTCTTGGCCTGTCTCCCTTCGCCCAACGATCCCCCAAGGACGCCCCTCTGATAGTTTCAGTTGACTGTGCTAATATCCTACGGAGGTATCGCTGACCAACTTTTTATAGCTTGATTGTTGTAATAATATGTAAACCTAACCGGAAATGATGATATGAAACCGGGTCGTGGGACAAGATCTCATACGCATTTGGCACACCCGTCCTTTGTTTGAATCATCACACGCCTTCCCCGGACTTCATCTCAGAAGTAGGGTTCCAGGCAATATTCATTTCACATAGGGCGACCTCCTCGGGATCTATAACATTCTATTATCATATGCCGCATTCGCCGGTTCTAGGGTTCTTACCATAACCAATCTTGGCATGAAAAGCGAACGATCGGGCAGTGGCGCGCAAAATTTCATACTCCTGTGCTAGGGCATCCCGTTCGGTCATCGCGTCAGTCGATTCGGCTGCTAATTCTTGGACTTGATCGTCTCGTAAGCTGTGAACGTCCCTTGCTGTAAAAGCACCCTCCATGCCTGAGCGAAGAAAGCCTTCGATGATAAGGGAATTCAACCGGAAAACAAATTCATCACACGTTCTCTGCAGCCATGAAAGGTTAGCATGAACTGTTTCTCAGCCAAAGATCGGAAATATTACATGGTAGTGTTTTTCTGCCCAGCCAACGAGGTCTGCACCAGTCATGAGATTGTCGGATTCCTCCACGTTCGCGGCCATGCGTCCAACATCTGGTCCGACAGCCTCATATCTGGGATTCTGCAGACCGGGGAGCGCAAGGGCTATCCTGTTCCAGTCGTTAAGGCTCGTCCCGGATAGAGACGGATGTTTTGGACGTAATCGATCAAGAGCCACTGCCTTCTGCTTGATCGCAGCTCCCTGTGCATCCCTCAACCGGGCGTCCATGAACCTTGTGAATAGGGATGCACCCAGGGTATCCCCTGCCAGATGTTGAAGAAGCTCGCTGGTAAATTCCCTCAATGCTTGCAACACTGCCATTAGGTGTTTCTCCGCCAACTCATCCCATGACTCGGTCAGATCGCGAAGCAAGTCCACGACCAAACGAGTCGATAGATAACCACGTTTCACCAAGTCTCGCTCTCCGCGTAATTCATAATCGAACTCAGCGGCCTGGGTCTGACGATCCACAAATATACCGTCCCAGAAGCCCATGTAGAGGTTGTCTGACTGTATAGCCTGTCGCATACGGTCATGTTCGGCAACCATCCCACCCGCGTCGATGATCTTCTTCCGACCTCCACGAAGAGTTATCGCCTCGACAAAATCATTTTTCAGCCTCTGTACAACAAACCGCAAGCAACGACAGCCTAGTCTGCCCGTGCCGCTCCATTTGAAAAATACATCTCCGTAGGCTCCAGTCAGAGCGTGCAGCGCGAGGCGTTGGAATTCCTCGCTGGTGCCATAGAGAATAGCTCGTTGCTTTTGGACCGTCGGTCGTGGGGGCCCTAGAATCAATCGTTTCTCCTGAATGATCTTGAATTGACGAACTATCTCGTCTTTCCATTGTGGAAACATACTTTCGCAAAGCTTGCCGCGTAGGAGACCGGCTAGCCCACGGCGAAATTCCCGAGCACCGCGACATCCGATCAATCGTGAGGCGCGGGGTTCATAACTTAAGCATATGTCTTCCTTCGTGTCTCTTGCTTGGTCGCTAATGACGTATTCGGACGAACTCCGGTTCACAATGGCATGCCATTGTAGCTCGAGGGGAAACCTCTTGTTTTGAAGCAGCTCAAGCGCCAGTTGATGCTCATGTGCATTCGGATCGGTCATATCCAAGCATGTCACGACACCCAATGTACGCACCCCGTCAGGGTCGTACGTTTTGATGTTCTCGAATGCCCGCTGCCAGTTATCGGTCACTTTGGCGCTCACGACTACGATCAAGGTCGTCAGCGGATCCTCCATATACCTTCTAACCAGACGATCGAGAGGCCATCCCTGATCTGTCTCTTCCTTACATAACGAAGGAAAGTCGAAACCGGGCAGATCCACAAGTGTTAACTCCGGCATTGCCGGACCACAACAGCTCATTCTAAGGATATGATCCCCAGCAGTAAGGCGTTGGTCATCAGCAGACCCTAGAATCTTTTCTGTCTCCCGAACTGCCGATGGGAGGTCGTCGACCTCGAAAACAGATCCAGGCGCCATATCTTCGCGTCCGTCCTCCTCGCGGTCTCCGGCTTCGTTATTGCTTGAAATGATGGAAACTTTGATGTTGGCGGTTGAACTGCGACGAAAAGCCACCTCTATCGGTAAGCGGGTGCTATACGGCTGCGAAAACCGGATTCGAGTGATTGCATCGAGGACAGAGCTCTTGCCCGTTTGCTTGCAGCCGCAGATTACCAGCTTCGGGGGGTCAATGTGGTCTCCGTGTCCCAAAGTACGAAGGTTCCCAAAGGATTCCAACATCTCGCCCTGTCCGTACTGGAGCTCCGACAGTGCCTCTTCCGCGGGTGAACGAGGCATCGTGGATAAGATAAAATAAGGTAAGGTGTCGTATGATATCAGATTAACAAGATGAATGAATGACACAGTGAATATGTGAATGTGAAAAATGCATGGCGAGAGTCGAGGAGAGAACGAAGAGAGACAAGAAAGACATGAAAGACTAGGGAGGAGGCCAAAGCAGGAGTCACGGCCATCGCTCCTTCTCCCTCCAGTCCCGCTGTTATTCAAGAGGGCAGGCGCATTGTAGAGACCGAAGATTGAAATTTCCCCTGTGTACATACCGTTCAGGTCAAATACTCCCCCACGGAAATTGAACAAGTTGGGATTGAGTTTATGCTTGCAGCTTTAGCTCGGGGTTGTCTATTCTAACGAAGCAAGAGAGTATCCCAACTATTGTTGTTGTTGCGTTTTTAGTACTATATGACGTATATCATCATGTCATAAGGATTGGCTATTGTAAACAAGCGGTAAATCTTCGCTTGGCGGCTTGATCACATAGCTAAAATTACTTACCAATTATCTTACTGACTATATAATCATGGACTATATATGACCCGGCAAAGTACCTGTAGGGGATCCCTAGAAGCATCCGCGTAAGGTCTCTAAAAGAGGCAGTGTAGAGATCTGTAACCAAAGAGAGTTAGCTGTATAACTGGTATTTATTTGAGTAGTAGTGTGGGGTTCTGGCGAATATTATCATAGAGATATTCTAGAAAATGAAAAATCCTCAGGGGGTTCTCCGAGATACAAAATGGTTAGGCTATTAAAGCCCTAGGATGAACAACCTAAATAGGAAAACATGCATGAGGATTCATGAAAAAACACACTTTCTCTCTTATGGTATAAGAGATCAGATCGATAGCCAAATGAGCTCGCGAAAAATCCCACAATATCTCCATCTTCACAAACTGAAGACCCCCCTATTCGTATCAAGCTTGCGGCACCCCCTGGTTGGACATATGCCCCCGGAGATCCCATCTTTGGCAGTGTCATCAGACGGAACCTAATAGCCACCCCAGAACCCACAGTCAAGGTCTCGTTTAGAGGACGCACAAAGACCAAGATTGATGACGCTCGAGGGATCAACGATTGGGAAAGGTATCGCGGTCGTTGGTCTCTCATCACCAGTGGACAAGGTCACCTCCATCACGGACCTTGGACAAGAACTTTGGAATGCTTGGTCGAGTATCACGTTGAAGTTGAGATAAGCTACATTCATGGCGGGTTGTGCTTGTTGCGTATGGCTAGCGTTGCAGTCAGGGTTTGACATCCACCAGCCAGTACAGTGTTACGAAACCCTGCCATGCGAGAGTGCAGGCGCATCCCGTAGTTCCGGAGCCACAGGCTGATTCCGGAGATGGAGCAGAGAGACGTGACGCTCAAACAGACGCATCGACTCTTCAGTCGGTCCACTGACCCCCATTCCTGTTACAATATGGATCTCGGCGCGCCCGCCGAAACCCAGGTCAACAGCCCCTCGCCTATTCCGCTGACACTCAACATCGCCCCCGAGCCAGATCAAACGAGCGTCGAGACCTGGGATATACCGCGGACGGTACGCCTCGACCGAATCAGACTAGTTGTACATTCGACGACAAAGATCAGTCCCCCGTGGGACAGTCTCTCCGGGGTCCACCATGACGCACACTCGATAAAACAAGACCTTCAGCTTCAAGACATATTTCGGGTTTTGGAGACACCGATCGCTATCGGAGAGATGCTTCACCTTGTCCTTTTACCCGACTACGTTAATGTGATGGGACGACGGAATATTTTCTCTGGTACGATTTAACCGGATATTGTTACGTTTAATATAGCGCACAGCCATAGCATGTCGTGGGAGCTGTCGCTCACCGTGGTGGGCAACGCCCAAACTGTGGATGTGAGCACAGCGGTGGAATTACTGCCAGAATGCTGAGAAGTCTGGAGTGCTGTCATTATTGCCGTGTGTATATGGGTTGGCGATGATAGTTAGTATAGAATCACGGGCTGCAGTCAATCTCACGAATCGCCTATCATGCAGACTGATTTGTTGACCTTTATCTATCTGACTTTGTGTATTTATCCATTTATTCAGTGATCCTTTGTTCAATTTTGCGACTTCCTTGTAAGATCAAGGTTTTATATATCAAAGTTTTGCAAATATATAGAACTTTTTATACCATACCAAGGCTCCCAATCCTGAAAGTAGGTGTTCTTTCTACAATGATGCCGTTCACTGGGTCTCCACAGGACGGTTATACAAAGGTCAACAGACCAGATATACCCCGCATTCCATGCGTGGGGTGTTTCCATAATCACTTACGGATCGAGACATCCAGCATCAGGCCAGGGCTAATCAGGTGATCACATCTCCCGACGATCCTCCACCGTTTCTTTCATGCCATAATTAGGGTCGTCAATCAAGCACAGTTCGAGCATAAATATCCCTTTCCCTTTTCCACCACTAGAACAGCGCTTATCTCTAATCATGCCCCGGGTGAAACAAAAGACCAAGGCAAGATACTCTCCTCTTCATACCCCTTTACAACCGTCAACCTGACCCCACTAGGCGGAAGACCTAAATCGCATCCGCAACAACCAGCGGCGATGTAGACAGCGCAAGCGAGACTATGTCACAGAGCTTGAATTGCGGCTCGCAAACATGGAATCAACGACGTCGCAGGAGATCTGCAGACTTCGGGGTGTGGCCGATGAGCTTCTCCAAGAAAATGAGAGGCTGCGGGGATTGCTGGACTCAACGTGTGTTGATCGTAGGTGTGGGGAACGCAGCAGGCAGATCGACGTGGCAGAACAGTTGGAAGGGAACATATCTATTACTTCTGATTCAATGGATGATGGGAAAGTATTCCCCGTCACGTCGTGGATAGGCCTCGGTACGATATAACTTCTTCAACATCGCTGATGTCTTCTGATCCTCCTGGTTGGGCCTGTGATACTAACTCTAGACAATCTACTAGAACAAGGGGAGAAGTCCATTGTTAAGAGCCCTGTTCATCCTGAACTATGTCCATCGCCGTCTATGTCACTCGATCATTTGACAGATTTCTTCCGGGAGACCGACTACCCCCAGAACATGCCTTCAATGGAACCCGACTCAATATTCCTTCTCTCCAACCAAGTCCCACCCCATACTACAGCTCCCACTGCAGACGTAGAGGCGTCCGATTATACCCAGGACACGACGGTGTGCGCCGTCGCATTAGAGCTGGTCATGAGCTGCAATCGGAAAAACCTCAGTATTTCAGAATTAGATATGCGACTGCGATGTGGATATCGCCGGGCGCAGTTCCAATGGGAAGGCTGCAGGGTGGACAATCGAGTCTTGTTCGCTGTGATGAGTGAGATTACATGACGGAAGTGATCGGATGACGTACCAGTTTCCCCTCTTGGCACGTGCGCAAACTGGTGACATATCGGTTATGGCCTCGTCCCCCAATCACAGTCAGGCTGTGACCTACTTCTCAATTTTGGGGAATTATCAGTAGGGGCAATTGGGAAGCTATAAACCAGCTGTCTCTCTTCCCTGCCCGCCTTCTCCCTTCACTTGCATATCACAATCTCTGGTTACCAATCTAACTACTCCTCAGCCGTCCATCATCTGAACCTATATCCCAAAATGGCTGACAATACATACAACCTGGTGCAGTCCCGCTATGGAGACATGGCTGAACAAAGCAAAACTACCCAAGAACACGCTCAGGAAGAGGACATTGCCCGGGCATTTGGATACAGCGCGGAAGATCTTAGTTCGCTGCCCGAAAAGACCAATCTCGGTCTGAGCTGTGGCAATCCCGTGGGATTCGCCAACGTGAATGAGGTTCGTCCACTCTTCCAACCATGTCGTGGATCACTTTGTTAACGCCAAGCAGGGCGAAACTGTCGTCGACCTTGGAAGTGGCAGCGGCATCGACGTCCTCCTAGCCGCTCGCAAGGTCGGGTCCAGTGGAAAAGCGATCGGTGTCGACATGACCAAGGTGTGTATGCCATCTGCCTTCCGCCTCAAGCTGGAGACTAACGTCTGAATCAGAGCATGATCGAACTCGCCGAGAACAACGCCCAGAAAGCCGGCCTTTCCAACGCTCAATTCATCGAATCGACCATCAACTCTATTCCCCTGCCCGATGCCAGCGTCGACTGCATCATTAGTAACTGCGTGATCAACCTCGTCCCCATCGGTGACAAGCCGGCCGTGTTCCGCGAGATTGCGCGTCTCCTGAAGCCGGGTGGACGGGTTGCCATTAGCGATATCCTGGCGAGGAAGCCCCTACCCGACCACATCACCAAGAATATGGCGCTCTATGTGGGGTGTGTGGCCGGCGCCGGTCAAATTGATGAGTATAAGGGATACCTCGCGCAGGCTGGATTGCAAAGTATGGATTCTCCCTGCAGGGGATATTCCGTTGCTGACTCTTCCTAGATGCCCTTATTGTTGACGCAAAATCGGACCTTAACCTGTACAAGAATTCGACGTATCTGCCGCAGAAATCGTGCTGCGGTATGGGGGCTAATGAGATCACCGCTGATATTGCGGCGTTGGACTTTAATGAGTGGGTTGGTGAGTTGCTCTCTTTGCTATATTTTACTCTCTTTTATTGATTGTCTCCAGGGTCATTCCAAATCTACGCTATCAAGGCTTGAAACTTTGAAGAATTGGATATCCCGAGTATATGCTTCTGCAATTTTCCTGGGAAAGGCTCAAGCACGATTAAGTAGATCGATCATATGACTGTACGCTCATTCAAATGACCATACTGTCAATCACAGCTATATAATCACTGCGTCAATAGAATCAGTCCATTGTCCAAACCCATCATAGAAGAAAATTGGCATAATGAATGCACAATTACTCAGCGTGGATATATGCATTGTCTCCACCAGGCCCTCTTTCATAATTTCCGTGCTTACTGTACCAGCCAATCATCGTTCCCCAGTGACATACCGGCTGTTGATGCCCCGAATAAATACCCAGTACGGCTTCATGATCGGCAAACCACCACTATCTATACGTCCAGACATCAAACAGCAATTCTAGATGCTTGCTCGTTTTCGTATTCCAACCCTCTCCAATTCGAGCCCGAGACTCCTAACCGGAGCCCGTTTCTCGCCCTACAGATACACCACAATGACACACCCACAGCCAGAAACAACGAGCCCGGCACAGGCAAACAGCCACCAAACCATCCCCAAACACCAATCCCTCGCCGTCCCCGAAAGCGAAGATGACCCTGACATTCGCAATAAATACCGCCCGTTCATCCTGAACGAAGACCCCACCACGGACTGGGTCAGCACGCTAGAGCTAACAACCGCCCTGCAAATGGCAGCCACCTCGCTGCAGACATCGCCCCGACTCAAGGTCCTCGTCCTGTACGGCAGTCTCCGCAGACGGTCCTACTCGCGACTTGTCGCTCTAGAGGCAAGCCGGATCCTGTTCCGTCTGGGATGCGACGTGCGCGTGTACGACCCGACCGGGCTGCCTGTGAAGGACGATGTCGAGCATGGACATCCCAAGGTGCAGGAGCTGCGGGAGCTGAGCCGGTGGAGTGATGGGCATGTGTGGGTGTCGCCTGAGCAGCATGGGAATCTGGTTCGTTCTTCTCCTGTTTCATCTTCATTCTTTCTTGCTTTAAAGTACCGCAGCTGACAACATCAGACGGCCGTATTCAAAAACCAAATCGACTGGATCCCGCTCAGCACAGGAAGCGTCCGCCCAACGCAAGGTCGCACACTAGCCATCGCCCAAGTATGCGGCGGCTCGCAGTCCTTCAACGCGGTGAACTCGCTACGGATATTGGGTCGATGGATGCGCATGTTCACGATCCCGAACCAGTCGTCGATCCCGCAAGCGTACACGCATTTCCCGGACGAGGGGAAGCCAGGGGATCAGAGGCTGATGGCGAGTGGGAACCGCGACCGGCTGGTGGATTGTATGGAGGAGTTTGTCAAGTATACGATTTTGATGAGGCCTCATTTGGAGTTATTTGGGGATCGGTTTAGTGAGAGGGAGGAGAGGAGGGTTAAGGAGGCGAAGATGCAGGCGTAGAGATTGCTGTATCTACCAGCTCATCGCAATTTTGTATAGTCTATCAATGCCGTTAGCGTATACAAGGACGATTATTCAATTGCTCAGGGAAATCCATACCACCTATTTAGACCTCAAATCGGTACAGAATCACATTAGAATTAATCGTACCTCATCTAGCAAGAATCAATAGATCCACCCGTATATCCGATTTGCGTAGGCGTGAAAGTCGACCGAGCATTCGTTATAAATTCTCATTGCACAGCTTTTGAGTGCGCTATCCGCGCGTTCCTAGTCAAAACAGAGAGATACCTCCTCAAGACCATCCGGAGCGATACCCGACAGCGAGACGGCGGTAATCGAGGCTGAGCTTCCACACCACCATGTTTTGACAACAGCCCTACAACACCACGATGCTGATTGCGAGTAGCCCAACAAAGCGGTGTCATCTGTCGCTCATCCCGACAATTCATCTCGAGCTTCCCTTGGCAGACAAGCCGCTCCACTACGGTGTCATGCCCATTCATAGCAGCGATCAACAACGGAGTCCACCCGAACGCCCCGCGACAATTAACATCAATCTCCTCCCTCCCTAACAGCCTCTCCACCCCTTCGTCGCACCCAAACCGCGCTGCCCACAGTAGCGGCGTCCATCCGTTAACATCCCTCGCATTGACATCCACCCTCCCCTTCCGTAGTAGTAGTCGTACCACATCTCCATGACCACTCATAGCAGCGACAAGCAGCGGCGTGCGCGCACCATCGTCCACCGAGTCCAGCTCGATACCGTCACACCCAGCTAACAAGCGCACAACACCGGCATGGCCGCCCCAGGCGGCGCAAAACAGCGGAGTCTGCGAATTCATATCCCTCGCGTTGCGATCGACGTCATCCCGCGCCGCCAGCAGCGCAACCACCCCACAATGCCCATTCATAGACGCAATTAACAGCGGGGTGCGACCGGCGCTATCCCCACAGTTGACGTTGATGTCTGCGCGGGCGAGCAGGCGCTTCGCGATAGGGACGCACCCGTTTGCCGCGACGAGGTGTAATGGGGTTTGTTTGGACTCAGAGGTTTGGATGTTAGGATTGACGGCTGCGCTGGAGAGTAGCGCGGCGCATATGCGGTAGTCGGCTTCTCGAGCGGCGACGTGTAGGGCGGTTGTGGACGCGTTGCGCCATTGATGGCGGTGTGTGAGGAGGGCGCCGAGCTCAGGGATGGCGCGTAGGAGAGCGAAGAAGGCGTTGAAGGGGAGGTGTTCGGCTATGGCGAGGATGAGCTCGACTGGTAGGGTCGGCATTGTTGCTGATTTGTTGTTTTCATACGTTTGTCCTGTTGTCCCCTTTCTACAGCTCTGTGTTGTTTTTAGCCTGTGTATTGCGTGTTCGGTGGTTTTCCTGGGATCATGGTGGGAAGTAGGATCATGATATATGGATCATAAGACCGACGATGGTATTAGAAGACGCGGGGTCATCGTGTCATGGTCAAGGCTGTGTTGTTGCGGTGGTGATCTCTGATCGAATGAAGCTACCCTGGTGGAGATCAGTCCACAGATCATCATATGGCTGGATCAGTGGATATCACCTAAGCCCGTTCTACTCACTAGGGACTCGATAGTAAGAAGTAGTCAGAAGTAGTCGGTATGTTTCTACTCCTTTATCGCCGAATAGCTCGGTCGATGACGTCAAGTCGGGATAGGAACTTCGGGGTTGCCTCAGGCAGAAATATTCGGGGACCGGGTCTTTATTGACTTGGCAAGTGTCCTTTCACTCAAGTATATTCACGGACTGGTTTCCAGCAATTATAAAAATAAAAAACCAAGGATATATAAAATAAAATGACCGACAAGGGACTCGAACCCTTAATCTCCAGAGATATTAATCGTGATTTCGTGCCGAAATCTGGCGCCTTGCCATTAGGCCAGCCGGCCTGCATTAGTCAAGCTATGAGCCAGCATTGATTTACCAATTGTATCTTCATCGAACTACTTTAGTCCAGCGCTTAGTATATGGAGGCAACAGAGACACTTTGTGTATGAAATATAGCAATGGAGAACAGATCACAATCTAAGTATGTCCAATCTTGCAAGCAACCCAACAAGACTTGGATAAGCCCAGCCCGGCCAAAGATACACAATTCACTGTGATACCCCCATCAGCGAGCTCGCTCACGCAGCTGGCACATCAACGGCGGCTTCTCCCATAAAAGGTACGATCGCTGCTCGTTCCACGTCGCGCTCTCCTCGCAGAGTTGAAGGTCAAAATTCCACAACATGCGCGCCATAATAATCCTCATTTCGCTGTACGCGAGGTTCTTCCCCAGGCAGTTGCGAGGACCCACTAAGAACGGCTGCAGGATATCACGATGATCATTGTAGAACGGTGAGGACGGGTCGTTTTTGGCTTCGGGTAGCCACCGCTCGGGGATAAAGCGATGTGCGTCGTGGAAGTGTCGGTCGGAGTGATAGGAGGCTAGCTGGTGGACGGACACGGCGGTCTGTTTTGATTAGCGGTGGGCTGGACAGAGTAATAGTCTTTCTATCGTACCTGAGGAGGGATCTGATATCCCGCGATGGTGATCGGCCCTCCGGGCGGAGTCATCCGCTCCAGCCCTGTCGGCACAGGGGGATACATCCGGAGGGCCTCGTTGAGACAAGCCAGCAGGTACGGAAGCTGAGCGCTGGCGCTGTGGAACGTGATGTCTTCCTCTCTGACCATCGTCGAGCGGACTTCCTTGGTCACCTTGTCTAACACTTCTGGCGTTCGTAGTAGCCAGTACGTGAGGCCCGACAGCAACGTTGCGGTCGTTTCGCTCCCGGCGATGATGAGAACGTTCGCATTAGCCACCAGTTCAGCCTCGCTCAGCCCATCCTTGTCGTTCTTGTGACGGAGCATCGAATCCATGAAATCTGCCTGTCCCCGGCTCTCCCCGCGACGGAGGCGCTTCTGCACGGTGAGGCGACTATGTTCTTCCTGTCGCGATCGCACTTCCAGTTTGCTCCGGGGGATCATCAGAGCCAGGAGTTTGAAAATGAGCGGATAAGCGTCCTTGAGCTTTATCAAGGGTATTAGGCGGATCGACTGAAAGATATTCGACACCCAGTGGTGGTACTCGGAGGAGTCCAGACCGCCAAAGGATTCCCCGAACGCCAGGTCCCCAATCAGGTCGAACGTCGTCAGATTGTACCACTTGACCAGATCGGCGGGCAAGCGCGACTCGGCGACCATCTTCAGTCGCAGGATGAGCTTGTCGACGTACATCTGCAGGATGGGCTCCTGCGCTTGAAGGGCCTTGGCGGAGAAGGCGGGCGATAAGGCTTTGCGGTGCCGCGTGTGGTCAATGATGTTGGCTCCGATGATGTTGAGCCGGTTGCTCGACGAGGTTAGCACTTTGGGGAGTTGGGGCGAGCCATGGCCGTAGATGTCTTTCCACGCTTGGGCCGTGGCGAACGAGACGACGTTTGGCCCCAGACGCACCGCTTCACCGTATTGTTCGTGCAAGGCGAAGACGTCGATGTCAAGCTTCCCGCGGATTTGCGAGATATAGCGGAATATAGGGAAGGCGATCCATCGTTTTGGACCGGGGATGGAGTGCAGGGGGTGGAAGAACAGATTGTAGATGCTGACGGCGCCGGTGTAGACGATGTATACTGCGGACAGCGCGACCAAGATAGATAGCATGGTGGAAGTATCTAGGATAGTTGAATAAACATCGTTTCGTGGGACTGGAATTCCTGGCAAACTTAAACGTCCCTTGCGACATGCAAAGATCGGAAGCATATTTGTATTAAACCGAGTATGCAGTATTCTAGTGCATAGCGGCGCCATTCTCGGCTGCCAAGCACATTCACTGCATCAGATAGGCCATCTTATTGCATCTCGACTCTCGACATAGTCATAAATCCTCGTCATTATGCATAGACTAGAGATATTGCATCTTTCGCGTCTGCCGCTGACCTGTAAATGGATATTGGGCTTGCCTCGATGTGTTTAGCGCGAGGGGAAACCCCTCATCTCTCTCTCCACCATTCAAGGCACACTATAAAAAGGGAGTGTCTCTCTGGAACCATTCATAGTATCATTCCATAATAAAAGAATACCTGTGTACTTTATTACCTGCGATTCGTATATTTTCCAGTGATTTCTCTGTGGGTACGATGCTGATCTGAAACTATCAAACCGATCTGCGCGATATGTCATATCTACCGTAGCTACCTGGAGGGACTCGGTAGCGGGGATGACCTACTACTAGATGAGTCGGACTCCGTTGATGATCCTTGAGATATCATATCATTAGGGCATAAAATACCCTGTTAAGCGTGAGGTGTTTGATGCTGTGCGGTACCTAGATCAAGAAACAGACTTCCTACGGGAAGATGGAATACATTGCTGGCCAAGTTTAATGGAAACAACCCGGAACTATTATCTGGCTATTATTTACCAAGCTTTAGAATGGCAGTAAGTGAATGAAAGTTTAAAGATGCAGAATTCACTGAGAAGAGAAAAGATACCTGGTTTTCTATGTTAGATGATTGACTAAAGCAATCATCGCTTCCACGTGTACCAGAGTACGGTGAAATATGATCCCCTGTGTTTTTATTCAAAGCAATTATATAGAGCTCAGGACACTTCTATACTGGTGTGTCCACAAGTTGAGCCTTTCTTCGGGTTCACCTGTCAATATCTTACACACGGAAGGTAGAATAAGTAACTAGATTGACACTATCCATATACCAACAGACCGAACAAGCATGTCCGTCCCCTTCCCAAAATGATTTACAGAGTAGTTTATCAAGTCTCCACTAAGAGTAACACTCTAAACAAAACCAGACCACACAAAGTACCATGGCGCTTTGGGCCTCGTAAGCAGCCCTGCCACAAGACCAATGCCACCAGCGGCCCGGCCCGGCCTCAATACACCCGGATGAGATGCTAAAAATATGCAGGGTAGGGAGGACTAGACAAAGCCACATCCTGGAGTCTTCTGGGGGTGTGATTTTAGATTATGGTTGGGTGTGGTTCTCATTCAGGCCACCAGTGATTCTGGCCCCAGTAAGCACGGGTTTATCTTGGCTGCTATATATAGCTAGGGCTATTTGATCAGCCCACTAGAAACCACCCTATACTGTTGATCGAGCAGACGTATCGAAGCTCGTGTCAGCCTGAGTCTCTCGTAGTCCACATTATATTCTCGTGTATTGGGCAGGGCTGAGCTCTTGGCTGCCAAGATGTGCACCGCGTCATCGCACATCAGCGCCACCGGCAGATCGCAAACCTATACCGGTACAGGACAAGCCGCCATCCAGAATACGAGCCTAGCATATTCCCAGGTCGTGAGATCTGTAGATGCTAGCAGGGTGGCTTCCCAGCTTATGATTTAGCTTTAATGCATGTACTTGTGATGTCTAATGATTATTGACTCCCAGACATTGACCGACTTTGGATAGGAACGGCAAAAACAAAGCCACGGAAAAAACCAATCATATAGAAGAAATTTCGAATAGTAGAGTGTATAAACCCTTTCAAAAAGTATCCAGCCTAAGCTCCCAGGAACAACAGTCCTACTCTGTTTCGCTCACGGCCATGGCATACGCTGCAACTATCTCCTACCTACTGTCTACCATCAATTGAGGAGGTCATAAATGTTATCAGCAATTCAAGCAAAAAAAGCGAGTACAGTCGTTTAACCACAGCAAGCAGAGTCAAATTATACTAAAAAACCAATACCTCTTCCAGCACTGGTCCCGTAGGCTGGATGAAGGCGACTATAACTGAAGTATAGTTCTACAAAATATGGACCATGAAATCTCCCAACACCAAGAATAATTCAAAAACAAATCCATTGCCGTCTTATATCAATAACACTTAGTCCCAGATATTGCAGAGATATCGCCAGTCTTGATCCAATACTCCATAGGTGCGCCAACGTCTTAAATGGTCACAGACTTGCTGTCCTCCTAACAATCTTCGCCCAATTCCGCCTCACCATTTTGTTCATCATGGCACGCCCTGACAATCTTGTCCCCAGCCTGGTCCTCAGGAAGCCTGATAGGCTGCTTGAAAGGCAGATTCGCCCGAGCAGGCACACAGCAAGCGCTCCAGCATCCCTATAGCCTCATATTAGTATTTCATCCGTCCCAATTTCCTTTCTGACGGAACAAGCTCACCTCACTACCAGAGGCCATCTGTGTAATCCCAAAGTATCTAGTCAGTAATCATATAAGATTATCCTTGAGTGGCAAAAAAGACGTACCTGGCCTTCAGGGCATTGAGGCTTTTCTTGGACACATTGTTGGGTGCAGATCTGGCGGGCGTCAAGGCCCTCCGAGCGGGACTCAATGTCGATAGCCCTAGCGAGGGACCCAGTGGCCAGGGTAAGGGCGACCGCGACGAAAGCAGAGGTGAGACGCATTTTGTAGAAAGGATAAGGGTTTTACTTTCTGTGAAAAGATATGGAGAAGAGTTTTGTGGTGGAAGTTGGCAGGGGTAGAATGCAAACGAGGAATGTATGAAGGATTGTATATTGCTAATGACGGGCAGGACGATAGATTATATACCTGCATAGACCCCATATAGGAGTAGAATGCATTCCTCGTGTCATGTCTAGGTAATAATAGTACTGAGGGATATTTCAAGGTGGCTGCGCCTTGCTCAACTAGCCTGCGTTAGTCGCGCATCCTTCGATCCTGATCATCCCATGGGTTTGATCTACCTCCACTTTTCTTGTTTTTCCTTTTTTCTTCTTTATTGTTATCCTGAAGAAAATCACTTTTACTGGCTAGAGGCGGGTTCGAAAATACGAGGGCTGAATTGATGACGATCAGGCAAGCTGCCTATATTTCTATGGAAAAGGTGTCCCGTATTACAATGCAAAGAATGAGCCCGATGGATTCTCGTATACCGTCATTCAACAAAACGGCCAAATCACAGAGACAGCGATCATAGGCGTGATGAAAATCTACTCCCCAAGGACAGCGTTCCCTCAATTCCTCTCCGTGTAAAATCGAGGCTAAAGAATTGCTTAAAGGTGAGTTTTAGCAGGCTCGCACTCACCTGACCAGCAGCCCTATTATTCTCCATTAGTGCCCTGTTCGAAGGTAGCCTCACAACAAGAGATAATAGATGATTGATAAAAATTCATAATTGGATAAAGGTAAGAACTCACCGCAGTACCAACGAGGGTTTGCATATTAGAAATATCCAGTCAGTAGCCAATAGAGCAAAAATGATCGGAAACTTCATGCCCCATTTTCTCCGCATTGAGGCGCGCAGGGCACCCTACAGTCGCCAGCGCGGGCCCCAGCGACGAAGCCGAAGGCGGCCATGGCAAGAGCAAACATGAAACGCATGTTGGAGGGCGGTACTGATATTCGATTCGTCAGATACAAATATATAAATGTATATATAGAAAGTTTGACAGATCGGAAACGAACACAGTAGAGAATGCAGAGGGAAGAAGCAGTGGTGAAGTCAAACAGCATGCATAATCCTTGCAACAGCCACCCCCTTTATACAGGGAAAATCAGCTCAGTCAGAATACGAGGGATGAGTTAACGTCCGTTGACCGGCTGTTCGCCGGGCACGGGATACTAGACATCCAATGCGGTCGTGTCGTTTCTCCCCTTGCGGCGACACAATCCTTTCATTTTACCGGGTCGACAGCCGGGACTTGATTATCGTCCGAATCCTCCCATCAACGCGTCGAAAGCATCACATGTACAGCGTTGCGGGCCTTGCCAGACGGGGCGATGATGTGGTGTTCGATATTTGAGACAGAAGGCCTTACATGCCAGCTGAACAGTAGGAACACTGCGTACGATCAATCAGGTTGTGGGGAATACCTACCCCAGGTCTGTTGTGTGGGCCTTTTTGTCTGGGGCCGAAATCAGACGTGACGTATTTGGGGCCCACACAGGCCAACAGCTGGTCGGCACGCCTAGTCCCTCGCATGACAGTCAGATCACCTCGTGATTGAACGATTCTGTTGTGTAATGTATGTTATCTAGCAATCATCTACAAGGCGTTCAAAGGCCACGGTCGAAACCGAGTATACGATTATCTAATAGGGCAGTTTGGCCCCGTTTGGCTCCTGAACAGCGCCTGAATACGCCTACGCTGATTCGGGCGGCGCTACGGGGCTGAGATACGGCTATGGATTCCTCGTGTCTTGGCTTCTGGAAGAGTGTCGTTCCTGAAGGACTTCGCAGGAATTAGTTGGTCGCACAGCGGGGTATGAGTAAAATCCACGTGCTTGTGGAATGTCTGGGACCAGTCGTGTTGGTATCATATTGATTGGATATATTCTAGGGCTCACGCAATAGCAAAAAGAAAAAAAAAAAAAAAAGGGCACCTACTCCTGTCAGACATGTCTCTGTTACCCTCGCTCGATGTAGACCAGGGTAACTATGAGATGGCATAGATCGACCGGACCTTCTCCTTCGTCCACTCCGACCAAGTCTGCTGTGGCCCTGACGTCTCCCAGGACATGTTGGGTAGCCGCCCCGTATCCAAATCTGCCTCGACCGGGTTCACGAATTTGGTCCGATAGACGATCTTGTGCCCGAAATACAGCACCGCAAACAGAATCGGGCAGATGTACGCGACGAAGAAACTGGACACGTCGAACTCAGGGATCCACGCGGTGAAGCCCTGCGTGAAGATGATGACGAGGTTGAAGAACAGCCCGTAGTACGCGAGGTATGGCTGCCAGATAGCCTTGTAGGGCAAGGTGTCGCGCGACTGGTTGCGCGCCTTCAGGGCCCGCATGAACCCGATGTGACTGGTGTTGATCGACGTCCAACAGAGGAATCCAGCGACACTACTGATGTTCGTGAACCAGTTGAAGACTGTCCCACCGGACGCGGAGACGTTCATGAACCCCAGCAGACCGAAGGCGGCGGTGAACGTCACCGCCACCCAGGGGACACCATTGTGGGTTACCCAGCCGAAGAACTTGGGGGCGAAGCCCTCCTCCGCGAGGCCCAGAAGCACTCGACTCCCGCTGTACACGTTGGAGTTGGCTGCCGACAGCACGACTGTCAACAGCACGGCGTTGATCAAACTCGGGAGGACCTTCACGCCGGCTAGCTGCGCGGCGATGACCATGGGAGAGGCGGAGGCGGTGTTGGAATCGGCCGTCACGAGCCGCGGATCGTCGTAGGGAACAACCAGGCCGATGAAGAAGATCGTGAGGACGAAGAACACCAGGATGCGGATGAACGTCTTGCGGATGGCAGACGGGACTGTCTTCTGCGGGTTCTCCGTTTCGCCGGCAGCGACACCCACTAACTCCGTGCCCTGGTATGAGAAACCGGCCTGAATCAGCACAGCCCAGAATCCGACGAACTTGGCCACGGAGTCATTATGCTCGATCTTGTAGGGTGCGAATGCCCCCGGGTTATGCCAGTACGTGAAGCCGAGGTAGTGACCCCGGCCCACACCCGCATCGACACAGATGGCGAAGATCATGAACCCCAGCACCGTGAGCACCTTGATCGTGGAGAACCAGAACTCCAGCTCGCCGTAGAAGTTGACGGGCAGGTAATTGACGGCGCTAATAACCACCCAGAAGACTCCAATGAAGATGGAGATATTCAAGCTTGCATCCCAATACTGCACAAGCAACCCCGTGGCCGTCAGCTCCACCGCGAATGTCACTGCCCAGTTGAACCAGTATATCCATCCCATCGCGAAACCAAGACTCGGGTCCACCAGCCGCGCCGCATACGATGTAAACGACCCCGCGCACGGAATGTACGTCGCGACCTCACCGAGGGAGGCCATCACCGAGAAGACAATGGAGCCGACAAAGGCATAGGCGATGAGGGTTCCCGCGGGTCCCGAATGCGCGAGAGCAGTCCCACTGCTGATGAAGAGGCCCGTTCCGATCGTGCCGCCTGCAATCGCACGTTCGTTAGCTGGAATTGGAGCAAGCTGGGGACAGACAATCGCATTCCACACCACTCACCGATGGCAATCATCTGCAGGTGTCGACTCTTCAGCCTCCGCTTCAATTCCGGCGCATGCTCATCCCCCCGCAACGAGTCCTTCTCCGTGTCATTGTCGCTCCCCAGTCCCTTGCGTCGCGATCGAAGCCCAATCTCCCCCTCCCTCACGCGACCGACTTTTCCTCCAAAAGTGTCTTTGGCCGCACCCGCAGCCGTAACATCGTCAGCCGCCATGCCGATGTGCAAGATGGTAGACCGGGGGGTGGACAATGCAGATCCCTCTGATGTGAACTGGGGGAGGGGGGGTCAGCCAAGATGTTTTTGTTTTCTTTTTTTCTTCCTTTTTTTCCCTTCCCTTTTTCGCCACAACGTTCGACACGGCCACTCCAGAGGCTAACCATGGCTACCGTCGGGGAACATCCGATCCACTATCAGAATCCGGAAACGAATCCACATCCACGGACCGTAGTGAAAACATTATGTAAAAGAAAGCCTGGAATAAGGAAGAAAGGCACAGTCGCGGTGCGAACTGGGCCCGGGGAAGTAATATCCACTGATTCGGGTCCTTCAATATGATTTTCAATGTCCGTCACGGTGGTGTCAACAGCTGAATGATTTCCTGCTGGGCTGGGAGCTCGCATGCGACAGATCGATCTCTGTCTGGTCGTGGACAGTAATGTGGGTCCAGCATCAAGCCTTGCCAAGAGGATGAATCGGGATGTGTAGTCGTTCTGGGTTCATCTTCAGCTATTGCAATGCCAATGCGGCACTCGATATAGGGCTTTCCTCGTCACGTTTCTGTAGCATTAACTCTCTTATGAATAAAAAAAGAGAAAATTGAAAATCAATTCTCTTCACGCTAGTCCTTTTTCGGACGCAAATATCAAGCTCAACGGTCACGTGTGTGAGGGTCGTTATGCAGGCATGGAATTGTGCTATGAATGCTGATGTGATTATGCCATCAATCTTTCCTGTCACGATCGAGATTCTTCTCCTCTTCGACCATCGTACACTTAGCATGGTTATTTCCCTGGTTTAGGACTGGGTCTATTATCATCTTTACGATGGGCTATCGCTCCAATTCCGTCGGGCTTGACGTTCTACCTGCCAACCTAAGTTATTTTCGCTCCTGCTGAGCGTCCTGGGGGGGGGGACCACGATAGCTATCAAGTTGCTTGTGCACATTTGATATCTTCTCTAATCCTTTGAATATCTTTGAGGGTGTGTTTTTTGTGAGAACAGTATGGATTAGGGATTTGATACAGAGCCATTCAAGACGAATTCAAATTGATCATTGTTTCGGTCTAGGTTCAGATAATTAATATCAGGCAGAGGTTTTCACTTTATATATGATGACGACCAGATATATCGGCACAGAAGCATGTCTACGCACCACTATGTTGAATGATGGCTACGTTTATCACCTTAGCGACCGCAATAGTCATAGTCGAGACGATATGTCCCCCCATCGGGCAGATTCTGTGGGATATATTCCGTGCCATCTTGCACGGCCTGTGCGACTTTCGTAAACTCCTGATATACGTACTCCTGGCAGTCGTGCTCGAAGATCCAACTCTGGCGCGGCGGAGATAGCAACCTCGGGTCTTTATCCTTGAAGTTGGATACGACCTCGAGCGGTGCGAGACAGCCAAGCTGGATAGTGACCGCACGCTGATACCTAGACTGGCGTCAATGAATCGCCCTACGCGGTCCAAAAGGGGCGTAAACATGCCTGATCTTTTCAGTCACCTGGAGAGCTAACGGTTCGTTGCCTTTTCCAGCTAGTTTTAATGCGATTGCAGCCACTGCCCCATCTTCAATGGCCTGGTTGCCTCCCTGGCCAACCACGGAGCATACGACATGGGCTGCATCACCCATCAAGAACATCCGTCGGCGCGGCGACACCCAGGTCTTGAGAGGAGAGGTAAAGACATGCTGACGGTGATAGATCGCGTTCGCCGGGGTTTTTCGCAGGATAGGTTCCAACTTTGCGCGGACCGGCCAGTCCTTGATAAGCTCCACGACGTTGTCGACACTCACTCCCGTCGCTGGGGAGAAATCGTAGGTTATAACGGAGTCCTGTTGATTTACTATTAGCCTCGCGCAATTGCATACAATCCTAATGATTGTGTTATAGCCCACCTTGTAGCTAAAAACCCAAACGATGTCCAAACCACCTCGCAAGGTCATCATCATGAACTGGACACCGTCTCCAAACCAGGTTTGCGCTTTGTCGCCCCCACTGTGCTCCATGTTCTTCAAGAACCAATTTGCCTGCGGATCTTTGGCTACTTCGTCCGTGTCGATACGTGAGCTGAAGCCAGAAAACCCACTTGCTCGTACCCGAGGCTCCTCCCGGCTGATCACGGCTCTCCCCATGCTATGGATCCCATCGCTGCAGATCACGCAGTCCGCGCTGAGTCGGAGATGTCCATCAATGACGACCCCAGCCTCCTCGTCAGTCTCCCAGAACTCAGTTACGCAGCTCTTTAAGCGGATATCGACATCGAGGGTCTCGAGGTGTTTGAATAGTATAGTCACAAGCTCCCCGCGGTTGGTTGTATATCCGGTGCTTTGGTACCCCCACAGGTCATTTTCATTGAGGAGCTCGTCTCGATTGTTGAAAGCCTGTACCTTGGTTGCGCGGCACATCCGATCGACAAGTTCTTCGTGAACGGCCCCGTCTCCCCACTGAGAGACTACTCGCGCCCCATTGGACGTGAGCGAAATGCAATCGCCACCTGGCAGGGTCAGATCGCCCCGCTGTCGTATATCCCTTACAAGCGGACAGGTTGGACTCACCCACTCCTCGGACCTCGTCATTCTTCTCTAGCGCAATAACATCATGGCCATTTCGGTAGCATTCAATGGCGGCAGTCAGACCGCCGAGTCCAAGCCCGACAACAATCACCTTGATTCCTGTTGTCTCAGCTCGTATTGAGCATGGATTGCGATGATGAATACGATCATGGTGATATCGCTTCTCACCATTCGCGGGCTTTTCCTGGTCCATGATCGAGAGATGGCGTATTGCGAAGTTTCGATTCCTAGAGAGGCTCTACTCCGACCCAACTCGCTACCCAATAATAAGACTATGACCGGGGTTTTGTCTTCTGGATCCTGACTCTCTCTCCTTCCTATCAACGTGCAATGCGCAATGTTATGCCAATGCGCAATATTATGCGCTCTTACACATGCTGCTTCCGTCTGCGTAACAACTAACCCTCTACACCGTGCAACGGTGACTGGACTTTTTGTTTCTTTTCTTTTTCTTTTCTTTTCTCCTGCCTGGGGCATACTATAACTCGGATGTAGCGAAACTCCGTGTGGGAGTTACACAGCATCGTTGCAGCGCTTTTTGACACAAAAACACTACTAATCAGTCAGTAAATAACAAGCAGCCTGATTCACGGGCCATCCTGACCGTTTCTCAAAGTGTGCTACTTATGTCGCGGGGATGCGCATTGGTTTGTCAGACGGTGTGGCACTCACTCCAAGTGAAGCAATGTCCCATTCGGAGATGACAGCACAGTGCTATACTATACCATTCTATACTATACAATACGAGGTATCAGGCAATAGACCTTGTCGTCCGGCAGTTCATACGTTCACGAAACCCATCATCAACTGACTACCTACTTGACTAGTATATCGCCATCCAGACGTGCGATGCCAATTCTTTAGCGGCACAGTGTAACAGGTCCTTAGCCCGGAGACTGGATTGTCCTAGCTGTGCCCGTATCCCGTAGCACTCATCATCCGCATCGTCTTGCCCAGCCTCCCAGGACTTGCACTGGGTGTCAATGGTACGACTTGCATTTGTCGGCGCATCGCTTCCGGTGACGCCGATGGAGGATCCGGGACTGGAGATGCCGTGAGGCTTATGCAATTGTACACACAAATGAGGGTGGGGTTTTTAATTCTCGTCGCAGGGCCAAAGTCCGCAAGATCTAGGTCCTGGTGTCGATGCGGGCATGGGACTGAGACTCTACGAGGTGGGTGGCAAGTCTCGTTTGGAGTCCTGCCATATGATATGGCAGGTTTGTGTCGAGTTGCCTTATTATTAGTGGAATATTCTACGAAGGATGTATCTTTGACTGGTGTAATATAGCATTTGGTACTAGAGATAAAGGATCCGAACTGCTATTGGTAACGCAGTGAGAAAGCCATAAAATGTAATGTTGAAATGTACAGTTGAGCCGGAGAGTTGATACTTTGATAGAGAGCTCATACAGGAGGTACCAGAACAACAGTAACGATGCGGAAAGAAACAACCGAACAGGGGGAAACAACAACAGTCATAAAATGATGGAAAGCTGCTCGTCGCTTAAATCCCATGTCCAGCTTTGTCGCTCTTAACGCCGTAGATAGGCTCGAACAATTGAGTATACACACTGACGTAGGGAGCACCGTCTTTGAAAGAATAAGATACCCATGATTGCAACTGGGTACTTTGGCTAAGATCAAGTCCAGGGCTACCTACACGTTAGCAAACCACGAATTGCCTCCACGGCGACAACTGTAACTCACTGGTAAGCGCTGATATTCGGCTTGTATGATTCAGCTATATCCTTCCAGCCGATTCGTTGGAAGAACGACGTCAAGGCATCCGCAACCACCAGGTCATTGTGCCCGCCAACGAAGAAGTATATCTGGGGCTGCGGCAACGGATCGCTAGGGTGTAGGTTGAAGTTGATGATTAGAGAAAGGGACTCCATCGGTGCACATTTGCCAAGATCGTAGATTATGTTTGACGGGGTACGCTGTCCCTCTTCCAGTGGGAGAGCGTCCCAAAGGTCCTTTAGGTATCGTAAACCGGCTATTGTGCGCAAATCTGTGCGTCGCCCGCCAAGGGTCCAGAGGTCTTCGATACGGTGAAATGAGACGTCATTTTCGGCGAGGTAGATCTTCACCCTTGAGGCACGTGGTTCCACCAGATCGAAGGATAAGAAACAGGGAAACAATGAAGGTGAATCATCGGCCCCATGGTCGTTAGTGATAGCGGTCCGCGAGGCAATATATTCTTCTAGGACCGACAGCTGGCCGCTGAGGTTGCCTTCCACATCAGCTTTGCGAATCGAGTCCAGGATCAGCTTTTTGGTGGAGGTTCCAGTCGCGAGCGATTTAAGCTGGGGGTATAGATATACCTTGGCGCGTGCATTTCCATCCTTTTTGTCGTAGTCGAACGCCAACATGTTCTGGGTTTTGAAAACACCAACGTCGCCGTGCTTTTCCAAAATCGACAGGTCTTCTTCATCGGTGGTTACCAGCTCGCGCACAAAGTGCTGAAACCATTGCAAATCCACTCCGGGAATGAGCCGAGACAGGGTTTCGACAGTCTTCCGTATCCTTTGCGTGTTGAACGGATCATTCATGGTCCCGGTCATCGGACCTATTGGCTCCCAGACTGTCCGGACGAGTCCTTGGGGGTAGTTGAAAGAAAGTTCGAAAGGCAGGCCATATCGAGTCAAAGTGCATTTCCAGCGTAGCTCGTTGGTTCGGGGATATGGTCCCAGCGATGGGATCACACATGTGCGGTGTAGACACAGGTATTTGTATTGCAGGTGCACATCATAACGAGCATCCTTCATCATTTTGGCAAGTATGGGCGCTGTACTCTGCCACCAGCGTTCTTCATCCTGGTTGTTGAATACCAATGCCTCTGTGAGCACTTGATAGGGGTCCATGGCTAATGTCGGTAGTTTCTTGGATATTGTAGCGTACGGTGTATTTCACTAGGACGATCGTACAGCGGAGCTAGACTTGATAGGTTCTGGCTAAGGTTATTAGTTATAAGGTTCTCTGTCGGGGAATTTCTGCATCAACCAGAACCATTCCTTCAGACCCGGGATATATTAAACCGTTAAACTAGCCAATTCTGCAATCACGCGGCTATCAATGGGGTATCGAACTCAACCATAAATAAGGCAACATACTTACCCAATTTGTCCCTTGGAACTAGAAAGCCAAGGTGTGTCCCGGCACCCGTTAGGAGACTATGCTATAGGGGCGACGAAGTGAAAGTTACGTAGAAAATACCTTGGGCGCACAGCGGGTGCAAGACAGACAGGGCGCGAGAAGGGGGCGGGTTAAAACAGACTGGTGGTGGATAATCGCAGTCATAGTGCCTGAATTCGAGTTTAGTTATATTACTAGGTTAAGGCGTAGAGATTCTCCGTTTGGTGGAAGTGTTGCGACAACATGTCAGCTAGCGAGTCTATGGCTCGCTGGGAAATCAAGGTATATCCCCCGTAATAAGCCTCATGCACAAGATGTCATCAGATACGCGATGATCATTCTACGTGGACTTGAATACTCAGGACTGGTTTTCGGGTCCCCGTCTCATCAGCATTGGTAACAACGACTTCAGCCTTAAGGTGGTGCACAGACAGCCCTGCAACGCACCCAGGTGCTGATCTCTGATTCGCCTGCCAGGACCAATGTTCACATGGCAGATGGGTCTGTTCAGGATCCGCGGCATGTCTTGAACAAGCGACTGGTATTGGTGAAGCCTTGGTAGTAACACTGCCGTGTTTTTTGGGACTTCATTTGTCAACCCCGAGGCATTTCTATGTCCCTTTGCGTGAGACAGAAAGGAGTGGATGGCGTAAGATACCACCATTGTGCAATGGAACGCTGAGTATGAAAGACCACGCTCTTCCAACGAGATAGCTATGAGTACAGTCAACCTCCGTATGACTGAGGCTTAAGGTACGAATATGACATGGGGATGGACGCTTACTAGTGGTGAATTCTGGTTCGAAGGGGAGCACTCATTCGTGTTGTTGCGAAGGAGTAGATCATGACAAAGACCGCATGCGTGGAGCGCAAAGTCGCAGAGATCTCTTCAGGTGGCACAAGTCACCCTGCTAGTGACGAGAGCGGAGGCCGCATGATCAAGAATCTCCGGTCAAGTCCCGTATTGGAAGACTTCATTTTGCCAGCTAAAGAGTGGGACTCGGAGACGAGCCAAATTAGTAAACTGGGGCCGCCGATGACAGTAAAAGTATATGCACCACGATTATTTGAGTAGTCCGGTTCTTGTACATGTACATGGATCCATGCTGTTTCTCAACATCGCCTAAATCCGAGTCACGGACTAGACACAGGGACCAATACTGTCTTCCTCCAGGGGGATCACCTCATACTCAACTGCTGGGTTCAATGCACAATCAGAGGGACTCAGGGTTTAGGAGTATTCATGGCGAAGGTGTAACCGATAGTGGCTCTAGACGTATTTAATAATGTCAGCAGACCACCTAGCAAGTTTCAGATCATTCAGCTCATCATAGAACGTTTGTTGTTATATGAACTGAGTCCAACATCTTCATCAAGACCGTATGTATATACTTACATAACAACTTTTTTGGAGTTCATCGTCGAAATCTCGAGTCATGGAGGATTCACACGAGCTCAGTGACCACTGCATATTCCCTAGCCTTGTTTGCAACTGCAGTATTGATCCAGTAGTCGAAACTGTCACGTTGCCAATCGTTGAGGGTATAGGTCATGTCCCCTTAGACGATATATCCTCAACTGTCCGCGTCATTGGGGTGGCTTGGTCAATAATCCTCTCCAAATATACAGACTCTCAGACGGTCAGCTTCGGAATTCTTCGCAATGCAGGGACCAACCAGTCCCTAGAGCAATGGCAGGCAACGATAGACGATAGGGCGCCAATCAACAGCGCTACCAAACTGCAGAAAATTCGAGAGTGGCTGGCAACCGACAACACTTACAGTAATATTTTCAACACCTGCGTTTACTTTGCGGGGAGACCAGTGGCAGTAGCCGAACCGAAAATTTGCGAAAACGTTGGCACTCCAATGGTGAGATCCCTTCCAAATGGATTTTCATGTACAAACAGCCAACGAGACCTGTTTATAGATTGGCGATATCACGGTCCTGATCAACGATAACCCCGAAGGATGTGAAATTTCCATGCAGTACCGTACATCGGTAATGGACAATCATCAAGCTTGGAACGTTATATATGCTCTCGACTCCGTGCTAGACTGCCTCGTAAGTCAACCTTTGCGACCAGTCACGGATTCGCATATTTTGAACGCCCACCACCGAGGCCAACTCAACGAGTGGAATAGCCAATCACCCAGCGAACCGCTTGACTCTTGTGTCCACACTCTATTCCGCTTGCAATGCATGATGCAACCTAACGCACAGGCCATATGTGCCTGGGACGGGTCGTTTTCGTACCACGAATTGGGGGTATATTCCTCCAGAGTGCAAGCCGAATTAATGGGACATATTGCAAAACGAGATTCGATTGTGCCCATCTTGTTTGAAAAGTCGAAGTGGGCCGTGGTTGCAATGCTTGCCGTGCTTAAGGCTGGCGCAGCATTTGTGGTGTTGGATCCATCATACCCTAGTGAACGACTACAGGACATATGCGATGACGTTCAAGCGAGTGTCATACTTTGCTCTCCTGACATGGCAGAAAAATGTCGAGTAAAACGTGCAATAGTCATCGACGATTTGGTCCTTGAGTGGGAAAAGTCACGGCAATCACCACCGGTGGCTTCGCGCGATATAGCATATGTTGCCTATACATCCGGGTCGACTGGAAAGCCCAAAGGGGTCCTTATCGAACATGGATCATTTTGCACCAACGCCATTGCTGGCAGGAAACCGCACAATCTGGACCACCGTTCTCGTGTTCTGCAATTTGCGTCATACGCATTCGATGTTAGTATACACGAAAGTCTAACGCCTCTCATGCTAGGGGGTTGCGTGTGTATACCATCCGAATTGGAAAGAGTCAACAGCCTCAGAGAAGCCATTGCTCGATTGCAGGTCAATTGGGCGGAGTTAACACCTTCCGTGGCAAGACTTTTGCAGCCCCAAGACGTACCGGGAATAAAGACACTGATACTCGGCGGGGAGTCAATGACCGCAGGGGACATAGCTAAATGGCAGGATCATGTCCGGCTACTGTGCGCTTATGGACCCGCAGAGTGTACCGTCGTCTCCACGATACAGCCATATGTTGACAAACCATATGACATCGGCCGTTCCTTTGGCGGAACCTGCTGGATCGTTGATAAGGACAATCATGATTGTCTCTTGCCCATTGGCGCAACGGGAGAATTGCTCATAGGAGGGCCTATCGTTGGTCGTGGATATCTGAACAGGCCGGATCAAACTGCTGCTTCGTTCATAGCGAATCCTGATTGGGCGTCTGGTTTTGGTATTGGAGAAGATCGAATGTTCTACAAGACCGGTGATCTTGCAAGGTACCTATCTGACGGGTCAATCCTGTACGTGGGGCGGAAAGACAGTCAGGTGAAAGTAAATGGCCAAAGAATAGAACTGGAAGAAATTGAGCACCATGCGCGGCACTGCTTCGAGGACACTTACATCACAGCTGAGATCGCTGTTTCCAAGAGCAAAAGATCGTCTCTGGTTTTATTCGTTGCCGGCCGCCAGCAATTCTCCGAAGATTCGATTTCTTGCGAAATCTTCCGTCAGTCCACGGTCCCATTTCGAGAAAAGGTACGGTTTGCGATAGATCAACTGAAAAACGTCCTTCCACGCCATATGATACCGGCTGCATATATTCCACTATCATTCATGCCGGTCTCGAAAACGGGGAAGGTTGCCAGAAAAGTACTCAAAATGGCACTTGCCAGTTTGTCCGACGCTCAACTGAGTAATTATCGTCCATCGAGCGCAACTGCAAATGGCCATCCACCCGTAACATTCACGCAGAGAAGTATACAAAACCTCTTTGCCGAGGTCCTTGATCAGCGTGTTGAAGGCATAGGGCTGGATAGCGGTTTTTTCGAGTTGGGAGGAGACTCGATCAGTTCGATTGCGCTGGTCGCACGGGCTAGAGAGCAAGATATAGGGCTCAGCGTGGCCCATGTCTTCACCTATCAGACACCCGGAAAATTAGCGGCAAACTTGGAAGCGATACCAGAAAACGATGACACCACGGTCCTACCTTTCTCTCTTCTTCGTCAGACGGGAAAGGCAGAAGCATTTCAATGTGCCATCGATCAATGCGGGATCAGTGCGGACCAGGTAGAGGACATCTACCCATGCACACCCCTGCAAGAGGCATGCATTGTGTGCACAATGAACAGACCAGGTTCATTCCAAGCACAATTTAGTTTTGAGGTTCCACTAGCGATAGACTTGACGTGTCTGAAACAAGCTTGGCGCAAAGTGTCCGATGCAAACCCAATCCTACGGACCAGGATCATCCAAACTACCATGTTACAGATGCTCCAGGTTGTCACCAGTAACGATGTCGAGCTACCCTGGGAGCTGGTTGAAGAAGGCAATAGGGTTTCCCAGCCAATGATGGGCTTGGGAACACCCCTAGTACAATTTGCACTCTCTCTTCCAATCGATGGCAATTCTCCGTCGACGTTCACCTTGATGATGCACCATTCAGTATTTGATGGATGGTCATACAGACTCGTCCTGGAAGCTGCGGAGGCTGCATTCCAAGGCCTGGACATCAGTCGGCATGCTTTCGCGCCTTTTATCAGCTATGTATCGACAATTGATATGAATAGCGCCAAGCAATACTGGGCTCTCATGCTCCAAGACTTGCGCCCTGTCATATTTCCCCGGTGCCCTACACCAGGTTATGTCCCAAGGTCGGTTGCAACGGCAGACTGCCATGTCAAATTAAATGGGTGGCCTCGAGGGGCCTACACACCATCAATGGTCATTCGATTGGCGTTAGCATTGCTCATATCTTGGTGCACGGATACGAACGATGTTGTCTTTGGCGTCACTGTCACTGGACGCACTGCACCAGTCTCCGGAATCCACCAGTTGATGGGGCCGACTATAGCTACACTTCCTCTTCGTGTAACTCTAGATCCTCGAATGACTATGGAAGACACTCTCGTCATAATGCAAGGCCAGTCTACGAAGATGATCCCTTATGAGCAGGTTGGCTTACGAACGATAAAGCGCACCAGCGAGGACGCTGCAGCTGCGTGTGGCTTCCAGACTTTGCTTGTGGTCCAGCCACCAGCGAAACCGAAGTCGCCGGGAACCTTCCAAGAACGGCCCGAAAACACGGCGGAGCAGTTGAAATATAACTCACATGTCTTGACCCTCGTTTGTGACCTTGAAGACTCATCGCTGGCGGTAACCGGGGTGGCAGATGATGCCCTTTTACCACGGGATGAGTTACTTACGCTCCTCCATCGCTTTGAGTACCTCCTTTATCAGATTACCGATCGACCCGCTGCGGAAGTCGGCAGCATCATTCCGGTTGGGGTGACAAACTGTATGGATGGTGGACTTGGGTCAATAACGCGTGTGCCCTGTGTTGGCATCCAAAAGGGTACATCAGACCGTCCACATAGCAATGGCAAGGCTCAACCTGTTGCCAATGAGGTTGCTTTCAACCACGCCAAGAGAGTTTCAGACCAGTCAGAAAGAGAACAGGCAAAATTGAGGGAAATTTTTGCCCATGTTCTCGGTGTCGAGATCAAGGATGTTGGCATTCATGATGATTTCTTTGCCTTGGGTGGAGACTCTGCTGTTACCATGCAGGTCGTCATGCTGTCTAAGCAGAAGGGGCTGTCTTTGACCACGCTCGACATCTTTGATGGAAGGACGGTCGAGCTCATCGCCTCGAGACTAGAGGAACAGGCGTCTCTCATTCCCGAATATAGGCCCAAAAAGGTCAAAGCTGATAAATTCTCTCTTCTTGGTTTGACATCGCCTGGGACAGGACATGTCTTGACGAAGGCCAGGAGAGCCGTCGGAATCCAGGAATCCGAGATTGAAGATATTTACCCATGTACAGCAGTACATCTCGGGTTACTACTTACCCAGTCACTGGACCCGTTCAAATTCCGATCGTACACCATTTGGGAGGTGACCATGTCAGACAGTGACCATTATTCCGCCGCCGATCGTCTTCAGAATGCCTGGAAGATTCTTGCCCATCGTCATCCTGTACTGCGCACGGTGCTTGTCGATATTCCAGCCCGCGGGGGGGTAAATAAAACACACCACGTTGTGCTCAAAGAAGCATTAACTGACGTTCACTTCCTGTCATGTGCCGATGACGATGCTCTTTCTCTTCTTCGCAAGTCCCCCCTGCCGGATCAACAAAGTTACCAGTCTCCTCTTCAATTCACCATTTGCAAGACCAACACAGGGAGAGTGCTTTGTAAGCTTGAGGGTGGGCAGGCTCTGGTCGATGCGACATCTGTGCTGATCCTCATGCGCGAGTTGGCTCAAGTGTGCAAGGACCAGCCTCCCGATGCCAGAGGCCCTCTCTATAGCTCAGCGGTCGAGTATCTACAAAATGTGTCGGTGGCTGACAGTCACCAGTATTGGAAAGGTATCATGGCTGGAATACAACCATGTATCTTTCCACAACTCGGAGTCGAGGCATTACAGCAAAAGCAGCTCCACGTCGCTAGTCTATCTCTCACTAGAGTCATGGCATTAAAGAAATTCTGTGCTCGAAACAAGTTCACCGTTGGGAATATCTTCGAAGTTGCCTGGGGCCTTGTACTCAATCGGTACACTAAGTCGGATGATGTGTGCTTTGGCACTCTTGTATCCGGGAGAGATCTTCCGATCCCAGAGATGCAAGACCTGGTAGGCTCGTTCTTCAACCTTCTTTGTGCGCGGCTCCACTTTAACAGTCAGAGCTCGGCCCTTGATGTCCTTCAACAGAATCAAAGAGAAATTGGGAACCGCTTATCCCATCAGCATTACCCTCTGACCGAGGCCATTCGGCTGTCGGATCATTATGGAAGAAGGCTCTTCAACACCTGTGTCTCAATGGAACAAGGTCTGTCTAGCGGGGTGGACGAGGACGGACTCCGGTTCAAAGAACTGAGTACGCATGAGCCGACAGAGGTATGAAGCCAGGGCAGCCTTCAGTTGCACAGCGGAGCTAATCTCAGGTCTAGTATGATATCGTCGTTACCATCGGCGGCCAGAAGGACACAGTGGACGTGAATATGACTTACTGGTCCTCCGTCCTAACCGAAAAAGAAGCCAGTGTCCTGCTGGAGACGTTACGGACATCTGTCAACGAGATTATTGGGACGCGACTGCCTTGCGATCATTACGATTCGGCCGACGACACTTTATCAGCTTCGATCAAGCAGAACCACTCAGAGGTCACGGCAGCGTCCTGAGGTTATGAGATAGTAAAAACGGTATTAGATGAAAACTTCATAAATCAGGGACATCGAAAGCCGTCCAAGCAGTGTCTGTGTATTCAGTAGAAGTAGGTAGTCGTGAGAGCGACGCGATGATGCGACGCGTCTCAATACGGGGTTTCATAAGTTAGTTATATTGGATACATGACTCATCATTGGCACAAAACACACTCTGCTTATGCATCTTAGCTTCAAACAATCAATCTCCTCGTCTTATCTTGCAATCTAAACCCTTCTGGTATTGTATAATAGAATCTAAATAATTTGTCTGTGTCTATGTAATGTGTTTCTAGTTGCTCAGGTGACAGAGCAAGACCGATACAGAGACCAAGTACAGTACAGACTTAATCCTAAATTATTTCGGCTAGAATCGTATATATATATATCCGTAGATATATATCTCTTCAACGACAATGCTCATAAGCCAAGACCGCATCAAGAAAAAAAGTCAAACATTTTCCACAGCAGCGAGGAAATTCTCCAATCTACCACTATTCATGAAACGATTTACATCCTGAACTCCTTCGCCCATAATGGCACACCCTCAAACCGTCCACTGCTATACCCCAACCACCAAATAGGCTTGTCATCTCCCGTAGTAGCAAGAGTCCCAAACTTCGTATTCCCTTCATGTGTGAGGTATCCCTGTTCATTGACCCCAAATCCGGAGATGCTCGCATTGGCTGGCATGGCACCAGAATACGGGTTTGTCAGCCCGATTGGCTCAATGTCGCCCTCCACCACGTATAGATTCTGCCAGGTAAAGGGAGGGGCGTCTTCGCTGGTGTAGGTGATCTGGTCGCCAATACTGTGGACTTCAGTTGAGATATGGTTATATTAGTTGCTCTGGTCACCGGATGGCGTGGGGTAGGACATACGGATAAGGATGGGAAGTCGATTCGCGAGCTTGGGGGCAATCAGTGCGTGGTCTGATGTTGTTTTGCTCATCTGTTAGTGTGCTCTTCGAGATTCTATGACATGAATGTCATAGGGAGAGCCACTTACTACCGTCTGTCAGCAGAGTGTTGCCGCCCTCCGCGACGAGAGTAAAGGAAGGTGGGAGCGAGGCGGCGAGAGAAGCTGCGATGAAGGCAATGGTCGCGAAAGAGAACTTCATTGTATACTGAGAAACTGGAGACTTTGAATGGTGGATGAGCTGTTGTTGGCAGATGTTGGATCTATATAAGGATAGAAAGAATTCCATGTGAGAAATGTTCCACGGGTTGATGCTTGAATAAAGCGTCCTTACTGCTTTCTCAGTTGCTGATCAGGTGTGATGATGATGCTGAATTTCTCGCCCCATCAGATGCTCACCTCTCTTACTTCCTGCAGACGTTGGCTACAAACCTATTCTTATCTTCTCCCTCATTCAGACATGCATGGCATATACCACCTGAGTCCTGCAAGGGGTCATCATGCAATGCAACATCAGGGGAATCGCCACTAATTAGGCACTGAAGGCTCTTTCCACCGCCGTTTCGTCTCTTGTCAATTGCGTTGACGGTGACCAGACTATTCAGTAGACTGACGAGAATAGGCAGAAATCTTTGACGCTCTGGTTGAACCGGTATGTTTCCAGTCCTGTGGGCATCGCGACTATCCAATCCAGTCTCTCCCCAACTATCTCGAGTAGATGTACCCACCTTATATGGCTGGAAGATCAAAAGACACTAGAAGCTTATAAGCTGTTATCAAGTACTGATGATGTTAAATAGGGACGCTTTTCCAGTAAAAGAAGATATTTTATGGTGGGCGGCTTTTACATTGTCACTCATATTGCCTCCCAGCCAACCTTACTGCAAGACACCATGCATATCAGTCCAAAATTGGCTGTTTCTGTATGTCATAATGTCTGGATCATACCCTTGATCTTGCGCGGTCTGTATATGAGGTGATTGAGCTTGTGGTGGTAGCTCATCTGAGACTTACCATAGTCAAGAGATGACTGTTGCTCTTGGGCAACCTGTTAGTCCTCTTTTCACATGCTTGTCATACGCCCTAGCAGCAATGCAAGGTACGCCAATACACTAACCAGACAACAGGAGGTTGCAACGTGAAAGACCAACTTGTGCGCCTCTGCACTTCGGCTAGAATAACTACTTTTTAACGAGACTCACTGCGTGGTGTTTCAACAATTGCAGTGGTCGAGGTCGATTACTAAATATTAATATCAGGGGTGCCCGATCGGTCTATATAATCTATCACTAAGAACGCGGTAGGGCTATGTGGTGTGACACTGGTGCCTTGAGGTCACCGGTAGCCTTATTCAAAATGAAGGCTCGACTGATATAACCGTGATCAACGCGAGTGCAACAATCCGCTGGCTTGTTGTGAAACGTCTCCGCGCGAGAGATCCCTTCAACCATTAAGAGCTACGATTTCAGCCTTTTCTGTTGTTTTATGTTCATTGCCCAGACAATATTGGCATTGATGCTGATGGCTCGTTCAATGCGTGCTGGAAATAGATTGGATTCAGAATATCTGGTCCTGTCAGATCACTCGTACAAATCACAGACACGGGCGGTCAAAGATCGAGGTTTGAGAAAATGGAGGTGGTTGCCGAATGGGCGTGGATGTTCATGATGCCAACCGATCATTAGCTGACCAGTCTATACAAGATGCTTCTACTTAGTAGACGGGCAGATGGGGTGGCAATGCTTCCTATCGAACCTGTGTTGAGGTGTAACTCACCCAGGTGCTGTGTCAGGCTGTTGGCGCAGATCGTGTGGTATTCGCCCGGGCATGTCCCACACCTGGTAGTCCATGAGATTGCCAAAGGACGAGCCATTCCACAGATTTGAAAGACGATAGAGAGACTTAAAGAGCCAACTCCGATATACTCCATCCCATTGAGTGCTGAATGTGCAACGAAACCCATCAACAATTGACTCGATGACGGGCAAGTGACAGGTACGATCGGATGTGTGGCGGCCCAACTCGTATCTTCCCTTGTTGTCCAAACGCCCCAAGCGCAAATTGTGGCTTGTGAAGTCGTGGTAAGTTGTCTTCTGCAAGTTCACACTGGCTATCTCGAATGGCCTGGACAATACCAGTGCCGTCGACTGGACACTTCAGATTTGCCGCTTTCCAGGTAGGCAGCATCGCACATGGATGCAGGCGCAAGCCCCTCATGCCTCCGTCTACCGTTAGAATTCTTGTTTGTGGAGAAGGATGCTTTCTCCAACTCATCATTCCAACATAGCAATATTGTCCGAGCAGCTAGGTGTCCAGCCGCCCTGTCTAGCCATTAGTCGCATGTTCTGGCTCTCGATGCGGCGCTACTCGCGCTCTTATCCGACTTATTCTACTACTTGACCTTCTGGGACATTTTTCTCGCCCACAACATCTAGCCTCTCAGAACTCCGCGTTTTGACATGAGTGCAGCAAGTTGCAGTGATGATTGCCCATGGTGTTGGACCTATACGTACATGAGGGTACCAAACCTGGCTCGAGACCTACCCATTGGAACAACAGACATGGCAGCATTATGTGTATTCATCGCCTTCCTCGATACCATGCCGGGCGGAAAGCCCGGAAAGCGCGCATGACAATGTGACACAGGGTCCTCGCGTATCTCATCTACTTCACCATCAATGATTATCACTCTGGAATTATGTATATTCGGACTATTTAGGCCTCAACTCCATGCCCGTCTAGCATATAGGCCTTATAATAGTCGATGTCAGTGGATCTGGACTCAAACCGCTAGGGGTAGGAGGTATGTGCGCCCGATCCGAGACGGCTAGTCTTGCATCGGCTGTGGGCTTATGAGCGGGAGCAGTCCAATGCGTTTTCTCCAAGCCTGATGTTTCTCAAATTAGTGGCGGAAATACAAAAAGGCATACTCTGAGGCACAAGGAATATTTTGCCGCATTGGGGAATACAGTGTCCACTGTTTTCTGTGAATTGGTGTGAGAAACTGTATTGTTCACCGGGATTATTTGACAGAGTCCTATCATCCGTTCTCCCTCAGCGAATGTCTGGATAGTTCACTGACTTGCCAGAAACTGACGACAGCTGCACTTCCAGTACACGACCTTCGCTGCCAACAAGACAAGGTACCCTGGTTCATCTACTGAATTTTCTGAAAGCTTGCATGGATCTTCCCGAATATTATCTCAATGTGGAAGGTATTAGCAGATTTCGTACAATTCACCCCGCAACTTGCAGTGCCATGCATACACCGCCAGACGCGGGTAACTCAAAACTCCTTCATTGAATACACGGAATATGACAGGCCACAAGTGACAGCAATTACACAAAATAGACGGCGAGCCGCCAGCTCGGGTATCACCTACAGAACGAGGAATACAGATGTTAAGCCTTCCTACGTACAACTTGCCACGAGGACAGACGACGCGTGGGCCTTGACGGTCCACCAGATCGGGGTGTATGGGGAACGCATGGCACCTGGCCCTTGTGCGCGCCATGACGGCTTCAATTGGTCAAAGAGCACTCTTCCCGGGTGGAACAGTGCCAAGGCACTACATAAATAAATTCTGGGTCCAGTCAGCCAAGGATTAACGGAAGCTTCGGCGTTCGTATGTCGTGTTAACGGGCTGGTCAGGATCCCGTTAACCGAGCATCCCGCCATGCTCTGCTGTAAGATGCTCTGTCATTTCTGCCTGATCAGTCTCCGGGCAAACGTATACTGTTTTTCCAGTGGTTTAGCATGCGGAACAGAGACAAATCTACCCGCGACACCAGCAAACGGCAACAGTGGGGCCTGGCGGGAATCCGTTGATTCGCCCGCCTGCCCGACGGACCCAGTCTTGGCACCTGGAGGAACTCTTGGCACCCCCGCTCCCATTGGATAAGCCCCTAATTTACGAGCACCAAGCTTGCCTGCACTTCTAATTTGGTGACAACCATCACTGCACACACATTGTTCCAGACTCTGAACTTGAGTTGGAAAATCCGTATTTGGCCCCATTGCTCGGCGCCAAGGAGACGGATTTCTTGGACAACGATCTGGCATCCTTACAGGATGGATCGCCGTCAGGTCTCACCACGGGCATGCAAAAGACCGGTCTACTCTCGGTTTTCCACGGTAAAAGATCTCGTTTAGAGGCTTAGGGTACTCAGGGATGGTTGAGCATAAAACCCCGCTTCGCCCCCAGCCCTGGTCCTTGACCTAGTTCTTGTCCTACCCATCCTGAATTTCCCAGAGAGTGAGCGAAATTTGTATCGCAATCACGGACACAGCAGGTGCTGCTCAGCGTCTTCCATGCCAGTCGACAAACATACTCGGGGCCCCGACACGGGGCCGGGCACCAGCGCCCTCAGCAAGCCGGCTCACACTCTTCCCTATGATGCAGTGATCGAAGAACTCCAGACCCGGCTCGACGAGGGCCTGACCCCCGATGAAGCCGCCCATCGTCTGCAGCAGTATGGACCCAACAAACTGGAAGAAGGAGAGGGCGTGTCGGTGCTTAAGATCCTCGTTCGCCAGGTGGCCAACGCAATGATGCTAGTTAAGGGACCCACTATATTCCATGATGATTTCATCTACTGTGCAAGAACTCAACGAATCTGATCCAATTCTTCCGTAGGTGCTGATTCTGGCCATGGCGGTCAGTTTCGGGATCCAATCGTGGATTGAAGGTGGCGTGATCTGCGCTGTCATCGTCTTGAATATCGTCGTCGGATTCTTCCAGGAGTATGCAGCCGAGAAAACGATGGAGTCGCTCCATTCGTTGTCGTCGCCCACGGGGACTGTCTCTCGAGGGGGGCAGACTTTCTCGATTCCCTCGACGGACATCGTACCCGGTGATATGATTGAATTGAAAACGGGGGATACTGTCCCAGCTGATCTTCGGTTCGTTTGACACTTCCTTCCTTCACGAGTTCCTCTCGGCGCTAGTTAGTCATTGGTTGAGGGTTTACTGACGGTCTATGTGCAGCTTGGTCGAGGCAGTCAACTTCGAGACAGATGAGGCGCTTCTGACCGGCGAATCTCTGCCGGTCCAGAAGGAATGTGATTCCACTTTCAAGGATGACACCGGCCCTGGCGACCGTCTCAACATCGCCTACAGTTCTTCCACTGTCACACGCGGCCGCGCGCGTGGCGTGGCTGTTGGAACAGGCATGTCTACCGAAATTGGTTCTATTGCCGCGGCGCTGCGGGCCAGCAACAGCAAACGTCGCGCTGTCAAGCGTGGCCCCAACGGCGAAACCCGCAAGAGGTGGTATGTCCAAGCCTGGACCTTGACTGGCACCGATGCAGTCGGCCGCTTCCTCGGCGTGAATGTCGGAACCCCACTGCAGAGGAAGCTCTCCAAGCTGGCTATTCTTCTTTTCGGAGTTGCTGTCCTGTTCGCGATCATCTGCATGGCAGCGAATCTCTTCAACAGCAATAATGAAGTGATTCTGTATGCAGTGGCAACCGGCCTGAGTATGATCCCGGCGTGCCTTGTTGTGGTTCTTACTATCACCATGGCCGTGGGAACCAAACGCATGGTCGAGCGAAACGTGATCGTTCGCAAGCTTGACTCGTTGGAAGCTCTCGGTGCAGTGACGGACATCTGTTCAGATAAGACAGGCACTTTAACTCAGGGTAAGATGGTGGTCAAGAAGGCTTGGATTCCCTCCCGCGGAACATACTCCGTTGGAGCCTCAAACGAGCCGTTCAACCCTACCACCGGAGATGTCACCTTCACGGCGGTGTCACCAATGCAATTCGACGAGGAAAAGGAAGGCCCGGCCGTACCGAACGCAGAGAGTTTGGTGGCTGGAAATCGCCCGCTGGAAGACTTTCTCGACGTCGCGTCCATGGCTAATCTCTCACACGTCTACAAGTCCGACGAGGGAGAGTGGAAAGCTCGAGGCGAGCCCACTGAGATTGCCATTGAAGTCTTCGCGTCCAGGTTTAACTGGAATCGCGATCGGTGGACCAAGGGCCAGGGAAGCAAAGGACAAGGCGCCGTGTGGCACCAGATGGCGGAGTTCCCCTTCGATTCAAGCGTCAAGAAGATGTCTGTGGTTTTCAGCAAGATCACTCCCCAGGACGAACGTACCATGGTCTTCACCAAGGGCGCTGTTGAGCGCATCGTCGAGTCCTGCACCTCGGTGATCTGGGACCAGGATGCGTTGACCCCAGTACCCATGACCGACAACCATCGCGACCAGATCTTTCAAAACATGGAGGACCTCGCCAAGTTGGGCTTGCGCGTGTTGGCTTTGGCACATCGGCCGTACGATGCCCAGACGCGCCTGCTGGAAGGGTCTGACCTCAACCGCGAGGAAGTGGAGAAGGATCTGTGCTTCCTGGGCCTGATCGGCTTGTACGACCCCCCGCGCCCGGAGACGGCCGGCTCGATCCAGGCCTGTTACCGTGCCGGGGTCGTTGTGCACATGGTCACCGGTGATCATCCTGGTACTGCCAAGGCCATCGCACAGCAAGTGGGAATCCTGCCGGCAGACTTCAGCGCGGTCGCGGCCGATGTCGCTGATGCGATGGTCATGACAGCCTCTCAATTCGACCGACTCTCTGACGACGAAGTTGACGCACTCCCAACCCTTCCTCTGGTCATCGCGCGCTGTGCACCACAGACAAAGGTCCGTATGATCGACGCGCTGCACCGACGTGGACGCTTCGCGGCTATGACTGGGGACGGAGTGAACGACTCGCCGTCGCTTAAACACGCCGACGTGGGTATCGCTATGGGACAGGCCGGCTCGGACGTGGCCAAGGACGCGTCTGATATTATTCTTACCGACGACAATTTCGCTTCCATCCTCAATGCCGTGGAGGAAGGCCGTCGCATCTTCGATAATATTCAGAAATTTGTGCTCCACCTTCTGGCCGAGAACATCGCGCAGGCTTGTACTCTACTCATTGGACTCGCGTTCAAGGATGCCGATAATCAGTCGGTCTTCCCCCTGGCACCTGTTGAGATTCTCTGGATCATCATGATCACCTCGGGCATGCCCGATATGGGACTGGGGATGGAGGTCGCGGCGCCCGACATTATGAGCCGCCCTCCGCAGAGTAAGCAGGGGATCTTTACCTGGGAGGTGGTCATTGATATTCTCGTGTACGGACTCTGGACCGCGGCGCTCTGTCTGGCCGCATTCGCCATTCGCATGTGGGGCTTCGGCGACGGCAATCTCGCGCGCGGCTGCAACCAAGGCTGGTCGCCTCAGATCCAAGACTGCGAGCTGGTGTTCCGAGCGCGTGCGACCACCTTCGTGTGTCTGACCTGGTTCGCACTCTTCCTAGCCTGGGAAATGGTCGACATGCGACGGTCGTTCTTCCGCATGCAACCCAAATCGAAGCGCTATTTCACCCAGTGGATGGTCGACGTGTGGCGCAACAAGTTCCTGTTCTGGTCCATCATGGCCGGGTGGGTGACCATCTTCCCGATCCTGTATATCCCCGTGCTCAGCGACGTGGTCTTCAAGCACAAGGGCATCACGTGGGAATGGGGCATCGTGGCTGTCGAAGCCGTGCTGTTCTTCATGGGCGTTGAGGCGTGGAAATGGGGGAAACGCGTCTTCTTCCGTCGCAGGGCCCGCAAGCATCCGATGTTGACCTCGTCGGAGACTGCCCCGGAACGGCCCTAACGAATGCTTTCCCTGGCCCGACTCCATCTGGGGCCAGGGGGTAACCATCTCGCTATTTGGATCTGGCGGACGCGCTATTGGACTTGACTATTGGATATCGGACTCATATATTTGCTTGGTGGAGGAAGGGAAGGGGGCCGCGCTGTTGTTTTGGTGTGATTTTGCTGATTTGAACTGGACTTTTGTCCACCCACCCAGATTGTGCAAATTTATGATTAGCAGTAAGTATAGTTGCAATTCCATTCTTTGTAAAAACCGGAAGAGTTCTCCGCATCGTTAAATGTAAACTGTAAATCTACCTTGTCGACATTTAAGGTTAAGACTCGGTGACGTCACGACATTTACCACCAATTCGACTTTCTCCGGCCTCTTCAGTACTCACAGTTATAAAACCACGCATTCATCCACAGGGATGAAAACAAAGTCATGCCGCCATCCCCAGACGAACCTCCTCGGCGGCCTTTAGCACGCGCGCTGTGGCACTTCTCCCCGCAGTGGTTCCTCGTACCGCAAGGAACCGGCGTGCTGGCCATCGTGCTTCACCAGCTGCACTACCAATTCCACGGGCTGCGCATCATCGCTAAGATCGTCTGGATCTACACCATCGCCTTCCTGGGCATCGCACTGATCCTCTACCTCCTCCGCTGCATCCTCTACCCGCGCCATGTCGGGCGCGAGGTGCGCAACAACATTCTCGAGACCTCCTGCCTCTCCAGCATCTCCGTCACCCTGACCTCCATCTTCGAGATGATCGCCATGCAATATAGCCACTCTGCCAGCCTCGCCGCCTACGTCCTCTGGTGGGTGACCACGGCCCTCGCAATCATCTTCCTGCTCGCGACCCCGTACATCCAACTGAAGCTGCAGCCCCCGGGGCTAGCCCACATTCCGCCCGCCATTCTCCTCCCCGTAATCGCAGCGCTCACCTCCGCCGCCGGTGGAGGCGGCATCTGCATGGCGGCATCAGCACACCTCAGCCACCGACTCTGCGTCCCGGCCGTCGTGGTCTCGTTCTTTGAAATTGGCGTCGGCATGCCCCTCGCGATCGCATTCACTGCCGTCGTCCTCCTCGAACACTTCAAGCGCAAGTCGGCACCTGACAAGGTCTACCAGGACCTGATCATCTGCGGACCGTTTGCGCAGGGCGGGTTCGCGCTGATGGCGCTGGGGGAGGTGGTGCTGAATGGGTCGTTCGCGGACTACGACCGGGGCATGTTCTTGAGCAGTAAGGCGGCCACGCCGGTGGGGTATTTCAGTGTGTTTGCGGGTGTGCTATCCTGGGGGTTTGGCACGTTTTGGTGGCTGTTTGGGTTGATAAGTGTGGTGCATACGCTTGTTGCGCAGGAGGGGGGAATTAAGGAGACGAAGTTTACTATGACTGTTTGGTCGGTGGTTTTTCCTTGGGTTTGTCTTCTTTCTCTTTCTTACTTCCCCATTCTTATTCTTTATTCTTCTATCATGATCAATTCTAATGATATAGGGCGTATATGCAAACTCGGCCATCGAGCTGGGCAAACTCATGGAGTCCCCAGCGTTCTACGTGTGGTCTACAGTGCTGGTGATCCTCATGGTGGTGATTACTATTATTGTCACTCTGCTCACCATCAAAGGATTGATCACTGGAAAGGTGGTGGGTCTGGAACATGGATGGCGGACTACGCCGTTGGATATGAATGGGGATGCAAACCGGTATAAGGAGGCATGATTGTATACTATAGCATGTTTGTACAGTGCACGTAGAATAGACTGTCACTTGTTTGACCCCTGTGCCATATACGGTTTGATGATTGCTACATCCACGGTATTCATTTATAGTTGTTTGTTCGGCTGTCTTCATTACTTGTCTCTAGATATTTATACCCTTACCTTTCCTTCTCCTCTCCCACCTCCTTCTCATCTATCTACCTACATTTATGGACACTATATAGACCTCAAATTTATATACCAGATATCATATACTGGATTTGTCAGTTTTGGAAAGAATGTGAACTTCCTCTCCCAATCACCTACACGGGTGGTTCCCTCACTGGAAATCCTTGGCGCTCATCTAGGAGCTCGATCATATGATACCGACCATTGAAACCAACGGTCTACACACCTTTCGCAGACAAATTTGGGACAAGGAAACATCTTCCTTATATTGTCTTGTTGTCTACGATTAGCATCTTTTCACGGTGCGCCTTCTTTCTGTCTCGGCAAAGGGGTCTTGTCATTTCTGCACGGTATCTATTGACAGCCACTGCTTCAAATCATCAAATCGATATGTCGTCGGGGTCGATATGACTTATATCTACATATATTACTTCGATCATTAACCGCGGTCGTTCTGCTCGTCGTTCCCTATAAGCTACAGGCGATGGGCGTCGCACTGTTTGGTTGCAGCAGCACACTCACTCATCATGGGCAGCTTGTTCGTATTTATACAACCCATGGCGAACAATCCTCGCCCATGGAAAGCTAACAGCTACAAGTGGGCGTTGATCCGAGATAGAGAATGGCAGCTTCAGCAAAACCTGCGCGAGGACTAAAATGATGCACGCCAATATTCACCAATGATAAAAAACCCAGGTCTCTGCCCTGACCCGCGTAACCATACGCAGAGATCTCAATTCCCTGTGTTCCATTCTCCTTGGTTGCTTTTCCACCTCCTCCATGGCTCGGTAGGGTATGTAATGCTTCAACCCCAGTCCCCTCATCCCGCAAGCGCAGGACGACCAGTCGGGCTGCCGACTGTCGTGCTTTTGCACCCTCCGATTTGCATACTCACGACATGCTCGTATCAACCCCTTTGCATGCTTTTCTGTGCATCACTATGCGCTTTCAGTGGTTGAAAGACTGGCTGACATCCCATGCTTGCTTTTAGATGCCTCGCTTATCGAAAATCCGCCTGCACCTGAGGCTATGCATATCCACGCAGCGGTCCTATTGGAATTGACGCATTGATGCTAGTGAATAAAAAAGAGGTCCCTTCTGAGAATATCATAGCAAGACTCGAGCTTCTAGGACAGACCTATGTTCTCCTCTGTCATAAATTCCTTCGTACCGCTATCTATACTTGATTTGCAATATATCCATATTCATACAACCCGTTACAAGCGATTCTCGCCCATGTGATCTTCCAACTCGCGATTGGGCTTTAATAAGGGAGAGAAGAATACGTTACGCGAAACGGCGAAAGAACCATACTTTTACAAGCCAATAGTTCAACTCCACCGGACACAATCGCAATAGTCAAACAATGCTTGACAGGGCAGTCGTCTACATGATATATGTTGGGAGATCAGCCATATCAAGCCTGAACAAAATGACAATACGACATTTTGGTGCAGTGACTGTCAGGTTATGAACCCGGAGCTCAAGGTCGATTTCATCAAGATGGAAACAATCCCATCATCCCACATCATCAAGGCGCTAACAATAGCCGACACCTTATGCAAAATCAACCACAGACAACCCAGATGTGATCAATGTTGGACCGGATATTGAACTGATCATGTCAGCTGCTCAGATCATAGGAGTTCCAAACAAGCGGAAGGGAGAGATCGTGCTAGAGGTGCGCGTCTTCCACCTGACGCGGAGAGCCCACCGCGGTCACGACATGAAGACGAAGGTTCTTGACACCAGGGATGATTTAATCGGGTTTATATCAGATCTGGACCCCGAGGACCCGAGGACCGCGCGGGTGATAATGGACATCCCTCCAATGCTATCGGTATGGCGTTCATAGAGAACCCTCCAGGAACCCTATTACCGTTCTCGTGACAATCTAATATAAGGGCCAATGTGACATCAGGTCGAGCCTGACCAAGCCCCAGCTTTGACTTTGATGCAGTGGCTGTCATATATTGTTGGAAGGATGTAGACCATTCGACAACCAGTCTCTGCATTTCATTCCTTCTATTGCGAAAGTCGTGAATGCAATTGACCAAAGTCAGCTAAGTTGCAGATTATCTAACAGTGTTATCTTCATGCTTCATAAAAACCTACAATCCTTGTTCGTGCACCCCCTGTCCACTTGCACTCGGAGGTCCTGGTGGCTGTCATTCTTCGTCATCAAGTAGATGACAACGGCCCTCAGCCCCGTCACCATTGGGCAACTGCAGCGTCTGCACGCGGGCCTATCCCATATGCTCGCTGTCCGGGGCTACGAACAGGCCAGCCCTGCAGAAATTTCAGCAGTGTTATCTTGATTCTGCACAAAACCTACAATCCTCCATGACTTCAAGAATATCATCGAAATCGCCATTATTTGACATCTCTATTCCCCCACATCAATCATCTTCGGTATCTTGGATTGATGGTTGGTCAATCATCAAATGATCATTTTCAGCCCATTTCCTCCCTAGCAGCCCACACCTTACAACATCACATGGATGCAAATATGATACGTCCACCATATAGTTGACTAGCTACGTGTCTCGCCTGGAAGTCGCAGGAATCTTCCGTATTACGTATCTTATCAAATTTTCACCTTCTGCTGTGTTTCTGCGTTCCGTTGGTAGCTTTAACCCCCACGTCCATCTAACACCATTGAGCTGACACTGTCTATGTACCTACCAGTCCACATGGATTCATTTTCTGGAATATCGTAGACAAGACTTCTCTATCGTTCTCTGTCTCTATTATCTTGCTTTAACCTCTTTTACTTCTAAAAGCCTTTGCTTATTATATGACAGGTAATGGTCAATGGGACAAGGCAATGAAACAAAGCTTGATAGAGTAATAAATCACGATAGATGATTCTATAAAAAAGGAAGTCATACGTACCTAATCATAAACCAAACGCCTCATCCGGACCAACACCCTGACAGCCTCCCATTTGCGTATATTCCAAACACATGATGGATTCATTAAACCTCAATACAAACACTCCGGGATCGCACTCGGCTCGAACCCATGCGCCAGCCACAAATAATTCACTTCCGACCCCATCAGCCCCGCGACATCCCCAGCCAGCGTGCCTATCCCCGGGAAGTCTACATCTTGGGGAAACTCCAGCGGGGTCGGAGGGGCGTTCCCATTTGGGACGGACGATGCTGTCCATTGGAAGTTGCTGTTTTGTTACATTAGCTGGTAAATAAATACATATATGGAAGAAGGGAGATTCAACATACTCTAACCACGGGAACGAATCCACCAGCGACTGACTGGTATCCACGACCGGATCGGCAGCCTGGACAGCCTGTTTGGCGATCTTCATCAAATCCAAGCTCATTGCTTTCCCTGTGGTATAGCCAGCGTGTTCAACCTCGTCGAGACACTGGATGCCGCGGTCGACGACGGCGAAGGTCTGGCGGGTTCGCTCGCGGTCGGTGCCTGAGCTCAGGACATCGTACAGAAGTGTCACGCACGCGGAGACCAGGGAGCAAACGAGCGCACTGTCATACCGTGCGTCGGGAAAGCGGCGGAAGTAGACGTCGTGGGCGAGGTTGATGAGATGGCGGGCGGCGGAGGTGGACTCGTCGATGCACGACTGCAGGCTGAGGCCGCAGGGGGCCTGGTGTTGGGCTTCGGCGGTGGAGCGGAAGAAGGTGGTGAGGACCAGGGCGGGTCGGTACAGCAGCATGCGGATGACGTAGTAGCTGAAGCCGAGGCTGATGCGCTGGACTTCTTGCCAGTCTTCGCCGATGGGGGTGGTGTCGTCGAAGAAGTGGAGGTAGCGGGGGAGGGAGCGGTTGGTGGCTTTGAGGGCGGTGTCGCATTCGAGGCACAGATTGTTGACCTTGGCTAGGTCTGCGACGCTCTTGATGCTGGCTGGGGAGTAGACTTCGATCGAGATGCGGTCTGCTAGCTTTGCGAGGTCGATCATGGATCGGATAAAGGCGCATTCGACGGAGGGCTGGTGGTAGGGGTCGTCTTTGTTAAGGAGGAAGTCGTCTGGGTAGACGGAGTCGATTTGTCGGTCAGAGAATGCGGAGGGTCGCCCCATGACTACGGACGAGATGCGTTCGAAGACGAACGTCGTCCAGAAGGTCAGTCGCAATCTATGGGCGTTGTGGTCGCGTCCGTCGGTGACCTGAGACCGATGCAAGCCCAGCACCATGGCTGTACGGGTGGCATGGCCGAGGTAGAGGTATGCATCATTCTGTCTCATGAGTTGCAGCGAATACATAGCCTGCGACGTTAGCCAGAGTGCAGAGAGACAGGGCAGCAGCCATACCTTGAGTAGCATCAAATGCATGCCTTTGATACTCGGCTCCTGCAAAAATATAGGTCCTTCAGACGCTCTACTAGCGAAATACTCGCCCCACCCATCGACCTGAGCCTCGGGCTGTCGCCCCTTCAGATTGACCAACCGCGCACCGATCGCCAGAACCATAAAGAGAATCTCCTGGTTCTTGGCCGCACGGCCCAGCACAGGCGCCTCCCACATCTGGTTCCACTCGTCCACGATCTCAGAGTGCACGAGAACGGACATTTGCGGATGCATGATCTTGAAATACGCCTCGATAAACATATCTCCCAGAGAGCGGGGGATAAACGCCTGGGACGGGCGCTGGCCGCCCCGCGGGTCCGCGTCGGACCCGGGCATGAACATGAACCGGTCCATGCCCCATTTCTGCAGTCCGTCCGGGACAGAACAGCTGCGACGATCTAGCAGCGATTCGCCGCCAGACGACTGCTTGATCCGCTGGTACACCCGCTGGAGGAAGCAGTACCCGGACGAGGGTCCTGGGCGAGTTAGTCTGATAGAATCTCTAGTTATACTCTTACTTTCTTGGAGGTCAGGGATTACCGTAGAACTGGAAATTTCCCGTCTCAGGATTCGCAACGCCAATACCGGCTCTCAGCTCCTGCTGTCGCTTATAGTGTTCCGGATCGTCCAGACATGCAGAGACCGAATCCTGCGGCGTGATCGGGGACTCCACGGTAGCCGGTAACAAAGCGGCAGGAAGCCTCGGGGGAAGTCCCCTTTCCTTGGCTACACGGGTCCGTCTCTTGCGGATCTGGCCAGTGCGATAAGTGCAGCGGTCTGGATGGCGGGCACAGCCACTGCATGGATGTTCGCCGTTGCATTTGATCTTTCGCGAACGGCAGAGTTCGCAGGCTCGGGGGACGCGGTCCCGGGGTGGAGGGGACATGGTCTGAGAATGAAGCCCGTAACTATTTTTGTGAACAATCTCCAGTTGTCACTTGCGAAATGGCAAGTCAGATCAGAGCTGCAGCATTGGTGGTTTCTAATCAGGAAGCCTGCAGGCTGCGCAGCACTGATTGGCCCGATCCAGTCCTGGGGTGATCGGTTCTATCTGCGACACAAACAGGAACTATTCCATGATGCGATGGACAGAAAGGAATCTGTTCACAAGTCTCTCAATGGCCGAGTCGAGAAAGACTGAGAATTGGGAAGTAGGAATGATGGATGGAAGAGTATCGAAATCACCATCAGTGAGATTGATGACTAACGCTGTCAGGGGCAGTAAATTACAGAAATACAGCCCAAAAGACAGAGAGATGATGGCGTATGGCGTGTATGGGAATACATCAGCAGTTCAATTTGTCAGCGCCTTTCCCAATTGGGAATAACCCTACATGGCCGCGCTTGTGGCTGATATGCATCATTTCATCTGATACTCGCGTCAGCTCAATGCCTCCTTTCAAGATGTAGCAGTTAGATACACGCTTCTGACTGTTCAATACAAGTCTCGCGGTACCATGGGGTTGTCTAACCGTCGGTAGATGTGATCGAGCAGTATCACGAGTTCGACAGCCTCAACAGTGACCTTTTCACAGCATGACAGGCACCCATACATAGTGCATGAGGTTGCGCACTGGTCCATATAACAGTAGCTTGGTCACTTTGTCAGCAGTTGAACAGATATCAAGGAGGCGGTCCCGCGATATCGAGTCGAATTGGGACTGTGCGCGCAGAAGAGGGAGGGAGGGTTCTTTTGGTTTACCAGATGGATGAGAGGTGTCAGATCGTTCGCTGGTCAGTCATTCACAGATAAGTATTGTCTCCAGTAGTGGGCATGGCCACTGCCACTGATAGATAGGATAGGGGCCATTAGATTGATGAGACTAGGTAAAGGTCTAGACAGATTGACGTCGGAATACCGCTCTGGTTCTGTCAATGGCATCCCATGCTTACATGGGTAGATACAGCTCAATCCTGATATCTGTAGCATCCAAGTTGATGTAGATGTTTGTTTTTGTAGAAGCTAGGCGGCATTGTAGCCGTTGGTATAGTGGAGGCATCAATCCCAGCCGATGTATGCTATAACCGAGATCGCATACCACGTCTGAACATATCACCACGACGTTGTCAACACATGGCCATTTAAAAAAGAACCATCAGCAAATAAACCATCATATTAGACACATTGATCAAAAGCTGTCATTGAATCAAGGTGGATGGCAGATCTGGGGTAATCGTCTAATTTAAGCAGGTGGATTAGGTGGGCCAGATATATATCCTATTCCACGATGGCACTAACAGATGGGGTATACACCACGCCACCTCGATTAGGATATCTACCATGATACACCATAGAGAACAGTAATTTTCATTTTACTCCTTGTTTAACTTCCATCCTGTAGTACTGTCTCTCACAGTTTCCCTCTCACTCAATCTACAAAATATACTGTTAAACAAGGCAAGTCAAGCGACGCTAACCCAGCCAGGAAAGCCACCGCCTCAGGCACCGCACACACCGCCGGTCGATCTCAGCCTCAGGCAAGCAGAAGCTCACGTACCCCTGCAGGAGCAGCAGTTCCAGCCGAGCTGCATGCATCAGCATGATATACGACCTGAAGTACATAATATATGCTGTACCACAGGTAGAGCAAATCTATAGCAATCTGCAAGAGACCTCTCAATTCGACCGTTCTACGGGATTCCCAAACAAGAATAATCTGAATCTGGCCAACGGACAAGATCGGAAAAAATCGGCCAGCTGGCAGGAGCTGACCTCGGCGAGTCACTTTCTTATCCCTGCAAACGGCGCCAAGCCAACCAGACCGGTTGCGGCGAGGATCCTTCGGGCGTTCGTCGGTTGCGTAATGGCTATCTATCTTGGTAGCTGTCGCCCAACAAGCAGAGCTCTTGAGCTTGAGCTCAAGCTATGGAGGATCGTGCAGTGGGCAACTGCAGGTCTTGGATGGGCTACTCTCGAGTCTAGAGTCTACGGGGATACGGAAGATAAATACATTTGGGGAAGTTTTTCAAAACAGGAAAGAAAAAAATAAACCAAAAGAAGTAGGATGGAGACGGATGGGTCTCCCATTCCTGAGTCGGACTGGCGGTGATCCGCTGCTGAGACAGGAACGAGATGAGGGCCGAAACACGGTGGAACGGAGCCCCTTCTTATCACCCTCAATGTATCCGTCGGAGTACGGAGGACCTGTCCATAGGACTGTCCCCAAAAAGAGGGATTGAAGGAGTTGGTTCAAGGGAGAACTCAAGTGGACAGGTCAGCTCAGACAGCTCTGTTGGGATGTTTGTTGTTGGTGTTCCATCCAAGAAAAGGGGGACAAACAGACAGGGATGGAAGAAAATTCGGTGGCTGATCTTATTATTTATTCTCATTATGCTAATTAATTATTATGATTATCCTGGTCGAATTAGGAGGGAAAATAAAATAAAAATGATAGGTGCCGCGTTGAGGAATGGTGAAAGAATTAGTGGGAAAAACTTTTTCGGGTCAGCCGGGCATTCCAGGGCCAGTCTTTTTCATCTCCCCCTTCTCCCTTTTCTTTTGATTCTTTGACCTTTCCACCTTGATAGATTGTTCAATTTTTTGCAATTGTATAGACTATAAATAAGTATATATCGTGGTCAAGACAGAAGACGAGAGGATGATGGTTGAGAAGATTCCGACTTCCCTCCAGCCGAGCATCTCGGGTCCAAAGCAGACGACGGTGGAGCCGCATACCGGATTCGGCCCGGTGGGTTTGAAGGGTTTGGAGTCCGAGAAGAACACGGGTTGTTATTGGCCAGGATCCGGGTCTAAGTGGGTCTGGAACCATTTTATCGGACCCATCGGGATCCACTACACTTCTGTTTCTCAATTTCCTCCCTGTCCTTTTTCTGCCTGTTGCTCCCTTTTCTCACCGGTATTTGCTATGGGAGATTGTTCTGGAGATTGATCCTGATGATTTCTGAGGATTGTTGTAGAGGAATTGAGTGAGAGTCTGGTCAGGATGGGAGAGTGTCCTGTGTCCACAGGTCCATGGGAATCCAGTATGGAGACAGGAATGAGTTGGAGGGACAACCGGAATGGAGTGGAAGTCGCACTGCTCAAATCATTGCGCACCAGGTCTCCACTACCAGAGTATCATTGGCCGTACCAGATCCAGCCCCATCCCGAGTGAACCCGAGGAACAGAACCAGTTGCGCAAGTTGACGGATGGCCGGGAGACCGCCAATTCCCAGACCTCCCAACTCTGGACAAACCAGACAGGAAAAAACTAGGGCTAGCCACTAGGACCAATGGGGAGCGATTTGTGTGTGGGAAAGTGTGAAATTTTAGCGGGAAAGTATTTATGTCCTCCGAGGTCTCTGTTGTCTTTTCTCCAGCTTTTTTCTCCCTCCTTCTCCCTCCTTTTTCCTCTTTCTTCCATCCATCTCTCTCTCTTCTCCTCCCACACCCACAAACTCTTCCCATCCTTCACAATGGCCGCTCCTCGTGTCTTCGCCTCTCGTCTGGCCACCACCATGGCCGCGACCTCCAAGGTTGCCCGCCCTGCTGGCCGCATCCAGATGGCCGCCCCTAAGCGCACCTTCACCACCCAGCGCAAGGCCCCCATCACCACCACCTTCCAGACCGCCAAGCGCACCCAGTCTCCCAGCCTGATCCAGGCCAACGCCCGCCAGGTCTTCGCCAACGCCTCGGCCCGCCGCAACTACTCCTCCGAGATCGCCAACGCCATGGTCCAGGTCTCCCAGAACATGGGTATGGGTTCCGCCGCCATCGGTCTCGGTGGTGCCGGTATCGGTATCGGTCTCGTCTTCGGTGCCCTCCTCCTGGGTGTGTCCCGCAACCCCGCCCTCCGTGGCCAGCTGTTCTCCTACGCCATTCTGGGTTTCGCCTTCGTTGAGGCCATCGGTCTGTTCGACCTGATGGTTGCCATGATGTGCAAGTACGTTTAAATTAAGAACGACCGAAATTGAGACCGACATATTCTCTACCTTTTTCTCGTGATTATGGCCGGTTGAGACTGGAGAAAGATCTACCCGAGGAAAAGAGAGGGAACGAAGGGATGAAACTCCAATGAGGAACACAAAATCTACAAAAAAAAAAAGTACACCAATTCCAGCAGATCGTTGACGGATTCAAACCCTCATCAATGGTCTTGTTGGTCCAGCTAGGAAAGGAGCTAATCTGGATGGGTGGTCTTTTTATATATCATGTACTACAATCTTCCCGCATCTCTCTACCAATACATTGTACATATAGAGTTTAAAATGGCCACTAAACCGATTCCTAGCCTGATATTTCTCTGTACTTTGAATTGAATCTTCCCTGATGGCCGATGGCCACCGCTACACCCGGGCCCTTGGAAGGACAGAAAGGCCAGCTGTTAGGAACGGAAGGAATGTCCAGTTGGCGTTAGTTGTGTGGATCCGGATCGATCGAGGACGTCACCATTATTATCATACTTAATATTAATCATTTTCTAATATTCACCATTATCAAAAGATCATATAATAACCTTCCAACCTAGTCATGTGAATGTACAATCAATCATTCAAGACAAGGGCCAGGTAGGAGAGGAACGGAAAAAATGGGAAGGAAGAAAAGATGATGAATCCTCGGTCCCGCCTAAAGCGCATATGACGCCGATCGTGACGATCGTCAATTGAGTTACTTGTTTTCTTGATAACGCAGTATACGGAGTAGCACCACGCTGAGAAAGTAGAGGAAAGGCTAGTGTGTGAATCATCAATTGCATTGTACAATTGGTTTCAATAAGGTCGTCTTATATTTGACAGTCTTGCTGTGACGGAATGGATGGGGTCATGTGACCTCGGCTGAGTTGCCGTCTTTGACTCGACGACTCGTGGCTATCTCGTAACATGATATGATATGATATGACTTGAGGTAGAACAGTATAATCTAGGGCTGAGTACAGCACAACTATCACTACTATAACTATAGACCATAATCTGATATCAATCAGTAGACAGCCGGCCATAAGGATCGGATCACGAAACCTCGGCTGAAGAATCACCCGCTGATAAGATAAGACTGACATCTCATCTTCGTCTCATCACTCCATAAAAATACCCCATTTTATGCTCTTTCATTTACATATTGGCGATACTATTATTATCATGATTATTGTTAAAGAAAATCATTAAGAAAGAAAGAAAGCAAGAAAATGATCCCCCTCTACCCCCCCAACCAAGTCCCCCGCATCAAAAACGCCAAACGTCTCACAACAACACGCACCAAGCAGCTTGTACGCGCCGCAGACAGACCCCACGATGACCCGCCGCCGCCCCCAGGTCTGGGCGAGTGCTGTGGCAGTTCGTGCGATCCGTGCGTGACTGATCTATGGCGGGAGGAGCTGGCTGTTTGGAGGGAGAGGTGGGGGGAGGGGGCTGTGGAGGGGAAGAAAGAGAAAAAAGATGGAAAGGGTGGGAATGGGGAGACGAAAGATGATAGGGTGGAGAGTAAGACAGAGAAGAAGGAGGAGGAAGAGGAGAAGAGGTATAAGGTGCCGGGGAGTTTTGACTGGTGGTATATCTTCCATTCCTCGTTGGTTGACTGCTTGCTAACTTACATAGATGGATGAGTGAGTGTATAATATCAGTGTTGGCTGGAACAATCTTGGTGGTATATACATATAGACAAAGGAGGATACAGTCCATGACTATCTAGAAAGCCATACACACTCAGCTCCCCACCTCGCTCCCACTAGGTGCACTCGCCTCATACTCCAACATCAACTTGACCTCCTTCCCCGGCCGCAGCTTCACCACGAACCGCACCTCGCCATTCTTCCCCAATGACACGCCCCCACTCCCAGACGAAGCATCCATCTCCACCGTCGTCTTATCCCCCTCCTTCTCCAGCCCCGACGGCTTCACTACCCGTACCTTGAGCCTCTCGTCCTCACTAACCGGCACCTGCTCCAGCAGAGTAACCTCCACAGCTGTGGGCTTCGCATTCTTCAGCACACAGACACGCGTAAACAGTGCCATCTCATCCTTCGCGAAGAACACCGACGAGGCACCCAGCCGCTTTACCTTCGGCGGGGAGTACCGCACCACAACGTCGGGGTCAATCCCCATCGACACGCCAAAGTACTCCCCCGGCGTGGTAGGCGGGACGCTGGACGTTCCGATAAAGGTCGCATCAACAGCCATACCGACGGGGCCGCGCAGCAGCGTCACGGCGCTGGTGTTTTGGATGCGCGCGCGCAGGAACGCCGCGGCGCGGTGCTTGGGCACGACGAGGTGCGAGAGCTGCACGTTTTTGAGCTCTAGGTCGGCGAGGACGTGGCGGCGGGGTATGGTGCTTGGTGCGAGCGTGCGTCGGCCGGGGAGGTCGTACGTTGTTGTTAGACCGATTTCGTTCTTGATGCTGTCTTGGTGGTCTAGGGTGGTGGGGTTGTCGTCGTCTAGGATGTTCGGGTCTGTTAAGGATTGTGCGGTTGGAGATGGTATCGTGTTTGCTGGGGGAGCTGCAGCCCCAGCAGTAGGTGGAGGAGGAGCTGCACGAGAAGCTGGAGAACCGGAGGCTCCGCTGCTCATCCCGAACAAGCCCCCCCCGGTTGGTCCTTGCGGGGCTGCCTGGGGGGTGCACGAAAATAACGCCCCAGACACCTGTTGCTGGGCCTTTTGCTGGGCCTGTTGCCGGGCCTGTTGCTGGGCCTGTTGCTGGAGTTGCTGCTGGGATTGACTGGCAAGCATCTGCTGCTGCCCCTGTCGGGCCATGCTGAACAAGGGTTGGAATGGGTTTCCCGATTTGACACTAAACGGGTCCTCTGCCGAGCTGCGCAGCATACGGTCCCACGAGGGGTGTTTGTGGTTGCTGCTCGCATCACCGGCTGCCTCCTGCAACTTGACCTGCCAGGGAACGAGCGCGGGGAGAGGCTCATCGGGTCTGGAGAATGCCGCCTGTGAAGTCGACAGCGTGACGTGGGCATCCTTCCACGTCTCAGCAGTGGCGTTGACAAACTCCGCGCGATACGTCAGCCGGGCAGTCGACTTTGGCGTGTCGATACTCAGCTCGTACCGCGGCGACCACTTCGCCAGATCGACCACATAGCTCAGCTGCAGCGATATCTCCATATCTTTATCGGCCTTGTCTGTAGCAGTCGCGGTCGTCGACGTAGTCGTCGTCGACGAGGCACGCGATCTCAAAGGCACAACATGCCGATCAAGCGAAACAACAACCTTTCGCACCCGATCCGTCCAAAACGCGCGTTTCTTCTCCGCCTGAAACGCCCTCTGCCTTGCCCTCTGCGCCCTCAAACTCTCCTTCCTCGCCCGTCGCTTCTTCTTCTCCTTCGCAGCGCTCTTCCTCCCCTTCAGCATCCTCTTCCGGATCTTCTCCCTCTTCCCCCTCAGCCGCATCAGCTCCCTCTCCGCCCTCCCCTCCGCTGCCTCCCCCTCACAATGCTTCTCCACCTGCAACAGCGACTGCTCCTCATACAGCGCCAGAAAGCGCCCCACCTGCTCCGTCGCCGCAGTCTCCGGCGCCAGCCGCTTCCCATACTCATCCAGCATATTCATAACAGAGGGGCCAACGCGCTTGAGGGCGCGCGCGCGGGCCAGACTAGCCTCCAGACGCACGATATCCTCGTCTAGCTTTCTCGACGCCTCGCTCTCCTTCTCATCGATATCGTCGCTGTCAGACTCATCCGACGATAATGACGAGGAGCTGTCACTGTCTGATAGATCAGGGGAGTCATCGGTGCGGGGTACCACGCCCGTCTGGATATCGGTTATTGTGGCGGGGCCGGAGCCCTGGATGCGGATGGAGTTTGTGTCGACTCGGGGGTCGAGGCCGATGATTGTGAGGTCTGTTTGGTTGGGCTTTTCTTTGATTAGTATATTTCGTTCTTCATTCGATGGAGTAGAAAAAGAATAGAGTAGATAGAAACAAGCACGCAAAGTATGACAATAACAATCAAAAGAATATCAATTCATAGAAGTCAATAAGAAATATGGAAAATACCTTGATACAAGCATGAATATCACGCGTCACCGTCGCGCGGAGAGGCGTCAACGTCACAGATTTAGTAGAGAGATCGGCGAGGAGGATTTGATCGGGCATTATTTTTTCTTTTTCTTTTTTTTTTCTTTATACGATATGTATAGATTTACTTGTAATTGAAACTTTGTAAGTAAAAAAATAAGTAGTAATGCAATGTAGGATAATTGAGTAGATAACTGATAGCACAGTATAGAATAGAAGAGGAGCAGGATACTTAGTACAGTATAATAAGTAGCAAGTATAAGTAAAGTCCCAACTAAAATGAAAGCAAAAGACAACTCTTCCACTAAAAAGAGTAGATTGTTTTTTACAAACTGCAAGAAAGAATGAAGGAAGAAAGAGGGAAGGCTGTTTAAATACTTTCCAGCTAGCAGCTACTAGGCAAGTGGCTGCGAGACAGCCTTGTGTCTGCCTAGCAGTGAGATCATTAGTGGGTTGTTGATGCCGATCCACACGAGGCTCTCTTCTCTGTCTATCATTGTCTGAACTTATTTATGCGGTGTCTATTTCCTCTATAAGAATTTGATCTTCTAATTCAAGATAGTCAGCTAGGCTATTTAGACTCGAGTTATACATAGATAAAGCTTAATAGTGCTGATCTATTAAAATAGATTGTTCAGTAAAACCCATATTATTATGCCATTGTACAGTGGGTAAGATAATGAGTGAATCGACAAGATAAAATACAATAGAATACACCGAATACTTCCTTCTTAAAAGTACATCCCCTATTATTACATCCCCTCAATCAATAGTACACAGTCGATAGTATACATCTCGGCTTAGAACTTAGTTCTTCTCGATCTTGGCCTCGGCCTCGGCCTCGATCTTCTCGTGCTTGGGCTCAGCGACCTGGTGCTGGGGCTCGCGCACATTGCCATCGTAGTAGGTGTGCTTCTCGGAGTGGTAGGAGGAGTCGGAGCGGTCATGCTCGGGGACGACGGGACGAACGACAGTGTGCTCCTTGCCGTCGTTGGTGATGTTGGTGACGGGGGCGGCGACGTTGTTGGACTCGTTGACGGTGGTCGACTGGTGGGTGTTGACGGGGGAGTTGTTGACGGGGGCACCATCGCTGCGCTTGTGGTTGTTGATGTTGGCGACGGGCATGGCGATGTTGTTGGTCGAGCTGCTGGTGTACTGGCTGTTGGAGGACGAGGGCATGTTGTTGGTCGGGCCCTGGCTGGGGTAGCCCTGGCTGGGGTAGCCGTAGCCGCCGTAGCCGTAGTCAGGGGAGCCGTAGGGCTGCTGCTGCTGGGGCTGCTGTTGCTGGGGCTGCTGGGGCTGCTGCTGCTGGGGCTGCTGCTGAGGCTGACCCTGGGCGGGGTATCCACCGTTGCGCTTTTGGTTGTTGAAGCTGGCCACGGGTTGGGCGATGTTGTTGGCCAAGTGGGAGTTGGTCTGGGCGTTATCGGAGGTGGGCATGTTGTTGGACGCGGGAGCATCGCGCTTGTGGTTGTTGGCGTTGGCTACCGGCATGGCGATGTTGTTCTCCTGGTTGGTGTTGGTCTGCGCGTTGTTGGAGGTGGGCATGTTGTTAGTGGGCTGGTCGTAGCCCTGGCCGTAGGGGACACCGTAGCCGCGCTTGTGGTTGTTGGCATTGGCCACGGGCATGGCGATGTTGTTCTCCTGGTTGGTGTTCGTCTGGGCGGTGTTGGAGGTGGGCATGTTGTTAGTGGGCTGGTCGTAGCCCTGGCCGTAGGGGGCACCGTAGCCGCGCTTGTGGTTGTTGAGGTTGGCAACGGGCATGGCGATGTTGTTGGCCGAGTTGCTGTTGGTCTGGGCGTTGTTCGAGGTGGGCGAGTTGTTGATAGGCCCGTCCTGGCCCTGAGGGAAACCGTAGCCGCGCTTGTGGTTGTTGGCGTTGAACACCGGCTGAGCGATGTTGTTGGCCGAGTTGGAGTTTGTCTGGGCATTGTTGCTGGTGGGCAAGTTGTTGAGGATGCCGCCCTGGCCCTCAGGGGCACCGTAGCCGCGCTTGTGGTTGTTGAAGTTGGCGACGGGCATGGCAATGTTGTTGGCCGAGTTGCTGTTGGTCTGAGCGTTGTCAGAGGTGGGCATGTTGTTGGTGGGCTGGCCGTAGCCCTCGCCTTGCGGGACACCGTAGCTGCGCTTGTGGTTGTCCGCGTTGAACACCGGCTGAGCAATGTTGTTGCTCGAAGCGCTGTTCATCTGAGAGTTATCAGAGGTGGGCATATTGTTGGTGGGCTGGCCATAGCCTTCGCCGTAGCCACGCTTGTGGTTGTTGAAGTTGGCGACCGGCATGGCGATGTTGTTCTCCTGGTTGGTGTTCGTCTGGGCATTGTTGTTGCTGGGCATGTTGTTGCTGGGCAGGCCCTGTCCCTGAGGAACGCCATAACCGCGGCGATGGTTGTTGAAGTTGGCCACGGGCTGGGCAATGTTGTTGGACGAGTGGGAGTTCATCTGGGCGTTGTCGTTGGTGGGCATATTGTTGGAGGGCTGGTTCTGCAACAACGGGGCCGCGGGGACCAGGCCAGCGGCAGTCAGAGCGGCAATGAGAGCGGCGGTCTTCATATTGAAGATAAGAGGAAGTTTCCAAGGTGGAAGATTGACAGGCTGGAGACTGGTGGATGAGGTCAAGAGGATTGAAGACTGGTTGAGCTGATGAAGAGAAGGATAGGGGAGGATCCGAGGAGCTTTTTATACCTTGGTCGAGGTCATCTCGAGGGACATCAGTCTCGCGCAGCTTAGGACGACCGCTCCATGATTCCATAGTTTACTACGGAGTACTCCGTACTGATGATCGATATCAGATAGTCTGCAAGGGGAGTGGAGGACTCGGATGACGGCTGAGGTTCGCTCGTCGCTAGTGGTTGACTTCGTCTGATATCACAAAATCCGGCCTCAGCCGGCAAGACGTAGGATGTCGCTACAGGGGATGTGGTATGTCAGTCGCCCTGTCAGGTCAGAAGATCTAAAGTCGGGGTGGATGATCATCACGCAAGGTACGAGCCACTATAATGGCCGAGTTCACGTCTGTGTGGGTTGGATGGGGGTGAAGTGTCGATACTTACCGAGAAGGGTAGACGATGCTTGCCGAGAAAGGTATTTGAGACATGTCAACCGGATATTCGGTACGATGATTGTGAGATCTGCAGATTATCGGATCTCACCTGCGGGGGATATATATAATGGGATATCAGACCATCTCCCCCGGTCCGTAGTGGTATACGGGGTACTCCGTGGAGACAGTCGTCTATCTCAGCTAGCCACGGCCTTGTCTTGTTGGGATGGTGGTGAAATTCCTATCGTAGAAGAGGGATGAAATCGAAAGAATGTTGGATTTCCAAATGCAGTCATTTCAATGGATTGATTAATGGGACGTGATTCCTTACTTCCTGCTTAGTGAGTTCTCAGTTGTGCTGGCACCGTGTTCTGGAATGATACCCCTGGATGATACCTTCTGAAAGATATCTCCTAGATAATATCTGATCGATGTAGTCCAAACACTTTGCTCAGACACTCTGCGGTCTTTCGTCAGGTACTCTATCAACCGGTAGCCGGCTCTGACGATCATATCAAGCATCAACGCGAAACTAAGACCGACCACTTGGTGAGCACTACCGGTGCAGTTGCCAATAAGGGACTCTGATTGCGAATCTATACTCCTCGAGTCTGGTCCACGGTTATAGAATATAAGGTATGCAATTGGCCAATATATCAGTTGGCGTGCAGAGTCGTCCCACGCAGAGTATTTTTTGGAGTCTTCATGTTTTTGCAACTATTCGCAACTTCTTCATAGTCCTGATAATCATCAAATCCATCAATATTTTGACTGTGTTCATCAGTTCCTACGATATACATAGACTCAATAGTAGCGTGACACACTCATTGCAAGCTAAATATAAGATCACCGGGTCGAGGTGTTGCTGTGGTAGATCATTTGTACCGGCTTGGAAGTCATGGCTGTTAGCCGATGCTGTCGATGGATATTTGGTTAGTTGAGTGAATAGACGGTGATATGATTGTGAAATAGATGAAAATTGAATTGATTGATCAAGATATATTAGATCAATTTGAGATGGATGAATGATGATGTGAGGATGTGAGGATGTGAAGATGTAAGGCTGACAAGGCACAATCTGTAGTCATGGTCAGGTGATACCACCACCTAAACATACACAGTGGGTAGTAGGTGATTATTTGAAGCATTCAATTTGAAATTATATCAATCAAGGATATATGCTGTTGATTAGTACTCCGAGCGTATAATATAGGATGTTGTGTACTCCGTACTAATGTGTGTGTTTGGGCAATATATATATAAAAACACCTACAGATATATACCTACGTATATACTTCAGGAAAGCACCATATAAGCATTATAGGCTCTAACCTCATGGAGTATTCCAAACGTACAGACGATCAAACACAAGCACATACTATCTAAAATCATGCCACTTACAAACAATATATAGAGTAAACCAATCAATCCCAAGTGACGCGACAAAACCCGACCGCAAAAGCCGCAAAAGCCGACGCAAGTACGAAGACCGATCCAGAACATACAATCCAGAAACTTTGATTGGAAGGGGAAAGAGGGAATCAAAGGAGAATCTACATATATACAGATAAAGAGAAGGAGAAATAAGAAGAATGGAATGATGTTGCATCCGGGCGACGAAACGTGGTATGAGGTCATGACATTCTTCGTATATAACCTTGTGTGTCCCCAGTATTTCCTACGTTTTTGCTCATCATATTGTAATCTGTCTTTCTATAATATTTCTACATATTATATATATTTATTTTATTTATTATATTTATTATATTCATTGATATATATATAAAATGACAGTCTACCCCCCAGCCTTCCACATCGCCCAAGCGGTGGGCCTGACGGGCGCCGCCTGGCTCTCCGGTACCCCCCTCTCCCTCTTTCCCCTCTACTACTATAAGCAACAACTAATTAAATAGGAAACATAAGCACATACAGCGCAGCGAGCATCCCCGCCATCCTCGAATCGACGCGCTCAGGCACCATGACACCCACATCAGCAGCGCAGATCTGGCGGGCAATGTACGAGCGCGGCAAGGCGCAGAACCCGCCGATCGCGGCAGTGACGGCAGTGGCGCTGGGGTATCTGTCGTGGGCGGTGCGGGCGGGCAGTCGGTTGGCGCCGTTGGTGCGCGGCGGGGCGGGGATACTGTACGGGGCGGCGGCGGTGTTGACGGTGGGGATTGTACCGTGGACGATCGTGGGGATGTCTGCTACGAATGGGAAGTTGTTGGAGGTTGCTGATGGGAAGGGGAAGGGGAGGGAGAAGGAGGTGGAAGGGTTGTTGGAGAGGTGGAGGGTGTTGAATGCGGTGCGGGCTGCGTTGCCTTTGTTAGGGGGGGTGGTCGGGTTCTGGGCATCGTTGCCTTGATCTATATTAACTTTGCTCTGTCACTAATAAATTGGGCTGTTCTTTGTATCCTATCCAGGAGAAAGTGGTGTTGTGGAAATGAGTGTTACCTCGGTGCGATCGGCATAATCGGCGATGAAATGCCAAGCACCGGTGCTTTTCAGTCAGAAATCAGGAATACGAATCGCCCGAATCAGCCTGTGGGAAGAACTAGTATATATATAGCAGCGCTAAGTGTACTAAGTGTAAGGCTGGTTCCTCCACTACCTTATATATCACTCGCACGTTCCTTATTCTCCGTCTCAATTGATCTATCATACAATCATAACTTCTATGCACGAATATCAACCGACACCATGAGCGTCAGCGATACTGAGAGTATCCGAGGGTAATGATCCTATACCCCTATACCTCAATATCAACATACTAATATAATATAAAGAAACCAATTCCAAACCACCCAAACCTTCCCCCTCGCCCACCCTCCCCCTCCCAAATCCCAAACCACCCACCGTCTGCGACTCACCCCGCGACGACTCCTCCAACTGCAACAACTGTCCTCCCGAAACACCACCACCATCAACACCCCCGCCCTCATCCCCGTCCTCGACCTCTTCCGCCCCGCCCGCCTCTCCAAACCCGTCCTCCCCACCGGTCGCAAAGTCCGCGGTCAAGATCTCTACTTAGCACAGAATGAGGGTTTCTCGGGTCTCTCTTTTTCATCCGACAGTAACAGCCACGCGAAGCGGAAAGCGGCAGGACGGTCGAAATTGAGTCGTTCGCTGTCGCGCTCGTTATCCACGAAACCAACCAGTGGAAAGAGCAAGAACAAGAACAAGAACAAGAAAAAAGACACAGAAACAAATGGAACCGAACCGGCGATCGCTCGACCAGGCCCAGAAGTAATAGTCAGCGTACTCCACCGCGGGCCGAACCAGTCCCAGTCCCAGAAAAAGAAGAGCAAGAACAAGGACAAATCCCCCAAACAATCCCCCCTAGAAGAGAACGGCAAAGAAGAAAAAGAAAAAGAAGAGATCACCTTCCCTCTAGACGGTACAACCTGGACCGCCTCGCGCTCCCCAGACGGCTCCAGATACCGCTTCGAGATGCGGCCCACCTCAGAACACCACCACACGTCTATCGCGCTGGAGTGGGAGAGACGGCTTCCCAAGAATGCCTCCTCGGCTGGGTCGAGCCCTGCTGGTTCTACTACCGGGAATGCGAATGGTACTACCAGTGATGCGAATAATAAAAGTCGGTTTGTATTATGTATCGCGGAATCAGGCATGCGCAAACCCTGGCTGGCGACGTTAACAGCGAAAGGCGTGCGCATCGGGTCCTGGGATCGCGCGCAGCGGGAGAGACTCTGTGGGTGTGTTGGGTGGAGGGAGGAGGAGGCGGATGCGGGGTTCTACACGCTTGTTTTGACGCTGGGGGTGTGGGTGGGTGTTGCGGAGGGGTGGGTTTCTTATTAGCTTCTTTTTATCTATTCTATTCATATATCCCTGGACATGCGATGATTTGTATTCTATCATTTTCTGATATAGATATATTGGTAGAAAGGAAGAAAGAAGGTATTAAATACCATCGTGAATCCCCTTCTCCACAGCCGCGATTTGCAGTCCCAGCAACAGCGAGTAATACCGACACAGCGCCAGATTCCCACCCATAAACCAGAATCCAGGGTGTCCGCTGCGCTGCCACATCGTGCGCACCTCGCCCTCGGCATTAAACCCCCAAACGCTGTTAACCCGATCCGCGACCTCATCGCCGAACATCTCCCGTGCCTGCGTGCGCATATTCTGGTACCCCGTCGCGAGGACGATCTCGTCTGCCTGAAGCTCGCTCCCGTCCGCCAGTCGCAGTCCGCTAGGCAGAATCTCCGCGATCTCCTGCCCCTGTCGCACGGCGATTTTCCCCTCTGCAATGAGCCGGCTCGCCCCGACATCAATGTAGTACCCGCCGCCGCGCTGGAGGTACTTCATCAGGAGGCCCGAGTCATCCGGGCCGCGGTCAACGCGGAACCCAGCGCGCGCCAAGCCGTCCAGCACAGCCGCGTCGTTCTGCGTCGTCGCGGTCGTGATCTTCGCCTGCTGCGCCTTGAACAGCTCGGACGGGATGCTCCACAAGTAACAGTCTGCTTCGTCGGTAGGCGGCGCGCTGCCGTCGTACAGGCCCTTCAGCGCGATGTTCGTGATGGACGACGAGGTCACCACGCAGGTCGAACTGCGCTGCACGATCGTCACCGTCCAGCCTTTCTCCGTGTAGTCCTGCGCGATGTCGTGGGCCGAGTTGCACGATCCGACGACCACCGCGTGGCGGCCTGTGCCGTTGGCGTCGGCGCCGGGAAAGTCCGAGCTGTGGCAGATGCGACCGCCCTGGAAGGAGTCCATGCCTTTGATGGAGGGGAGGTTCTTCTTGCCCGAGTGGCCGGTGGCCTGGATGACGTGGCGGGGGTGGAGCGTGCGCGTTTCAACGCTGCCGTCTGGGCGATGGCGGTGCAGGGTCAGTGTCCAGGTGCGGGTTGCGTCGTCGTAGGACGAAGACTTGAGCTCTGTGCGCGTCCACACGTTCAGCTCGAGTAGCTTGGCGTAGCATTCGAAGAACTCGGCGAGTTTGTCTTTCGGCGTGAAGATGGGCCAGTTGGGCGGGAACGGCACGTACGGCATGTGGTCGAACCAGACTGGGTCGTGGAGGACGAGCTGGTGGTAGCGCGTGCGCCAGTTGTCGCCGATGGCGTCCTCTCGGTCGACGATTAAAGTGTCGACGTCGAGCATTTTCAGTCTGGCGGCGGCTGTTAGGCCGGATTGGCCGGCTCCTGTGCAGTGTCAGTGACTCTTTGCTGATTGAGATACATAGGAAGAAGGAACCAACCGATGATGACGACTGCCGGCTCCTTGTTTTCGAAGTTGATGTCGGCTGTGCGCCGGTCCTGCCAGTTTTTGCGGCCTGTCTGCTCGCCGTGCTGCACGCCGACCGGTCGTCGGTCGTTGATTTTCGCCTCTGCGCCAGTGAGCTCCCGCAGCGACGTGAAGCAGGTGAAGATCTTCCACCCGTCCGTTTCAGCGAGCCGGACAACGCCCCAGCCGGAGCCAACGGCAGTGGTGACAGACACGAAGAACTCAATCCCGGTGACGTCTCCAAAGGCATCAATGGGCCCGACATGGGGCGCTCGAAATGGAGACGAGTGGTCTAGTTCGAGTTTGATCGGACTGGGATGGTCCGCCAGGAACTTGGCGACGTTCTGGCTTCCTTTGACGGTGCGGAAGTCCCACGAGAGACAGAGATGGTCTCGCCAGAAGCCATCGTCGAGGAAGAGACTCGAGATGCTGTTGTAGTCCTTCTGGGAGAGGGCGGTGTTCAGCTTGTCGATAATCTCCGTGGCTACCTGCTCGGCGTTGACGGAGGTGGATGTGCTGGAGGGGGGGAACTTCCCCACGGGGAGGTTGACGGAGCCAGGCTCGACGCGGTTTCTAGATTCTGTAGCCATGTTACTGTGGTGAAGGTGAGGAACTGTGAAGAAAGTGGGAGGAAATGGAGTAAATGAGGAGTGGACAACAGGTGGATATGGGATGCGGGGTAAGGATCAACCAGTTCCTCAGCTGTGTGCGTGACGTGTTCTGCAGCTGCAGAAGTTGCTGACAGACTGCATCTTCTTATTCAGTATGCATTTGCACAAACAACTTTATCTGCTTGAATCAATGCCAGCTTTTCTCTCAGGTTTACATGGTCCAGGGATATCCAATGGGTGTCCCTAATGCGGGGTATCTCGAAGCTAACTCGGATCTGCCCGAAGACCAGGGTTAATTAGCTGGGCTACCAGGAAGATACTCCGTACTCTGTACTCCGTATCATTGTTGTATCTGGCTGATGATACAATTGACGAATATGTTAGCTGTATAGGATTGTTGTTTTGGACTATTGATATGACACTGACTATAGTGGGCTGTTAATAAAAAGGAATAAAGAAACGAAATAATATGGAAGCATCATTGGTCTAGTGGTAGAATTCATCGTTGCCATCGATGAGGCCCGTGTTCGATTCACGGATGATGCACTATTCTTATCTTTTTTCTTTTTGACACATCTCCGATCCTTTCATGCACTTGATAATTGATTCATTTATTTTTTAATGGTTATTAAATGATGTTCTTGTCAGTAATTACATGTCCTTCCGTATCCTCCTCCTGTAAACCGCCCGATTCCAGTCTCCCCTCCCCTTTCCCATACACTCCTTCAGCAAAGTGTCATCATATCTTTATAGTCAAGTGGTAATTTCGTTCTGTTATTGCAACAGGGATTACTTGCCAAGACTCATGATATCTCGGGTTATCGAGTAGTAGTTCATCCTACAATTTCTGAATTACTCTACTCATACCTCTACAGCCTGTTTGGCTCAGAGACCTGCGAGATGGCTTCCCGGCAGTGGTGAATACTCAAAATCTGCCACCCATCGGAGATATGCTGGATACGTTCCGGAAGAATTTCAAAGTGACTTATGGCGAGAAAGGTTGGATATCGCCCTGGATCAATCACTCGACTCAAACCCCAAGGTCACAATCTTCGCAGTTGGTACGTGAGCTACATGATATGTCAGATCTAACGAATTTATCTACAGAGTCCCAGATCATAGCACCAATCTCATAACAAAATTCACTAATTGACATATCAGTCATATCAGTCTTCTCAAGCCATGTTAAATACCCATTTGGCATGTCAGTGCAGTGGCCGTCACTCAATCTCCCGGGTTTGATGGTCCTAGGCGACACACCACGAGCGGTATCGTGAACTCAGTGTCAAGTTATAGCACACTTATCTTAACACGCACTGTTTAAAGACCAGTTGATGTTTTTCTCCATCAATCTAGTTGCTCGTTGATATAATATCCGGCTGGTGTGACGCGAAACAGCTATACACGTGGTATAGAGAGAGTAACCAGGTGAAAACAGGATAAAGTCACTCAAGAGAGAAACAGGGCACATCCAGTGGCGTCAGAGCAGGGTTTTCTAGAGAGAGGATGAGAGAGTGTTCGGAGTTTGTATTGCCTGAAGATAGTATAGATCTGTAGCCTGTCAAATATTTTTCTTTGAACAGAGACGTTCAAATCAAATCTCACATGGGATGATGGAGCATGCACACCAGATACTTGAAATTGGTTAGATAAATAATATCATATCTGCAGGGCCAGTTACCCCGTGTGAGCGCTGCTTGCTATTCCCGTAACCAATATGCCTTTTACTGGCATTCATTCAATATCTATTTTGATAGATGTCCCCTGACTCGACTCCATGTGCATTCCAATCCGCCGTCTATGATCCTCTAGTGTTTCATGCCATACCAACTCCAGTCATATCCGAGTAGTCCAACCAATGACCAATCATATGAATCAATCATGAAACCCACCTTAACCCCTATCAACGAACATGCACAATAGTGCGCCCCCCATCCCAGGTAATCCTCCTACGCACACGCATTTTGAACGTCCCATGCTTCGTATCCGCCAACGCGAGACCCTCGTCGAGAAGATACGCCGACGGCGCAAAGACGAGCGCCTCGCCTGTGCGCAAGCTAGCAATATTGTACAAGCCGTCGTCCGAATCGGCGTCGCGGTTGCCTTTCACGACTGGGACGTGCTGCTGGATTGTTTTCCACCACTCTGGGCTGGAGAAGCGGTGGATGATAGTAATGGAGCAGAGGTCGATGAGGCGCGGCGAGATGGTCGGTTCTTGGGTGGAGATGATGGTACGGACGCCGAGGTGGCGCTGTTGGCGAATGATGTTGAGGAAGGTTTCTGTGAGTTCTTTCGCCGCGGGCGAGTCGGTCATGTACTGTCTGTTGTTAGTGATGGTTTGATTGGGAGGGGATGAGGGGAGGGGTACTTTGTGAGCTTCGTCTGCGACGATCATCTTTCCCCGGGAGGGGTGCGCGTGCAGGAACAAGTCGATTGCCACGCGGAATAGAATGCACGTCGTGGACTGGTCCATGAAAGGACATGATAGATCGAGAATGGTGACTCCCCCGTCCACGAAGTAATCGCCCGTATTCTCGCCTGTCAAGTTTAGATAAGAGTCAAGTAGGTCCAGCCGCTGCTCGAGGAATGGAGTCTGGGCGCGGTCTAGACGCAGAGTGCCCAGGCGGCGTCGAAAGTCGAAGTAGTTGAACGAGCCGCCGCTCTCGACTGCCATCTCGCGTAGGATCCGCGTCACCTGTGCCATGTACAGGGGGGTTGAGTCGCTCTTTCCCATGGACATGAGGGACAACATCATGCTGATGTTCAGATGACGCGGCTGCAGTCGAAAGGGGCGAACCTCAACGTTCGGTATCTGTTCGTACATCTTGGCGAGATTGTGGTAGTTTGAAGGCGGGACGAGCACACTGACGGGGACGGACTTCTGGGCGGCGTATTCTGGGAGCACCGACGACAAGAACGCAGTCTCACTGGGCTGCGAGCTCACATTAGAACTGTACTCATTGTAGTGCAAAACTAGGGTTGACAAGGGCTTCTTGAGCGAGCCCAGCGCTGGCATGGGAATGGAACAGTTTTCTAGCCTTGTCAATAATGGTTCATACATGCTGAGGGTTGGTGCCTACCAATCATGCAGGACGTCGTGTGCGACTTTCCGCTTCCTTGCAGACCGCAAATGAATGCAGAAAAAGGGACGTTGGTATTGAGCATGACTCGTGGGTCGTATGCAGTCGACTGTCCTAACTGGGAATGGCCGAGCAGGGCAAACTGCGATGGCAGGGTATGACCCAGTCTCTCTGCAGCTGGGGATAGCAGGACCGCGTTTTCTACGGTGTCTGGAAGCTGGCCACCATTGCTGGCCCAATCGTCCTTCCCGTCGAGATTGAGGAGATGCAGTTGATCATCTAGCGAAGGCATGGCCGTGGATGACTGGGACTCTTCATGCTCCGTGTCTTTGTTGACGCCTAGGTACTCCTTGAAATCTGGATTTGTCAGACCTATCTCGGGTCAATGCCGGAAGGAGGGAGATACCTTGGAGAATGGCATTTTCTGATCGTTCTTTCGCAAGCTGCTCTTCAAGCACTGCAATATCAGGCGGAAGCATCTGAAATGGAAGACGGGCTTCCTTTGCTGGACGAGCTTCTTTTGCTGATCGAGCTTTTTTTGCTGGAGCCTGCGCAGGTAGAGCCTGCTCCGTAGGTATAGCCTGCTGCGATGGTAGAGCAGGATGTGCAAGTAGAGTCTGCGTAGGTTGAACATGCGTAGCTAGAACAGGCTGTGTAGGCTGTGCAGGCTGGGCTTGAGGCTTCAACATAGTTTAGCATTGAACATCACTAAAAAGGCTATCTATCCTCACCTGAAGCTGCGTATCCTGATTTTTCGCCTCAGTCTTTTTGAGTTTCTTTTCTCTCCGCGCTTCCAATCTCGCCGCATAGCTGATTCTTAGACATGTTGAGATGTAGCAAGAGGGCAACTTACTCATCTATGACAGTGGTAATAAAATCACCTTGGTCAAGATTTTTTTTCAAGAACTTGGCATGGATTTGTTCTTTATCGACATAATTCTGCCCATTGTACATGTCTCGAACAACCGAACGGACATTGTTCCTGAGTTGTCGCAAGGGATCGACAGGCTTCTTCCCAGCCTGGGGCTGGGGGTTACTCCCATTCTGGGCCTGTTTTTGCTGAGATTTCTTCTTTGACATTTTAGCCACGGATTGATGTGTGGGAGGAAAATTTTCAGTGTTCAGATTGTTGTTGTGGAAGACGAAGCAATATTGCAGTCAGTGATGAGGTGGATTTCCTATCTGGGAATACCCGCATCGGTGGGTCCGTGGGGGATCACGTGGGTCATGTAGAATCCTTCACCGTATAGATCACATTCTCCATTACTGTGACACAGTCAAGTGAATCAATATATTTGGACTACTCTGCATAGATCATAGTTGGGGCGGTTAAAGATTCCTTATCCGCCCGTCTTGAAACTTCCCTCTATGTTGTCCTTTCCCAGAGTCCAGATCTTTCCCGCAGTAGTAATGTGTAGACTGAACGATCCTTCTAGCGGAGCTCCTGAGAAGCAACAATGTCTAAATTCCAAGTATTATCGAAATAGATCTGTGCCCCTTTTTTTCATATGCTGAAACTGCAATCAACGAGCGCGTTCAAGTTCTCGTCCTATTATGCAAGACGAGAGACGCCTGCGGAGTCCCTAGAATCCTGTATACACCTGAGTCATTCCCTCACGGTTGGTTCAACCATAGAATAGAATAACATGGTTCTGAAATAAAGCCCCCAGTAGCACTAGACCCTGAAGAAAGCTACAATTCCATCCACTAGTCAACTAGTTGTGATTGTACAGCTGACTCATCTGCATAGGCCTCATAAAAATCGGGCCGATGCCGACAGAGTTTTGCGGGGTGGGTCCGACCGACATCGGCGTCAGGAGGAGGCGAAACCCAAACCGGACCCATCCCGGGCCTCTGATTCGCTGGGCCCCCGTTTCGTTGAATGGGACGACGACGCAAATGGGGTTCAGCAGCAGTTTAGCTATGGCCACTGTGACAGATGTGTCTCCGCAGGGGCAGTTGGAAAAGTCTTTTCCTTTTTGCATCTTTCCACGTGTCTTGTTGTCGATTCCATATAGATATTCGAAGCTGTGGTTAATACAATGACGGCAGATATCACATTCAAAGATGTTGGGCGCGAGGAGTCTGCTCCGAGGCTGGACTTGGACGCGTGGGAACCGGATATGATGGAGAAGCAGGATCTTCCTCCTACTGCATATGACCCGTTTGGGTCGGAGGAGACAGCTGAGGTGCATTATAAGACGCTAAGTTGGTGGTATGTTTTACCCAGATGGAACTGTATGGGCTTGACTGACAGTGATATAGGCAAAGCGGAATGCGTATGGCATTGGCCCCTTATTCTACAGAAGATATGGACTAACATGAACAAGTGATGATTGCCGAAACCGTCTCCCTGGGTGTCCTGTCTATCCCAGCAACCCTGGCATCTATAGGCCTCGTCCCGTATGTTGATCGATCTGATCCTTCCATGATAGTGTCCACCGCTAACGCCACCAGTGGCATCATCCTGATCGTCGGCCTAGGGATCATCTCCACCTACTCCGGCTACGTTATCGGCCAGTTCAGACAGCGCTACCCCTCGATTCACAGCATGGCCGACGCCGCAGATGTCATGCTCGGGCCGTGGGGTCGCGAGATCTTCGGGGTGGCCCAGCTGATCTTTTTCCTCTTTGCGACAGCCAGCCACATCCTCACCTTTACTGTCATGATGAACACTCTCACGAACCATGGCACCTGTTCCCTGGTATTTGGTGTTGTGGGCTTGATCCTGTCCTTCCTGTGTTCCCTTCCGCGAACCATGAAGAATGTCTCCGCCTTCGCTGTCGTTTGTACGTTCTCCCGCTGCCTCCACCAATGATGTCCACGCATACTAACCCTCGCCCAGCCTTCCTGAGCATCTTCGTGTCCGTCGTCATCACAATGGTCGGCGTCGGCGTCGAGAACCCCGGCAACGGCAAAATGGAAATCACCAAAGCCACCAGTTTTGTCAACGCCTTCACGGCAGTCACCAATATCGTCTTCGCCTACTGCGGCCACGCCGCCTTCTTCGGCTTCATCGCCGAGATGAAAGACCCCCGCGAATTCCCCAAGTCCCTCGCCATGTTGCAGGGCTTCGAAATCGTCTTCTACACCATCGCCGCGGCCGTCATCTACCGGTATGCCGGACAGGATGTCGCGTCACCGGCGCTGGGCTCCACGGGGCCTATTCTGCAGAAGGTCGCTTATGGAATTGCCATTCCTACTGTATGTCTCGGAACACTTCCTTCTTGGTAATGAAGAACAGCACTGACAGACGCAGATCGTGATCGCAGGTGTGATCAACGGCCACGTGGCTATCAAAAACGTCTACGTGCGCCTTTTCCGCGGCACAGACCTCATGCACCAGCGGAGTCTGCGGGCGACAGGATCGTGGATCGCGCTGGCGCTGACGTTCTGGATTATCTCGTGGATTATCGCGGAAGCGATTCCCGTATTTAACAATTTGCTGAGTCTAATCGTTCGTCTGCCCTCATTCCCTCTGACTATAGCGAAGTCCGCTAACTGACCAACTTTTGTTAATAGAGCGCACTCTTTGCGAGCTGGTTCTCGTGTAAGTTACTCACTATACTCCCTCCCAATCTGATCATGAAACTTACAAAGCACAGTCGGCCTCAGCGGTATCTTCGGTCTCTACATGACCTGGGGACAACTTTTTACCTCCCCGAAGAGGATTCTCCTCACCATCGCCAATGTCCTGCTCATTGGGATTGGTACGACGATAGTACGTTCCTTCCTCCCCCTTTCTTCTTCTTTTCTTATATCAGAGAAGAAAAGAGAGAAAAGGCCAATACTAATGCTGGTAAACAGTGCGTCTGCGGTCTCTGGGTGTCGGGCGTTGCAATCCACAACGACGCCTCGAAGAGCAGTTTCTCCTGCGCGAATAACGCCTAATCTTTGCTTGCAGCGTTTGCTTGTGTTATAGAATAATAGACTACATATATCCCTATAGATTATATCATTTCCTTTATCATCTTGATAAGCTTTCTCCCTCTATCTTCTACAGCCCGAGCCCTATCTATCCTTTACAAAGAACTAGCCAAGTAGGCAAACAGAAGCCCTAGGTTCAATCAGATAATCTTAATTCCCACGCGTCGACGCGTTGTCTGGCTCCATCAACGATTGGTCCAACATGCAGAAGTGGATTTTGGCGATTGGACCGACATCTTGCATGTTTAGGGAATTCTATTGGCTGCGGTTTCGAAGGAGGAGGCTGTAGGTACTGTCGTGCTTGTGTTACGCTGGGGGGTCTGGACTGGGGTGGGCAGCGCTGGGTGGCTGTATTCACTGATGATATGCTTACGTTCGGGCAATTACATGTACCTACCTGTTCAGGTAGGGTCGAAGGCTTGAGGCGGTAGAGGGCTGCTAGTATGACGACTAGTAGTTGGTTGCTCTGGTGTGGCTTGGCTAAGTATTTCTAGGGTTGACAGTCGCATATAGTTATGTTGTGTTTAAGCACATATAAGTATAGAAAAAAAGCTATAGTCTAGACACTCCAGACCGCATCTCTGCATCTGTTCAAATTTTGTATTATGATTACACATCTGATTTCGAATTTATCTGTAGATCCTCGTTGAGAGACACCACGAGAAAGGCTGTAGGCTCACCTAGATGCTGCGTATTACATGGCACAGAATGACAATCCTAGCATGACAGACATGCTAAGTGGATATATTACCAAAACAGATAGCTTCCTCTGACGAGGTAAGTATATAGAAACCATTTAACTCGACTAGAGGCCGTGGAGCGCTACCAAGTGGGTGGGTTAATGATGTACAGCGTCTTTCTTCAAGGATGAGCGACCCAATGTTGACTGTCTGTCAGTTGAGGATACTTCGTGCGAGATGTGCATGATACAAAGACCAGAAAAACCCGGGCCTTCTAGACCCATCCATCCAGCTATTATATCCTATTGATTATACCCCCACAGTGTATCTATAGCGCGGTGGTCCATTGAGCGAGGATTGTTGGGCTCTGTGAGAAAAGGTACCTGCGATTCGACAAGACTCGCACAGAATGGATCCGTGGTAGCGTATCCGTAGCGTATCCGGGAGAGGACGTACAGGTCTCGTCATAGGCAGTGCCGTTCTAATTGGTTGATAATCTTATCATACTTGAATCGCGGGAATGAGTAGTGAGCGACAGACATGTTAGCAGACGGCAACCACGTATGAGTCCGTGTCTAATCCTCTTGTGACGAACGCTGATCACTAGTACAGAGATCGTACAGTATGTAGAAGTTGAATTGAACATCCTGTCTTATGGTCGATGTACCATACCTGAGAGATTATTTCAAAAGCGAGATAAAACGACCATCAACTAACTAGGACACACATATTTATCAAAGAAGGAAGGATAATAAACAAGGAAGCGAAAAACTAGAAACCAGTCACATGAGCAGCCCAATTGCGGAGAAACAAGTCGCCACTGCACCAGATGATATTCGCTAGTCGAAGGCATGAACCGACCTTCCCGGCAATGATCCCAGTAAAGACGATCATAGGGCATACTCTGGAAGCTGGACCCTCGGAATCTTCCATATTCTAGCAAACGGACTGCACTTGATCCAATGCTCACCCCACTAGGGTGTACCCCTAGGGATCCATTCTCCAAGGGTTCTCGCTAGATACGTCATGCAATTGGACAGATGACCTGTACGATGGTCTCCGTTCCAAGATCTCCTCGGAGAATTGGAGCCGCCCGTCCTCCACCATACACAAACAATTGAGCAACCAAGTGGGACATGCGATCCAATGAGACGGACTTTCCGATGGAATTACACGAACCCACGCGTCGAGAGATTGGCTTAGCTAGTGCCAATTCTCGCGATTACAGAGCCAGAAGAGCCTGACGAACAGGGAACTCCATCGGACAGATGGAATGGGATGATTGGCATTGCTTACACTCGCGAAAAGACATCCAAGGCTGGAGGAGCCCTACCGGCAATCACCCGTCCCACCTGCTTCGCCTGTTTGACACCACACGACCAGTTCCCAGTCGGTGAGTACCTCCCGGTCTACGAGATACATAGTCATCGCCCACATCCTCACTCAAATGGAAGTACCGGTACCTCATCGACCGGATCCCTCCCCTATTTAGCCGGCCCCCTGCAACAACAACCAGATCCGCCGCTGTGATTGGAGACGATCGAGCATCGCCACCGCGCCGCTGTCTGACCCCCCCCGGGATGGTGACCTTGCTGCCTAAACCGGGTGGATCCAGGATTCTCGATCCTGTGTGGCAGCCGCGGTCTTTTCGAGATCCAACGGTGGCTGACTTAAAATAAGCTTATCTGGACATCTGACAGTGTCTTGCTTGATCTCAACTATCAGACAACCTGGCAGTCATGGCAATGATGATCTTCCTGACGTTGAGGACGACAGTCTATGGGAAGCAATAGACCATGGACCATCCAGATCACGTGCACCATCTGGTTATCTTTATTTTATTCCCTCCAATTCCCAAAAAGGAAAATTGACGGGTAAAGGCACGAAAAAATAAAGTTAAGACAACTCGAGTTAAGTGGGGCCATCCACCGCATCGACTCGTGAGCGGCGGGCCCATCGCGGTATGTGAGTCAGACAAGCCTGAAAACCCCCGAAGAGAAGAGGAGACGGAGTCAGAGAAGAAAGAACTCCGCGCCAGTTGTTGGTGAAAAATTGATAGTCCTTGGGGAAATGACGTGGCTGACCAGGATTTGTATATTAGGGGGGGATAATCTATTCTGGAAGCAGTAAAGACAACGAGAAAAAATTTCCATCTGATCATCCGCACGGGCTCTGGATGCGGTAATGATATCGCGATCGTCCACCGCGGCCGCTGGAAGACTGCACATCTTGGGCGGATGACGTCGCATGGGATTTACTCCAGTCTCGTCCATTCGCACTTCATAGTATGGGCAAGATTGAGCACGGATGATAAATCCAGCCACCACCCGACAAACCATCCAGGCCCATTGGTTATCCAAAAGTGTCAGATTTTGGACGGAACTTTGGTCGGCGGAAATACGGACGCCAGATATGACTTGACCGATGGTTAACGTCGGGCTTAGAAATCATACCATGACATCCGCGGGAAGAGTTACCACATTGGGTTGAGTCGCGCCGTCAGAGCCGCTCAGCGTACGGAAATCCGGTTGGTAAGATCAATGGAAGCGTTAACTATTGAGGGCAAGAGGGTAAGACCAAGGAAAAGAGGAGAAAAGAAGAATCGTTAATTAAAAAGCAGAGAACAACTTTGTCCCGAACCCGACCCGAGGAATGATGTCCCTATAGGGCAATGATAGTTTTCACTACGGGCTAGCAGCTTGCCAGCTCCACTTGGAGATCCTTAGTGAGAAGATCAAGCACCACCTTTGACCCCATCCTGTACGATGATGTGACCTGATTAAATTGCTATTCATATTGAGCAATGGCAGTACTTATCCACCGACGATGGTCCCATACTGTATACTATTGTGTATAGAATGAGGTCGTCGGTTCTCCTAGATCGTTCAGAACTGGCCTACTATAGTAGCTCTCAGTATATCCTACGGAGACAGCCCGGCTCCGTAAGCCACCTCCCTGTCAATAAACCGGATCAATAACCCGGAAAACGGACTGCAAGGGAGGGCACCCCCTCTCCGGCGATCAAGAGGGGAAACAAGAGGTCTGTGTTTGATACGGTGTGGTAGACTAGTCATAGAACTATAGCTACTATACTAGCAGGGAGGCATGATCCTGTGAGGAGGTTGACTGCACGGCACATGCTACATAGTCACAGTCTACAGACTCGACAGTCGACATCGGACTGCTCTGCCGTCTGTCCACGACCTTTTTGGGCCTTTTGAGGCGTGTTGGGGATTACATCCGACCCTTCCGACCCTTTCCAGATCTGGTGACAAACAATGCAGTGAATCCACTGTGGCCATCACTAAACTCCCCATGGCAGGTCGCATGGCAAATCATTTGTTATTAGGATCCCCCGTTCGGCACCAGAGACGTTGGTAGAAAAAATAATAATAATAATAATTGAATTAATATTATTTGAACGTGAAAATAAAAACAAAAATAAAAAAATAAAAAGTTTTGCCCTTCACAAAGGCTTATATAAATACAAAGTAGCCCCGCTCCGCAACAAGGTGATTATAAACTGGCATGATTCTCCCAATAGTACAATAGCTTTTTTATTTTATTTTATTTTATTTCGTGGCTTTGCTCTGTCTAGCTAGGATACTGTCATATCATACTTTTAACGAAACCTTCGACATCCTCCTCTCAAACCTCCGTCTCATACTCCCGTCCTCCCTTTATTCCTACGCCTGTTTCAATATATACTCTATTATAATTCTCCCATACTAGACTCGATCGGATCGCACCATGATGGAAACACAGCAAATGGAGAGTCACCAGGTGTTCGCCTCGCGCCACTCAGGACGCAGCTCGGAAAGCGACAGCTCGGTGGACGCGGTCGTCAACGAGAAGCAGAAGCTCGCCAGCAACAACAACAACCGCGTGGTGAACGGGCGTCCGGATCTGAACAACTCAGCCTCCCCCAAGCGGTGGAAGACGTTCTGGGCGGCGTTCCGACACCTGCAGAACCTGACCCCGAAGGAGGTGGATGATTTCATGGCGTCCTACGTCATCTACAATCTGGACTGGTCGGACGAGCGGCAAATGGTCGAGGCATTGGGACCCAATTATCAGGCCAAGGTTGGGGACTGCCTGAAGTCATACTACGGGGTGTTGAACCACCTGTGTGCGCTGGGCGATGTGGAGAAGATGTATATCCCCCCATTCATGAGCAAGAAGGCCACCGTGCTGGAGAACCAGCTGCTGTACGAGGAGTCCATTGCGAACGACATCGGGTTGGCCCCGGGCGACAAGGTGTTGGATTTGGGTTGCGGCCGCGGACGGGTTGCCGCGCACATGACGCAATTCGCCGGCGCACAGGTCACGGGACTCAACATTGACCCGAATCAGATCGAGCAGGCCAGCGACTACAACCAGAAGATTGGCTTCAAGGACAACCGATTCATCGTGCAGGACTTTAACAGCCTCCCGCTGCCCTTCGAGGATAACACCTTCGACGCGTTCTACCAGATCCAGGCCCTCAGTCTCTGCCGCGACCACACCACGCTCTTCAAGGAGATCCACCGCGTCCTCAAGCCCGGCGCCAAGATCTCCCTCCTCGACTGGGTCAGCTTCCCGGAGTACGACCAGTCCAACCCGGAGCATGCGGAGCTGATGCGACGCGTCAAGCCGCTCATCGGCGCCGTGGGCACTCCGACACCCGCCAGTCTCGAGAAGGCCCTGACGGACGCGGGCTTCGTGGTGACCAAGTCGGACAACGCCAGCGTGGGCGGTCTGCAGACACCGCTCATCGAGAAGGTCGATCTCTACTTCCGATCCATGCGACAGGTCATCCTCGCGCTCGTCAAGGCCCACATGCTGCCGCGTCACTTCAAGACCCTGATCAACCGGCTGTGTCTGGACGGTGAGGCCTTTGTCAAGATGGATACCATGCGACTCGTCACCACCAGTTACCGCATCGTTGCGGAGAAGCCTCTCCAGTAAAGGTCCTTCTTCACCGAGCAGCTGTGGAGAGAAAAAAAGGATTTGTGATGAGATGTTTCCACTCGACGGGACAATAAGGCACAATTACGTCAGGTGTCTTGGCACTCCGATCGCCATGTCGGTATGGAATGATCCGAAGTCCGAACGTCTATCGATGCCGTTTTCCGTCATTGGACCCACTTGGAAGACAAAGAAAAATAATAATAAAAATAAAGACTCAAAAAGGCAAAAAACAGAGGGAAACATTCGTGTGGAAAGAGGCCTGGCTAGGAGATAGATTCCGAGGAGAATTGCAGCTGGAAAGACGTTTCTACATGCAACAAGCCCACACATCTGCCGGCTAAGCGTTTTCCCGCGACAACAGTTACTTCCATCTCATCACATCCTTGTATTCCGCCAGATACCAACCCGGTCATGACAAGAATGCTGACGCAAAGCATATCCTTCTACCCTCCGACATTGCATGACTCGAGACGACCCGTTCGCATGTGATTGATTGATTCTTTGATCGGTTCATTTGATGCTTTACGCCCTCGATCTAACATAATAAAGACCCCACCAACAATGCGGTCTATCATGTTAATTATAGACCACGTTGATGGTGACGGTCCCTCCGTCCCTCGCATTCTCACGACCACTGCGTGGCCGTGCAGAACCTGTTCATAGTCCGATTTTCCGAGTGTTTTTTCGTGGTTGGTTTAGCCGGTGTTTGTTGTTTTGCATGGTTTTGCTTTTATTATTTCTTACTTGTTTACGATCTGTTCGGTCGTGGATACCCTCTTGGAGTGAAGTGGGATGTCCGGATAGAAGTATATATAGATTATAATTACATATTGTGAAATATTTTGTTTAAAAAACTTGTCAAAATATCTTTGGGATCTACAATTACCAGTATCCATAAGGTGACGCTGAGGCCCGTCAGTGTCGCGCACTGGTGTCGGAGTATCATGTCAAGAGGTTTGATTGGCACAAGAACTTGCTTCATCTACTCGAGAATCATATGAAGAGAGCCAGGCTGAGTACTATTAGAGAGTTATGACTGACGACTATCTACTCTTTGATATGCCTTTCAGTCAGTTGACAGCCTCAACTCCGAATGTCCAGAACTACTATTTCCGGTCTAGCTCTGGGATATTCCAATGGCTTACAAGAGAATTGTATCCATCATACGGATGAATTCAAAATCGCTCATCTAACTTGGAGTATGCTTAGCTAAAGGTTTTGTGAATAAACGGCCCAAATGCATCAATATCCTCTTGCTATGTATGCGGCACTATTTGTGATCTAAATAGACTGCTTCATATCTCCTATTAAACAACCACACAACTACGCCCCTATGACTCTTCCCTACCCCTTCCAGTCACAGGCTTCGGCCTTCTAAGAATGACATGACGCCCAGTAGGAACTCCCGACGAACAACACCGTCGGGGACGAAAAGGGAGAACTGATCGTATCTTGAGATCGTTTGATGTCCAAGAGTACAGGAAGATGCTGGGGATGGAGAGTATACTTTGGACTTACACTAGAGCCGCGCTTGTTTATCTCCGTTCATACTTGGGATATACGGGTAGTCCTGGGTGCAATCACTGATGAGTTCCAATGTCGAAGAACTTCAAAAGAGTTTGTTTTTATCATCCTACGCGTATGCTCAAATAGAGTGATATGAGATCAACTTCGTCTGGCTAAAACAAAAGAAAGAAAGAAGCAAAACAATAGGGGGAGGGGGAGGGGGAGGCGACTTCCACTAGTCACGCAACGTGATAATTCAAAAGGAAAAAAGCGACATCTCAGGCCACGGATAATCTCCAAAACTACCACTCCACCTTTCCGTCAACCACACCCCCGTGCACCTCCGGCCAAACCTGCTCTTCCTCGTCTGGGAACACCGGCTGGCCACGGGCGGCACACACAGCATTCACCAGGCGGAACATGTTGCGATTCAAAGATTGCATCACAATCAGCTTCTGCTTGTCGGTGGAGTTACCAACTGCTTCGCGATAAGCCTCTGCCTTTCTAGCAAATGCGGCGACCGCTGCTGGCTGGCGATCCGGACCCAGGAGGAGAAGGTCGATAACATCTCCCCGCAGGGGAATAGGCACTGGCACGCACAACTTGCCCAGTCGATGGCAATACCGACACTCCTCGTAAGAATTCGATCGGCTGCATGGCTCGTGGCCCTCCTTTCCGATCCGCTTGACGCACCGCAGGCACCAAGCAATGGCAGCAATGCTTACGTTAATTCATCAGCTGGATAGTACATATATCAGACCCCCCATCCAGAGGACGATGAACCTCATCTGCTATGATATTAGTTTGCTACCTTACTATCTCTTACGAAGGCAGTCATTCGGGTAAGGCGGCTGAAGCAGGCACTTCATCTGAGAGAATAGTTATTCTTGGTGAAGGACGACCTCCCAAGGGGTATACAGACGCGCCACTTGCTATGGAAATCTATACAAATGTAAGCCCATAAGGGAAGTCTGATTGAACATGGTGCCGGGCGATTACGCAGCCTGCCAGCCCTCCGCCGATCGTAAGGGAGGAACACGCTGCATTTACATATCACAAAGGAAAGATTGTATCTACTACAGCGCCCCAAATGGGGCTATAACCACTATTGGTATCTAAAACCGTGTCCAAATAATTGGGATTGAAGTCATTGTTGGGGATATCAGTCAAATTAAGCCCTGTACCAAACATTGATCACCGTCTTGGTGTAGCGGTCTTGAGTTTTCTTAGCAACAAATAACAATGGCATAATCAAGGGTCTCTTGGTTAGGTGTAAGCATCCCCCCCCCCAGGGGTGCCGGTCACGCTCGGTTCGAGCGATTAGAAGGAGGAGAGGTGTAGAGACGGGCGTCTGCGTCTGTAGGGCGCATAATTGTGTATGGTGTGGGCTGAATTCGAGTTCAGGCGCCGGAGACTCCACTAACTTCTTCGGGCCGATATGAAGCGCGAAACGAGGCATTTTGAGAAATCTTCTTTTTGGAGTAACAAGTGAGCCGTGAAAGCTTAGCTTGAAGGCTAAGGGTAGGGCTATCCATGAACTTCTGGTAGATGGTCCCTCAAAGTTCTGTCAAACATCTTCAAACTGGCATCGAGATTGGGAGTGACTGGATTAGCCCCGTTGTGCAAGTTGACTCTCCTAGTTGCTATTCGTTCTAAGACTTCGATGATCCTGGTCTCGGGGGTTCTCTTTTGACTAAAATTCCATGGAAGTCATTAGCCACGTCTCAAAATCTGCAAATACTTCTGTAACTATAGATACTTACCAAAATTTTGAGCAATCGTGAGAGAAACTTCATAAATCCTCTCGAAGACGGCAAAGTCCGTCCGCTGTTGACTGGTATAAAGGTGAACATCAGCGCGCATTAGCGCAAAGTGGGCCCAGCGATTCCTGTGATCTGGTCTCGGAGACTTGTTGTCGCTTCTGAGCGTCTCGGAGGTACGTATCGAAAAGGTTTGTGGTAAAGCTCGCTCCTAACTCGATGCACCCATTGCATGTCTTGCTTCGCCACGCACGATGTACCTCCAGGCGGGAAAGCCTAGCAGGAACAATGTTCGCCTTGCCTGGTTTATGGTAGGACATCAAGGTAGGGAGGTGATGCGCATAGAGCGACCAGCGTAATAATTGGCTATTACTCTATCTGTCATCGTTGATAATAGAGAGTCCTTCCTTACTAGGTCAACGTTGACACGATGATCAGTGGACGTCTATCCCTACCTCGTAGGTCTCGATCATGTGGTAGATCTTTCATGACCCCGCTTCCAGCTCTGCGATCCCATATTTTTTCTCCGCGGGTCTCTGGGAACGGCTAAGGACCAAGATTGGTTATACCATGTTCTGCGTGGAAGTGTTGCTCGTCAGCTGAGGAATGATGTTTGCCTTGCCCGGTTTATAGTGGAGCTGGCGGGTGTCCAGTATGACGAGATGGCAGGAACGAATAAAACAAGAAAGTGCAGTGGGTCGAGCTGCTTGGCGTATATCTGGACCCACCAGACTCTAGCTTCATGTAGTAAAGTGCCAGGTACCTTCCTCATCATCTCCACAGTATCACAAAAGCACCTGAATGACCTGATCTTCCTAGGTTATCCATTACTCATGGTGGAGTAACTAGCAACATACAGAAAGATGCAGAGAATGAGAAACAAACCAGGCACAATTGATAACAATCCAATCAATAACCGCTGTCTCCTCCAGTCACTGATAGTACCTACTCTCCTCCCTTCTTGAATCGCAAAATGTGCTCTCCTCAATAGCTCGATCGCCCACCCTTTCTCAGGAATCCAAAAATCTACTCTGCCAGCGCTCGTCCTCGACCATTCAGTACAAATCGGCACTCCCCGGTCAGCTAAGTTATTCAACTCCTTGTAGAACTCGTCTTGAAATCGCCCTTCTATGGGTCTAGGTGTTGGGGCACTTGACAAAGTTTTACCATCAGTGGTGTGCCTCAGGTTTATGGCTGAAACCCCATGTAGTACCGCCATACACAATTGATTCAAATTGGCAAAACGGGTCGGCAAGGATTTCTTGCGATTGCCGATGATGTGTTCTATCCATCTAATATTTGGCTCAGTATGAAGTTCATCTGCCCTGTAAGCATGCAGAAGAGAATGTATAGGATACTTACTTATCGTGCAAACGGGAAGGAAGGATCCTAATTCCGCACATGCTCCTGACCTCATGGGCCTTACCCACAGGCATTCTGTGAATCCAGCCATTACGATAACATGTCTGTAACCCTGGTCTTTCGCTCAAAGAAATCCTCCCGTCCTCAGCAATGTCGGAAAGAACATCCGTAGTTTCGGGTGGTTTTTGTGGCGATATGACTAGAGAAGATCAGCCATACGGCTCAATCTGCAGCAGACTTAGAGATAGATTGAAGCATACGTAGTAGATGTTAGAATATCAGCCATAGCAAGTCATGGCGAGAAAATCTGGGCAGCCTGCCCGTAGTAGATGAAGGTATGGAGAAGATACATGAACCAATCAAGAAAGCGGATGTAGTGGGGTTTTTGATTAGTCATACTTACCCAGCCTCCCAGCCAGCGGCTATCTGGGGAACACCGAACTCAGCTTCATGTACCTTGCCCCAACCTCATCATCTCCACAGTATTACAAACACATCTGAATGGCCTCATGTCGGCTCTTTGGCGGTTGAACTTGCCATCACGGCGTACTATGTTTTCCTTCGCCAACAAGTCCCTCTGGCAACTACCCATCTCGGGGGCCCCGATTCCCCCGCAGGAACGCGTCGACGAGGAACTTTGTCCTGACTATAACCCAGCGTCTTTCTACCCAGCAAAGCCTGGGGAAGTGCTAGCTAAGAACTTTCAACTGCTTGTGAAAATTGGCTGGGGATCGCAATCGACCGTGTGGCTCGCCCGAAACATCTCAAGGTACCTACTACAGCCGTAACCGTACTTGCCTGCGTCATGTGAACCACCGAGAAACTAATCCTAGTCCACACAAAGACGCAAATGGCAATCAGAGCAAATATTGGCCTTGAAGATAATTAACAATGACAATTCCGACGATGCTCAGCATGAAAAGGAGATTGAAAGTTTTATCTCGCACCAAAACCCAGAGCATCGCGGCCATGTGTTTCTACGGACATGCCTGGATAGCTTCGAGCTAGCTGGTCCCCAAGGAAAGCACACGTGTCTTGTGTATGAACCGATGAGAGAGCCTCTTTGGATTTTACAGCGGCGTTTCGTTGATCGCAAGCTTCCTTTGCCCATCGCGAAGGCCTACATCTACTTCCTCCTAGTTGGCCTTGATTATCTCCACTCAGAATGCAAAATCGTCCATGCGGGTCAGTCTATTATTCCGTATCGGCGCTAGGATATGAATACTTAATGTACTTGCCAGATCTGAAGCTCGGCAACATCCTCATGGGTTTCGAAAATGAGAACATCCTTACCAACTTTATTGAACGACAACAACCTATGCAATACAAGGTAGATAGTGAGACTGGTCGGACAATTTACCGCTGTCATAACGACTTCGGTGCTCTTGACTGGAGAGAAATCAAGAACATGATCCCCAGCATAGCTGATTTCGGGCTCGCAACGAAGCTCGGCACGCCGTCCACTAAACAGGGAATGGTTGGAGAGCAAGTCGGCGTTTATCCTATCCAACCAGACTATTACCGTGCGCCAGAGGTAATCCTTGGCTGTGGCTGGGATTTCAAAGCGGATATTTGGAACTTTGGTGTGCTGGTGAGACATGAGACCCCTCCGACTGTTTTTCAGGAGGAGAATACACAATCGCTCTATTTGCTTTTGTCAACGTTGCTAGTTTAAGCTCGAAGCTAATTCCCTCATTCGATAAGCTGTGGAATATCCTAGGGAGCCAGGAGTTGTTTCAACAGGTACATGACTCAAACGGCTTATACGATGCAAAGTCACACCTCGCGGAAATGATTGCGCTACTCGGTCCCCCCCCGAAGGAGTTGCTTGCCAAATCAGAGGCTATGTCGGCGCACAACTGGCCCCAACCCGTGACCAACTACACCGGCGAGCTCTGTAACAATGCCCAAGAATTCTTCCATGGCCCTTTCTTCAATGCAGAAGGTGATCTTACCACTCTTGTACATTGATAGCGGGTATACTAACTATATTCAAGGTGAATTCTGTAACAGTGGTTTGATTCCGTCCCGAAGCCTGGAGGACACAACCCCATTTATGGAAGAAAATGATCGAGAGGCTTTTTTCTCCTTTGTCGGACAGATGCTTGCCTGGCTCCCAGAGAATAGAAAAACAGCTCGCGAACTGATGGATCATCCGTTTCTCAAACTTAGGCGTTGATCAGAATCTTTGGGAAATAGAGCGAACCCTTCCGTATCATCGGGCATAGGGCTGGCCCTATGAGGCTTATTGTGTCAAAAGGTCGCGCTGGCGCGTATCGTATACGACGAGTGTCTGCCAGGATACTCAATGGGTCCTCCATAACCAAAGATTGGCTATTTGTCCGTTCGCAAGCATAATACCAAGGTTATGTAACAAAGAAAGAGTAAAGAGGGGTCACGGTCCACCCCTATATAGAATGTATTTGCAAGCCAAAAACCATTGCCCACTCATACATATATATATCACGTGGTTTAGAACCTTCTTGCCCGAAAATTTCAACTAGCCAGCTACTGCAACCCAGAGACTCCCCTGTCTAATCAAGAAGCTGGACCGGAGCCCTCGGGTGCGTCAGAGATGCGTGGGACCTTCACTCGGCCGTATGCAGCTTTTGAGAAAACCACCGTCCCATCGGGGTACACATGGGCAGATGTGACTCTGGAATCTCCCTTCTTCAGCGTTATAGATCCGTGAAGAGGGTCATTGTTTCTATCGGTAGTGTGAGGGTCTCCCCTAGTTTTTTTGTGAGTCAATTTGGTCAATTGAGAATATCTGGGGCTAGCATCATGCATACTGCACAGTGCCCGAATCCACTTTGTCCACTAGCTGGGGGACAAGGTCCACGGCATCTTCGGCATAGTTCTTGACCCACGCCACATTCATAGTTGTTCCCCTGTCGCTCCAGTAGAGGGACTTCAATGCCCGGGCTGCTGTGGAAAATGCGCGAGACATGTCTGTTCCTGGTGAAAGGGGGTAAGCTTCGGGATCAATGTATGTGGACAATTGTTGGGTTCACCAGAAGAATAGAACAAGTACAAGATTCGTAATGAATAGGGCAGACAGAAGACAGCGAAGGCAAGAATACTTATAGCCTTCCACCACTGTCCTACATATCGGGTCATTGCGATGGCGCTCATAATCCATGTGCGAATAGCGCCTGCTTAGCGCTGGCATGGGGTGGTTCCACGAGTCAAAGCAGTGTATCTCCCAGTCGCAAACAGGATAGCTAAGTCTTCTACCAAATTAGGCGCATTGAACTAGGTCTTGGAAATCATTTCTAGGCGTGTAGCAGCCTTTAGGCAATGCTGTGCTACACCGAGGGTTTCAGTTGGCGCTCCCAGGCTGAAAGGAGCGATGGAAGAAGCAGGCACCGAAACAATCTTGAAAGCCACCAATTGTCAGTGGGTTTGACGCGCTAGCTCGGCGTCACAATACTCGAAAATTGGAGACTTTTCGCAGTATGCGCTCGTCCAAGACAAACAATTTTGTGTTGATTCATCCAAGATGTGCGACACTATAGTAGTAGTCGAGGGCCGACAACATACTAGATATATTAGCTGTGCTTACCTTTCTAATAATTGAGATTCGAAGTGTAGCCGTGGGTCGGCCTGATATCTAGAAACTATAGCATTCATAATTATTATGGAACTGGGAGTGTGTGGGTGGAAGATGTAAATATAGGAGATGCCGTCATGCACATGATGGCTGGCTTTTGTCCAGGTATACGAACCAGCAATATCACTTATACTTGCAGCTCGATAATTGGAAGTCAAAGAGCTAGACTGGGTACTTCCAGCTATCCACACCTCTTACACAACATGTCGTTCAAGGAATCTCGTTATATGTACCAGAGTTGAAGGGGCTAATCTTTCGGTAGTTATATGGCTAGAATTTCGTATTTGCAATTTGATATTCAATGATAAAGAACAGTGGCTAGCCATTGGCAGTTTCGACGGAGATAAAGCAGCTCATCTAGAGGCAATTCACACGTAAGTGGCAGTGTCCAACCCAGAGCCTAGTGTCAAAGGACTAAAACACAGAAGATGCCCTTGGGCCCACGAAGTGATCGTTGCTTCGCAGATATGACGATGCCGTGACTACTCACAACATGCCGGTATCCAAACCCCAAGGCTAGGCATCCCAGAAGTAACAGGACCATCGGTGTTGGCTTGAGGATCCCGTCTACCCATCGCACTCAACGTCCCAACGATATGCAACTCAACCGATCCAGATCCTCACAAAAGCAACCTATGCTTCGGACCACACCCCATCCAGAGAGTCATCAAAGAAGCCTGGGAAAGACGACGGCGGTGGCGACGATGGGACACTAGACTCGCACTGCATATCTGCTCCTCTCTAATCAGCCGCCGAATCATCAGATCAGACACAAATCAGTGCATGGAACTCACAACTATTGACCTCAACAAAAGCCCCCAAAACCCTATTCACCAACTTCATCACCGACCACGATTCCTCCCTCGGCAGCGTCAAGTCACAGGCGGAGAGGTCAATTTGCGTCAGGTCCAGCTGCACGTATACGATGGACGCCATCGCGAGAACGATGATCAGGGCCCCGGCGAAGACGGTGCGGGCTCCTGGCCGGGAGTCCATCTTGGTTTGGTTTGCATTGTGAGGGGATCCGCTTGGGACTGAAGGTGGAGGAGGGGAGGTTCTGGGGGTGCTGCATTCCTGGGATTGGGTGGTATGCAAGGGGTGTTGTGTTCTTTCAAAGTTGCGTAGTAGTTAATTGCAACAGTGTCATACTCGAGAGGCATGTCAAAAGTACTACAGGAGCATGTATGCTTCTACACTTCAGACCTCCGCTTATGGAAGGACACGACCTACCCCTCAGGCCTATCCAGCGTAATCAACCAAGCCGAGTCTGGTCCGTACTCACCGGCCTTATCAAGTTGCGGGGCACAATATCAAGGTATGCGGGTACTCTATCCCCTGTTTCGTAATATCTCCGGTGCACCAACAGCCGTTGAACCAACCGTTGAACCAAGCTTCAAGGCTGTTTCTATGGTCCGCAGTAATCTCAGTCAAACAGACACCTTGGGTTACATTCTTCATACCCACCGGAGCAGGTACCCGGGTATCGAGGATAGCTCATCGGAGTGGCAAATACAAATCAATAGCGTGATTTGGTCAACCACCCTCGCTTGCTCTATCCGGGTCGATTAGCCCAGGCATTGCTCAATCAATCCAAGGAAATCATGGATTACTATACGACGACGTCTTTCCGCTGAATACTAAAAGCTCATTGGACCGGAGGTATCGCATTGAGAGGGGATCATCTCCCGCTTGGGCCACAAGCTCCACGATATGAGCCGCACCTGTTCATGTGCTCGTCCCACCTTTTGAAATTGAGAGACACCGTGAAGACGCACTAGCACGTTGGGTTGTTGAAGAGGGGAAATGGGGCGGGAGAGTGGGGATAAAATCTCGTGAAATTGAGTTGGAGTATATCGCAATGTCAGATGGCGGTTTTATCCTGCAATAACAGGCGCCAAGCGCGTCCACGTGATTCTCGCCCTCTGACTGGTCCAGCGGTGGTGCAAATTTTTTCCGGACTACGACCTGCCGGACGCCACTCAGGGACGATCCCTCGGGGGGCCAGTGGCATTTATGCGAAACAACAGACTCTCACGGTCGAATGGAAAGGGGGAGAGTTGCAATTATCCTCGATATTATCAATCCACTGGCGGTAGAAATCAGCATTGTCTGGGATTGATGGCGAATCAGTTACCATACTGCTTCTCCCCTCTAAAATACCCCAAGAGTATATCTCCCACCACACATTGAGTTAAACCTTAAATGTCCAAGGTGTTTCTCCCGTATTGCGTCTTTCATGGACCCGCAACATCAACGGAAAAATGATAAGGACACGAGGGGGGTGAGAGGAGAGAGACAAGGAGGATCCGCTCCTTGTCGGCTCCACTCACTAAAGTGAGACTAGTCTTTTTCTGCCTCCCCTGGCCGCCTTTCCTCCCCGTCATCGTCGTGTCTGGTCTGTATAGGATGGCGTCGACAACCCCGCTGCTCTTTCAGTGGATCCATTTGAATCAGTGGATACCCGCTAGTACTCAATAGGTCATTGTCGCTTCCGTTTCTGCCGTTGATCTCTTCCTACGACAGCGTCACAGCAGTGACCAGGCCTCCAGGCCCTGGATCCACCCTCGGGATTGTGAGAGCTCCCAGGTCTAGTCCAGCCATGGGCTGATGCCAACCCCCCCTCTACGACTCGAGAGAGGAGCGACGGTTGGGACAATGGGATTGGATGAAATCCCTGCCACTGATCACATTGCTACTTGGCTCATTCGTCCGTTGATCGGGAGTAGGGTTGATAAGTGCTTTCCGACTGTCCATCCCAGTTACCGGAGTTGATCTTCGTGGCCAAGGGACAACGTTCGTCCCGGCCACCTATCCGATCCTCCGGAACTGCCAGTCATAGGTACGGCGAACCCCACATGATCAGAAGGGCGACTAGGGTGCTCTCTGCCCCGCCGCGCACGGCAAATCAGTTAAAGCTCGTCCATTCGCTCGCTTTGCATGCACGCTCTATGGTTCGTAAAAAGCTAGGACCTTCCCCCCACAGCCGTTGTCTTTATCTGTGGCCCTTTATTCGGTGTCAGTCAGGAAAAACCCCCAACCTAAACAGATGATCGATCAGCCGTTCAGGTACCCCACGATGTTTACCAACAGGTATGTTGGCGTGTTACAACCATGGTTCAGCATCAATGGCAGCCCCCGTCAAAGTTCCACCGTTGACTCGATGTAAAGGAGGAATGCCAAAAAGCCGGATGGCAAGCTCATCGAGAACTTTCAGACCAAGTTCTCGGATCTTGTGCGTCCGACGCCAAACCACCTTCTACCCGCTAGGTCTGATTATCCCTGTGTCTGAGACGGACACCCGGCTTATCTTTGGGTGTGCATTGTGCACCCATTGTGAGGATCGTGACTGACTGCTTTGGTCCAATAGATTCTATATGGTCGGTGGAGGAATTGGACCTACACCGAACATTTGCGTCACGCCCATCCAAGATGACACCTCACTGCCCACTGCAAAATTGAGAAGGAGAAATAGCTATGATCGCACCTTGAACAGACGGAGCATCGTGTCGAATAGCCCGGCCGGAGACTTGCTCACTCCGTCGGGGAGAATAGATACGCTTCTGGATCAGGCTTTGTTTGACCAGTTCACTAACAATACACCGCGAGCTCAGCCCGACAATACGGGCCTTGACCAATTCGGCGTGTCTAGTTCGATGCTGCAGCCTCAATATGTGGTCCCTAGCTCTCTGGATGGACCACATTCTCTCCAACATCCCATCATGCCTCTTCCCATTGATACTGCATCTCATGGGAATGTTGACGGAATTGCCCCGGGTGAGATCACTAAACATAGCTATCCAAGCTCCCACATGGTCGATGGGATGTTGGACTCCGCCAAACTTCCAGGCATGAAAAGTGAAAAGTAAGCATCCCATGAAACTACAATGATCATGCTCTCTCAACTAATCTTGCCATGATAGACTGCGGTATCGCATCAAGATGCACACACCGACAGCCATGATCAAAGATCGGAGAGAAGCCCCAGTGACGTATCTCAACAAGGGCCAAACGTACTGGCTGTCGGTTGTGGATTCAGTGCCACCGCCGCTGGGCATGCAGCCCACAAGGTACCGCACGTCGGTACGCATCACTTTTGACGAAGAAGCGCAAGTGAGCGACCCCGTGGGTTGCTGGCAACTCTGGAAAGAGGTCCGTGGGCAGAAGGAAGCCAATCAGCAGGGCCGCGGGCTACAGGCAGTGGAATTCCTCTCTCCGGAAGAGGGAACACACAGCCAGCGACAGGATCAAGTCCGGCTTGAAAACGTATCCCTCGATGGATTCTGTGTCTCATGGACGGCAAGTCCAGGAGCGACCATCCCGCAATGCAAGTTGGGTGTTCGCTTCAACTTCCTCTCGACAGACTTCACCCACTCCAAGGGCGTCAAGGGTTCCTCGGTCAGGCTGTGTGCCAAAACCGAGACGGTCCCAGCAGTAGATCCCTACCCAGAGATGTCATACTGCAAGGTAAAACTATTCCGTGACCATGGCGCTGAGCGGAAGATCTCCAGCGATGTCTGTCAAATGAAGAAGGCCATCGACAAGCTGAGAAACGAGATGGCGCTATCCGGAGCCGGCGCGGACCACCTCGGGAAGCGGAAACGGGACAGCTCGAGTGCCTCAAAGAGCGCCAGCGATGCTAAGAGAAACGAGCGGCAGCTTGCGTCAATGGAGAGCTCACTCTCTTCGACTCTGCCCGTGACCACGTTCGACCTGCTAGCTGATCAACGGGATGATCCGGACTGGTATCCCATCCTTCTACCAGAACTCGGGCACAAAACCTCCCACTCAGACCTTCGTCGCCACAGCGTCGAGAGCCTCCAACATCTTTCCAAAGCCGGTTCGCTAGACCCGAGCTCGCCCTCATCCCTGACAACCCCTCCATCCCTATCACCCACCGGCATTACTACGGAGCAGTTTCTTCCGAGAGACCTGACAAAATCCAGCAGTTTTCCCTCCCAACCCTCAGAACCAGGTACGTCACCCAACAAATCAAACACAGAGAGAGAAAGCCCAAAAGCTTCTTTTGTCCCCCCATATCTAAAACCCCCCCCAGCAGCCTGCTTCTACATCCGCTTCTACGACGAATGGAAAGTCCCCGAAAGCTACCACCGCGCTCTCTACCTCACCGAGCGAACCGTCCGCAACCTGACCACAAAGATCTGCCAAACACAAGGCATGGACCCGGAGACCGTCACCCGAGTCCTACACGTCAACCCAAGCGGGTTGCGAATCATGGTAGACGATGACGTAGTGCAGCGGATCCCGGACGGGCAGCCCATGATGGTTGAGATCATCTCGCCTTCCCCAACGTTGGAGATCTCACCGGGAGCAAAGGCGGAATTTGAGGTCATTCTTAGTTATTGATATTACATTACATATTACGTTGTTCATATGCAGGTACTAGTGTCTACAATCTTAATCTGCGGTGCAGAAACCGGGCCCATCGTAATTTCCTGAGATCGACTAAGAGCTCGGAAAATAAAATAGCACGATAACATAATAAATGAATAAAATAGAACTAAAATTCAAAATTTTCAAATAAAAGGAGAAAGGAAATAAAATAAAATAAAACCAACATGATAACCAACCCCTCCCTCCCCACCGATCAAAACCAAAGCACCCACCAAGTCACGCCCGAAAGCATGCACAAAAGCAAGAGATATATACATCCCTTACGAAACCGCCAACCAAACAAGCTAGCGTGCATCTAATCAACCCACCAAACGTCTCCTCAACGCAGCCCAAACTCCCGAGCCCGAGTCCCACCAAGATAACCAGATACAGATACAGATACAGATACGTAAAATTAGATTCAACGGGCCCCAGTCGGTACCAAACCCCAGCGGTGGGTTCCAGCCTTCCAGGGGGGTCCACCCGGATGTTTTCTCCCAAGCGCTAATCCTATCCGTAGGGGCCGGGGCCAGGGCCATGCATGGGGCCCTGCATGTGCCAGGGAGGGGGGTGGAGGAGAGTTTTCGGGAGGAGAGGGGGGAGGAAGAGGGGCGCAGCAGGTATGTACTGTATGTAGGTAGTAGGCTAGGCTAGCGAGCAAACAAACTATTGCCCGGTGGAATCCACTTCGCTATGGGGACACTAATGCATGTCGCGAATATCTGATGGCCTTGCCTTGGATGTCTATTGTCTAGGACTCTAGAGGGCGATCATGGGACTGGAGGGCTTGAAAAAAAGAAAAAAAAAAAAAAAAAAAAAATTGAATGATAATAATAATAAATCCATAAATAACTAGATAGATACAAGCGAATGGTGCTAGTTTCACTCACTCGTCTGCTTTGGTCGGGTTCAAGGGAGTAATTGATCTACATGGTGTGGGCTGGCTCAGCTGTCTGTCTGTCTCACTGATGTCCCCTCTCTACCCTCTCCACTCCCCACTCCCCCTCCCCGCTTCCTTGCTTGCTTGCTGCTCAGTGCGCACGTCAGGAACTAGTTTGTTGGAGACAGAATCGCTAGTAGCTCTCCACTCTTGAATCTCGTTGGGCGATGCTCCCTAGTGCATCGTTGTGGGTATCTGTATCTGTATCTGTCATGTTGGTGGTCTGCCCCGTGCAGGCGCCCTGGTGGAAATCCAGCACCTCGTTGTACCTGCAAGGGGTTTAGATCGGGATTCGCGGTTCCGAGGTAAGATTGGGATGCGAGGTGAGGGGGAGGCGATCTTACATCTTGAGTTTCCACTCCTCCAGGGAGATAGCTGGGTCTTCCTCGTAGGAACAGTCGATTTCCCTGCCGGCACTGGGCTCGTCTTCCGAGTCGTGGTACGTCATAACGTACGGGTGCGAGAGGGCGTCCGCGGCGGTGATTCTTTGGTACGGGTCGAATTTGACCATCTTCTCGAGGAGGTCGATCGCTGGGCAGGTAGTGTCAATTCCTGATTCAATACTCACGTGGGACGGCTAGAAAATGGCGCATACCGGTGGGGTCGACGCCTTTGAGGACGGACGAGAAAGGACGGCCTTCCTCATGTGGTAGATTGTCGATGAATCGGCGTGTCTGGAAAGCTGGAGGTTAGCGAGCGGCACTTCGCTTCCGGGTCCCGGGAGGAGAACGCCACTCACATTCGGGTTGTATACTCGCTCCATGACTTCCTTGGAAGGGTTTCCGAGCAGCTCCGTAATCAGAGAGAACTGGTGGACGTGATCCTTTCCGGGAAAGAGGGGCCGTGCCAGGTTCATCTCTGCAAGGATACATCCCGCGCTCCAGATATCGATCTCGTAGCTGTAATGCTGCCATGTCAGCATGATCTCCGGCGCTCGGTACCACCTCGTTACGACGTAGCCGGTCATGTGGTGCTCTTGCTCCCGCGCGAGCCCGAAGTCGATGATTTTCAAGTCGCAATTCTCGTTTACGAGGATGTTGCCCGGTTTGAGGTCGCGGTGGATGACGCCAGCCGAGTGGATGTACTTCAGCCCTCGCTGCGATCGTCAGACAGGATGGTAGTGTCGTCGGCTGGGGTGGGGACATACGAGGATCTGGTAGGTGAAAAACTGGATAAACTGGTTGTGTAACGGCTTCGACTGAACGAGCTGGTGTAGATCCGTCATCATGTTGTTCGTGACGAGGTATCTGGCACGGATCATCAGTATTTTGCTCACACTATCGCGAAGTAAATGCATCATACATGTCTTCAGCCGGAGATATAAAGATATCTTGCAAGCTAATGAGCTGGTCAAATGAGCATACACCCAAAAGGTTGTGGCTACGCGGCGTACATTTTCATGTCGTAGTCTACTCAACAGGTAGACTTCTCGGTACGTTCGTTTCGCGACCGCCGTACTCGAAAACGGTTTCCCAATCTTCTTGATAGCGACTAGTGTGTGGGTGATGTTGTCATACGCAGAGCTTAAGAGTTAGTCAACTTGGACGAGTCAACCCGTTTGCAACATACCAGATGACCCCAGAGACACCGACCCCCCGCGCCTTCAAATCCCGGTACCTAGTCGAGGGTAAGCACTCAATCCTATTGCAGTCGAGAATTTAATTTATTATTACCTGTCGGTAGTCTCATAACTCGTCCCTAAGACATTCGATGTTATGAAGGTAGCCATGCTTCATGGGTGTTAATGCGGGCTGTGCGCTCATATCCGCTTCAAAATCCATGGGCTCCGTCGTCTGGATCAACCAACCTCCAATCCTAAATAAAACTTTGCTTCGCACAACGCGACGTGGTAAATACGATGACATCAGACCACCCTTCCCTTCTCCGTAAGCAAGACACGTCATTCTACCCGTGCCCCTCCTTCAATGCGATTGTGGGTGAGAACGGCCAATTGGAGGTCTTGTCGCGTAGTTCCATAAAATTGAGCCGCTCTCGCACCCCTGAATATGCCAATGATATTTCAAAGCTAGCGCAGCTGTAGCCACGGGGGGATCCACCTGTCTAGACTTCTTATCCGATTGGTGAGTCCCACACGGCACAGCTTGTATTCATCGTTCAGTCTATCAACAATATCATTGGATGATTTGAGGGACCTAAAAACTTTTAAGGAAAAATAGGAGACATAAACACGGCAATTCGTACCTCCAATTCCCGTATCCCTAGGTGGAGATCATTGCGTGTAGTGTGGTGGCCCCTGCCCTCTTCCTAGTCCTATTCTCCCGTGCACAATACCATTGTCTGGGCATGCACTCATGCAGGGACTGAGATCTCGTTTGGTGGCGTTCTCATTATTAGCTCACCACCTATATGTTATTGAGAGACGTCAGTCGAGATACCAAGGTGATCATCCAGCCAACGTGGATGGGAAAGGTACAACAATCTAACATCACAAACTAATCAAACTTAAACCAGGATCGGTACCACGTTTCCGGATTTTCCAAAATGCCAATGCCCAGAGTATTAGGCGTACCAGAATTAGGAGCTATCCAAGCTACTAGCGCTGGGGTCGAGACCGTTTTGCCGAACACGATCAACGGTGATGGACCAGGTCCAGCCATGCCATGTCCACGAAAGCTAGGCTAGCTGAGTACACCGTGAGATAATTCCGTACTCGAGTGACCAGCACCACCAGCACTTCTCAACGCACTATTGATCATCAGCACTATCGATCTTTGATTTACGTACCTTAGTCGACATCAGCTTGTCATTTCAGCGCTTCCGGCCGACTGCAACCCTCCTCCACATACAAGGCCCTACAACGGCCTTTGGGGAAACCTTACAAGCAAATCCCTTGCCTTCCGCAACAAGGCTCAGACCAATGGGCGATTGCGCCTCCTACCTAGCTCGGCATGTCCTCTTTAGTACGCTCTGCATCTGGAAGTATCTCCGTTGACTGGCCCAAAAAAAGCGCACCCTCTTGTGGAGGCAGCAGCTGCTTAGCCTGTTAGGGAAAACCAGTATGTAATAGCCTGGTTAGTCATCGAGAGGTTGGTGTCGTATCTCCTCGGATCTTCTTGTCGGATGGCAGGATCGTGGACCCGCTCTTGGTCTGTGAGCGGCGATATCAGCAACCTGGTGGTTGGTGTTGAGATAGTCTAGCTTACCTCTTTAGGACATCGGTAGTAGGTGGTCCTGGTAAGAGGGTAGTGTGGAAGAGTGGGACGAGCAGGTGGCAAGCATGTCAGTTGACTTGCGGAGATTTCTCACAGCCTGTATTGTAGATCTTGCAACTTTGCGCCACTATTCGCTGCTGTTTTCGTAGCTCGAAGGATCATGGTTATCATCAATAGTTTGACCGGGTCTATGGGTCTTCCCACATAGTGCAGGGGTAACAACCATGAAGGATGTATGCAATCCATGGATGTATTGACTGGTTGTCGTAGGGTTGAAAGCAGTTGAGGGTGAGGATGCAGTCACTGGCACACGTGACTGTAACAGACTACCTACTGTGGAAGGAACGATCAAAACTAACAAAAGTATGAGGACATCTTCGTACTATGAAAAGAGGTTGCCCATTACCAGAAAAGATGGAAACACGAATAATATGGGACACGGTTTACAGGCGCTGCAAGTCACATATTGACCGATTTCAGTCACTCCACATCTACCAGTTCTGATATATATCCTAGAGATAGCTAATTCAAAGCATACAATGCATCAGTGTTCAATTACACTTAACGAGTTATTGACAGAGAAGAAGTGGTGGCTCTCTATACAATGAATGTATATATATATGTGTGTGTGTATATATATTTCCATGTATATACTCCAGTCTATTAGTATACAAAAGATCATGTAGCATAAACATCATACCGACACCCAATCGCCAATAACATCTATGAACACCCAGCTCGAGATCTATCCAGACACCTCAATATCCTCCCTCCGAATCCCGCTCCGCTCACACATGCCCCTGAAGATCCCCCCTCGATCCCACAGATTCACCGGAGAATCCAACTCCGCAATACATCCCTGATCCATAACACAGATACGGTCATAGTGGATGATAGTCCGCAGCCGGTGAGCAATACACAGCACAGTCTTGCCCCCGAACCCAGTCGTCATGGTCTCCTGCACTCGGGCGTCGGTCTCGAAGTCAACGGACGAGGTCGCCTCGTCACAGATGATGATTCTTGAGTCGCGGACGAGGGCCCGCGCGAGAGCCATCAGCTGGCGCTGTCCGAGGGAGAAGTTCAAGCCTTCTTTATCGACTGTTGTGTCGAGGTGGAGGTGATTCCGGGTTTGCCCTGGGGGTACAGATGATGTGGATGATGTAGCAGCAGAGAACGAGGCGGACGGGATGTCCTTTGGAGAGTCCTGGGCAACGAGATGGGCTTTACGCATAGCGGACCAGAGTTCGAGGTCAGTGTGTTCGTTAAAGGGGTCAAGGTTAGAGCGGATAGTGCCGTGGAAGAGGGTCGGGTCTTGCGGGATGATAGTGAGACGGGTGCGCAGGTCGTACAGGCCTACAGTGGCGATGTCAACGTCGTCGATGGAGATGTGTCCGCCTGAGAGCTCCGTCAATCGGAATAGGGCTGTCATGATGCTTGATTTGCCGGCGCCTGTGCGGCCGACTATGCCGATGCGTTCGCCGCCGCGGACGTCCATGGTTACGCCTTTGAGGATGAGGGGCAGGTTGGGGCGGTAGCGCATCTGTACGTCTGAGAAGACGATGCGGCCTTTTTCGGGCCAGTTGGCTGGGACGGGGGCTTGGTGGAGGGGTGCTTCCTGTTCTAGGTGGTTGGCGTAGTGCGCTATGCGCTCGACCGAGTTGAGCTCGTTGTCGAGGCCGGCGAACATGCGCACGCCGAAGGTCATCTGCTGTGAGATAGTGAGCATGTACGATAAGATCAGGCCCGAGACGCTGGGATCTACTGGGAAGCGGGCGGCTGCGACCAGGAGGACTATGACTAGGATCATGGTGTTGCTGACGGAGTCGAGCAGGGTGTTGAGCCAGCGCTGGTTGGCGATGGTGAGGAAGTAAGCCCCGTTCATGGAGTCAATGGCCTCGTGGAGTCTCTCCCGGAAGTGCGCTTCCTTGTGGTAGGCTTGAATGCAAGTCGATCCGATGATGCTTTCTCCGAACCGTGCGAAAACGACGGATCGGAGGACTGCCTCGTATCGTTTGGTGCCTCGCGAAGACGGCAGGAAAACGCAAATAGATGTTACAGCTACTGCGAGCAGTATTGCGGCTGCAATGGCGAACTACCACAGCACGTTAGCGGAGCGACGAGGGCGTACGGCATGTGTGATAGACTCACGTAGTAATAGAATACGATGACCATGATGATAATCCCCACTACCTGGATACCCGCAAAAAGAAACAATCGGAGAGAGTCAGCAATCTCCGTGTCCATGATCTGGACGTCTTGCGAGAAGCGATTCGTGATGCGGCCTAGGGGCGTGGTGTCGAAGAACGACACCGGGGCCCGCAGGACTCGGTACATTGCCTGCTGCAGCATCCTCCTGCTGGCAGCGGCGGCGGCCTCTTTCACCTGCACAGACTGCAGATAGAGCATGACTGACTGAAAGACGGTGAGGGCTGCGTAGATTCCCATGTATTGGCCCAAAGACAAACTTGGGAATCGGTTAGACGTCCAGAATGACAGCCAGACACCTGTCATTAGGGTCATGCCGCCAGCGAGAACCAGGAAAATGAGAGCAATGGGAAGGTTGAGGAAGGACCCCGACGCTGCGATATATGTACCCCAGACGCCCCATCCTTCGGATGCCCGCTCTTCTTGCTGCATCAGTGCAGGGGCCGGTCTTTGACTCACGTTGTCAGGGCGCGATTGTGACGGTACATTCTGACTAGGCTTGTCATCATCCGACTCACTGTCCGAGCCCTCCTGCTGGGGTGCGTTGAGCATGAGCTCCTGAAACAGACTATCAGTGCGCATGAGTTCCTCGAACGTCCCAACCGCGTGGAGGTTCCCTTCGTCCATAACAACGATTCGATCGCAGCGCGAAAGAACATGAAGCTGATGCGTAGCCAGCACGCGACACCGGTCTTTTAACAACCCGCATATAGCATTATCCATTATATGACGCCCCACATGGGCATCAACAGCAGACAGGGGATCATCCATGAGAATCAGGTCTGAATTAGAGTAAATCGCACGTGCAATGTTCAATCTCTGTTTCTGGCCCCCTGAAACAGTGATTCCTCGTTCTCCCACCTCTGTCTCATCCCCGTGGGTCAGCATGGCTAGGTCTGCGCGTAGTGCGCACGCATCTACCACTGCATTATAGCGCGCCTCGTCGTATTCATTCCCAAAGAGGATGTTGTCTCGGACAGTCGCGTTCTGTATCCAAGCATACTGCGGGCAATAGGCTCTCGTCACGCCCATGCGAACATGACCAGACGTCAATCGCATATCGCCCGCAAGGGCTCCGAGAAATGAGCTTTTCCCACTGCCCACGCCTCCTATCACGGCAATAAGTTCACCACGACCGACTGCGATGTTTACGTTATTGAGCGTAAACGGGCGAGACTGGGAGGCGTCGCTGCGATAATCACTCTCCAAACTGGAGGCCGAGTCGGCTGATGACTCTTCCGCGAACTCTTTGTCTACTGTCGCTGCCTGCTCCCACGTAAAAGATGCGTTCTCCGCCTCAATAGCCTCCTTCATCCCATAATCCCACTGGATCAGCTCCTCCCGCTCCTCCGCCAAAAAGAACTGTTCAAGCCGTATAAGAGCCGCCCAACCATCCGTCACCTTCGTCATTGCAAAATTAAAGCTCGACAACGGGTTTCGAACGGCATTGAAAATGGCAAGAGCGGCGAATATGCGGTCCGGCGAGAGATCATGACCCGTCACAGCGTACACGATGAAGACTACCATGGCAGCGTAGGACGGCGTCGACGTCATGCAGACGATAATGGCCATCTGGACCTTGAAGAATTTTTGAAGATACCGCAATTCAGTCTTCCGGCTGGCTTGCATGCGCGCGAGGAAGCTGCTTTCCCACCCGAAGAGTTTGACGAAGCGCACGTTCTGCAGGATCTCTTGCGTTAGTGAGACGCGTGCGTCTGTGATCTTGTTGATGTCCATTCGGATAGTGACGAGATGTTTGATGACGAAGGTGAGGATGCCGACTCCGACGATCAGGAGTCCGTAGCCCGGGAGTGCGCTGTAGCCTATGATGAGCACTGACATGACCAGCGCGAGGACCAAGGCGACAGGGACGACTAAGAACATGAAGAGAAAGGCGAATCCGTGGTCGACGCGCAGGGCATCGACGCCCATGAGGGTGGTAATTCGCCCGTTATCCCAGCCGGACGCCCCGGCGTCTGCATCTGTCTTTGCTGTCCTAGATTTTCCATCTCCATGTCCCACTGGTGTTTCCCCCTCTGTAGCAGTGACGGTACCAGCCTTGGCGCGAGCAGACAAAGCCATCGCCTTTGTGAATATCTTCGAAGTCATAACACCTCGTAATTGCCCGCCAACCATGGCAGCCGCGTACAGCGCACAACTCATTGATAGCGATTGTGTCGCCTGCATGCAGAATATGCCGACAGCATAGCCCATTCCCTGGCCCATGGCTGGACCTGGCGTGCCGTTGCGCTGGGATTCCACCACAGCCATACCATACGACACCAAGTGGCGGACTAGATAGGGGCCCATGATGCCCAAAACATTGCTGAGGACTTGGCACAGCAGTCCAATCCATAGTTCCTTGTTGAAGGTGGTGCATATCGCTCTTAGAAGAGGTCTGTTTCTCCCGCTGTTCAAATGCTGTTGCAGAGCGGTGTCTAGCCTCTCTGTTAGGTTCTCGACTGTTCGGTTTGGGCTGACTTTCCAGATATCCTCGAGCTCCAGTTCACGCAGGTAGCCTATCTGAACATCGCATCATCAGCTTGCGCCATCCAGAATTAGAGGGATAGTGTGTTACTCACTTTGATAAAAGGGGTAACCCACAGGAAGAAGATGCGACTCAGGAAACTAGCTCCATACTCTTTCGATGCTATCCTTTCTTGCGGCACATCCGGAATCTTCTGCAGTCGGAGCGGGTTCAGTAGCTTCCATCGAGATTTCGCCTGCGTCCCTTGGTGTTCTGGATCCTGCGCCGTCTGCGTCGACGTCAGGCGCACCGTATTGACGACGACCTTCTCCCGGTCACCCTTCGGCTTGACAGTCATGGCTGGCGTGAAATCAACGGAACCCTCTAGACGCAGTCTGCAGAGGGAGGAACTCAGAGCGGTCTAGTCTTCACAACAATTAGACTATATCAACAGTGCTAGTGACCTAGTCGAGGAAATTGTCCGACCCCATGGATTATCGACAGCCACAATGGGAGCGAATTCAAAGGGCACGATGAGCGGTCCAGATTCCGTGAGTATGGTCATGAGAATGGTCGATATCACAGTTCCACAACGGACAAAAATAGAGGCAATGAACAGCGCCACATAAGGTAATCAGTTCGCGATAGTAGCCTGGAAGCAAGGAGAGTCCATGACAAAGCAGCCAGTATCTTAGAAGATCTGCAGTTCAATATCCATTTCTACCGAGTATGAATGTCGCACGACTTCTTGAAAAGTGGATAGAACTATGGACTGACCATGCATGTTTGCGTTGCGTGCCTTACCAGCCCACGGCCCCTAGCAGTAAACATGACCACTGATATCTTCCAGATCAGTATGTTTGGGTTGGTGTTTGGACTAATCTGAAACCGAAAATCCAATATACGGTAAAGGAATATCCAGCAAGGGATTCATCCCTTGATAGGACCCACTATCACTGTTTTGATATTGAGAAACAATGGAACAGGTAGTGCCGTCATAATGTCGCGGGCGTCTCCCAAGACGTGTCATGGTGTTTCCAGTAATGTGGTATGACATGTTGTATTGATAGACACCTTCGTTTGGTCTGTTCACTTAGGTTATGTCTGATATTAGCTCATCAAGCAGGGGTTCGAGAGACTTCATGGAAGAGATTCACACGTAGATGAAATCGTGCATTATCTCAGTACATGCTTCTCAAATGCACAGTAGATCAGATCAGCGGGGATGGCAAAAAGGGAACAACATCAGAGATTACCCCGAAAAAAACAGCATCCAAACATGTAAATAATATATTCAATCTATGTCGCTGACACCTTCATGCAAACAAAAGAATCAAAAAAGACTATATATATGCCGATCTATCTAATTATCTATCAGATCCGCGCTCCGACCAAACATACGCACAGATGCAGATGCACAGATATAGTCCCAATCCATCCCAAATACCGTCCATCCAACGCCAAACAAATGCACTGCCATAATAAGATGAATGCCCGGGAGTACAGCGAATTCGAACCGAAACCAGACGAGAGCAAGAACACGAAAAGAAGGAACAACTATCCAGGGTGAGGTCCAATCAACCATATCGTGCGCTCAAGCTGGCAAACGCGTCCGGACTATGCCTGCCAGTCTGGAATCCATTGATGTCAACGCTTTGCTGGCTCATGTGTCCTCTGGGAAAGGCTCCCGTTGTCGAGGGAGCGGAATTCATCGCGGTGCCGTATCCATATGCCGGCTGGGCTCCATATGCCGACTGGGCTTGTGCGGGCTGCATAGGAGCTTGCGCGGGCATGGGAGCTTGCGTGGGCATGGCCCCCGGGGCTTGAGTAAAGAAGGGGTTTCGGGAACCGCCACTCGCGTCAAACGGAGGTTGAGCACCGGGGTTGGGGTTGGGTTGCGCGAAGTTCGGTGCCGAGGTTGGAGCTTGGGGGCCGCCCAGCGGAGCGGAAAGCGGTGGCTGCTCGGGCAGGGTTGGCGGGGGCGGCGCGAATTGGTACAAAGAGAGGATATTGTTCTTGTTCATACGGCCGGTCGGCTGGGGGGTGAGTTGCTGGACTCCGAACTGCGAGGGAGGCGCCAGACTCTGGGGTGCGGTGGGCGCGGCAGTCGTCTGGTAGGGGTTCAACGAACCGCTTCCGTACTGAGACTGCTGAGGCTGCAGCAGAGTTTGGGGTTGGGCCTGGGGCTGCGGTTGAGGGGCCTGCGACTGGAACGGAGACGGCTGCCCAAACGCCGAAGTAGATAACGCAGGCATCGTGTTCGCGTGGCGCGGTGGGTGGTACCCAGCTGGAGCGACCTGTGGCGCTGACGTCGGTTGCGGAGGTGGTTGCGTGAAAAAGGGATTATTCGTCTGAGGCGATCCAGCGCTCTGGTTCGAAATCGGAGGGGTCAAGATGCCCTGCGGCTGGGCGGCGGACTGGAAGAAGGGGTTGTTTCCGAGGTCGGAGGTGGGAGGGGCGCGCCGAAGGCAGCTTGGTTGAACGTGGCGCTGACGGGTGGGGTGGCAGATTGCTGGTACAGGGGTTGCGGGAGCGCAGGCTGGCTCTGGGGATATCCGCCCGTGGAGTGGGGGAACAACGGTTGCGAAACCTGCAAGTGTTGGAAAGAGACATCCAAAGGCTGCGCGGAAGACGGCATCGGAGGCTGCTGTGGCTGGGACGGCATGTCGAACGGGTTGTAGGACTGTCCATTTGACTGAGCCGGCGGGTTGGCATCCAGTTGATCGAACGGATTGGCTGAGCCGGCCCGACTGGCGGTATCCCTTCCAGTAGCGGTAGTGGGTGTTTTGCTCCGCAAAGTAGGATGACTGCCCCCCTCTCCCAGGCGCATCAGGGTCTCGATCGCTTTATCGAGATTCCCATCTAATCCACGGAGAGCACCAGCGTTCCGGCGCTCATTCGCAAAACCCATACTCCGCAGGGTGGCCAAATTGGATTCGAACACCGGGTCACTCCCCGCACTGGTTGGGAGCGGAGGAGGCGGGGAGGCCTGCCTATCTGATACTCGACGAAGGTTTGTGGCGGAAGACGCGGACCGAAGACCGAACCCAATGGGGCGGTTAGGTTTCGGGGGGAGGGGAGGCGGAGAGCCCTCGGGAGACCGGTCGTAGCCCGAATCATGACGGCTCGGGGGTTGTTGTGCTTTACCCTCCTCCAACGAACGGTATTGATACTTCTGGCGAATGAAGCGCTCCATGCAAGCGTCGGCCTCGTCGACATCGGTCGGAATGGGCGGCTTAACGTTCTTTGGGTTGTAGATTTTATTCATCAGGTTGTTTCCGTGGGATTTCATGTTCTATCACATTGCGTCTGGGGTCAGTTCTCAATCCCAGGTTTGGCCTGTCGCCGGGTAAGCACTTACATCCACCTGGTCCGCGGTCCAAGTATCCATGCTTAGAGACTTGACTTTCGAGATGTGAGTGCCGAGTTTCCGATGGATGGCGGCGCATCGCATGCAGAGGAAGAGGCCCATCTGGAGCGCATTCGATCAGTTTGACATTCTTCGGTTTTCTTCGATTGCAGGTTGGATACATACGTTCCAACTGGCCCATCCTGTCGACACAACACGTTAGCAATAGCCACCAAAACAGACCGGATCCAAGAAAAGACAAAATCGAAAGTGCAAACAACGCTCAAGACAGGACTGCGATTACCCACCTGGATTCATAGCCTGACAATCGGCACATCGGTCATTGCCAGGAACCGATCGAATGAGGTCCTGCAGAGCCCGCTCATTGCGGAACTGCTGGCGTTTGCTAATTCCCATCACCATGGTCGCAAGAAGTCGCGAATAACAATACGCTTAAACGGAGAAGTGCGAGGGTTCGCGAAGCCCGTCAGAGGCAAGAAAAGAATAGAGTGAGAGTGGGAAATGAGTGGTAGGTCGTAAGAGGGGGAAACGAAGAGAAAAAAATAAGGAACGAAAAAGGTCAGCAACGGGCCGATATTCCGAACGATCGGGAGACAAGTTTAAACAAAGCAGGCGAACATATTTACAGGGAAAGGATGGAGTAAAATAAAGTCCTGGAAGTAAGAGGGAGTATGAAGGTGGACAGGAAGAGGAGAGAGGAGGGGAAGAAGAGGAGAGATGGCAAAAGGAGGAGAGAGAGAGAGAGAGAGAGGGTGGCCAGGGATGGGATGATCTGGTGGATGATGCGGCGGGTGTGGGGAAGTAGAACCCAACTCCCTTTCTGTCCTGTACCTGAATCAAACCTATCCTATCTCTCTCCTGGATTGGTCTGAACCTACGGAAGAGGTTTATTAATACCTTGTTTTAATCTATTCTTCTGACAGTCTCCATTCCGGTTTGGTTTTGATTGCTCCGTCCTCATATCAGGCTTCCTCGTGCCGCGTGGATTTAGTCCTACGCCGGCGTCAGGGGCAAGTTTTTTAGCTCTGCACTGATCGTTGAGTCGTCATTGCCACTTGCTGACCTTGAGTACGGATTAGTCTGGAAACATATCCACTGAACAAGTCATTTTTTCTGCAAGTGGCAATGGTCCCTGAACCAGGACCCTGGAACGGTCTTCGAACTGAGGTCATTCCCACCACAGCATGGTTGAGACATCTACGGAATAAAGTATGGTTTCCACCTTACAAGACTGTCATTAGAACTACATTATCACACAACAGCCGTGAAGGTGAAAGAATGTATGAGTAGCAGGTGACTCCAACCACCACAGCGCCCCAAGTCTCCGAAGAAACCCAGGCACGGTGATAGAGCCTTATATGCCCCGGCACGTTATTCTAGTACGCCAATATGACCAACCATCCTATGAACTAGTCAACTAGAAGGAACTGGCGGTTGATTATGCGTTCGTGAGTTTTAAAAAGTGTGAAGAAGAAGAAGAAAAGAGAAAAAGAGAAAAAAAAAACAGAAGAAATAAAAGTCTGTCGCGGGGCACGTGATGGTGGGTCTGATTAGTCAGTTGGTTATACACCTTACTCAGCCTGTCAGAATGATCCGCGTAATCCTGCCATATTGTATAGGAGAGAGATATGAAATATGGAATAACTCATACACAACAGTAAGAATCATACATCTACCTGTGCTTTCTCACCGCTTTACTAAAGTAAGGACTCTGACAGTAGATAGGGCTACTGACAAAGCTCACAGCGTCTTCCTATCTTTTGTTATGTGGTCATGGCTATTGTCTCACAAGAGTATATATGGCTCATGAAGGAAGTGATCCTAGTCAGACATCACTTGATGATTCCAAAGAATAGCCCAACTACAGGTTTAGAATGAATGCTTTCTGTAAAGAAGAATCATGAAAACGATCGCAGATCAGGATATTGCTGTTGTTGTCAAATTGATGGAATGGCGAGGATTGTATACAGAATCAAAACTATGTGGTCAGCTGACACGTTGTGCCGGTCCCAGTCCTTGTCACGTTCTTTCCCTGTCATGTTCTTTCTTCTTTCCCACTTCCCTTCTACATTCTCTTCATGTCTTCTACAGCCCCAGGGAGCTGCACAAGAGGGATCAGGACAGGCTTCATGCCAAGCAGACACACCCTATACTTTCCTCGAAAACAAGAAGTGATACAGGGTGTATAGTTTGATATCTATGCCCTGTACTTCTTACACCAAGATGGCGCTACTCATCGCCCGACTTGACTGAGGCTTCACCCCGCCTTCTACATGCCACTTTTGCTACGCTATATCACTGAGCTAGATATGGTTCATTTGATTTTCTGTTGACTTAGAAACAACTGTGTTTATCTCACCGCCATGAAGAAGATGCACTATAGATCCCAGTCTATGATTCAGAGGGTCAGAGATATTCGAAGTGCGGCACTAATAGTTCTCATAAAGTGAAAACACTCGTTTCATGCTTTTTGAGCCGATGAAAACAGTAGGAGAGGAAGATGTGCGCTTGATGGCTAATCATCAAGAGGGAGGTATTGCTTGGAAGTCGATACCCGCCGATGAAAGACGTGAAGTGTCCAGCTGGCGACTTACTAGTGGGTGTGTATGACTCCTTGCAGGGAGGTGTTCATCGTGTATACTGATTTGGTTCTTAGGCATACATAAGAATGGGCACGAGCTGTCCATCGTGAACAGGCACACCAAATGCCTCACATGGATCAAGACTTGCAAAAAATAGAAACAGCATAGATCTTCACACATCATCGGTGCTCACATCAAGACCCTTTGTTGAAAGCACTCTTCGTAGCCACCAAGTCGGCAATGGCGGAAATAGTCACCCCGCCCATGATTTCAAACACAGCAACCGTCGCGCCAAACTCCTTTCCAAACCAGTTGCGCAGGTCAACTGCCATCAACGAGTCGACTCCATAGGCGGATAGCGGCTTGTTGGGCATTATATCCTCCGGCGGAATGGACATTGCGCGTGCCAGCTTGATGGCCAGAGCCTGGTGGACTAACTGGATGCGTTCTCCAGAGTCGGGGGACTGTCGGAAAAAGGCGACAATCTCTGCTGCCTTGTCTTGTGTCTTGCTACCTTGTCCACTAGAAGCGTGGCTCGTGGGGAGGTAAGAGAATGCAGCGAATAAGGGCCGGTCAAGCAGCGCAGGGGGGCTTCGACCCTGCGCGAGGATATCGGCTGGTGTACGCAATCCAATCAAGACCTGGGGGCTTGGCTTCACCGACCGGGGGCGAGTCGGGTTGCAATGAACGCTCAACAGGGCGAGAAGATCGGTACTGTCTATCGGGTTCATGTCATCGGCTGCCTGTCGCTGACGCTGGTAGGCCCCAGTCTCGGCGATGATCCCGATATTACGCATCCAGCCAATGTCGATAGAGAGCCCCTCTTGGCCCTGGGAAACGCGGTACCGGGCCAGAGCATCTTGGAATGCGCAGCCGCCGGCGTAGTTTGAACTGGCCATCTGACCGACTATGCCGGCGAGGGAAGAGAGAAGGATGAAAAAGTCCAAATCGCTAGGGAGCAAGCGGTGCAGGTTCCATGAGGTCTGCACTTTCGATTTCATTGTCAAGTCCCACTTGGCAAAGGTCATGTTTTGCTGGAAGACGCCATCTTGCAGGACCATTGCCGCATTGATGCAACCCTTGATGGGTGGCATGACTCGCGCGCACTCAACTAGCATGTCGGAGAAGCTAGTCTCGCATGATACATCGCATCGGGGAGCGTAAACAGTTACGCCACGCTTCGTCAGTTGAGCCAGCACGGAGGCTGCGGCTTTCGATGTCGCGCCTGATCGAGAAGGGACAATCAAGTGCTTGGCTCCCCGGTCGGCCATCCATTGCATTATGGCGCGACCAAGTCCACCAGATCCTCCCGCAATCAAATATGATGCCTGGCTATCGAACACCCACTGTGGCCTCTTTTTAATGTATTGCTACACGCGCTCGTTATCAGAATAAGGGACTTTCAGGAGTCGGTGCATACTAGGGACGGATAACCTACCAGGACAGCATCTTCAGGCCTCGCGGTAATCACGACGCGACCAATTGTCTCCTTCCCTTGCAGTTGCTTGAAAGCATCTTCGACCTGTGATACGCTGTAGGTCAACAGCGGCTGCGGGTGCTTGATCTCGCCTTCTTCCAATAACTGGGTAGCCGAAGTCAGCAGTCTACCTAGCGCTTTCTGCCGGAGCTTCGCCGGATCAACGATTGAGAATGTAATATTCCTTGCCAGCACTTCGATGGGTAAAGCGACACCAGCCGCGACGTTGGCACGGCTAATCTCGATAAAGTGCCCACCTTGGGTCAGACATTTGCAGGATGCCCGCAGCATATGCTCCCCAACCAGGGAATTTATGATAACATCTACCCCGTCCCCCTGCGTCACGCGCATCACATCTGCTGCAAATGAGGTGTCTTGGCTCTGGAAAATGCAGTCGGCAGGTATACCAAGAATGTTAACAAGGAAGTCTCTCCCTTCGGAAGACTCGGTCGTGGCATAGACATGAGCGCCTTTCTTTTGGGCAATGCGGGTGGCAATCTGTCCCACGCTATTGGCAGCCAAATGTATGAGAACCTTGTCCCCTTCTTCTAGCCTGGCAATGTCAACCAAGGCATGGTAGGCTGTTACCCCGGGCCGCAAGCTCGATGTGGCAGCCTCAATGGACAAGCCATCAGGTATCCGAATCACACCCGCCTCATGTGCACGCATATACTTGCGCATTTGACCCGCACCGGACATAAATACCCGATCGCCCTGCTGGACCGACGTCTTGCAATTGCTACCCACCCGCGTCACTACTCCCGCACAGTCGCCTGCTAGTAGCTCACTGTGGGCACTTGCTCGACCGGTCGTGGAGCCAACATCCAATTCGCTTAATGCCCAAGCTTTAGCTTCGATCTCAATCTCATTGGCACTAAAGGCTGTCTCGTGTGTATCATCCCGCACGAAACGGACCGAGTCGGGGGCGCCCGGGGTACCCACGGAGAGCTGTAAAGCGTCTCCTTCAACCCATGGCTTGCGCTCCAGTTTTGGAGAGAGGAGGGGCTGGAGAATATCATTGCCAGCCACGTCCTCGACAGCCCGGCCTGTCAAGAGAAGTCCATCGCGCGCTATGTATTCCAGCTCTTTGGATGGGATAGATCCAAATGTAGCCTCGAACGCTTTGGCAATGAGCTGCGCACATGCCGCAGTATGCGTCTCGCCTTCGATGGCCACAGTCACAATGTGGCTACCAGCCTGTTCGGCGCGAATTGAACGCAAGAAGCCCTGAGCAATGCCGCGGTCGGGATAGTTCACGTCTCCTGTGGCCGCAGCCGTTACCCATACTAGTTTGGCCGCATGCTGGGTCAACTGTCGCAGAGTCGCGAAGTCGTTCTCTGATAGGGTGGAGAGTAGGGGTTTGCAAACTTCGGTCAGACAAACGACAATGTCGTCCTTGGTCAGTTCGGCCAGCTTATCGCGGAATTCCACCGTTGAGAATCCATAGACAGCTGCGGGCAGAATTCTCTGTAGAACTAGATGGTTCTGCACAGATTCTGCAAGCTGTAACTGCTGGCTCAACTGGTCTTCATCCACCACGAAGACAAGGTTACCTGATCCCAAATCTGGTTCACTTACGCTCGGTGCTTGTTCTACGGCCGTGCTGAGGATAATGCTCATGAGGTGACATTCGTCACGCTGGTAATCTCGGATCACTAGGTCATTTCCAGAGAAGCCGTTATTGCGCAGGCAGTGGTCCCACAGCGGCTCAGATATAGCCGGGGAATGGGGTCGCCACTTCTCACGAGCGACCCACCATCCAGGAACCAAGCCGGCCATGAAGTTTGTCATGATATCTTCGGGCTTGGTGGTCTCGAGAAGCACCAGGCGGCCACCCGGCTTGAGAGATTTGCGAAGGTTTCTGATCGCAGCCTCGAGGTCCGGTGTAGCGTGGAGCACACTGGCGACAATGATCATGTCGTAGGAAGCTGGTTCGAATCCCTGGCTCTCCACCGCCTGATCCATGTCAAAGGTCTTGAAGACCAGGCGCCCCTGGGTCTGCAAATGAGGCCAGCGGCTGCTCGCTCGCTCCAGGAACATAGGCGATACATCGGTATAACTATATTCAGCAAAACTAGGTGCACCAGTCCGACGCTCACGCTCTTCTAATGCCGCCAGAACATGTCCCGTCATCCCCCCTGTGCCAGCACCGACCTCGAGGATGCGCATGGCCGGATTTTCATGCGAAGCCCAATCAAAAAGTCTGGTAAGTCGACCGTCATTACACATGTTTTCAAAGAGAGCGTTATAGAAGATGTCAGCCAGGTCGGATTGGAAGACGACTTCGAGAGGGTCGGCTTTCCCGGCTAGGATCTCCGGCAGCTTTCTCGCACATGTCGTATACAACTTCCAGTCTGGAAGTACAGCGTCGCACTCTTGCAATAGAGACTCAATCGTTGCATCATTCATGGCTACTGCTTCTGATACTGTTGAAGATGGCAGCCTACCGACATAATGGCCGAGCCACTCGACGTGGCGGCGCAAGCTCTCAGGTACGACGGTACGATCCAGGCTTTTCAGGACCCGCACAGCGACGAGATCTAGTGTCGAGTATATTTTGGTGAAACTTGTCACCATTTCAGACTCATCCTTCCCCGTGTCAGCAGAGAACAACTGCGCCAGCTGATCGGGGCTAAGCAGGCTGAGCTGCGGCTTCCACTCAATGCTGTGCAGCAGCTTTTTGCTCTTTTCTTGGATGCTCTCCGATATTGTCGCTGTCACAGCCTGCTCCATGGCGCACAAAACCGTGCCATCGTCTGCAAGGGCATAGACGTGACCCGTCTCTCCATTTGCTGCGTTCTGTTCGCTGCTTGTAGTTGGATCAGACATTGCCAGCCATTGGATTGAGCCACTCGACGGATTTTTCCAACCCGTGGAAGCAAACCAGGCATTGACAAGGCGAATCGGGATATTTACCGATGCTTTCTGACCAGCGCTTGCTCGAAGAACATGGAAGGCCTGGTCCAGCACTGCTGGATGGACTAAGCTAGTTGTGTCGAGGCCTCCCTTGGTCACATCCGCACGGGCCAGAGCGGTTCCTCGGCCGTCCCAGCGGAAGTCCTGCAGCAGTTGGAACATCTCTCCGTACTGGAACCCGTGCTGGGTAGCCTCGTTATAGAATATCTGCGAGTCAAGCGGCCGGTTGCAGATTTCAGACGCTTTCTTGTACTGATTCCGCACGTCTTCATCGGCAAGAAACCTCTGCCTCGCGCTGTTATCAGACATCGACTCCGATTCCACCTCGATGAGCACGTTACAGCACTCTGTCCATTGGCCCTGTGAGTAGGAAAAGATGGCGATATCGAACTGCGACTCTTTTTTCTGGTGCTCTCCCTTTATAGGCCGAAGACGGACCTGGGTCTCTGTGCGCTCTTCCCGGGTCTTCTGCACGATAATGGGGCTGATGAAATCGGCCCTTTTAACGAGATAGCCCCGCACATTTTGGTCACGGGGTATCATTTCCTGGGTGGCTTCGATGGCCATCAGTAGCATTCCCGCCGCAGGGAGAAGCGCTTTATCCGTTATCTGAGCTGAAGTTAGTGCAGAGTTCAAATTCTGCTATATTCTATCCCAACAGGGACACGTACCATGTGGTGCTTGGTCCATGGTAGGGATTCGACGCTCAGAAAATTCCTCCACCGGGGCTCCAGCGGATTCCAATCCGACGCACGCACTCCAAGGATTTCCCCTTTCACAGTACCGCGCAGCCGAAAGTCTCGGCTGGTGCGCGATTCAGCCCAATAGTGGTTCGATCGATCGAAAGGGTACTCGGGACAGTCGACGAGGAAAGGGGGCTTTATGTCAGCTAATTGTTGATTGACTGCCGGGATGGAAACAGCATGGCCGAGGCAGAAGAGCCGACCCACGAGCCCCAGGGCTGTCTGGATTGCTGACTGACCCCGCTGGAGTATGCTTTCATAGCGGACTTGCGTCTTGCGGTTGTGTGCCTGTTGAACCGTGTCATTCACCGGCCGACGTAGCGCCGGATGGGGACCAATCTCCACCAGATCGGTGATACTTCCCAGGCCAACTTTGAGCGTTGAGGACTCTTGTGTGAGGACCTGGATGGCGTCCGAAAATCGGACTGGCGACACGAGGTTATCAACCCAGTACTGCGCGGTTTTCAACGTAGCTGGGCGGATAGCCTTCCCAGACACGGACGAGACCATCGGAATGAGAGCCGCTGCTTTGACCTTTCGGGGATCCGCACCCTCGAGACCATCAAGCAGCGAATAATATTCATCAGCAATGGCGCGCATCTGGGAAGAATGGTATGCGACTCCAGTCTTGAGCTTTTGTGCAAACACGCCGTCTTTGTCAGCCTGCGTTTTTATGGCATCGATCGCCGATTCGGGACCTGAAAGCGTGCAATTCTGAGGACTGTTGATGCAGGCCACCGTTACATGGCTATTTCTGGCTTCTTCGATGCTGTTGAGGTATTCTGGCACTTGTCCTTCCGCGACATTGATTGATAACATAGCACCCGCTGGAGTAGAGCTGTCGGCTCTCAGCTTTCCTGTCAGCTGTCCTCGGAAATACGCGACTTTGCATGCTGATGATAAGGACAAAGCGCCCAAGGTATATCTGTTTAGGACATTGTTAACAACAGTCTGCCATATTCTGTGAAGTGACAAGGGCTACATACGCGGCAGCAATTTCACCGGACGAATGACCAACAACTGCCTTCGGGGTGATACCGAAGCTTTCCAGAAGCTCCACCAGCGCGATCTGGACGGCTGTCGATAAGGGCTGGCTGTATTGAGGCTCGTTGATATGCTTCCCATGTCGAAGTTCATCTAGGTAATCAATCAGTCATAAGCTCCCAATGACTGCCTAGCTGGCTGCACCCAGTTCACCTACCTAAGAGCGACCAATCGCATCCCAAACTGTGATAAATGGAGTCAATATGTCTCAGCGTCTGCAGGAAAACAGGGTACTGTATCAAATCCCAGCCCATACCCAGGTACTGGGCTCCCTGGCCGGTAAAGACGAAGGCAAGGCCAGCGTCGGCCGAGCTTCGAATTGCTTTTACCGAGGAGAGAACCTCCTCTCCTTGGGTATCCGACGCACTGACTATCTCGCAAGCTCTCCATAGCATTTGGCTTCGACGCGCAGCCAACGTAAAAGCTAGACGATCGAGCTTGATAGGATCACCGCGGATGTTCTCTTTGCAGAAGGTCGCGTGGATGTCGACCGTGCGCTTAACCGCTTTCTCATCGGCAGCGGCCCATACCAACAATCGCGGGAGGCTAACGGCGGAGTTCAATGGTGCAGTATAGCCAGATGTATGCGAAGCCGTCCCGTTCTCGGAACTCTTGTCGAGAAAACCATTCCCATTCACCTGAACCGCGTCGCGAATGGGACCCTCTTTGAGCGCAGGGGTAGAGCCGTTGGTGTACGCCGTGCCATTGCCATGAGCATGGCCATTTGCTCGACTATCCCCGTTCATCGTAGTAGTTATCTCTCCGTGAGTCGTACTCCCACTCGAAGAAGCCGTGCAATGGTTACCATCTAGGCCATTCTCTTGCATGTAGTGGAGAGCATCGTCGAGGATAACGTGCGTGTTGGATCCTCCAAACCCGAATGAGTTTACTGATATCCGGCGCAGACCCTCTGTCGGCCAGGGAACGCTGTGCATTGGGACCTATGGATGTGGCCTCAGCTTGGTGAACCCAAGTTCCGTTTATGGTCAAATACATACCTCGGTGTGGTAGAACTCGGTGTCAATAGCGGGGTTCACCTTCTCGCACAGAGCATTTTGTGGAATGATTCCTTTTTCAAGGATCACTAGACAAAAATGTCAGTACCCAGAAGGTCCGAATGAAACAATGGATGGCCTACATATTGATTTGATTATACTTGCCATGGCGCTTGCGCCTTCGAGATGGCCGATGTTCGCTTTTACGGAGCCACTAAGGCAGTATGAGTACGGCTTCGATCACCTATACGAACAAGTGAATAGAACCTACACATAAAGCGGCTCCTGAGATGATCGGTATTTTCTGAAAACCCGGCCGATGGCTCTCATCTCGATGGGATCGCCCACCAGGGTTCCGGTTCCTAGCGCCGCAGCAGTTAGCAGAGCCGAGACCCATACGCAAGTCCGTCTTCTTACCATGTGCCTCGACGTAGCGCGTCTCGTTGAGGGGAAGATTGGCTTTCTTATACACATGGCGGATCAACTCCTCTTGTGACTTGGCGCTTGGCTGTGTGAGTACTGCAGTGTGACCGTCCTGGTTTGATCCTGTTGAGCGAATAACAGCTCGAATCATATCTCCATTTTGAACTGCAGCAGCAACAGGCTTGAGGATCAGCGCCAGAACGCCTTCTCCTCTAGCGTACCCGTTTGCGCGGTGGTCAAAGCTATAGCAGAGGCTGTCCGGGGAGAGAAAGCCCTGGCTCGACAGCATTTGGAAAATGGTCGGATCGATGAGCAGATTGGATCCGGTAACGATGGCCTTCTAGCCGTTAGATAATGGCTCAAAGGGAAGTGAACACAGGAAAGTATCAAATCAAGACTATCACTATGGAAGGGAAAGCTTACACACGAGGCGTCGCCGCTCTCTAAGGTCTTACAAGCCATGTCCACGGCTGTCAAGCTTCCGGAGCAGGCGGTATTTACATGGACACTGGGCCCGCGCAGGTCAAAGAACCAGCTGATTCGATTGGGGATGATGCATGCGACGGAGCTGCCGGTGACCGCTGTACGTTCGGCATTCTCCGGGTCCATGGCTACCATGCGCGAGTAGTCCTCTAGCATGGACGCCGAAAAGACGGCGGTGCGCGAGCCTTTGAGGGACTCGGCAGGCATTCCAGCTATATAACGCATGGTTAATTGATGATGCTCCTCGGCGGTGACTTGTCTGGCTAGACCGCCGTGAGGGTTGCTTCTCACCCTTTTCCAAAGCTCGGTACGACGTCTCCAATGTCCATCGCTGCATGGGATCCATGGACGCCGCCTCCTCTCTCGTGACCGAGAAGAACGGCGCATCGAATGCGCCTATGTCCTCATTGATGAAGTGCCCGCCTTGCGAGGGAAACTACCACGATGATGAGCAGCCGTTCAAAGTAATCTTCAAGGGATATCAACGCGCCTTTACCTTTTTGTGTGTACTATTCACGAAGGAGTCCGCATTGATCCGGGACTCCGGAAAGTCGGACCTCAGATTCCGTCCATTCTCGAGGACCTCCCAGAAAGCAACATCGTCATCCACATCTTGTGGGAGCTTGAAGGCGTATCCGACAATGGCGATATCGTGTGCCGCGGGCCGGCCGCCATCGGTGAAGTCCAACGGGGCGCGCATGATGCAAGGCTATGGATGTCAGAAGAAATGACAACTTGAGAGCGCGAAAAAGAGGGCCATTTACGGTTTTCAATGGCAGCCAGCCAAGCAATGACCCCAAATCAATAAATAAAATCAATCAACCTTCCTCTCACCCGCTATCCTCGGCGGTCGGCGCATTGGCGGTATCCGGCGTATTACGGACCAGAGTTCGTGGCGAAGAGCTCGTTGGAGTTGGAGGTCTCGAGCCTCCCAGACGGCTAGGTAGTATGGATGATTTGCTAGCCTCGTCTTCATAAGGTTCAGCAGGCTCTTCTTTGGTCCAAGTGGGTATCTAGTTGGAGGCTGTTGGAGAGACAAGGATCGGTTATTTGGGACCAGATACCGCCTCAATGGCCCAGTGGATAAAGGATCATGATTCTATGGTTCTCATATCAAGAGATACTACGTCGCGGTGGGGTTTCCTAGCATATTCTGAAACACGAGGCACTGCTTTGGTGCTGATGCTGATGGAGCCTGGTCTGTGGTGGTTTGCGGTTGGTCTGGTACCGACAGGCTGAAGAACGCGTTTCAATTATATCGGCAGGTTGTTCTGCAGCACAGGCCACTGAATGACAGGAGGGTCAAACGGATTATAGCATCGCAGCCAAATACCTGTTTGGTATGTTGCGGTGTTGACTGCATGGCATTGGTGCCATACGGCCGACACAAGCTCCTGCATTGTTATTGCACTTCTCTTCCTACTTTTTGGCAAGAGCAAAATCAGCACAAGTCTACTCCGGAGATAAGACAGGACGGCCCCTCCCATCCTAACCATTCGGACGGAACCAGGCCACTCCAATGGAATCGATCAATCCTTCCCAGAAAGTTAGTGTTCAAACCTAAAGGCGAGTTCTACCTGCCCACGATACCATGCCGGTAAGCACGATAATACTACGGAGTATGATATTTTACTGAAATAATCATGCATATTGATAGTCCGTCAGCAAGGATTACTAGTGTTGTTAGGGGCACTAATCACTGCCCCGATCCGGCAGTGGATTTAACCTAACCGGGGATGGAATCCTTCCCGTCCCAGTCTGGGAATGGCCTCAGCCCCGTCAGCCGAATCTGGCTGTCTAGGTTTTTCTTCGGGATGTCATAAGGTTTGAATTCTATTATTATACTGGGATATTGACGTGTGGGTAACAGAAGGACAGACTATTGAGTTAGGTTCTACTATGAATGGGATATGTTTTGATTAACTTGCGTTTCGCCTGATCGTGGCTCTCCCCCAACAGTTCATACTCGATGGAAATAAGATCCAGTTCTTCAATGATTCTGCAGATTCTGCACGGAAAATTAAAAAGGAAAGGAATAACCGAAAGAAGAGAGAGAGAGAGAGAAAAAATAACAACGCAAAACTAATCCAACATCGGACGATGATCTGACAACTGTGGATGACACTAACCGGGAATCTGATCCTGCAGGATCCATCAACGTTTCAGATAGATTCTCCGATCCTCGCAAGACTGGTCAAGATGGCCTGGTCAACCACAGCCGGACCGCAACGGTGGACTGACTCCACCGGGTCGGGCTGGGCCGACGACCCATGTGAAGATATCGATTTATCGTACTGCACCAGTAGACCGACCATACAATCCCATACTACCAACTAATCCACCACCCTCGCAATAGTCCGCTCAATAGCCAGCAAACACGGCCCCAATCCCTCCTCGGAGCCACTCGACCCAGGCACACGGTGCCCCAAGCGAGAGTCGACCTGGACAACCTCGCGTACATCCTCATCAAAAATCCGGACCAACGCGCGCTGGGCATCCACCACGCCCGTCCGGGCCCACAAGCCCGCCAAGGGCGACCGATCCCGCAGACGCTCGAGGCCCTCCTCGACGACAATCGCAACAGGAACACGCAGCAGCACGCCGTCCACGCCGGGGTCCACGCACCGCATCTCGGCGGCATCCGCATGCGCATCCGCATCCCCCACCCCGTCCGGATCCCACGGGGCCGCGGCGCTGAACAAGATTGCGCACTTGAAGTGCGCAAACGGCCGTCTTGCGTCTTCGAGCAGCAGGGCAGTGGCGACAATGGCCCCCTCCGAGAACCCCATCAGGCCGTCAAAGGGGCCCGCGCCCCGCACGTACTCCACCAGGCTGGACAGGACGGCGCTGTAGTTGGCGGGCTCGTCAGCGGTGGAGGAGGCGGAGGGGATGTAGCCGTAGGTTTGGTCCGTGATGGCGGCGGCAGCATCTATCCATATTCCATGTTGAGTTAGACAAGGTAGTACGGAGTAGAAGGGAAATAAAAAACTCAAAGATATTGGGAAAAGAAGGGGGAATGAAACGTACCGTCGCTTGGCTCCGTTGGGATCGTCCCATCGACGAATACAAACTCGTGATCCTCGAGCTCCTCGCGGATTCTCGCTATAATAGAGTTAACAATGTACCATATCATAAACTCAATAATCATAACATAATAGTACTGTAGTATAGCATACTATAGTAGAAGGTAATATAGAAGACGGCACAAAAAGGGAAGTCTCACCGGTCTGCAATTCAAAAATCTATCCGTACGCACGCCGACTGTGATTAGGGCTTGGGTAGTGGGTGGAGTAGAGATTTGGTAGGATCGACCTACATACCTTGGCGCATGAGCCCCGGCCGTGAAGGCAGAGGAATCTCATGTTATTCTTATTGATTGCAATTGTCTTCTTTCTCGTGAGTTGGTTGGAATGAGATGGGTTGTTGGGTTTAAGTGGCGTTCCTCGACCGTTTTTAATATACCGCAATAGTCTAATAATGATAATAATATTGATAATGCTGATAATAATATAATAAAAACAAAACCTCCATGCAGCAGATGATAATTACAATAGTACCCACCAGGGTATTGAACACTTTTCTCCACGTCGCTCCAGCTAACCATCGAGTATCTCACCCACTCCACTTCCTTCCCCCCCCCCAGCCTCCTCTCCTACGGATACATCATCCTATGATTGCGATCCCTATCCACAGCATTCGCATCCTCCGTAACCGTAATCTTCGTCGTGCGCATAATACCCGGATTATACGCATCCCCCTGCAAATGCTCCGTACTCTCACTGGACTTCAGATTATCCAACTTATAGTAAGCGTTAGCGGCCGTGGAGCCCGCAATGCGGGAGCCATTAACGGAGGAGTTGCCCGTGCCGTAGGTCTTGAACTTGCGCTGGTCGTCGGTAGCGCCGGTGGTGGAGGCGCCGCGCATGCCGAAGACGCGGGCGATTTTCTTGCTGACGCCTGTTTCTTTGAGGATCTTGGGGATGCAGGGGAGGCAGACGACGAAGAAGCCGCAGGTCATTTCGGCGGTGGCCCAGAAGACGAGCGGGGGGAGGGTCCAGACTGCGTCTGCGGCGCGGCCGTGCGTGATTGTTGTGGAGAGGCGGAAGGCGGCCGAGACGCAGGCCCTGTTGTTATTTAGATTAGTTGGGGTAGATAGGGGAGGGAAGTGGAGGAGGAACAGGAACTAACAGGAGACCGAGGCCGAAAATGACAGACACTCCCAGCCTCTTGGACCAGGACATCTTCAGAGTCCAGATGACCTGCTGCGGGAGGAGGAGGATGGCGACGTCGGAGATGAGCTGGATGCTGGCGGAGGCGACTTGCAGCTTGTACAGGTCGAAGCACTTGTCCGGGTTCTGGATGGTGAAGTCCCAGATGGCCGAGTGGGGGATGCACTGCAGGTTGAGGGAGACGGTGATGGCGATGCCGGAGCCGACCTGGACGAAGATGATGGCCATGCATCCCCACCAGAAGAAGCCTTCGGAGCGGTGGCCGCGGGGGGCGAACATGCGACACCATTCGGTGAGGATGGCGACTTTGAGGAGGGGGAGGACGATGGTGTAGAAGACGCCGAAGAGGAAGATGTACTGGGGGGATTAGTATCTATCTTTCCCCGTTTATTGATATATGGATCCAGAAAGAGGGAAACTCACGTAAGTCGTGGGAATCATATCCTTTAACCGCACATTCCACTGGTGAACAAAGTATCCAGGGTACTCGATGAAGCGGAAAGTGGCATATATGGCGCCCCAGTAGCAGCCCTATCCTGTCTATCAGCGCTGCTCACTCGTCCTCTCCAGGTAGGAACACTCACAAAAGCACAGAGTACCAGACCCTCTTCCAGCTGAACCTTCCTCAACAACCACACCCGAGCATAAGCACGCATGAGGAAACACAACGTGGCGACCACCGCGCAGGCCGTGAGGACACCGGTCGCGAGAGCATTCTCATTCGGTGGATTGTCGAAATTCGGCTTCACCCCGGGAGGGGGGGCCAGGGCAGGTCCTTCGAGATCCATTCTGTATATGGCAAACGGCCCAGATCGTACGGAAAGGGAAAGGAAAGAAAAAGAAGGTTTTCCCCGAGTTCTGTGGAGATATCAAGAAGTCTCTTATAGAACGAATACCTGTAGAGAAGGATGTGGTGAGAAAGGAGGAGCCCTAATCGGACAATTGGGATCTACAAGACAAGGAAGAGGCTACGGGATGGCTGAGCAGGGTTGTGGACGTGAAACACGAGCAGCTTCACGCTACAGACGGAGTGTCGCCGACTAGGATGGGGATATGGAAGCTGAGGGGAAGATCTGTTGATTCGATAGTTGGTAGGTAGGAAGGGTATGGCTCATTCTTACTATACTACTGTGGTCTGCAGTATAGATTCTATTCTTCATGGTAAGAACCATAAACAAATGAGTCGCAGACACCTGATTCAGCCATATCAGACTGTCTTATAGAAGATCTCTTAACATAATATCATATCGAGTCTATTCCCGTGAGTATTCACAACTATATGGTGATTATACTATATCATATTACACATGAATATAGACTCCAACGGACACTAACCTCACCAACCACTGGGATCGTGTCCGTGGAATCCAAGTCCCATTCCCTCGCATGACACTCCAGGTAGTGCACGGTTAGCGTTCTCATCCATCCTATCGAGATGAAGCCCTGCGGACCCGGTCCCTAAACCGGTTCTGGGAAGGATCACATCCCCGTCGAACCCATGTCCACCCGGAGATTGCTGCTTAACTGGTGGAGCCTTCAACTTCCCTGTAGTCGCCGACACCCTGTGATCCTGTTGACACTACCGACGCTCCCGACTTCCGGTGCATCTGCCCAAAACGGGCAACAGACACGGCCGGCTAGGATCCGCCCCTATTATCGTGCTTGGCTGTATCTCACGGAGAAGGGGAGAGAGGTCAGCGGGAGAATACGGCATGAAGCTCCCCCGTACCTGCAGCCATAAAGCCTAGTTCGACAAACATCTCGGCCGTAGGCCATATTCTTCTGTCTTTCCATATCTCCCTTCCATCCGGTCAACATCGCCATGCCCAAGAAAGAAGTCTATCAGCTCCATCCCCTCGGGTGGGAGAATGATCCCCAGGAGGAGCGGTTCAAGGTCTCCACCCTGGACTACCTGACGGCCTGCACCTACAACAACTATGCCGTCTACTTCCGGTTGAGCGACGCCGACAAGCCCCGGGTCGTCGAGATCCTCAAAGCCGGTCTCGAGCGCACCCTCAGCCAGACGCGCCACCTGTGCGGCATCATCGAGAAGGACGAAGAAGGCGGCCACTCCTTCGTCAAGAAACAGGACAGCACCGTCCGCTTCGAGGTCCAATGGCTAGACGCGCCAGAGGAAAAACACATCTCGTTCGACGAGATCGAACAGGCCAACTTCAGCGCCGTCATCATGGGCGACCTCAACACCTGGAGCGTGCCGCCCATGACCTACGGCGAGAAGGCCGAGGCCCACCCGGACAACCGCCCTGTCGCAGCCGCCTACAAGGCCAACTTCGTCCGCGGCGGACTGGTCTTCATCATGCATAGCCACCACTACGCCAACGACGTGATGGGCTGGTCGGGTCTGACCCACCAGCTGGCCGAGAACTGCTACGCCATCGTCAACCAGACGCCCTTCCCCGCGTGGGATCCCGCCTGTCTCGACCTCTCCCGACTCACCAAGCCCCAAGTCCCCGAGGCGTCCATGATCGACGGGCCTCCCGCCCCCCAGCGTCACCCAGACCATACCGTGTCGGAGTCGCTCTTCTTCCACCTGCCCAAGAGCAAAGCCGCTGAGCTGAAGAAGCTCGCCACTCCGGCTCCTCCTCCCAGCGCCCCAACCTCCCCAATGGACACCGTCACAGGCTTCCTCCGGCGGATACTCTGCCGCCCCGCCCCTCCACCCGCCCCCACAACCACCCCGGACGTCCCCTGGATCTCCACCTACGACGCCTTCACAGCCTTCATCTGGCGCACCGTGACCCGCGTCCGAGCACCCACCTTCAAACCCGACCTGTCCAAGCCCCTCTTCTGGGCCGAAGCAGTCGACATGCGCCGCCGCTTCCACAGCCCCAAGGTCGCGCCCCGCATCCAACACAACGTCATGTCCGCCGCGCTGTCCATCAACGCGCCCGTGCCCGCCCCAACAGCCGGCCAAGTCATCTCCGAATGGCCCCTCTCCCGCCTGGCAGGCTACGTCCGGCAACTCACAAACAGCACGACGCAAGAAGCGCTCGACGAAGCGCTCTCCACAGTCGCCACCGTGCGCGACAAAACCGCGCTCAACATCCGCGCGGACTCCCACCCGCCCCTCTCAATCCTGTTCACCGACCACCGCGACGCGCGCATCACGGCCACGAACTTCGGGTTCGCGACCCCGGTGACGTACCGCCATCTGTTGGATGTGGTCAGCGCGGGTGTGTTTATCATCTATCCGCCGCGGGATGAGAAGCCGGGGTCGGATGAGGGGCCGGAGTTCACGATTGCGTTTGAGAGGGAGCTGAAGCATTTGTTGTTGGAGGATGAGGAGTGGAATAAGTATTTTGAGTTTAGGGGGGTGGATGCTGTTTATGCTGCTCGTGCTTAGCTGCATTCACTGGGAGGGTTTAGTATAGTATAGTATAGTGTAATCGATATCATAATCCTTATCCTCATGTTCATATTATCAACATATCTCAATCACCAATTAAATGCAGTAGAAAAAGAAAGCTACCAAACCTTCCAATAAATCCTCTGAAACTTCAACTCCACAATCATCCACTCCCCACCCACAACCCTCCACGTCTCATAATAATGCCCGCCCCCAGTCCCCGCCCATCCCCCAGTGACCTCCTTCGACGCAGCCTGATACACCACTCCCCAGATAGTCTTCACCTCTTCTCCCCCATTACCCTCCCCCTCCCCGTCCCCGTCAGGAGAAGAAGACTTGGTCATCTCCATCTCCCCATCCCCAGACAAAACATGCATAGTCTGCTGCGTTTCGAACGCCTTCGCGAAAAACGCAACGAAGTCATCGCGGGAGGCAAATGAGAAGGCTGCTCCGCCTTCGGTGATGACTTGGTCGTTGGCGTCGACGAAGGTGGCAAGCAGGTTGGGGGCGAGGATGGTGGACATCAGGTGCCATTGGTTTGTGTCTGCGTAGCGGCAGTATTGGTGTTTTTTGGTGCGGATTGAGTGGGTTATCTCTGTTGGGAACATCTTCGTCTTTTGTGCTGTTGTTCTTTATTTGTCTGGTGGGTGGTGGGTAGGGAGGGAGGGTGTGGATAGTATGTAGGTTGGAGGTAGTGAGTAGAAGACTTTATAATGGAGCATGTACTCCGTAGGTGGGTTGGGTATGGGGGTATTAATACTGTCGTAGAGTTAGCACTACACTCGTAGCTGAATCTTAAGTTAGTCTACTCATTCTATGACTTGAATTGTTTCATCAGTCTGGTTCTATCGTGACATTCTACACTTATTCACTAGACTACTAGTATAGTGTACCTCGGATCCTTCTTTACATCCCCGGCCATTCACATCAATCATTCTCTTTAGTATACTTTATAGGTTTTCTTATATATACAATACAATGAGTATAGTGGATATAATATAGTTACCTACAATAATAGTAGATAGTAAATAGTATCTGATTATCAATTGATATAGATGCTGTCGGCGTACCACTTGTTGGTTTACTGTCTAACAGCTTATCAATTAATATATGACTGCTGTAGATATAACCCTTCTGGGTCTACCTACTTCTATAATATATCTGTAGAAGTGAATTGGATTATAGATTAACAAGTGATAATCATAGAGTAACCTGACTCAAGCAGATACTGTTATGTATGGGTGTGGAGTGACACCTCAGGCATACAGGCATACTAAGGCATAAATCAGGAATCCACACTAATGGCTAGCGCATCACATGACGGCCAAGCGAGCATCACATGACCTGGCGCTTGAGTTTTCTCTCCTTCTTTTCGCACATTCTCTCTTCTCTTCTCTTCCTTCACAACACTCATCTGAGATATTCAGACTGATTTGATGAGATCGGTCTGTTCTTTCTTCATCATGATGATACATACTACACATATACACCGTATCTAGTTGATCAGGTCAACAAATACGACTGACAGCACTACACAGAGGAATACAGCATGGACAAGGGAGACAGTTGAGAGGAGAATGAGGAAGAGGAGGAAAGGAAAAGGAAGAAGAACGATAAAACCCACATAGGCGGCGTCAGATCTGACAGTGATCTCGAGGCATACCTTTATTTTATCGTTCGTTCGTGGGAGATCGAAACCAACGGCTTTTAGCAGGGCTGCGTCTACTCCACCCTGGTGTTCGCTTTGATCGGACGGCAGGACTTTTTTACGACGGACATTCTATATAATCTTCTATTTATCTTCTATTTATCTTCTATTTTCTATCATAGTTATCTTGTATCTGTATGCTGTTTGCATTCTATTTTGAAGTACGGAGTAGTGCTCTACGGACACTCCGTCCTCCGTAACTGTCAATCGAAGTGGGCCGGAACCGGCCATAGAGAGAGCTCGAGTTAATAATCGGTATGATGGGTCGCATCCGGGGAGATACTCTACTAGGTAGCTCAGGATACTTGTTCAATAGGTATTCAACCCAAGAGAAAGACTGTTATTCATCCTTATGGGGTTCAACCATGGATGCAGTGATCACTCCACCTGAATACGAATCCGTGATCCAAGTAAAATGCGGAGTTGCTGAGTGAAAGACATTGTCTAGACTACGATTGGTGAAGCCGAGGTAACTGTAGTCTACCTTAATATTGTCCCTAGGAGGACAGCTAGAGTAAGATAGATAGAGACATCCATCCCTGCTTTCTCCCTTCCTCTCGCTTCCCCGGCTTTCTCCTTTTCTCTTCTCCGACTCTCCCCTTCCCCTCCATCTCTCTCTCTCTCTCCATCTCCATCTCCATCTTTACTCTACCCTTCCTCGTTCCACCCCCCATCTTCACTCTCCCCATCTATTCCTCCTTCATATCTGTCCACCATGGCAGCTAGATCCATCCCCCGCGCGTTCCTGCGCTCGGCTCGCCCGGCCATCCCCACGGCTCGCCTCGCCCTTCCCCACGGTCTCCGCGCGGTCTCTCGTCGTGGTTATGCCTCCTCCGGTCCCGAACAGGGCAAATCCTCCAACGCCCTGCTCTGGACCGGTGTCGCCGGTCTCGCCCTCGGCGGTGGTGCCTTCTACTTCCTCCGCGACACCACCGACCCCATCACCTCCGCCACCTTCCAGCCTCAACTCGCCGACTATCAGAAGGTGTACGATGCCGTGGCCGCTCGTCTGGCCTCCGAGACTGATTACGATGATGGGAGCTATGGTCCGGTGGGTTCTCCTTCCATCCTCCCGTCCGATAGACAGCCACGCAACTGATCAATTAACTAACGAACATGATAGGTCCTCGTCCGACTGGCCTGGCACGCCAGCGGCACCTATGACAAGGAGACCGGCACCGGCGGCAGCAACGGCGCCACCATGAGATTCGCGCCTGAATCCGACCACGGCGCCAACGCCGGCCTCAAGTACGCCCGCGACTTCCTCGAGCCCATCAAGGCCCAATTCCCCTGGATCAGCTACTCCGACCTGTGGACGCTGGCCGGCGCCTGCGCCGTGCAGGAGCTGGGCGGGCCCGCCATCCCGTGGCGCCCGGGCCGCCAGGACAAGGACGTCGCCGGGTGCACCCCCGACGGGCGTCTGCCCGACGGCGCCAAGGAGCAGAAGCACGTCCGCAGCGTCTTCGACCGCATGGGCTTCACGGACCAGGAGACGGTCGCGCTGATCGGGGCGCACTCGCTGGGCCGCGCGCACGCCGACCGCTCCGGCTTCGACGGGCCGTGGGACTTCAGCCCGACGGTCTTCACGAACGAGTTCTTCCGCCTGCTCTCCGAGGAGAAGTGGCAGCAGAAGAAGTGGAACGGACCCAAGCAGTTCACGGACAAGTCGACGCAGTCGCTGATGATGCTGCCGGCTGATCTGGCGCTCGTCAACGACAAGACGTTCAAGAAGTACGTCGAGATCTACGCCAACGACAGCGATACTTTCTTCCGGGATTTCTCCAATGCGTTTGTCAAGTTGCTGGAGCTGGGTGTGCCGTTTACCACCAAGGCGGATGATCGCATTGTGTTCAAGACGTCGGAATAGTTTGGTTGATTGGCTTTGATATCCTGATTAGATGAGATTGAATAAATGTAGATGTACTTTAGTTCTCAGTTTGGACATTACACTGTAGGGTTGATTAAAGCGTAGCCATGATAGGAGATTGAATAAAGCGTAGCTATATTGGAAAATATAATAGTGGTGTACAGTCCTCTGGAAACGAGGGGTGGCGGGACGTCGCAACTTCACCCACCCAGAACCACCTGATTTTGACTCAACACCACATTATTACAGCTACAGTCTACAGTCTACAACCACACCAGTGACCTCAGGACACAGCGGGAGAGCACACCAACATCTTTCTCTCTTCTCCTCCCTCGCCTTCCTCCTCCCTCCCTCTCGCCCACCTCTCTCGGCGCGATCGCAAACTTGAACCGAACCGATCGCGATCGCGAAAAAGACGACAGACCCAACGCCAGTCCCTCAAAAAGAAAAAGAAAAAGAGAGAAGAAAGAAAAGAAAATGACACAAACCCACACACACTACGAAATCCTCAACATCCCCTTCCCTACCTCCTCCTCGTCCAGCTCTACAACATTAACAAAACAACAACTCAAAACGGCCTACCACAAAGCTCTTCTCCAGCATCATCCTGACAAAACCTCTTCCACCTCCTCTCCCTCAACACCAACCTCAACCACAATAAACGCAACCACAAACTCCGATAGGAAACACACAATAGACGCCATAACAACAGCCTACAAAACCCTCTCCGACCCACGCCAACGCGCCGAATACGACACCCGGCTCCGCCTCGAGCGCAACACCCACAGCACCCAAACCAGCGGGCCCGACGCGCACTTCCACACAGGCCTAGAAGTCATCGACCTAGAAGATCTCCACTGCGAAGAAACAGACACAGAAACAGTATGGTATCGCGGCTGTCGGTGTGGAGATGAGCGGGGGTTCCTGGTGACGGAGGAGGATCTGGAGAGGGAGGTGGAGGGAGGAGAGGTTGTTGTTGGGTGTCGGGGTGTAGTCTTTATTTGAGGGTTTTGTTTGCTGTGGATGATTGATCTTTCTTATCTTTTTTTGAGTGTGAGTTGGGTGTTTGGCTGGTTGGTTATTTGGGTGATATGGTGTTGAGGCGACGCGGGCGTTGCTTCTACGTGGATGGTGGGTGGATTTGTAAATAGAGGATTTAGTATAGACATTGAATTAATATTAGACATACGATATATTGGTTGATATTGTGTTGGATTTGTATTCGTAGAGGTGTGCAAAAGTCTCATATGGTGGGTAGAATATATATAACCATACATATATAGCATACACACCTAGCTATTCAAGCTCTCTGAAACCAACATTAAAAATCCACGGCCTGTAAAGAACCAACAAAAGAATGAATACACCGTACAAACCATACTTTAACTATATAAAAAAAGACATTGATGGAATCTCACAGACATAAAGGCGGAGGAGGCAGACGGATGATGTAGTCGCTCTGACCAGCTAAGCAAACCAGTGACTCCTCCAGCTCTTCTTCCCATCAACCGGTACCTTCACCCCTCCAACCTTCAACAACAACCACCACCATACACCCACCACGATGTCATCCATCACACAGATCAGCTCGAAAGAGCAATTCAGCTCTCTGTTGACTTCGTCGAAGTTTGTTGTCGCTGATTGTATGTCTCTCTTCATTTTCTCCGCTGACTGTTGACCCCGCTACCCCTCTCACTACCTACACAACTCTTCCACTACAAGCACTACAAGCACTATGAATACACCTGCTAATAATATACAGTCCACGCAGACTGGTGCGGACCATGCAAAGCCATCGCCCCCGCCTACGACCAGCTCGCATCGCAGCTCTCCCGCCCCAACCGCATCACATTCACCAAGATCAACGTCGACGAGCAGCAAGAGATAGCCAAAGCGTATAGCGTTACTGCGTATGTCTCCTACCCTCCCCACAACCTACCTCTCCCATAGACACAGGAAAAAGGAAAGGAAAGCTAACAGAGGAAATAAAAGAATGCCCACCTTCATCATCTTCGAACGCGGCCGCCCCGTCTCCACCGTCCGCGGCGCAAACCCCCAACAACTCTCCCAAGCCGTCCAGAAACTTGCCTCGGAAGCAAGCAAGCCCGACGAAGGCGGCGCCAGCACAGACTCCATCGCCGGCGGAGTCGGCTGGCTGGGTGCGCCCGTGCCGCGCGGATACAGCGATATCACAGACCAGTATGATCCCAAGGGGCTGGAGCTGCTGAATCGGGACAGCGAGCATGCTGGGCCGCGGACGCTGCTGGAGCCGGGGAAGCCGTCTGCTTTGGGGGCTAAAGGGAAGGAGAATGCTGGGAAGACGCCCGACTGGGTGGAGAGCGATACGGACGAGCAGTTGATGCTGTACGTGCCGTTTCAGTCGACTGTCAAGGTGCATTCTCTACAGATTACGTCGTTGCCGGGGGTGCAGCAGGACGAGGACGAAGATGAGGATGAGACGCCGATGCGCCCCAAGACGATCCAGCTGTATGTCAACCGGTCGCATGTGCTCGGGTTCGACGAGGCGGAGGATATCCCTGCCGTGCAGACGGTGACGATCCAGCCTGGGGACTGGGACAAGACGACGGGGACGGCCAAGGTCGAGTTGCGGTTTGTCAAGTTCCAGAGCGTGACGTCGCTGGTGATGTTCTTCGAAGATGGGGATGGGGATGGGGAGAAGTTGCGGGTTGACCGGATTCGGATTCTGGGTGAAGCCGGGGATAAGAGGGAGATGGGCAAGTTGGAGAAGATTGGAGATGAGCAGGGAGAATAGATATTCTCGGCAGGCTATCTATCATACAATCAAGCATACAGTAACAATATCAATCAATCAATCAATCATATTCATCACACATAAAGTACTACAATTATATATATATATAAAGTCTATAAATAAGAATGTCCGATCCCAAACCAAAAGGTCTCATCCTTCAAAATCAGAAAGACCTATAAAGTAAGAACCGGCGTGCAATTTCATCCGTCTGTGACGCAACTGACACCTGAATAACATCACAGTTGGTATATCCTTTGACGGGGATAACCGATGTCCAGGCAACACGGGTGTATTGATAGCTGCGTCGCCGCACGAAGAAGAAAAGAAAAAAAAGTATCAAATTGCGGCCGGCTCGAGGAGAATTTATGTGGTTTTTGCTCGGGGTGGAAGAATGTTTGTTTCCGGGAGGTTAGTGCGGTTTGAAGCATTACATAAGCTGTTTACCGAGGGATTTTTTCTTCCCTTTTATGGTTGTTTTGTGGGAGTTGAGACTTTTGTTAGAATCATAGGCTGATGATGAGCTTGGATGTTATACATGATAGGAAGAGACTGATTCCTTATGGAACGTGATCTTAATACCGTCCGCTGAGGCCTTCTTGATTACTGAGTATTATTGTGTTTTTTGTGTTGTGTTGCGTGCTGCTGCTCTGGGCTTGGGAGCTCAGCTTCTTATTTCTGTGGTTTTGGAAGATATTCTCTATCTTTATTAGAGAGTAGTATGATAGCTAGATATATCATGAGAGTAATTCAGAGAGAATTTCAGAAAGAACATCGATCAAGAGTAACCACCGAAAGCAAAAGGAACCGTGAGCTGATCAATTGCCTTGATTCCATCAAACAATCACCCTACGAGAGCACCTACCTGTCGTGTAGGTAAGATACGCAGACGATACCGAGAAACTCGAATAAACTCGAATAAACTCAACTGGAACCAAACCAACACCATCTGTTACAGACCAAGATAATATCAACCACGGTCCCCAGCCCAGCTCAAACAAGGCCAGTCCAACAGGCCAGCCCAACAGGCCAGCCCAAACAAGGCAATGCAGGTAGGTACCTTGGTGATATGATAGCCCTGAATGTTATATTATACCCGAGTCAAGGAACGGAGTTCATGTCCGGTCCGTGTCCACCCATCCCGGCGAGTAATCGGAGCAAGCGAGACACCGTGCAGCCGAGTTTTTCTTTTTGTTTGGCGCGATCTCGGAGTCATCATCATCTAATCTTACTAGTAGTATCATACTACGAGTATCAGAATGAAGCGGCAAAGCTGGTCACCAGCTGACCAGAGCGCAGTCCACTCCGAACCAGGGAACCAGCAGACACCATCACCACGAGCACTGACGAGATTTGCCATTTGGCCCGTCCCGATCATTCATTTCGTGGATTGATTTGCCAATGCTATCTACCAGGGTACCTGTCCGTACGACTTCTCTCGTCGGGATCGCACCAATAACACGCAGGAACCACACCATGAGACACGCACCTCTTCCGACAGAGATGTAGCTGACTTCACAGCTATCACGGCGCAGCGCAGCCGCCGAGACCACGCACGGCGGCGCTACACGGGAGGAAGCCCGCGCGCCCGGGTCCTGTATGTATGTAGCCTGTCGATCATGACACGGTGTGCTCAGCACACTGTGCTGTGCTGGGCGTGCAGACGGATGTAAGCATAGCATAGTATCAGCAAGTAACATAGAAATAAAAAAAGAAAGAAAAAAAAAAGATCAAGAAAAAAATCCCAATCCTTCTGCAGAATCTTCATGCATAGTCACAGTGGCGAGCGTGTTGGACCTCGAATAGAGGGTTGATTGGGTAGGCTGAGTTTATTGATTGGATTGGGGTGATGGGATGGCGTGCTGATTGGATTGGCAATTGTCTCAGCGAGGCTGACTTTTTCAATTTTTCTTTCTTTATTTCAATATTGCTCGTGCCTCACGACTATTAACCACTGATAGAGAAGAAAGTAGAATGTGGAGTCCGATCCAAGATAGAGTTCACGTTCAAGGCTTGGGAATCTAGGAGGCTGGTCTGGTCCATGGTTCAGCTTCAATGTATCATATCTGGTGTGATCGTGGCTTGATGTGGTGTGGTGGATGGTGGACTCGGGAGCGATTCATGCATTGGAAGGATAGAGAACGAGGTGGATTTCTTTTTTGTGTCTTTTCTCTTTCTTTTCTCTTTCCTTTCGAATTTTGCTGGCTTTTTTATTCGATTGGAAAAAAGGTTGATGCCATCTGTTGGACTGATTGGCAATGCGATGATGGGATCGGGGACCACCGGTGAGCCCTTCGAGTCAGTGCCACTCAGTGTAGGATTATCATCATCATGATTATCATGATAATTTCATATGATTATGATAATATTCAATCATGGTCAAGTAAAGACAAGTAAGAACCATGTGTGCAGCCTCGGTCTAACATCTGAAAGCCGGGGATGAGTTCCTTCTCCGCATTTCGACTGGGATGTTTGGTTCCTGCAGCGGGGATTGAACCAGACTATCAGACTATCAGCATGTCTGTATTCGTATTTACTATGTCGAGTAAGCGGATATCAACTGTACGACTCTTCTTAGTGTATAGGACTTAGGAATGAATTGGGCGGTCAAGTTGTCGGTGAGCTGGTCTCATTCTCAATTCTGGAACTCTTCGAGATAGACGGTGAAGAGACATAACTATCCTATCTACTATCTACTATCTAGTAGGTACCGGGTACGCTCGAAAAGTACGGTCAGTCTCCCACACTTAGTCAGAGACGGTGTAATGTACACTAATCCAACTAAGATCATCGATGGATCACGCCCACTTCCAGTCGGCATTTCATTGCTCGACGGACCTGGAGAGAAGTCCCGGTTGTTAGTGTCGTAAGGTACGGAGTTGTGGTACTCCGCTATCGATACTCAACTATCAAGGTACCTGATGACTACGAGCACGAAGAGCATAGATTGGTAGATACCAGATGCTAGTACCAGACTGCAGTAGCCTCAGCATCAGCACGTGAATCCATCCAACCTAGGTTCCGCCGTGATCGACCCGACTAGTCGGCTCTTCCTGCAGCCAACGAGCTTCCCTGTAGCACAAACGAGGAAGCGATAGACATCCACATTCTGGGAAAGAAATGAACGAGAAAGAAAAAGAAAAGTGGACGTGATTGGCCACGGGGACCATCTCCTAGGGGACCTAGCCCTGACTATCAGACTATCTCATCTCGACCCCCACGAGGAACTGACCTTGGAAGATTGGAGGTGCCTATCATTTACCCAAAGGGGAATACGCACATCGCCTGGACTGGAGTTTGAAGTCTGGATCCCCTCTTTTTTTTTCTCCCCTCCCTCTTCCCCGGTATTTGGATCCTTTTTACTAACTTACTACTACGGATACAGGTACTACTGCTACCCGACTAGGTAGACTGTGGTATGGACCTAGGTAGCTTGGAACCTAGGTAGTAGGTACTGTAGCTTGACTGGTCGGTGAGGACTTCCAACAACGGTTGATAACTTTATCTACTATTATACTACTACCTATAGTATAGTATACTATATGGTTATATTATCATCTACATGCCATCACTATAATCACTCACAACCAATCCCATCACCACTCACTACGGAGTAGTCACTACCACCGACCTACAGTAGGCCTGCGGTACCTTACTACCTCTACCTACCGAAGTGGACCCGGTTACTGGCCGTCCCCGCAAAACAGAGCTCCAGCTCGCTACCGTCCACGAAACAGGTTTGTCTCCACAGATTCATATTCCTCTCCCACTGTATTAGTAACTCCTCCATACCTATTACCAACGATAGTCCCTAGATAGCAGAATGAGTACCACGGTCGGCAGACGGGCCCTTCCCACTCCCGACCCAAAGACGAGGCTTACGCACGGCCTTATGATAGCATAGTAGTATTGATGGTACTTATAGAGTGCTACTCTGTATGCAGGTAATAAAAACTATATAGAGTAGTATAATAATGCATAATCAATGATTAAATTGCAGTTCAGTTGATTCAAATATAGTAAGATACTGTAAATATAGTAGCAATATAAAAAGAATCATCTGAGTAATGTGTGAATTGCCTGACTCTTAAGCGACGGGAGGCGTCCCGCACCGTTCCACGGAAAGTGAATCTGGTCCGATCCTACAAAACCGCCCTGGGCCAGAGTAGAGACAACAACCTGCTCAAACCGGGTAAACCAAAACAAACAACCCTCACCTCCTACCCTATTCATCTCCCATCCACTAGGTAGTTCCCAGTGTCCACCAGGAACACCCAACCCAAACTAGACAATCGAAAAAGCAAGAGAAAAGCTAGAAAACGAAGAAAACCGAGTAGAAGTTTCTTCGCACCCTCTAACGCCTCTCGCCCCAGCAACTAGTCCCTCCTCCCTCTTCCCTAGTCCCTAGTCCCAGTGACCACACGAGGGGCCGGAGATCGCTGATATTAATTCCGACGGGCAACGACCCCACCACCCACCCGACCAGGACAGTTTAGAACCTGGCTATTTCGAACGCTATTAAGCACTTACGCCGGATGGTTTCAACCGCACCTCCACCGACTAGACCATCCCCGGCAGTGGCACCTCTACAGGCGCAGACACCGCCTGTCAGTGGCTGCTGCGGTGGAGTGAAGCCCACAGACACTTGGCCGGCCCGATTGGCCGGCTCCACGACGCGTAGACGGTTTCAGATGGTACCTACTGTGGGTTATTAGTTAGGTTCCGTATGGCGTATGGAGCTGGTGTTGGCGTTGGCTGGCGTTGGCGTAGCCGTACGGCGTACGGCGTAAGGCGTAATGGGAAAAAGAAAAGAATAAGAGAAAGAAAGAAGGAAGAAATATGGGTCCGGTTAAATAACAGGGTAAATGACTAGGGACTTACTATCATGGATGCTACTACTACGGAGTACTAGGTGATATTGTTATTGGGTAGTGGGTGCTGCGGCTTGGCCAGTCGCTGGGACGGTTACCCTGGACGGGTTGCTTCTTGCTTGGGTGGATTTGGAGCTTCAAGCTTCTCCATTGTTTGGATTGGGGATTAAGGATTCGGTGTGCTGGATGATCCACTTGGAATCTATTATCAATATTATCAATATTATCAATGGTTTGTTTCTGCTGTACCGACTGTCAAGATAACGAGATACTGCCGATAGTGGGGGGCATACAGAGAGACACGAAGGGACACAGAGAGACACAGAGAGACAGACAGAAAAGACAGATAGATAGAAAGAGGCAACTGCATAGTAAACTCTATCCACCAAAACAAAGAAAGACAGAGTTCGATCTGCGCCACCCATCCATCGTACAACAGGTACCCAGTCCAGAGTACAGACAGTCCAAGTGGCGACGGCAAGTCATGCCAACAAGCTAGTTCCAAACCACTGATCCAAAGAACAGTCTCGACACGATCAGCGTTCTCTCACGACCCCGTCGTAAATTGCCCATCATCCCACCCACTCCCTATTATAGCCTTGCTAGGCGAACTAGGAGAACTAGAGGCGATCCCGAGGCACCTTCCTACTTGAGTAGCAGCATCGAAGGCGGCGGACGGTGGAAGAACAAAACCGTTGCATGATGTGCGATGGGTGATTTGGATCCGCATGGGCTCGTAGTAGTGGCATCTTAGAGTCTTGGGACCTGACTGTGGTCTGGTGGCTGATGCGAGCGTATACTCTGGCTGATGCTGAGTAGTGGCGTTACTATTAGTGTTTCTGTTGTATAGAGTATTCGATGCTATCTACGAATATGAACTGTAGTATTTAGATTCTGCAGTATTACTATCAACTCACCATCCTTCCAAAATACCAAGTACGCAGATAGATACCAAGTATGATAAGAAACAAAAAGAAGATGATGAAATCCGCAACGGGTTCCCGCAGACGACACCCATCCTTCAGCATCTCATTCGTCGGGGAATGTCCGAGAGGGTCTGGTTAATTTCATCCTCGCACGGATGTCTGTTTGAGGGACTTTTCTACCTATTACTACCTCCTTAGTACTAGGTAAGAGTACTAAGAGTACTAGGTAATGTACCTCTTCCCAGGTACTACTACCTACCTACGGTACGGTACCGCCCGCCCGTCACCGGATGCGCCGTCATATCTCCATATCCACTGTCGTCTCCTGTCTATCGGTCTATCATGGTCCATCAGTCCCTGATTGTCGGTGCTAGTTTATGGAGGATTCTTCCTGAGTTGAGGGATATTCCTTGGAATGTACAATATTGATGACATAGTAAGAAATTCATACTATGATAATAAGAAACTATTACTATGATATTAAGATAATAATAATATAATATAACATAATATAATATAATATCAACCCGTAGCCTCCGTTCCAACCCGACCAGACAATCAGATCAGAGGTGATGTGCTGGTGGAAACTATCCAGCGACTCGTTAGTATCAGTACTCAGTAGGTACTAGGTAGACATATTCACACCAACAGTAACCTAACATGATCCAGTCCATAGAATGCGTAAGACGACGAGATCACAAAGCGCTTACAATAATCCAAACCTATATTCAATAATATTAAAACCATGAAAAATCAAACTCTACCTGTCAGCTCAGCAGTTGGACACGTACACCCACCAAGCCAACACCACCGGATCATGGAACAGGATTGGCTCGTTGCGGACCAGTCTGTGCGACAACGGTTTTGTGGCGATGACAGGGGCGTTCGTTGGATGGACGGTTGACGGTGCCTGATGCCGCAGTCAATTCCTCGAGGCGAAGCTCATCCTTCGTCCATCCTGTCTGCCTAGGATGTGGTATGGTCGATATGATGGAAATGTAGATTGACCGGCCCGGAGACTAAGTTGATCATGACCGGAGCCCTAACTGATCAAACGGGCAATCGACTTGGCGGGCAACGGTGATACTATACTTGTCTGTCAGATTATTGTGTATTTGGTACTTTAATTATTATAATTATTCCTGTTTCAATCTTCAATAGTAAACCCACTGTTTCAACTGTCTTTTCCAAATTAATCTAATATTATACTATTTTAATTTGTTTAGTCCAAAACCCAAACAGGTTTTAACCACAATTCCATATCCATTCCTACCTACCCAGTAGAAATTGCAAACGTTCCAGAACAGCGCAGACAACCTGACATCGAGGCAGCTAATTTACAGCGCCAGGGGACATGGCGGTCCAGAACGAGAATGAAATTACTTACCAGTGGTGAATGGGTTTCTATCTTTAGATGGGGGTTAACCGGTACGGTAAGGACCGTACGGAGCCCAGGTTTGATGGGTGACATTCGGGTGCTGCTGTTTCGAGTAACATGGGAGTGATCATAATCAAATAATTATAGAATCGTCGAGACTTGTATCTTCTTCTTCATTTGGTATTAGGGAAATTATTGAATTATTTCAAATATTTGGTTGAAGAATACAGTGCCTGTATCTAACACTACAGTGAAATCTTACAGCATAAAATAGGTAGAATAAATAGAAACATAACAAACAATGGTTTGCCTGCACAACCAGTGGTACATTACGACAGCCCAGTCATCAATTCCGACCCAGTGGACCGGTGGTCAGGTTGTGATGTCAGTTCGATCAGCATCTGACAGCTCTCTGTCCCTTGCATGGTATATCGTACCTGTCAGGCAACAAGGTTTGGAAGATAAGGTTTGGTCGTATATAGAGAATTAGAGTACGGCGGAGATAGTATCTACTAGATACTGTGTTGTCTGTATAATGGAGCTAATATGAAACGATCTATCATGATGAATACGAAGACTATAGATAAGGTGTGCAGAAATAACGAAAGAACTACCGAATATAACAGAACCATCAATAAAATAAGGAACCACTGAGTACGTAGTTAATAATAACCATGACAAATACACGGAGGATTTCCATGATCTGAACTGACACCTGCAGCGTCCCAATATATGCACCTCCGATAGAAGTCTATGGCTGTGTAACCGTCCTGGGTACGGAGTACTATGGAGTACTACTACTACTGACGATTGCCACTGACTTCACGAAGCAAGGGCGTGCTTGTATCCATGCATGCATCATGCATGTATCTATATAAATAAATCAAAAATATTAATATAATCCGTTGGTTCCTGCAGTAGGCCGAAAAAACAAGCCGAGTTAGGCAGTGGTTGACACCGTTAATCCAAGCCAACCGTCGAGTCCATCCCCGGAAATGATGTATTCGATTTGGGGACACTGGACTGGACACTGACAGAAGCAACGCAATCCGACATGATGGGCCACTTGCCTATCGGGAATGGTAACTTCGCGCTATGTGGACTATTTCCCTCTCGACTATTCTCTCGTCGGGATGTAGGGCAGACAATCCGTTTCATCTGGAGGAAAGTCGAGTCAAGTCCCGGGCGGGACGGGGCTAGTGGTCGGCAATTGGGCTATCCTAATCATAGGGACTGTAGGGTGAGATCATGGTGGATGGATCCGTACTCGTACTGATGGTAGTGATGACGGAGTAGGATGCAGTAACCTGAAGGTGACGGATTGCTCTGGATGCAGATCCAACGTTGATTGGATTCATCCAGGAACAAGCTAAGCAGTTGGTGAGTTGCCACTTGGCTACGTCTCCAGTGCTCCACCGGTACCTGCGTGCTGCCAGGTACTCGTCCTTAGATCCATGTAGTTAGTCTCGTTTAGTCTAGTCTAGTCTAGTCTCGTCTCGTCTCCAAATTCTGGTGAAAGAAAGGAAGGAAAGTCCAAAGCGATCCGCATATGGCAGTAGCCAATCCCAGGGGCAGGAAACCATCGATCAACAACCCGGGGAATTGATTTGGACAATGGAGTCTGGAGTCTGGCACCTTGTTGGCTAGTCGTCCACTGGCTTGACCGACGATCTTACCAGAAGGGAGGAGGATAGATACGCATGGTATGGTCAGGGTTGGTAAAGAGTGGGAAAACAGTAAAATTAAACCAGCGGGCGGGATGACCGTGGGGCCGAATGCTAGGATAGTCCCAGTCTTTCCTCCCAGATTCTACCACCTTTCCCTTAGGTTGACTATCAGCACCAATAGCCTATCATTGTTCCTCTACTACTGATAAGCAGATATCTCAGAAGGATTGTCCTTTTTATTTTTATTTTTTTTACCACTGTTATTACTATCATTATCATGATTATTATTTCTAATTTCTGAGTTTATCCCACACTATCTACCCAGAATACCTACCTAGGTATAGTCTTGGCAGATGCGTGCTGCATGCTTTCTTTTTTTCCCGCACACAAACTGTTGGCTTGGTGTCTACCTGTCTATCGAGACGTTTGACCAGACAGGTTGGCTTGGGAGACCCGGTCAGGCAATCAGACCGGTGGAAACAGGAATCCTATTTTAGGGATGTTGGAGTGATAGACAACTGACGGGTCTGGTCACTGCCACTGTGGATAGTGGCGATTCATTCACACCAGTCTTCTGTCTCTGGGTTTCTACTTGGTGGATGGCATGAGACAATCTTAGATTACTAGATACTAGATTATCTATATTACCTATATATTAATGTAGAGATTCGGTGATGCAACGTAGAGCACGAGATAGGGCACAGTCGAGCACCTCCGCACTCCCGTCCGGTTGGCTCTTGGGACAGAGTCGTCCTGCGACTCGATTGGGCAAGAGGGGAGTGGGAGGAAATCAGGATAATCCTATCTCTATAAAAGAAAAGAAAAGAATACAAATCAAAGAAAATAAAATACAATAATAAAACCATGAAATATAGAAATAAGTGTAACGTAATATACTAATCAACCTTGGCAAATGCCCATGTCTCTCGTGCTCTTCTGGCCCCACCCAACTTGCGTCTTTTTGGGTTCCCCGGCCGAGGTGGTGGGGAGGTGGGCGCGTCTTTTTCTGGTGGCCAGGATTATGGGCGTCGTCACGCCATTTCTTTTCTCCAATCGCATTGCATTCTTGCTTTGTTGGCATTATTGGATTGATTGGATTGATTTGATTTGGTCTGGTCAACATGGTGTGGTGGTGTAGTGTGGTATGGCACATTATGGACTATTATTATTCCTATGATGGAAGACGAGAGACAGACCGAATGAAACTGACCCCACCTCCCGTCTGATCCACTGACGGACTTGACTGGAACCAAGTGAGATACGCTTCTCTTCCCGTGGGGGACTTGTTGGTTGTCCCTCTAGGAGTAGGTCTCTATCTACCCACATTGGGAGTGTTGCATCAGGCAATCTATCCAATATCATCTTCAGTCATGGGAAGGAATCAAATAAGAAAAGAAATCATAGAGTAATAAATAATATATCATACAGAATAATATACTCTGTGCCTGATGACACCATCTGGCTGATTGGCATTGTGGGGTATCTAGATTATAGGAAATAGAATAAAATTATATTTCTATAATAAAAGATTATTATATTTCCTAGATAATAATCCTCAATAATAATCCTAGAATAATAAATCAATAATTATCATAGTAATAAAAATAATAAAAGTACTGTACCACAGCAGATCACTCTTTTATCCACTCTTCCCATCCTTCTAGTCTCTCTCTTGCCCATCTTGCCCTTTCCGTTCTCTCTCTCTCTCTCTTCCTGACTTTCTCTCTCTTCTTTCCCCACGTTTCTCTTCTCTCTTCTCTCTCTTCATCTTTCGCTTCTCTCTTTCTTCCTCATTCAATCCTTTATTTATTTTTTCTGTTTCCCATCTTCCATTCCTTCTCTTCCCTTTCGATCTTTTAGACTTATTACTTCCACTGCTTAGGAACCCTCGTTTCCTCCCCATTCATTAATCATTATCACTACTAGTACTAGTTTAATTCTCTGCACATTCTCTCATACTCTCTCGCATACTCCATCATTCGGTTTCATATTGATTCGGATTGGGACTCTTCTTTCTATACCACACGGAAGACAACACGAGACATCTATACGAGTCTGGTTCCATCTCGTGGACTTCATGCCCCGGAGATAGCCTCTATATACTTATACACCCACACTCTTTCATCCACCTTATCCCCCCCCCCCCAGTTATACCCTTAATATCTCCCTTTCGAGAGTAGGCCTCCTACTCTCGTCGTTTCCCGACTTATACTATTATAATGTTCGTGATATCCATGTCTACCCCCCCTGGGATCCAATACTGACCCGCTTAGTTCAACCTACACAATGGACTCTACATATACCATGCAACATCCGTCGTTCGCCTACTACCCGACGGCGGATTCGCAATCCAGAGCGCAACAGTTCACCAGCCACCCCTCCGACATGCACTACTATGGTCCCGTGCAGCAGCAGTACCAGCCCCAGCAACCTCACTGCCTCCCTGATCAGCAGCCTCTCTACTCGGCCCAGCCCGTCATGAACATGCACCAGATGGCCACCACCAACGCCTTCCGGGGCGCCATGAGCATGACCCCCATCGCCTCCCCCAGCCCTCCCATCTCAAGCCCACCATCGTTGTCCAGCAGGGCTCTCCCGGCCTGATGCCCCTGGACACCAGGTTCGTCAACCACGAGTACTACAACTTCCCCTCCACCCCTCCCTTGTCCGCCACGGGCAGCTCCGTCAGCAGCCCGCCCTCCTCCATCAACGGGGCTCTGAACACGCCCCTCAACGATTGCTTTTCCTTTGAGAAGGTCGAGGGAGTCAAGGAGGGTTGTGAGGGTGACGTTCACGCCGAGATCCTGGCCAACGCCGACTGGACTCGGTGTGACTCGCCCCCGATGACGCCTGGTAAGTTTGATTCTTTCTACCACATCTTTGATACCTCCTGTCATGTTCGGTGTGAGGAATGCGGAAATCAACTCCGCCTGCAGATTGATCGGCGCTAACATCTCCCCTTCAGTCTTCATCCACCCCCCTTCCCTCACCGCCAGCCAGAGTTCGGAGCTCCTGTCCACCCACAGCTCCTGCCCATCCCTTTCCCCCTCTCCCTCCCCGGTCTCGACCATCATCTCCCAGTCGCAGTCGCTGCCGCTTGAGCAGTCCAGCTCCGACTTCTGCGATCCCCGCCAGCTGACCGTGGAGGCCACCCACCCCGCCGCCCCCGCGGAACTGCCTGCCCTGCCCACCCTGTCCTGCGATGACGAGGAGCCCAAGGTGGTCCTGGGAAGCGAGGCCGTGACCCTGCCCGTGCATGAGAACCCGTCCCCGGCCTTCACCGGCGCGACCGAAGACCCCCTGAGCAGCCTGCCCACCTTTGACAGCTTCTCCGACCTCGACTCCGAGGACGAGTTCGTCAACCGCCTGGTCGACTTCCCCGCCACCACCGGCTCCTACTTCCTGGGTGGCAAGCGCCAACGCGTCGGCACCTACTCCCTGGATGGCGAGGAGTTCCTGACCGAACACGGCCTGGAGGATCTGGACGACCAGGACCTCTTGCAGTCGGGCCTGCCCTTCAGTGCGCCCGAGCTGACCCTCCCGGGGAACGCCGTCGAGTCCGACGACATGAAGTCGAAGAAGCGCGCCACCTCGCGCAAGTCCCTCAAGAAGTCCGAGGCGGATGCCACCCTGGCCAAGAAGGCCCACTCCCCGGCCAGCCACGGCTCCCCGTGCAGCGATCACGGCGACGCGTCGCCCGCCGCGCACGCGTCCCTCCACGAGGGCTCCGCCGACAGCCCGGGCGAGACCCCGTCGGCGCCCGTGTCGGTCAACCGCCGCGGTCGCAAGCAGTCCCTGACGGAGGACCCGTCCAAGACCTTCGTGTGCACGCTGTGCTCGCGCCGCTTCCGCCGCCAGGAGCACCTCAAGCGCCACTACCGGTCGCTGCACACGCAGGACAAGCCCTTTGAGTGCAACGAGTGCGGCAAGAAGTTCTCGCGCAGCGACAACCTCGCGCAGCACGCGCGCACCCACGCGGGCGGCTCCATCGTCATGGGCGTGCTCGACCCGAACGGCGTGCCGACCTTCGAGGAGCAAGATCCAAACGCGCTCGGCAACGTGCTATACGAAGCGGCCAACGCCGCGGCGACCAAGTCGACGAGCGAGTCGGACGGCACCCTGTCCGACACGCCATCGGTCGACCGCCGCGCGCACAAGAAGCGCAAGCGCGAGGAGCACGCCTAAACCCAATCGGGCGTGGCTTTTTTCTTTTCTTTGTCTTTACGAAGCGATGTGACCAGGAGTACCCTCATACTACATAATACTGCGCATAATTGACCTCCCGGGTGACGGGACGGTCTACTTTTGGTCATGGTTTGGCGTCCGGCTTGGGGCTCCTCAGAGGATAGAGCGACAAAATGGGGTCGTTGTACTGATACATTCATACATTCATACATACATAACAACCGACATCTGGTGGTGTCTGTGTGGCGCATTCTGGAGTCGGACACGGCTGGTTAGCTGATGGCGAGGCATGGTGCCTTTTTTTTTTCATCCTTTTTTTTTTTACATTTGATTTTGATTTCGATCAGGGATTGAACCTTCGATTCTGACTACTCGTTTGATCTGATCTGATTTGCATTGTTTGCTATCTATTGGTGTAATATTGTTGATTCCCTGTTGATTCGATTCCTGTTGATTCACTTCCTGTTGATCTTGATGTTGTTGTGGCTGATGTTGATGTTGTGCTGGACACATGTATACTTTTATTCTTAATTTCGCCAACTGTTGCCGATTGCCTCATACCCTGTGCATAGCTTTATTTCCTTATTCTTATTTCCTTGCTTTTATGTTGTTGGTTTATTTCCTTTGTATCTGACTGCATACATTCGATTTATGCTGTATTAGCTGAATAAATAAATAAACACATTGACTCTGAATACAGAAGTATATCATAATACACATGAATGAATAAAGAATTAATAGATGGATAGATAGATGACCGCTACGCCAAAACGATGACCAGCGATTGATATAGGTAGGTCTTGGTTTGACCGATATACCCAACAGACAAGCCGACAACAAACTACTTATTCCTGAATAAACCCTGAAAACAAAACATCACCGGATCAGAATATGCTAAACTGGGATCCTCAACCCCAGCACGACCTTCTCGTCTATGAAGATTCTTACTCCGATTGCTATATCCTCCTCCTCTTCACAACGCTTATAAGTAGTGCCCTCATCTCCATTACCCCTAGATTGACCACTGGAGGTAGGAGTAGGACCCTCAAAACGGATAACACCAGAAGAAAGATCCTCGCAGTCTCCCTAACGCCGTCCCTCTAGTGATACCGGTATCGGTACTGGTGCTCACGAATTGAAAGCCTAGGAGGGGTCCTGCTTTTGCTTTTGCTTCTGTTCCTAGTCCCCTGCTTTAAACCCAGCAATGAAGTCCGCGTCCACGGTCTACGTAGCCGAGCTCCAAGCCATCCGCACGGCTCTAAGCATGATCACATGATGCCGCATTATCACTCAGTGGAGGGTGTTAATGGATAAGGGTGGTGACCTTTTCCTGATCGTTGTGTAGGACTAAAGACCCTGCTGAGATCCCACATGGTCTCCGGCCAGGCATTCTTACAAGCCCGTCTAGAGAAGGCCACGTGGAGTCAAAGTAAAGACCTCCAGGTCACCATGCGCTAGATCCTCACCCATGAAGGAGAGGTGGACGAGTTACTAAGCAAGCCACCGCGAGGAAGTTGCTTCGAGCCCTGTAAGAATCCAGCAAACCCCCCTACGAGTTGCTGCGCGAGACAATAGGGGTGCGGAGTCAGATCAAGCGCCAGCTGTAGCTCGGATCCGCTGCCAAAAGTAGGAGTGAGGTCATACATATTAGTTCGGTTGTCATGTTGATTCCAATTGGCATGTCCTCAATCATAAGGGGTATATCAATATGACAAGAACAGGGTGCATATGAACAGTGCTGGAAACACAGAAACTTATAACAAATGCACAAATTTATAGTTCCATCTTCCACTTACAAATTTCCGCCCTACTTCTTCTGAGCCGCAAGAAGCTGGTTAGCCTGGGTCCGCAGATGCTCCGTGTCGGTCCGAAAATCCTTCTTATAATTATACGCGGCCGTGAGATGCTCTCTCTTGATTCTTAGATCGCTATTAGGCCTCTCGACCAGCATCTGCGCCATGATGAAGACATTGCGGATTTCTCGGCCGCTCAGGATATATCGTCGAGATGCTTTCGTGGTCTCCTTCGCCCACTTGCGCAGATCGCTGGAATCGTCGCACAATCCTTGCTCGTGCAGGCGGTCGATCCATAACTTCCATATTCTATACTCTTGGTCGGAGTTGGGTTCTCCGAAGTTCACGGCGTGATGGATCCGCGAGAGGATGGCGGGGTCAAAGGCGACGACACGGTTGGTGGTCATTATGAGGACTCCTTTGAAGTACTCGACTTCCCGAAGGAGGACTATTCGGTATTAATATGATGCTGCATCATAGGAGAGATATAGCGGCAGAGTGATACCTGAGACAAGAGCATTTTTGGTAACCAAGCTCTCGTTGGCGCTTCCGCGAGCATCGAGAAGGACATCGGCTTCGTCTCTGCGATATGTTAACCACCCAGGCGACGATAATTTGGATACAGATCCAGATACATGAGAAGCACAGCCTTCCACGCCTCAGCAAGCTCGAAAATATTCTTGAGGGTTCGTTCCGCCCGTGGAGCATTAAGCCCTATATCGCTCGTGCCGACCTTAAACAGGGGTCGACCAGATGATTTCGCCAACGACTCCGCATAGAGCGTCTTTCCCGTGCCGCTATGACCTACAAGGAGTCAGACGACTGTCGCTTCTGTGGTTCGCTTTCCGATCACATACCATGAAATAAAAGAATCAGACTCTCTCCTTTTCCTCCGATCATGTCCGCAATCCGCTGACCGCGTGGCTTCGCCATCACATGCCAGTGGTTACTCACCATCGTGAAGATATGCCGTTGCTCATTCTGGCTAACTTCGTCCGGCAGTACAAGGCCCTTCATCTCGCCTTCAAACTCCCCCATTTCAGCAGGCTCCGTCCGTTCGATGTCGTTCAGGAAGAACTGGCCCCATTCCTTCCAGTTCAAGGCGAATCCAAAGAGCCTAGGTGGAAGGAGGAGATCATTGTAGTTGAAAGGACGAGTGACTTTAGCTTCAGTGTCATCCCTCCATCTCTTAGTCTCAGGATTCAGACATAATTGACAGTGGCAGAACTTGGCGCTGCTGACTGGCTCAAACATGTTTAAAGCTCGACTACCGCCGCCCTTCCGCATGTAGTTCACCGTGTCGAGAATAATATCTTCATCGATCTGATCCCAGTAGAGTACATATCATAGTCAGTGCAGGAAACTTCGCGGACCCAGCGTCATACGAACCTTGACGACTCTTGGTGGCACGGTGGGCCACAAAGCTGCACGAAAGCCCATGGCCGCCATGTCCGCTTTCTCTCGATTCGACTGGAACGCCGAAATTCCTCCATAGAGATCTCCGGAATATCGCTGCAGCCCCAAGTGACGGTGATCCAGCGCGTAACGGAGAAAGTTTGTCCTTCGATCTCGATACACTGACGTCCCGCGAATTGCTTCCAACCCCCTGTGTCCCTCCCCGTCATAGAACGCGACTGGATAGCACTTAAGCTCCGCTGGGGGCTTGTCACCGGAGTACTCGGAGATTCTAAAGTCAAACATCGTGCGAACGATCTTCTTCCCATCCCAATCCCACATCCAGGCGGTGATCACGAGCTCGTTCCTCGCGTAGACGTGATCAGTCGGATACAACGTCTTTTCCTTCGAGCTGTATGAAGTATCATGCACCTGGAAGACCTGCAGATCATGCGCTGAATTCCACGCCCCGACGACTAGGCTGCCAGGTCTGAACAGCGTCCACAGGAGGGCATACTGGATTCGAAAGTTCCACAAGTCATCCACCAACTTAGGAATTCTCCACCGCACGGGATCATGTATTTTTTCCACTACTTGTAGTAGACATTGAAGACGTCCACGCGTGGTTGGATCGAGTGAGGTTGACTGTGCTTCAATCTTCAGCTCGGCATGGTTGAAGATAAGCGCCTTGAACGGCGAGCTCAGCGTCACCCGCGACTCTTGCCAGACATTGCTGCCGATGTGGCCGTTGTATTTGGCGATCACCTTTGCGATGCAGTCTCTCAGTTTGTTATCGCGAAGAACTATTTCCCAGGAGTCCATGTTCGAGCCTAGCCCGATCGGTGTGACCCAAAGCCACTCATGTGTTGACTCCAATTGTATCGTCGGGCGCTCCGCCGAACGCCGTAGCCTCGAGAGCATCTCGTCCGATCTGTGATACACGATCCCGCTTTCCGGGTTATCAGGGGTCTGGGTTGGGTGTGTATCGTGTGTCGTGTCCATCTCGGTATCCGAGGCTGTAATTTTCTCCTCGGTGGCAAGAGTGATGTCTGGTTGATCGGTCGTCATGTTGGGAGATGTGTTGAAAATTCCCGATTTCCAGATGTTTTGGACGTGTTGACTCTGTCTTGTCTATCTAGGTGAACAGAAAAGTTAGGGTGAATAATGAACAGACTGAGATTCAGAGGGTGCAAGGTAAAAACAACAAACTCCGCGAACGACAAGTTATACACTTTGGCCGCCTATCTATATGTGGGAAAAAGTACCACTCGACCACAAAAGATATCTAGACACTTGTGAGCACTCGTGGATCACTTTGATGTACTGTCTGATTTCCGACACTATACGTCACTCAACACACTACTTGATAACTGCAAATCAACCCGCTTTAATCCCTAAAATTTTAATACACGAATTCCCAACGCTGATCGTCGAGCCTCACTGGGCTATATTGGTAACCAGATAGCTACCCCGTGGATAGGTTGCACTATAACGCCGGGAGGCACAGCCTCGTAGCGCCTGCCTGACTGACGTGGCGAGGCAAAGATGGGGCTCAGACAGGACATCCCAGGCTAAGCATAACCTATGGGAAGTGAGGATGGAACAAGGATAAAATAGCCAAGATAATAAGGCTCTTGAAATAGTGTGTTTATTCGTACTTTTTTTTATTTGGACACATACGGTATCTTAACCTTTGCCCTGCCACCATGCCCAGGTGTCCATGTCACTAGGGCGCGAGAGGACCGACGTGGATTATTTCAGCACGGGCAATCTTATATAGACCATGCTATCTTTTTCATGACCCTTGTTCGAACTTATGCCTATCCAGCCAGTCGAGATGACAGTCCCAACTAAATATTCGCTCTCAACCGATGGTCAAATATACCGTGACCTCGACGGAAATATTGACGCCGAGCTCTTGAGGGAAGTGCAGGAGGCCGACCAGTCGAATGTGGAGAGACTGGTGCAAACAATCGTACAACTTGCCGCGCGAACGCAAGGTGACTTCCAGGTGTCTCGGAGTACTTCCACGAGGCGGCAAGTCGGGGCGAAAGTCCAAAAGCTAGCCAGTCGAATACACGATTTTGTGCAGGTGTTCTCCGGGGTAGTTGAAGTTATTAAGGGCGCTGATGCCCAGGCTGGTCCTATCGCCTATGGCTCGTTTGTCTTGCTTTTGACAATCGCCAAGAACAAGCAAATGCACGAGGATTTCATTTCCGACACACTGGAGACGTTCCGTTGCTGGCTATCGAGGCTGAAGATGATTAGCTCTGCAGAGAAGTGGGATGAAACCGTGCAAAAGCACATTTTCGAAATTTATATCAAGATAATAGACTTCGCGCAGCAAAGTATCAGATATTATTGCAGCTCGTCCGCTCGCAGGTTTTTCCGAGCTATTTCTAGACCACCCCAGCTTGACGCAAAGAAATATGCGGACGAAATCAAGGAGAGCATCGCGGATTTGATGCAGGGGTTACTTGTTCTCCAACATGCCAGAATCTCTGAGATAAGTTCTACTATCCAGGCAAACATCTGCCAGGCGGAACACCATGAAAATCGCATAGCGGAAGTCAGAAAGCTATTCAATGTCCCATCAGATCTCAGCGCCGAAGATATGCTTCAACACAGCAAAGGAATGTTCAGCGGCATGTTTGCAAGAGGCAAATCCAAAACTGGGACCGTGAGAAGGGGCCCACCGCTGGAGCAGGTCAACCTTGAGACGGTCTCGCAACGCCCTGCATATGACGAATGGGTAAACAGCGAGTCGTCTAGCCTCCTTCTCCTCGAAGGTGATAACTATGACCTATACGACGAGAGACGGCTCTGCTGGCTGTCACCCGTCACGATTGAGTTTTATGAGCACGTTAAGAAAATTGAGGGGCTTCATGTTATTTTCCATTGCATTGACAGGGCTCAACGACCAGATAGTGGCGCTATACTGATGCTGAGAAGTATAATAATACAGCTGTTGGAACAGGACATACAACTGTGCATAAAGCGGTTTGGCGATATTTGCGGTGCATGTAAGGACCCACCTTCTGAGCCTGACGAATTGATTGATTTCATGTTTCAAATCCTCGAAACCAGTTTGCAAAAGATTCCCCTGGGACAAACAATATACATGGTCCTGGATGGGGTTGAGCATCTTGGCTTTGAAGTCTCTCAAGATTTCTTTGGCTCTTTGTTACAAATTCTGGACAGTCAAGATCTTAGGGTAACAGTCAAGGTATTTGCTGTCTGCCGTTTGGGTTATTGGCCGACTAAATCAAGGTCAAACAACTCATCGCGAAAATTGGAGGAGGCCTTAGGGCTCGGAGGTCATGTAGATCTAATGTCGCGGGTGTTCTACCTGGACTGGAAGCAGGGCACATTGAAAGCACCAACAACATCGATGTGAGGTGTATTATAGCATGAACAAGGCAGACCTAAGCTGTCCCAACGTTGACACCTTTTCTCCCCACCATCTCCCCCCCCCGATCAGGAATCTATATTGTTTTTCGAGCCTGCTCCGCCGCTGTGCATCCGATAAACTCGATCCGCGCGCGATCCAGCTCCACCTGTTCTTTCTTAACCGCATCAGTTGCAAGAATAAGCTGCATCCTGAGACATAAGACCAAAACCTCCCCTAATATGTCCCCAATGTACTCATCGGCGGGCGAACCTTCCTTGTCCCTCCTGAAACCAAATCTCGTACTGTAATTAGCCTACCATTAGACTTCACTTCCCCCTTGGTGCCAAATATTTTTATCTTCTTAGTACATATACTCTCTGTAAACGCTGTCATATGGAATGTGGCGCTCTTCCCTGTTTTCCCAACAGGCTCATTCATCGTTATCCACCAGTCAGTACATAACGGAGGAGGTTTCTGTAGGTGCATTCAAATTTTTGACTATAGAGATGAGGCCAGCTGCTTTCCTTTCAAAGGCCACTCTCTCTCTAGGCTGCATCCTGATATTGACAGATCAGATAAGTCCAACGAGTCAACATCCAATCATCATGCCAGCTAGAACAAAGTAAACAGATTTTATAGTTCTTTGATATGGATTTTGCTAATTACGCAGTATAATATTGTTAAACCTATAGAAAAACCACAAATAAAGAAGAGTAAAAGCACAGCAATAGCAACTGCGCAAGCAACTTTGAGATTGAATAGGAAACGTAGTAGACTTCAATATAATTGTAAGACTACGCAGACAGCTGACTCTGAGAATTTATACTATAATTGGTGTAAACAATACTTGAAGGACAAGATTAAGAAAGGGTGATATATAGCACAGATTATATAGGTAGGTCACGCGGGTCTAGGTTGTAATATCAGAGGTTGGAGGGCTGAGATCATAAAAGTGGTATAATAGCAGTGTCTCAAGGCCTCAGTTGACTGTGAGTCTCCACTTAGATAAAGAGATAAAAAGAGCAGTGCTGGACTAAAGCCAAACTGGATTCTGTCTGTTGCTTTACCAGTACAAGACAAGCACTGCTAGTCTACAGACACAGGTTTATATGAGACTACATGCCTGTCTGAGAACATTTACCCAGGCATTGTTAATCCAAAGCTCTATATACTTAGAAATATCTATCTCTATTTATCTTTAGATTAATCAGCAAATTATTATTATAAGGTACCGAGAATTTCCTCTTATTCAATGTAGATATATGTAACTAATATGTACTTGATGATTCCAGGCGGACCATAGATTTCTTGTTTAACCCACAGCAGCCTCAGTATAAACACACATGAGACTGCTCAGTAAGTATTCATGACATATGTTGAGCATGTCACCGCTCCTTGGGATATGGTCCCCTTGCCCATTGTGATAACATCATATCCCTGCCGGAGTTAGAATTTCCGAGTTAGAATGTAAATCAGGAAATTCTTGGAGTTCACATATCTTGCCGGTTCATAGCATTCCTCAGAATGTCTCAGCTACTTGGATGTTTTGTAGTCATTTGCTATGGCGGCGAGAATGAGGCATAGGCCCTGCTACATGGGCTTGATAAATTGCAATAAAGCAGTATTGTGCTGCATCAGGAGGCGTCAAAAGAGGCTTATTAAATATGCATCGTAGTCTTCTCGCAAAACCGCCTCGCTTCCACAATTTCCACGATGCATTAGCGAGATATATCCAGGTACATAGTTCAAGTATGTTTCTATCCCTTTCTCATCAATCTGGCATTGCTGGAAAACCTTCCTCCACAGGACCGCATCATAACAAACATATAAAAATAATGTTCATATTGTCCTGCCAACGGTATTCAACTTGATAGGTAGCTCACTAGCTTTACAGCCTTATTGTCTGATTGTCAGTACCTGTTCTAACACATTTCTGACTCCATTTCTGGCGGATGAGGCATGTACATTCCTGTTGGTAATATAGAAAGCCCCTTACCACAGAGAATGCCAGGGCGAGGTTCCTTGCTTCAGCCCAGTAATGACAGTAATTTCAAGTCCAGATGGAAGGTATATTAAACATACTGCGAGTCGGCACTGGATGGTCTCAGCTGGCTTTTAGTACACGACACATCTGCAGCTCAGCACATCAGTCTCATAATGAGTCGATTGACAGGTATTCTCGCGTTTAGCTCGGCCATACTAGCTGTGCAGGCCCAGGAAACATGCGAAAGGACCAAGGTTGCTGTGCTGTACGATTAAACCTTTACATGGTGCATCTTGGGTTGAACAAGGACTGACAATCTGCAGGGGAGCAGGCGTGGCTGGAGTGCAAGCTGCTGTAAGTTTGCCTTTACCCTGCCCTACGCCCTCACCAGCCCCTTATATCCACGTCTTAGATGCTGATAATGCATAACAGAAATCGCTTTCGGACAATGGAGTTGACGACTTTCTCTTGGTTGAGTACCAAGATCGCATTGGAGGGCGGATGCATGATGTCTCCTTCGGTAGCGGACCAGAGGGCCGTCCATATATAGTCGAAGCAGGAGCGAACTGGGTAGGCTTTTGATATGCCCGCTCGAAGCGTGTTTAGTTTCTGACGGACATCAGGTGCAAGGAACAGTCGCGGATGATGGCCCCGAGAATCCCATCTACACTCTGGTAAACCACTCCGCGCAAAAATTGTTATTGCGTGCAGCTGACAACGTTCGATAGGCCAAGAAGTACAACGTCATCACCCTGTATGTATAGATCCGAGGTGATTAGATGATTACTGATTGCTAACGACTCGTACAGGGAAACGGACCAGGATAACACGACCTATTATGATCAGACCGGTCCGGTGGATTATTCTTATGCGATACGCGAATACGAAGAGGCCCTAGATAGAGTTACCACTGATGCAGGATCTCTCTTGCAGAACAATATCCAGGACCGGTCCTTCCGTGCCGGATTGCGACTGCAGGGCTGGGACCCGGCCAAGGATGATTCTTACCGACAGACTGCCGAATGGTGGTTGTTCGATGGCGAGTTTGCTTACAATCCTAGTGAGAGTTCTCAGATCTATACCTCGGTGGCCGAAAACGCGACCTTCGACTATTTCTCCGAGGAGAATCTGTTCGTATATGACCAGCGTGGCTTTGCGAACATCATCCGGAGGGAAGCGGCGGAATTTCTGACGCACGACGACCGCCGTCTGCGTCTGAATACGCAGGTCACCGGCGTCGACTACAACCGGGACTCTGTGACTGTGCGGACGAACAAAGGTTGCATCCACGCCGATTACGCGATCATGACCTTCTCGCTGGGCGTCCTCCAGAAGGGCGTGGTGGACTTTGATCCCCAGCTTCCTTCTTGGAAGAAAACCGCTATCCATAGCTTCGAGCTGGGAACGTACACCAAGATCTTCATGCAATTCCCGTGGCGTTTCTGGGAAAATGCGCAGTACCTCATCTATGCCGATCCGGAGACTCGAGGCTACTATCCTGAGTTCCAACCCCTTGACCTTCCGGGTGTGCTGGAAGGATCGGGTCTCATGGTCGCGACGGTCGTCAACGACCAGTCTTACCGAGTCGAGTCGCAGTCTTTCGAAAAGACCCAGGCTGAAGTCATGGAAGTCCTACGAAGCATGTACGGACCGGCGATCCCCGAGCCGACCCATCTTTGGTACAAGCGGTGGGGACAAACTCCTTGGTAGGTTTATGTTGTTTCAGCGCCACATCTCCCAGGATCATCACTGACAGCACCAGGGCGTATGGATCCTACTCGAACTGGCCCCCATCCACCAGTCTGCAAGGACACCAAAATCTGCGCGCGAACGTCGGCAATCTTTTCTTCGCCGGCGAGGCGACCAGCCAGGAATTCTTCGGTTATCTGCAGGGCGCCTACTTTGAAGGCAAGCATGTGGGCAGCTTCATCTCTGAGTGCGTGCGGAAGACTGGAAACTGCACGATCACGGACGAGCAGCAGAAGTATCCTGTTTTGACGGGGGTGACCCCGTACAACCTGTATAATGAGGAGCATGGATGGTTTGTGGATACGGTTTCCTGATCTACTCGTGCTGATTGTACGGAGTACCTGATTCAGGAAGGGTGACTCAGGTACTTGAATATGTACTGTGAGTGGGTCTTGGTTTATTGTTTGTCAAGATAAATAGTGTAATATTGTTGATGCATGGACTACCTGATGCTAGCACTCATCAGGTAGGAGGATGATAATTCTTTTTTTGAGAGATTGGGATAGCTTCTGATTTGAAGAATATGCAAACATCCTCGTTTTTCCTCTCCTTCAGAGTGTTTTTATTTTTTCCCTAATATAAGCCATAGCTGTTTTAACCCTTTACTGTTAATAATAAAAAATTGCAGGACAGATTTGTTGTACTTGATCTCTTCTAGTGCAGTTCTTTAATTGATCTATTCAATCTAATAGATCTAGATGAGATAGAAATTATATAACTAGTATACTACCAGGACTTTTGCCAGTAGAGAGAAGAAAACTAAATAGATAAGATACTAGTAGTCTGTAGATACTAATATCTTAAGATGGTCTCTTGCACGGATAAACATCTGATATCTGTGAGAAGAGGCATCTTATAACAAGATAAAGTTGATTAATCTAGTTTACCTCTGGCTAAATCAATGAGCCCATATGAAAAGCACTTAAACAGTCTCTACTTGTCACAGAAAGGGCCCTATCACAACCTGGATATGACCCTAAAGACCTTGCAGCCGTCACATCAATGACTCCGTATAGACACTATCAATCCGTGGATCCCGATAACGATAAGATAAAAATTTCCCTTCCAAACTCCCCCACCACCACCATCAATCATCCCACACAACACCATGTCGTTGAACGTCATCGCCCTCATCTCAGGGGGCAAAGACTCCCTCTACTCCATCCTCCACTGCATCCGTAACGGTCACAATGTCGTCGCCCTCGCCAACCTCCACCCCGCACCCTCCCCCAATGCCCCTCACACCTCCGAATCCGGCGACCAAGGACAAGAACAAGAGGAAGAAGACATAGACAGCTTCATGTACCAAACCATCGGCCACAGCATCATCCCCCTCTACGAGAAAGCCCTCTCTATCCCTCTCTACCGAGGCGCCATCGCCGGTTCCGCAGTCGACACATCGCGCATCTACCGTTCAAACGACCCCACCCCCACCCAACCAGCCGACTCAGGCTCAAACACCCCCACCGACTCAAACGAAGACGAAACCGAATCCCTCATCCCCCTCCTAAAGCGCATCCTCCAAGCCCACCCAGAAGCCAACGCCGTCTGCGCCGGCGCCATCCTCTCCACCTACCAGCGCACGCGCATCGAAGACGTCGCCGCCCGTCTGCGTCTTACCCCGCTCGCCTGGCTATGGATGTACCCGTCTCTTCCCGGGGCGGAGCTTCTGTCAGATATGGCAGCCGTGGGTTGCGAGGCGCGCATTGTGAAGGTTGCGTCGGGGGTCTGGACGAGGGGTTCTTGTGGGGTGATGTTGCGGATGGGATGGGGAAGACGCGGCGGTCGTTGGAGCGTGTTATGGGGAGGTTTGTGGGTGGGAAGGAGTTGAGGGGGCAGTGCTTGGTGAGGGGGCGAGTATGAGAGTTTGGCGATGGATGGGCCGGGGTTCTTGTGGAGGGGGGGAAAGATTCAGGTTGAAGGTGTGGAGGTTGGGGTTGGGGAGGGGGGTGTTGCGTTTTTGAGGCTGAGGGGGGCGAGGGTTGTTGAGAGGGGGGAAGGCGAGGGAGATGGGGTTGTGCCGGCGAATGTGAAGAGGCCGGATTTGTTGGATGCGCCGTTTGAGGCTGTGTTGGGGGGTTGGAGGGGGTTCGGGAGAAGGGGCTCGCGGAGGAGGAGGGTATTGTTGGCACCATGGCGGTGCCGGAGGTCTCCCAGGCAAGGGACAACACAACGTGGACGATTTCCAACGTCACTGCGCCCGAGGCTGGTCCTGGCGCCGGCGAGCAGATGGACGCGATCGCCACCAAGATACGTGCGCTACTAGGCGAGACGAGAACCCCCTCGGATATCGTCTTTACGACGGTCCTGCTGCGCGACATGGCCGACTTCCCCGGCATGAACGCCGTCTACAACTCCCTGTTCGACAAGCCCAACCCCCCCGCGAGAGCTACGGTCGCGTGCGGAGACCGACTACCGCACGGCGTCCAGGTCATGGTGTCGCTGGTGGTGGACCTGGGCGCGAGAGATATACGACTCGGCCTCCATGTGCAGTCGCGGTCGTACTGGGCCCCAGCGAACATCGGCCCGTATTCGCAGGCCCTGTCCATCCCGCTACAGGGCGCAGAGCGCCTCGTCTACATCGCCGGCCAGATCCCGCTGGAGCCGGCGTCTATGGAAGTGGCCGGGTTGGAGAAGCCGTGGGCCGAGGGGTATGCCCTGCGAACTGTGTTGTCGCTGCAGCATCTGTGGCGCATTGGGGCAGCCGTGCAGGCGACCTGGTGGTTGGGAACGGTGGCTTTCGTGACCGGGAGCGAGAACATCGAAACTAAGGTGAAGATGGCATGGCGGTCGTGGGCCGCCATGCACCGTCCCCCATGCGACGACGACGCGGACGAGGAAGAGCCGACGCTGGACGCGTGGGACATCAAGTATGGCCGTCGAGCGCCCGAGCAAACGGAGACGGAAGACCCTACGCTCCCCGACTTCACGCTCGTCGAGTCGGACGTCCTGGTTCCGCCGTTCCTCGCCGTCCAGGTCGAGCAACTGCCGCGCGGGAGCGACATCGAATGGCAGGGTCTAGGCTGCCAATGCAACGGATTGAAGATGGCCGCTCAGGACTGCGACCACGGACGCCAGACCGACACGACCACGTCCCACGGTCTGCGCTATACAGGGATCGAAATCGACCACGGCGCGGAGCTGGAGAAATGTCTGCAAGGGGTGCTGGAAACCTTCTCCGAATCCGACGGCCAACACGCCGTTCTCTATACCTCCCAGCCGCTGTCATCCACCTGGCCGGGGCAGATTGTGCCTTGTCGGTCCGTCTGGGGCCAGCACGGACGGAAACTGGCGGCGGGGATCTTCTTCCAGCGACACATTGCCACTCGCTAAGGAAAATATACCCCCCTTGTACATAGCGGGTCATTCAAACGCCTGGACTCTGACCCAGGGAGGCGAAGTCTATTATTGGCATGGGTCGTCTGATATGAGCCAAGATCGGTCCCGAGAACGTGCAGTAGGATATCATGACCGTCACGATGATTCGTGGGGAGGGATCCAGCAGTCGCCATCATTGCCATCTGTGCACGGAGTCCATCATAGACATTTTACGTTAGATCAACTTATATTAGAATCAATCAATCATGGTGGAGATACTACGGTACATAGTAGTAAATGACAAACGGTCTGATCCTGTTGATGACATGTGATTCCCGCATCAGTCTTAGTCCGACTTGTTTCTCACTCCAACTTCTCAGCGAACCATTCGGTCTCTCGTCTCTGCTTCTTGCTTCTGAAATTTACAGAAATCTGCAATTTCACAGCACGAACTGATTAACTTTATTCTCCACCTAGATCAGTCTCACTATGTCCCTGGTCTAGTCTTATTCATCTACCGTCGGTCTGCTCACACGACCTCCGCTCCTCTCCGATCCCCTCTCGCATCCCGCCCCCCCGTTTCGTCGACATGACGTACTCGTCTTAGATCTCGATCCATCACACATTCATGGGGTTATGGCCTCTTCACAAAGCCAGGAGGAAGAAAGGTCGCGACACTCGCCAGACCCAGGCCTCACCGTTCCAGACCCTCTCCGACGGCTATCCCGGTCGCCGCACCCATACCATCGCCAGGGCGGCCAGTGCCTGGACCCCCAGCCGACCGACCGCCGGACATCCCTCTACGCTTCCAAAACCTCCAGTGACAGTGGCACCGAGGCCGACGATGAGAGCACCGGCTTGCTCAGGGGCCTACCCGCGCCGCCCCTGCGACCGCGCAAAGGACTCCGCGCGGTCGGCGACTACCCCCACGACTCGTGGCTCCCCGTCCAAACGCGGTCCACCTCACGGAGCTCGCGGAGCTCGCGTCGGAGCTCCAGCGAAGAGGCGGAACTGGAAGCCTGCGAGCTGCGAGAAAAGGCGTCTCGGAAACGACGACTGGAGGTTCTACGGAGGTTGCTGGAAACCGCCCTGCTGTTGTCGGTGGGGGCGGTGGTGCTGCGCCCGGAGAGCGTGAGGGCTGTGGCTTGGGCGTGGAGGAAAGGTATGCCTGGTTCTATGTGCGCGATAATGGAAGGATGATTTGCTGATTGATGCTGTGTGGTTAGAGCTCCTGGCGTATGTGCTTACGGTCGTCGGGCTGTATGCGGCTTATCCCCTGAGGCGGGGAGGCCGTCTACGACTGTCCAAACTCTCGAGCTTCGCGATCCCGTCCAGTTTCGATCCCGCCCCGCTGCTATACCCCGTTATTCTACCCGTCTACGTGGCGCTCTCCCTGTCGCATCGGGACCTGCCGCTGGTGTTGCCCAATATTCTCCTGAGCCTGGCGTCCCTGCCAACGCCCGTCGTGCCGCTGCATGAGTGGTTCCACGGCGGCAGCGTGGCCCATTGGATGGTGACGCTGGTCCCGGTGCTCGTCTCGGAGCAGTGGTCGGCCGACCACACGACTCCCACCCCCCTCTCGCTCCGCGGCCTCAGCGCCGAGCAGCTGACCCTTCTTTTTCCGTTACATCAAGCGTTGATACCCACTCTAGATTTCTTGTTGACGACTAGTGTCCTCCCCGCGGAGTTGCAGCTGCTGACCGCTGCGCTAATGAATCTGTTTCTATACGCCGCCTCCCCGCAGGCGGAGATCCTCAAGGCCCTCCTGTGGCTGGGCGGCCTGTGTCTGCTGGTCTCGTGTCGCCAGGTGCTCCGCTGGGAGGTGGCCCTGGCCCGGATTCCCACCTGGAAGTTCCGTCGGGCCCCGAGCGGCGCGCAGTCGCCCAAGGGGCTCCTAAACGCCATCGACCATAGACTGTGCCAGAGGCTGAGTCGCGCGGGGTCATCGGAAGAACCCATGTCGGACAGCGACAGCCTCGAGGGTCGTAAACTGGTCCCCCGCCGGACCATGCACGACTACCGCGCGAAGACCCGTGCGCCCGAACCACCGGCGGCCCAGAACGGCGTCGCCAACGGAGCGACCCCCAAGCGACCCCGGGTGACGTCGCGCCGCCACACCATCGCGAGCGTCGATGACGCACGCGTCCGCACCACTCCCAGCGGCCGACGCAAACGCTCCATGGCCCCGGGGCTGGCGTCGTTCCTCGCCCTGACGGTGCCGCAGGCGCAGGTGCGTCGATGGCTGTACGCGCTCTACGCCTACGCCGTGGCAGTCATCACCATAATGGGCCCCGTCCGGCGGTACGTGGGGCAGCGCGCCCTGTCAGGCGCAGAACCCTTCGGCTGGGCGATCGGCTACCTGTTCGGGAACATCTCTGGGGTGCGATTCTGGACCCTCATGTGGAATCTAGACCACTGGGTCGCACTACCTGCGCGCCCGGACCTAGACGGCGCCACCTGCACCCTCGGGTGGGTAGAGCGCCTGCGGCAGACGACCTTCGGCGAGGCCAACACGCGCCTCCTCATCGCAGCCTACTGCGTGGTCGTCATCCTCGCCGGCCTCGCCGTAGTGCTGCAGCTCAGCGCGGTAGCGGAAGTCGACACGCGACGCAAGGTCTTCCACGGCATGATGGTGCTGATGTTCCTGCCAACAGTGTACATCGACCCGGCCTTCTGCGCGCTAGCGCTCGCCCTCGTCCTGACCGTCTTCCTGCTGCTAGACCTGTTCCGCGCGTCGCAGCTCCCGCCCATCTCCCGCCCGCTGACCTACTTCCTGGCGCCGTACGTCGACGGCCGCGACCACCGCGGACCCGTCATCGTATCCCACATCTTCCTCCTGATCGGGTGCTCGATCCCGCTCTGGCTCTCGCTGGCCGACCTGCCGCGGACGGGCGATCTGCCGTGGTCCGGCTGGGAGGTCGTGTCCCGGGACGTCAGCATGGTCAGCGGGATCGTGTGCGTGGGGATGGGCGACGCCGCGGCGTCGCTCGTCGGCCGGCGCATCGGCCGACTGAAGTGGTTCTGGGGCGGGGGGAAGTCCCTCGAAGGCAGTCTGGCTTTTGCCGCAGCGGTGACGGTTGGGCTGCTGGCTGCGCGGGCGTGGCTCGCCGTCGGCGACTGGTCTGTCTCCGGAGCGGAGACGTCCACCGTCTGCTGGCCGATAGCGGTGCTGCAGGCGGTCTTGGCGGCGGGCGGGACGAGCGCGACGGAAGCGATCCTGACGGGGTGTAACGATAACGTGGTGGTGCCTATTGTGCTGTGGCTGTTGGTGCGAGGGTTGGGATTATGATTGGTCTAGCACTAGGTATTTACTAGTACTAGGTACCTACATCGGTACCAGGGCTACCTGGGTACCTAACATGCAGCGACTGGTCCAGTAGGTTGATTTCTGTTCATGATATCCTTGTTCTTGCTTTAGCGGCTTGAGGATGTGGTTGTACTTCTTTTCTTATCTTTTCTATGCCTATTCCTATATCCCCTGTTTATTATTTCTCCTCACATGTCTTCTCTCCCTGATCTCATTATTTTGTCTTTTCTATCTTTATTATGTTTATTATTTTTTTTCTTCCTTTTTCCATCATATTTTCCCCCTGAGATTGATGTATGAGTGGCTCCTTACGACTACCTACGACGAGACGAGACGTGAGACATGGAGCACATGACCGGCCTGATTATAGACTGATACACTGGAGTCGCATATAGATAGAACTATCGTTGAATCGGATCCGTTCTACTCCGTCGTATTCTCTAGTCTCGTAGTAGGTAGTAAGTAGTGCCTTGTACCTAGGTACCTACTAGGTACCTGCTACTAGGTACTCAATTGTAGGCACAGCAAGTACCAGGAAGTATCAGGATCGCCACCGTTATCAGTCGATCCAGTGACTAGTAGCTAGTGGCAAGGTCACCTGGTCTCTTTACGGTATTAAGGTATTATTACACTTAGGTATGATACATACTCCGTCAGTCAGTCGCATTACTCATACGTCCACTGATTATATCATAAGCATCCTATCAACCTACCTTTTACCTATATACCTCCCTGTAGGTAATATAGCACGATCTCCCTCACAGAATGAGTGGCGTCTATACTAATGACACAATCACGGTGGCGCGGCAGGTCACGTACGGTATTGGGCTGACATAACCAGGCACTGATGGTGATTGGGTGGTGGATGCCTGGCTCCACCGCTTATCTCTCCGCATTTGAGGATGGAATGAGAGTCTGGGAGGTCTGAATAGGTGGAATCGTATAAGTTGGGGGGATGGAATAGTGTTAGTGTAGTGTTATTATTGTTCTATCTTGTCTATTATTTGAATCAAATATTCTTATTCTAATTTCATTGTTATATATTTGATTGTTTGTAGGGAGTATGTATTTATAGAGGGTGAAGAGACCCGCTGACCGCCTAATCATCACGATCGTTATCGGCGGTCACATTACCTTCGACTCCGATCCTTGGTTGTTGCTTTCAACTCCTATCACATCATCTTTCTCTCTACTTGCCTCTTCTTCTTTCTCGACTCTACTTTATTTGACTCTACTTTATACTACTCTACTCGACTCTCCTCGACTATACTCTCCTCTAGTCGACTATACTACACTATCTACTCTCCACTTCTCTACGATCACGTCCTACCTCTACGGCTCCATCTACTACTCCATCTACTGCAGCGTCTACTGCGCTGTCTACTCCATCGTCACCCTTCCATCTCCACTCTCAGTAGAGCTTATCATCGCCGCAGACTGACTCCTCGACTTTAACTCTGAATTCCTTCCATCTCATCCAGAACGGACAACATTGTCCCTCGCTTGACTCATATCTCAGCCTGACCGGATCCACCCTTCCTCCTCCCTCCTCCGCATACAATCACATCATTTCGTTCAGTTCACCTGCATTGATCGACCCGCTTCTGCCTTCCTCTATCACTCTATTGACACCCCTATGGGCTCATCCGTCTCCCTCTCGTCGCTTCTGCTGTTGAGGTAGTTGTGTGGAGACGGGGGCGTTCGTTGGTTCCGGATCTCCCTCTCGGACACCGCCCACGCCCTGCTGCTGTCATGTCGTCGGCACACCCCTCGAGGAGGTCCAAGGACCCCTCCCGGACCGAGTTGGCCATTGGCCGCTACACGAGACTCGATGAGATCGGCCGCGGAAGCTTTGCCACAGTCTACCAAGGCGTACATACCGTGAGTCCCGACACTCCCCCGGAGCCTCGTCCATCGGATTCGCAGCTGACTGCTGGCTTGTCGCAGAAAACACGGACCTACGTCGCCATCAAGTCCGTCAACCTATCCAAGCTCAATAAGAAACTGAGGGAGAACCTCTCCTCGGAAATCCACATCCTCAAAGGTCTCTACCATCCCCATATCGTCGCCCTCATCGACTGCCATGAGACCACTTCCCATATCCACCTCGTCATGGAGTATTGCGCCCTCGGCGACCTGTCCCTCTTCATCAAGCGCCGGGATACCCTGGGCGACCATCGCTACACCCGGGACATGATCGCCAAGTACCCCAACCCCAAGGGGGGCGCCCTCAACGAGGTCATCGTCCGCCACTTTCTCAAGCAGCTGGCCAGTGCCCTCCAATTTCTGAGGGCTCGACATCTCATCCATCGCGATATTAAGCCCCAGAACTTACTTCTCTGCCCGTCGCCGTCCTCCTACAAGCACGCCAAGCCGCAGGTCGTCCCCTTCAAGGGCAGCGAGGACTCGTACAAGCCCACCACGGGCTTGGAATCCCTCCCCATGTTGAAGATCGCCGACTTTGGCTTCGCCCGTTCGCTTCCCGCCACGTCCCTCGCCGAGACCCTCTGCGGCTCGCCCCTCTACATGGCCCCCGAGATCCTCCGATACGAGAAGTACGACGCCAAGGCCGATCTCTGGTCCGTCGGAACCGTGCTCTACGAGATGGTCGTCGGCAAGCCGCCCTTCCGCGCCGCGAACCACGTCGAGCTGCTGCACCGCATCGAGAAGGGCGAGGACCGCATCAAATTCCCCGAGGAGAACCCCATCTCGAGCGAGATCAAGGCCCTGATCCGCTCTCTCCTCAAGCAGAACCCGGTCGAACGGTTGAACTTTGGGGACTTCTTCCTGAACCCCATCCTCGAGGAACCCATTCCGGGCATTGTTTCGGACGACACGTCCAACGTGCCCGCCCAGGTCTCGACTGCCGCCGAGCCGGGCGAGCCAGCTTCTCGGCCTCGGACAGCCACCCCCGTTAGTTCGAGGCGCGAGAAAGAGGCAGCGGCGTATGCGGAGAGACGGGATGAGTCAACTGGATATCCGTCCCGGCGGCATAGCACGCAGCAAGCCCGCGTGGGGACCCCGCCCGCGTCGGCGCCGATGCGCAGGGTCGGGAGTGCCGACCGCCCCGTCTCCAAGGGGGCTGCGCCCTCCACGCCGCCACAGCGCCCGAATCCCGTCGCCGTGGCCACCGCCCCGGGACGCCAGGAGTTCACGGATCGCCACGCGGCGGCCACCGCCGTGGAGCGCCAACGGAGTCGCAAGACGTACGGGACATCCGCGCCGGCCGACCAGCCCACCGACCCGTCCCAGGAGCAGCGGGAGTGGGCGGCCCAGGAAGTCGCCTTTGAACGGGACTACGTCGTGGTCGAGAAGCGGGCCGTCGAGGTGAATGCCTTTGCCGACGAGCTGGCCCATAACCCGCGCATCCACGGTGCGTATCCCCGCGGGGGACAGACGGGGGGCGGTGCACTGCCCCGCCGGTCCACCACGCAAGGCACGTCGGCGCCCGTGTCGACCTCGCCGCAGGGCGCGACCCCCGGAAAAGCCATGCAGGTGGTCCCGGGACGGTCGCGGGTCGACTCGACGCACGTCCGGCAGAACTCGTACGAGCGGCGGTACGCGCCGAGCCCGACGTCGGCCATCTCCAAGGCGCTCAACATGGCCAGCGGCCGGCTGTTCGGCGTGGGGTTCTCGCCGCCGATGGCCATCTCGAAAGGGGGGCGGTCGCCCCCGCTGGCGTACAACCCGTTCCCGGCGTACCCGTCCGCCCCCGCGCAGATGATGCTCGTGGGCGATTCGTCGCCCAAGGCGACGCCGGTTATGGATGAGGAGGCCAAGATCGTGCAGGCGATCGAGGAATGTGCTACCCGCAGCGACGTCGTGTACGGGTTCGCCGAAGTCAAGTACAAGCAGCTCATTCCGCTGGCGCCGTCGATGCAGCCGCCCGATCCGCGGGGCAAAGCCACCGACCGGGACGCGGGCGACTCGACGGACGGGGGGCTTACGGTCGACGCGGTGGTGACGCTGTCCGAGGAAGCGCTGGTTCTCTACGTCAAGGCGCTGTCGCTGCTGGCCAAGTCGATGGACATCGCGGGGGCGTGGTGGAGCCGCAAGAACCGGGGCGACTCGTTTGGCGACGCGGCGACCACGCGCAACGACTCTAGTAGCGCATTGGTGGGCAACCGCATCAACAACGTGGTGCAGTGGGTGCGCTCGCGGTTCAACGAGGTGCTCGAGAAGGCGGAGTTCGTGCGGTTGAAGCTGCTTGAGGGGCAGCGACGGCTGCCGCCGGACCACCCGAACCACCCTGGCAACCTGTCGGTCGACTCGACGATGGCCTCGGGGGGGTCGATGGACGTGGTTGTGAGCCCTGGGGTGACGGCAGAGAAGCTGATGTACGACCGGGCACTCGAGATGAGCCGGGCGGCAGCGATCAACGAGCTTACGAGCGAGGACCTAGCGGGGTGCGAGATAGCCTACGTGACGGCGATACGGATGCTAGAAGCGGTGCTCGATGAGGAGGACGATGCGCGGCCGACCAAGGGCGATCGCCGGCCTGATGGGGGAGCGACGGAAGACCGCCAGGTGGTTATTAAACGTATGTCCCTATCTATTCATTTTCTATATAAACAAACCCGCTCACAGTGTCTAGTGGTGTCTAGCATCCGCTCGCGATTGGCGTCCCTTCGGAAGAAGCTCGCCGTGTTGGCAAAACGACATACGCCGCCGAGCGGGCCGAGCAAGGGGCTGGCGTCACACACGGCCCCTGCATCCCCGGCCGGCATCCCGTCTCGATAGATGGCTGCCGTCACCGATTAGAGTTACCCTCATTTACCCTCGCAGCATGCGGGACCATGCTGCGCTGATGTCTGTCTTTTGGGTTTGCTTTCGACTATATGTAATGACGATGCTTTTATTTGCTTGCTGTTTTTTCTATTTGGACTACGAGATATACGCCGGACAGGATGCATTGTTCATTTGGCGTTAGTGGGGGATGGGATACAGACTGCCAGCCAGGTTGGATATGATTGATGACTTGGGTCATCCGGTGTTAGGTTTTGACTTGAATTATCTGATGTGGTTGACTGCTGATGCGCGTGGGATTGTATAGTACATAATCCATTATACATCTACCTACTACTTACATATGGTGACAGACTAGACTTAACCCAGTGGGTCTGACAACCACCACCACAACTACGGCCTCCGTAGAATTCACACAATGTCAACATTAACCCAGCGATGGCGTGATTGATTTCTGTGTGTCATGGGCCATCGGGGACTCGGGCAGACTCTGGGTCAAGTGGAGCCTCCGACGGAGCCAAGACCGCGCCTTTTGCCATTATCGCTTCGGGCCCTGAGAAGAGAATTCTGCATGGGGCTTATAATTGGCTGAGGGATTTTAGATGGTGGGTATATACGCCGGTAGACAGATGGATGGGATCTTTGATGGCGAATTTGGCTGTCAAGCTGAGCTTGCGGGCAATTTCTTTTCTTTCGTCTGTCATTCATTCTTTATTCTTCTTGACTCTGTCAGAGTTAACCGTTGCCGAGTATAGCGACTGGTAGTCATCTCTGGCTACTATATACTCATTGAAGACGCGATCGCTCGTTTGCGTCTATATACACGTCACTATTGTCTGGGATTGGATTGCATCAAAACTAACCCTAGCACACCATACACTACATTATCCCCGCTACGACTCGATAGCGGTATATAACTCAGTCGGAAACGCCTACCGAGTCTACGTTTATACGTCTATACATCTACACAGAGACAAATCCCTATAGGGATAAGGATAAAGAAAATGACCGACGCGGTCACCGAATCCGCCTACCAAAAGGGTCTGATACCCGACGCGAAGCCAGTCGACGACGCGCCGCGCCGAACGGACGGTGTTTCGCAGCTCTGTATGCTTCCCTCTCTTTATCACCGATTCTACTACGGACAGCACCGATTCCACGAACAAAGCTAACTATAAAAGACGAAGGAAATGTCTTCGACGCCACCCCCGACGACAGACGCCAGATCGGCGTCATCAGCGCCTCGTTCCTCATCTTCAACCGCGTTATCGGCACGGGCATCTTCGCTACCCCGAGTACTATCCTCTCGCTGTCAGGGAGTGTTGGCTTGTCGTTGATTATGTGGGTTGTGGGAACGTTGATTGCGATGGCTGGGACGGCGGTTTATCTTGAGTGGGGGACTGCTATTCCTAAGTATATCCCTCCCTCCTCCTCTTCCATCTCTCTAGAGGAGAGTAGGACATGCATACTAATAAGGATGTAGGAATGGCGGCGAAAAGAACTACCTCGAATACGTCTTCAAAAAGCCCCGCTTCCTCGCAACAGCGATGTTCGCCTCCTACGTGGTCCTCCTCGGCTGGGCAGCCAGCAACAGCGTCGTCTTCGGCGAATACATCCTGAACGCAGCAGACGTGGAAGTCGGACGGTGGAACCAGCGCGGGATCGGTCTGGCCTGCGTGACCGCCGCGTTCCTCATCCACGCCACGGCCGTCAAGTGGGGTCTGCGGTTGCAGAACTTGCTTGGTGTGATCAAGCTCGTTATTATCGTGTTTGTGGCTGTGGCCGGCTGGGTTGCGCTTAGTGGGCGCATGCATCTTGAGACCCCGCCGCATAATTTCCGCAATGCGTTTGAGGGGACGACGGGGAGTGGGTATGGGATTGTGATGGCTTTGTATAACGTCATTTGGTCGTTTATTGGGTACTCCAACGCGAACTATGTATGCCCCCCCCCCCGCCTCCCCTTTCTATACACCGACAGACATTTTGAGAACAGTCTGGGAAAAGGAACAAGTTGCTAATAGCTATACAGGCCCTAAGCGAAACCAAGAACCCAACCCGCACGCTGAAGATCGCCGCTCCTCTCGCCATCGGCGCCGTCGGCATTCTCTACATGCTCTGCAACATCGCGTACTTCGCGGCTGTGCCGAAAGCGCAGTTCCTGGAATCCGGACAGACCGTCGCGGCGACGTTCTTCGGGAACATGTTTGGCGCGCGCGCGGAGAAGGTGATGTCTGTTTTTGTGGCGCTTTCTGCGTTTGGGAATGTGTTGTCTGTGATTTTCTCGCAGGGACGAAGTATGTTTCTTCTTTTCTATGGGGTTTCTTTGAGATGATGGCTAATGGGTTTGTTATAGTTGTGCAAGAAATGGGCCGTGAGGGTATCTTGCCCTTCAGCAAGCTCTGGGCTAGTAACAAGCCGTTCAATGCCCCCGCGGCTGGACTGTTCGAGCACTGGGTTGTGTCGGTCATTATCATGCTTGCTCCTCCGCCAGGCGACGCCTACAACTTCCTCGTCAAGTACGTTTCCCTTCCCCCCCTTTCCCTCCACCTCTCCCCAATAGACACCAAACTAACAATAACCAAGTCTCATCTCCTACCCCCTCTCGATCGTCAACTGCTTCGTCTCCGGCGGCCTCATCTACATCTACCTGACGCACAAGACCAACTTCCCCGACTGGGCACCAGGAATCAGAGCCACGCTCCCGGTGACGATCTTCTTCTTCCTGTCGAATTGCTACCTCGTCGTCGCGCCGTACGTGCCGCCCACGCCAGACCAGAACGTCTACAAGGAGCTGCCGTACTACCTGCACTGCGTGGTGGCGGTGGCGATCTTCGCGCTGGGCGCGGTGTACTGGGTTGGATGGTCGGTTGTGTTGCCCAAGCTCGGGGGGTATCTGTTGGTGAAGGAGACTGTTGTTGATGCGGACGGGTGGTCGAGGAGTGTGTTTACGAAGTTGCCGTTGGGGAGTGAGAGGGAGGTTGGGGATTTGGAGTAGATGGTTGATTGGGGGGAGACCAGCTGGTCTGGTCGGTTTGTTTATTTGTTTGGATTGTTGATAGATTTGCGATGTTGGATATACAGTATGTTGAGTATATAATATTATTATCATTGGATATGATACCGTTCAATTACAAAGTATACTATGTATTAAATCCACTAAGTCCATACTAATACTAATAAAAAACAGAAATAAAAATAAAAATAATGATAAAAAAGAATGTCCCAACGCTCTATGGAAGCCCATTCAGATTATAATCATGAGCCCCTCAAACGGGTTGGTCACGGTCTGGCAAGCTCTTACCATACTATAAGATATAATATAGATAAGACAATGCAGCTGCCATAGACAATAAAGTCCGACAGACGCAGGGGTGGCTTGCGTGAGAATGTATATGTATGGAGGAGGAAAGGAGAGAAGGAGAGATTTTGCAGAAAGACTAGGGGGAGATTGATGGTCAGCTGACGGGGTTGCCCTAGCCCTAGATACTTGGCCTGATGTCTATGCCTGAGGTGTGTATTGTCTAGGCTTGGTGCCTGAGGATTGGTTATGACGTCATTGTTGGTCTTATGCATCAACATCAACCCAGCCAAAGACAATCCTCATCAAGTAGCACTACATGGATTCTGGATGGATGTTGCTAATTTTCACAGTATCATGGACAAGGAGTAGTAAATCTATCCAGTCTTTCACGATTGAAGCTGTATTGTCTGTTGATTTACTATAATACAGGCGAAGTAAGCATCTCCGTCTTCCACTAGGCAGGACGGTCTCGTTTTTGAGAACTGGACCCAAACTATCTGAGCTCCTCTCTTCTCCAAGAGTTACAAGAGATAAGCTGACCCGGTGAGTTAGAAATTTGTATTAGATTTGGTCTAGATCATTATAGTTGGGTCCTATTCTCCACAGCCACTCGTAATCCTTCTACACGACCTGTATGGTTGCTAGATAGGTCTTGCTAGATTATGCAGCTCCATATAACCCTAAACCATCGTCAGCCAGCAGTGCTTACAGCGTTGCTTCAGGTGGATTGGGGCGGATTCTAGGTGGGGTTGGCCCCATTCTGGCCGGTTGGGGGCTGCAGAATCCGTCTCGGACCGAACCCGGTCAGATTGCGGATTCAATATCAGATTGATATATGAATGTAATTGTTCTAGCTATCTAGATTCGACAAGTAACTTGGTTGCTCTCTTCTTCTTTTCTCATCATCTATATTGGTCAAAGTAAGTTGTTGATATCAGTCAGTTAAGCGCTATGCCAACGTTGGTCAATATTGGTGTAGCGAAGATAAGTTATAATGAAATGCTCAATTATGTCTTGGCTCATAACTGAACATGTCAGCTCGATTGCATGTCCTAGTGTAGATTGATAATCTCACTGTAATCACTAATGTTAGTGTGTCAATACCTGCCTAACGGCTAGTTTGGGGGCGGATCCTTATAGATCCACACCAGTTTCGAACATATATTATAGTTATACTATGCACATAGGAATCTATACTATAAGATAACAAATCCTGATCCTCGCCCAGCCCCGTTCGGAGTGACCCGCCCCCGGCCCCAACCGATCCGTCTGGGGGGGCGTCCGGGGCTTCCAGGCTGTCCGCACTCTAGCAATCGAGGCTTATAATCTATAAATATGGCTGGAAGATATTAAATGATATAGTTCTATTATTATCCACTTCCTCGAACTTTATACTAAGAGATTATAGTGTTTGGGGCCATGTAACTCGGTAGAGCCAGTTACATTCCACAATGGTGACACCACTGCAGTAAAGACATCACGAAACCTGTCCAGGGTGGGAAGGCTTACATGAATTGTGGGTATTCGCGTGTGGGATAGCTCTACAGGTTGCTGTTTATCAATAGAGTCTAGGATATATAAAGCTTACGGTACTCGAATAGTTATCAGGTATATAAAGCTCACTCAAATAATTATATAAAATCCAAGCAACATCCCCCAATCCGTGCCAGACTCCAAATATTCATACATACCACTTTATAATGAAGTCCATACAGGTAGAAAGCGCCTTCTCCTACCATGGCCTTGAAATCAACAAGGCCAACCACACAGAGGTCGTCAAATCACTCATCAGGAATTTCCTGGACGATGTCCAGTTCGACCGCTCCCTACCATTTCTCAAAGACCATGAGCAGGAGGTCGCAACGTGGACCTACTTCAAGAGTTTGAATCTTGGGCCACGGAATGAGAAAGCCGTGGAAAAGGTCCTCAAGCTTTCTTCCACGCTGGTCGAGCAATCTTATACTTCCCTGCCTTTTGAGGTTCGAGTGATCTGTACGATACAGGTTGTGTACATGTTTCTGGTGGATGATATTGCCGATGACTTTATGGAGGAGCTGCGGTGCTTTGGCCAGAAGTATGTTCACTTGATCAAGGACTGTTTTATTGATGATCCTAACGTCCTACAGTTTTATTATGAACAACGGCCATAAACACCCCCTGCTCAGCAGATTCGACAGCCATTTACGATATCTGGCTCGGTATTACGGTCCGTATTGTCATTCGACCATCATCAAGTCGATCTTCGATTATATAAACGGGCGGATTATCGAACACGAGATGGAACAAACCCGCTTCACCTTTCCTGCCGATTCGAGCTTAATGCCTGTGTTTCTCCGGGGGAAAGTCGGCGCTGCGGAAGTCCTGGTGGCAATGCTATGGCCCAAGACTCTCTTCCCGGAGGACAAGTACTTGATGCAATACTTTCCGATTACCCAGGAGCTGATCACGTTCATCGACTTCACCAATGACATCCTGTCGTATTATAAGGAGTTTGTGATCCGAGACGAGAAGGGGAATTTTGTGTCGAATTTCGCAGAGACGCATAACATGACTTATTTGGATGTGTTACGGCATCTTACCAGCTATACTCCCAAGGTCGGTTCCATCTGACAGTCCACATAGAGGGATTGAAGCTAACTTATACTCTCCAGGTGTTGATGTCCGTGTACAAAACCCTCCAAGATAAAGAATCCCTCCTCCATCCCGTACAGGACTTTGTCAACGGCTGGATCATGTTATGTACGGCGCATCGACGGTATCACCTGGTGGAGTTATTTGCGGATGAGGGATACTTGCCTCCGTATGATGAAGATGCCTAATCTGTTATTTAACTCTTTTAATGTATATTATTCACCATTATACCCAGTAAACACGAAGTTGAGAGAAGAATGCGTCAGGTGATGTCCGTGCCCTAACTCAGGCACCTATGTGTGGCTGCCTGACTTCCTGGTGCCTGAGTGCCTGACTACCGATCTTAGTAGGCGGTGAGGCACTGACCGCCCGATACCCCCCGGCAATACGGACCGATTGTTCGATTTCTCCATCCAATTGACGTTGCATCGCGTCTCATTGTTCTTCTCCATTCATCTTCTTCCTCTTCTTTCTCTCCGTCATTCGTCCAAGTGGGGTTGTTTCTCCCCCTCTTTCGGATTCATTGGGTTCATGCGTCGCTTCCCCTCCCCCCGCTTACCGCTGCTCTCAGCATCCTCCCTCTCGCGTCCGGTCCGCTTTTCTCGCTCCCTCACCTCCGCTGCTCCCTCCGCTGCTCACCTCTCCCTCCGTCTTCCCTCGCGTCGTGCTCCTCGTGCCCCTCTTCCACAGGTTTTCAAGCGATACTGCTCCTACCGCAGAATGTGCAGCTCGCGCCGTGCCGAGGTGCCTTCGGGCTCCACCAACATCCAGGGCCGTGAGGTCCTCCCCACCAACGTCAAGCCCGTCCACTACGACCTCACTCTCGAGCCCAACTTCGAGACCTTCAAATATGATGGAACTGTGGTGATCGAGTAGGTTCATACGAGAAAGAAGATTAGGTCCAAGCTAACAGATACAGCCTCGAGGTCGCCGAAGATACCACCTCCATCGCCCTCAACGCCAACGAGCTCGACATCCAGAATGCCGTCGTCTCCGCCCAAGGCGCCGTCGTCACCTCCTCCCCCGAGATCGCCGTCGATGCGGACAGCCAGGTTGCGACCATCCGGTTCGCCGAGACCATCCCCGCTGGGACCACTGCCCAGCTGAAGCTCGCCTTCACCGGTATCCTCAATGACAACATGGCCGGCTTCTACCGCTCGTCCTACAAGCTGCCCTCCGGCGAGACCAAGTACCTCGCCTCCACGCAGATGGAGCCCACCGATGCCCGTCGGGCCTTCCCCTGCTTCGACGAGCCCGCTCTCAAGGCCAAGTTCACCGTCACTCTCATCGCCGACAAGGACATGACCTGCCTGGGCAACATGGACGTCGCCTCCGAGACCGCCGTCGGCGAGACCAAAAAGGCCGTCCGCTTCAGCACCTCCCCCCTCATGTCCACCTACCTGGTCGCCTTCATCGTCGGCCACATGAACTACATCGAGTCCACCGCCTTCCGGGTCCCCATCCGCGTCTACGCCACCCCCGATCAGGACATCGAGCACGGCCGCTTCTCCCTCGACCTGGCTGCCCGCACCCTCGCCTTCTACGAGAAGGCCTTTGACAGCGACTTCCCCCTGCCCAAGATGGACATGGTCGCCGTTCCCGACTTCAGCGCCGGCGCCATGGAGAACTGGGGTCTTATCACCTACCGCATCGTCGACGTCCTGCTGGATGAGAAGAACAGCGGCGCCTCCCGCAAGGAGCGCATCGCCGAGACCGTCCAGCACGAGCTGGCCCACCAGTGGTTCGGCAACCTCGTCACCATGGACTTTTGGGACGGCCTTTGGCTCAACGAGGGCTTCGCCACCTGGATGTCGTGGTACTCCTGCAACAGCTTCTACCCCGAGTGGAAGGTCTGGCAGACCTACGTCATTGACAACCTGCAGAGCGCTCTCTCCCTCGACTCGCTCCGCAGCAGCCACCCCATCGAGGTTCCCGTCAAGCGCGCCGACGAGATCAACCAGATCTTCGACGCCATCTCCTACTCCAAGGGCTCCTCCGTCCTGCGCATGATCTCCAAATACCTCGGCGAGGAGACCTTCCTGCAGGGCGTGCGTGACTACATCAAGAAGCACGCCTACGGCAACACCGAGACCGGCGACTTGTGGGCCGCTCTGGCCGCCGCCAGCGGCAAGCCCGTCGAGCAGGTCATGGACATCTGGACCAAGAACGTCGGCTTCCCGGTGGTCAGCGTCACCGAGGACCCGGCCACGTCGACCATCCGCCTGCGCCAGAACCGCTTCCTCCGCACGGGTGACGTGCGCCCCGAGGAGGACACCACGCTCTTCCCCGTCATGCTGGGCCTGCGCACGCAGAACGGCGTCGACGAGAACACCATGCTGCGCGACCGCGAGGCCGCCTTTCCCGTCCCCAATCTTGACTTCTTCAAGCTCAACGCCGACCACTCGGCCCTGTACCGCGCCTCATACACGCCCGAGCGCCTCGCCAAGCTGGGCCAGGCCGCCGCCCGCGGCCTGCTGACGGTCGAGGACCGCGCCGGCATGATCGCCGACGCCGGCGCTCTCGCCGCCTCGGGCTACCAGAGCACCTCTGGCATGCTGTCCCTGCTGCAAGGCCTCGACAGCGAGACCGAGTTCGTCGTGTGGAACGAGATCCTCACCCGCGTCGGCAGCCTGCGCGCCGCCTGGCTCTACGAAGACACCACCACCAAGGACGCCCTCAAGGCCTTCCAGCGCGCGCTCGTCAGCGCCAAGGCCCACGAGATCGGCTGGACCTTCACCGAGAACGATGGCCATATCGAGCAGCAGTACAAGGCTCTCCTCTTCGGCAGCGCGGGCCTCGCCGACGACCCCGTCATCGTGAAAGCCGCACAAGACATGTTCGCCAAGTTCGCCGCCGGCGACTCCAGCGCCATCCACCCCAACATCCGCGGCAGCGTCTACTGCATCGTGCTGAAGCACGGCGGCGCCGCCGAGTACGACGCCGTTCTGGACCGATCCCGCAACGCGCCCACCTCAGACGAGAAGACCACCGCGCTGCGCTGTCTCGGCGCCGCTGAGGATCCCGCCCTCATCCAGCGCACGCTGGGCCTCGCTATGAGCGACGAGGTCAAGAACCAGGACATCTACATGCCGCTGGGCGGTCTGCGCAGCAGCACCGTCGGCATCGATGCCCGTTGGGCCTGGATGAAGGCTAACTGGGATGCGCTGTATCAGCGTTTGCCTCCTGGTCTGGGTATGCTGGGCACGGTGGTGCAGTTGACGACGGCTAGTTTCTGCACGGAGGCGCAGTTGAAGGATGTTGAAGGATTCTTTGCCAATAAGGATACTAAGGTAGGCCCCCTCTTCTTCCTTCCCTTCCCTTCCCTTCCCTTCCCCTGCTTCTTTCATTCTCCCTCCCTTCTTCCCTCCCTTTCTCGATATTATCCCATTACTATACGAATATAATACTAATGCTAATAATAATAGGGCTTCGACCGCGCCGTCGAACAAAGCCTAGACGCTATCCGCGCCAAGGTCCACTGGGTGGGACGCGATCGGGGCGATGTCAGCTCGTGGTTGAGCGCGAATGGGTATCTGGGTGGTGGGAAGTTGTAATTGTCTTCTCTTGCCTTACCTGATTACCTGATCTGAAGTCTATGTAGTATACATAGGTAGATCGATTGATCAGGTCGATCGATCTGATCGGATTTACAGAGTCATAGATACATCTCTTCTCTCTCTTCCTCTCTTCCTCTCATCACTTCTACTCTCTATGTATGTGGACGTGTGTGTGTGTGTGTGTGTGTGTGTGTGTGTGTTGCTCTTCACTCTCATACTAGTAGTCGTCCTCTTTCGTACTACCAATAGATTTCTCTATCCAGAGCTGCATATAACTACCATCTATCTATCTATAAAATAACACCACTACCAATTCATCCCTGTCAATTCACCTCATACAATCTATACACACACATACATATCCCCTACATCTATACAATAGACACAACCAACACAACCAACAAAATAAAGAATTGAATCCATTCACGTATTTATTTATTTATTCATTCAATTAAATAAGTTCAGAAAGTGAAAGTCAGATAAGTAATCACCACCCCTTCCCAAACGGCTCATCCTTCTTACTAAATCCTCCCCCTCCACCACCACCACCACCGCCGCCGCGATTCGGCTTCGACTGCGCGGCTTCGTGCTTGCGCAGGTCCTCCGGGACGCGCGAGATGGGAGATTTCATGAGCATTTGTTTGAGGTCGTACCTTTATTATCATCATTAGCATGCTTTCTTTGGTTGATAAGGGTAGAAAACGATAGGGGGTATAAGGATAAAGGGGGGAAAGAAGGAAAACATACATAACATCCGAATCCTCACTCCCCAAGAACGTAATCGAAACACCGCTCTTGCCCGCACGACCCGTACGACCAATACGATGCGTGTAGCTCTCAATGCTGGTCGCCATGTTGAAGTTCACGACGAGACTCACGTCCGGAACATCAATACCACGACCCGCGAGGTCCGTAGCAACGAGTACATCTGTAGCGCCGCTACGCACAGAGGCGAGGGCCGCCTCACGCTGGTCCTGCGTTTTGCTACCGTGCAGTGTGACAGAGGAGTATCCCCACTGTTTGATTTCGCGGGCGATGGCGTCGCAGTTGCGCTTGATGTTGACGAAGACGATGATGGGGGGACGGAAGTCGCGCGAGGCGAGGATCTCGCCGAGGCGCTTCTTGCGCTTGTCTTCGCCGGAGATGAGCTCGACGCGCTGCTCGACGGTGTCGACTGCTTCGCCGGCGGAGCCGATTGTGACGATGGCTGGGCGGCGGAGGTATTTGCGGGCGATGCGCTCGACGGCGGTGGGCATGGTGGCTGTGTACATCATTGTTTGGCGGTAGTGGTGGGAGCGCATGAGGGAGGAGTTTTCGGCTTCGTCGGTGTCGGGTTTTTCGTTCGTTACGGGGAGGGCGTCGAGGATTTTGTTGACGGGTTCTTCGAAGCCGAGGTCGATCATGCGGTCTGCTTCGTCCATGATGATGTAGCAGCATTGGGAGAGGACGAGCATGCGGCGCTCGATGCAGTCGACGAGACGGCCGGGGGTGGCGATGATGATTTCGGCGCCGTCGCGGAGGGAGTAGGCTTGTTCTTCGAGGGAGTGGCCGCCGACGATGCTGACGACGTTGAAGCCGAGGGGCTGGGTGAATTTTTTGGCTTCGATTTCGATCTGCTGGGCGAGTTCGCGCGTCGGGGCGAGCACGATGGCGTAGGGCCCGTCGTTCTTGCGCCACTCGAATTCTTTGATGCTGGGGAGCTCCGCGATGTAGCAGAGGAGGGGGAGGAGGAAGGCGGCTGTTTTACCGGAACCGGTGACGGCCACGCCGATGAGGTCGCGCGATTGCATCGCGATGGGGATGGCGGCGCGCTGGATGGGGGTGGGCTCTTTGTAGCCGACGCGGTTGACGAGCTCCATGAGCTGGCTGGGCAGGCCGGACTCGTCCCATGAGCGCATGGGGTTGGGGACGGCGCCGCCCTTGGTCGCGATGTTGAAGTCCTCCTTGAAGATGCGCCAGTCGCGCTCGCGCATGTGCTCGAGTTTCTTCTCGCTCCAGTGCTTGTCGAGCTGGTTGCGCGTGCTGTCCTCGCGGCGGCGGCGCTCCATCTCGAGGATTTCGCGCGCGCGGATACCGCCCGCTTCGCGATCGCGGTCTTCCAAAGCTCGCGCGTACTTCTTCGTCAGCGAGTCCGCCACATCGTCGCCGAAGCCCGCCAGCCGGCCGCGGCCGAAAAAGTTGGCTTCGTGCCGGTGCTGGTACAGCGGGTTGTAGTCGCCGCTGGTGTCTTCCTCCGCGTTCCACTCGAAGTTGAACTTGCGGTCTGTCGTCCGCTTGCGCTTCTTCTTCGCGGAGAAGTTCGACGTCTGGTCTGCTCCCATGTACCGCTGCTTCACGAGCGCTGCCTGTGCAGTAGTCTCGTCCTCCTCCACGGACCGCTTCTCGCCTTTCCTGTCGCGGCCTTTGCCTCCCCGTTCGACTGGGCGCGTAGCTGCCGGCGCCGAGGGGGCGTCGCTGTTCCGCATCGCGCGGGGGCCTGTTGGGACTGATCGACTATCGCCATTGCGGGGGTACGAATTCGAAGAAGTCTCCACGCTGTCGTCAAAGCCATTCCCATTCGACGGGGTTCCGGACTTGCCCTTGCGGTCCGCCTCGACCTCTTTGGCGCGTTTTTCCAAGGCGATCTTTTCTCGTTGGGCTCGCGACAGAAATTTGGGCTGTTTGTATGAAACCATCAGTATCAATACCAGTATCATCCGACTTGAAAAGCCGGTCGTGATCAGCCATATAGTATAGACAGATAACCAACCTTAGCAGCAGCAGCATCCGCCTCCCTCTTCTTCCTCACCAAATCATCCACACTCAACGGCGTAGCCGCCGGCTTCTTCCCCCACCCGAGCTTCTTCTTCTTCGTTTCTACCGGTGGAGGCGCAGGCGGTGCATCTTCCGGCGGCGGCGGCGGTGCGGACACCTCGGGGGCGGCGGAGGAGCGGCGGAGTCCTCTGGGGGAGGCGGAGGCGGTGTCGGAGGACGCTCGATCGGCGAGGGGGGAGGGAGCCTCGTGGGATCCGGCGTGGATCCGTCTGGTACGAAGCCGTTCATGATGGGTGATGTGATGGTTATGATGATGTTGGAGGTGAGGTTGGAGATGGCGTCGGTCTTGGAAATTCTGCGGCGCGGAAGATGCGGGGTCACGTGATATCCAACCGGACAGTCACCTTGGTATACAACAAGTCTGATAATGACTACATGTTTGGAAAAATGGCATCTACATTAATTCAGACTACCTAGCATTAAAGTACAGTGAAACGTGCCCAAACTCATAAGTCCACCCAACATCACATGAGGTCATCGAGAGCAACCAAAACAACCACCTCGCAGTCCAAACCGGCTACAAGATGGGAAATGAAACAGGAAATGTTCTACACGGAGTAGGAAGGGAATGCGGGGGGAGGGTTAGAAATGAAACGATTTACGGAACGGGGAATCATCACGGTCAACGGGTCAACCACCTAGGCTACGCTGCCGTTGACGGGCTCCGGCTGCTGGTAGTAGGCGTAAGGGTTGGGTTGCGGGGTTTCGCTGGCCGCTGCTGCCGCCGTCGCCGGGTCCGGCACTGGGACCGCCGGGGCAGGGGTGATCGGGGCCGCGGTCTGGGCCTCCGCGCGGGCTTTTTGAGCTGCAGCACCCGTCCGGGCCTGGGCCACGGACGCCGGGCCGTGGACTTCCCGGTCCAGCGTCATGTACTCCTTGGCGGCGTCCTTGGTCCCGCGCTCGAGGAGGTAGACCATGTAAGTCTGGACGAGGTCCTTGACGACCTCCAGCGGGAGCGAGCTCTTGGAGCGGATATCGTTGACGACCTGCTTGATGCGGTCGTACTGCACCTGCTCGGTGGATTCGCTGGTCGGCTGGTACAGCTCGAACAGGAGGTAGCTGCTCCAGAAGGCCTGGCTGTCGAGGTAGTACTGCTGGTTGGTCTGGTAGACCTGTCGGGCCTCCTCGGGCGAGCCCTTGATCTTCCAGAGCAGGCGGGCCCACTCCGCCACGAGCGCGGCCTTGGTGGCCATGTCGGACTCGGGCGAGTCCAACTGGGTCTTGTAGACCTCGATGGCGGCCTCCAGGCCCCCCTGGCGGCGGGACATGTTGGCCAGCGACACGATGGTGTCGACGTGGTTGGGCATGTTGATGAGGATGGCGGTGTGGATCTCCTTGCCGACGTCCACGCGGCCCACCATCTCCTCGAAGTAGGCGTACTGCAGGCGGATGGCCGGGTTCGCGATGGGGACGTACAGGCAGCAGGCGCGCTGGTAGATGTTCCGCACCTCCTCCTCCTTGTCGGCCTGGGAGGCCATCCAGCGGGCGTAGCGCTGCCAGAATTCGTCGTAGTGGGCGCAGGTGACCAGACAGCGCTCGTAGAGGAACTGGATGCGCGGGTACTGGCCCTCGGACTCTTCAAAATCGAGGTACTTTCGCCAGTTGACGAGCTGGCCCTCGTCGAGCTCGGTCACGTGGAAATAGGGGCGCTTGATCTCCGACTCGTACGTCCACCGCTTGGTCGTCTCGGTCTGGGTGCGCGAGAAGATCTCAAGGTGGTGGGCGTCGACGCGCAGGCGCAGATCGCGCTCGATCTCGGCCTCCGCCTTGGCGCCGGGGGCCACCTGCGCCGAGGCGGCGTCAAGTTCGGCGCGGAACTGGGACAGGACCTCCGGGGAGGCCAGCTCGGCCACGGGGCGTGTTTGCGCCAGCTGACGGTAGCGCTCGAAGTAGCGGGCGTACTGATGCATGGGGATGTGGATGACGCGGCCGAGGATGCCAAAGATCTTGTCGACGGCCTCAACACGCTCCTCGTATTCAATGTACTTGTCCCAGAACGGGTGTGCCAGGAAATCCAGTCCCACACAGGCGACACCACGTTCGAACAGTCTGCATCATGTTAGTCCGTGATCCGGGGCATCCACCAAACACGACTATGGGGGAAGGGGAGGGCAGGTGACGGGAGACAGGAAGGAAGGGCAGGATGGCAGACATGAGCAGTAATCTTCAAGAGCCCAAACATTTGAAACGACGAAGGTGACCAGAACATGGCAAAAGACGAGCAAGCCCCCTGCATCGAGCGCAGAGGGGCATCCACCGAGCAAGAAGTCACAGCTGGAGTCGGTGCAAGGAAACAGGTGCTTGATATCAAAAGATCAAGGGAAAGGAGACAGCCTGAGAAGCCACGGGTGAGAAGTAACTCCAGCACGGTCCAGGTAAGGCATCTCACCCATCAGCACGGGAACTGTCGTTGCGTAGGAATATGCTGCTTCGTTCGCGTGCTGCTGTATGGTTACGGGAGGGGGAGGAGAGGGGAGGAGGGAAGGAAGGAAACCAGCTATATACTACTTACTCTCGGATCACATCAGGGTCGTGAGAGGTTTCGGCTTTGAAGGTGCAGTAGTTTGTCCAGAGATCGACGGAGGGGGAGATGCTCGCGACGCCTCGTTCGTAGACCTGCCTTCCTGTTAGCACCGACCGAAGCGGAGTTGAAGTCAGAGATCATACCATATCTGCCGCCTCCGTTCCTGTGATTGAGAACTCCAGATCGGCATATTTCTTCCAGTATCCGAACAACAAGGGGAATTTGGCGAGGAAACGATCGTAGACATTGCGCACGGTGGTGATGGCCTGGGGGTTGGAGTTGCGGTTGATTCCACCTTCGAGGGCCTCTGCGGCGCGAACGAATCGTTCCCAGGTATCGAAGTTATCAGGGTCATCAGTCTGAAGTCAAGTCAGCATAAGTGTCTATCTATTTCCATGAGGGACATACCAATTCCACCTCGATCTTCCTCAGCTCCGCATTCTCCTCCTCGGAGCCGCCATAGAGGTAATCCGCCATGATGGCTAGTATTCGACTGAGTGATGAACAATAATCTGCTTGAGGGATAGATAGGAAGATGACAATGACAATAACAGACAATAACAGGGGATAGAAGGGGGAGAGAAGATCGATGTCGCAAGGAAGCAAGACAAGATAGTCGGGAACTGAAGGAGTCTTTCCAGCCACTGGAAAAAAGCCGAGCCGCGGCCGAATCCGGTTTAGCGCCAGCCCGACAATCTCAATCATTCTCATCTCTATCTCTATCTCTATCATTCAACTTCTACACCACGAACCCACCCTGTCTTGAAACAATTGTGTCTGGACATCCGCCAAAATGGCTACTCCAGCAACCACTCTCGCCAGCAAACTCCCCCCCCGCCTCCTCAGCTTCTTCGCGCGGTACCCTCCCCAACTCTATTCCGCAGCCGTGACCCCCAAGTCCGAACCCCAATCCAGCACAAAATCCACCACAACACCATTACCAGAGACGTCGTCAGCGATCGACCCATCGACAGGGGAATCGACCCTCCCCTCGCCCTACACACCCAACCGCGACGCAGGCGGCCACAAACGGCCCGACCCCAGCGCGTTCTCCCCGTCCAAGGCCATCCTCGCCACGACCGCCGAGCATCCCAACCCGTTCCTGCCGCGCAAGAACTTCCGCACGGGCAAGTGGATCGGTCCGCGCGTGGGGCTGCGCGTGCAGGCCGAGCTGGTCAAGTTGGCGGCCAAGTACGATATTGAGGAGCTGTTGCCGGCGGGACGCAAGTCGACGGAGTTTAAGGAGACGAGGCGGGCGGAGCGTGGTCTGGCCATTAAGGGTACGGGTGTTGGGCAGAAGGTGAAGGGTCATAAGTGGGAGAGGACGATGGAGACTCGTTTGGATGATCGTCGGAAAGCCATGATGGAGATGCCGGAGGCGATTCGGTTGTGGAAGCAGGTTTGTTCCCTTCTTCTTTTCTTCTGTTATGGAAAGGTTGATGCTAATGTTGGTTCAGAGAGGTCATGGTCGTGGCTGGAAGAAGTGGCCCAAGCGGTAAATCTGGGTCATTTTGGGCTGAGTTTGTATTATGTTTGGATAGACTGTCCTTGGGATGGTCAGTGGGATGGAGTTAGCTGTCTACTATGTACAATATATACTGGTGGATTCTGTATGAATGATAGTTACTACATATACTACATGGTCAATTCATCAACATTTCCATCAATTTTTGTTGTAAGTATACAACAACCACTTAACTATCAGTATAGAAAACAGCACAACCCAACCAAACACCCAAGCCCAAGACAGATATATGAAGGAAATTAATACCCACCCCTAACCCCATCCCCAACCATAATACTAGACTCCCCAGCAGAGTGGTCAACAGAAACATGTCTCCCAAAAAACACACCCCTCCCAACCTTCCTCGTCTTCACAAGCGTCGAATACGGCTCATCGCCGCGTATTCCCGTCGTCTGATCTACACAGACCATTTGGCAGCGTTGACAGGAGGCGAGTACATTGAACTGTACTTCTCTCTGTTGTTGTTGTTGCTGTTGACTCTGATGGTTGGTGTGGTGATGCGATGATGGAATAACAGTGAAGGAGTTCCATGTATCTTCGATGTAGGGGTTTTCCGTGCGTGTGCTGCTGATAGGGGAGGAAGATTCGGCGATGAGGATATTTGCGCGGAAGACGTCTGCTGGGACTGCTTTTGGTTTTGTCGTAGTGGTGGTTGTTCTTGTAGTAGTGGAGGTAGTAGAAGGAGAAGAGCCCAACTTGATATGTTCGTTAAGGCGATTAACGGACGAGCGCGAGATAAGTAGGATTGGGCTTTCATTTGAGAGGAGGATAGGCTGGCCCGCTTGAGAAGGATTCGGAGACGACGAAGTAGGAGTAGTATCAGGAAAAGCACCCGGCATACTGCCAATACCGGGCTGCGCCGCACGCAGTGCAGACTCACGACCCCCTCCCCCTGATCCCACCCCCAACTTCTCAGACAACGGAGGAAACCGCGCCAACGTACACGGAACATCAAGGAACGACGAAAAGAAAGCAGACACAGCCGGAGCCGTATAAGCCTGAACGACAACCCTATCTCCACAGACAGTAGACGGCTTGGACGCGCTCTGACACAATGAAGTCATACACGTTGGGTTATCATCCGTATGTCCCCGGTCTAACGATACTTCCAGAACGGCATCGCCTGCTGCGATACGCAGAATACCACGTGCCAAGTCAATGTCCGGCTTAATGAGCGCCATCCGCGGATAACGCTTCTGGTTAAGCGTTGCGCCTGTGCCCTGATGGATAAGACACCACTCGCGGTCCCAGGCGAGGCCCTCCTTCTTGACAGTCCAGCGTTGGCCGTCAGGGACTTTGAACGCGCCGCAGCTTTTGATGGGGTAGACGGATAGGGCTTCGATATAGAAATCTGCCGGGGAGACGTCTTGGACGGGGGGTGTCAGGGAAGCAACATGCGCATCCTTCTCAACATAGAACTCATCCACAAAGTCCACAAACGCATCACCATCGCCCAGACTGCTCATCGCTCCCAAACTCACCCGCAGAATCCCCGTCGGCCGCCCATCCATAATATCATGATCGTCGCCGCAGCGCAATCCCGCAGAGAAATGGCGGCGCATGTCGCTGCCACTCCAGCCTAGACTCCGCGCCGTCCCGCCGGGATTGCACAGCGTGCCGGAGCGGATCTGGATGTTCTTCACGGCGGCGAGTCTCTCGACCTCGGACTTGCCGATCCATGCTCCTTGACTGTTTTTTAGATTGAGCGCGATGATGGGGCCTTGCCGTGTTGAATCTCCGTAATCTGCTCCCCCATACAGACAACAGACAGGCTGACCATTCCAGTGCCTCAGCGCAGATAACCGTCCAGCCAGCTGCGTCGCCAGAAAGCGCACATGTAGGGCAACGCGCTCCATAGACCCGTACAACCGGGCATGAGTCTCCATCGCTGCGCCCAGCGCAACGATACTATGAAACGGGAGCGTACCGTCCTCCAAACACTCATGTATAGCGCCCTTCTTCGCATGCCATTCCCCCTCTTCCGCCGCAGAAGCAAGAACCATATCAACGGTCCCACCCCCGAAGAACTTCCTAGCGCGGAGAACATCCTCCACAGCGTCCTCCTTGCGCACGATTAGCGCGCCTAGATCTGGAAACCCAAATATCTTGTAGAAGCTTAGCACGGTGAAATCCGGTGCTGTTCGCGCGTCGCTTAGGTCTAACGGCGAGGTTGATACCAGCGCTGCTGCGTCGAGAAGAGTGAACACCTTCCTTTTCCCGCTCCTATTGTTATTACCGTTTTGGCTAGCGCGGCGGATGCGCTCGCACCACCGTGCTGGGACAAGTCTCCGGCCGTTCATATTCGACTGTGCGGGGAAGGCGAATAGTTGCGCTGGGTGCTCGTCATCGCCATTGCATAGTGTAGAGTCAATCCACCCGTCCACCTCATCGTCCGTCTCAAAGCAGCGACTTTGCGCAGCTAATTCCCGCGCACCAACTAAACTCGTATGCGCGTCCACATGGTACCCATACCAGAAGCCATTGCGCGACTCCTCCCGGGAGATGGTGTCAGAAGATGAACGGGAAGAATAATCCCCCAACACGTCCCCCACAAGCTTAATCCCCGCCGTCGCATTCGGCACAAAAACCAAATCAAAGAATTCCGGGTCCGCGTTAAAGAAGCGCAGTGCACGCAGGCGGATATCGTCTATGCGCTGGGTGGCGAGCTGGGAGGAGGAGGAGAGGGAGTGGGGGTTGCCGTAGAGGGAAGTTGTTAGGTCTGCTGTGAAGGAGGTGATGAGGGAGGTGGGGTAGGGGGTTGTGCCGGCGTGGTCTAGGTATGTTGTTCCTTTATATCTTATTGTTAGTATTTATTTGGATTTGGAGAGGGGGGAGGGAGGTGTTTGAGAGGTGGTTGAGGGGGTAGTTGGGGATGTTTAGATAGAGTGGGGAATACCGCTGAGGAGAGGATACTCCCTTTCGCGGAGGGAGTCCACTTCGTCCAGGTAGGGACTATCGTTGGATTGCGCTGTCATTGTTGTGTAGCATGTCTGTTATTTACTAGACATATAATATAAGAGCATTATTGCAAGTAATATAGAAGCAGTGGCGAACGGAGGTGGAGGAGGAGGAGTATCTATACCTCAAGCGGACAGGCTGCGCATCTCACCCGCACATATATCAGACGGGCAGCATACCTCATTAACCAATTATTAGAAAGTAAGAAGACGGAAGCTTTGTCAAGAATAAACTGGCTATCGATAGAAGTATAGCAAGAGAGCTAGCTATATGTCGATCGTGAAGAGAGAGACTAGACTAGTCCCCCACTCTTGTTATCGGTGCGGGGAGATATGTCGTGGTTGTATAGGATAGTGTGTGGAGTTATATACCTGGGTGTGGTGATTGGGGTAATGTAGGAGTGAAGTGTTATACACACGGAAGAGATGTATTTCCACAGTCTCAAGGGTGGTGTTGATCAGTCTATAGTCATGTATCCAGAGAGAATCATTCTTCCGATTGATACTATAAGACTACGAGTATACCAGTACTCTAAACAAGCATGTACATTAATGAATTAATAACAACGGATATCAAACTCTTCAATTACCAGCTGAAACAAATAGAACCAGATCAGTCCAACATCATCATAAGTCCGTAAGTCCATAATCCATAAGCATAAGCATAAGTCATAGCCAACCATCGGCCAACAGGCATCCCCATCATATCAAAACATCGTCATGTCATCACACATAATAAGCCCAATCAAACAACATAATGCGGCCGACTATGCGACCCACTACTATGTCTCCGATGCGACGAGTGTCCCCGTCGACTACTATGGCTCCTCCGTCTCACAGGGACATCCTTCTCCTGCCCACGATACAGAAACATCGCCAGAATCGCCGTCCAAAAGAAGAAAACCGTCTCCATAATCCCCAGCGCGAAACACGTCTTCAGCATCGCGCAGGTCTTGTTAATATCCACCGCAAGCGGGTTTCCCGTACGCTCGCCGTGGACCCCGAACGGGCCCAGCGAGATCGTCACGGTGCCTGCGCGCCAGTGGGTACAGTTGGCAGAGGCGATAAAACGAAGCTGGTAGACGGAGGCGATGAACGCGCCGAAGAAGAGCAGGTCGACAAAGGCGACAAAGGCGGCGGAGCGTTTGGTCGTTGAGTGGCGGATGAGGGTGTCGATGGCCCAGAAGACGGCGATGACGCTGACGATGAAGAGGACGAGGATGTAAGACGGGGTGATTTGGTTGGCTTTGAGGTAGCCGTCGACGAAGTAGGCCTTCGTTCATCTTGTCAGTGGGAGGGATTCTAGTGGGTGGATTGGATGGGGGAACGGACCAGCATTCCGATGATGGGAATGAGAAAGGTGATCTCCACCATACGGTTGAAGATGAAGAAGAGGCTTCCGATCATGGTGGTGGTTGGTGGATGCGATCGATCGGTGGGTTCTGGAATGCGCGATAGACAGTAGATAGGGAGTCGCGATGACTTCGACTGTCAATCAAGAGCGACTATGATGCGACGAGAATCCAGTGTACAGAGTGAAGAATAACGAGAGGTAAACCAAAGCCAGAGACTGTCGATCAAAACAATAAACGGGTACCTGCAAGTCACTCGAGATTCCGACCAACGCACGAGGAATCGTAGTCAAAGACACCACGTACACAATAATGCAGGAAGAAACGCTGAACAGAAGATAAATAAGGAGGAAAAAATATCCCAAGACCATGTAAGGGAAGAAAGTGACATGCAGAAGAATGCAACATCAGAGGAGGCTGGGCCATTCAATACGCGGGGTGGCTGGGAATCGTTCAACCTGTCGCATCGCGGAACATTGCATCGGCGCTTAATTAAGATGATTCGCTGGGATTCGGTTAGAAACCCATAGTAGACACTTGGTATAGAGTATATATAGTATATTTGAGCGATCGTGTTATAGATATGGTCTAGATCCTACAATGCAACCCTAGATCTCAGCCCCACCGGAGCATGGTCTAGTATACAGAACTAACTAGTAGTAGATACGCATACTCCGTTATATCAATTCCTACAACTGTCAACAATCTAGACCTATCATACAGACCTAAATCAACTAAAATCAAACCATCATGTCAAATCAAACCCATGTCAATCAAATATCGTCACGTCGTGGCAGTAACCAAAACAATCTATCAAACAAATAGACAATCTACATATTCCGACCTGGTACGTCCGTCACCGTCCGTCCCCCGTGCAGATGTTCCGGCGTCGTCGTCATCGAGCGCGGTACCGCATGCGATATCCCCATGCCCATGCCCGCCCCCATCCCCGATGCCGTCGACTGTGCGCCTGGGTAGGCCGTGTCGGCGGCGTACCGCGGCAAGGATCCGTCCAACCCTGAGTTCTGGGCGCGGTTGTAGCCGTGTTGCATCTCGTAGCCGTCTGCGACGTCGTCTTCGCCGGACGAGGACCAGTTGCCGTCGTCGCCGCGCGATCGGTGGTGGTATGCGTTTGCCGCGTGGGGATCCGCGTAGGGATTGGATGTCGCGTATGGATTGGATCCCGGGTATGAATTGGACCCCGTTGCGTAGGTGGGCGCGCTGAGTCCAGTCGTTGTCGGCCCGCTCGTCACTGCCAGGCCTGGCGTGTCGAGACGCTCGTCGTCGGGGTTCCGGAGGGCGGCGGTACTCTCGCTGGGTGCGTAGGGCGCGACGGGCTCGGAGCCCCACGAGCGGATCGGATGCGCCCGTCCCTTCTTCCAGGGCTCCGACAGTGGCGGGAAGTACTGGCGGTAGGAGAGAAAAGCGCAGACGACGCCGAGAAGGGAGCCCGTGATCACGTCGAAGGGGTGGTGTCGCGCATCCATGATGCGACTCACGGCGACCAACGTGGCGCCGATGCAGGGCGCGACGATGATGGCCATCTTCCAGACTTCGCCCCGGTTGTCCCAGAGGTGCAGCTTTCCGCTGAGCCAGAGGGTGAGGTAAAATAGGCCGGCGAAGGATGCTATGAGAGGTTAGCGGTGTACGTGCATTTCATCCGACTATCGCTTACAGCTACTATGGCCTAGATTGGGTTAGCAATGTGACAGGAAGAGAGGGAGATAGAGACGTACCAGACGGCCACGACCGAAAGCCATCCTTGATGATGTGGGGATCACCGGTACAGATGGTATAGTTGGACAGACCGGGAATCAGGTCCACACTTCCCTCGCGAGGCTTGCAGCGATCAATGATATCAGGCCGGGGTTTCCCACACGCACTCTTCAAGCCCTGAGTGATGACGAAGGCGACAGCCTGCGACAGCAAGAGACCCAAGAATCCACAATTGAACTCCCACAGGCGGTCCTTCCACCGGTAGGGACCCATCAGCTTCCTCTTCCCGGACATGGGGCTGGTGGGCTTGTGGTGGGAAAACAAGCCATCGAGGAAGAGGGTGTAGACGGCGATGATGGCCAATGGGATGATGCCGGAGACGATCAGGGCCCCGTTGATGGAGATGCGCTCGTGGACGGCGTAGGGATATTGGAGGGAGATGTTCCTCAGGGAGAAATGCTGGTGGTAGGGCTCGATGGAGTCGATGATGTAGAAGCCGGCGATACAGGCGCTAGAGGTCGGTGGAGTCAGCGATAGATGACGGATCGTAGGGAATGAAGACGGACTCACATGAGGATGAAATAGTCTAGAATGTATCTACCCAACGATCACCCGATTAGCCATTGTGACAGTCGAGCACCTGGTGGAGGAGGCTCACGAGATGATGATGCGCGGCCGTAAGCGCCGCTTGGTGAAGGGCAATTTATCAGGGAGACGACCCATTTCGAGGGATTTTACGGATAAAGAGATGGGAAAAAACGACAGAGCATTCTATGATAATTCCCAGTTAGTCTCATTATTCCTTGACAATCATTTCTTTCAGCTGTACTCCGTATGTCCAACGCGACAGGGACAACGCAGCGGAAACTCACCGTGAAGTGTGAAAACCAGTGACCGTGACCTGCACAGTACTAGTGGAGGCGAATCAGATCCGAGGAGAAAACAGGATTATCGAGTAAGGGGTATGGGGAAGAAAGAGAGTGTCAAGAAAAAGAATAGGAAGAAGAAGAAGAAAGGTGAGCTCGGACGTGCATCGTGATAATAAAGAGGAATGATGAGGCGTGGCTCAGCCCCTGTCCGGGCTAGAGTCAGACCGCCCAGACCATCTGGACCCGCAGATCCACTTACTCCGCCTCTTTAGAAGCCGATCGGAGATTCATAACTGCCTGGAAGTCGGGATTATATCAGATAATTAGGTAGTCAATTGTCTATGTAGATATATTTTGAACACAACAATAGAAGAATACGAAGGATATGAATGAATTACTTGATCCATCAACCGCGTACACCTAAACCTGCCCCTGGGCCTGAGGCGGCTGGACCACGGGTGGCGCGGGTGCCTGAAACGTGGGCCCCATCAAACTATACTGTATATACACATCTATGGGAATAGACCTGGATAGGATAATCCTACACGAACAATACTCTTTTTTCCTTCTTGCTCATTCTAATACTCCACATTAAGATCATATTGAGGACCCGTCCATTCCTCCACCACATCCACCGTCCATGCCGGACTTTTCACAAATAGAAAGAAAGACTTATTTCATCATGTACTAAAATTCATACGGAAAAAAAGAAAGAAAGAGAAGAAATAGGAACAAAGAAAAGACGATTATCATCAACAGAATGGGGTCCATGAGTCATGTCCGCGTCGCGTTGGGGACTCCCCAACCGGCTTGATCCGTTTAGCAGACCGTGATGTACAGGCCGAGACTAGAGTATGTTAGCGCGTCATCCAATATATATATCGTGAGGGGAGGAACATACGGTGCAGGGTTGTAGTCCTCGAAGAACTCCAGATCGGTGCTGCCCCCACTCTTCATCTCGTAGCTGACCGCCTGTCCCGCCGGGCACGAGAAGCTCGAGATCATGTACGAGTTGCCCGGCGCGATCGTCTTGCTGCCCAGCTCCTGCTTCACCGACGGCTTGTCGCTGTAAGTCACCGACTCGGACGCGGCCGACGACAGGGACGCGAAGTCGACCTTGCCGTCGCCGCTGAAGCTGTACGAGGACGTCTCGAGATCCTCCAGGTGGGGGAACAGGAAAACGAGGTTGCACGTCTTGCCGGCATCCGACTGCGGCACGTCGAAGTTGAAGATGGTCGAGATGGTCGACGACACCGTGCCGTTGAACTGGGTGCCGAATGCCTCGTCGGGAGACGAAGAGTCCACGGGGATGATCAGGTGAGGGTACTCATACTCGCCATGCAAGTCCGCGTCCATCGGGCAGTTACCGCCGGACGGCTGACCGGGGGTACCAGAAGTGCCAGGCTGACCGGGGGTGCCAGGCTGTCCGGGAGTGCCGGAAGTGCCAGGCTGGCTAGGGGTGCCGGGTTGACCAGGAGTACCAGGCTGACCGGGAGTACCAGGCTGGCCGGGAGTGCCGGGAGTGCCGGAAGTACCAGGCTGACCGGGAGTGCCAGGCTGGCTAGGGGTGCCAGGCTGACCGGGGGTGCCGGGCTGACCAGGAGTGCCGGGGGTGCCAGGAGTGCCAGTGGTACCAGGTTGACCGGGAACGCCAGGAGTGCCAGGGGTACCAGGTTGGCCAGGAGTACCCGGGGTGCCGGGGACGCCAGGAGTACCAGTAACACCAGGTTGGCCGGGAACGCCGGGAACGCCGGGAGTGCTGGGGGTGCCGGGCTGGCCAGGAGTGCCAGGAACACCGGGAGTACCAGGAACACCGGGAGTGCCGGGAACGCCAGGAGTACCAGTAACACCAGGTTGGCCGGGAACGCCGGGAACACCGGGAGTGCTGGGGGTGCCGGGCTGGCCAGGAGTACCAGGAACACCGGGAACGCCGGGGACGCCAGGAGTGCTAGGGGTGCCAGGCTGGCCAGGAGTGCCGGGAACACCAGGAGTACCAGGAACGCCGGGAACGCCGGGAGTTTCGGTGGAAGTCTCGGGGCAAAAGGTCGTGGTCAAGGTTGTTTGAACTGTAACCGAAGATCCAGCACCACCGCCAGCACTGCCGCCGGCACCACCGCCGGGAACGTTGGGAGCCGAAGTAGCACCGGCGCCAGGAACCGAGGGGGTGGAAGCACCTCCGCCAGCACCGCCGCCAGGAACGTGGGGAGCCGAAGTGGCGCCGCCGCCGGGCACTTGGGGAACCGAGGGGGTGGAAGCACCACCACCGGCGCCGCCGCCAGCACCACCACCGGGAACATTGGGAGCCGAAGTAGCACCAGCGCCAGGAACCGAAGGGGTGGAAGCACCACCGCCGCCGCCGCCGCCAACACCGCCGCCAGCACCACCGCCAGGAACGTGAGGGGCCGAAGTAGCGCCGCCGCCGGGCACTTGGGGAACTGAGGGGGTGGAAGCACCACCACCGGCGCCGCCGCCAACACCGCCGCCAGCACCACCGCCGGGGACGTTGGGAGCCGAAGTAGCACCACCGCCGGGAACCGAAGGGGTGGAAACACCACCGCCAGCACCGCCGCCGGGAACGTTGGGAGCCGAAGTAGCACCGGCGCCGGCACCGCCGCCAGCACCACCGCCAGGCACAAGAGAAACGGAGCTAGTGGCCGGGCCCGAAGGACCGGCAGAGCTGGAGCCTCCGCCGGCACCGACACCCAAGCCAGCACCAGTGCCAGAGCAAGTGTCGGCCATCAACACGATGTCCTGGCACATGGTCACATCTTCACTCTCGGTGGTGTAGAGGTTCAGACCACCGTTCATGCCAGTCTCGCAGGCAACGAACGCCTCGCTGTTCTCGTAGGTGAGCTGACCCTGGGAGTTGATCGAGAAGCCCGGCGTGGGCGGCTTGTTGAGGTCGCATTGGAATTGGGTCGTGGCACCGGTGACGATACAGCCGCGTCCGTTGGCGTCGACGATACCGCCGTTGGCGTCGATGCAGAATTGGGCCTCGGACAGGCCACCGCCGATACGGTTCTGGCCATCATCGAGCTGGCCGATGGAGCCCGAAGCACCACCCGTGGCGGACATATGGAAGCAGCATGTGTTGTCTCTGCCAACCAGGGCGTGAGCCCCGGCCGCGAACGCGGCGATGTTCGCGAAGTTCTTCATGCTCGAATGGGCGAGCGTAAGCACCAACAACTAAACGAATGTATGAATTTCCCAGGAGAATAGGGCTGGGCTAGTGATAGATTGACGGGTGAAAGACAGATCAATTGGGAATGAGCGAGGGAAGTTCAGTATTTATGAACCACGGTGGATACGCGAGTGAGAGCGTCATGGCTTGTTGACCGGCAAGCCGGGCACGGTAACATGCAGCACACCTCCAGATCGTAAAAAAAGAAAACACAACAAGAATAAGAAAAACAGATTTTGAACAAAAAAATAGAAACATGCTGCAGCCAGTCGCAATGCAGATGGGTACGGTTGACCATGGACGACCCGGTGGAGAATTACCCTGTCAACAGCACAAATAATCAACAAGGCGTCCTCCGTCCGAAGAAGCCGGGGCCTGGAAGCATCGGGGTTGTGAGGCAGTGAGGGAGCAGACGTCATGCATCAATGGGCATTGTGTATGTGGGGGCCGGAGGAGGAGCCTGCCCCATGAGAGGGAACAATATGGATGTTTTCTCAGGCTCGAAGATAGACGACATCTCAATGGCCAAGGCAAAGCAGGGCATCAACTCGCGGTGGATCCGGGATCCACCGGGTGGCTTGCTGGATCGCCCGTAAGCCATGTCTTGGTCAACAGCCCCGATTGCATGGTTCCCAGGCGGTCAACAGGTATTCCAGTGGCAAAATGAAGTGTCATCCATGGTACTTTACACGCCCACTGCTGGTTGACCAGCCAGAGCCAATGCTACTCGGGACCTGGCGCTCCGAGGGAACCGAGAGAGCCATGGCTCCGAGTGTTCTATTTTGACCTCCCCTGACGTACACAGTGTACAAAGGTACACCGGTTGGGCTCAAGCCGACACCCGAGATATGTAATGGGATCATGGATGGTCGACATCGGCTACATGATAATGCATGCGCACAGGGAGGACGCAAGTGTGGAGGCTGGGGAGAAGGATCGAAAGCAGATCGAATACTTTATCCACCCATGGACCCAAATATAAGACATCAACAAGTGTCCGAGTATCAGAGTCTTAGATTCTGTGTGCCTTGCATGATCATCATAGTGGCCGAATTGGCATTGAAGCCGACACTATCCATCCGTCAGAGAAACACCACCCATTCATCCATCCATCCATCGAGTTGGACTCATGACGAAAGAGGAGGATGAGACTTGGACTAGGATACTGTAGTGGGGATGTTGGATGGTAATTTCCCAAATGTGTGTGAGTGGGACAAGTATCCCAAATGAAGAGTTGAGTAATTGTCAAGTAAGTCGAGAAGTCGGACGTTGATGCTCTGGATCAGGTGGGGTCACGGGGGAAGTCACGGGCCAATGACACTACTTGTTATTTTTATGCCTCTTGTTGATTTGTAGATGTTCCTCTTCCCTGCTCCAGATGAATCCAATCGGTGTCCTTTGGATGTTCAGAGTTATTAGATTAGAGTGATGGTGGGATTCGATCATCGGAATAGCGATGTGCAACCATCATCCATTCGCCTTCTTTCCATGTGAGATATCCACTGCGATCGTCTCCAGCCGCCACGTCATATTCTCTTAATATCTCCGAGCTTTTTCCCTGCGCCGATGTACTGACAGGCTACAGAAGGCAAATTTTCATTCCTCCCATCCATCTGACAGATCAAGTGCCCACCTTTTCTATCTCCATTCCAACCGTACCGGTCGATTCACTGGCTATGTCGACAAGAGGGGTAACGGTGCCTGGTTCAATCGGAGGCAGTGGACACCCTCGTCCTCACCCATGGACGAAGAATACAGTTATAGAAACAGGCAAACACTAAAACTAAATAATCAAAAGTAGGTCGGAAAGAAAACAGGGAAAGACGAACAAAACAGGGAGTCAAACGGGGATGACTACCAGTTCCGTCTCCTCTCAGTCAACTTCTACCCGCCTGCATGCATACGTATGCGTTTTAGGTACACCTGTTCTGCCTGCAACTTGCATCGCCGACGCTGTACCTGCTCCGTTGACCCCCAAACCTCCGTGGGTGTCTGTGGAATGTGGATGGCTATGATCCAGATTTGGTCCACATCGTCCCTCACTTTTTCCCCCTCCCTTTCATGTAACAACCACAGGTCACCTTCCCCACAATTTTTTCATCGAAGATTTTGATCTTCAGATTTTTATGTGCGTTCATACTGTAGTATGGAGACCCAAGAGGCCAAGACATGCCCCATGATACCTACAGCCCTAGAATGGAAGGGGGAGAAAAGAGAAAGGGAATGAAAAGTGAACCAAACGGCCAGCCACTCCAAAATATTTCAGCACCTGAAACGCTCGTCCGGTCAAAAGCAGTGCCATTGGATGTCCTAGCCCACGGTGACATCTACGAAATAATCCAAACCAGCCGATCCCTCAGATTTTCAGAACTTGACTCGATTGTCAGTGTTAGTGGCGACCTTGAGTGGAATTGACTGGATTGGATTGACACAAATTGAGTTGGATGGAATTCAATCGAACTCAAGGTCATGATTGACACAGTCCCCGCAAAACACCAGTTTAAACAGTCATGCCTTACGAGGAACCAAACCAATGACCCAGGAGACATGAACACCACTGTCGTGAAAGACTCTAAGAATGTAATGCAGTTGCCACCTCAGGTAACTCGCAGCGAGCATTTTCTTTACTTGGTATATATTTAGTATAGACTAACGAGTAGTCCACAATGACGACAGCCTTATACGAGGCCCAACCGTATCCAAATATCTTGTATTATGATATCTTGCATACCTTGGAAGGAACGGTCAAAGCCAGCTTTAGCCTTGGTGATTGTGCTACATATACGTGAGTACGAGTACGAGTACCAAGGACTATACTTGGAATTGAAGCCCGTACTCGGGGGCTTCACCAAGGAACCATGAGCTACTTTTGTGCCGCTGACATTGCTACCACTATCCACGGAGTACTATGTCGATGTTCCCTCTACCTTTTCCCTTTTTATTTTTGAATTTTTATTTTCTCAATCTTGTGTCTCTTCATCATTATACCCGCCCTAAAACTCACATCAAACAGTAACAAACAAACCCCATATCTGTATGTCTCACATTCATACAGTAGTCACATAGTAAAGGAGCGAGGGGTGTAAACAAGCAAGCAACATTTCAGATATCCATCTCACATCCTGCAAGGTTTTTTCTAAATATACGATCTTCTTCCCCTCTTCTGCGGATTCAGTTCCTTGCTGTGGTAGGGATGTACAATCCTGATACTGTTTATATTGGGAGTTGGAGGAGGTCCCTTTGTGGAGGTTTGCATGGGAGCCTCGCATGTCGGTGATATCTCGCCCCTCATCTTGGACGGTGCTATACTTGGTTGTTTTTACTTTGAATTATTAGACAGGGTGTATGGTGTTATTGAATATGTCTACTAAATTATATGTGTTAATATTTAGTCTAAGATAGCAAGTACTATATCACAGCTAGCGTTCTATATATATTATGAACCAACAGATGTGCTTTGAATATACACCAGAACACCCGAGACACACCTACGCGTCCATAGTATATCGTATACCGATGACAACTCCAATTGTCAATGAGTATAGCTATCAGGCCATCCAGTCCCCATTCTGGTAATGGCTATTGATGTTACTTGATACCTCAACAGGACACGGACCCGAGATGGGATTTCCGCGCCGACCGTGAACGCGTCATACAATCGAGCCGCAGTCAGCTTAGGCTCACCATCTACAGCCACCTCATCAGTCAGATCCTTGAAGATCCGTGATCTGCCTGAACTGATGACGTGGAAGGAGGCCTATAGGCATACACAAATCGAGATGATTGGATTTGTGAGGGAAAGATGAGGTCTAAGATTTGGATTTCTTTTTTTGCTCTATTTTTGATTGAGAACCGGAAAATAAACACAGGTAATGGATGAATAATTCAATGATTGATGAACGCCCTCGCTATGCACCCGCTGAAATGCTGATTGATGGTGAGCTCGTTGAGAATGGCTAGCCAAAATTTCGAAGCTCCAAAGACAGTCTACAATGGTGGTAAGTTATATAGTGGGCCTCATGACTGTCCTGTCGTGGGCACAGGCTGTCCGACGCCTAGAGGAGCGGCCGAATCTCGTTCGGCAACCTCCTCGTCGATAAAGCAGCCTAGACCGGCAAACGCCTCGAGTAGTGTCCGCGAGTAGTACTCCCGCAGATCGAAACCACCAGCCTGCATCTGGGCATTCTGCCGAATCGGCTCCAGATAGCTGGAGGGATAATACTCGCTCTGAGTGAAGTAGTCTCGTTTGCCGGGAACCAGCCCGCCAAACGGATCGTAAGGTTTCTCGGGCTCGGGGGTCTTGATCCGTTTGAGACCCTTGATGAAGCCGCCGTCGTCCTGGCCCGCAGCCCTGGCTGCCGGCTGCCCTGACATCTTCGCATCCGAGTTCCGCAGCGCAGCCTGTTTCTGCCGGATACGCTCTTCCTCGCTCCGTCGAGCGGATGACTTCTTGAGCAGCACCTTTTGGCCTTGGCGCGCGATAGCTGCCGCATCTGCGGGGCGCCCAGACGCAAGACGCGCGAGGACGTCTTCTCGGCCTGCGATGAGCTCCCGTCGTTCGTTCTCGTATTCCATCTTGGCGGCCTGGCGGCGGATCCGGGCCAATTCTTGTTCCTGGGTTTGTTGTTCCTGGAATGAAGAAGCCTCTTTCTCCTCGAGGGCCTGGTTGGCCCGGATGGAGCGGACGTTGCTGGATGCGTATTGTTGGAGATTGGCTTCCGTTTTGGCGACGTCGGTGCCGTAGACGAGGTTGGCGATGATCTCTTCTCGTTGTTCCAAAAAGTCATCGTAGGCGCGCTTCGAGTCGAACTCCTCTTCGCGACGGTTGAGGCTGTATGCTTTTGTCAGCTTTCTGCCATTCCACCCCGCCAAAGGAGTCTCAACATACATCTGCATGACCCTGCGCCGGATATCCACCTCCCTCTCCACGTTGATGTCCTCGAAGGTCTGCTTGCGGAACCGGTTCTTCCTCAGCGTCTTGTGACACCCCGCGACGGGACAGTTCGCCGGACCAGACGAGAATATCCGGTCGACACAAGACTCGCACATCTTGTGGTAGCATTCAGGATTGATGAGGAACTCCATATCAGGGTTCAAGTATCGCGACGACTTGCAGACAGGGCAGACCTCTTAGAAAGACACAGTTAGTACGGGCTAGCTTCACCAGGTGCGAGAAACATACCGTCGTCATCCCCGCGATGGGCCATCGAGGCACGAGGAGGCGCCATGATGCGAGCTGTACGAGACAAGGGAGGAGGCGAGGTAAAGGATTGAACAATAGTCAGTCAGTCATGGGAAGAAGTTCGATGGAGCCTGAGGTATGCGGGATGGTTTGATAATCGATCTGCCCGTCCGCCAATCAGAGGCTCCGGTGGTGTTCCGCCATGCGGAACTCATCTTTTTCTGACATTCTTTGCCGTCTATAACTTTTGGCAATCTTCTCAGTTCACTCCACGCTCTTATCTGGTTCAATCATTTTCTTTTTTATTCTTCTCTATACGGGATATTATTTTTTCCATAATGGAACTTTCAGACCGCAGCTTAAACGACCTAGAGCGTCAGCGCCAGCAGCTCGAAGGCAACATTTCCAAGCTCCAAGAATCACTCTACCACTGGCGCACATGGGAAGCGGAATATGATGGATTGAGGGAGGAAATCGGCAGCCTGGAAGATGAGGCCACGACGGACGACTTTCTCCAGGTGGGACGGGACATGGGTGGAACGCAGGTCAACGAAAAGGAAGTCAAAGTGATTCTCGGAGACGACAAGGGCGTCACTCGGACCAGACAGCAAGTGGTTGACCTCATATCGCGCCGCATCGACTATGTGAGGCAGAACGTGTCGATTATGGAGCGCAGACTACGCACTGCAGAGAACGAGCTGCAGACGCTTGACTCCATCGAGCAGCTACCCGCGGAACCCACGGCGGACTTTCCCATGACGGAGATTTTCGAGGAACTCGACGAGGACGGGAATGTGGTTTCGAGCAAGACGTCCCGACCAGGAAGTGAGGCAAATGATCTATTGGACGTGTTGAAAAAAGCTGGTGTGAAAGACATACCGAGTGCTCCCCAGTCGGATACACAGGTCGGGCGTTCGCAACAGGTGAAGTCGGAGCCTGAGGCCAGTGAGGAATTGGAAACCGAAGAAAAACAAACGGATATCCTATCACCTACCCACGGTGTTGAATCCACGCACGAAAATGACACATCGGCTGCGCCGGAATCAACAACGTCTGACGACCGAGATGTTCCCGTTACGGATGTGGACGAGTCCCCGGAAGATGCCGAGCTACGACGCGAAATGATACGATACAGCTTGGATGAGGTTGGCGCTGTAGTTGCCGAACTTGAGATGGACGAAGATGGGAGCGACGTCACTCTTGACGATGATTATGATGCCCTTGCGTATGATGACGATGATGACGACGATGAAGAAGACGAACACGGTCGGACAACCGGGCGTGTCCTTGATGAGGACTACCACCAGCAGATGCGCGACCTAGAGGCAAAGCTGAACGCCCGAGGCATGTGGAACATGGGCAAAAACACCGGATCTCTTCCAGAGCAGGTGCAAACTGAACTGGAGCAGCCGGTCGCGGTTAAGGTCGAGCCCGCGCCGGTGGCGGAAACGGTCAAGGAGAAGAAACCGAAAAAGAAGGTGGCTTTTGCGGACGACCTTGACATCGCCCCGGCTCCCAAGTCGCCGGCCCTAGAAAAGAAGATAACCCCGACCAAGGAGTCTACCGTGCCGGCCGTATTGGACTCTGTCATCGAGCGCGCAAAGCCGGCCGAAAAGGCTCCCCCGACGAACAATGCACCGAAGAAAGTCTCGCGTTTCAAGAACCGGAGCGCAACCGCAGGCAATACAGCAGCCATGACTGAAAGCTCTCGCCCGGTCAATCCCGGACCGCAACCCAGTTCAGGCGCATCCTCAACACCACCATTGTTCCCCGCCAAACCATCCGAACCGAAGCCCTTCTCCCAGCCGATCCAAGGCATCGACGAGGAGCCACCCACCCGCGGCCCCAAGGGCAAGATCATGGCCGACAAGCTCACCGAGCACGAGCCTTCCGCCAACGCCGTGGCCCCAGAACCCGACGAGCTCGACGACCAGCTGCACCAGCGGGAGATAGCCAGCGAATTCTACCGCATGCGCAACCGAATGATCCAGCAAAACGGCGGTTTCTTAGAAGAGCCCGAGACGGTCCCGATCGAGACTGAAGATGCTCCTAAGCGCGTGAGCAAATTCAAAGCCGCGCGAATGAGTTAGTCCGTTGGATAGGTGAGAGAAGTATATACAAAAACAGAGATATACCCTATTTTCGTTCGGTCCTGTCTTTTTGCCGTAGAATTGCTTTATATATGAAGCCCGGAACTTTCATTGCCATGTACTTTGAGTATATGGCAAAATGGTTATATCAAATCAGTGGTATAACCGTGTCCAAGATTCCAAGATTGATCTTACGAGGGCTCTCTGACTGCTTCTCGCTTACGTGTCATTCACCGGACGTATTGGACTCGATGAGTACTTATGGACGGTGTGGCAAGGAGGCAATGGAGAAGTGGTTACGTTTCACCCCCGACATCTAGAATTCAACCGAGGCATACACCTCGATAATACTTCTTCTTCTACTTCATCCTCTTTATATACCTCTTATCGTACGTCGCATAGTGGTCACTTGAAACCTGTAAGATGATGTCCTTACATTGATAAGGCTAGGTATACACAAATCCAAAAGTACAAGCTCATATGATTGCTTTGACAGTAGAGAAAAATAGAAGGAAACGATAATATACAGTAGTCCAATGTACCTCACAGCTTGCCACCGGTAACCTGCTCTCCAAGCTTCTTGACTCTGCCCTGGATGAGCTCCCAGCGAGAAGCCTCGCCCTTCCGAGACTCCGTGGCAAGGCTCTGCACGGTCGGGGGCACGCCCAAGTTCCAGACGTTCTGGCCCTGCTGGTGGTCATTGCGCCAGGCTTCATTCTCGCCCTCGGGGAAGATCCGATCGATCTCAGCGGCCAGCTGCGCCTCCGTGGTGATGAACTTTCTAGCACCCATGTAAAGATCTTGTACCGAGTTCAACCGCTCGAACTCCTTCAAGGCCTTCTTGTACTCGTGTCGCTCTGCCGACTGCGCGAGTCGCGCCTCGCGCGTCGGGTCCGGCAGCACCGTCTCCTTCCGGGGCAGCATGTCCTGCGTCACCGACTGGCGGGTGAGTCGCTCGTCCTCCCGCTCGGGCTGCTGGAAGATGTGAGCTCGTCGTTGCTGCTTCTCGGCGCTCTTCCGGACCATCTGGTCGGTCGTCTTCTGCTTCCGGCTGTACAGCTCCTGCAGACCTTCGCGCAGGTTCTGCCTCCGCTCCTCGGCCAATTGTCTCCGCCACTGGAGGAAGTCGGCGTGGGGATCATTCGGATCGATCTTGGTTTCTTTCGTTTGAGCCGGGGTCACGGCTGCGAGGTACGCCTCGGTAGGCTTGTCCGCGCGGCGAGCGGGGAAAAGGTCGCGGGGGACGGGTAGGGTACCCTTGACACGGCGCTTCGAGGGCAGGTCCGGCTGGAGGGAGCGAGGGACTTCAATGTAATTGGGAGATTCAGGGCCGACTCGACGAGTGGTGGACGAGGTGAACCCTCGGACTTGCGTCGTGGCAGTGCGGCAGTTGCGGAGGAAGGACATGGTGACGCGTGAAGCCTGTGGCTTCTAATGGAGGTATAATTTATTCGGAATATATTCAGCAAAGAAATAAAGAAAGAATTCAACAGTAACTGACTCCAACCGTGGCAACAAGCAAGCTAAACAAGGCCCGGAGACACGCAGTACTGGAGAGAGTCGGGAAAAGATCGCAAGCGTGGATTTTGTCGCTGCTGGTCCGTGCTCGGTTTGGCTTGGCGCCCGCAGAAAAAAAAAATAATCTGCCGCTCACTTTTTCTTCACTTCTTCTCTCTTCCTCTACTTGCGCTTTGCCAACTCTCTCCTTTTTCACACCCACTCTTTTATTTTTAGGTCTTCTTAAGTGATTTGATCGGTCTTTAAGAAGCACTATTCATCATGGGTACGGGAAAGAAAGAAAGGACCCGGAAAGACCGGCAGGGGAAGACTGGAGATGGCATGGCTAATGTCACGGTCAAGGGTGAAAACTTTTACCGGTATGGGTTACTGTTCTATCTTGGGGTGTTATGGTCACTAATTGTCTGTTAGGGATGCCAAGAAGGTCAAGACCTTGAACATGTTCAAGGAGGGCAAGGCCCAGCGTGATTCTGTAGGAAACATCACCAAGGCTGCTTCGTACCAGTCTCGGGATGCCCCCGTCGCTCGGATCGAACCCAACCGTAAATGGTTTGGGAACACCCGTGTTATCTCGCAGGAGGCGCTGTCGTCGTTCCGTGAAGCTGTCGCTGAGCGATCTTCCGACCCTTACTCGGTTCTGCTCAAGACCAATAAACTCCCCATGAGTTTGATCAGAGATAACACTGGGACGGTCAACGGGTTAAAACAACATCAGGCGAAGATGGCTATTGAGACGTCTCCGTATAACGATACGTTTGGCCCCAAGGCCCAGCGTAAGCGTGTCAAGCTGGGTGTTGCGTCCTTGGAAGACCTCGCTGGAGAGACGTCCAAGGTGCAGGAAGCCTATGCTGACAAGCATGACCAAGAGAAGAACGACGACGGGAGTTTCATGGTCAACGCGGACGTGGGTCATATTGTCGATGACTTCACTACTGCGCCCGTCGCACGCGAGTCTGTGTTCCTCAAGGGACAGAGTAAGCGAATCTGGAACGAGCTGTACAAGGTCATTGATTCGTCGGATGTGGTTATCCACGTTCTCGATGCTCGTGATCCTGAAGGCACTCGCTGTCGAAGCGTTGAGAAGTACATCCGAGAGGAGGCTCCTCACAAGCATTTGATTTTTGTGGTCAACAAGTGTGATCTTGTGCCCACTGGTGTTGCAGTAAGTCTCATACTTCCTTGTTTCCCTTGTTTTTCTTGTTGTCTTTCTCCACCCCCCACCATACAATCGGATACTCTCCGTGCCATCGTCAAGTCAAGGCTCCTTCCTTCGGCCCTGCGTCGTATTTTTCTTTCCCATGAAAGGATGTCTGTTACGGCTTTGGTAGATCAACGCAGACCCGCGCCGACCTTCTTTTTGAAGCAAGGCTGACTGGCTTTCGTTTTGGAAGCCGGTCGTATGGGTCACGCTGTGTCTTGTAATCTAGTTGAGTCCTGTCCCGCCATCGAGCGAGCTTGTAGCAGGACTCTCAATTACATTTCACACATTCTATGCACATCCATCACAATGTTTTTATCGTTCTTTCTTTTTCTTTCTTTTTCTTTCACGCTCTATCTGGCGATCGGGACTAACGAGACGCCAGGCTGCTTGGGTGCGACATCTGTCCAAGGACCGTCCTACGCTTGCCTTCCATGCCTCGATCACCAACTCTTTCGGCAAAGGCTCCCTGATCCAGTTGCTTCGGCAATTTTCTTCTCTGCATTCCGACCGGAAGCAGATCCAAGTCGGGTTCATTGGTTACCCCAACTCTGGAAAGTCGTCTATCATCAACACTCTGCGCAAGAAGAAGGTGTGCACTGTCGCCCCTATCCCTGGTGAGACCAAGGTCTGGCAGTACATCACCCTCATGAAGAGGATCTACCTCATCGATTGCCCGGGTGTGGTTCCGCCCAACCCCAACGACTCGCCGGAAGATATCCTTCTTCGTGGCGTTGTCCGAGTGGAGAATGTCGAGAACCCCGAGCAGTACATCCCCGCTATCCTCAAGCGGGTGCAGCCGAGGCATCTTGAGCGGACGTACGGCATCAAAGAGCCGGCCGATTCCATTGAGTTCCTCACTTTGCTTGCACGCAAGGGCGGTAAGCTTCTTCGCGGAGCCGAGCCCGATTTGGATGGCGTCGCCAAGAGTGTTATCAACGATTTCCTTCGCGGCAAGATCCCGTGGTTCACCCCGCCTCCTTTCAACCCGGCCGAGAAGGGCCAGAAGATCGAAGGTCGTGAGGGTAAACTCGGTGAGATGCGTCGCAAGCGTAAGGTCGAGGATACTGCCCCAGAAGAGGTCGACAACAGCGAGCAGACCTCGGCCAAGGCCGGCTCTGAAGACGAGGAGTTCGGAGGACTTGACAGTGATGATGACTCCATTGCCAACCTCGAGGTCAGTGACGTGGAGAGTGGAGAGGAGAATGACTGAGCGTCTGGGCCACCACTTTTCCATCCACCATTTTCCATCCAGGAACGAATGGAACCTCTTGGGGAAACAACCTCACCCACGAACGACAACCAGCGTCCATTGCCCGCAGTAGGCGCACTTCCCGTCGCCTCACACTCAGCCATCTGGCTGGAGACTGCAGGCTGCGAACCTTTTCGCTCCCGGAATGATGCTTCCGACGCACCGGGGGAGTCGAGAACACCACCGTACGTGGTGTCCATTTAGTCGTGGCTTCACGGCCCATGTTGGACATGCCACCTGGGTTGCCTCTTGCCAATGGTTGGGGGGGTGACACCTGCGACCTAGTGTCCTGTACACATTACTCGTCAAATAGATACCCACATATAAAGCTGAAATGCAAATGCAATCCACCTATGAAGCTATTTTAATTTGTTTTTCTTTTCCTGGTCGTAGCTGCATATTGTAACCGGGCCTGCTATGGGTCGGTTCAACTCACCGCCGGCGCTCACCGCCCAGCCTCACTTTCATCATCGGCCGCACCAGCTTCTTTTCTCCGCCTTGCTGTGACCTCATAAGCTCCTTTGGCAAAACCGATTTCAGCCTCCCATGTCTCCCCATTCTGGCAAGGCAACGTGCCAGTTCTCCCTGAATCATGGAGAATGATGGCATGACAGTTGTTCCTTATAACTTATCTAACCTCGATGTAGTCCTGTGAGTTCCCACTCGCTCCTTTGATCTATTAGCGATCGTCATGGGTTTATCCTCATCGTGGAATTTGTGTCCGTATAGGCGTCATAACGATTCCGTCGTCGTCTTAGATCGCGACTCGCAACAGCTGGTCCTCCGAAACACCGCCGACGATGATGATGCGAATCTCGAGTTAGCCGATTGTCCCTACTGCCGTCGCCCATTGCGGGACGGCAATGCCGGACAGGGGAGCCACCATACTACTCCCGGGGCGCAACCCGAATTCATCAGTCCCGAGTACTTTCGCATGCTTCACAATAGTCTTCCCGCCGCGGACAGGTCGAATCCTCCGTCTCCCCGTCGACGTTTTGTGCAGCCGGCTCTTGCAGATGGCTCGTCGGGCGGGAGTAGAGGGGCCCCGACCGCACAAGGGATCTCATCCGGGGCTTTCACACAGGACTATTTCAAGAAGTTTTTTGTAGAGGAGTCGGTTCTGGGGAAGGGTGGGAAAGGCGTGGTTCTGCTGGTGAAGCATGTGTTGGACGGCGTTTCCCTCGGACATTACGCGTGCAAGCGGGTGCCTGTCGGAGACGACCATGAATGGCTCAGGAAAGTGCTGGAGGAAGTGCAATTGTTGCAGCACCTGTCTCACCAGAACCTCGTTTCATACAGGCATGTCTGGCTTGAGAATGCCAAGATCAGCACTTTTGGACCTAGCGTACCGTGTGCGTTCATTCTGCAGCAGTTCTGTAATGCTGGAGACTTGCACAACTACATCTGTGGTTCAGTGCAGACCTCGACGACTGCCCAGCAGATGAAGGATCGATTGAGGAGGCGATCTAAGGGCGAGCCGGAACCTCAGAGCGACATCGGCGGGCCTCGCAGACTCAATTTCGATGAAATATATTCCTTTTTTCGTGACATAACGTCTGGTCTCCGACATCTTCACTTAAACGGTTATATCCACCGGGATCTGAAGCCCAATAATTGCTTATTACACCAGACGCAGGATGGGATTCGCGTTCTAGTGAGCGATTTCGGTGAAGTCCAGTCGCAGGACGCGATGCGACGATCGACCGGAGCCACTGGGACAGTGTCATACTGTGCGCCCGAGGTATTGCGGCGGGAATACCAAGGGGGGCCATTTGGCAACTTCACCTTCAAATCGGACATCTTCTCGTTGGGCATGATCCTATACTTTCTATGTTTTGCGCAGTTGCCATACACCAACGCCGACATCATCAACGAAGAGAAAGAAGATTTAGATCGGCTGCGGGACGAGATCAGCCAGTGGACCGGCTTCGACGATGCCCGACGGATGAGACCCGAACTCCCAGAGCAGCTCTACACTTTTCTGGGGCGCTTGCTGTCTGTGGATCCAGATCGACGGCCTTCTGCGGAGGAAGTGTTGAATGGCCTTCAAGCTGGCGCCAACGGCAACGACAGTTTCCGCCATCGACGGGCCAGCTCTTCAGGCTCAGACGCCCACTCCAGCTCCAGAATACACCCAGTGGATGACCCGAGCGCATCGTCCGTCCAATGGCCGTCAAGCACGAAGAGACGATTCTCCCGAAGTCCCGTTGCCGTGCGACGCAACTCTCAGAGTACCCAAGCAGCCGATCTGACCCCTGTCTTTGAAGACCTCGAAACCGACCAGAGGCGAATGTCATTGAGCCCTGAGCGCGACCTAGTAATCCGACATAGATTCTCTAGTACACCCGCACCCAGCGAGTCGCCAAGGGGTCGCGAAGCCCCCGATGATGAAAGAGGAACGCCACTACCGCCTCTACCGCCGCTTTTACCCCCGCCTCCGGGACGGTTCTCCTTCTTAAGATCCCTATTACCAGGGTCAATCAGTAACTTCGAATCAACCCTCTCCTCCCCAATGATGCCCTCGCGTTCTTCCTCCTCAAACTCGCCACCGCATTCCAACCATGCACTCCCCTCGCCGTCAACCCCTGGGTGTTCTACCCTTTGGTCCTCCTAGCGGCTGTCTGGTTGAACACACGCAGTTTCCGGCTCCAGGTAGCTGCCCTCTTCTTGCATCTGCTGATAGTTGGGGTGTGTATGCGCTTGCAATATTTGTGTTTGTGGCCTGCTGTGCCGACGGGGATGTTTTGAGGTGAGGGTCTTGTAACCATATTCCGGGTTTGTCTATTACGATATTATGTGCATTACATGTGTTAATACCGTGGGTTTGTGGTTGTAGTGGTTATGTAAATAGTAATCGCATTGAGGGTATCCCAACACTGAAGTATCAACCATAGACTCAGCTACGGGTCAATGACCAGGCCAAATACACCAATACAAGTAAATAAAAACAATCACCTCACCCCCCCATTAACCTCCAAAACACACCCATTCACAAAACTACTCCCCTCCGAAAACAAAAACGCCACCACATCAGCAACCTCCTCCGGCCTCCCAATCCTCCCCAGCGCAATACGGCCCCTCGCACGCTCAAGCGCCTCTCCCCCAGCCACCTTCGCCGCGTTAGTCGGCGTATCTGTTGACCCCGGCGCTACAGCATTGACCCTAATGCCTTTAGGGCCCAATTCCAGCGCGAGTGCCTTTGTGAGACCGACGATGGCGAACTTGGTGGCGCAGTAGACGGAGAAGTTTGGGGCGCCTTGCGTGCCGCAGATGGAGGAGACGTTGACGATGGAGGGGGAGGAGGAGGAGAAACTCTCCTGGAGGAGGGGAATGCATGCTCTTGTGACGTTGTATGTTCCGCGGAGGTTGGTGTCTACTAGTTTTGTGAAGTAGTCGTCTGTTGTTTCTGTGATGGGGATCGGAGTGGGGTTTATGCCGGCGCAGTTGAAGAGGTAGGTTAGGGGTGGGATTGAGTATGAGGAGATTGTTTGGGCGAGGGAGGTGCAGGCTGTGCTGGAGGTGACGTCTAGGGGGTGGTAGATGTGTTTTGTTGCTGTTGTGGAGGCTGTTGTGGCTGTGGTGGTGGTTTGAAGGGAGTCTGGTTCTAGGGCTTGTTGGAGGTTGTCGAGGGCCGTGGTGTTGATGTCTGTTAGGATGAGGGTCATGCCTTGGTCATGGAGCTTGTGGGCGGTTGCTTTGCTGGTCAATAGTTAGTTTTGATCTTCTTGCTAGATTGTAATAAGGATGATAGTAGTGGTAGTAGTTGGGTGTTTACTGACCCTATACCGCTGGCAGCTCCGGTGATTAAGGCTGTTTTACCACTCATTATGTTGTTCTTGCTATCTGGGGTACTGATGGGAGTGTGTAGGAGAGATAGAAGTTTTGCTAATTATAATTATGAATTGATTTGGAGACACTGCGGGGTAGTGACAAGCGAGATATAAGTAGGACTATATATGTTAATGTTGATAGCTGATCTTCACTAATGTCGCACCATCTATGTGTCTCTATTCTGTACAGTATGAGGTCTCAATTGACATGGTGAGTTCAACCACCAACACTTAGCTCTAACCCTGATCTTTGTGTTTAAGATGAGGACCCGGCAGATACACTCCCCAACATTCATCATCATCATAAATGTTATATAGAGTGCAGGACTCAGTAGAGATAGATATATTATAAAGGCATGGCGCCATCATGTTCCCCATGGTGCAATCCTCAGGCATGATAGTAGTTTGCATTAGCTATCCCGGTTTATGAATGCTGACTACGCTATACACAATGTGCATACGATCGGAGTATAGCGGCCAATCACGTGGTGCACAGCAATCCATGGTTGTTTCACGTGGGGATGATAAATCCTGTTCTCGCGGTGGGTCAAGAATGTGTTTTTTGTTGGATCTCTTGGCTGTGTGATTCTGTTTACACCCGCATTAAATCGGACTCAATAATTGTCTGAGCCGAGACAGTCTCACTTCGGATGGTTCGGAATCGGAGGATAAGACTGAGTCAACATCACTGTCTGCTGTACTCCGTATCGAAAGAAGGATGGAGAATGCCTCAGGTACCCAGGCACTCGTTAAGATTAAGTTGGCAGCCTGATCCTGTGATTTGTTCCCCATCCACGCTATCGTCTGGCGACCCATCGCGCCCAACCACGGTCACATCATCGCCCCCCCCGACTCAGTAAAGATGGAGCACAAAGGGATGGTGCTTAGTCCTATTCCGGTATGAATCCGACAGGTCCATCAATGCCCCTCCAGGCAGCCAGATTCAACATGACGGATCCAATCAACAAGGTGCATCATCTCCGAATGACAGGGCTGAGTAGCGGTATGCGGTATTCAGGCCCCCCTCTCAGCCACGATACCTTCCTCGATTGGCATCAGTGTCGGGTCGACATTCATTTCCGACGGATTCTCGCGGATGGGGTCGATCATGGACCAAACATGTGGCTGGTTCCCTCGGCTTGTTCGCCCCAATGACCGCTGGTTCTTCAGTGTCAGGTCAGACTAGTTGCGATCGCCCCCTGTTCGGAACCCCTGGCTCGCTGGCTAATTACATTCATATTATTTCATGGGGCCCACTCGGGGTTCCAGTGGAATAAATAATGAAAAGGAACTGGAGATCCTGCGCGAAGCCCCCTCCCCTTCCTTTGGGAATTACACCTGTTGAATAAAGTCGTCGAGATGAGGGCCCCCTTCGCTGCCACTGCCGTTGCTGTGGCCGGTCTGCTGTCGGGTACGTCCATTCCTCCCTTTCGCGAGAATGCTGATTGCTGACCTGACGGTTGATAGCTGCGACCGCTGCCCCCGAACCTGTCTCAGAGCACAAGGCTCTGCTGAACCGTGCGTTGCCAAATGCGCCCGAGGGCTACGTGCCGACGGAGGTCGATTGTCCTACCAATCGCCCGAGCATTCGTAGTGCTGCGAAGCTCTCGCCGCACGAATCGTCGTGGCTGAAGAGCAGACGGGAGAAGACCAAGCCCGCTCTGAAGGATTTCTTCGGCCATGTGAAGATCAAGGACTTCGATGCGGCCGGGTACATCGATCGCACCGCGAGCGACAGCCCCGACCTGCCCAACATTGGCATCGCGGTGTCTGGTGGTGGGTACCGTGCGCTCATGACGGGTGCCGGTGCGCTGCATGCGTTTGATAGTCGCACAGAGAACTCCACCGCCACGGGCCAGCTCGGTGGTCTGCTGCAGTCTGCCACCTATCTGGCCGGTCTGAGTGGAGGCGGCTGGTTGGTGGGTTCTGTCTACCTGAACAACTTCACCACTATCTCCTCGCTGCAAACCACCGGTGAGGGCGACGTGTGGCAATTCGAGAACACCATCTTTGAGGGCCCCGATGACGACAGCCTCCAGCTTTTCGATTCGATCGACTACTTCAAGAATATCGAGAAGGCCGTGTCGGCCAAGGAGGATGCCGGGTTCAACACCTCGATCACGGATTACTGGTAGGACTTTCATCTTGGGGATGATGGGCGGCAGCTGACTGTTTTAATAGGGGACGCGCGCTGGCCTACCAGATGATCAACGCCACCGACGGCGGCATTGACTACACCTGGTCGTCGATCGCCGAAATCGAGGCGTTCAAGAGTGGCGACATGCCGCTGCCCGTGTTGGTGGCCGATGGTCGATTCCCCGGTGAACTCGCCATCAGCACCAACACCACCGTCTTCGAGTTCACCCCGTGGGAGTTCGGCACGTACGATCCTACCATCTACGGGTTTGCTCCCCTGAAATACGTGGGCACCAAGTTCGTGGGCGGATCCATCCCCAAGGACGAGAAGTGTGTGCGCGGCTACGACAATGCCGGCTTCATCATGGGCACCTCGTCGAGTCTGTTCAACCAGGCCTTCTTGAAGGTCAAGGACTCCGACTCCATTCCTTCTTTCCTGAAGAAGGGGCTCCTCAACATCCTGGGCGGCATCGGCGAGGACGACGACGATATTGCCGTGTACACGCCGAACCCCTTCTACCAATACCGCCCCGAGTCGGACCCGAACTCGCACCAGAAGGAACTGGACGTCGTCGACGGCGGAGAAGATCTGCAGAACCTTCCCCTGCACCCGCTCATCCAACCCGAGCGCCATGTGGATGTGATATTCGCGGTGGACGCCTCCGCCGACACCACCTACAGCTGGCCCAACGGCACGGCCCTCATCGCCAGCTACGAGCGCAGTCTAAACAAGACCGGCATTGCCAACGGCACGGCCTTCCCAGCCATCCCAGACGCCAACACCTTCGTGAACAACGGGCTCAACGCGCAACCGACCTTCTTCGGCTGCGACAGCTCCAACCAGACGAGCGCCACCCCCTTGATCGTGTACCTGCCCAACTCCCCCTACACGTCGTTCGGGAACTGGTCCACCTTCGAGCCCAAGTACACCAACTCGGACCGCGACAACAGCATCATCAACGCCCACAACATGGTGACCATGGGCAACGGTACCCGCGACGCCGACTGGCCGACCTGCGTGGGCTGTGCCATCCTCAGCCGCTCGTTCGACCGCACCAAGACCAAGGTCCCCGAGGCCTGCACCCAGTGCTTTGACAAGTACTGCTGGGACGGCAAGACCAACACGACGGCCCCGGCGGAGTACGCGCCCGCCACCGTGCTCGGCGGGAAGACCAGTGCCGGTTCGTTGGCTGGCCCTACAGCCTGGACCGGTATGGTTGCCGCTGCCGTGGCTCTGTTTGCGCTGGTCTAATCCAGCTAATCTTATAATCCTTGGATATTGATTTTGACTTTCATGTTGTATATACCTTTTGCACATTTTACGCACTATATGATGGATGTTGCTGGATATTGAGATTGGCGGATTTGGACATGCATCTTGGAACCCAGATACGGCCGTAAACATATCTCAAATCTTGGATAACCAAATCATACATCATCTTACTTCTCTAATTCTTGTTTAAATTAATACTTCTCGAACTCTTCTACAAATAAGCAATAATCAACCTACACTATTGTATAGCCCAAGGCAACACGTGCAGTGGACCCGTTACCAGGGAAACCACCACAGTCACTAAACCCAAACGAGCCAACCCAAGAACAACACACTAAACTCCACCCCGACTGCACGCCAACGCCAACGCCAACGACAACCGTTCAAACCAGCTTTGCAATCTCCAACCCCGGTCTCCATTCCTTCACGGGACCGATTTTAATATCGCTACATATTCAACTCATCCTCTTGGTGGTCCTACCGGCGCACAATGACCATCGCGACCCGCACGTATTAACCGACACGACGACGCTACTAACAACAGCAACATCAACAACCACCACCACCCCCCTCATCGACGAATACGAATACACCAACACACATACACAATGGCTCGAGCGGCCGTGATTCCGAAGTCGCCGCCTAAGCGCGCGACGCGCACGGCGGCCCAACGAAAGATGACAGCGACATCAACAACGGCAGCAGCTGCTGCCAAGGCAGCACCGAAGACCACGAAAGCGAAGACTACAACGACGACGGCCACGGACGCGAAGAAACGGGGTACGCGCGCTGCGCCGAGGACAGCTGCGCGGGTGACGCAGCCCGAGTCGGACGATAATACCGATGATGAGATTGGCGTTATTGAGACGAAACCGGCTAAAACGCGAGGCAGGCCGGCTGCTACGACGCGGGGAAAGAAGATTGCCACGCCGCCGCCGCCACCTGCGCCGACTGAGATGGAGGATGAGGATAGTGAGGAGGATGAGCTGGCGCAGGTGGACGAGCCGAAGAAGCGGCCTGGTCGGCCTCGGGTTGCTAAGGGTCAGGAGACGAAGCCTGCTGCGGCTCCTAAGACGCGCGGTCGTCCCAAGGGGAGCACCGCGACGAAAGCTACTAGGAGAACCGCCCCGCCGCCCGTCGACGATGTTTCTAGTCAGGGGGCTCCGAGGGAGGTGTTCATCAACTCCAGCGTCATGAGATCGAATATCCTGCGTGGACCGGCGAAGAAGAAAACGGTTACGTTCCAAGTATCAGACTCGGAGAATGAGGAGAGCGAGCCGGAGCCTCCTGTTCGTAGCCGGCGTGGAAGAGCGCCCGGCCTGGCTGCCAAACCCGCTCGCAAGCCTGCCGGCAGGCCTGCTGCCACGCCCGCTCGAGGCCGGAAACCCGCGGCGGCTAAGAAGGGCGCGGCCAAGCCTCTGTCGCCCAAGAAGGCGACCCAGGTCGCGAAGTCGCTGTCTTCGTATGCGAGCTCGGATGGCGAAGACGACGAGTTGAGCGGCGCCAAGGATCAATATCATCTTGTTGTGCGCTCCCCTGAGAAACAGGGGTCAGGAACCACCGGCCTCAGTTCCCCAGTCAAGCGCATCAACTTCGCGCCTAGCCCGCCAAAGCATGTCGATGAGAACGGCGAACCGAACCTCAAGCCTCCGAAGTCTATGGACTTTAGCCAGTCACCGTTTATGTCTAGCCCCGCCCGTCGTCCACCCCCTTCACCATTCAACTACACGTTTAGGGAAACGCCCAAGAAAGGAGGATTCTCCATCGGAAGTGCCGCAAAGCCACTGGACCAGCCAGAGTTAACCGCGACCATTGCATCGCCGCTGAAATTCTCCCCCAAGAAAGCCAACATCGAAACCCCCCGACGCGGAAACCTCTTCGGCGGCCATCAGCAGCCCATCTCCCAACCCAACTTCACGCCCGGCCATGACTCGCCGCTCAAGTCGTCTCCAAAGAAGGGAAACCTCGCCGCTTCGTTCTCGTCTTCGCAGCATAATACACTAGAGACGATGTCTACCCCGCTGAGGAGGAGTCTTTTCCAGAGCCCGGCTAAGAAGTTTTCGTCGCCGAGGAAGAGCTTCATGTCGCCGCGGAAGTTGCCTACGGTGGAGTATGAGGAGTCAGAGGATGAGCTGAGTGCGGATCCTCGTGTGGATCTCCCGTCTAAGCCTGCGGAGTCGCCTTTGCGGATTGAGGAGGCTGGTGACGAGGAGGTCGATGACGAGGAGGCCGAGACTGATATCGAGGAAGCTGGAATCGTTGCACAGGAGGATACCCAACCAGACGACGAGACTGACGATGCACAAGCGACTTCTGAGCATCAAATGCCAGCAGATCCAGAGCCTGAAGTACACTTGGATGCTGTGGACGAAACTGCGAAATTTTACGACTCCGAAGGGACAGAAGACGACGGCCAGATGTCGGAAGACGAGGCGATCGATGGTCCGAGTGATACGATCGTTCATCACGTTGCCGACGCCAACGATGAGCAAGCTCACTCCGATGTCGACGATGAAATGGTCGCTGTTGGTGCTGATAGTCACGCACTGGACGTTGAGGACCTCGATGAAAACATGGAGCGCGAGGAGGAAGGGGCGTCTGAGCATGATTTTACCGAGGAACCCCTTGATGCGAATGCGGACAGTCAAGGTCCCATGGAGGAAAGCGAGGAACAGGAGGATGCAGTGGACGAGATCCATGAGATCCATTCCATTCCGGATGCGCAGGAGCACGCCGACGAAGAACAAGCTATGCGAAACCTGAATGAGGAAATAGACCGCGAAATGGAAGACGATCGCACACTCGACGGGTCTAATTTCTTGCTGCGTCCAAGCCTCTTCCAAGGTCTTGAGGATGTCTTCACTGATAGTGCTACCCAGGGACACGGTGAAGATCGCTCGGAGGATCATACCATTCGCTCGAACCACGCTGAAGACTCTTTCATCCCCCCGACTCAGGATCAAGACAGTTCAAGCTCGGAATCCGATTTCGATGATGAACCTACCCTCGTTTGTGAAGCGAGCGGACAGGTCGTGGCGCCGCCGGTTTCGCCTTACGAAGTCCAGGAATCCGCCAGCCCATCTTTCCAGGCCCCTGCCGAGATGCCTCCGGCCCCGTCTCCTCCGATGACCGGCGAGTATCGCGATACTCTTGATGACATGGACATGACCACCAATACAGACCTTTCTACGGAGTTGGATTACACTGGCGGTTTCGACTATCCCCAGTCACCGACTAAGGCCCAGACACCCCGGCGCTTAGGTCAACGGCGGTCGCTCTTGGGTGGGCCTCGTTTCACCCCCTTGGCACAGCAGCTTGGCCAGTGGAAGGCAAGCAGCCCGGCGAAATCTCAGCCCCGACGTCCCAAGAGAGGTGTTTTCTCCCTGGGTCCGAAGCAATCTAGTGATGTCAGCGCCGCAGGCGTGCTCTCGCCTGCTATCTCTTCTAGTCCGCAAAACCTTCCCGAACAGCCATCTCCTGCTGGCTCTTTCAAAATCCACGAAGATCCGACTGAAGAGCCCCTTGCTGCGGAATCCGAGACACCGGTTGGTTCACCGGCCCGGGCCGACCATTTTCCAAGCAGAAGCCCTGCCCTCAGCGAAAGGGATGAAATCGATTGTATCTCGGTTGTCCCAGAAAGCCCAGTCCATCCCGCGCCTACCCACGAGGAATCCGACGACGAGAAGGAGAATGACGTCCGTCCTCCTATGACGCCTGCGAAGAAAGCCATCAACCCGATGCAGACGTTCCATACTGTGTCCAAAGTGCCTCTCAAGGCTGAAGGCCAGGTCTCGCCCCTGAAGGTATCTCGCAAGAGGGGCCTCTCGTTATCACCAGTCCACTCCAGACCCCGCAAGTCGATCTTCATGCCGTCGCCATCTCGCAAATCCCCACGGCTTCAACGCCCCACGACCCCCCAGCGCCCCAGGCAATCACTCAGCCATGGCCAAACTCCCAACGCGGGCAGCCAACAACGCAGACGCTCCACCGCACCAGCAGCCTCACCAACCCCAGTGAAGAACACCCGCCCAGCTCCCAGCCCCGCCAAAACGCCCCTCCGCGGCGGAACCGACTCCTATAGCCAGGTCCTCAACGGCGCAGTCGTCTACGTAAACGTGCACACCACCGAAGGCGAAGACGCCAGCGGCATCTTCGTCGAGCTGCTTCAGCAGATGGGCGCACGATGCATCAAGAGCTGGTCTTGGAATCCTAGCGCACGTGCGAGCACGTCTCCGGACGGGGAGTCCGAGACGAAGATTGGGAAGGTCGGCATTACGCACGTTGTGTTTAAGGATGGGGGCGTACGTACCCTGGAGAAGGTGAGGCAGGCTAGGGGGTTGGTAAAGTGTGTGGGAGTTGGGTGGGTTCTAGAGTGAGTCCCTTCTGATACTTTCGTTTCATATCTGGAATGACCGATACTAATACGATACAGCTGCGAGAGAGAAAACCGCTGGGTCGAAGAAAGCCACTACGCGGTCGACAGCTCGATCATCCCCCGGGGCGGCGCCAAACGCAGAAAGAGTATGGAACCGCGCGCCCTAAGCAACATGAACGGCACCCTCGTCAAGTCCAACCCCAGCAGCAGCAGCAGCAGCCGCAAATCCGGCGCCGTCGAAGACTTCATGCGCCAGACGCCTCCCCCCAGCGAATCCCCGGACCTCACCCCCCAAACCCGCCGCTACGAGTCCAGCCACGCAGAGCCAGACCAAAGCTACTGCCAGACGCCCAAGACGCCAGGCTCCAGACCCTACGACTTCAACTTCGACGCTATCGGCATGTCCCCGGCAACGCCATACTACCTCTCCCAGCGCTCGCGTCTCGTTCAGCAGACGTGTCCGCCTAAACAAACTCACCAGGGTCTGTTCGGGACGCCGTCGCGTGCGGAATCAGATGAGGTGGAGCCGTCTTGGAAGCTAAAAGCGAAACTAGATGCGGCCCGACGGAAGAGTTTAGCGTTTAAGCCGCGGGTGGGGAGTCCTTTGGTTGATTTATAGGGCAATGTGATGTAATTAGATTTCTTTTCTTTTTGTTTCTGTCTTCTTTGACATCTACGATTTAGTTCTTTGGGTGCCTGAGGCAGGAATTGCATTATTGGTGTGTTTGGATTGGAGATGGAGTTTATGTGAATTGAATTCGGATGGGATTTCTGATAGGTTGGGACTGTTTATTCGATTTGTTTTCATTCATTCTTTCTTTCTTTATTTAATTGGTTTACTGTAACAAAGGTAGTGGTATGCTTGAAGCTCTAGAAAATACGCCCTTCCTACCAAATGCCTACCAAGTGACCGTATTGGTACTATTGTCAACTCACCCTTTTAAGCAAAATGTTTGTTTAGTTTGTATCGGTGATGAGCGCTCATCACCGATACAAACTAAACAAACTTGGATCGCGACCGCGTAGAATCCGTCAAGTATATAGTGATCTCATACCAGCTTAGCTGCATCTTCTCGGGCTCATAGCCAAGCGTGGGGTAGGGGGATGTCAAGGCAAGTTTGAACCATTCCCGACTTTGTCAGGTGTCAATAATGGTTGACGCCTGGGAAAGTAGTATTGACACCTGAAAAAATCGGCAGCCCCGTTTTGAATGATCATCGGGCCCTTGAAGCCATGCAGCATATATATAGGGCACCATCCTTCCTCTTGATGACAGATGGATTGTGATTCAGTCTATCAGCTTAACGAGTTCGCAGTCATTACCACTCTTTGAAACATCGCTCAGATCTGATTATTCATCTTTGCGGAATTCCGTTCAAATGGAGTGGGACCCGAACAACATCTGCTGGTATACTCCTCTGTATAGGTTCGATGACATCCAGCCGTCCCCCTCTATAACCGCCCAGAACGAGGTCCCTGGGATTGGCATGCTATTCTCCGAGGATGGTGATCGCCCAGCACCCAACACCAATTACTTGGCTTGGGACCCCTCCGTGCAGCTTCCATCCCATGTACTTCCCACCATCCAGCCTGCCCAACAGCAATCGGTAAACTCCCCTGTACTCCAAGCACAAGCCCTACATTCTCAAGGGTCTAACATGGGTGAAGGTAACCGCTGGACAGAACCCTGACAGACAGCTCCGTTGCGAATGGAAAGACTGTCGGTACTCCGGTACCTTCAGGCGCAAGGCTGAGCTGCTTCGTCATGTCGATACTATCCATGTCAATCCACAGTCGTTCAAGTGTCAGAGGTGCGCGTCGACATTTAATAGGAAGTACAACCTGAAGGACCATTCACGACGGGTACATAAGACTGAGTGTTTGTGATTTTTCACTATGTTGTTTGTTTGAGGTTGGGGTCAATCGCTTATGGGGAAGTAGTGACCTCTCTGATGGATAACTCGATTTTGAATTCAAGATTTCATGAGATAACTACAATAGATGGATACGTAGATACCAGCCATGTATAGAGCGAGGGTCACCGCTAGATACATAGATCGATTCCGCCCGAAAATCATTCCGTAGCAAGGCGGCAATTTCAGAGGGATTGTGTAATGACAACCTGCACAATCTTCCCACCGGAATGGTTGTACATATAGGAAAGTCCCTTGGGAATCTGTGCCTATGCAGCCACCCTGCTCGTAGTATACCTCCCACTAACTGACCAAGGATGGGATCCCATTGCTCAGATTGATCCAGTCGAGTCTTGGTCAGGGGTATCCACAATAGGGCAAAGTCGTCACGGGGATAGTCTGGATTGGCTAAAGCAACCCGTCGAGTCAGCCTGGGTCTGATAGGTATGGCCTTTGGGTGATGAAAAACCGTGCCCTTTCCGCCCTGGCCGTTGCTGCCTTGGTTTGCGATTCTCTTTGGTGTGAGCTTGTTTTATATTGCTTCCAATACAAGTTTCACTAGAACAAAATGTATAAGATTCCTCTTTGATATATAGTAGTGTTCAATTGAAAAGGGCCTGAGAATTGCTGTTAGCACCCCTGTCAGGATGGCCTGCGAAGCAGGCCATCCTGACAGGGGTGCTAATAACTTATATTCTTAAGTACCTTCTTTTCCCGCCCTCTATTAGAAGTACATGAATCTTCTCACTATAAGCTCTCTAAAAAAAATCTTGGATGCCGCTCTTATATTAGTAAATATACTAGGAGCAATTGAAAAAAAAAAAAATTGCTTCCCTATTATAGAGAGCTTGAGTTAGCACTGTAAAATCTGTAGATACTTTTATAGCTTATGATAAATGATATGTTTGTCCTAACATGAGTAACTGAGTGACTAACATTAAGGAATATAGTTCTAGATACCCAGGACGCTCCTCCTCAGACCAAGTCTTATAATAAGCTAGCCACGAGCTAGCAAATAGTTGATAGCACTTTTGACTAATTTGGAACCCAAGTTAGACCAATGGACTTTCGTTATATATCGTGAGTGCTCACATATTATATATGTGCTGTCTTCACACAACAATCCCATTCCCTCGTGGTTCCCTTGCAATTTAGGAAGCCAGGATATCATGGAGCATACCACGGTGACCATCCCTGGAGCTATGGGGTAGAAGTGCTTGTGTTTGATATAATCAAGCTCTTGATGTGTCCGTTGTGTAATCTCAATTTCTGGGGAATGATTGATATATACAAAATTTGTCATTGTCAAGAGATCTATCTGTCACGAGAGAGCTGGACGAATGGACCCTTCCAGGATCTCCTGCCAGTACCATTAGAATCCAACGTCGCTCGCTGGGCATAGAAAGTGCTTACCTGTCAGGATATATTATCCCTTATACGAGTACAGCCATGGTTTCCGTGTGCTTCTGTAGCAGGATGGTTGCTCATGGGAACTCTTTCTTGCTTGATGTTTCCGTTCGCATCAAAGTCTGCAGGTTGCTAGGTATAGTTTTTCAAGCCAACCATGAGCGGTAGAAGTAATCAATATGTACCGCAGGTGACTTGTATGGAGAAACAAGCATATGCAGGAAGCCACATCAATGACGCCAAATGATGGCTCGCAGCAAGTCTAATAGCGTATGGAAGGAAGATGTGGACAAAGAGCCATGGTCCGTGTCTGGTAGAAAAGGATGTTTTGACAGTGCACCTGGGCTATAGAGACCCTAATGTCGGCCTAATATATTGTTCGATATAGAATGCTGGTGTTGTAGAATGCCATATATATATTGAGAAGGCATGCGGGGGGGGGGGGGGGGGAATTTTGGGATATTATATAGGAAGAAGAAGAAAGTGTAAAGTAGAAAGTAGAATAGATCTAAGAAGATAGATTTTATAACTAACTGTCTATTATATAAATTTATCACAACAATCCAGTCACTGAAGCCAAAGTTGAAACAAAACACTGCAAGTGACTAAAAATAACCGCCAGTTGAAACGGTTGAAACATCTCATTGAGCCATTGAGAGAGCCCCGCCCCCGCATTGCCCGTGAATGACATCCACCGCCTTCCCTCATCCTTCATCCTCTTTCCATCGCCATCCTTATTCCTCACCACCAAAATGGAGCGCTCCAAGAAACCTTCTGCTATCGGTGTCGGCGCATCTCTGCCTCAACCCTCCATCTCCATCAATGACAAAACCGTCGAAGCCCGACTGCCCACGGGCGAGTCGGTGACGGTCTATCTCTACGGCGCTACCGTCACCTCGTGGAAGCTTGCAGATGGCCAGGAGCAGTTGTTCCTGAGTGAGAAGGCCCACCTGGACGGGTCGAAACCGATCCGAGGTGGTATTCCTGTTGTTTTCCCGGTATGTGTCTCCCAAAATTGTTCTATCCTTCCCCAGAAAGGCCAAAGACTAATAACGATCGGTAGGTCTTCGGCCCCCTCCCCCCAACCACCCCACATCCGCCCTCCCTCAACATGGTTTCGCACGGAACTCCACCTGGGAGTTTTTGGGCAAGTCGTCCTCCGAATCCGCCGGCCGGAAAGACGGCGACGACGCCGTGAAGCTGGACTTTGGCCTGTCGCGGGGCATGCTCAGCGAGGAGTTCCAAAAGGCGTGGCCGTATGACTTTGGGCTGGTGTACAGCGTGACTCTCACCAAGGAGAGTCTGGGGACGTCGCTACATGTGCAGAACGAGGGGAGCGAGAATTTCGACTTTCAGGTGTTGATGCATACGTATCTGAACATTGAGGTGGGCCCACCCCACCCTCTTACGACTGTTTCCGCTTCTGGATACTCTATACTAACAATAATAAGGACATCTCCCAAATCAACCTCCAGAACCTCTCCTCCCAAGAATACGTCGACAAAACCCTCAACGGCACCGCCCACACCGACTCCTCCCCCACCCTTCCCATCACCGGCGAAACCGACCGCGTCTACAAGGCCCTCGACCCCGCAGTTCCCATCGTGGTCGCCTCCGCCGCAGACAACAAGCCCGTCTTCTCCGTGACGCGCGAGGGCCTCTCCGACGTCGTGGTGTGGAACCCTTGGATCGAAAAGGCCAAGGGCATGGCGGATTTCGGGCCGGATGAGGCATACAAGAAGATGATCTGCGTGGAGGCCGGGTCTGTATCCGCGTGGCAGACGCTGGAGGCGGGGGATTCGTGGGAGGGAGGGCAGACTATTCGGCCGAGACTGTAGTTGGATCTACGGATGATGAGTTTATGCTGATGATAAGGTCGGTTTATATACTACCTAGTAAGTAGTGCACTGGGGCGAGAATAGATACGTACATTATGATCTTCCCAGAAAGAAACAGAACAAAACAAAAAAGAGGAATTATTTGCACGGACCAACAAACTGCATATACAAAACGAGACAGTCCTCCAAATTACCTATGCATACCCTCGGATAAGAAAAAGCATATACACAAACAAAAGACAATCCCCCAGGATAAGAGACAACCCCAGACTACCTGCGTACCCTCGAATGAAACAACAGCATATACACAAACAAGACCCAACCCCATACCACCACCAACTCCCTCCTAAACTACCCACATAGAACAAGTTACTCCCCCTTCGCCAGCTCCTGCGCGGCCTCCATACTATACTGCGGGCCCCGATAATCCCTCCGCCCACGAACAACCCACCACCCAGCCGTCAAAGCCATCAACCCCACAGCAATAACACTCGTGTAGTTCATATTCTGCACAGTAACAGGCATCACAAGCGGGAAGCAGAAGAACACGACCGTGACAACAATATACAGCACCGCAACGACATTAACGATCATTCCCAGCCCATGACCCATATAGAACGGACCGGGCACGATATTCCGCCTCCCCGTCAACACGTGAGGCAGGATCGCGCCGAGGTAGGATAGTGTCGAGAGGACGATAAAGGATGAGATGAGCGCTTGGAAGGCGGTGGAGCTGCCTACGTAGATACAACCCAGACAGGAGACCATGGCGCTGACGGCGATGGTAGCGCGCACGGGGGTCTCGTGGACGGGGTCGATGTGTTTGAAGAAGGTTGGGAAGGGGGTTGCGTCGTCGCGGGCGAGACTCCACCACATGCGGCCACCTGTGACGAGCGTGCCGATCAGCGTCGGGAAGGTTGCGAGGAAGAGAACTGCTGTGAGGCCTGTTGCGCCGGCGTTGGAGCCTGTTGCTTGGCGGTAGATTTCGGCGGTGGGGAAGACGGCGATGCGGCTGTTGAGGACGGCGGGGAGGTCGGAGATGGAGTAGAAGAGGGCGATGACGTAGATGAAGGCTGTTGTGAAGGCTGTGAACATTTGGAGGAGCATGCCTTGGGGGATGCGGAGTTGGGGGTTGGGGACTGTACTGGTTAGTTGGGGGATTGGACTAGAGAAGAGAGGGATGGAGAAAAGGGGGATGGGGACTGACTCTCTTCAGAAAGATGGCTGATACAGTCAGGAACGCCAACTGCAAAAGCCGCATTCAGCAGCCCCGTCATGAAGCAGATGCCGTCGGACCAGCCGCCGGTGTTATTGTTGTATGTAGTCCAGACGTCCGCGCTGCTGGCGTGTCGTTTAGGCATGATAGCGAGGACGAGCACCGTGACGACCAGGCCGGTCATAGACAGACACAACGCAATGCGATTAATCCACGGGACGAAGCGGTTCCCGAAGCACACAATAGCGCAGCATGTCCAGTTGAGGCCCTGGAAAGCGACAAACACCTGCCACGGGTGGAATTCTACCTCTGGATGGCGTAGCAGATGCATGGCGACGAGCTCGTTGCCCAGCATGGAGGATATAGATGACGCCGAGAGGAGCCATGCCGTGGCGTTGAGGTACCCCGTGAAGAAGCCTACCACTTTACCGTGTTTGCGACTCAGCACGGAGGACCAGTAGTAGACGCCGCCGGCGGAGGGCATGGACGATGCCAGCTCGGAGAGTGACGCTGTGATCAGGGTGTAGAAGATGCTGACCAGGATGAGGCCGTATAGGATCGCCATGGGGCCGCCATTCTGCAGGGCCGATACGATTGTGCCTCCTGTTGATGCCCACGAGCTGGGGTGATCATGTACTTAGCGCAAGATCTTGAGGGAAGACAGATAGGTAACTCACTTTGCGATGATGATGCCCAGACTGGTCAAACTGAAGAGATCGAATCTGCGCACCAGCTGCTGCTTGTGGCCCAGCGCTGTTTCCAACCGCGTCTCATCCATGGTGTTCTTTCTGATTTCACAATTTTTTTTCTTTCTTTTTTTGCTCTGATTACTTGTGACACAGCAGTTGATAAAGACGCTGACGGTCGCAGATATCTCACGAAACTGATTCGACTTCCTGGTATAAAAGATCGGAATTTTTGCTCATGCAAGGAAGTCAGTCAGTTCCATATGGTCGCCATGTGAGGAAAACGATCAGGATCGAATGCGGCCCGCAACGGCATGGCATGCATGTTTCAAAGATCCTGTTACACACCTTGTCCGACGGCAAGCATGGAGGACAGGGAGGGTAGTCGCAGGGGGGGGAGAGTCATGAGAAATGACAGGGGGCAAGTTCGACCATGGGAGGTGCCCAATTTCCGCGGGCCTACATACATGCCTTCTCCTGTGTGGTCGAAGCAAGGGTGGAATCGATAGAGGCTATGCTGGAGGCTGGACTAGGCAGGAATCGGATGGAGAGGCGTTAGCTTCCTCCGATCGTGTTCTACTAGACTGTTCACTAGTATCTATCCGGAGAACTTTACTATACTTTCTTATCCAATCCACATGTCTATTGTCCTGTAGACACGTCCATCTCATCGCGAAGTCCATGAAAAGCACGCCAGTTGGGGCTTGACAGACCACGTGCCCTGCACTTCTGCCAGATCTTTCCGCTCCACCTTTAACTTTAGTCTGGTTTCGATCTCAACTTCATCTGGTGGAACAAGTCGATGCAATCTCAAACTGTCGATCTGACGAACCTAATCCCAGCCGTCCTCGTCATCAAAGATCTGGAGATGAAGATGACCCTCCCTTGCGATCAATGTCTGAGGATGGTGGGGTCCCACAAGGTAACTCATTTCGTACTCCTAAGTTGAATTCGAATCGATCGGGATCTAACCAACGGTTATAGATGGCGATGATTGGTCTAGAGTTTGAAAAAAATTGATTCGTGTTATCCAACAACCGAGGGTACGAGGCGTAGAAGCCCCAAGCGGTGGAAAGAAAAGCGACAAGATCGAATTCTATATGTTGGTACCCCTAGTTGATCGGTATAGTCAAGCTAGGTGGGACAAGCACGCTATAAAAAGAACGCTCAAGCCAACAATCGACCACAATATCTAAGTTTGGCATTCAAATGCCGAGATCAATAACTTGGCGGAGATTACCACAATCGCCTGTGCGCGTTAAGGTTTTTGGATAGGTCTGTCGATCGTTGCCAGACCCGCATCGCACTGGCCGGGTGGGCCCAGCGCCAACCCAAGAGCCGAAGCAGGAATTTACCAGCCTTCGCATGCACCCTCCCCTAGAATTGCATCCTTTTTGAGTTTTTTTTGCAGTATGAAGAGCCCGGCTATTGGTCTTGGGTCCGTTAGCTCGCGTTCTCGAGCGCCACGATATGTAAAGTGTTTACTGGTCGATGCGTGTCGTGTCACCCCAGGAACCCATCAGATTGGTCGCGCTCGTGCAGCTTCGTCTCGCGAGGACCACTCCCCTTCGTATCCTCGTACTGGGTCGATTATGCTCATGGACACGGTCACATCCACTCTCACGGTCTCGCTTCGGAGGCCTTGAAATGGCAGGCTCGCTCCAAGGCCGTGCAACGCCGGCACCCCCTGTCAACTGAACGAGGTGCGCCCCGAAGACTTGGTGATGCTTGGATTTCTCGGTGGGAGTTGAATATCGTGCCACCAAGATGTCCGGGGCGGCGCCCTCTCCCACATGGAGTCACCGGTGTTTGTTATCTGTCCTCGAGAATCTCGAGGCTCGGAAGAGGTCCTGCGAGTCGGCGTTGCTCGACGTTTGCTTCTCATTCAGAAGACCTCGACGCGTTTGCTCTTCTGGCTCCGCCATCCCTTGCGTTCTTGCCTAGTGCACCCCATCCCTTGTTTGTTCCCCTTGTGTCCTAATTTAATACTCTCGCTTCAGGAAGAGGGGCTTGTTTGATAGACGGAGAACTCAAAATGCTGGCTGTGCTCCCGGTATTTTCCAATCCTCGGTGACATGAGACAGATGATGCGTCCTCCAATAACAGCCAGGCTTCGGCCACTTTTAAGTCGGACGCTCCCACGATACTTCAATCCGGTCGTGCCCAGTATCCAAGTCTTGTCTCAAAACCAAACAACGAACTAACTTGCGTGGGATTTTCATCTGATTATTTGCGGGCGTCGTGGGCGAGATGGGGAACGTGTCGCCCACTCCGAAACAGCTCATGACCGAGGGAGCCATATTCTGGAGCATCGCGGCGGTGCTATTCATTGGTCGCTTGTATGTGCCATCCCGGTCAGTGTCATGGTCTAATCTGACCCGTCCAGGGTTTCTCGGATCATCGGGACTGGTTCAATCAAACGCCTGAACTGTATGCTTGACCAATATAGCCTCCCAATCTACCTGTCTATTGCTAACGGAGCCGGAGCGCAGTCGAGGACTATACCATGTGTGCAACATTTGTCAGTCATCTTGCTGAACAGAAAAATGCCATGTTGCTAACGGCTAGATCGTGCAGGTGGTGTACACGAGCCTTCTAGTACTCATCCCAATATCCTCCCTCTATGCAACCAACCTCATGGACCCAGCCGACTACGACAAGGTTCTTGCCGACCCGGTCGAGGTAAACAGACGAATCGTTGGGAGTAAGATCGTGATTGCGTTAGAGCAATGCATGCTCTTCTCGACATGGGGAGTGAAGACGTGCATGTTGACCATGTTTTGGCGACTGACCAAGAATCTCCGTCTACACCTCTTCGTGAAGGGCATTGCCGTCTATGTTGTGGTTGGGTTTGTCGTCATCATGGTGACCTATTACGGCGTGTACTGTAGGCCCTTTTCGCAGTACTGGGCGATGCCGGTGCATGATATGCAGTGTGCGACCTACCAGCACTATTCGATCACGCAGGCCGTTTTCAACATCAGCTCGGACGCGGCCATGCTGGCGGTGCCGGTGCCGCTGCTGATCCAAGCGCAGATGCGGATGAGGAAGAAGGTGCTTCTGATCTGTATCATGAGTCTTGGTCTCTTCACCGTCGTGGCGGCCATTCTCAACAAAGTGTACAACTTCGCCTCTCCCCTGACGACCACATACCAAATCTGGTACATCCGCGAAGCAAGTACAGGCATCTACGTGGCCAACCTCGTCTGTCTGTGGCCTCTGCTGCGCAAGCTGTTCGGCTTCAGAGCGTTCCAAAACAGTGGAAAGCAGTACCGGCAGCATCTCGTCCGACCCGATAAGGAATGCTCCGGCGCTACGCGATCCGCTGGAACCTCGCGATCGCGACCGTCCTTTTCGCTTCACCAGGCTTTGCATCTCAACGGCAAGGGCCCCCACGTTATTGCGAAGTCATTGGTGCCGGGTCGGAAGAACAACGAACAACGGGACAGCCAAGAAGCTATCACTAGGACCTCGCATGACGACGATGCGGAAGACCATATTCCCTTGGATGTCTGGGACAAGGGAGGCCGTCAGCCTGACCCGGAGATAGGAGTACTTGGCGACAGTATCTCGCGAACCTCGTCGCACTCGGGGAATGCGGTTCATGGAAAGCCACCCCAAGAACCTCGGACCCCGTAGTTGCGTGACTTCCTTTCAGCGTTGCCTGTTTTCTGGGCACTACGCCACCAATAAGCTGGTATTACCGCTGATTGGTTCCTCTCCCCATATCTTGGCATTCGTCTCAGCCGTCGGGGTTCCGCCCTTCCAAGGTGCGAGTAATGCCCAGGCCTTATGAGAATGAGAGCTATCAAAAGCCCTCAGCGTGCGTGTGGAGTGGCGAGGCTGTGGACTAGGACTGCTGCCGGAATCGGAGGCATGATCGTACGAGATGCATACACATGGCTGCTTGGCCGTGCCTGGGACGCTGGGCGGGAGAACTTTGTTTTGCAGAGAGGACAGCGCGCTTGCCGTTTGGTGAGCCAAGGGTCTACACATCCGGCGTGGAAGATATGCCCGCAGGATAAGGCTCGAATGCTGTCCTCGTCGTCGAATGATTCCATGCATATCACACAGGAGAGGTTAACGTCTCCCGCGTCGGCCTCCATCCCATCATTACTGTCTTTCCTGTCGGGAGGAATGTCTTCTGATGCATCGGGAGAAATTGCCCCAGGCTCGGGCGTCTTTAGTGGTGTATCTCCTTCCAGTCGTACGTGGCGTCCGCCGTCATCCTTTGAACCAGCTTCCGACCGTGGCGCATCTTCATGGGGGACAGATGTTCCCCAAACGCTATCACGGTGGCAACGCACCCGCCAGACACCATACTTCATCGGAGGAAACCGCTCCTCGAGATCGGATTTCGTAATGGTTCCTGGGCGGTCATCAAGTGGTAGGTCTTCCGGGTCGGGCACTCGTGCTGGCGCAGTCTGGTCATGCGAACGAAAGCACAGAATCTGCCTTGTGCCAAACATTATCCTGTTTTCCCAAGTCTGTCAGACAATGCACGCATATTATCGGCAAGCGATGCAGAGCACATACAAGGCTGCAAGAAAAAAGATGGAAACAACCACAGCTGCGATGTAGCTGAGTGGCGCTACTGCCGAGGGCTCGTCGGAACGATCACTCATCACCACGCGACGACGTTGGCACACTTTACATTTGATCGCTTGCCTGATAGCCAAAAAGCTGCTGGGAGGCCTTACTTGGGAAGTGGACAGAAAGTTGCGACCGTGAAGGTTCTTGTTCCAATCATCTAATATATCATAACCCCGCACAATCTATACTCTGTTTGACCAGCTCTCGGATGATCCGGCTGCCGAGTAACACTCCAGGGATATACCCCGCCCGCAAAGCCATCATTATTCTAGCATACACGATGATTTGTTCCTGCCATGTAGCCAAGGGACATCCCTGAATCTGAAGGATAACCCGTGGGGAGGGATGCTGTTAAAGGCAAAGGGCGAACTCGATGATCGAGCGACAGCAGGGGACTGACTTCCTGGGGAAATTCGAAACAGCAAGATCACCGTTACAGATACTGGATCTGGCCGACTACGGACGTTAGTAACATCATTTACCTCGACGCTATCTTATCCTACCTTATCATTTGGCTTTATCTGGGTGGATACACGCTAAGGCTAGCTTGACTATATACTAGCTTCCCCAGACACGGCCCACCCCGATAATACTGATCTGAGCAGACGAGATGAAACAGTGGCCGCCTCTGCACGTCGGGCATACCGACACTGTCATGGCTATGCGCCTGGACCTGGAGTTCCATCCGAACATGGCTGGTAACATGGCTAAGATGCGTAATAACTTACGAGGCCGACGACATCCCACCCGGCATGACCACAGGGCAACGCCTGATCCTTCCCGCCCCTCGCTTATCCTGTCTAGGGGTCTACGCCGGAGCCCCTATTTTCGCAGATCCAATTGCGTCTCATGTATCTAGCGGCTTAGTGGCCCATGGAGAAACAGCCTGAATACGCCAAGGAACGTCGCCACAGGCCAAGAGCCGTAATCAACCTGTGAAATGTGCCCGTAAAGGCCGGAGAATGCTTTACCTTGATTTCTATTCCCCGGACTCGCGTGGTTGAGCTGCGACTGTCGCTCCTCGCAGTCTAGTGTATGTGTCTCGTGGGGCAATTAATTCTCTTGGCTAGTCTAAGATTGCCATTGCAACCTCAGCATGTGTGGGCGTGCACTGTGACCCAATGGCCGAATCGTCCCGACGTCTCGTAGCAGGGTCCAGTAGCAGGGTCCAGGGTCCTTATCTCTATGGGCAAAATGAGCAATAAAACCGCGCAATGCCGCACTTTCCTCTGCGCCTTTTTCTTCCCACTGCTGTTTTTTTTTATACCCTTCTCTCCATTCGTGTAGTACTTGACACTGGTACACTATTGAACATGAAGGAGAAAGCTGAGTCGGACACGAAGGCCCCCTTCGTCGGGGATGAAGCGGTGCCGGCCTACGTCCAAGAAGAGCCCGAGTCCATCCATGGCGAAACCGAGGAGCTCGACTTCCGGACGCGCAATGGCCTGAATCTGGAATCTTTCAAGAGACGGTCTCTAGGGGAGGTCCAACAGCACCGGAGACTGAAGCCTCGCCATATGCACATGATTGCCATTGGCGGGTCGATTGGTGCTGGGTTCTTCGTTAGCTCGGGCAGTGCACTGAGTACTGGTGTACGATTACCCCAGATGAAGCCATTGATGTCTTGCTAACTGGACTTCAGGGACCGGCTTCCATGCTTATTGATTTCTTGATTATCGGTGTTATGATGTTCAACGTCGGTGAGTCTTCTTGACCCTGGTTGCTGGGCTGTGCAGACACTAACGATCCCAGTGTATGCACTCGGTGAATTGGCAGTCATGTATCCCGTATCTGGTGGTTTCTACACCTACTCGGTCCGGTTTATCGATCCGTCGTGGGGCTTCGCAATGGGATGGAACTACGTCTTCCAATGGGCCATCGTCGTCCCACTGGAACTTACAGTGGCCGGACTCACAATAAACTACTGGCAAGTGGACGTGAACGTGGGCGTGTGGATCACCGTATTCCTCATCGCAATTATAATCGTGAACATCTTCGGGTCGCTGGGCTACGCGGAAGAAGAGTTCTGGTCCTCCATCCTGAAACTCGGCGCCATCGTTGTCTTCATGATCATTGCCGTGATCCTCGCCTGCGGCGGTGGTCCGGCCAAGGGTGCCTACTCCGAGTATTGGGGTGCAGGCACCTGGTATAACCCCGGTGCCTTCCAGTCTGGATTCCGCGGCTTCTGCGCCGTCTTCGTGACGGCTGCTTTCTCGTTCAGCGGAACCGAGCTGGTTGGTCTGGCAGCTGCCGAGGCCGAAAACCCCGCCAAGGCGCTCCCAGGAGCCATCAAGCAGGTCTTCTGGCGAATCACCCTGTATGCCCCATCCATCCTTCCTACCATTGAACCCATCTAACCCCACAGGTTCTACATCGTCGGCCTCAGTTTAGTCGGCCTTCTAGTCCGCTCCGACGACCCCCGTCTCCTCGGCTCTGGCTCCCTCATCGACGTAACAGCCTCGCCCTTCGTCCTAGTCGCCAAAGACGCCGGCCTGATCGGCTACGACAGCTTCATGAACGTCATCATCCTCGTCTCCGTGCTCTCGATCGGTGTCTCCGGCGTCTACGGCGGCTCGCGTACCCTGACCGCTCTCGCCGAGCAGGGCTTCGCCCCTCGCATCTTCACCTACGTTGACCGCTCCGGCCGGCCCCTCGCATCCGTCAGCGCTCTCATCGCCTTCGGTCTCCTGGGCTACATCAACATCGACGCGCAGGGTCCGGTCGTGTTCGCCTGGCTGCAGGCTCTGTCGGCCCTCGCTGCCCTGTTCACCTGGGGGTCGATCTGTCTTGCGCATATCCGCTTCCGCAGTGCCTGGAAGCACCACGGACACACGCTCGACGAGATTCCCTTCAAGGCTGTCTTTGGCGTGTGGGGATCGTGGGTGGGATTCATCCTTGTTATCCTTGTGTTGATCGCACAGGTTAGTCTACCCTTCTTTTCCTCTCTGTCAAACCATAACCCTCCCTACTCTTATAACCCCTCTTTCCTCGCCACTCCCCCTCCCCCCAAAGAAACCTAACTAACGAACCCCCAAAGTTCTACGTCGCAATCTGCCCCGTCGGCGGCGGCTTCAACGACGTCGAAGGCTTCTTCCAAGTCTACCTCGCCCTCCCCGTTGTGCTCTTCTTCTGGGCCTGCGGCTACCTCTGGAAGCGCGAGGGGTGGCTCAACGTCAGCCAGATCGACGTCGACACGGGCCGTCGGCCGGTCAACTGGCCGGAGATCAATGCGGAGAGGGCTCGTGTGGCTGCTTTGCCTGCTTGGAAGAGGTTGTTGCATGTAATTTTTTAGGCGGGCCTGGACTATATTACCATATGGATGTGGTGGTGGTATTAAGATAGTAGGTAGCTTGCTTGCTAGTTAGGTAGTTAGTGGGGTAGGTGGTGGGTAGGCAGTTATTACTACTACTTTATTTCTTTGTTAACTGTTTTATTCGAGCTAGTGTATGAGATAAGGAGTATGCATAACTGGATATTAATCTGGCTATGCTTTGCTTTGCTTAGTCTAGGAAGAGAAAGTAAGAAAGAAGGGAAGCATGATAGATAAACAGGTAAGGATGCTCAAATAAAGGAAGAAAACTAAGCGAAAAATAGTTTATATGATGAACTATACAAATACCAGACTATCCATAATCGCATGCGCATTAAGTAACATAGAGCAAGAAAAAAGACACATGTATCAACAAGCAAAATAAAATAAAATATATATAATGAAAAACGCCATCGCTATGCAAAATTCTCAACTACCCTTATTATTGGTGTTGTTGTTGGTGGTGTTGGTATGACTGTGTCGCCTCGCGGCCTCGTGCATTTCGACCCTAATGTCGAATAGCAGGTCGTCCATTTCTTTGAGGGCGGATCTGTCTAGGCTTGCTGTTTTCATGTCTGCGAGGACGCTGCGGAGGGGGGTGAAGAGGTCTGTTGTGCTCGGAGGAGGGGACTCGGTTTGGGGGACGGGGGGTAGGAGGTTGGGTTCGGCTGCGTCTTCGATGGGTTCGGTGGGTTCAGCATCCGCCATGTCGGTGTCTTCTGTTGGTGCAGGGACCGGTGCAGGCGTCGGTGCTTCCTCGGTAGGCAGCTCGGGCTCAGTCTGCGCGAGGGTGTGTTCTTCGTGCTGGGGCTGCGGAGAGGGTTTCTCCGCTGCGCGCTCTAGTTCCGGCTCAGGGAGCGGTGAGTTCCTCACTCCCTCAGTCAGCGGGTTCACCACGTCTAGCTGGGTCTCCTCGATTGTGTCGACCGGAGGAGGCAGCTGGCTTTCGGCTTTCTTGGCTGGTGAAGGTTCCCGAGCGGTCTGTTGGGGCACCGGGAACTTGGCTGGGCTTTCTTGCGTGGGCTCCTGAGTTCCTTGCGACGATTCGCCTGATTTGGGCCGATCAGAGGAGCCTTCCCTCGCAGCGTTTGCCCGCGCAGCGGCTTCCAAAGAAGCAGATTTCCGACGCCTCTCGTTCCTGCGGCGGTTTCGGTTGCGCGAACGGGGGGATTTGGACCGCTTGGGTGGTGGGGTTTCTTCGGGAATTTCTGGAGCTGCCTGGCCGCTGAGGCGCGAGGATCGCCGTTTTTGAGAGGCGTCTAGCAACCCTGCGTCGAGATTGTCACCCGCGTTTGCACCCAGTTCTTGAACGGCTGGTTCTATTTCCATTTTGTCATCCGCTCCGCCTGGAGGCTCGCGTCGCTGCTTCTTGGGGGCGGATTCAGCTGGCGTTGCGGCGTCTTCGGTGGCGGCTGTGGATTGTTGAGACGTCGTGGATTGGGTAAGACCGTCGTTATCCCCTGTATCGTTGTCTGCGGGGACTTTTCCGGAAGCCCGTCTGGATGAACGGCGGAGCTCCTTGTTGCTGTTACGGTTGGTCGGCGTGGCCGCCTCGCTGACCTCGCGCTTTCGCTTCCTCGTCATCGGGACTTGCTCAGATGGCTTTGCGGGTGCATCGTTATTTTGTTGTCTTACTCCATCTGCGGCGCCTTCTAGGTCTTGCTCAAGTTGAGAAGCTAGCTGAGTATCCATGTCGTCACATGACGAGTCTGCAGCGGTCTCATGGTGCTGAGAAGCGAGCGCGTCGTTGCCGTCCGAGTGAGAAACAGTGCGTAATTTATTGGATTTCGGCGTCGGAGTGGAGGAGGCCCCTGTCTCTTCTTGGGTGGATCTACCAATCGATCCACGTGACGTCTTCGTTGGAGATCCATCCAATTTCTCCGACCCCTTGCCTGCCGAAGCACGAGAGCGCAAGCGGCTACTCAACGGAACTTCCTGGCGCTGGTTCTGCGACTCAGAATTGTTCCCGCTCGTGACTGGTGTCGAGTTCCGCTTCTTATTATTGCGCGACTTCAGACGCTTTGGCGACTTCTTTCGTCTGCCTCCGCTTGTGGTCGGGCTTCCTGTGTCCGCGAAACTCTGGGAAAGCTCCGATGCTTCACGGTGAGGGCTGATGTCCTTCATCTGGGGAGGAGAAGACGGAGGATCTTGATCCATCTTCAAGTCGATAGCTGATGTCGTCATCGAGAGTTGGGTCTCTGTTCTGGTGCTTGGAGTTCTGCCTCTGGCACTAGGCGTGGGAGAGGACCCGAGGAAGACATCCTCGGGATCGGCAGCTGTAGGGGGCAGCGTAGGGGTCAAGGGAGTTTCTGATTCACCCTCAGCATTGCGCAGATTGCGCAAATGTGGCGGGGTCATAAACCCGAGCTCCCTTGGGGTGGGCACAGCAGGCGAAGACGACCTGAGGTTCTCTATCATAGTCAAGACGTCCTTGCGCTGTTTGCGATCGCCAATCCCGTCCGTGAACGACATTGCACCATCTAGCGTAGGCAGCTGGTCCGGCATACTGTCATTGTGGGATGGTTCAGCTTGAGGTCTATTAGGCTGGTCCAACGATGCAGGAACTGGCTCGCTTCTGACGACCGGCGACGATCTGAAAGCCGGCGAGTGCGAGTTTTCCATGTTGTCCAAGATATATGCAATGTTGGATTTCGCCGACATATCCGATTGGGTATCATTCGTCTCCTGTGGAATGTTAGAAATAGATCTTCTCACCCTGTAACCCCGACTAGTGTTGTGCTATATCATGCGTGGAGACGTACCGTTTGGATATTTGTCAAGGAAGAAAATTGCTTGCTGCGAGACTCTAAGGTTTGCAGTACATGCGAGACGTTCGCTGATGCAAGATCCTTGTGTGAGCTTGACACAGAAGTACAGAAGTCGATAAATCTCTTCGCAATTGACGCGTGGGAAGATTCCAAGCCAGCACAGATGATACCCTCAAATCTTTGAAGAGATGATGTATCGTCTAGCGGAGGAGATTGCAAAATATTGAGCACAGCAGACGAGAGAGCGCGGCACTGAGACGAGGTTAGAGTATGCTACCCCTTGCTTCGTTGAGGAACACTTACGGCTGTAAGAACCCTACTTTCAACGCCACTGTCGACATCCAGCTTGTGTACGTTGTCCTTGATCCACAGAGCAAGGGTTTCCTGAAGACTTTTGAGGAAAGCCGATCGAAAGTCCCAGATCCCGGACCCAAGGAAGGACGTCAGAGACTCGATGAAGTTCGCAATTCCGCTAGTTTCCAACGGCTCAAACTTGTCATACGACTCTCGGAGCGTCCTGTTCACCGACTCAGCTAGATTGGTGGGAAAGGGTAGTTTCTGGTAAGCGGCCTGCGCGCTGTTCGCAGTCCCTTTGATGCCGGCGATGCCTTCGTGGAAGTAGGGGATCGAATGAGAATGAGAAAAGAGAGATGCTGAGGGCAAGTAAGTGTTTCGAACATTGACATTCATCATACTTTCGGCCAGCGGCTCCACGATCATAGTCGCAATCTCGCGATGGCCCTTCTCATTCCCCACGACGCGTACCAGCGAGTCAGCCAGCTGATTCCATGTTTGGAAGGCATCTGTGAACTTCAAGCCCGCCGACAGAATCTTGATGGAGTTTTCGTAGTCGCGAGAGACAGATCCATCGCGTTCACGCGCCGATTCAAGGGGGTAGGAGCAAAGGGAATCAGAGGCGAGTTGTGCCGCCGAGGTCCAAACCAGTTGGGCGAAATTATGGATTCCAAAGTCAAATTCCGTCTCGTTCGGATACATTTCTGCACATTGGCGGAGTAATTCTAAACGAGATCCTCTAGATGTTCGCCCGTTGCACCCTGCTTGGAGGGTTCCGTTGATCAAACGTAGATAAGAGGGGGTGGGTTCTGAAATTCCAGACGAGTCGCTTATCAGACGCAGAAGATGCAAGATAGGAATGTCGAGGGTGGAGTTTGCTTTGGGGTGACGGTGTGTAGGTGTAGTGGCGGCTTGGAATGTCTCGTCAGCCGTCTTGAGGAGAAGCTTTTCCGTGAAGGAGATGCTGCCGAGGGAAGAGATCATGGTCGTTGACAGAAAGCGGAATCGCTCAAAGAATTTATCCATTGCACCGTCTCCCGCGGCATTCAAAGAGGAGGGGCCCGCTATCCAGAGTCGCTGAAGGAGGCCAAGTACATGGGCTACTGCTTGCATTGATTCTGGAGATGGGGTGATTTCCTTGCTCGACGCATAAGACAAGGCCCTTGACAGATTGACCCAGGCGACAGCAATATGAGACTGCTCGATATCATCGACCCAGACAGATGAGTTGAGGATGTTCTCAAACACCTTCAAAACCGAAGTGATTCTGGATCTCAGCCATTTGCAATCCACACAGGGCAGCTCCTCGGGGTCGATTTTACTACTCTCGTTGACTTTGTTCTCGGTCCACACTTTAGCCTGTGAGCTCCATAACATGTGTGATAGCACCTGGGCCAAGCGATCGCTTAAGCTGGGAGTTGAACCGAATATGGTTAAAGATGGGCATGCGACGTATTCCTCCCAGACAATATCAATATGCGAAAAAGCGGCCGATGGACGGAACGCGTAGTACAAGAGGTTGTAATAGCTGTTGAGTGCCAGGTAGCTTGGATGCGAGCCGTTCTTGTCTTGCTTCTTCCGTTCGAACTGAGATAGGACGGGTTTGCTTAGCATTTTAAGCATCGAACGGCTGGTCGTCTCGCTCGGGCTAACGACAAGGATGAATCGATTCCACCCAACAATAGCTTGAGCCTTGATTGTCGGGTCGCTGCAGTTGAAGCATTTTTGAAGGACTAGAACCCATTCTTTGAAGTGCTCCCAATGGTCCACGCTGAACCGCTTGGTCCTCAGTAGAAGGGTGACCACGCTCCAAACCTGCGGCACATGGGAGCCAGTCTCAGCATCTGACATCATGCGTGACATCCGCTCGCATATCTCCGACACCATCTTCCTGTTCTTATCTAGAGATCTGTCGAAGAGATCGCGGATACACTTAGACAGCGTGGGGTTGGGACCAAGTGAGATAGTCGTCTGGAAACCGAGAGAGATCGCTTTGAGTCTGATATCCTTGATATGGTGTAGCAGACCGGAAACGAGATGCTCAATCCAGAGTGAAGAGTGAGACATGAATGTAGACTTTGCCTGTCCCAGAACCCGCTGGTAAATGCTCAGCCGCTGTGAAATGATCGCGCTTCCGTTGACTCGACCGGTGAGAGTGTGAAGTATCGTAAGCAGACGCACTATCCGAGCGTTCGTCACGATCCTTGCGTTGAAATTCTGGGTCGAGAGTATGGACATGTAATGAGTCAACACCGACTTGGGCAACTTCGCCTCCTGTAGACTATTCAGGGCGTGGTCCACCAAGAAAACCTTGAAGTCATCCGGCAATTGCATTGAAATGCTCGGGTGCCACACCAGGGCCGCCGATAGCTTCAACGCCTGTATGACTAGGTTTGTATTCCCCGGTCCACCAATGTCCAAATCCTTGGTGATATCACGCTGGATAAATTGAGTAACCAAGGCCAGTTTGTCCGCGATATCCTTCTCCCCAGGAAGCTCCTCATATGCCCTTAACGCCCCAAAAAACTGCATGTAAGCATCCAACCGGGAACTAATCGCGTCCCCGGCCAATGCCTGGGTGATCGATTCCAGCAACATAGCGAACGACTCGGGGGTATAATTTTCGACGTTGGAGGACGGAACGGGTACGGGGGAATTTGTCGCTTTCAGGATCGATTTTGCCGGCTTGCACTCATTCGAAGGGGGTAGAGATTTGACCTCTGGCTTCAATTTCGTAGTCGAATTCGTAAACATCGGAGGCTTGATATATTTCGTCCATGGCGAGAAATTCACGCGCTTTGACTGTCGGCTCGAGGGGACCCCCGTGGAAATACTCGTATGGAGGGCAGAATCGCGTGGCGTCTGCACCGCTGCCGGCGAATCCTCCGTCCGATCGTTATCAAGCAACGCTCGAGAAGTCCTAGGAGGAGTAGGCGGACGAGCAGGCAAAGGGCCCAGAACCTCGACCATATTTCCCAAGATGGAATGAGATGAAGACGGAGGATGGAAACGAAAGAAGGGACTGGCACATTTCGCGACCAACCAGTTCTGGAATCAGACCGTTATTCCCATTATCCAGGGGGGTGAAATCCCTGTGCCGTGAGTATAGAGATCAATCTGAATCAAGACGAAGAAAGATGACCTTTTTTTTCCCGCTGGACCAGCCGATCCTCCTGCGGCCGCGCCAAGACCGTGTAATTGCCTGGGGTGGACGCGCCCGTGGCTGAACCCACGCGTTAAGTGTGGCGGGTGTGGCTGGTGCGTGGTTTCGCGTTTGGTGCCTGAGGTGTATATTCTTCTCTACTATCTAAGCAACCATCTACACCTCACTTACAATCCAACGCGTTTATATTGCTTCTATGAACATACAGGTCTGTGGAAAGATGATTGTATAAATTAACGTGCTATAATATAGGACGTCGCCAAGACAACACATCTTAAACTGAGCATCGTACCTACCAGTCACCAGCTCACGAACTCGGTTCGGAACTCCAGACCTGTGCCGTCCTTGGATCTCCATACAAATTCAACTGGACATGGATTACAGAGTCCAACATCCATGGTCCTGGTTTCATACAGTCGGTGTTGCTCCTCGGGGACCCGCTGCTCAACGGGGAGATGGGCCAAGAAAGCCTCCTCAAGCTCCATGGTGTATGTAGCAATGGCACTGTTTTCTTTCGTATTCCACAACCCTTCTTGTATTGGACACTGCTCCAACAGCTCGATTGCGCGGCGTCGGATCAGAGGGTGTCGACACTTCCTTGCGGTCAGGTACAGAGCTGGAGCGATATCCGTTTCCAGCAAGAATGGACGTTGGTGGTCTGCGGAGCTGAGCTGCTTGATTTCCTCTGACCATCCAACAATCTTTTCGAACTCATCGTTGAAATTGTCGTACACCATCTCACTTGTGGATTGAACGCCCAGGGTCCAAAAGCGGAGGGTCTGGTGGTGCACTTGGATCACTAGAACGGCACGTGGATCCGGAGCCCGCTTCTTGGACCTGCTCAATCGCTTCTTCATCCGTTCAAACGCTACCCACCAGGAATTGTACTGGCGCTCTAATTGCTGTTGCATTTCCGCGCAACGATGTGCCTCATGATCAGGGACCAGTGATTCATTTTGTTGCACGCGCATGGACAGCCTGATCAAGACCATGGAACTAATCATGATCCGGTTCAAGACCGCCCTGGCTTCTGCGAGGCTGGTAAAGGCGGTTTCCTCAGTCGATCGCGGCTCTACGGGGGCCTCGTATGGGCTCAAGGGCCGTGCCCAGAAGGATATTTGGAGGTTCATTCGAGAGAAAAAGTGCGATAGATCCCGGTCTACGTCCGGCGGCAGCTGAGATGGGGCTTGTTGTTGTTGGCGTTGGCATAGAATCCGCAGCCCCGCCTCAACATGTTCCATGGCCGGTTCGAAGTTAAGCTTGAGAAACTCCAGACAGACAAATAAACTACAAGCGAGGAGCGTGTGTTCCGAAGACACCGACGGGCGGTTGAGGAGATGGTGGATCGCCTTGTTGTACTGCTGTAACTCGAACGGATGGGGAGGCTCCCTGCCCGTTGGAGATTGCAGACGGCGCCGGTGGGCAGCACTAATGGCGGTGATTGCATGGCGGATCGCGCCGTCAGACTGGCTGATTTGGGGCAGATAGTATTCCCAGAGCTCGGACCCAAAGAAGCCAGACAGCGACTGGATCGTCTCAGTGCAAAACAGGTGGAAATGTTCGCGTTCTTCCCGCGTGCCAGGGAGGAGAACTATCTGCGTGTCGGTGCTCGGTGAGGGCCTCAGATTGGATCTGGTCACTCTCTGACGGAGTTGGCTCTGCGAGAGATTCTCATAGCCAGCGCACTTGCGACCGGTGCTCGTGCACTGGACACACTCGGGCTTTTCCTCTCCACATTTGACATGGCGGAATCTGGTGTTTTAGCACGATTCTTATGAACGAACGCCTGTAAACGTACTTGCAGGTACTGCATCCGCCCTTGGAGATGGGGCCCCTTTTTCTGCGGTAACTTTGTGACATGACTGGTGTGATAGGAGTTGACGAGGACAGAGATTACCGTCGATGCATGTCCTGTTCAATAGCGATGCAATCCTTCTCTTTAGTGCTGATTCATTGCGCTTCTTCAGCCGCAGCCTTGGCCGTTACAGCGTTGTGGCTGTGTTTGGATTTCTCTCCATGAAATGGTGGGATCGCCCAGGACATGCTTATAGATTGGCATGATGGTAGCATTATCACAAAGAAAGATGTTTCTCCTCCATCATTAGCAGTTTATTTGAATCGATCTGTAATCCAGGGAAGCCTCAGGAACAGAAGTATATATTTGCCACCAAGCTTGCTGTTAGAGGGCCCTAATACAGAATATAACCATGCAAGAGCAGAGATATAGAGGGAACATGAACAATAAACCCCACAAATATTAAATAATAATAACAAGAAACTACAACCAACCAGTCGTAGTATAATATTAACTGTACAAGTAACCTTCTAGAAGCCCCGAGTATGTCCCAGTGCTTTCTGGCTCTTGATGACGTACAGCAGCTAGTGGGGTCCCGGGCGGACAACAAAAAACTCCGCCCGTAAAAAAAAAGCACACGCGGGGTACTTCACTTTACCAACTTCAATCTTGAGCACGACGTACAATCTGTTGTGCTACCTCTTGATTTACCACTTACATTTACGAATCACATATTGAATAATTCGGACAGCCCGTTTTAACCGCCAAAATGTCGAAGCCTTTTGATCCAGAGACGGCGGAGAACTTCGAGGACGTACGTACTATGCGCCCTAGGTGACTGAAGGAATGGAACAAGTGGCTAACAACAAGTATAGATGGAGAAGCAGTTCGCCGTGAAAGGTAATCGCAATCTGCCATAAACTTGTCCCCGATCATTACTCACATACTCCAGCGGTCGAACACCTGATGACGTACTGGTCCATTCTCGAGAAGGTCCGCGGTTCGCAGCTCCGATTGACGAAGATCGACGACGAGATCTACGAGGACTTCAAGAGGGAATTCCCCGACTTCGATCCCAGCGCGACGATCAACGAGGACGAGATGAAGAGCAAGGCGGGCAAGGAGAAGTGGCGCAACTGGATGAACAAGTACGAGGAGAAGGTTGCCGACTTCAACTTCGGCACGATGCTGCGCGCGAACCCCAGCGTTGAGTATGAGCAGGAGACTACGATCTTCGGTATGTGATATGGGCTTGAAGATTCTTGGCTCGGTGCGATTATGTGCGACGGACGGATGGCTAACTGGCAGGACAGCTTTGCGGATGCAGTTCTACGCGATTGAGATCGCAAGGTGAGTTTTCTCTTTAGTCGCGATCGATCGATGCGAAGAGTGCGCTAACAAAAAATGTGTTCTAGAAACCGTGCTGGCTTGAACGATTGGGTCTATGAGAAGAACCACCCCGGCGAGAAGGCATAAATACTGGGTGCTCTCGCGATCAACCACCTGCTCTGAAAAGACATAATAGATTCGGGACGGCCCGGCCTTGCAATGGTCGCGCGGAGGGCGTATAGTATTGTTTGCGACACTAGAAGCATGGTGCCATATCGGTTCTCAGTCAGGTGGGCTATACATGGCGGATGAAGACAGTCTCGAATCCCCCTGACATCAGCGCTATTTAGAAGTCCTGGAACCAAATATGTACATACAATATATGATTGCCTCATTGATGGGAATATAACGACGATAAATGGCATGGCACATGGCTAGCCGGGAAAACCCGACTTGCCCGAGAACAATGGCAGTGGCGGACTGATTATTCTTTGACCAACTCTCGTCTTCAATATTACCGCATTTGGACAAGGGCGAAATACATACCTCCCCCCCGTGGCATCAGACCGACAAGAATTGAATATTTTTGAGAATGGCGGTCATTAGATTGTCTCTTTCTCCACTCTTTCCTTTCGTTCCTGTCCCAAATTCAAAATAGATCCACCGCTAGGGCGATGCTTTGAGCTATACGACTCCACCCACAATACTGCATACTGCCAGTGTTGATCCAAGGTAGCTCGCTATGAAGTCAGAAGGGATTCTCAGACGTTGGACGCTATGGAGACCTGCGTGGATGGCCCTCTTCAGCTTCACAACTAAAAAGCATGCTCCAATCCTGACGTTAGCCATGGCTTCTGCTTTCATTGCCAGTTTCACTACCCCGATATTCTCTGTACTGCTCGGCGAGATGTTCGACTTGTTTACTCTGTATGGCGGTGGTAAGATCAGGGGTAACGACCTGATGGACAAGATAACCACGTATACAGTCGGTGTTGCTGGTCTCGGGGCCGGAGGGTGGCTCTTCAATGCAAGCTACTTCATCCTGTTTGTGACATTCAGCGAGCTCCAAGTTGCGAATGCCCGGACCAGCGTGTTCGAGGCACTGTTTAAGAAGAGTCAGGAATGGTTCGAAACACAGCCGGATGGAACGAGAGTGTTCCTATCTAGCTTGCAGGAGTAAGTTTCCCATCGTCATTGTTCTGTCTGTCTAGTTAACAGCAGAAGCCAATTGCACGAACTGCAAATGGCGACTTCACAGCCTCTCGGCCTCGTCGTCCAGTATTCTTTCCGAACCATCGTATCTCTAGGTCTGGCATTCTACACATCCTGGAGCCTGTCGCTGATCACCTTGGCCGGGATCCCCGTCTTCTCGGCCATAATATCGTTTCTCTCGTCCAAGATGAAAGCCAGCATCGAAGGCCAGCAAAAAGAGCTAGCGAGTATGTCAAGAACGGTCAACATAGCCACCGGCTCAATAGACACGGTGAAGTGTTTAAACGGCCAGGCCTTCGAGCTGCGAAACTTCACCCACGGGATGGAAATGGCAGCGCAACACTATCTAAGACAGGCACGCCTCAACTCCTTCCAAATAGCGACAATACGACTGATGATGTTCAGCATGTTCGTCCTGGGTTTTTGGTACGGTGGCACCCTGGCTACGTCTGGGAAACTATCGGCGGGTGAAGTTGTCAGAACATTCTGGGCTTGCTTGACAGCTGCCCAGTCCATTGAAATGGTCTTGCCTCAGGTCCTGGTGCTGGAAAAAGGCAAGGTAGCGGCATCTGCTATGAAGACGGTAATCGACGACCCGGCTGAGGAAAGACAAGACACGAAGGAATTGTTGTACCCACAATTCTGTGAAGGCGATATCGAAGTGAGCAATGTGAGTCGTCCCATAACCAGTCCATCAGCAACGTGATCTGATAACTGCATTAGCTGTCTTTTGCATACCCAAACACAGACATACTGAGCCTGAACTCCGTAAACTTCTTCTTCCCCGCAGGAGAGACAACATTCGTCATCGGGAAGAGCGGTTCAGGCAAAAGCACCCTCGGACAGCTCCTAGCACACTTTTATTTGCCAACGGCAGGCGAAATCCGCATTGACGGCGTGCCCATGCAGACACTAAGCGTGGACTGGATCCGAAACAACGTCACAATCGTTGAACAGCGCAGCGTGTTATTCAGCGAATCGATATTCATGAACATCGCCTTTGGTCGCAGAGACTACGACCAGATCAGCAAGGGCGACGTGCAGGAGTGCATTGACTTGGCGATGCTGCAGAGCACGATCGACAACCTTCCCAGTGGAATCGACACCTGTGTTGGGAATGGGGGGAGTTTTCTCAGCGGTGGCCAGAGACAGAGAGTGGCTATTGCAAGGGCCAGGTTGAGGGATACGCCTGTTCTCATATTGGACGAGCCCACCAGTGCCCTCGACGGCGCCAATCGCGTCGAAGTGATGAAGGCTATTCGGAGATGGCGCAAGGGGAAGACTACTATCATGATCACCCACGACATGTCGCAGATTCAGGACCGCGATTTCGTTTACATCATGGAGCAAGGGACCGTGGCGCAGGCTGGATACGGCGATGAACTCAAGAGCGATCCGCGATCAGCGCCACTCTTCGCTTCTGTCGACAAGGAAAACCGATCGGAGGTGACGAATGCGACCGACAAAGAGGCGTATGGCGCTTCCGGTTCTTGTGATGACGTTTACCTCTCGGATTCCTCTTCAGTCGACTCCGTGGACGACGAAAACTGGAGGTATTCGGGGATGTCCAAGGCTATAGCCGGAGGCACCTACTTGTGGGGATCCCGACCTAGCACAAGAGACCGTCGCCGCTCTTCCTATCGATCTCGGCGAAGTTCAGTCCGCGCAGACTCCCGTTCGTTGCGCATCTCGTTCGGTCCCCCAGTGTATGAGCTGGATACACTAGGGAATGGTGGAACGAGACCCAAATCTACAGCCAGCCACCTCCCTCCACGGGTACAGCCAACATCACCGAAACGTCGAAAGCGAAGATATCCATATTCACGGAAACCAAAGGCCCAGAAACCCCAGGACACGGCTTCTTTGCGTCGAATCATGAAGACGATCATTCCAAGTCTCACAAAAAAGCAACGCGTGGCCCTTCTCTTCGGATGTATAAGCACATTGGTCCACTCAAGCGCGACGCCCGTCTTCTCCTACTGTCTCTCACAGCTGCAAGTATCCTTTTACAAGCCAGGGCAAAGCGCCACGAAATGGGCACTGGCAGTATTGGGCGTGGCGATCTGCGACGGTACAGTCTCGTACTTCATGCACTATCTGCTCGAACTCTGCGGCCAAGCCTGGGTAGACAGCCTCCGAAAGAGCGCCTTTCGGCGAATCATCGACCAGCCGCGGCGATGGTTCGAGGACGAACGAAATAGCCCCTCCCAGATAAGCACCAGCCTCGGGCAAGACGGTGAGGAGCTGCGGAACCTGGTTGGCCGCTTCGGGGGCTTCGTGTTGGTGGCTGTCTCCATTGCCATAATGTCCGTGATCTGGAGTATGGTGGTGTGTTGGAATCTCACTCTCGTTGCGCTGGCCTGTGGGCCTGTCATATATGCTATCACGCGGGGGTTTGAGAGCACGAGTGGGCTGTGGGAGCGCCGTAGCAATGATGCCAGTCGCGGGGTGTCAGAGATATTTGTCGAGACGTTCGCGGAGATTCGGACAGTCCGGACGCTCACGCTCGAGCCGTTCTTCCATAAGAAGTACATCAAAGCTGCTGCGAAGTGTCTGAGCGTGGGACTTAGACGGGCTGGTTATGTGGGGATCCTGTTTGGTCTGGTGGAGTGCACTGTCATTCTCGTTAGCGGTAGGTAGTAGGCCCATGGGAGGACGGACATGTCACTGACGAGGCTACCTTAGCGTTGATATTCTACTACGGCGCAGTATTGGTATCGTCTTCGCGATTCGCCGTCGAGGACATTATGACGGTCTTCTCGATGCTCCTATTCAGCATTGGTTATGCCAGCTCAGTGCTGGGTTGGAGTGAGTTCTGCCATGCTCTTTTTTGCTCCCAACTGACAGTGTGTAGTCCCCCAAATCAGTACCTCGCGAGATATGGGCGCACGGCTCTTGCGCCTCGCCAGCCTCCCCGAGGGCGCATCACACGAGCATCTAGGCGTACTAGGCGTGGCCAAAACCGCCCCGGTAAAGATATCCCGACTGAACTTCCGGTACCCATCGCGCCCCGAGGCACCGGTCCTTCGCGACGTCTCCATAACCATACCCAGAGACTCGTGCACCGCCATTGTCGGCCGCTCCGGATCAGGCAAATCAACAATCGCATCGTTAATGTTGGCATTATACGAATCGCCCGAGGCTACCGACGGCGGCCCACCGGCTCTCTCCCTCGATGGGATCGACATTAGACGCCTGCACACCCCGACCCTCCGGTCCCTAATATCCGTTGTATCACAACAACCAACCATCTTCCCAGGAACAATCACCTCCAACATCTGCTACGGCCTCGACGAGTCATCCACCCTCCGCGAACCGCACAACGTCCGCGCGGCCGCCACGGCCGCCGGGATCGACGAGTTCATCACGTCCCTCCCAGACGGGTACTCTACGATCATCGGAGACGGCGCGGTGGGGATATCGGGCGGGCAGGCGCAGCGGGTGGTGATCGCACGGGCGCTGATTCGACGGCCTCAGATCCTGATTCTGGACGAGGCCACGTCTGCGCTCGACCCGGCTAGCGCTGAGGTCATCCGGCGGACGGTTCGGGAATTGGTGGCTGCTCAGCTAGGACTTACTGTGATCATCATTACGCATGCGAAGGAGATGATGGATATTGCGGACAATGTGGTTGTTCTTGAGCAGGGGTGTGTGATGGAGAAAGGTCCGTATGGGGTGCTTGCCAAGCGGGCTCGGGGGAAATTGCGAACGTTGATTGAGGATGGGGGGGAGGATACATCTGATGATTGAATACCTAGGGAGTGTATAATGAGAACGATCTCTTCCAACAGCCCTATACATCTGTAATGAGAGTGGGACATCTGTTGTAGTTATACAGATGCTATGAAGGGCATAGCATAGCATAACTGGATGATGACCATTAGTAATCTATGCAATATATGCCTGCCTCAGGCACTGTTCTAAAAATGGATTGACTTTGTCGCCTGAAAAAACGGTTCGTCCAACGTGGATTTCCAGTTCCAGTTGGCGATCCATGGTTGAGATTCAAGAAAAGAAAATATTTATATTCAGAATGTCAGAGTCCTGGATGTAATTATCTTCTGAGTTTAATCTGAAATCTAGGAATTCATCACCATCTGGTCGAATTCTTTATCCCTCAGACCTCAGCCACCCAGCCACACGAGCAAACCCCATAGATCGTCCATGGATGGAGCGCGGTTTGTTCACTCTAGCCTGTCTCCATAACATCCTCTCTTTCATCATCTGATTCGTCTAAGATGACCCCCCCTGATGTCGCTGATTAGTCGACTGTGAAATCATCCTCTCATCTGTTTGAGACTAATCAATAATCCGTTGTGGTATCGCCTGCCTCTCGCTTTGTTTTCCTTCTGCCTGGTCAAACCCACACCCCTTACCATTCTCCCTCTCCGGTTGATGCGACCGCTGATCCTTGCCTGCACCTTGCGGGTTTTGCGTCAAGGGCTTTATATGCGGTTACCAGGGTTCGGACAGATGCAATCAATATAGGCGACCCGCCTGGCTCCATGTCATCCTGAACGCCGGCCACTAGGAAGCCTTGCGTCGTCCTGTTACTGCTCCACTTCCACCTCATCCGCCTTTTCCGTTGCCTGTCTTCAGGCGGCCAATTCTTTTCCACATCTCTTCCAGAATCCGGAGTTATTCGTTCATCGTCACTTGTTCTTTGGCTACATGCTTGTCGTTTGAGGTTTTGTCTGGGCTGTCGCTGCTCCAGACGCTTCGGCATGTTTCTTCCACCCCCTTATCGCCTGTTGGTGGCTCGTGAGGCGGCCTCCAACCCAGACGCGGCTCAGGACACCCCAAATCCGAAGAAGAAGACGAATATCTTCATTATCGTGAGTGTGGCTTGAATCCCCGCACGGTGTCCCACCATCGAAATCAGTGACTGACATCTGTTCGCATCGACAGTGTGCCGCGTGTATCGTCTTCTCCTTAGCCTTGATTGTTATGATATACTTCGTTCTGCGCAGTCTCCGTCGAATGAACTGTCGCCCGAGATACGTGCCCGGGAAATTCCTGAAGAGTCGATGGAATCAGTGGAACGCGGGAGGGACCTCCTCATATGGCCAAGTCTCTGACTCGGCGTCCTCTCGAAATGGAAATCGATCCAACAACACCGCATACCAAGGCGCCGCGGAAATGAATTCCGGCGGGGAAGTCCGCCGCGAGACATCCGTCCGATCGGTGATTACGCTGCCTGCCTACTCGCCCAGCCCGAAACCCAGCGAACAGGTCATCGCCCGGGAAGGAGAACGGGGCGGGATGGATGTTGTGGTTGAATTCCCCGAGACGGCGGAAGAAGAGGAGAACCGCCGCGAGGAACTCATGGAGTCGCTCTACCAGGTCCGCGAACAGCGCCGGCGAGAAATTGCCGAGCGAGAAGCCCGCCGCCAGGAGCGCCGGGAAGCCCGTGCCCGCGGTGACTATATCCGCCTTGAACAGCTGAGACAGCAAAGCCGCGCCAGAGCCCGGAGTCGCTCGTCAACCAACGGGAGCAGTAACTCGAACTTAGCCCATGTGGAACACCAAAGCCGTGGCCGTGACCAACGGATCGCCAGCGTCAGCTACGCCGAGCTCGGTCGCGTCCGTCATGATGGATCGCGATTGCGTGCCACCTCGCCCGACTCGGATCGCCGGCCCCTATTGACTTCAGATGGGCCCGATCAACGGTCCACGTCGAGCCTGACCAACGTTCATTCTCGAGGAGAGTCATTTTCATCCATCGGCTCTGATACGGATAGTTTGACCCCCGTGCAGTCCCAAGCGATCTCCATGCACACTGTCGACCCGGCCACGACCGCCCCCGAAGAAGGCGATGTGGGCGCGCGCAGTATCCCTCCCCCGCCAGACTACGACCATCTGGACTGGGGCGACGCACCGCCTTACCAGAGCCCGATCGCCGACCGCGGGGAGGGTCCTCCCCAATTACCCCGGTTGACACCACTGCCTTCGATCCAGGTGGACGCGGCCAGTCCGATCAGCAACACGCCTGCGACGCCGACCGTGCCGTCCCAGTCCCTACGGCACGGTCCAGGCCCAGCGGAGCACTCTACTACACACACTATTAATTGATCGTCTCTGGTCGACTTATATTTCCTGTCATCCATCGTGGAGCACCAGACTACATGGTCTGGACAATCATCGCTTCTATATAACGAGCACGACACCTCACGAGACTTTGATTCCCACCTTTTTCACATTTTTTTGTTCTTTCTTAGCTAGTTATATTTCCCGTGTTTCATTTCTCGACGGCTCATTAGAGTACGCACGTTAGCAAGGCGTTCGGTGGCATCATGGGCTTCGGGTCGATCTGTGTATAGGGGGAATGGGTTATTTTTTGTCATGATGTTGATTTTGGATAGGGCAGGGCTGGTGCATATAGCTGTGTAAATGAAATTGCCCGGACAGACCATGTATAGACCATATTTAACATTCCTGAGATCAAACCAGTGCAGACGTGGAGTCAGGTACAGTCGTTACATCGGGCAGATGCCAACTGGCAAGTGGGTTGGGAAGGCGGTCGGCAGCTCCACTCGAGGTAAACAAACCACTTCAACCAACCTCGCGCATTTCTTCCCGTCAGTCTTCCACCGCAACTCCATTGCTTGACCTGTGGGTTGACTATTCTTGGTGTTATTGCCCAGTCTAATTGACACATCTCTCCATCGATCGAGTCTTCTCTTTCCCTTTCTATCGACGACTGACTCGTTCCTGAGTCGAAAGTCTAAACACTCCCGTTCGTTACCGTGGTTTCAGGGACCGCGCCCGACGCGCTGCTCTAAACATTCCTACGTGCATCATCGACGCGGACGTGGGTCATTGTTCGGATTGATGTCCATCTAATCGACCTTGACTTCCTATTTTCTGCAGTGTAAACTTACACTCCTATCATCCCCCCGGGACGTCGCGTCACCCCCGACCGACATGTACCACGACCACACTGCGAATAGCTTCGCGTCTTTTGGCTCAGACTTTGACCCTCAGCACGAGGCACTCGAATCGACCCGGGAAATTCCCGAGAGCCCCAATCTTCCGGATATGAACGGCAGTGCGAGGAAACAACAACTAGCTATGGAGGAGGAGGAACCCGACTACGTCTTCAACACCTCCACCATGGAACGCGTCTTCCCTGAGTTTTCACAGATCGGCACGTCGGAGGAAGAGAACGGCCAGGATGACGACGACAGTATTTCTATCGAGGCCGGACGCGGACCCACGAAGCCGACGCGTCGCTTGGACGACTCCCGCAACTCCTATCCTAGCATCGACAACAGCATCCGGTCGTCCTCTCCGGCCATCCGACTCGATTATCCCACCCAGACCCCGCCCAAGTCGGCCCTCCGCAACTCGGGACGTCGCGCTGTGAGTGAGAATCTGCGGAAAGACGCTCAGCTGCGACGCGCCAGCCTCGCCCAGAAGGAAAATTTCGACCTGCAGTCCAAGTCTAACCGCCGAGACCAGCGACGGACGCTGTCGGAGATGCATGCGAAGGTCCGCGATGCCTACGACGGCTCTTACATACTTGACGAAAGACCGGCAGCGGTCGCTAACAGTGCCCGGCCAACCCGCTTTGGCAACGGGAACCTGTCCCACCAGATCGCAGACGCGGTTGAGCGGGCGTCCCAGGATGCTTACGCGCGTGAGGTCCGGAAGGGCAAACTTCCCAACGGCACAGGCACGCCGATGAGAGGCGGCGGGGATACTGGCACCCAACAATCTTTCCTTCTTCCCGACCTTCCCAATCTGTCCGAGCTTGTTTCGGGCGTGTACGAAGACGGCACCCCCGTTTACTCGCGCAGCAAGGCGCGAACCACTCGATTCGTGTCTCCCCCGCATGATGCCACCGAATCGTCTTTCACTCGCGAGCACATGCCGCTTGATGCAGTGCCCATCCCGGAGGATGAGAAGGCCCTCTTTGTCTCGCTCAGGCTTCTTCAGGATAAGGTGGCTGAGCTCGAACGCGGCAAGGCGGATGCGGAACGGCGCATCGAGGATATGAAGCACGAGAATGCCTCGGTGAGGGTGGGCAAGTCTCGCCAGAAGGACAAGAGCAGCCGCTCTAGGACGTATGAGTCGGAGGAGGACGACTACAGAAGGGAGCGCATCGCCAAAGATAATCAGAGTAAGCATATCTTGCTATTGTTCCTACTCCATCCACTAACCGAGAGCAGAGCTGGAAGCGACCAACTTGGCTTTGCAGAACAAACTCGACCTCGTTGAGCGCAAGGCAGAAATCCAGGACGCGACTCTGAAGCGCTTGAACCGGGAGCGGGATATGGCTGTCTCCCAGCTGGGAGTGGCGTATCTCGAATCGCAGGATCTCAAGAGTGACAATGAGACTCTCCGTCGGGAGAATGCGGAGCTACGGGCCGCGCTCGAAAAGCTGGGCTTCTCCGTCAAGAACCGCGAAGTCACCCTTCAGTCGGAGCAGACTTCTGCCAGTGAGGACAGCGGAGACAGCCAGATCGACACCCGACAGAGTGCCAATGTCAGCCGCACCACGAAAGAGCTTACGTTAAAGAGCCGCTCGCGTTCCAAGAGTGCACGGCGCGAGGAGTCCCGCAGAGTTTCGAACCAGGTTGACAAGGAGATCTCGCGGCTGGAGAAGGAGCGCGCGGAGGAAGCTCTCTTCTCCATCGACGTGCCTCGCTCTAGGGAGGCTACGAAGACCGATAAGTCCGAGACTCGTCGCTCGAAGAAGCAGTCCAACACTGGCAAGCAGCGCGTCAAGCGCGTTGTCGTCGAGGAGGTGGACATCACTGATCCTGTCGAGTCTACGGGCGAAGCGACTGGAAACACCAAGAAGTCTGGGACGGATCGCGACCTTACATTGTTGAGCTTTGTTGATGTACGTTTTTTATTTCTATTTTCTTGGCCCCTGCTAATATCGCTATAGGAGCGTGAAATTGCCCAGTTGCGAAAGACACTGGAGGAGGAGCGCCTTTCTCGGAAGAAGCGCCAGTCCATCACGATCAAAGACCCCACTGAGAATGACACGGAGCGCTCCAAGGTCTCGCGGCCCGTCCCGCGCAAGTCGTCGCTTAAGGAAAGCAAAAGCGTTCCCGCCAGGCCCACCTCCGCCCTGGGCGATCTGACAACAACTTCTAAAATCAGCATCTCGGAGAGCAACTTGTCGGTTCCCATTGAGCGACCTAGACGCCACTCGGACCACGCGGCGACCCCCCGCCGGCGTCAGCGGATCGCCGACGACGTGACATCGGCGTTCATTCTGCCCGACATCACCTTGCACGGCGCCCACCTGGCTGCTGAGAACCCCGGGCATCTTCCCGAGGCAGCCCAGCGGGCGCTGGATGGCGCCACGCGGCACGTCGGGAAGAACTGTACGATCTGCAAGCGCACTGATTCTTGCGACCACACCCAGAGCTCCGTCAAGGTTCCCAAGCCGGTTCCAGTGTCAGAGCGTATGCCCGAGCCGTCCGTGTACAACCCAGAGCCGACCATCCGGCCCTCGCAGCCTCCATCCGTCGCTCTCGCGACCGTTCTTAAATCGCTAGAGGACGAGCTGTCCCATCTGAAGATGCAACTGATCACCTACCAAGGTGCCTACAACAAGCTCGACGCATCCCTAAGCAAGCGCCAGCGGAAGACCCTCGGCGAGAAGCTCGAAAAGCTGCTCAAAGACATCGACATGAAGTCGGATCAGATCTACGCGCTGTACGATGTCCTCGAGGGCCAGAAGGACAACCTGCAGGAGATGACCGAGCAGGAGATGGAGGTGACGCTCCAGTCGATCGGTATCGACCCGGGACGCGCCGCGGACGTCACGGGCACGACGGATAAGTCGTCTGTCCGGCCGACAGAGGATGATGATGATGAGGAGCTGCCGTGGGAGGGAATTGAGAGTACTATTGATACGACTGGCCGGAGCCGTCATAATTGACCAACTCTTTCGATTGGTATCTGATGGAGTAGTCAGTGTATGTCCGGCTTCAGTTTGTGTTCTTGGTCGACCTTGACTGGCATGGATAATGGATGTGGAGAATGTTGAAACTGACTCTCGTTACTTGAGGTTGGCTGTGTTGATTAACCGTATGGACTATCCGCGGCTTTGATCTCGTTATGAGGGTCTTTCATCTGTCGTCCATGAGTTGGTGTATGCTCGTCACGGAGGTCTATCATACAGTCGTACCGTTACTTAGTTGGTGTTGTATTGGCTTCGATCAAATCACGGGGGTCGTTTTAATCCTGTGGTACCATGAGTTAGTTGGTTCTGTATTGGCTTTTGCTGGGTTGGTGTTAATGGTTGCATTGTATATTAGCATTGTTGTTGGTTTATGGCATTGATTCTACCACTGTTGGACTTGTAGTTACAGTATCTCAATACTTCTGATGTGATTTGCTCTCATCTTAAACTAGGTACTTTTATATTATAATAATCAGTCCAAACGGAAGTCCATCTCCGACACAGACAATCCAATGATCCTACAGGCCCGTACCCCCATCCCAGCATCAACATCCACCCCCAGCAACAATGAATAATAATAGATATCCATAACAATAGCCAAGCCCCCCTCATCCCCCCACCCAGATCAGCACACGGAGATCCCCAAACGAGCGTTTCAGGGTCAATGACATCCCCGCTCCTACTAGCAGCGACGTCACCCGGGGGTGGTATTTCGTGATCGGTTCCCAATCATCGCGCTCTGAGGTTACATTCTTATCGTGGGTTGTGTGCCGGGTTCCGTGAAATAGCTATTCGGGTTTAGATTTAGCTGTTTTATCGGTACTAATTGGGTGTGTTTTGGTCGTCAGGGTATGGGTTAGTGAGGGGACGTAAGTTGGTGACGTTATTGCGTGCTTGCGACGCTATACGTCTAGTTTGGGGTGGGTTGGCGGAAGGGCTATATAAGCTGGCAGAACCACGGAGTATGATCTTATGATTGTGAGATTGAACTGATTATTGTACAGAAGAGATATCTTTCAATACTCTGCTCAAATGGCTCCTCTCTTGAACCCCGCGCTCCCTGTGCGCTCTGTATCTAAGGGGCTGGACGCCCATACCGACACTGAGCACGTTCAATATCCTGCCCCGTTGCAGAGCAGCGGTGCTCTGGATAAGTTTGCATTCGAAGAGACGACTCCCACTATTGGGAGGGAGTACGCCGATGTTAACATCGTTGATGATCTCCTCCATGCGCCTAACTCTGATGAGCTGGTGCGCGATCTTGCTATTGCCAGTATGTTCCCTCCCCTCTTCTCCCGTCTTCCTTGATGGGGATCTACAACCCAATTTCTCCAACCCCATAGAATGCAACCATGCTAAAGATACAGTCTCCCAACGAGGCGTCGTCTTCTTCCGCGCCCAAGACAACCTCACCGACGATCTCCAAAAAGACCTCGTCCAGCGCCTAGGCCAAGCAGCCGGCAAACCCGCCGACTCCACCTTGCACATCCACCCCGTCCTGAACAACACAAACGAGTTCGGCGTCTCAGATGCCCAAGTCAGCACGATCAGCTCACTCGCGCGCAAGAAGATGTTCCGGCACGGCGCCCAGTCCAACAAGCGCCATTACGACTCCGCGCAATGGCACTCCGACATCCAATTCGAAGCCGCCCCGGCAGACTACACCTCTTTGCGGCTGACACAGCTGCCCAGCTCCGGCGGCGACACGCTCTGGGCGTCGGGCTACGAGCTGCTCGACCGCTTCTCGCCGCCCTACCGCCGGTTCTTCGAGTCCCTGACTGCGACTTTCATCGGCGAGGGCTTCCTCCGAGCTGCAGCGGACGACCCCGAGAACGTCAAGGTGTACACCGAGCCCCGCGGTAACCCGCTCAATATCGGCCCTGATCTAGAAGCTGTGCATCCCATTGTCAGGACGAACCCTGTGACGGGGTGGAAGACGCTGTTCGCGCTGGGCCCGTTCCCGCGCCGCATTAACGAGCTGAATGCGGAGGAGTCGGACGAATTGCTGGGGAAGATTTATCGTACCGTGCGTGAGAATCATGATCTCCAGGTGCGGTTCAAGTGGCGGAATCCGAATGATATTGGTATGTTCCCCCCCCCCCCCCCCCCCTTTTCCTTTCGTTTCCCCCCCTTTTTCTGTTCTGTTATAGAACGATAACTAATTGAGCAGCTATCTGGGACAACCGCTGCGCTTTCCACACTGCAACATTCGACTACGAAGGTCTCGGTGAGAGGTTCGGTCACCGCGCTGTTGGGATCGGCGAGAGGCCGTATCTGGATCCGAACAGTCTGACGAAGGAGGAAGCGTTGGCTGCAGCTGCTGGGGGTGCATAGTCAATATCGTTTTGTGGTCTGGATGGCTTTCTAGTAGCTCCTCTACTCATTAGCTGTGCTTGTAGGGAGGTAGTTTGCTAGGTACCTATAGTTCACGTCTTTTCTCTACTTTGTGTTATAATTTTGTTTGCGTCGTTGTTTTGTTGCATGTAGACTGTAAGATTGTGAAGAACCATACCGGCTGGTCTGACTGTTATAGTGCTACTCATTGATAGCCTGCCATACATGGTCAACACATCTGGACGGTGTAGTATGTATTGACCCAGGCTCATGAGCAAGCTTATGCATGCTGGGTTCAGGAGTCGTCCATCAAGGTACACAAACCTCCCAGTTGGAGACTACACCGGAGATAATGAAGCAAATGAACAGTAATTGACAATTATGCAAAAAGGAAACACTAGGTCATGTGCCACCGATCCAGCTCTGGGTCTATCCCTTCCATACCACCTACCACCCTAAACGCATACACCCCCATACAGTATACCCCATATCAACCCCCTATAGGCCACGGGCAGCCCAGACGATTCTGCGCCGCATTGTACACACAAGGACTCTTCCCACTCCCATGAATACAAATACAGCCCATGTTGATCTCGGTACCCGAAGTCCCGCGGCACTTATCTCCCCCGCCCTAAAATCATCGAGCAAACGCATATCAACCCAGATACGCTCCAGCAATTCCGTCAATAGTTTGAACAGCTACAATGACAGATACTCTACTCAGTAGTATAGTCAAAATCCATTTGCGAATGGCTTGGAACAAGTCGAGCATTCTAGCAAGCATGCCACTCAATCAGAGTATCGATGATAAGATTGGTGCCTGAGGACCAACGGCTCCACCCGCGCCATGTGGAGCCTGGCGGGCTTGGCGTCTTGGCATCGCGTGCCTCGAACCATTTCTTCCTCATCGATTCCGCATTGACCACCTCTTCCTCTTCACCTTTTTTCTTGTGTCATACGCTTTCCGCATCGGCGATCTCTAATTCTGACTTATGCCAATGAGCCTTTATGGGTCCATCACAGCATGACACCCGCTCCTCTGTCGATAATGTACCCACCGCAAGCGAAGTAGCCGACCAACACCATGTGCCGCCCCAAGATCCCCACGGTTCACCGGGCCGGGACGTGCCCGACGAGGAAGACTATACCAGCGTCAACACCGTCATCTATGATGGAGACCCTCAACGACAGCGTGACGCTGCACCGCCTTCCAATCCCTCCGACAGTTCGGACGATGACGCCGCCAGCACCAAAAGCGAAAAGCCCGTTACCTGGCGCTCACTGCCCAAGAAAGGCCAACTAGCGATCCTGACCTTTGCGCGCTTGTCGGAACCTTTGACCCAGACCTCGCTACAAGCGTACCTATTCTACCAGCTCAAGTCGTTCGACCCGTCGCTGCCGGATTCGACCATCTCTGCCCAGGCGGGCCTGCTGCAAGGGACCTTCACCGCCGCGCAATTCGTAACGGCGGTCTGGTGGGGGAGACTGGCGGATGCCGAGTGGATGGGTCGGAAGAGGGTACTGATGATCAGCTTGTTGGGGACGTGTATCTCATGTCTGGGCTATGGCTTCTCCCGCTCGTTTGTCACCGCAGCGATCTTCCGGACGCTGGGTGGGATATTGAACAGTAACATTGGTGTGATGAGGACGATGATCGCGGAGATTGTCGAGGAGAAACGGTACGTCTGAAGTAGTGCTTGGTAGTAGTGCTTGGGCTGATCGATCAGGTATCAATCGCGCGCCTTTCTTCTTCTGCCCATGTGTTTCAATATCGGGGTGATTGTTGGTCCGGTTTTGGGTGGCTCGCTGGCCGATCCGGTCAACAGTTATCCGCAGTTCTTCGGTCCGGGTTCGTTCTTCGGTGGTAAAGAAGGCGTGTATTGGATGAAACATTGGCCGTTCGCCTTGCCCAACGTGCTGAGTGCAATTTTCATCTTTGCTTCGTTGATTGCCGTTCTGTTAGGATTGGAAGAGGTACGTTCCTTCGCTCCTTTGTCGCACGGATGATCAACTAATCCCATAGACACATGAGGTTGCTCGGTACCACAGCGATTGGGGTCGGAAATTAGGCCGAACCCTGGCCAGGTCCCTGTCCTTCCGGCGCATACCCCGGCACTATCGGGCGCTGGTCAGTCATCCAGACGATGAGTCGCTCTACGTCGATGGCAGCGTCACAAGCCGGTCAGCCCCGGCCAGTCCGGCTCGTGCTCGCGCCTTCGTTCGCCGTAAGCGGCCGTCGTTTGGCCAGACCTGGACGCGCAATGTCCTCCTGACCCTGTTTGCCCACTTTCTCCTTGCCTTCCACACGAGCGCCTTCAACGCCATGACATTCGTGTTTCTGCCGACCCCACGCGCTCCCCAAGGCAGCAACGACGGCTTCTTCCACTTTGGCGGCGGTATGGGTCTTCCCTCCGCGCGCGTCGGCCTCGCCACGGCGATCATCGGCGTCATTGGCCTGCCCCTGCAGATCTTCGTGTATCCCCACGTCCAAGGCCGGATGGGGACACTGCCGTCTTTCCGCACCTTTCTGCCGTTCTCACCCATTTCGTACGCCCTGATGCCCTTCCTGGTGTTGATCCCGCGCATCCCGTGGCTCGTCTGGTCGACCTTCACGTTCGTCGTCGGACTGCAGGTCGTTTCGCGGACCTTCGCCCTTCCAGCGGCGATCATCCTCGTAAACAACTGCGTCACCGATCCATCCGTTCTGGGAACGGTGCACGGCGTAGCGCAGAGTGTCTCCAGCGCCGCACGCACGCTGGGTCCACTCCTCGGCGGCTGGGGCTTAGGTCTGGGTCTGAAGTATAACATGGTGGGAGCGGTCTGGTGGGCTCTGGCGGTGGAGGCGCTGCTCGGGTGGTTCCTGCTGTGGTCGATCTTCGAAGGACGAGGCATCGAGAAGAAGGATCCCCCAATCGACGAAGACGAGGAATTGTAGATTCCACCAATGCTGCATATATATAGAGATATATAGATATGATGAGATAGACGAGAAATGTTTCATGATCCAACGCCGTCCATTGACTATCAAAGCGCATGCATATCATATTAGGTCATTAGTTCATTAACGGTCCATGACTTATTTACCCGTAGCCCCACAGGACATCGAAATCTACCCACGCGAGAGAAAGCTATGCCCCCACAGCGGGGGTAATAAACGCCTTGATCGCTCTCTTCGCATCGCCGTCACACGACTTCAACAGCTCCGTCGCCTTGACCTTCGTCAAATCCAGCTCCTCAACCTACACACTATCAGCCCTTCTACCCACCACTAATCAGAAAAGATCGACCTACCAAAAGATTCACATCCTCAGCAGCAACCCTAACCGCCTTCTTCTTGACAACCTCCTTCTGCGCCTCTCCCGTCTTAGTCTTCGCCGTCCCGCCCTGCCCCGCAGCAATCTCCAACCGACTCATCGCCTTTCCGAGCGCCTCCTGTTCCGCAGTGGAAGTCGACTGCTTCGGGGTCGAACCGGGCCCGATCTCGGTGGCATTGAGGGCGGAGAGCGCGGCGGCTGCTTTGCGGTCTTCGGGGTTGGCGGGGAGTTGCTGATGTTCGGTGTCTGCGTCGGCGTGGGCGGAGGGGATGGAGTCGGACATGTTGGTAGATTAAACTAGCGTGATAAAGCGTAAGCAAAGGATTGGCTTGTGATGAAGTTGTAGATGGAAGTTGAATGAATGAATGACGTGGATGTCATGGTTGATGCCTTAGGCGGAATGCCACCTTCTCTATCAGGACTAGCGCAATTAGCTACCCCGGATGAGTCATAATCCCGTGAATAACCGAATAAATTGGCCGGTCGAGTTTTTGGCGTTGTCTCTTCATTCTTCGCGAGTCACGTCTTGTTGTGCTTTCGGACTGGGGTATATTACTTTATTCTAGTTATTTCTTTGTTTTTATAGGTCCAGTCTTGTCAAGACGTGTATTTAAGGCTCGTCAGCTTGACAATTGAGGCCCCGCTACCCGTCGATCAATCACCCCACCTCGCACACCAGTCACCATGGAAGATTGGACTCCCAGCTGTGCGTACTGGCTTGCCTTTTCCCACGATATTTAGTGAAGTAGTATATTACTTTTCTAGTGTACTGACAGTTGACAGCCTGGGCGTCGAAACCCATTAAGCAGGACGTGGTGTACAATGACCCTGCTGGTCTGCAATCGTCGTTGCAAAAGCTGCAGGCTTTGCCTCCTTTGGTTACCCCGCAAGAGGTATGTATCAACTGTTTATGTATCAACTGATGAGGGGTCATGCTAATGGCTATAGGTTGTCAATTTGAAAAAACACCTGAGAAATGTCGCCCTGGGCAAAGCCTTTGTCCTCCAAGGAGGTGCGTGTTTTTGACACTACTATTCTATCAGGCCTAACGACATCATCAGGTGACTGCGCGGAGCTCTTCGACTACTGTAACCAGGATATGATTGAAGCCAAGGTAAAATTGCTCTTGCAGATGAGCTTGGTCCTGATCTGGGGTATGTCTCCTCCATTGTTATGGTCTCGTACATGCTAACTCGCCCAGGGGCCAATCGGCCGGTGGTGCGGATTGCGCGAATTGCGGGTCAATTTGCCAAGTATGTCCTGCCTGAACTGTCGATATACAGTAACTAATTGTCTAGACCCCGTTCAAGCCCCATGGAAGTCGTAGACGGAGTGGAAATGCCCTCCTTCCGCGGGGACAACATCAACGGCTTCGACGCCACTCCAGAGGAGCGCAAACCGGACCCGTCGCGACTAGTATCAGCGTACTTCCACTCGGCCTCGACCCTCAACTACATGCGCGCGTCGCTCTCTTCCGGACTGGCAGACCTGCACTCGCCGCTAGACTGGGGCCTCGGACACATCATCACGCCGTCCATCAAAGAGAAGTACGAACAGATCGTAAACCGAGTCAAAGACGCCCTGCGATTCATGAACACCGTCGGCATCGACACAGACCGCGGCTTCGAGACCGTCGAAGTCTTCACCAGCCACGAGGGCCTCCTCCTCGAATACGAGCAAAGCCTCACCCGACTCCTCAAAAACCCGCACAGCGAGTCCGCGCGTCGCGCCGCCCACCCTCCAACCGCAACAACAACCTCGCAAAGCTACTACGCGACCTCCTCCCACTTCATCTGGATCGGCGACCGCACGCGCCAACTCGAAGGCGCCCACGTCGAATTCTTCCGAGGCATCACCAACCCCATCGGAATCAAAATCGGCCCCAGCATGACCCCCAACGAACTCACCCGCCTCCTCGACGTCGTCAACCCGTCGCGCGAAATCGGCAAAGTAACCCTCATCTCCCGGTACGGGACCTCCAAAATCGCCCAATACCTCCCCGAGCACATCGCCGCCGTGCAGCAATCCGGGCACATCCCGGTCTGGCAATGCGACCCCATGCACGGCAACACGCAGTCGACCCCCTCGGGCGTCAAGACGCGCCACTTCAGCGATATCCTGTCCGAGCTGCGCCAGGCGCTGGAGATCCACCGCGCGGCGGGGTCGTTCCTGGGCGGTATGCATCTCGAGCTGACGGGTGAGGCTGTCACGGAGTGTGTGGGCGGCGGGGAAGGACTCACTGAGGACCGACTGAGTGAGCGGTATACGACGTTCTGCGATCCGCGGCTGAACGAGAAGCAGGCGCTGGAGCTGGCGTTCTTGGTGGCTGGGTTTTATCGCGAGATGGATGAGGAGGGTGGGAATCTGGTGTAGTTGATTTATAGATATCTTTTCTTGCTTTTCTGATCTAGCTTTTAGTGAGTCGTTGGATAAACCAAACAGTGCATGAGCGGTGCTCTCTAGATTATTCCAGGTTACTACTTCTTCTCTGATAAGATACAGTAGTGTATATCATCCGAATTCCCACGACTATAAGGAGCACTATCTATACTCCCAAGGTGTATAAACATTAGCAATTAGCCAATAAAAATAAAAATAAATGTAAAAGAAAAAGATACCAATCCTCAACACCAAAAGCTAACAGACCTCCAAAGAAAGACATCAAAAACGACATCCCAAAGCGAGTTTTCAAAAATCAACAACTCCACCCCACCCGATAAGGAACCCCCTTAGTCTCGCCCGCCAAATCCACCATCCGCTTCCACCGCCACAGCGTCTCCCCCGGATTAACCATCTCATTATCACACCCCATACTCCAAGCGGAGTGGTCGACACTCCCCTCGCCCATCAAGAAGCGCAGAAACGGCCCGGGGTCCTCCGCGGACTTCGTTGCCGCCGTGACGGCCCTATACCGCTTGAGATCGATCTCGGAGAGAGTGATGGGACCCGCGCCGGCGGATTTCATGACCCCTGCTATATCCGCCACGCTGAGGGTGTCGCCTGCGACGTGGACCGCGTCGGGGACGTTCTCGGGGGGACGGAGGGCGAGGGAGGCGACGGTGCGGCCTATGTCTGCTAGGGAGGTGAATGAGACAGGGGCGTAGGCCGAGCCGACGCACTGGAAGCGGTTGTGGGCGGCGTCGAGGCCTAGCGCAGGGCCGACGCTTCGTTCGAGGACGAGGCCGCCGAAGACGCGGCAGATGTGGAGGGAGGGGAGGAGTTCGGCGGCGAGGCGGCAGTGGGCCTTTTTGCGGTCCCAGTCGCGGTGGCGGAAGTTGTGGGCGCGGTGGTCGACGCCGAATTCGGAGGGGAAGTAGAGGCGGATGGGGGTGTCGGGGAGGGCGCGCAGGAGGTTATCTTTGAAGGCGTGGGCGGCTGGGCCCGGGCCGATGGCGTTGACGAGGACGTCGACGTCGGCGAGGGAGTCGGCGAGGTCGAAGTCGTCGTAGCGGCGCATTGTGAGCTGGATTTCGGCGGGGAAGATGGCGATGGGGAAGGAGGGCTGCGAGTCGCTGCGGGAGAGGAGGACGATCTCGGAGAAGTGCGTGATGAAGGGGCGGGTGATGAGGGCGCGGACGATGCGCTGGCCGATGGTGCCTGTTGCGCCGGCGACTGCGATGACGGGTTTCTTTGGACGGCGCATTTTAATTGACTGGATGGCTGAATGAGGTGAGCTGAATGAATCGGGGTAGAGAGGAGGAGATGAGGGGAAGTGATATACGACGGTGCCTGATTGTTTGGGGATCTAAACTACATATCGTATGGCCAGATTTCCTTATCGATAAGGCAAAATCCACCTGAACTGCAAGGCAACCATGGACGAAGGCAGATCATGGCAAAGTCATGTGATGTCACGTGTGTCCAGAACGCGCCAGTGAACCTCGAGGCGATCCAAACTTGAAATCCCCAACCAAAAGCACGCTGATCACTATTCTCAGTAGATGAGTTGAGAGTGATCGTTTTTTGGCCATTGCACAAGGTATCTCGGAATTTAGATCTAAGACCACGGTTGAAGCTATCCAGTCTAGTCGATTACAGTGCTGCTAATATTTTCGTCCAATATCTAATTGCCGTAGAGATATGAAGGATAAAGTCTGCGAGGGTCAGGCAGATGTCAGGAGCGGCTTATTAATTAATAGTCTAGCTACGTGTATGTAGTGTCAAGACCCTAGGATCTCTTCGTGTTTCTGCTGTACTAGTTTTGGGTGAATCGGATTGACAAGGTCTTCCAATAGTCTTCGACTAAACTAACAATGGGGTTTCACGAACCTGAGGCCTCCTACAGTGGCCATACTAACTATCAATGTAACGGGTGACCTGTTGGTCCAAAGTAACTGGTAAGCGAGAAGGCAAGTAAGGTCTATCAAGTACATATACTGACTGGATAGTAGGTAGAGTGTTGACGAGTAGAAATTAAACTCGAAGGTATACTCTGGCTTGAACTGTGTATTGAACGTGACTAACTAAAGCTGCAAATACACGGTAAATGAATGTCCCTATATATCCTCTGGTCCCGGTGACTCCGTGCACACTCTTTGAGATAGGTAAGAAGCAGGGTCCCATCGTCATGTACACTATGTTTATCTATTAATGGTACTATCCTCATAATAACCCATCTACCTCTTTTCCTTTCCCTAGGTTGTGTCCAAGATGGTACATGATTATATAGGTTTTGAATAGAGATAGAAACCTTCTGTCTGTGTCTTGATCCCTTTTTGCGTAACAACGGCATATCTATATTTGCTTTAATAGTGGTGTTTTGCTCTCCCGAAGCAAAACCAGCTTGCATTCAAACTTGGATCAGACGTCGCTTCATCGTGATTGACGTGGTTAGGAGTTGTATGTCTGCATCCTGCCTCTGCAGTAGTCAGAAGCAACTTGGCCGAAACTTCCTCAAGCCATCTTTTAAAAAGCCAAGCTTACAATGACCGAAAGCTTTGATGCTTGCAGATAAGTTGCTGAAATAATGGAGTCATCTTTAAGCTGTTTATGGATGCCTGAGATACACCGCGAGTACAAACAAGAACCTGCCAATCAAAAGCCGGACACCACAAGTCCAAATTCTTTCGATGTATTACTTAGGCCCGGGTCTGTAAGCCCCATAGCTATTCTAGGAACGCTTGGGTGCAAGTTGAAAGCCTTGTCCATACCGGTCCTTGAATTCATTTATCGCTTCGTTTTCTGTTTCATCTGGAACAACTGATGCACGGCCTTGCGAAGGTTGGCCGTAACTTTCAGTATTCCGGAGGTTAAAGCTGGTCATATCCCGAGATAACTGTTGGACTGTGGTGTCGCTGAGGTGGCCTCCAACTTGCCTGGTCCGCCACCCAAGCCCTCGATTTTTACCGCGGACGAGCTGCCCACTTGTCGAAACCATGAATTGTAAAGCATCACCAGTAGCATAGTTATCAATCGTGCTGATGTTCTCCTTCAAATTATTGTTTGCTTTAGAGCAGATATCCATGCACTTGTGAGCTGTATCCCACTCATCCCGTAGCCTGACAAGATCCGTATAATCTTGTTCGGACGTCATGGCTGTCTTTGACTTTGCCACCATTCGGTCCAAGACATCTTGCATACGCTTTTCCAGTTTTGAAATTGTCAGTTCAAGGTTGTCTTTGCACTCTTGCAGGCTGTCACTGGTAACTCTTTCAGGCACGGTGTCTGGGCTGGAACTAGGGGAGCCGCCTCTGTGCTGGAATGAGCGCTGAATCTGACTGATGTGTTCTGACAACTGGGCACAGATTTGGAGACATTTTTCTGTGCTCAGCCGTTCTTCTTTGATTTTTCGCAGTTCCAATGCGTCCGAATCAGAGGCTGGCAAGGCTTGTCCAAGAATACGCTCAAGCTTTCCATCGATGTTTTCAAGGTGAGCCTCGAGGTCAGCCTTCGCAGATTCAACGAGATCTTCGTAGAGTCCCAGGTTTTCAGAGGTGATCGAGGACCTGCGACTGATAAGTCTGTTAGTTCAAATATCCGACATCAAGACATAAGGAGGGAGGGACTAGAACACTTTTGCCGCGTACAAGACAGCGAACTTACAGGTTTGCATCGGTGAGGGCAATATTAATAGTTGACTTGTACCCCGCCAAAAGGCGCCTGAACGCATCAATGTCATCACCCATGTATTTTAGTTTGGCCCAGTCTCGAAAGCTGGTCCGACTTCCACTAGACCGTGACAAACATTTCAGAATTTCTTGCTGGAACTCTTCGCAGGCCTTCCCGCATCGTAGTAAGGGAAGTTCAAGTGCAGAGAGATCTATATCAGTCGTGGCTGCAACTGTTTCGGTGAGCGGCTCTAGAATGCCACTCAAAGCCTCGAGCTCATCTATGAGGTCGCGCACGCGTTTCGGGTGGCTTTGAAAACTCGTTACCATCTCATATAATGCGACGCTAGACTGGAAAGCAAAAGCAGACAAAGTCAACAGCCCGGAAGCTAAACCTATGGGTTCTGCCATCATGTAATCGCTTCAGTATGCGGTAGAAGGTGAGGAATGTATGAAGAAGGTGGTGCTGTCAGGCTGTCGCCGGATCAAGCCAGACTTAATATGTGTGTCAGGCAGCTATGTATCAGGCAGCTACTCGATATGGGCGGGCCCAAATCATGGTCGAGGTGTAAGCGCCCATTTAATGGATCATTGATGCGCTATGTGGTGTAGAAATGTGAGGGTGAGATAAAGCGAGTTCGTGCGCAGGGTGGGGTTGGCGGCTAACCCCACTCTGCTAAGATTACCAAAGGATTCGTTCTATCCCACCATCACATCTCTCCAGCACAAGGCACGTCAGTGGTGCATTAGATAGGCTATTTTTCTGTCACATCAAGCGGGTGCTCGTTAGCTCGCCCGTGTCGAGGAATCGCCCAATACAGAGCCGTAGCCAACCGCCGGTTCAACCACGTCCACCCTGCCCCGGAGCGAACGAGGTGAAAGATAATATAGAATACCGAATGTCGGCTAAAGTGATCTTCCGTCAGAGTTCAGGCCCGGTTAGACCATGGGTGCCAATCTTGCTTCCCGGAGCGAAAGCCCACGACGGTCCACTCTACCTACTAGATCTGTGATTGCGTCAACACTAGACCTGGCGGGTACTATTAAGAAACTAACTACCGCTCGACTGCTTTCCTAGTGGGCTCTTTCTCATGCTTTCAGATTCGCTTGCTGCTCGTTCAGCGGAATTATGAATATTAATAGGGTAGTTGAATTCTGAAGTCAGCACAATCCAGGCAGCGCTGTATCTGGTGGATGATCTTTAGGGTAGGAGAACACTGTCGCGGCTGTGGAGTAGAGGTAGGCCTCTACTAAGCCAAAAAAAAAAAAAAAAATAATAATAATAATCCCGGTTGTCTTTGGTTTTCGATACTCACCCCGTTTAAATTATCAGGAAGAGATGGAATCTGCAGACTTTGAGGCCGGAAGGAGTCGTGCTCACAAAATATGGGATAACCTGCTTGCATGAAGCGCGGGAATATCACAGCATCCTGCCAATCAATGATACTGATGATTTTGGCTAATAAAATGTTACCCAGGCTCAAATCAGGGTGTCTTGGTGTCGGAGCGCTAGACGAACCCAGTCAGATTAAATGAGACGCCAATTATAAGGATTGCGAAAGTCACAAGCTGTGCTCGGAGGGATGAATGTCATGAGTAACTAGTTGGTGGAAGGAATGTCTTGCGAGGTTAGCTTTGGCATGATGCTGAATGACAGTCACCATCTCTCGGCAAGCCGCGGAGGTAATACAGCGGTAAAAATCACCAATACTAGGGAAATCTAACCAGTGGTCTGCACCGGTGGGATGTCGTGTGGCTAGATAGATACATGGTCGCAAAAGTTGACTATATTAGTATTTGACCTGAATTTTCAACGCCATTTGTTTAAACAGTATCGAGTCCATGCACATTATCTGAAGTTTACAGCGTGGGAATCGGAGGTATAGTCTTTAGGTGACTGGGCCACAAATATTGGAAAGGCATCAACCAAATGAATGACGTCACTACTATGCAGCATGGTAGTCATGAGAGCGAGGTGACAACCATGACACCCTTTTTAATCAGCCCGACAAGTCTAGAATAGAAACTCGCCCACGATGAATTCTCTTGCTTTACCCTCATGCTAGCCCTTCCCGACAACACGCTACTGCAAATAAACCTCAGCACTCAAATTCTATGCTACATTTTTGTAACCTTGCCGGTGGCGTTAAGGCTGGTGATTTGGAGAGAAATAGGACGGCCCTTCGGCGTTGAAGATGGTATGCATTCGGCGAATGTTCCCCGATAGTCCTGATACTCACCGATGCTAGTGACTTGCTTTGTTGCCTGGGTATGAAACACCCTCTTGATCCCGCCTACGAGCTCTCTCTAACAGCCTGGTGTAAATCCGAACGCAGCTCTTGTTTATGGGCTATTGTACGTGTGCCTTGATCTGTACGTTCGCTAGCGTTTTCGATTTGATTTGTTCCAAATGGCTTGCTAAAAGGGACAGATGGTTTCGATGGCGGTGCAGAAGGAATGGCTAGCCTGAGTGACAATCAGATTGAAACAAGCTTCAAGGTCGGTATTGCCTCCATGCTCCACGAACAAGGAGAATGACTTACATACCCAGATATCCTATGTGTCAACCATATTCTATGCGCCCTTGGCGCTATTCGTGAAGGCCACTCTACTTCTGGTGCTGGCCAAAGTTTGGAGGCCCTTCCGGAAAATCATAGTAGTCGATATCACTCTTGGCCTAATTGTGGCCTACTACATTGCAATACTTTTCGTCAAGACCTTTCTCTGCTCGCCGATCTCGGCGTACTGGACGATGTTGACGAGGCCAGGCGGACGGTGCCTCAATCGGTCCGCAGTGATCATCGCGGATTCCCTCATCAGTGTGATCTCCGACATTGCGATCTTGGTGCTTCCTATTATCTTCACCTGGTCATTGCACATGTCTTTGAAGTCCAAGGTAAAGGTGGTCGCACTTCTGGGGTTAGGCGGTATTGCCGTAGGTTTCAGCCTATATCGCCTGGTTCTAGTCATCTTGCATGGAGATGACCCAGACCAGACATTATTGTTCCTGAGAATTCTACTATCCGGGTAAGACAAGCTTCCTCACTTGGCTGTTTCTTCTAAACCCTTCCTAACGTTGTTTCTCCTATCAGAAATGCCGAGGGAGGCATCGGCCTCATATGCGCTTGTCTGCCAGCTATAAGCAAGTATATAACTCGTCGGAGGGCGAGGACGTTATCCTCAAAAGACCGACCGGCAGAAGAGACACAAATCCCATTAGAGCGTACTTACGATAGATCTGAGAGCTACCATAGCGTTGACGCATCGTTCCAGAGCCACCTGGAACCCCACGTATGGCCAGGCTCCGCGGAATCCCCACAGCTGAATGCGCGCCGCGAGTCTTAACATCGGCCTACAACACCCCCATGGTATTCTCTTCATCAGCAAGATGAGCTTATTACCCGATAGAAAGCCTTTCACACAATATCCATGGTCCTTCAAACAAAACATTGATTACGTTAGAGAGTAGGCATCCACCAATATAACGAACGACCATATGATGACGAGGGTTCATCCCTAGCCGACTTCCTGAAGGTCACATTCACATCAACTCCTGACGATAATGGGTCAGCCGAAGGCTTAGAAAACAATAACTTGACACTATTCGTAAAAGCAGACACTGAAACAGGAAAATCAACACCTATTTCTAACCTAGCTAATGCTGTGGGCATTTCTCACGAAGGCTTGGAGACCCCACCATGGAGAGCAATGTTTAGCACATACGAAACGGCAAGTGATGCTCATGCAAGTCGGCCAGCCACACATTTACCCAACTATAGGAAATTTCTAGAAGCTTTCATATCAACCAACCCATACTTGGATGATCGATATTTGAAAGCTCTGGACTATGAACCAATGGATTTTTTTGGAATATATCAAAATTCCATAAATTACAAAGGCATGACAGTATACTGTTCTGGACACTGCAGACACAGGACAGATATTGTGCCGTCCACCATGAATGTAACCGGGTCCACATGCCTCACAGCTATTCGGAAGCAGTGCATGCACCATATGACCTTGCCTGGCAAAGATTAGATCAGAGTTATAACAAAGTTAGATTATGTATCCAAGTGACTTACTTTCATGCTGGAAGCCGCCTGCCTCCTGCTGCTTGTGCCAGTTGGCCAGGTTAAGGCGGCGTGATACGCCATGCGAAACACCGTGTCCACCAAGTGCCGGTGCTCTGGGACAACATGTACCACACGATCTGGCATCTCTGGCAGCTCCTCTGCCTGGAAGCGGCCAATACGCGATTCTCGACAGCCCATATAACCACCCATATATACCTGTTTTCCTCCTTCTCTTCTTTCTCCTTGTCCTTCTCTTTTCTTCTAGCATGAGCCGGGATTAGATCACCGCAGTCAAAAAGAGTAAAGTGTTCACACTTGTGGATGTCTCGACAGCAGTCTTTTTAGACTCACAGGACGGCAACGCTCTTTAGAGGTGTATCCACCTATAACCTTCTCCATGTCAGGGGTGCGGGTATAGATTATTAGCCGCTGCACCAAAATATGGAAAGACATTTGGTCAGGTTTGATATGACTGATATCGCCAACATAAATCACCAGGATGGAGTGTGTAGTTGTAACAGACGATGCCCGTGTATGACGAGTCCAGAACGCAACCCGATACTTTCCCATGTTTTGCCTAATCCCACCGAATCTGCCAGTATGGCTTCCGTGAGATATGTCTTGGTTCTCATTTGGAGGAGGGTGTATATGGCAGATATCTACCATGTCTTCAACACAACACTAATGTTCATCCATGGCATGCGGGGGTACTCAGCATCATTGATTTTGTATGCTTCGTAGAACCCATCAGCGAGGAATTGCCTGTGGGGCAGTACATAACAGCCCGGGGATATAAAGTAAATTGAAGCCGCCATATTTCACGGGAGAGATTGGTATGTCATCGAGCTGGTATTCTCTCAGGATGGCGAACGCCACATCCACTCATCTGGGAGCTCTTTGCTCTGACCAGTGATATAGTCATAGCATCAGACAGAAAGCGGTATGCTTGTTGAAGGTAACTTTTCCGTGGAACCACAACAGCCTAGGAGATGGATGAACATTCCAAACTAATGCTCAGCAAAAAAACGTGCAGCATGGCCGTGACATCTTTCTTTTCGCCTTTTTGTCCCTAAAGGTTGGCCCAACCTTGATAAAAAAGACCGTCACCTTATCCTCGGAGATACTTTCATTCTCCAATCGACGAGATTTGGTTTGACATGCAACCATTCTAAATCATTCCACCCAATTGTCCCTTGGCGTGGAGTGATGGATCCAATAACATATCCGGAGCTTTAAAAGTATATGGTGATTGCTTCGTAGAACATCCCTCGCGTGCAGTGTCGAGTCGAGACCCGAGGTACCTTTGCGGTGATTAGGGTAGTCCACCAGGTCGACTGGATCCAAAACTGGATCAAATGACTTGAAAGCCAGGGCACATCGGCTCCTTCTCGGCGAGAAGAGCCTCGAAAGCCTTAGCCACATCATTTTGTGTATCTCGGGGTCATACCGTTATTGTCCACGCGATCACTCGCCCATCCTGATACTAGTGTGTAAATCGAAGACCTAGCCTCTCGACAGCCTAGAGCGGCGGTATGCACATTCTATTTCGTCATGTCTTGGACAGCATTTGACGGTTTTGTTCTCGCCGAGTTGAGACTGTATCTCAGGAACGGTATTGTGGTTCCTTGAAAAGGTCAGAAGACTTCTGGTCTTGCAATTCCGATACAGGCTTTAAACAGCCGTTAATACTAATGGCGGCATTCTCAAAGAAAACATCATCTAGCCAGTCTAATCTCGACTAGTATGACAGTGTCGGCAGTCCCATCTTGTGATATCTGCGCGAACGTGTGTGGCGGAGATATGACAAAGTCAGACAGAGGTCTCCCCACTGTCATTCAATACGAGGGCAACCATTTCAGAGATGGGACCAACTGGTGTCTGCAGCAGCCTTTCGTATGTTTGTATCTAGTTGGGACATCAGTCAGGTCAAGCCCTATACCAAGCCTTGGTCAACGTTTTGGCGTAGCGGTCTTGATATCTAACAAACTCATCAAATCTTGGATTGTCAGATATATATGCATCGAGCATTGATACCGGCGGTGTAGTCATGATGGAACCGGCCCAACGAACTTCATATTCTGTGGTGATAAGGTGCAGAACATGTTCTTTTGGCTATAGATGGAGGAAGTTTCAAAGTTGCTCGCCCGTTCCATTTAGTGCTCCCGGTTCGCCTGAGAAAGGCTAGACCTCGCAGAGCCTTTCTCGGGCAGCGTGAGAAATCGATTCTAGTGTGTTTTTCGCGGTGCTGAATGATCTCCCAACGCGCTTTATCTCGCTGCATGTGCTGTGCTTCAAGCCTGGGTGCGTCTTTCATGTTGGTTGTTAAGTAACACCGATATAGCCGGACAGGTCAATTGGGGTCTGCTCGAAGGGGGTTCCTGTCAGCACACGAAAATATATCGGCCGTTTTGGCCCTTGATATCGTGCGAGGAGGACTGTATAATCCCAGTCTCAACGTTTTCTGTCTTTCGGGGGCATATTTGTATAGTATAGATAATTAATCAAGCGCCAGGCATGAACAAGGTGATATCCGGGCTTATTGGATACCAGTCTATGTGACACGATGGTCACTATTGCGAAGCCAGCTGAAGTTTTCTGTTAGACCAGTGAAAACGTCATCTGCCAGTGGCTGATGCTCATGGCGGATCTATACCCCCATTTAATAAAAAGAAGTATATCATACCCGGACGCACATATGCCTCCCTCTCTGCCACCTAGTGCAATATGTTCGGCCCGAGTCATTCCGGTTGCCAGATCCCTAGTAATCATCACACAGGTGCTGGAATGAGTTGGTCAGGAGGAACAAGCGCGTGGCAACCTAGCGGGCCGCTGACTTGCATCGTTAGGCCATATTCCCTCGTCTTCGCAAAGATTGAGAAGATAATAACTTGGCTAGCAACCGTATGGTATACCTCGGAGAGCAGCTGCTGCGCCGCGGTCATCGGGGACGCGGCAGAGGGGGTTGTCATCATGCTGATCAGTTACCTATATATCCATGCCCCTTATCGTTCAACTGAATCATGTCGTTTGTTATTAAGCTGTGCTAGATGTACCAGGCATACAAAGCATGTATACCGAACGACTCCAACCCTGTGACCTGAATTGCATGTTTGAAATGTTCAAATATATCTGGATCAATTGGATATACAGAGCTGTTTTTGAAATAGCAATATTCGGCTGCAATATTCAAAGCCGTGAGCTGGGCCGCAGCCGGGTTCGTGTAGGAGATCGGAGTTTCGCCAGTACTGCCCGCCGACATATCTAACAGCGCGCTGTTTTTGGTTAGTTTAAACTCGTGTGAGCTTATGATATACTTACTTCTCGCCGGGATCTTTTTCCTCGCCATGTATGCTGGCCCTTGCCCGTGGCTGAACGACAGTGGACGGCAACTATATTTAGGAATCAGCATGTCTTCAATATACACTTTGTTTCAATTTACCACCATGGATCGCACGTCGGCGCTTATGTAGCGACGTCGGGGTATCGAATACCAGTCCGCACATGCGCTTGTTCCTCTGCTCCCAGCACCTATACCAAGTTTAGTTGAACATCTGTTTCGCGCCTTTCAGGTCTTGTCTCAGGCGTGCGTGGATACTGTACATACTGGACTGTTCGGTTTTGTGATCTCTGTTAATATAGAGTATATCAGACACCGTGTGCCTGGTATGGCTTCAGAGGCTGCTGTCCTCCTTGGACGTGAAGATCACCCGCGAAGTATGGTGACCTTCGTAATTCGGACTAAGTCTCAACGAGGTACAGTATATGTAGAAGCATAATCCTCGTTCACATTTTCAAGGTCCGGTGTAATTGTATAGATGATCATGCTATATTTCTGGGGTGCCAGTGGTTGAGTAAAGATGTCAAGGAGGTTGAAGAGGGAAAGAATCAAGAGGGCCTACTGGGGCTATATATGTTGGATGCTAACAATAGTCACTACTACAATGGAGAGTTTGATGATAGTCTTTGAAAAGTGAATGGCTCTTGTATCACCTAAAATATTCTGCTAGGTAGTGGCTATTCATTGAAGGTGATGGTGATGGACTGAAGTTTGTCAATGTGGTGTCCAGTGAATACCATAAAATTCTCGAGTGATATGCGCAGTTAGGGCTTGAAACCACCCTTTCTAAATTGACCGCTATTATAGGCAACACACACGACAAGGGGGTCTAAGAAATTGAACAAAAAAAAAGAAAAATAGCCAGCCCAAGCCTTTGTCTAAATTAACAATCAAACACCAAGCATCTATAACCAAGTGAAAAGCGAAGCAAACCACTAGAGTACCCTATACCTTGACCCTCTCCCCAATAACCCCCTCCACCCTCCCAACCTGCTCCCTAAACTTTGCCGAAAAAGGATTCTTATCAAGATCCTGATCCAAGCTCCCCAGCGTATGGTTCACATCGCGATGTTTCGCCTCGTCAGCACGCACATAAAGCAGCAACGAGCGCATACAGCGCCGCCCCTCCGGCATATCCCAGTACTTAACCGCCATAGGCGGCGCCTGGAGATGCTCCCACTTTGGAAGCAGACCCGAATCGAGATCCTGGATTGCCTTGGAGTAGGTTATGACGGCTTCTTCTTCGAGGTAGCCGACGAAGCGGTGGCAGATACGCGGGGAGAGGAGGTAAGCGATAGAGAAGCCGCTGAAGAAGACGCATTGTGAGCCAAGGACCATGAGGCGCATGGACCGGCTTGGTTCGGCGAGGTTGAGGAAGGTGAGGAGATGCATTCTTTCGTTGTAGGCTTCTTCGAGGAGGGTTTCGATCCTGTCATTATTAGTATAATTATTGTAAGTATATGGTGTGGTGTGCATACCACCCGTAGTCTCTCTTCATTTGACGGAGACTCTTCAGATGCCGAAGCATCCCGGCTACCATACCCGGGACACCAGCAACGCTCTCAAGGAATATGAACCTCGTTATCCACTTCTTCTCGGTCATGGCGTTAGTCCGGGATGCCTTGGCTGTGGTTGAGCGATAGCCAGTGACCAAGTCCATGCTCCAGCGGAGGAAGCGGACTGTGCCGAGGGCGAGCTTGTCGGGGAGGCTATTTGCATTTTTGTGGGCGACTTGCACGGAGAGGATCTGTTCTTGTGTGTATCTGTTATTGTGAGTCTCCGGTTGGATGGAATCAGGAGGGTCATGGTGACTCACACTGGATGGGTCCACGATGACTTCTGGGTTGCTAGTTGTGTGTGGTTTCTTATGGATAGGGTGATTAGGGCTGGCGTTCTTGGGGTCTGGTATGAGGGACGGTGCTGTAATTTGGGGACGGCGAGGCCAGCTCGTCGGATGCAAAGGTGGTGGCTCATGTTTGCGCTATCAATATGCTATGAAAAGAATATAGAGAGATGTCTGAATCCAATAAAATACAGTATGTTGACGGGGGGTATTTATATGATTCCAGCACGTAGGTTGAGCATCCGGGATCTCCCTCGAATATGCATATCCTGGTCTGACTCACTCCCGATACTGTTGAGATCCATTTCGGGATGTTGACTAGTGCTCGGCATATGGAACTCTAATCTAGACCTGGTTCCACTCATGGGTTGTTGATTTTCTGGGTGATGTGGGGGTTGAGGTGGGATTATGGGGTTCGATATCTAGACTCCAGATGGTTGTTACCCACGACACCGCATTGCAATCAACACTTACTTCCAGCTGTAAGATCAATCGTTGACTCTTCATCTTAACATCTTGCAAAGTAGTAAATAATTGACTAGAAACATTGAGTGGATAATAGGACAGATTGGGAAGATATTCCTCAATGTTCTCACACATACAGCGTAGATGTCTTCATGCTGTGCTCCGCTTCCACCCGGCCCGGTTTCCCCCTGGGGATTCTAGATCCATTTTTGATCTCCCCTATCTTTATTCAGATGACATGTCGACATCTCAACACATGCTTGTTCCGATGGTTGTTGATCAGATCTAGTCCGGGAAATTATCGTAGCCCTAATGACGTTGCTGGTTGTTTCATCACATGTGATCCCCGTCCACTCTAGCGATTTCAGTCACTCTCCTTTCTCAGACATGTGTATCTACAACTAATATTACTTCTATGGACACAAGTATGTATTTCGAAATTATTCACATGAATTGATCAATTCTCGATTAGTGATAGCTGATCTCATGTGCTCTGGCAATTGGCACAACTGCCGACTGGCCGAACGGCACATCATTACTATTCATCTATCAGGATTCGGGGTAATATTCCACGACTCTACCCTTGTAGTGCTTAGACAAAGATCATACACCACATTCTACAGTACATTAATTTGCCAAACCACAAGCACATCCTAATCATGACTCATATCGACACCAAGCTGGCCGCAGCCAGCCAGCACTATGGCTAAAGCACATCAAACCAAGTAACCGAACAAGTTCTAGCCAATATCTCACAGCTTAGCAGGCAAAGTTCCCAACTTCTGCCCCGTAAAAGCAGCAATCAAATCCATCAACGGCGGCGAAAGCGTATCAAAAGACTGCAAACCCAGCCCCGCAAACCGCCCCCTCACGGCGTCCATCCCCTCTGGCCGGAACCCCTGCTCAATAATAGACGAGACAAACCCCGCAAACTGCACCTCCTGCCAGCCCTTCTCATCCGAAAGCTCAACATGCACAAAGTCTAATCCCTTAAAAGGGTGATCCTTCTCGATGCGCCCAAACATATGCACCCCGCACTGCTTGCAGGCGTATCGCTGAATGGCAGCCTCCTTGTCGACGATTTGCAGCTTGTGCGCGTTTGCGGCGACGCGTAGGTTCTCACGGGGAATGACGCCCACGACGGAGAAGAGGGCCCCCGCTGGTTTCCAGCATTTGGAGCATCCGCAGGCGTGGTTGTGCGCGACGTTGCTGGAGAGGGTGACTTGGACTTTTTCGCTGGGACATTTGCAGTAGAGGTTGCCTCCTGGGAAAGAGGGGGAACCTTTGGTGAGGCCGTTGTCGAGGAGGGGGTGGATGGATGGCATTTTCTTTCTTTATTTCTTTGGTCCCTTTTTTATATTATTATTATTGTCTCCTAGAGCTCGGTGCGGGCTTGGTGGATATTGAGAATACCTATCGAGGTGAGTGGTCAAGCTCAGTTGTTGAAGACAAGACTGAATTGGAGAAGTGTGCTGGGCATGGTTTCCTCGTATATGCGGAATACTATATAGCAGCACAGGCTGCAGCATCTGCTACCCTACCCCTCATGCAAAGTCAGCGACTCTGATCATACACGTTCCCCTCATGAGGAGAAATACTGTACTGGTTTTGTGAGTCCATGCATTTCCATACCAAACCCGGGATAGATATCCGAGCGGGCCGTGGTCCGGGTAGGGTTTCCGTGCTGGGACGGGCCGTTTGCGGACTCAATACATTGCCACGTTATTATGTGTGCCCTATTCTTTTCTCGGGGATATAGTTCATGGTAGGAAGTGTTTATTGAGTAGGTTCTTACTGGGATAGAGTGCTTAGCTGAATGAGCATCTGCGTCTTTGCATTGAATCGTTACTTGGATCCTATTTCCATTTTTATTTGACTCATTTGTGTCATTATCCTAAAAGCCAAGTCAATTATAGTCTAAGTCAATATACGTGCTTGGTCATCCTAGGCTCGAAAGGAACAATGGATGGTAGAACAAATCTATCTAGATGTATAGTCTGTTTAGACCAAAATTATACTCGAGAAGATGGGGGAATGTCTGGTCTTCTAAAGATAACCAGTTGTCAACATCCCAAGTCGCAGCCAATTGCATCTAATCCTAGATCACTAGACTATAATCATATAGACATATCAACCACACACCGAATACAATCCCCCTTCTTCATATGCGCAAACGCAGCATTGATACTCTCCAGCTTCTCTCGGTGCGTGATGAACTCGTCCACTTTGAGATCTCCCTTCAGATAATCTTCCACCAAGTCCGGTAGCTGAGACCGGCCTTTGACACCGCCGAACGCGCATCCCCTCCACACGCGGCCTGTCACCAGTTGGAACGCTATATTGTCACAGTCAGCAAGCCCCTCCAGCAATAGTAACCAAAACGATCAAAAGAGAATGCTGTATAGAAAAAGGGGAAGATTAGGGGAAACATACGTCTGGTAGTGATCTCCTGCCCAGCAGCAGCAACCCCAATAACAATACTCTCCCCCCACCCCTTATGACACGCCTCCAGCGCCGCCCTCATCACACCCACATTCCCCGTGCAATCAAACGTAAAATCGCACCCCCCATCCGTCATCTCCACCAACTTATCCTGAATACTCATCTTGGACTCAGCAACCACCCGCACAGGGTCCAAAAAATGTGTCGCCCCAAACCGCCTCGCCCACTCCTCCTTATCCGCATTGATATCCACGACAATAATCCGCCCCGCCTTGTTCCGCACCGCCCCCTGCACAATCGACAACCCGACACACCCCGCCCCGAAGACAGCGACGTTGGATCCCGCGCGGATATCAGCCACAACCGTCGCAGCCCCGTACCCCGTCGTGATCCCACAGCCCAGCAGACACGCCCGGTCCGTCGGACACTTCGGCGTAACAGCTACCACCGAAATGTCGGCCACAACCGTGTACTCCGCGAACGTGGACGTTCCCATGAAATGCAAGATGTCGCGGCCGCGGGCCCGGAACCGTGACGTCCCGTCTGGCATGACGCCCTGGCCCTGGGTGGCGCGGATGCGTCCGCATAGGTTGGTTCTGCCTGAGAGGCAAAATTTGCAGGTTTGACATTCGGGGGTGCTTTTATGTGTTAGTGGGTTTTGTACTGATTATGGATGATAGATTGGTGAAGTAAAGGAGGAGATACTATAATGCAACAACAGTATCACCAACGCTCACGCTGGTGACTCCTTCGCCTACAGACTCGACGATGCCAGCGCCTTCGTGGCCGAGAATGACGGGGAAGGCGCCTTCGGGGTCTTTTCCGGACAGGGTGTATGCATCTGGAGACAAAAGGAAGTTGGAGTCAATATCGTGGTGAATACTGGCCTGGCTCTAGGATGGTCAACCTACCTGTATGGCACACCCCCGTGTGCAGGATCTTGATGCGCACTTCGTGGGCTCTTGGCGGAGCGACTTGCACGTCTTCGACGGAGAGGTCTTCGCCTGCGGCCCAGGCTATAGCTGCCTGTGAAGACTGTCAGTATTTGTACTGGAGGATATTAGTGCGGTGGGTGTCGAACCTTGCAGGTGATTGTCTGGTTGTATGTGTTAGTGCTGGCTCGAGTATACAATCATGTATTGGGCATACCTTTCCAGCGGTACTTGTCATGGTCAATTCTCTGGCTTTTCTGTCAAAGCCTTTGGTGTCAAAGACAACGAATGCCTGGAACTGAAATATCCAGAAAGAAAAACATTCTTGGAGAAAATGAGGGGAACTCGTGAGGGGATCTGCTTCCCCACAGTGACTGATAAAGTACAGGATACGGCAGATCAACCTATCCATACCATGATTTATCAAATATTACCAGGCTGTACTGACAAACTACAGCAGAGAAGTGACCGGGAAGCATGCCGTAGCCGGGTTCGTTACCGGTCCGGGTATTGATATTGTATTTTATACCATGCTGATACGCAATAATCCGATAAGATACGGGGCGGATCCAATTACCTGATTGGAAAGCCCTAACTTCTCGTCCTCAAGAGCGATCGTACAGATATTACTAAATAAATGTTATATTAAATGAAGCAGCAATGATAATGAAAGGCTAGAGTATAATTACAGTCATAACAATAATGCAGCTACTCCCTCCGAGTATCATTGACATGCCCCCCATCCCCCATCAACCTCGCTACAGTAACAGCCTCACGAACCGCCCGCCCAACACCACCCCGTACACCCTTTTCCTCCAATTGCATCACGCCCGCTATCGTACACCCCTCAGGGGACGTGCCCTGGTCTCTCAGCGCCGCAGGCAGCACCCCACTCTGCATCATGGCAGCGGAGCCTTTCATAGCCTGGAACACAGCTATCTGGGCGACCTCGCGGGGGAGACCGACAGCGACAGCAGCGTCGATCATAGCGTCACATATGACGGCGAAGAAGGCAGGGGTGGAGCCACCAACGGCGGTGATGGCGTCCATGTGAGCGGGCTTGACGTGGACGGTGCGGCCGATGCGGGCGAAGATGGCGTCTGTGAGGGATTTGTCGGCTGGGGAGGCTGTTGAGGACGGGGTGTCTTCGATTGCGGTGAGGGATTCGGATACCTGGGCGGCGATGTTGGGGAGAGTGCGGATGATGCGGGCTGTGTGGGGCGAGAGGGTTTTGGCGAGTTGGTCGTGGGTCCAGCCTGCGGCGACGCTGATGAGGAGTTTGTTGGAGAGGGCGGAGGCGAGGTCAGGCTGGGTGAGTGTTTTTTGGATGTCTGCTGGGTCGATGGCCAGGATGATTACTGAGGAGGAGCGGACTGCAGATAGTGGGGGAGTGTCGGTTGTGGTTGTGGTGGAGATGTGGGAGGATTGGGGCAGACTCTGCTTGAGTCTGATTTCGGAGGCGGCGCTGCGAACGCAGGCAATTATGTTCGTGAAGATGGGACTGTTGGTTGACAAGTTGGTTGGGGGATTTCTAATGAGACTGGTGAGGATGGCGGTGCCGAGATTGCCTGGTATAGCGTTATTAGGATTGTTTATCGCGCTGTTTGTGAGAGGACATACCGCAGCCTAGGATGCAGAGCGTCTTGTTGAGGGCTGACATATTTTCAATGTCTAAAGTTTTTTAATATGTGAATGATGTAGAAGAGAAGTTGAGGATTGAATCCGATGATAAAAGAGCGAGGGGCACGGGATCAGCGAGCCCTAATCCCGGCCCGACATCCGTTGCGCGGCCTGCGATCCCGATCCGCCAGGAGAAGTCTACATATTTCTTCAATTTCATATCAAAAGAAAAAAGTCGTCTACCGGCCTTGCAATCCGAAGAATAATCTTGATTTCCGCCCTACATTCCCCTTCAACGCCTCGTGCTCTCTGCGTCCTCTCCACCGCATCCCGACTTTTCATCGCCCGCCGATCATATACCCCAACAGAAAACCCCAAGTCGAGCAGTTCGTATCGGCCGATTGCCCTATCTCATTTCACATATGTAGCAACGAAGTACTGGTCTAATCCGCCATATCATGCAGTTGCGCAAACCTCACCCCACCGTAGGCCAGCCATCTCTTACGATACACCAACATCCCTTTGGGCCACCACCAGACTACAATGAAGATCTTGGCCATGACAGGATTCATAGAAATTGGAGACATGAACTGCATTGCACACGTAGCAAAGAACAGAGCCTAATAATGAGCCGAAAATCCATAATCTCCAGACTAAGCGATACCAAGTCAAACGAGCGGGCATGCGTGCTATAACTTCCCCATAGACGGCTGCACTCCCACCAGCTCCTTCGACTCCCCCACCCTCCAACTAACATCTCCTCCCCAGTCCGCCCTACCAGGCCTATCTGCACCCTTGAACGCCCACCGCGCAGCCCGCCGCCCCTTAGACAAGTCCAGCACCCACTCACCCACAATCGGAAACATTTGAAACCCATGCCCCGAAACCCCCGAAAGCAACACCACCGACTTCCCAGTACCGGGCACATAATCCACAATGATATCCGAGTCCCTAGTCGATGATAGGTATGGGGGATGGTAGGTTTGGAGGAGTCTTTTCTTCCTTGTTTTCTATCTTTCGTGTAGTATATCATAGTTATATCATAGTAATGTTGTGGAAACGGTGTATGGGGAAGATGGATATTTGATGGCTGTGGATAGTACTGTGCTTCTTTTAGGTTTAGCGGGTATATAGTATATGGTTTTGCCAAAGCTGAACATATCTAACCATTATGCGGTTAGGCGGGAAATGTTACTGGTGGGATGGTCGGAAGAGTCTCCGATGCGGGGTTATTCATTGATCATGGTAGAGGAACTTAGGTTGCGGAGGTGTTGAGTACAAAGATGCCTATAGGAGTGTCTGGTTTACATGGCGGACGGCAAAGAGTAAATATCCATAGGAATTCAACCACGCGATGAGGAAATATGAATAGAGAATAAAGATAAGGAATAATTGAAGAAAAGAACAACAAAAAAGAAAACAAGCTTCCTCCTTGATTTGCGACAGACTGCATGCAAACTGGAAGAGAGGTAGAAAAACAAAAAGAATGCGATGGCCGGGATTCGAACCCGGGTCCCGACCTTGCCCGTCCGTCGGACTTTCTCGATGAGATGGGAGGGTCGGATCCTAACCACTAGACTACCACCGCCCTGATGAAATTAGTCAGTGTTTTTTTGCTTTATGTACTGGATGCTCATAGCATGTTATCATCAATTGTAGAGCCTATGCTGTTGATATCTATCCTTAATCTTGACAGCAAGATTATATTATAGTTTTCATTATGAAAAACTTTCTTGAAATCGTTATTCTCTTGTTTGGGTGGGCTTTGCTTGTTTTTTGTTTTGTCTGTGTTTGAGTGGCGATAGTCAGGGTTCTAATCATCGCTTGGCCTCGTGAATGCTCAGACAATTTTACACTGCGCATCTTTATCTGTGGAATTATTTATACTGTTAGATATGTATAAGAGGACTCTGTTTTATAACTATGTGCCTAGTTCATTGATACCACTCGGATATATAGCTGCTGTTATCTCCATGGATTTTGATGCGGGTTGCCAGAATATATATGTAACCCTAACCCCTTGTTCCAATTCAGACCCATCCATAAATATATTTAGAACGACTACAGAATATAACCCCTACAATATTACCCACAGTATCTATATCACTGGACAATCAATGGATGCAAGTATATCAAGCCACGGAAGATTTCTACATCGGTTTTCTATTAGGAACATCTAGTCGCCATACCAAACCGGGGACTACGGAGCTCGCTAGGATGCAGAACAGGATGTCCTTCTTTATCCGGGCTTCTGCACTCAAACACCTGTGCGGGCTGTCTTTGCAATTGCCTTCTTACTGTATACTCGTAACAAGAGCCAACCAGTCAGCTAACGGGGCTTTGACTAGATGACAGGTGTGTTTGTGCGCAAGGCTGAAGCGGGCATAAAGAGGCACGGGCTCATTGCCCCGCATCAGCCTCCCAAGTCACCTTTCGAATAAAACCTGGCGAGGCTGTCTTGATTCACCCCTGAAAAATCTACCTATCGCAATTCTTTGACCTAATACTATCGAGAGCAGAGTTGCTGACATTATTCGGGGTTGTCAACCCATACCATGGCTGATCCACTATCCATTGCATCGGGAGCTGCGGGAATACTCTCATTCGGTATCCAAGTCACCCAGTCTCTAGTCGATTTTTACAATTCGTACAAGAGCCAAGACACCGAAATTAGCCGGACACTCGAGGATCTCCAAAGTGTTTTTGGTATTCTCCAATCTCTGGATGCTGCAATACGCGACCCTCAGGCTCGCCCCGAAGGACAAGATTTATCCCAAGATATCGGCAGCGCAATTGAGAAAAGTGAAGACATTATCAAAGAGCTTCAAGATGAATATGCGAAATTCCAGAAAGTCCCAGACAGCAGCTTCGGGAATCGCATCCGAACTGCTAGCCGTCGCGCGACTTATCCTTTCCGAACTAGTACGCTGCAAAAGCTTCAAGAAGATGTTGGCGAGATACGGGAGAACCTGAAATTTGCGCTTAGCGTGCTGCAACACAAGAACAGCATAACGACCCATGAGGAGATATCCGAGCTGAGATTGCTCGTCGAACGCATCGATGTAAACCAGACTTCCTCAACGATTCGTGACTGGCTCAAGGCCCCGGACGCAACTATCAATCACAACAGCGCTCGCACGAAGTGTCACTCCAAAACAGGCCTGTGGCTTATCAACAGTGATACTTTTACGGCTTGGTTGAATGAACCAGATTCATTTATTTGGCTCAATGGCTTTGCGGGAAGTGGAAAGTCAGTTCTATGCTCAACTGCAATTCAACACACCCTACGCGAAAAACAGCATGAGCGTTATATAGGCATCGCCTTTTTCTATTTCGACTTTCGTGACCAAAACAAACAAGATAGTACGGGCATGTTACGCGCGTTATTATTGCAGCTTTCCGGACAGCTTGGAGGGTGCGCCGAAGACCTTAAACAGCTATATAAGGCTTACCAGTCAGGCACTCCTCCAACAGATGTGTTGATCGCCTATCTTCTGCGCATGGTCAAACGTTTCCATCACGTATACATCCTACTTGACGCACTGGACGAGAGTCCGCGATACAATCAACGAGAAGGTGTTCTGGAAACAATTGAGATAATACGAACATGGCACTTGCCAGGCCTTCACCTGTTGGTTACCAGTCGTAACGAGATCGATATTCGGAGATCTCTGGATCCTGCAAGCAGTCAAGACATACCCATGAAGAACACCGAAATTGACCAAGACATTGCGAACTTCGTCCATTATCAACTAAACAATAATCCGTCATTTAGGAAATGGAAAGCACAGTATGGAGAGATTATATCCACGTTAACAGAGCAAGCACAGGGAGTGTAAGTCTTGAAAAGTATATGTGATAAGCGATTTTCTTTTTTACTAATATTCTTGTAGATTTCGCTATGTTCAACTTCAGTTGAATGCGCTGAAACGCGCGTTGAATCGGAACCACTTGTACCGATATCTACATTCGCTGCCACGGGACCTGGATGAGACATATGAGCAGATACTCGACAGCATTGGCGAAGACTACGTCGACGACCTACGACGGATTTTGACAATGTTGTGCTTTTCGAAAAGACCTCTAACAGTGGACGAGCTGATCCACGCGCACGCGGTTGACCTGAGCGAGCCACCCCAGCTGGATCCGGATCGACTGTTGGATAAAGACGGCCTTCAAGAGATCTGCACTGGGCTCATTGAGATTGTCATGGAGAAAGATCGCGAATATAGATCGCAGTGTGACGAAGACAGAGAGGTCCCAGTAGTGCGAATTGCTCATTTTTCTGTGCAAGAATACCTTCAGTCAGACCGCATCAAACAGCATAAAGTAGCTATTTTTGCATTGAACCCGAGTGATGCAGAAATGGAGATTTCCCAAGTGTGCCTGGTGTATCTCCTGAATCCTGCATTGTCCAGTCCCAAATGGGAAGACATGGATACTCGGTTCCCATTGGCTCGATATGCTGCTAAGAACTGGTACCATCATTATCACGCCTCTCACGATCAAGAACATGTACCCGAAAGGTTGGCGCTTCAACTGCTCCAAGACCGAAGCGGCCTCTTTAGCACTTGGGTTTGTCTGCATGATGCAGTCCCTAGCTTGGGAGAGGAGTATAAACCTTTCGTATATCCCGGGGAGGAGATTGTATCGCCTTTATACTGTGCTTCCTACATGGGATTGGCAAGAATTTTGCGGGAGCTTATACTGACTGGCCAGGATGTCAATGCTCCCGGCGGTGTTTTCCGCAGCGCCCTCCAGGTTGCATCATACAGAGGCCACGAAGCAGTCGTACGCATGCTCCTTGAAGAAGGGGCTAATGTCAACAATCGAGGTGGCATACTCCGAGGCGCACTGCAGCTTGTATCAAATGAAGACCATGAAGCTGATACCGGTGTCGATACCCCTGATGAAGCACTGTATAATACTGCAGTACTGCTTGCATCAAGTGAAGGCCATGAAGAAGTAGTGGAAATTCTACTAGCCCATGGTGCTGCTGTTAATATGCACAAGGAAAGCTTTACAACTGCACTACAGGCTGCATCGGCTGGAGGTTATGAAGCTATTGTGAAAACCCTATTAGCTCATGGAGCTAATATCGATGATTATGAGCAACCGTATGGGACTGCGCTACAGACTGCATCGGCTAAGGGTCATGAAGCAGTAGTTAAAATTCTATTGACTCACGGTGCTGGTATAAATCTTTACGACGGATGTGGAAATGCATTACTGACTGCATCGGATAATGGCCATGAAGCAATAGTGCAAATACTACTAGCACATGGCGCCATTGACGACAGACGCCCTGAGCCAGCTCAAGTCTAAAGGGAGACAGTATGTTATTAGGAGGATCAATTTTTTGGAAACTAGGTTTAGAATGTCATGTAATTAGGTAGCAGTTGAAGGTCAATTCAAGCCAATCAAGTCAATGTTAGTTATTTTCTGATCAGTCTCATTTATGAAAAAAGCATATGTTGCAAACAATAAAGGAATTACCACTCAGCTACAAAAGATATCATGACACATTTGGCCGTTGTAAGAAACCCTATATGTGCCACGGCATATACATGGAGTGCTCGTGGCTGAGCCCTGTTCAAAAGCTACGTGGCAGCCAATCAAGAGCCGTGAGGCCTGTTAGTGTTCGTTGAAGGATCGGCTTGGCAGATCACTGGGCCCCCAATTCTCCCTCTGGCTCTTATAGTGTGATATGTCGGATAATTTTATCACTGCGGCTTTGGATAGTGACGGAGGCTATGAGGCTAAGCCTCCTTTTTAGTGCAAACGATATTAGATCTCGCCGTGTTGGCTCTCATTGGTCGACACGTAGAAGATTGCCAACGGAGGTAGAGCGGGAATGAGTATAAAACCAGGAGCAAGTCACGGCAGAATACGATGGTAAATAGCCAAGTCAATTGAACAATGACAGCATCGAGTCTTCTTCTGAGAATGTATCTCACCGTCGGGACGTTTCTGTCGCTTTCTTTGTTGGCCGACGCCGCAGCCCCCAAATACTGCCCGCCTCTTGGGCCTGTCTTTCCCCCTCCAAGTAACCTTTGCCAAAACGATGGGTGGGCCAAAGTTGCGAAGGGAATTTCTGCGACAATTGAGGAGACACTCAAGCAAGTCCAACACGATAGCTCTATTGTGAACGTCAACTCGACCTCTTTCTCTTTCGAGATTTTCTCGGCAAGAGACCCCAGCCCGCTGCTTTCGTACGCGTACACGGCCCCGACGATCAAGAACGCGACTACTGGTGTTCGACATGTCGACAAAGACACCGTGTTCCGCATCGGGAGTGGTTCAAAGCTGTGGACCATCTTGCTCCTGCTGAAGGAGATGGGCGATAGTGTCTTCTCCGACCCCGTTGGAGCGTACGTGCCGGAACTGCTAGAGGCCGCTGAGAAGTTTCGTCACAACAAGACTGCAGCAAACGATCAGGCAAATTTGATGAGATGGGATGAGGTGACTGTGGGAGAGCTGGCGAGCCATATGGCTGGGGTCACACGGGATTGTATGATTGTCCTTCTTCACAATGTCAGTGATAGCTGCTAACACCCTGAAGATGGATTCATGGACGCGGCATTTCAGCCCGAACTGATGCAAGCTGCGGGCTTCCCGAAGCTGCGAGACCAGGATGTTCCCCCCTGTGGAGAAACGAAGGCTTGCAACAGGAAGGACTTCTTTGAAGGTCTACTCAAGAGCCATCCCGTCGTTCCGACCGGCGGAACTCCCGTGTACTCCAACGCCGCTTTCCAAATCCTCGGCTACGTCGTGCAAAATGCGACAGGACGCAGTTACAACGACCTCGTTCGTGCTGAGTTAATTGACCGACTCGGTCTGAATGGTTCATACTCTAGCCCACCCGATCCGAAGCTGGGCATCATCCCGGGAGATGTCCGCAGCAGCATGTGGGGATTGGATATTGCTGATGAGACTCCGTAAGTGATAGCCACCACTGCCAGTTGCTACAGGTCCAGGAAAAGCTGACATATTCCAGCGCTGGAGGCCTCTTCTCGTCTACGCGAGACATGGCCAACGTGGGCCGAGCTATCTTGAACAGCACTCTTCTACCCCGAGAAATGACCCGACGCTGGCTCAAACCCGTTTCCCACACCTCGTCGCTCAATATGGCCGTCGGAGCCCCCTGGGAGATAGCCTCGTACGAAGAGGACCGGGTAGTGGATATCTACACTAAATCCGGCGACGTCGGCTCGTACTCGTCGATGCTCGTGCTGTCTCCAGACCATGACGTCGGCTTTGTCGTCCTTGCCGCGGGTGACAGCGCTCCACAGGCTACCCGGATACTCACAGACCTCGTCAACAAAGCCCTAATCCCTGGACTCGACAAGGCCGCCAAAAAGGAAGCGCAGCGGTTCACCGGGGACTATGCCCTCGAAGACGGCAAGTCTCATATGCGCGTGACCACGGACGACGGGCCGGGCCTCAAAGTCACGAAGTGGATCAGCAACTCGAAAGATGTGTTTTCCACAGTAATAATGCCGGCATTGGGCGTAAAGAAACCATCGCAAATCGAAGTGCGTCTCTATCCGACCGGCTTGAAGAGCCCTCGACAAATTTCCTTCCGGGCGGTTCCTCGCAGTCTGAAAGAGATGCCAGGATTTGGTCCCTTCTCCAACAGCTGTACTAGCTGGTTGAGTATGGACGCACAGCGGTATGGCAATGTGGGGATGGATGACATTGTGTTTGAATTGAATGAGAAGGACGAAGTGGTGGGGATTAGCCCTCGGGCATCGCGGGTCACTCTTCGCAAGGAGTGAGAATTTGTTTTTAGGTAGACCGTACTTTGTATCAATATATGGTGGATGACATGTCAATGTATAATATATTTTCTCGGCCGATACAAGTTTTGACGACAAGGTTGGGTGATCTTGCAGTCTGGATGTTCTTCGAATAGGCCCAGTGTATATACCGGTTTGTGTGGCCGATGACAGGTTGGCGATAACCCACAATTTCACAACAACGACTGGCTCGGTGTTTATAATGATGAAATCCTGCAATCCACAGTCCGAAGATCTGAATGAGGTGTACAAGTAGGTGAAAGATACATGCTGATCGATCGACAGAGAGCCCCCCAGTACTTATGGCAATGTGCCTGGATGGAGCCGCGAAGAACCAGTAGAGATAGATGCCGCGTCAGCCAGGCTTCAAGCCATGTGTTCGCTCTTGGCAGGAGACAAATCGACGACAGACCGATCGATCAATCGACCCGAGAGAAAGAGAGGTGAGGAGAAGTAAGATGGAAGAAAGGAAGAGGAAGATGGAGATCGGTGGGGAAAACGCTCGAGGTCACGCGGGCCCAGACCATGTATCTTTTTCTTTCTTTATCAATCAATGTTGAGTCTGGAATGTTCGGTTGACTTCACCCCAACCCCACCGCGTGGATGCATTCCATGTCGACAGCTTGCTTGAAATCAAGCCAGTTTGTCTGGCCAAATAACATAAGATGATCCCAACGGACGGTCTGATTGGCGCGCAACCAGCCCCTGTCGTCTCCCCTGTCATGGAAACTGGACGGATCAGCCCGAGGGCCCACTATCAAAATCGGATGCTCACGAGGACAGGGACGAGCCTGCCGATCTCCACCAGGGTCGAGATTTACTCTAGTGCAGGACACGATTTCCCCGGAAGCACCTGGATGGGAAAGGATCATGCCGGGGTGATGGATTGGCCGAGACAATGGTCTGGGGGTTGCTCGGGACCGACAGAAAATATTTACTAGTGATGACACCTCATCGTCCAGCCCTTTGTCTCAGGCAAAATCTGCTGGTCACACGGGCATGGCCTCCGGATTGAGGTGGACCAGATCGCGCTTCCGAGTCAGCCGAAATCAGAAGTCGATTCCAGCGAATTGACCGGTTCTACGGGCAAGGGACAGCCACCCGGGGTGGGAGAGAACCCTCGAGAAGAGTCAAACAAGGAGAGACAACCCCCAGAGTCAGACTGCTCCAATGAGAAGGGGTCAATGCCGATAAACTCTGCCGCGGACGGGCACTCTATTCTTTCCATAGTGGGGCGTCCACATCACGGGATGCAGTCTCAAACGGTGGTCCCTGATCGGCTGTGGGAAACCGAAGGGATCCATCGGACTGTATCGAGCAAGGGAAGAGCTGTGTCGGACAGAGTCGCATCCACTTGATAGAAGTTATCCTGCTTTTCCCCGGAAAATTCGATTTTTTGGCCAACCCCGTGACCGATTCCATCGCTGCTTTGGGACTGGCCCCCGGATTTCCCGATCGGGTAATCCGATGCCTGGTGTACTCAGTACGTCTCCCAGCTCCAATAACCTATCGTGAGATTTTGACACTATATGTCTGCCATGTACACGTCTCTGTGGGTAATTACAGGATTTCCTGGTGCAGTTACCAGGAGTAATATTCCTACCACCCTGATAGGAAGAGGAAGACTCCGGATGATCGGAAGAAAAATCAATAGAACAACACTGCATAGCCCTAATCCAGTGACAATGATATCCAAGAATAGCACTGTTGGATGCCACGATCGGTTCAATTGCCACGGACCGTACCCCAGTGAACTGTCCGGTCTGGACCAGAGTCTGTCTGCATTTCATTTTCCTTCTGGTTGAGACCTCATGACCTTTGCCAAGTAGATACCATCTTCCCTTCCATGGCTTCTCGCTCCATTATTTAAGATGTTCACGATCCCCCTCATTCCTGTCCATTCATTCTCAATTATCCTTCTTACTATTTACCTTGGGCTCAATTTTCTCTACCTCTGACTGTCTTATCTCAACCTTAACCTATCCCAACCTCAACTATCCAAGTCTTCTATCTTCTGATATCCCTTAACTCATTCACTTAACCCCCACATCATCCAAAATGTCCGTCTCTATTGAGACCACTGAGATTCCTACTCCCGCCGTCCTCCCCATTCAGACCCCAAGCCTTGGCTCCAAGTCGAGGATGCCCGAGTTCAGCCTGGCTGGAAAGGTCGTCTTGGTCTCTGGTGCAGGCCGTGGCTTGGGTCTCGTCCAAGCTGAAGCTTTGCTGGAAGCTGGTGCCGTTGTGTACGCACTAGACCGTCTGGAGGAGCCTGTAAGCATCCAACTCCCACTGTTCTATCTACAAGAATTCATACATATGAACATCATCTAATACATCACATACAGTCTCCCGAGTTTTCCAAAGTGCAGGAGCGCGCGGTGGAGGAGTTGAATACCCGATTCTACTATCGTCGCATTGACGTCCGCGACGCAGAGCTGCTCAACAGCACCGTCGAAGCCATCGCCGACGCTGAGGGCCGCATGGATGGTCTAGTCGCCGCCGCTGGCATCCAGCAGGAGACCTCCGCGCTCGAGTATACCGCCAAGGACTCCAACACCATGTTCGAGGTCAACGTGACCGGGGTGTTCATGACCGCGCAAGCAGTCGCCAAGCAGATGATCCGATTTGGCAACGGCGGGAGCATGGCCCTGATTGCCAGCATGAGCGGCACTGTCGCCAACAAGGGACTCATCTGCCCCGCATACAACGCCAGCAAAGCCGCCGTCCTCCAGCTGAGCCGCAACCTCGCCATGGAGTGGGGCCAGTACAACATCCGCGTCAACACCATCTCCCCGGGCTACATCGTGACCGCCATGGTCGAGAACCTATTCGTCAAGTTCCCCGAGCGCCGTGACGAGTGGCCCAAGCAGAACATGCTTGGTCGACTGTCCGCCCCCGAGGAGTACCGCGGCGCAGCGGTCTTCCTCATTAGTGACGCCAGCTCCTTCATGACCGGCAGTGATCTCCGCATGGACGGAGGTCACGCAGCCTGGTAGACTTTCGTCTTCCATCGTGACTTTTCTTATTATTTCTCTATTATGATTTGCTCCCTTCAAAGTATCGGCTTTCAACGGCTATCACCACCGTTTATTTCCTCTCAGCGATGAGTTGTCTATTGCATGGCGTTTTGTGGCGGACGAGCGAGCGAGCGTTTACAGATTAACGGATGACCCCAGCCAATCATGCATACACATCATTGGCACAGCGTTATCATCCCCATTGTCTATTATCTTACCTGATTTATCCACATTTCTTCAGCGTCACGGGAGTCACAGGCTGGGTTACGTTATTGGCGGGACACTACTAACTAGACTTGGCACATACGATTCTGTGATTCTTTACATTAGTTACTACCACCTACCTAGGTACTTATCTTTCTAATGCATGCATATAATTCTTCTTCTCAACTTCCACTGCCTTGCCTACTGGGTTCTAGCGCGTGTCCGGATTGGGCGGGATGGTCGGTATTCTTTGACTCGGGCTTCACGTTTGACTAAGTCTGTAACCCAACGCACCAATCTGACTGTCTGTCTGACAGGCGCATGACCACTGAGCCCACCGGGTTAAGTTCCCACTTACACAGCAGACTCGAACTTGCGTTCTTAACCCTATAGGTAACAGGAGCAGCCTGAGTAATCCTCAGCCTGTCCCACTGGAGAGACAGACTTTAGCCACTATACCACCTTGACTAATAGTGACCTCGTAGACTATACGCCCCGCGGGAAGTAAGGAATACCGACGATCATCGGGCACAAACATCCGACCTACACCACAAACACAAACAAGCCAACTAAATGACAAAAAAGGTCAAGTCAAACGCGTCACGATCAGTTGCAAAGAAAGCCACCGACCAAAGAAAACACAGACAAGGAGCGGCGCCAAGACATCCCAGCCCAACCCAATCCGGGGAATGGAACAATCCCCCACCCCCGCAACCCAGACTCGGATTTGGTCCGGACTTAGGGTCTACTCTTGTTCTGGGTGCTAGGTTGTGTTTGGGTTATTGTTATGGTCATGGGATGCAGGCATTTGGGCGAGAATGGTTGGTTTGTTCGTTGGAGGGCCGGTTGATTGGCTTGTCACTTAGGGTTAGCGAAGGGAGGGCTTTGGTTGGTCGTGTATTTGGGTCATACTTGCTTTGACTAATTATTAGGTTTACTTAGTAGTAGTGGAGTAGTAGTGACCCGGATAGGCAGGTCTATACTAGGTTGTGCAGTGCCGTGTTCCGGTCTGTCATACGTCAAGGAATGCCCTATGCCTTTTTGGACGGGTAGGAAGGACAATACTGCATGTCGTGAGGAAAAGGCAGTATTGTGATAGGATAAAGGAAGTAGAAACTGTAGGATGGTTACTCATCTTCGTGTTCTCAGCCTACCGGATACGCTTTGTCTGTTTCAGTAGTACTGAATTGTGGGCACTTCTACTAATCGGGTCTTGTTTAGTGACATATACTCATTTTACAGTGAAATCAACGCGTGCATGGTTGTATGGGGCTTTCTATAATTTCGGAAAGTACAGCAGAAAATTCGTCCAGGCTATTCAAACTCGTCTCACGCGCAGCGAGCAATGCCCGGCATCGCTATACTCAAAAACCAGCATACTACCGTCTAACTGGACAGCTTCCAATGCAATGCTCACGCGAGCAAGACACTGCCTGTGCGTCAGTCCAGTCTCATCGCGCTACAATGAGTCATCCTGAAACGCGTCCAGCGTATGAGTGCCTACTACAAGAAGCCTCTCAACGGGTAGGGCTCGCCGCAGGCTTGGCTCGGTTTGAGTCGGGCTCGAGTCGGGATCAACGTGTTTGGACCGATTAAAGTTATTTTCATGTAGGATCGTCACATGGTTCTTGTTGAGTCCCTGATTTGTACTGGTTATGCCTTTTCTTTGAATACTGGTGTGTATCTCTGATTCTGTTTGGGCTGAGGTATAGATATCACGCTGATAAAGAATAGCAATGTCACTTGACTTCAGCTTCGACGTGTCGCGTCATGAGATTCATAGATTGGCCATATAGGATGTGCCACGCCGATTCAACCGTATAGTTCTGAAGTTAGCGTTGGGGAGTTCGTCCAGTTGATGTTGTTCTAGAGACGACACTCGCGAGAGATCGGGCTACTGCTTTGGGTGTTCCGGAAGAGGCGCGCTGTGAATGCCATATGAGGCTCTTTCGCGAGTGGTGAGTTTGCTCGTAGGTTGGCGACTGTGTCAGCCGTACTGACTGTACGGCATTGGGAAGAAAATGGTGAGTAAGGCGTGCGTGGAGAGAAGAGGCTTGGTGCAGATTCGATAAATCGGCATATACAGCGAAAAGTAAGAAGACTTGACATCACATGACAAGCCGCACACAAGGTATATTCCTCAAGGATATAGATCAATTGTAGAATGCACGCAACCTGCTAGATACACCAGCTGCCGTAACAGCATGAATTTTCCCATTCCACATGGAAAATAGAGAAACAGATATAGACCAACCCACCAACTCCGAAGCCCCGAATATAACACCTAGATAATCAAAGAAAATACTCCAGATCTACCACGCTCACTCCGGCGCAGCATGGTACTTCTCCGTCGCAGACCGGAACAGCTCTTGTTGCTGGCGCAGCAGCTCCTCCTCCGACAGGCCACTCTGCTCCATTTTGCTCTGCTTCTTTTCGCGCGACTATATCCCAACGTTAGCCGCAATTCCAACCCGATGTGTGTTGTGTCGCTGTACGCACCTTCAGTTGTTCCTTGTGCTCCTCCGCCACGGCCAGAACATCCTGGACGTAGTCCCCGAAGCCGAGATCGCGCAAGGCGCGCTCAACATGTTCGCACGCGATGGTCTTCTTGGCTTCCTTCTCGCTGATATCGTTGGCTTCGGAGGAGATGAGTGTGATGAACTCGACGCAGCATTCCATGAGGAGGTCGCGCGCGTCTTTCGAGAACGTTTGCCCCGACGAGGGCGGGAGGATCTCTGTGATGATCTTTTGGACCGTCGCTGTATATTTATTCCATGGTTAATTTCGTCTTGGGCACGGTGGGACCAGACACGTAGGAGAGGTATGCGCACCCTTTGGCAGCGACAGGTCGTCGTTGGCTGTCATTGTTCGCGGTTAGCTTAATGTCCCGCATTGCGACCATACTCCGCATCAGACTCACAGTTGAATTCGCGATCCGACATGATGGCGTTGGCTGTGTAGGTGGTTACGCGACGGCAGTTCACAAAGCGAGAACGAGCGCGGATTAAAGTGGGGGACAGCGACAGCGTCCTTGGAGAAAAGTGCGATCGTCACCGAGAGATAAATGGGTCATTGGGGTCACTTCCGTCAATGCTGCCTGAGGTGCCTTGATCTCGCTCGGAACGGATTAACTAGGGCAGAAACTCACCGCCTCCGCGGGTACTTTATCTCGCCGCCTGATTTTTTCTCGTCAACACTTTTTTCTTCTTCTGTATCGAGTTTTCCTCCCACAATGGAACGGTCAAAATGTCTGGCGAATCCGTTCGTGGTGCTTGTCGACAACCACCATCCTCTGGATGGTACTAACTGAATGGTATGTGACTTTCCCCTGCTTCCCTGCATTCCTTTACCATGATGAACATCGTTGTCGCCCCTATCAGACCATTCTATGGTGACGTACACTGTCCAAGCCAAACGGACTACTGAACTTTCTTCCACACACTATTTGATTCTTCAATTTGTTGCTGGTTCTTCGCTGACCTAAACAAGAACAGGATGTAGATTTCCCAGCCAATTTGGCGAACGGTGCGGTGCGATGCGATGCAGTGGAAACAACAAAAGGTAGGCGCAATTTGATTTTTCTTTTACACACATATTATGATGATGAAAATTACATTCCATGCTAAACATGAAGGTGCTCTGCGCCTAATGCTTCTAAATGTAACTGCTTTTCATCTTTCAACTGATTAATATGCCCTTCACCGTCTATGCAATCTATCTACATTGTCCACCGCAGTAGCTAATTGTCTTCTGCAGGAATCCGTAGTCTACGCTTGAAAGGCATCCAATACCTGGTCGTTCCATCTGCGTTCGTTAGCGAGAGTTTAGCGATACCAAAATATTAGCATAGAGATAGACGCACGAAAGAAATTTGCCGGTCAATTCACGCGGCGCGTCCAGAACCAATTTGGCCATGACATGACCCGGCTGCTCGGGCTTCAGTAGCTTCCCGTCCTTGTGGACTGTAGCAAATTTGGCGTACACCTGCGGCTCAAGCGAGGTCTTGTGGTCCTCACGGAGCTCGCGCTGCATGTTGGTGTCGACCATGCCCGGTCGAATCGAAACGGACGTGACATCGGGCTCTTCCTCGCCGAGGCTCAGCGCCAGGTGGTTCATGGCGGCCTTGGTCGACCCGTAGAGGCCCCAGCCACGGTACGCCGACACCGACGCGCCAGACGAGGTGAAGATGATCTTTCCCTTGGACTCCCGCAGCGCGGGAAGACCGGCTTTGACCTGTACTGGTCAGTCCCTCGACCTCATGGTCCACGGCGCACAACAAGACGAGGAAGAACGTACAAAAGCAACCAAGCTAACAAAGTTCACATCAAAGCCCTGCTTCCACTGCTCGGGGTCGGCATCGGCGATCTTGCCGACCTGGCCCAGGATCCCGTGGTTCAGCACCATGCCGTCTAGCCGGCCGAAGGATTTGAGAGCCAGGTCGACGGCCTGCTGGGCCAGCGAGAAGTCCGCGAGATCGCCGCTCAGGATCTCCACCTGCTTGGTGTATTCGTCTTTGAGCTTCTGCAGCGGCTCGCGACTGCGGGCGATGACCACGACGTTGTGCGATTGCGGTGCCGAGAGGAGGTACTTGGTTATGGCGAGACCGATGCCTTGGGTTGATTAGTTCTGCTGGTGGGATTTGGGTATGGCTGAGGGATGGATACCTCGCGAGGCACCGGTTACGATGATTGTCTTGGACATCTTGTGTATGTTGTTTGGGTTTGATGTAGGAATGAGGAATGACCGGAAATATCAACCGGGAGAATCAATTGAGGTAGGGTAAGTCAAGTGGGATGAAGATGGCGGTGATGTAATTTTCTGCCGCCTCGTCTGCGGGGTTGTCGGCCAAACCAAATGGAGCTCCGGCGCTGAACTGCATGCCGGGTTTCTCGGGGTTTCTTACAAAATACACATCATCATCTATGAATTGTTTGTCTGATCCATATAGTCCACAATGAATCCAATTGAGACATTGGAATGATCCAATCCGTGATATATGTCCAACAATAGGCTTATACACCAGTCAGCCACTACCGATTACTTCCCTGACGCACCCCACGCCCTCCAGATGATCAGCACCACCTGCCCACCTCTATGATGCTATTCGCACAGGCTGAACACCGGCCCGGTACCCTGAGCGATGTCGGCGACCAGACCCAATAGTGACCGCGGAAAGCACCGCTGTTATCGCGCGGGGCCCACCATAGGGTCTGGGCGGGTCCTACCCGAGTCAATCATAATTATGCCTGCCCTCCAGCCCTTGGCGGAGCTATCAGCGGGGGATTTATAAAGAGAAGCAGAGACCGGGGAAAAGCTGAAGTCTCGACCGAGTCAACCACCCCACGTTGAAGTTCTGCTCCGCCCCCCCGCACAACGACACCTTTCCCACGGGGAAAGCCCAGCACACAAAATGCCTACCGTCATCTTGGGAGGCGGCATCATGGGCGCCTCCACCGCCTTCTACCTGAGCCAAACGCAGCCCACCGAGGAGATCCACATTGTTGAGTCCGCTGCGCAGCTGTTCAGCGCTGCATCCGGCTACGGAGCCGGTTTCCTAGCCAGGGACTGGTTTGCCCCCGCTTTGGCGCCCCTCGGGGCTTTGTCGTTCGACCTTCATGAGTCGCTGGCTGCGGAGTATGGTGGCGCGAGGCAGTGGGGGTACATGAAGGGGACGGCGATGAGTCTGGCATCTAGCGACGCGAGCAAGAAAGGCGGCGCTCGGGGTGACGACTGGCTGCGCGCTGGGACGAGTCGGGCTGAGACGTCGGCTGGGTCGACCGGACCGGTGCGCATTGAGCAGCCGGGATGGTTGACGAAGCAGCAGGGTATGGTGGCGGAGAAGATCAGCGATGAGGGGACCGTTGCTCAGGTGTATGTCTCTACAATAGGATTTGGCTCTGTTGGGTCTATAATGGCTAATTGGGTGCAGTGATCCTTTGCGACTGTGCCGGTTTCTGCTGGCTGCGGCGACGGCGCGCGGAGCGAAACTCCACCAGCCGGCCAAGGCTACCTCTGTGATTACGGAAAATGGCACCATTAGTGGTATCAGGATCGCTGGCCTTGAATCGCAGACCGAGTATACCATCCCCTGCACCAACCTGGTTGTTTGCGCTGGGTCGTGGACGCCGCGTGTGTTCGAAGAATTGTTCCCCTCCTCTCGCGTCTCTATTTCGATCAACCCTCTCGCAGGATACTCGCTTGTTGTTCGCTCCCCCCGTTACAACCTGGAACACGAGCGGAAGCTACACGGCGGCCGCAGCCACGCCGTGTTCACCACCCACCCCGAGACCTGTGGCTTCAGCCCGGAGATGTTCTCGCGAGAGGGCGGAGAGATCTACATCGCTGGGTTGAACAGCACCCAGATCCCGCTGCCTGAGCGGGCAGAGGGCACGGCAGAATACTTTGACCCGAAGGAGATGGAGCGGCTGAAGAAGGTCGCAGTCCGTCTGATGGGCAAGTTGGCGCAGGGTAGCGATGCCGCTGATGACCAGACGCCGACCATCAACGACCTGGAGGTTATCCGCGAGGGGTTGTGTTTCCGCCCCGCCGCCGCACGAGGCGTCCCTATCGTTGCCCGCGTCGAGGACCGCCTGCTGGGCGGAGTGAAGACTGGGCCGCAGGGCGGCGTCTTCATCGCCACGGGTCATGGCCCGTGGGGTATCTCGCTGTCTTTGGGAACCGGCAAAGTGGTGGCTGATATGGTCGCGGGAGCTCAGCCGACTGCGGACCTGCGGGGGCTGAATGTGGAGAGTGAGCTTTCGCGACTATGAGAGCTGCATAGAGCTTAACGATGGGGTCGAAATCTTTCACGGTCTGGAAGGGTAGCGATAGATGAGTAATGAACCATATAAATTTTTGGGACACAAATAAATTAGCATAGAGTGAAGACGTGATCCGTCAATCTTGCTGGTATCCAGCTTCGATGTATGAAATGAATAGCGTCAAGGATTATGAATTGCATTAACTATACAGATTAGTAAAATTATTTTTGTGCATGGATTCGCCACCTCAGGCCACCAATCGTATCTCCTTAGTCATCCTTCCGCCACGGCGAGCTCTCCAGAATCTTCGGATAGACGAAGAAAGCTGGAAGCTTGACGCGACAACCTGTCCAATTCTCACTCCTCCTCCATCCGTTTCCTAGGTCAACCTGCTGGACCGCCCTCTTCCCCACAGTACTTCATTCTATCTGCGATACAAAGAAACCCCAGCAACACCATGGCCAACTATCTCGCGTCCATCTTCGGCACGGAGCAGGACAAGGTCAACTGCTCGTTCTACTACAAGATCGGAGCCTGTCGCCACGGTGATCGGTGCTCGCGCAAACATGTCAAGCCCTCGTATTCGCAGACGATCCTCATGCCCAACATGTACCAGAACCCGGCGTACGACCCAAAGAGCAAGATGAACCCGAGCCAGCTGCAGAACCACTTCGACGCCTTCTACGAGGACGTCTGGTGCGAGATGTGCAAGTATGGCGAGCTGGAGGAACTGGTGGTGTGCGATAATAATAATGACCGTATGTTCACTCTCCCTACTGATTCTATCCATCCCATCCGTCATGATCTTGACTTGCCAGGAGCCAATGAAATGATGATGCTAATTTGAAATTCGCTTCAGATCTAATCGGCAACGTCTACGCCCGCTTCAAATACGAAGAAGACGCGCAAGCCGCCTGCGACGCGCTCAATTCCAGATGGTACGCCGCGCGTCCCATATACTGCGAGCTATCACCGGTGACGGACTTCCGGGAGGCGTGTTGTCGGTTAAATTCCGGCGAGGGATGCGTGCGCGGCGGGTTCTGCAATTTCATCCACAGGAAGGATCCGAGCCCGGAACTGGACCGGGAGATGCGGTTGAGCACGAAGAAGTGGCTGAAGGACCGTGGGCGTGATGCGCGCAGTGTGAGCCGGAGTCCGAGCCCGGAGCCTACCCGGCGGAGATGATTGGTTGGTTTGGTTTGATTTGTTGCGACAAATGGCGTTGGTGATTTCATATCCTTGCTTTTTTGAGGGTTGTTATTGTTATTGTACTCCGTGTGATATCAGAAGGTTGTTAATGATATACCGTGAAGTAGATTACTCTTGAACGGGCGATTGCTAGTAAGGCACGCCGAGCTTGCTGCAGTGGAAGAGACAGTTGATATACTGTTACAGGACCAGTGCTCAATCAGGGAGTTGTCCTAGGTAAATTAGACGATCTACCGGCAAGTTCTTACTACGTCTTCTGCCATGAATGTTATGTCTAGTGGTCTCCCCGTATCCTCGCCGATGATTCTCCATCGCATACTAAAACTGCGACCAATTCAGCATAACATGATAGACCATCGTAAGAATATCAACCATAGTGATAACCACCATATAACACAGGAGTCCTTCAGAAGAATCCACACGAGTAATCAGCTACTGGAATGGTCCTCTGGTACATGGGGATCAACTGGGTTGGTTTATATGGCGTGAGGTGCTTAATCGCAAGAATATAATATAGTAATATAGAAACCGAATCAGCAAAGCATTACATCCAAAATATGGCACAAAGCATCTCGCAATCATGAAAGAAACATGTAGATGTAGACAGGCGTGATATTACTGTTATAGGAAATATCATGCCTGAGGCACAACCACCCACGCGTATCGCGTTTCCCCACCTTTCATTATCAAGAGTTCTTTGTCTTCACCTCACATCTACTTCTTCCCTCCTTCCCTCTTCTCCTTTTCCAACGAATTCCTCAATAGCCCAAAATGAGCGACTACAACCACAGCAATCGCGCATTCCTACAAGCCTTCATGGCGCGCTCCACAATGACCTACGAGGAGGCATGTCCCATCCTAGCGGCCATTCTCAGCATCTACGGTATGCCGCCCGCGCAAACCGTCCTACTCCGCAATGCTAACGCAGACAATACCAGAAAGGAATCCCATCTCCCCAGAAGACGTATCAGAAGACGACTTCTACTCGTACATCGCCACCGCCAACTCCGCCATCTCCCCCTTTGACCTTGAAATCTGCAGCACCACGCGCCAGGTTACTCTCGAGGCGGGCGCCGAGCCTGTCAGGCCGGAGCCGATCTTCGTGCTCGTGAACACTAGCAGTGATCCGTTGACGCAGTTGGCGACGGCGTTCAGCGCGGACGAGATTGCGTTCGTGAAGCGCGTGCTCGACTACATGTTCGATACGAATAACACACGACGGTGCGAGGCGATGGTTGTGAGTGGGATACAGGCGATGCAGCTGGCGAAGGCGTCGAGTGGGGATGCGAATCGTCGGGACACGCAGGGCGGGGCAACGCAGCAGACGCAGGGCGGCGCGGCGCAGTCGCTGAGTATGACGCAGGCGGAGACGGTCATGAAGCAGTTGGTGGAGGATGGGTGGATGGAGAAGAGTCGCAAGGGCTTCTACAGTCTTGGGGTGCGCGGGCTGATGGAGTTGCGGGGCTGGCTTATTGCGACGTATAATGAGGAGGACGAGGATGGGCGGAAGATCACCCGGATTAAGAAGTGTTCGGCGTGCCAGGATATCATTACTGTGGTATGATTGTCTATGTTGGTTTGGTTTTGTGGTGCGCGCATTGTGCTGACTTGGTTCTAGGGGAGACGCTGCGGTGACCGAGATTGTGGTGGCCGACTGCACGATACGTGTGTGCGGAACTTCTTTCGCGTACAGAAGGCGGAGAAGTGCCCCGTTTGCAAGGGCGACTGGCCCGATGATAAGTTCGTTGGTGAGAGGGCCATCACGTCGACCGATGGGCATAGACCGGGGAAAATACGGAATACGCAAGTCCAACGACCGAGTGCCGTGGGACCGAGTTCGCAGGTCCCAAGCGACGCGATGGATGGTCCGGCAGACGATCCAGTGGACGAGGATGCCAGCGATTGAGTCGGAAGTTACACTCAATATTCTACAATATGCATGATCAACCGACATCATGCTGGGACGAAGCCTGGATCAACACCACACTACGGCAGGACTGCCCCCCCCCTGACATCGCGTCGAGACGTGCTCATTCAGCACGCCCGGCCGTCCGATGATACATCCAAACTATCGACAGCTGAGATGATCTACGCTATGGTTCTATGATAGCACCATGATAACTCTTTCATACACAGAGGGCATAGACTAGCTGCAGGATATACAGCTTCCCACTCAATGAAACTATTGGACAAAGACGGAAGCTATGGTTGTAGCGATTGTAAACGCTAGCACTATACTGGCACTGGGCATCATTGTGAGGCCTCATCTCGCCAAAACTCCTTTGCCCTGCCTACTTCAGCAGAAAGCCGCGTGTGCCGCACAGCTATGCCTAACCTTCAGCGATTGACAATCACAAACCTCAGATACTGTTTAAAATTGATACTGTACGCTGTGCACACATGAAACATATTGACATATTGGCATCATTGCCGAAGACCGGGTATAGAACTGATATACAGGAGAGGAGAAGTACAGTCGAAACAAACAACCCTAAACAATAACACCAACATCGCCGAAATACCTCTCGAACCGCTCAGGAAGCCCGCTGTCCTCTGCAACAGCGACATACGTATCCGGACGAATGAGATACGCGGCGTCGCGCCCCAGTCCAGCTTTCGCATACGCCTCATTCCACGCAAACACATGCAGAGGGATCTTCTTCTTCTCGCACCATTGCCTCAGATCCTCTGTTGCCTCCCCATACACTTGAACCTGCCACACAACCTCCTCCAATTTACCATGGTTATCATCCCCGTCAACCACAACCCAGGGCAAACGGTCACCGCCATGTACACTCCCAGCAAGTCCAGCCGCAAGGCCACTTTCGCGATAGTTGACCAGAACCTGCGACATGCGTCGGAACGCCTTCATCCTGAAAAAAGCGAACTGACTCACAATAGGAGCAACATACGGCACGATCCAAGTGCGCAGAAACCACCCGGTCCAGCCCTCGTCGACCAAAACATCGAACGCCGTATCGGTAGTCTTCACAAGCGTCTGCGCAAACGTGCGCCGCTCCGCCGAGTAGCTGTCCAGCAGTCTCTCCTGCGCATCGTGTCCATCCACCGCTCCTCGCATGACGGCAGCAAGCTTCCATGCTAGATTGATCGCGTCCCCAATACCGGTATTCATCCCCTGTCCGCCAACAGGGGAGTGCACATGCGCGGCATCGCCGACAAGGAACGCGCGCCCGTGCCGAAAGGACCCTGCTACGCGATGGTGCACATGGTACGTGCTGAACCAGTGCGTCTTGTCGATAGTTACTCCCATCCTGGAGAGCATCTCCACCGGCACGACGTCTTCGTAGGCCACCTCGGGCTTCCCGTCGCCTGACGAGGCCTTCAAAGAGGATTGCTTGACCGCACCATTCAGCCGCGCGCGGTTCTTAGCATGCGAAAACATGAGCATGAAGTCTGTGCCGTCGAAGTGAACGTGCGCTTGGCCGTTGAATACCGGCCCGCTGCCTTCGACGTCAGCGACGTAGAAGAGGCGTTCGCAGGCGGCGCCTTCGAAGGGGATGTTGCAGGCGTGGCGAACGGCCGAGTGTCCACCGTCGCAGCCGACGATGAACGCAGCCTTGTATTCTTCTTCAGAGGCTGTATCCAACGAGCTAGTGTCTCGAAGTCGAGCGACGACGTGCGAATCCTTCTCGACAAACCCCACTAGCTCTTTATGTCGCTCGACGTGCACTCCGCGCGCCGCGAGCGTCTCCTCAAGCAGTCGCTCGTGCAAGTCCTGAGGAAATACATGGAGAAATGGATAAGGCGTCAAGCCGGTCCCCGCGTCGCCGAGCCGGACAGTCCCGCGGTGGGCACCGCTGATCCAGATGTTTGACGCTTCGATCTTGTGGCCGGCTGCGACGACGGCTTCGGCTATGCCGAGCTGTCTGTATAGCTCGAGGGTGCGGGCGTGAATTACCAGCGCGCGCGACGTCGAGGGTTTGGACTCTGCGCGATCGACGATGCGGACAGGGATGTTTTGTTTGGTAAGGCTGAGGGCGAGAACGAGGCCCGAGGGTCCGGCTCCAATTATAAGCACTTTGTTCATGGCGATATTATCCGGGTGTTATCTTTTCTACGTCAGCACGTCTGACACGAGGTGCTTGGTCGCTTATATAGTAGTTCCCTCGCTTAGGCCTCTTGAGTCATGCGGCCAAGAAGCTACATCCGATGGCTGGCGTTCGGACGTATATCAGTCCGAGGCCGAGAGTGGCGGAAAACATTAAAAGGCGCATGGCACATGTAAGCAGGGAAGATGGTCATTTTGATGCCGATGAGGCTAACTGAGACATTATGGCTAATAATACAACATTGACAGAAACAAGAGAGTCAAGGTAAGGTGGCAGACCACAGACAAAACATTGTACGCAGGAAAAACACTAGCTCTTCATACCCAGGGCGTCTGTGAGGCCCCCGAGACCCAAACTGCCCAGCAATCGATCAATGCCCAATCCTCCAAGGAGGCCATGGACCAGCGGCCCTAATCCAAGGCCTTCAAGCAGTCTGCCGACCAGGCCCAACACACCCGTCAGGAGAAGCCCAACGGCGGCGATGATCTGGAACAGCGGTTCGCTGAGCAATCCCCACAGAGGGTTCAGCTGCTTCTTCGCATGCGGCATGTCGGCGATACGCTTCTTGCCGTGGTCGATCGTCTGCACCACCGTGTCCGTCAGCTCCTTGAGTTGGTCTGCGAGCGCGTACTCGGCCGGCGAGGCCTCATGAGACGCGGCGCGTGCCTTGGCCGTCGCGGCGATGCGGCCGTCGGGGTCGAGAGCCCGGATGGCGCCGTTGCATTCTTGCAGGATGTTGCCGCCCTCTTCGAGGAGAGGCTTGACCTGCTGGACGAGGGCTTCTTCGTCGAGCTCCTCGCGGGGAGTGCGGTCTGCTTTGTCGACGTGCTGGTCATCTAGTCAGTATCGAAGTGCATTTTGTCACAGGGAAGACAATGGTCTTACCTCGGAAATCATCTTGCAAATCGGACGCATGCGGTCCATCGCCTGCGACACGATGGCGCTCATCTTCTTCGCCAGCTGCTGGTCCTCCTCGGCCTTGCGCTGCTCCTCCTTCTCCGCGTCTGTTGGGCCCTCGGGCTCGGGCTCAGGCTCGGGGATGTTCTCCAGCAGCGTACACTCGCCCAGTCGGTTGCCGTCGTTGTCGACCACGTATCCGTTGTCGTCGATCTCGCGTCCGACAAGAGTAGCGAGGTTGCCCGCGGTGAGCTTTCCGATCAGGTTTCCGTCGGAATCGCGCACTTCGCCTTCACGGGTGACCTTGCGACCGGCCATGGGGCTGACATTGCGCGGCTTGGACTCCGGCTGCCAGCGCTCAGCACGGCCGATGCCATTGCCGTTCTTGTCGAGAATGTCGCCATCTTCGTCAACGGGGCGTCCAAGCAGTCGCGCCGCATCGCCTTCGACAACGCGCCCGATCACCTGCCCGGTGGAATCAGCGACGACCCCGTCCGCGCCAACAGTCGCGCCTTCGAAGCCAAAGAATGGACCTTCAGGCCGCTCCTGCTCAGCACCGGGGATCAGCTCCGCACGTCCAACGACATTGCCGCTGTCGCCCCAAACTTGGCCCTGTCCATCGACGCGTCGACCAGCTAGCCGACGACCATCGCCCGAGACAATCCGGCCGACAACAGTACCGTGCTCATCGACGACATTCCCGGCCTTGTTGACTGTCTTCCCCTCAAGGATAGACAGATCCTGCTCCTCAGGCTGCGGCTCCTCCTCCTTCTCCTCCTGATACGGCTCGGCCCTCCCCTTGGAAGTCCCGAACCGATCAACGATATCACCATCGTCATCAACGGCGCGGCCGCGCAACGCAGACGCATCACCCTCCACGATGCGCCCGACGACCATCCCCCGCACATCGTGGACTAGCCCATCATCACCAACGACCAGGCCCTCCAGACCAGCGAACGGACCCTCGTGTCTCGTCTCGCGCTGATCCTCAGGGATAGCCTCCACGCGGCCTAGCACGCGTTTGCCGTCATAGATGCACCCGTCTTCGCCGTCGATGGCCCGCCCCGCAAGCTCACGGGGGTTGCCCTCGACGACGCGACCGACAGGGAACCCATCCGGGCCGATGACCACGCCCGTTTTATTAGGCGTCAGGCCGTTCAGGATAGATGTGTCAACCTGCTGCGACTCGGCAGAGGTTTCGTCGTTCTGTTCTCCTTCTCCCCCGATGGGATCCACATTGCTAGCGGTAGGCGTCGCCTGCGAAGCAGACGGCGGCGGCGACGCAGGCTTATCGAGGGTATCTCTCTGGTCGTCGACTGCGACGCTCTCGCCGGGGGCAAGGGACTCCCTGCGCGCGTCGACGTCCTTGTCCGACAACTGCAGGTTATCGAGGTCCTTCAAGCCCGCCTCGTAGTCTTTGTTCTTGCTGCTGTTGGCGCTGCCGGCGTTGCTTCCCGTCACGGCTTGCTTCACGCTGCCAAAACCCTTGGCGAGACCGCTGCCGAGGCCGAAGCGCGAGCCCGAGGCTTGCGACTGGCTGTCGTCTGGGGTGGGAGAGGGCAGGTCGCGCTGGTTGGGGCTGTCGGTTTCAGGCTGATTGGTTTCGGACTGGTCGGTGCGGTTTTTGCATTCGGTGGGGAGGGCGCCAGGGATGTGGTAGTCTGCGGTGGAGGATTCGGGGGGGTTGGTATGTTGGGATTGGTTGGACATTTTCGATATTGTTCAAGGTTCAATTGTAAGAAGTATTGATGTACAGTGTTTTGAATGTAAGAATGAATATGGGTATAGTAAGTCGTGAAAGAAGGGTATAATATGAAGTAGATAGTAAATCGATATCGAACAAAGCAGACCTACACAGCATATATATAAGAAAACCTCATCAAACGATGTCATAACCATAGACGTCATCGCCATCCAGAATCCTCTCCAATACTTACAAGAATATATCACTTTTCCATATACAACCCAACCAACCAGACAAGAAAGCCATGTCGATCGGCTAGCCACCCGATAGATTAAGTGGCCATTCTGGAAGCAAGTGGCGGACCCACCTTCGTTTCGGAGGGATGCTATTACATCACTGGGTCCTGTCTACTATGTGGCATGCCGTCCGTGCACTATCAGAGAATTAACCCAAGGATAGTATTAGATTGAAATGATGGGTCTGTGTAGCGTGTGTAGGTCATTGTGTACCTTGACGACCTCATATAGGATCTCATTCTGGATGATAGCCCCGCAACGTGAACAGGGATAGACACACTCAACCAATTGGCGAATAAACCTGCTTCACTCAATTAGGTATCCATATTATCCTTCCACCTGAATGTAAATTAAAGATAAATATTGAACAAGAGAATGGCCCTGAAAAAACCAAAGAGGCAAGGAAAATGACGTAGAGGCAACGCGCAAGCACCAGCAAATAGAAGTAGGGCTTGGGTATCCCGAACCCTGGTTCTGAGACTCTCCTGACCCAGCAATGGCATTGTAACTGTGGTTGACGGGTGAGTAAGCCAGTCCACTTGTTCAATCAGGATTGTCGATTGTCTGCTTTTTATATTAATGATCTCATCTGACAGTTGGGCCTGTGATTGACATGGATGTACGGGTTGTAAATGGCGGTGGATCTGACGTAATGGGTCTATATATGGTTCTTGGTTTATACTTTTATATGCTATCATGATCTATAGGGAGGTGGATGGGATATTGTGCCTGGTTGACTGCATGTCGAAAGGATGTCATAATTTCAATTTGTACTCTGCACATGGAACCTCCTTTGCTGGATATCAACATCATGGAACCCACATGGACTATGTGAGAGGAACAGTCATAGCCATGTGGTTCTTTCTCTCAACGGGATACCATCCGCCAATGGACTTCATGGCTGAATCTAATCTGGTCAATTATCTCTAGCCGATACTGAAAAAGACCCTGTCGGATGCGTTGCCATCTGAGCGTATATCAATAGGTTATTCTATCAATAGCGTGGTCTAGTAGTATAATGGTTATGAGGGGTTTCATACATTATCCATGGTTCAGTGGACTGTTCCTGGATGGATGTTACTTGAGGGCGTCGGAGCTTTCCGGTTCTGTATACTTTGAGCTCACTGAGTAGTTTGTGAATATTATGCTGATTCAGTATCCGATGAACTACACGCATGTGCACATATTGCTTTTGTAAGCTAGGTGAGTAATTGTAATAACTGCTTTGGGTTCTGTAATATGATATTCACATCTTAATTCCCCGATTTCCCTGGACAGACAGATGGATCATACAGAAAAGCGACATTCGAGAGTATACTTGAGGGTCGATGTATATCTTGCCTTCTTGACAAGAGCGACACCCTTGACATTATCCGTTTTCGAAACGATTGGTCAAGCTTTTGGATCCACATCCTTTCTTCCATTGCGCTGTCGAATGCAATAAACTCTGCATGTGTGGATGGTCTGGTGACAACTCATACGAGATTTGCGAATAGGACCTTCGGAGTATACTGGGAATATTGCTTAACTTACACTTGTGGATACTGTCGCAAGAAGGCACGAACAAGACTGTGCAGCTAGTCATGTTGTTCACGATTGTATGTTAGTGTCCTGTTGGCAGCCACCCAGATGAAGACGGCCCCCAGAAGATGTGACCGGGCAGCTGTAGGGACCTAGTTTATCATCAGTAATGGAATCAGGGCAGTTGGAAGGACACTAAGGGGATACACTCCCTCCCTTCATGTCTGGAAGGGCCCTAGATGGCGTAGACATGGCACCTGCCTGTCGCCAATCCGGGCTGCTCTCCACTTCTGCACGCAGGGTACGCACATTGGCCACTCATTGTCGGCTACCGGGCTGGAGCATAGTTCCTGCAGTGGTGGTAATGAAGGATTGGACTCCCACAATGTGCTTAGATTACTTGGGATTGTCCCCACCGTTATGTTGACGAAGGCGGGATATTAGAGCTGCGACATGAGGGACATCTCTTGGAAAAGCTTCATTAGCCCTCAGCCTGGTTCATGGGAGGATATACTATCTTATCTTACCCAGTTATAATATATGGATCACCATTCATAAAATTGTGGGAGAGCGATGAAACCAGTCGAAATATTGATGAACCTTGATAATCCTTATAGACTATAAGAAAGTTGCGAATAGTTGCAAGATTGCAATCAGTCAAAGTACAATCCATGTAGCAAAAGAAGAACTCTGCAAGTCAGTTGGCTGATTGCATGTCTCACATTGCTTTCATATAACATGCAAGACTTCCTCATATAACAAGACTGACGACTGCTAGGAATAGTCAAACATCCTACCCCTCAGCCAGAATATTAACTGGCAAACAACCTGTATCCTGACAGGTTCAATTGAATAACCCCGCACCATGATCTGCCGACATTATTACTCCTTAGGATTGTCTGACGTTTAGCAACTTCTTAATAATGCTATCCTGGATTAGTCGTGCTTCATTTTCCATTCACTGACAGCTATAATCGCTAGTCACTATACTGGTAACAGCTATTTGCTGGATATAGAGTGAAAGAAATGCCTGAATTACTTATCGGCGTCTTCTGCACCTATCCAGTATCATCTGAGGTATGTCCACACCGATTTGTCCCCTGACTCATATATTCATTCTTATTATGAGACAGACCATATCATCAATTCTACACAAGTCCTACCAAAAGAGCGCCCAGTTACTTTCTCCACCATCTTTGCTTGTCTTGCTTGATACAGACAAAGACGCCCTCCGTAACTACAGGACTGACTCAATGGCTATCCCACCAATTGACCTCACAATGTCACCATTCATAGGATGGGATGCTTCGGACATCACTCGTTTTTTACGCTCCAACGCCACCGGAACGGTCATCAATGATAGCCTATTTCTGTTGGCGGACGAAACAACAGCCACGGATGGAGAGAGCCTTCTCCTGGTTCAAGCGGACTACAGCCGGCAGGAGCTGTCGCTCGAGAGTGTGCGTCTATCAGCGGAGTGTGTCAATTCCGTGCCAGTGGCTGTATCGGTTGGATGTGGCAATGTCCGGGAGTTGCAGAGTATTGTGCATTCAGATGGGGTATTCAGGTATGGGACTCCACCAGTACAGGGTGATGCAGCGCCGAGGAAGCAACTATAGAAGTTGTTCTGCTCTTCTATACTTGAACTCTTAGGTTTTTTCTGTTCTCATCTCGACTGCTCGTTAGATGTAATTGGATATCTGCTTTTATGAGAAGTTCGGTGTACAACTGGATTTATTGAGGCGCCCCTCTACTGATCTCGGACCGTAGAAACACCTGTATACATTTGATCGATATCTTCATCATACCTGGCGTTGGGAAGTGTGAAGAATCGACCCCTGTAAATTCCCCGCTCAATGCAACCCACAAGAGGATTCTAGACCCGACAGGTCAATACATATTGGCCACCTTCCCGGCGACCCCGCAGGCTAAACAGAGTGCCGATATAGGTTCCTCATGCCGAGGAAGCCGATTGGGGGTGAATTAGCCGGCCAACGATCCCCGTGGGGAGCCCAGGTATTTAGCCTGTGTGAACTCTTGGTAAAACTAGATTCTTCATCACAAAGGACGAGCCATTCGGTTGGAATGGCTCGCGAATAATGACCATCTGTAGCATGAACAGGCTGAAATAGGCCGAGACCCGGCCATGGAATATTCATCCGGATACCTTGCCAGTTCCACACGTGGAATCCCCAGATCGTCCGCAGCTTAAGCTGAAGAATTATCCCAACTGGGCAACGATCAACCGATCAGCCTAAATCGCATCCTGAAGCAGGTTCGTCGATCACCAGGGTATAAATACAGCGTTCCCTATCGAGTTACGATCAGCATCCGCATCATCATCATCAACAAAGCGTAGAACAATTCTCTACCATGGTTTCCCTGATCTCAATTATCCTCGCAGTCTTCGCTGCCGTCGGAGCTCTCGCAGCACCGGTGGAAGCCCCCGAGTCGTCCCTCAACGAGACGTTCTCCGTGCAGTCCACCCCCAGCTCGACCGGCTGGAACAACGGCTACTACTACTCCTTCTGGACCGACGGCGGCGGCGACGTAACCTACACCAACGGCGCTGGAGGTCAGTACAGCGTAAATTGGAGGAACGTCGGCAATTTCGTCGGCGGCAAGGGCTGGAACCCAGGTAGTACCAGGTATCTCCCCTAGCCCTACTCATCCCTAAACAAGCCACTAAGCAATATCAACAGAACAATCAACTATGGAGGCAGCTTTAGCCCCAGCGGCAATGGCTACCTCGCCGTCTACGGGTGGACGACCTCCCCCCTGATCGAGTACTACGTCGTCGAGTCATACGGCAACTACAACCCCGGCAGCGGCGGCACCTACCGCGGCACGGTGAACAGCGACGGCGGTACTTACGATATCTACACGTCGACCCGCTACAATGCGCCGTCCATCATTGGCACCGCGACCTTTGAGCAGTTCTGGTCGGTGCGCAAGTCCAAGCGCACGGGGGGCAGCGTCACCATGGGGAATCACTTCAATGCGTGGGCGGGTCTGGGACTGAGGTTGGGGACTCATAATTATCAGATTGTGGCCACGGAGGGCTATCAGAGCAGTGGCTCTTCGTCTATTACTGTTTATTAGTGCTGGTACCATGCTCGTTGTTACGTTGTTGTGCTGTGACGGGGGTAGGTGGGAATGTTTTGGGGTATAGCATGATATCAGTGTTAGGCTTTACGAATATTTCAGAATATTGTGGTAGTAAACCGATTATCATTGCTACGTACTGAGTCCAGAGGTTAAATTTTGAGAGATCTTCGAGCTGTGGACAATTAAATGTAGCCCTAACTCGTCGTTATAACACCACCCTCCACCATTTCCTTCTGCCCTGAAGTACACGTCACATTGAGAGTGTTGAATTAATTTAGACTGTGAAGGATTACAGAATACTCTTCTCACCATCCGTTGGTCGAAAGTAGGCAGGTACTCCGTAAAAGATCCTACTATGCTATTCCTGTCTATCAAACCAGATTATTCCCAATATCTCCGATGCGACCGAATCGGGTTAGTCAGGTCAGTGATCGGATACGAGATGATCTTCAACTTTGGCTTCACTTCAGCTTCGTGTCAACAATTGATCACCATTCATTCTATGGCCACGCACTACCAACAGATTTATTCTAACCTACATCAAATATCTCATAATCAACGCATTCAAATATGTACTAAACCCCACGCGCTTCCATCGCCCCTCGCAAGGTCTTCTGGAACCCAAACACATGCTCAGGCGACAGCATCGTGTAATGCGCCCCCGCCACCGAATGGAATCGTGGTTCGGAGCGTGTGAAGTCACTCCACTTGCTGAGATGCTCCTCGAGCCACTGCTGCTTGGATGACGCCACCACCGCCAACGGGATGCAGTAGAACACGTCCATGCCCGCGATCGAGTCGAGGGGATCGTAGTCACACGCCATGCTCTGCATCGCAAAGGCCAATTTTGCCCATTTGATGAGGGCGGGCTGAGATAGGGCGAGCTCAATCATACGCTCTGGTCGCACATTCTCCATTATCTTGACCATCGCGTCGTCCTCACCCGCCCCCTCCAGCTCGACGGACAGCTCGCGCGACCGCTCCTCGGTCATCAGGTCGAGGAAGAATGACAGATGCAAGAGACACTCGGTGAAGTCAAGCTGACGCATGCGGAACTTGATGTGTGGGGGGAGATTGAACGAGCCGACAAACCGAACCTCGTCGCCGTTGCCTTCCAGCACCTTGGCCACCTCGAACGCGAGCATGGACCCGTACGAGTACCCGGCGAGGGCATATGGACCCATCGGCTGCTTCTCCTTGATGGCCGTGTGGTAGGTTCGGATGACTTCGTTTAGGTCTGAGAATGGCTTCTCTCCCTCGTTGAACCCCCGCGCCCGCAGCCCGTACACCGGACGGTCGGTGATGAACTTGGCCAGGTTGAGGAAAACCATAATTTCGCCCACCCCGGGGTGCACCAGCCACAGGGGTGCCTTGTCGCCGCCACTTTGGAGCGTTACGGCGGGGCTGTACTCGGCTGTCTTGCCGGCTTGGCTCTCCTGCAGCGCTGCAGCCAACGCACGGACGGTGGTCTTGGTCATGAGCGTGATCATCGGGATCTCCTCGACCAACTCTAGATGTTCCTCGATGTTCTTCTTTAGCTTGATCAGCTCGATCGACGAGATCCCCATGTCGAAGATGGGCGTCTGAACGTCGAATTCATCGGGCAGTGGCAGCGATGCCGTGAATACAGCCAGCAGTTGCCGTTCCAACTCGGTCTGTGGCGCCTGTCGCGTGGCGGCGCGATACAGCGTGATCATCTCGCGGTTGACTTCTTGATACGTCTTGTAGTCACCTTTCTCATAGGCCGTCTTGATCTTGCTTCGTGACAGCTTGCCCAAGGCCGACTTCTGCAGCATCGATGCGTCCAGCGGCAGGATCTGGGGCCGTGATCCCGTCGACATCAGCACTGTTTTGGCGATGCGGTCTGCCGTCTGGGCCCGGGCGACCATATCTTCAGGGCTGTACGTCGGAAGGTACACCAGGAAGATCTCCTCTGTTTCCCCACCTGGCGGAAATGACGAGAAGCAGCAGGTGAAGCTAGATGCTAGCCCTGGGATTTGTGCCTCGTCGATCGCGCTCTCGATCTCGGACGGGTTGTACTTCATCCCATTGACGATCATCGTCTCTTTGGCGCGTCCCATCAGTGTCAGGTACCCGCGCTCGCAGATCGTTGCCCGGTCGCCCGTTTTAAACCATCCATCGCTCGTGAAGGAGGCCTCAGTCGCTTCTGGGTTGTTGAAGTACCGCTGGAACACCACGGCGCCAGATATTTCAAGGTTCCCCGTCGCGCCCGCCGGGACAGGCTCGTTGTCGCCTTCCGTCACCCGCATCTGCATCCCGGGGATGCAGCGACCGACGGACGCAAATGGCAGATTATTCGCCAGGTCATACTGTGGACATGCTTGACTATAGATAGACCCAGCACAAGTCTCCGTCATGCCGAATCCTGGTATGATGACATTGCGGGGAACCCCGAAAGGCGCCAAGAGGGTTGACACCTCGTCGCAGGTCTTGGTCACGTTGGCCTCGCCCCCAGACACAATATATCGCAAGCGGGACAGATTCCAGCCAAACCCACCAGGAGGCTGGTGCTGAAGCACGGAGCGCACCTTTGCTAAGAAGAAGTTAGGAGCAAAGGTACGCGACACGGCATGTCGGTCGATCAAGTCCAGGAACAGCGCCACATCACCCAGCATGTCCGGCGGTTGCACATGCACCTGGTCCTGCTGGGCGTGCATGGCGTTTAGATGGATTTCCGTCAGTCCGGCTACGTGGTCCAGCCCGACCCAGTTCATCAACGCCGTGTCCTGGGGGACGGGCAACGCCCACGACTTGCCCGCCACCGCAGCCAGGATCTGCTGGTGCGCGAGTGCCACAGCCTTGGAGTTGCCGGTGCTTCCCGACGTGAGCATCAACACTGCGGTGTCGCTGGGATCGGCATCCCGGTAGTGCGAGTGACGCTCGGCATAGGGGGCCTTGTCTAGGTCGAAAGAGTCGATGGCGACAGGGTGGATGGCGTCTTGGCCCGCGAACTCAGAGAGCAGATTCGATCTGGTGAGACATCCAGGATCCATGAGCGTCTTGGACAAGTGCTCTAGGTGCGCAGTGCGGTGAGCCACATTGCTCGAGAACGCCGTGGACATGGCCGGCGTGAACCCGCCTAGCTGAGCTGCCCAGAACCAGAGGATGTTGTCCCAGTGGCTTTTGAAATGCAGCAGAAGGACGGACCCAGGCCGGAAGGCATCGTTGGATCGAAGTATCCAGGCGGCCTTCTGAGCCTGCTCCAGCAGCTGGGCATACGTGCATATGGTGGGGGTCCTGGTGTTTCCCAAGGGGTATGAAATGATTTTGCCAGTATTTTCCTTCGAGGACACAGCCTCTAGGAGGTGTTGAAGATTGCGGAAGGACATGAGGAATCTCAATGCAGGGTTGAGCCGGATTTGAGATTCGAGGATTGTCTGGGAAAGCCGACTGCAGTGGGCCCGATCTATATAGTAAGGGCCAAATGGGTAGTAACGAGGTGCGATGGAAAGGAAATGCGCTGTGAAGTCTGATTCACAACTGCCCTGGTGTCAAAATTTTGCCACGCTTTTATATGCTGTGCTCCCCATAGCCAGAATGCCACGGACCCTGATATCGGACTGCCCCTCCTCCTCGTGGAACCCATCTGACTCTCCCCTCTTCTCAGCTGAACCAGAAGGACACACCTCTTCGAATAAACAACCCGGGACAGTCGTGAGCACTCGCCGTTGATTCGTTCCAGTGGTGTCTGTCCATATGGTTCAGCCACTATCACCGGCACTGTAAGTCCGGGTCTGTGGTCATGATTTCCCTGCTGATGCTGAGTATCCCATCGCCACGCTTCCCTGGGACCACCAATTACGTTCGTCCGGCCTTCCCCTGGTGTGGATGAATGGATCAGGCATCATGATAATGGACGACGGTGTTCGCCGGATCAAGTGAGACCCAGGTTAACGTGATACGGCATCCTAGCGGGCAAATCCCGTTATTCGACGATGGCTCGTGTTTGCGGTGTCTCATACAGCACAGCATGGTTGTAGAAGCCATTTCAGTCTATTAGCATCTCAACCGGAGCATGGTTCTTGAACCCTGCTCACTGAGCATCACTACTGGAAAACGTGTGACGGAGCGGACTTTCCCCCCGGGGCTGGCTGACCATATTTCGACATTTTGCACAGACCCAGACATGATCCCATCTATAATGGAAAAGAGGCAAGATGATGTCTCTCAGCTATTATTCAGGTGATCCCCCCCTCACGTCGTTGTGTACACCCCAAGACGTAAGGTTTCTAAACCTGAAGTGGTCTGCTCGTGGTATCATATGCGTGCCGCCCTAATGCGACCCGACAGTCTACCAAGCATTCCCTTCACATGTCGGAAATTCTTTCCAGACACGTTTTTGGAAAAAATGCAATAAAATGAAATAGAAGTAAAAAGCAAGCAAAGTCAAAATCAAAACCAACGAACTACCATGTCACCTAGTCACCTTGCACACACGCAATTCCTACCGTGGTATCTCACTCGACCAAACCTCTATGATGATATAATTAATCCCTGCTGGATCGACACGACGAAAAAAGCAAAGCATCCTAGTTTCGTGCGACGCCTCCCGTCCCTGAAGAACCCAACTGCAGGGAACTTTCAAGATGACAATCTTCGGCCAAGCCGCGGAAACCTATCAGGGTGAGATTCTGCATGCACGCTGACACCTCAGGCTCCACCGGGCGCTCTGGCGGTTTTCGTCAACATCGCTCAGACCTTCCAGCGTTGGGTTAGCTCTTTCTGATCCGGTTGACTTGGACTGTCTTGACTCCTAACGAAGCCCACCAGTCCTGGTTTGGTGGCGCTCTGACAATCCAACGTGAGAGTCATGACTAGATGTTACTCAGAACCTGCCTAGTGAAAATTCTCCTACTTTCATCCCTTTATAAACGGTTTGATACGCGCTATCTCTACCCTTGATGCTCATGTCCGCACATGCACCGCTACATCTGACAAATCACTCCGGAAATCGCGCATCGCACCCACTTCCAACATGACAGCCCGTATCGCTTTCATCGGGATCGGCCAAATGGGCCAGGTAGGTGATAGAAGTCTATTATTATTACATGCATATCTGACATCTATAAGGGTATCACCACGAACCTTGTCCAGCACGGAATCTTCTCCCGCCCGCTCACCATCTACAACCGTACCAAGAGCAAGGCCGAAGACCACGCCGCACGTATCGGCAACTGCCGTGTCGTCGACACCGTCGAAGAGGCCGTCGCCTCGTCGGATATTATCTGGTCGTGTCTGCAGGACCAGGGTGCTGTCCAGAGTGTCTTCGATAACGCCCTAGTGCATGATATCCGAGGCAAACTCTTCGTTGATAGCTCGACTATCGGGCCCGAGGGTACAAATGAAATTGCGAGACAGGTGATCGCCGCTGGCGGGGAGTTTGTCGCTATGCCTGGTATGTTCCTTCCTGAGCTTATATATTTGTCTCAAGGATAGATCAAGAATAACATACTGACTGGTGCAGTGATGGGTGAGCCCAAAATGGCACACAAGCAAACCCTCACCTGTATCCCGTGCGGAAAAGTTGAATCAGTCGATCGCATCCGTCCATTTCTCCAAGGAGTGTATGTACTGTCCTTATAACTGGCACTTATTATTCCAACTAACACTCCGCAGCATCTGCCGCAACATCGTCGACCTCAGCGGCGAAGAACCCGGCACAGCCCTCCTCCTCAAACTAATGGGCAACGTGATCATCCTCGCGACGATGGAAACCGTTGCGGAAGTCAACGTCTTCGCCGAGAAGTGCGGTCTCGGCGTCCGCAACATGAACAAGCTCATGACAGCACTGTTCCCTAACCCCCCACACGCAGCATACAACGACCGTATGCTGAGCGGTGACTATCACCGGACTACAGTGCGTATCCCCCTCATCTCACACATTGATATACCACTCCCAACTAACCCAACACTTCAATATACAGCCCATGGTCGAAGTGCAAATGGCGCTCGCACTCGCTGAAAAGGTTAAATGGCTCGCCCACAGCTGCGGCGCATCGATCAAGATCTACGATATCGCATGCGATCATCTGGAGACGGTGCTGGAGCACGAGGGACCAAGAGGCGACGCAATTGGAATTTACGGTGCCGTGCGTATGGAAAGCGGACTGCCTTATAAGAATGATCCTGAGCCGTTGGACTAAACACATTCTTTGGATATGGCCTGCACATGGAGCAGAATGCATGTGGATGTTTATTTTAATTCGGGCTTTCATCACGTTAAAATTGACTTCCTTATGAGTTGCCCTATCCACTGCATATGAATAATTGAATTGCAATTAGCCAGCCGTGTTTCAACTTTGTCTGCGTGTATCTAGGCCGGTTCGTGGTGATGAACTAACCTAGTTTTATAAAAGTCTTCTTGGCGGACGCCACCCTGTATTCTTGGAGACGGGAACATAATCTCTTTAGACTTGGACGTTGTACCGATATACAAACTTTAAAGATTGTCCATTTCTCTCGTATAGTCTCGCTTGATTGCTTGTAGGAGGTACTTTTCTCTGTTCTATGCGGAAACCCTAGATATACCTACTATAGTAAGATTCATATGCAGTCTTTGTCATATTTTGATCCATCTCGAGGAGCATAACCCCAAGAAGTGTTTTCAAAGACAGTTGGCAGAACATGCCCAAACAAAATCTGCAGAAACCACCCAGTAGGACAATGAACACCAACAGGGATCCCTAGTGTCAGACTCCAATACTGTCCAAGGTTCTCCCCGGACGAAACAAACCACGTAGCATCCAGTCCCTTTACCTTATCCGAAAAGTCTGACAAACTGCGTAATCTGGATGCTCCCATCAACATCTACAAATATCTACATATCTAGGGCGCGCATGGCTGTCCTGTTGGCTTCATACCTGTTACAGTATTGACCGTCGGTGGGCCACATGGTGGATATTTGTTAGTCCTGATGGGAATGTTCGAAAGGGGAAAGGGCATGCGGTGGAGGCAAGTAAGCCCTAATCTAGATCACCCTTGCTTTGGCTTGTGAAGGAGGCTTGTGTCTGGAGAGCTGAGATGGTGTTACTTTGTTGGGGGATTGTTGCGATATCCTTGTCTGTCGTATGATCAGCTGGGTGTAGTACTGGGTGAAGTAGTGAATGTGAAAGGAGGGCAGGGGGCGAAGTAGGTGGTTCAAGAAGTGGGTGTTTATAAATCAGAATCATTACCAATCTATATTCAAAGTATATATGGTATGTCAGAAATAGCGAATGAATGGGTGTAGAATAGATCTGACCGTATGTATCCATTCATTTTACGATCTATAATATCGCCCGTGCATTACTGTGATCAAAGTTGGATCTTAGTCTGACTACCCAAGGGTCAGCGAACCTAGCCAGTTACACTTGGAGGATAATTCAAGTCCTACAATGGTTACTTTTCAGTCAGATGGTTTAGGCATTTGAATGTGTGATGGGATGTACCACCACTTAACATCATATGAATCGAGCAGGACATGTTCTACCAATTCTTAGATCAGATGTACAACATGAGATAGTATCTCTTTCCAACCCAGAAACCTTCATTCAGATTGGGACGCCATTAGTCAATTCATCTTAAGCGTACGCAATATTTCCTGCGCTATTACTCCGTCGAGACAAATCTATTAGGTCTCTCATATCAATACTTTGTATAATCAGACAGGTTAGCCCATACTGCGCATGGGAGCATGTTATGCCCATTCTTAAGCCTTCTACGACCTGAGATAGTCCCTTGCTTCAACTTGGAAAAATTTGTCCAGATGGAGGAAACAATAGTGTCTTAAATTGGAATGGAAATGATAGGTATCAATCAATATTATAGATCCGAATCGGAGAGCGACCCGTTAGATTTCTCGGATCGGCTCTTCCTTATGCGAAGACGGGTCATCCGATAGGTCTAGGGTCAGAGTTCGGGGTTTGTTAGATTGGATGAACTCTATATTGATTTGCTGTAGCATATCATGTGCATGCAGACATTAGCTTGTGGAAATGTATAACCTCACGGTGATCAGAATGCACTGTACACCGCTAGTACCTCTTCAGTCCCCGTATCCAAAAAGCGCTGCTAAATGGAGTCGCGTGGATACATGCAAACCCTAGCTTGTTAGGCCTCCAAGGAAATCCTCGCTGAAGAGAAACTTTCTATAAAAGAGACAGAGAACCCTACCCCTGCTAGCCTCTGATTCCAGTTCCAAATTAACACATCCCACCCAGACCGAAACACCAAGCCACTCCACCACGAAAACAACTTTAAAAATGAAGCTGTCTACTATCCTCCTGGCCATTGTTGCCACCGTCTCCGCCAACGCCGCCCCCGACGCTGAGGTCGCTAATGCCTGCGGTGTTAGCATCTGTCCCGGGGCCGTTGACACGAGGACTTACGGCAAGTGTCCTGTGGACTGTATGGTATCGCCCTGCAACATATACCGGTGTGGAAACAATAAAAGGGTAAGTCAGCCGCTCTTCTAGCCTGTGTGAGTGTACTGATTTCCTTGATATACTAGATGTTCTGCGGAGCAAACAAGAAGAGTTGCAAGTGGCTATAAGGGGGGGCTTTTTAATATGTCGAACTGCAGTCGTGCTTTTGTATCAATATTAGATATAAACAAAAAAGAGGCCTTGCTCATATCTTGTGTTGACCTTTCAATAAACGAAGCCAGAGCCATTGCTTGCTTGTTCCATACACAGAGCTTATGTCTGGCATTGTATCTTGCTATCGGATTATGGCTTGATCCGGCCGGTCTTTGACACCCTTGCATGTCTTGAGAATATACTAATGAATGGAGATACTATCACGAACCTTGCAGTATAACCATCTAGATCATGTAGCGCTCATGTCTTAAAGTTTCTAAGCACGAAGCAAATCCCGAAGTCTATAAGTGAGTCAATCTACGTGGAAAAGAGTTTCCGGAAGGTCTAACCTGAAACATGGCTTGGGTTGGTTCCATCCAATCCAGGATGATGTTATACATGTACTACTGTGACACAGGTTGGTTATCCGTCAGACTTCCTCGACAATGATGACTTGGTTCTTGGGTCGATATTACGCATCTTCCTGTGGGATCATTAAGGTTGCGATATCGGGGATAACCGGTTGCAAATCGGACATTTCCTGGAGAGTCCCTCGAGGACGATTAAACCTACGACATATCAGCAGGTGGTACGGACAGATATCAACGGTTACCGGAGAGGCTGACTGCATATGGGAGCTTATATGGAGGCTTTTCAACGGGGAGTAAAAAAAGACAAGACAACATGACCTAGCACCCTTGCACGAATCTGCCATTATGAACATGGATCTCAAGAAATCATTCCATATAAACCCCGGACTTTGAAGAAGACTCGTCCGTCTCTTGAGAAATACCAAAAATCAGTATCAATCAGGCACGTCCAACAAAAAAGTGAGGACGAATTGGAGGACACACAAAGCGATGGTCCAAGAAACAGAAGCAGTCAAGGGGACGCTGACGATCCAACAAAACACCCACGCACCACCTCCAACCGCACGGACATGATTTGTCCATCAGCAGCAAATCAAGTCACCTCGTATCATCCATGAGCGTCAGCCGCGCTAAACCCTAAAGAAGATGAGACTCGAAACCTCACCTCAGCATCTGTGTGACCCGTAAGCAAGAGACCCTCCACCTCGGAAACTATTCCAAACCACATCCATCCTACCCCATAGACAGCAACCATGACTCCCCACCCCATCACCGATCGTCCGACCTACGACCCCCTCGCAGCAGAGCACATCGCCCGACGTCCCCAGAAGCCCATCGAAATCATCGAACCCGACCCAACCTGGCCAGCCAAATTCGCGCTCATCGAGGCGCGCATCCGCTCCGCCCTAAGCAATGACAACCTAATCTCCGTCGCGCACGTCGGATCCACCAGCGTGCCAGGCCTCCCCGCCAAAGACGTCATCGACGTGGATATTGTCGTGCCCGATCCCGACGCCGAAGACCGCTACATCCCCGCGCTGGAGGCAGCCGGATTCCAGTTCCTGTTCCGCGAGCCGACCTGGCACCGGCATCGGTTTCTGTATTTGAAAGACCCGTACGCGAATGTGCATGTTTTTGGACCCGAGGCGCCGGAGACGATCTGGCATCGGATGCTTCGGGACTGGTTGCGTACGCATGAGGACGACCGGGTCCTGTATGCGGGGGTGAAGCGCGAGGCGGCGAGGGCGAGTCGAGAGGGTGGGGAGACGGTCATGCAGTATAATGATCGGAAGGAGGCGGTGATTTTAAATATGTTGCAGAGGGCGTTTGAAGCTCATGAGAAGTTGGAGAGTTGATCCAGTTTTCTTTCTTTTCTTTCTTTTTTGTTTTTTGTTTTTCTTTGAGCTCTAGTTTGGCATAGAGTATGAGTAGTATCTGTGTTAAAGAATAAGCAGCTTATAAGATTATAAATAGCATGTTGTTGGCTATACTGACAGTGGATATCTGTCTCCTGTCAACTTATTATCAGTATGCTAGACTAGTATGGGTATCATACAAGGTGATGTCTGTGATGAGAGAAATATGAACCTGAGTAAACAGGATGCCCTGTGCTGGAGGTCAGATTTGATCAGAAGTAAAGGGCGTAATTGAGAACTCTTTTCTATTAAGATGATAGTATCAGAGCAGACTTGAGAGTTGAAACTAATTCAAGAAACAGACAGTGAATGGAGTCCAGTGAATACCAAGTAAACCCCTCCCCCCAAACAGACTGAACAGGCAAGTAGAAAAGCGATATTAAGTGAATGGGCATTTGATATCGATATCATCTCTCTCGTCTCTTCTTCAGTCTACAACCTCTCTACCTTCTGAACTTACTTCTCTAACCATCCCCACTCACCACTCCTGCATCTACCACACCTCACATCACAATCTAAACCTTCAGTCTACAAACTCTCCTCTACCAAATCATCACTTTCAAACCACCCAACATGCGCTGGTCTCCAGAAGTTGAGACTACAGTAAGCTCACCCCCATCCAAAGCAAACCACAACAATCAACAACATTAACACAGCACCACCCAGATCCTCAAAACCATCTTCAACACCCAGACCTTCACCATCGATCTCAAAAAGATGGTCGAACACTGGCGTAAGACCTCCCTCTACTACACTATACCGTACTATACTAATAATACACAGCCGGCGACGACAAGCCCACCCTCAAGGCTCTAGAGTTCCAACTCGACAAGTACCGCAAGACACCAAAATGTGACAACACTGTGACCTTCACCAAAAGTGCCGGAAAACGTGCTGCTGGTTCTAGTGCTACTTCTACGCCTGTTCGCAAGAAGCGCAAGGTGAAGGGAGACGGCGATGTTGTGAAGAATGGGGATGAGGCCGATTATTTGGAGCCTGCTTAGGGAAGCTTTTCTTGTCTTTAGTGGATAGCCATGGTTGAGATAAGAGAGAAAGACGCGATGTGGTTTGCTTTTTTCGAGTCTTTTCTTTTTTTTTCTTTTTTTTTTTTTTTTGGTTTTTGAGGTGGGTCTGGGGTCTTTTTTCTCGATGGTTGCTGCAGGTGGAGTTTCAAGACATGGTGTTTTTACTGTTGCTGGGAAGGAAATAACAGAGCTTGATTTTGAATTGAACTACGCCGGCTTGTTACAAGCCTAATATCTATTAAGGTTCTGCCAGTAGAGTCTATTCATGCTTCCTATAGTTTGTCTGTTCCTCGGGATCGAGTCCTGATACATCTACCTTGGTAGTTTTCTTCATCGAGTTCAGGAAGCGCAATCACGATATTTATATGATACACGTTAACTTGTCCATCTTCCTGTCACTGGATAAGGGTATCCAATTAAGTATATATGAGATTATCTCTCGATCGAGAATTAAATTAACATGTTGACATTCAACAATAGTGGTAAAGTAAACAGGTATCAATTTAGACTAGACAGTACTTTCTCCAAGACCAGACTCAATATCAATAAAGAGCAAGTGAACATCGTAGCCAGTGGATAAAACAACTCCACATCTAAATGCTCAGCTAATAATACTTGCAATCCAAACATATGCCAAGTCCCTAATAATAGCCAACACAACCACCATCCCAAAGGTAACGACAGTATCCTTCCACTCGGACCATATCTAACACTTTCACAATACCCACGGGCCTTCCAGTAGAGAAGCCAAGTCCCACAACCCTGCAGAGATCAGGACCTCTTCATACTGTTCATCACCAATGATAATGTTCATCTTATGGTACCGTACTGGAAACACCCGAACCTGCTCGCCCTGAGACCCGCCACCTGCCCATCGGCAGGCATAGACAGGCACAGCGGGATTCTTGGATAACCGACTAGGGCTCTCAAGGTGCGGTCCCCAGTCGTACCTTTTGAAATCCAGTCCTTTAAGAGGAAGCTCGGAGATCGTTGAACGTTTCTTCTTGGCGGCAATGTAACGGAATGCTTCTTCCGCCATGAGTACATCGAACCACAAATCTTCCACGAGAGAAACTTCTGGCACGGGTCCGCAGTCGGTGGCTGTATTAATCTCAACGTATTGTAGCCGGGGAAATCGAGATATTGCCCTGAGGGAGTCGTACGGCTTTCGGCAGTTAGCATGTCCCCTCCCCCGCGCGCGAAGTGGAACTTACCAATTGGTCTCCAACCTTCACATGGATTCCTAGTCGGCGTAGGTTGGGTAATTCGGAAGCAAGATTGCGTATATTTCGAGGAGAAAGATGACAATCATTGCGCACCCTAAACCCCAGTGTATATGGCGTCCCGCGGAATCGAAGCCGTTGCAGGTGGCTGCCATGACGGGAGACCACAGTTGGTAAGATACGCTTGGACAAATTATATCCGGTAAAAGCTGTGAGACAACTGACTTCTGAAAGGAATGGGCCTAGTCGATTAGATACCTGCGGGGTTTCATCATAGGTACTACCATTGATACGTATCGCCAGAGACGTCAAGCCTGCGACGCAGCCGGTCAGACAAGTCAGCAAGTCCATATTTTCTATGAAACCATCGAGCCCTAAATGCCGTAGGGTGTTATGCTGCATACACTCAGCCCATATGTCTGCCTGTTGGGGGTTGAAGGAGATATTGGTGAAGCAGAGTGTGCGGACAGGGGGCATGATGTCCCCCGGATTTGGAGAAAAGACATATGGAACCGGATCTTGGTGGGCCAATTTGATGCTTAGACGGTCGAGGCAGGGAAGTGCAAAGACCACTGGTCTTACCGCATCCACCTGCGCAGCGGTATAACAATTTACCTTGAGGGAGCGAATAGCCACGCAATTCAACAACAAGGGTGATCGGGTCAGGGGGTGTATCCCGCCTCTGTAATACAGCTGTGGCACTGGATCGCGAGAAGCAAGATCGTGTAATAGTGAATCAGAAAATAGAAAGCCTATACGCCACCTGTAGTCGACAGATTAGCTTACAAAATCACATCGGACACTGAGAGACCCTACACAATAGTTTGTAGCTTTGTTAGCCTTTGAATCAGAAATTGCAGCAAGTATGTGTCTTCGCCTGGGTTGTAATGAAAGCCTGATATAATGAGTACGCGAACACATTCGCAGATTGTCACATTATCATTTAACAGCATGTCTCGCAGTATCCAACGCCCTCTGTTCCCTTGGTCTGGGAGAAAATGAAGGTGGATGGAATGAAAGAGAGCAGGCAATGTGACGTGACGGAGGTAACGGCAGGATCGGCTTAACGCTTTTAATGCTGAGCGCGAATTATATTGCATCTGAGTGTATAGAAACCATTCTTAGAACGCTGTCTCAATCAACAGAGATCGAAACAACTCACATAGCTCGTGATGTGGTTCCATAACTCCAATGGGAGCCACATAACCCTCCCTAAGCCACCTCCGGACATCATAAAATGGAAAGGAAATCAGAGCGATTGGCTCTATTTCAGAATGAATGAAGTGATGGTTGGTATTCTGATAATAATATCCTGTAAGTTTAAAGCAATTCCTAAGAAACTCCAATACTGATTTGAGCAGCGTCATTCGGGTTAATACAAATAAACCAGATCTGTGCTATCCGAGCCTCTAGAGATTCATGATCCTCGAGAGGTCCACCATGAGCCACAAGGGCATTGGAGCTGCTTCCTTTTTGATCCACTGTTACGATCATTAGCGGAAATTGCGACCCTTTCGTTGGTTCCCTTTTCCTTCCCAGATTAGGAGAGATAAATGAAATTATCTAATTATGCCAATACACTATAAAAAGCCGAACGATCGTTTGGAAGGGGTTGACCTGACTGATATCTCCAACACTTCATAGGCTATCTTAGCACGTAGTCGGGCTGCTCAAGCTCAATCCAGGGATGACGGCAGGTTTCAAATGATAACTTTGACAGGCCGTCGACGTTCGTCATCCCGAAGGCCACCTACAATAGCCGGGTTCACAAGAAGACATTTTGCTTCAATAATAGGGCTGAAGACTGCCTGTACAAACGCCTTTATTACCTGAACAAGATTCCAAGCCCCACCCTTCGAGACTACAGTGCGCTCATATACATCCTGCAACGCATTGAACTGGAGCCACTCCGTTCCCGCGCCTTCATGGACATGCCCGAATACATGCAACCGCGGTCGAACACGCCAGAGCTCTCGTAACAGATGCACACAACCGAGGTTTAACAGGTCGAGATGTGCGCGAGGTGGACCGTGCGTTACCAGAATATCAAGATCACCCGGTACCTTGCCTGTCCAGATATCCTGGGATCGAGGATACTGGAAGGCCCAGTTACCGTGACGAGGCGAGTGTGGGCTGCCGTAAATACGTAGACGGCGCCCGTTATTGCATGTGACTGTTGTTTCTGTATCCTGGAGATATATTATATCTCTCCAGTTGATGGGTTCCCCGGGGGGCTTAGAGGTACCCGTTAAAGACGCATGGTCAGATCCGTGGGTAAAGCTGGCGTCTAGACACAGGTCGTGGTTCCCGGCAATAACGATCTTGATTGGGTGTGGCTGCGCGTGCAGCCAGTCCACTGTCGCTTGTAACTCCTTCGGAGATCCTGACTGGGTCAGATCTCCAGCATGAATGAGGATATCGCCATCTGGAAGAGCCGGTTGAGAGTTATGGGTGTCGGATATGCAAACAACGGAGACAGGGTTAGTGAGTGGCTGGGCAGGGGTTATTTGTTGCCAAGTATACACCTTGCGTGCGAGGAAGACACAAGGCTGGCTGAGAAACTGCTGCCAGGCCGATGGGCGCGGGCGGTTGAGAAAGGCGTCTAGTGGAGTAGTGCTTTGCTTGCCAAACACGGACATAATTCTATGTTACTAATAATGTCTCTTTGAATGACAGAGGTGTTGAAGGCTATTGAATGAATGGTGTTGTAGAGAGGAACTGCTCAGGGCCAGAAGCTCGAATGATAAGATCGGATCGGATGATAGTTAGACCGGGCAGCAAGGCCATTCCTGTTTAGATCAGTAGTATATGTGTAGACATTCCTCATTGGGCCCGTATATATGTGTTGGTAAATACCTAGTACATGTTCGTGGGTTCGTGGCAGACGACTTGGTGTAGTCTATCGGAGTCCAGGTAGTCGTCGAGGCCTATAGATAGAGTAGCACGGGCGAGGATCAAACACCATGAAATATAAACTAATAAACCATAAAAATGTTTATCGAAGAGTAATATGAGATAATACGGCTCAGCTATGGAGTTACCTTCTATGGAGTTACCTTAATTTAGCGAGCAAGTTGGCCCACTGAGCTGATTTTCTTGGCCTGTAACCACGTAGATGTAGTGTCACTGTGTACGTTATTCATGGTGCATAATCGGGTGCTTTCGTCTTTTAGAAGTACACTGTCGAAAAGGATACCACTCGGCTACAAAGAATATCTGAATACTTCTGAGCTCTTTGGGTATCCTTTTATACACTATTTTAAATTGAAACAACTCCTTATACAAAATATATATTCAGCCGCCATTCTATATTTATTTTACAACCTCAGGCTCATTGACCGCCAAGGCAAAGAATTAGTAGTATTCTAATGAGGTGAATAGGATCCAGTTGATCTCCCCTTGGGTTGATCAATGAATGACCTACTTCCAGTATATCAAGGTTTCTATGATAATGTTAATAATGTAGGGGTGATGCTCAATAGTATTTCGAATTATTTAGTACTATATAGACTTTTAATTATAATAATCTAGTACATACGACCATAGGGTGTGGAGAACAGGGCTTCCCGTCCGCTCAGCCGTACTTAAGCCACACGCCGGCCGGTTAGTAGTATGGTGGGTGACCACATGCGAATCCCGGCTGTTGTATGTTTTTCTTTTTTATATTTTGATCTCTCAATGTTTATTTAGGTCGCCAAAAGGGTTGAATATGACAAAAAGGCCCTATAGCCGGTGGGTGTAGGAGAATCATGAACTTGGGCGGCCAAGCAGTCTGGCAAGAATCATCAATCGTCGGAGCAAGCCTTGATCTGCTAAACAATTTACAATCTGGTGAACACTTTTCCATTGTAATCATGGGTATGCATTTAGTAGATAACAAGGTAATTAGGAAGACTCTCAATATATTGATGCAAATTTGTAACTATGTAGGTACTCTTAGATATTCTGGCAATCATAGATCTACTCACCCAAACCTGTCCAAGGAAATCAAGATGTAGTACCCCATTGAGTACGTGATACTATTGGTCTAGGATGTATTTCCTTTGTTGGAACCGTTGTATAGGGAGCTATATCAAAACATCATCGCTGCGTTGCAACAACATTCCAGGTGCAGTTCACTGATAGCAATGCAAAAACATGATAAGGTACTCGCTCTAGGATAGATCTCAAGCCTATGGCTCCGCCGCCAACTGAAGCTCCATTACGGACAAAGCACTCCCAGTTGATTTGACAACATTCACTAAGCGCAGTCTCGGATCCGTTCGATTGAAAAAAGCGACCCACGCGTCCATATCCCGCTCTGCAGAATTGTAGAGAGACATCATCCCGATATCCAAGATTCTACAGACTATTAGCCAGAACGCGGGTTAGTTTGATATCCAGGGACAGGGACTTACCGCGCCTTACGCTCTACCAGCCGACTCTCCGTCCCCGGTGGCATCATCACGCTTTCCATGAGGATTATGCGCGACCCGGGAGGCATGCTCTGGATCTGCATTTGTAGGATCTTCGCAGCGTACTTGTCTGGGTAGTCGTGGAGGATCCACCGCAGGAGGTAAATGTCTGCCTGGACGGGCTGCGGGGTAAAGAAGTCATAGGGCATGTACTGAATCTGGCCGTTCATGTCTTTGACCGACTTGTGGCAGCCAAGGGCCACCTCCAAATCCTGTACAATAAAGCGTAGATGTGGGTTTGCGGCCGCAATGGCCTTGGAGCAATGTCCGCTTGATCCCCCTATGTCTGCCACCACCGCCTGATCCGGCAAGCTTCCCCAGTTGAAACCTTCTACCAGGTGATCGAGGCTCAGGTGGTCTCTTCGGCATAGACTGGCCATGGTATTTCGGAACCGTTGAGCACGCGCGGGCTCTTTTTGTAGGAATTCGAACATGGGAAGCGGTGTATTCAATGCCAGGTTGTACGCCGTCTCGGTTCTTTCCTCGCTTCCCGGCCATTTCTCGGCTGCAGTTGACAGAAAAGAAGCACAACGCAACGATTCGTCTGTGTATAAGCCCACTGAGGAGTGAACACGCTCGTCAAGAAGGAGCGCCGAGTCCGGTGTGTGACTAACGTATCCGGGCTCTGGTTCGCAGAAGACGAAGTATGTCATCAGGAGCCGGAGGATTCGAGTACACTGCGATGTCGGCACTCCTGCCTGGGTTGAGAGGTCTGAAAAAGGGATTCGACCGTCGACGGGCACATATGACGCCAGATTGAAGTGGCACGCGTACTGGAGTGCGGACTCAACCCGATGGGACAGGCTCAGTGTGATGAGATGGTCGTACGGCCCGGCAGCAAGATGCGAAATTTCAGTGCATGCTTCAAGAAGGCGGGTACGGGCTGACATAGCGGTTATTGCAGTGTCTTTGTCTGACACGGTAGGGGATGGTGACAATAGCGGGCGAGCTGCGGTACCGATTGCCGGTGCGTTGCTTTTCAGCGTCTCTGCGCACTGGCTGATGGTGGACGCGAGCTCAAGAATTGATTGCAGCACATGGTCTGGAATCTTGCCTTGTGCCATGGTACTTGTTTCTCGACGCGTATTGGGAATTGTAGTTGTGGTCAAAGGTCGAGTTCCGGGTTTAATAGTGATGGATTGCTATGATTTACTTGGATACATGCCATAATTTGTAGCGGAACTCTTTGGTGGGAATTTGGAGGTTAATAAGAACAGGGATTGTCTACACTGGAAGATGCCAAAAATCCAGTGCAGTAGGTGCTGTGACACTAGCCCTTGCGGCTTGATGGAGCTTAGGGCTAATCTACCTGAGGGGTTTCTCCCCTCAGCAAGTGCACGATAGGATATACTAGGTATGACTCATTTGTAGATGACCTCCAATCTATATCTGCACGTGGATACACCTGATATGCTGTTGTCATTTATGTATTATGATCAATATCTGCAAGGCAACCATGTAAGCTGGAAAATCATTCACTGTAGGCAATCATCAACCTGTGAGGTGACATCTTACACATTTTAATCTCCAGACTATGAATATATTCTCACCGCTACTCTCGTTAGATCGGACGCTCTGGCCAATAATAGTGTAATACATGCACCTTTCACCGCTACTGTGGAAAGTGCGAGTGCGATTTATGCATGTCGAGAAAGGAACAGTTCCATTGTCTTCCTAGGATATGCATTCGTGGCGTTTCATGTGGGGAGCGGAGAAACTAGAGCACGAAATCTCCGTGGACGAACGTATCATTCTAGAATACCAGGTCTATAATGGAACTGCTATGGTTGTCCGTCAGTTTCGACCAAGGCTGGGGGCGGGGAAGGGATAGCTCATACAGCCAGTAAGACAGATCTACATGGCCCACCTTCCATTAAGATATGCAAGATCGATAAAAAAGACCGAAGCATGACAAATGAGCAGATTCAATCCCATAGCTGATCTTTTCGAATAACAATAATCTTGCCAATCATTGCAATGAACCGTAACATTCCACTTTTTGGGGGCTCCATTACTTTCCATCTGGGTAATAATCACGCCCCTAGACGTATGCCCCTACGTTTTCAATATCCTAACTCCTCATCACCCTCAAACCCTCCTCTCCAAAATGCTAGGAGAACCACCGCTCTGGTTTCCGAAGGAGTTTTTCTTTAATCACAATGATAAGTCTGCGCGCATAACAATTGTTTGCAAAGGCAAATGCTTTCGCATACAACTGGCACCTGCCAACTTCAGTCAATCTCCGACCTCTCTGAAAACGTATCTGCGCTTAATGGACTCGGTTTTCAACGAGGAGGACTATGACCTCGCAGACAAGGCTGAGCATGAAACATGACTGGGTTCTAAGTTCTTTCAACCCGATTTTCGACCAAATTGAGCCGGCTTCTGTCAATCAGCGCGGCTACACGCTTCGGGATTATCTCCAACCCAAGACGTATAGCTACTCCGTTTACGCCACTAATGAGGAACTGAACCGCGTCTTAACTATGAGGTTCCAAGAGAGCCACCACTGACCGGCGTGGATCTAACTGATTTCCCATTGTGTTCAACCTAGCGCATATTTCAGCCCACCGAGATGAAATTATGTGTCTCCGAACATAATGAAATCTTATCCAAACGTCCGACGAAGGTATTTGCTGATGGAACAGCCCGTTTCCTCAAACTTCTTGATCACGATGACCAAAAGGCTGCCATTCGCGAGATGAACATGTACAAACGTATCGAGACCTTGGGTTTGAACGACAAAGTAAAAGTACCCCGCATGTATGGAGTCGTCCAAGATCGGTTAGAGGGTCGTATTATTGGACTGCTCTTATCCTGGATCAACTGCCGGAACAAGACGTTAGCGTGCGCTTTGGGACCTGAAACATCATCAACTCTACGTGTGAAATGGGATTCGCAATTGACAGCAGCCCTGAAGTGTTTGAACGAAGCTGGCATTGTTTGGGGTGATGTCAAGGCAGCGAATACATTGATTGATGATAACGAGGACGCCTGGATTGTTGACTTTGGCGGTGGATACACACAAGGGTGGATGAGAAAGGATCAGATGGAAACAATAGAAGGCGATCAAGCCGGCCTTCTGGAAATTAAGGAGCTTTTGAGACAGATTCCATGAGACCTAGTATAATGAATGTATGAAAGAGGCAATTGTTCCCATATAGCGCCCGAGTTGAAATGTCCAAACTAGAGGTCTGTTGAACAGAATTACGACTTCACTACAAAGATACCATGACGCTTTTGCGGTTTGTGATTATCTTCGATCTCTTAAAAAAAATATACAGAATTCCATCAAAAAACAAAAACATACAACAGCCGGGATTCGCATGTGGTCACCCACCATACTACTAACCGGCCGGCGTGTGGCTTAAGTACGGCTGAGCGGACGGGAAGCCCTGTTCTCCACACCCTATGGTCGTATGTACTAGATTCTACATTAATGCGCTTCTTATCTAGAGAAAACAGTTCTAAAATACTGGAAACCCTCTCTTCACTACTAGATATACCAGTGCCAGAATCACTCGTCCCAGGTTCTTTCAGTCTGAGACAGGTGATGAACACTTAGGGGTAATCCCGGTAGTCATCATTGTTATGCCTTCAAAGGGAAGATAGCTCATATCGATTGTCGAGAGTTGCTTTTTGGAAGAATTGATGCGATGTAGTCTCATTATATATAAATACCCTACGGTAGTTAGAATTGTTTCAGATCCAAAAAGCCAATACTTGAAAAATGAGCGACATTAAACGATGATATAACAAATCATTCAACCACCAGTATAGATCACGCCTGACGTTTTTTCTCCTCAGGAACATAAGGCGTCTCGTACGGGCGCTCCGCTTGCGGAGTGATACGTCCCAAATGGCGACGCTCGCCGGTGGTCCAGTCCAGCGTCGCAGAGTGTGCCGTGACTCGATTCTGTTTACCGGTTAGCCCTAAACGCGAACACACGCTTTCCCAGCCAAACTACTTACATCCCAAGCCACGACCGTCTTCGGAGCCCACTTGATCCGCGCTTGATAGTCAATACCCCTGCTGATATGGGCTAGCAAGAAGGACAGCAACGCGTCGCTCTCCTCCCGCTTTAGCCCGACGATTCTACGGGTGACTACATGACCGTGTTAGCCGAGAAAGTGGTATAAGGATGCTGGGAAAAGCTTACAGCCAGAGTTGACGAAAAGCGCCTTCTCCCCAGTCACAGGATGCGTCCGAACAACTGGATGCTCGGTTTCGATAGGCTCGCGCCGCACATGGCCTCCACGTTTGCGGCTGAACTCTGCCTGCTCGACACCTGAGTGCACTGCCTTCAGCCCGTGAAGTCGCTCCTGGAGTGCGGGCGACAGGCGTCGGTAGGCCTCCGCTTGGTCAGCGAACAAGGTATCACCGCCTACTTCGGGCCCGTCGAGCAGGTACAGGAACGTGGTTCCGGGCGGCTGCTTCTCGTATGTCACGTCTGAGTGCCACAAAGCGCTGCTGTTCTTCGACGCGATATACTCGTCCGTCTCCCAGACGTTGCCTATCCGGTGAACGAGCTGGATTTCGGGATAGCCCTCGGGCGCACCGCTGACGGGGTGGATGTGGTGAGGCCCGAAGTAGATACCGAAATCGAGGGCATCTTGGATGGGCAGGTCGGCGAGGTCTTGGTCACGGAAGGCGACGACCTTGCGCTGAGCGATGAGTAGAGCAAGCTGGTCCTTTGCGGCTGGGGCCAGCTTGCTCAGCTGGATGCCAGTCACTTCGGAGCCGATGGTGGGAGTGAGCTTCTGGATGGTGGATCCTTCTGGGAGGAGGTCTCTGAAAGAGGGGTCGGCGTCTTTGCCGTGGTCGACGTGGGTGAAGGGCTCTAGGGGTGGGTATTTCTGGCCGTAGTCCCACGTTGGGAGGTAGTGTGGATACTGTGGGCGTGGGTGTGATTAGCGGTTTGCTAGATGGAGAGGTGTATGTGACGACGTACACTCGCCGTAGTTTGACCCCCTTCCTCGTCGATGGCTCTTCGCACCTTGGGCTTGTCATCGACTGTTGCAAGGTTGGTCTTGATGGGGACGACCGTCTCGACACGGGCTTCAGCGACGGATGGCGCCATGTTGTCTGTATTGTGGATGTCAAAGTCGTGATAGATTTGCCTGATAGAGTCACAGAATCTTGTCCTCTACGAGCAGATTCTGGTTTAAATATGCACTTGCCCCTCGTTTATATGGTGTCATCATATCACAGGATCGCGTACACTGTCATGGAGTATGAGCCAACTGATATTGTCGGATAGAAACGTGCCGTGTACCCGTCATATCTGGAGCACATGCAGGGAATACTGAATTGTTAGTCCTATGATACAGAGGGAAATACAGATGACTTAGTTGCATAGACATGGACTAACATCCAGGATGACCACGAACCTGGTAGTATTGCGAGATTAAGATAGGGCTTGGTGAGTGTCAGTATGGCGTGATATGATGCCAGTGACAACCCCGCAATGATTGATAATAAGGAAGATCAACGTTGTTGAATTAGGATATATTATAATGCTCATAGATTACTTTCAAGATATTCATCAATGCAATATGCATTATTTTCGAAGACTTGAGGTTGTGATGGTTTGATGTATCCAAGGTTATTGGCCTGCATTGTTCTGCATACCTACCTAGGCACTCTAGGTTTAGCTTGCTTTCGAATCCACTTACTCAAGCTGATTAGTAGTGAGTACTGCAATAGTATCCCCATAGCATCTCTATAATAAAATGGAGACCGAACATTGCACCATCAAGGACCAATCTTAGGTTATCTGGAGCTTGTGTACGGCGTACGCTTATATTCGGAGGGCACGTCCCACCTCCATCAAAACAGTCTCCTTGCGTTCCACAATTTCATTCATTTGAATTATAACACTATACAAAGAAGAGCACAATGTACAGACTTAAAGCTGAAATACATTATCAATGCCCTGGCTGTCCCCTGAAGGTATACCATACGGTATAACCGACACTCAAAGAATATCACCATTATTCAAATTGCCACCAGTCAACGTTGAACAGATCATCAGCAGAATCGCCGATGAACTTGAAGAAAAGATCATCTGTCGTGTCGGCAGCGACCTCAACAGGACATGACACGGTCTTCCACTTCTCCCAGCCCCCGGTGACCTCAACAGCACAAGTACCGATGACTTTGCCGTCCACGGCCCCAAGATGCAACTCGATGCTGCCACCGTTGACTTCAGACGCGACGCTGGCAGAGAACTTGGTTGCCCCCTCCTTGAACGCAACACCCTTAACCTTGATAAAGTCGCCATCGTTGATCTTCCCCACGAAGATCACGCCAGCCTCCCCGGTGACGGTCTTCAGGCCTTCCGACCAAGCAATGGTCTCCGCCTCCTGTCGGACGTAGGGATCCAGAGCACCGATCTGGGCCGGACCTTCTTCCGTCATCTTAAGCGTCGGGAAAGTACCGTCAGGGTTGTACTCGAAGCTCTCGAGACAGACCGAGCGAGTATAGCTGCCCCCACCGGGAAGTGCGCCATTGTGATAAAAGAAGTACGGGGTATCCTTGTATTCCACAATCCCGACATGGTTGGTTCCACTCGTGCCTGCGGAGTCCATGATGACACCGCCGTAGGTCCACGGCCCCGTGGCACTGGGGCCCGTCGAGTACTGGATGTTTTCGGGGCAGCACTTAGCTGCGAAGATCATGTAGTACAGATCGCCCCGCTTGTACAGCCACGGACCCTCCTGGTACATGGTTGGGGTTTCGGGGTCGTCGCGCGAGCCAAAGCCCTCTTCTGTGAGCTCCACCTCAACGACCTCCCCGCTGTAGGAGATCATGTCTTCGTTTAGCTTGACGTAGAACAAGCCCGGGTTGCCCCAGTACAGGTAGGCCTGGCCGTCGTCGTCGATGAAGACCGTCGGGTCGATCTCACTGCCGGCCACGAGGGCCTCGCCGATCGCGTCGACGTACGGACCCGTGATGTTGTCGGCCACGGCCACGCCGATGGAGAAGGCCCAGTCGTCGTTGGACACCGGGACGTACCAGTAGAACTTGTCGTTGCGCTCGATGACCTGTCCCGCCCAGGCATTTATGCTGGCCCAGGGGAAGGCATCGAGACTCAGCGGAGAGCCGTGATACTGCCAGTTTGCCATGTCGGCGGAGGAGAAGAGTTGCCAGTCGAGCATGTTGTAGTTGTCGTTGGGGCCATCTTCGTCGTGGCCAGTGAAGAGGTAGACCCGGTCATCGTACACGAAGGGCGCTGGGTCTGACGTGTAGAGAGTCTGTACGATGGGATTGTCGGCTTTGGCGAAGTGAGGGCTGGTGAGAAATTGGCCCACGGACAGCAGCCAGGCGGCGCTGAGCCAGCTCTTTGAGGAGGACATTGTGCTCTTTAGGTTTTTCTCATTAGTTTATATAGGGGTAGCTCGAGGTATGATTGTTGATGGCCACTGTTGCGCTGACGCGACCGATATGTGATTCAATATTTGCTAGTATGGGTCTATAGACGATTTATATACTTGAGCAACGAGCACAGTATGATCAAAGACATCGAATTTAACCGACTACAACTATTTAACCATTCATATCGGAAAAATGCGAGCTATTACTCTATAGGCGGCCAGGTTTGTCCGGGATGAAACACGGAGATATCTAGGGTATTGACAGGGATCTACGGACTGGGTTCAATCCTTTTGACGCTGAAGAATGACATCTGTAAGCATGTAATAACTATAAAACCGAGAATCTCGCTATATAACGAGATTATCTTTCTACCGTACTGCTAATAACGAGCTTTGCTGTGCAAATCCGACCGTTAACCGTGCTATAATATGTTGATCACTCCCCTGACAAGGGCCTGATGGTAGTGTCTCGACCTTCCTTGGCACTATCATATTTGCCGATTTTCAGCATCGCCAGAATAGGAAATATTCCGGCCCCGTGGGGAAAGCACAACCTGGAGATATTAAAAGCGTTCTTCTCCACATTAATCTCCTTCGTTACAAGACCGACGATTCCAGCCAAGGTTTAACCCTTGCACATCTGCCGAATAGGGCTCAACTCAGCGAAGTTCATAGGTGGAGTATACTGTAAGGGTGTTGAATCGGTGGATTATTATCCTCGACAAGCCCGAAACAGTGGGCTGGTTCTTTCCTAGATGTATGGCTGAATCGGCGACCAAGGCGACCAAGAAGATATATGACGGAGACTCCGCCATGTTGCGTACCTGATACCGAGATTAATGATACTACCGAGGTACCGGCTTACCTATCGAGTGCCATCTTGAGATATGCTTTTTTTGTATCACAATTGTGAACGCGATGACTGAACATGACAACAGCTGATTCGTAGAGCTTTTCTCACGCAAGTATTATGCAAACTGACGGCTTCCATAGTTTTGAGTATAGCTTCAACAATCGATTGATTTATATTTGGTCGTATATTTCGGCATCATCCGCATCTCATCTGTATATCCTGTGGCTTGTTGATTGAAATGAATGTCGTTTGTGGTGGCTTGTCATTTCGTGAATATTCTACCATCGAGATGATCCTTAGCAGTGACTGTAGTTGGCAACAGATGTCAGCTGACCATGTAAACACGTGCTTCCACTGCTACATCTGCCGACTTCGTTCTTTCACCATCCAAGCTGTCGACCATGGTCGTTGCCATCTATAGAATCAACAATGTCGTCAATATCATCAAATATGATTATTCCACGGACCCTACAAGAACTCTCGACCTTGTCCACCAGATGGGATTATCACTGCACTTCTGTGACCCCGGAGTTAAGATTTTGATAATGTGGCTTCAGCAAAGCCCATGGGTTATCCTTGAGGTATTTATATAGAGTACATGATCAGATGACTATTTATTATCTTTATTAATCTCAACATCAACAAACAGCATAATGGGTATGTGAATTCTATCTAAAAATGTCGAACCGCACCATATATATACCTCCCCATCATTCGGCATCAAGAGACGGTTCCCAGATACGCCCTCGCCGCAGCCCCCTGGCTGGCCAAACTAACCTTCACCCAATCCTGGGCCGTGGTGCGATCGTACATCGAGCTCCGCATCCGCATCACAGTCTCCTTATACAGGCAATTATTCTCAAACCGCCAACTACACAGCAACGCCCGCAGCATGCCCGCATCTCGACCACAGATCAACGCCACGGTCGGCGGACGCTCCGCCGCAATGATCGTCACGGAAAGCGTGCCCATATCCACGATCGAGAACAACCGCTCCCCCGGCCGCAGGAGCGCCTCCATGGCCGCGAATTTCAGATTCTTAGCCTCCCGGAATTTCTCATTGCGAAAGTTGCGCGTCAGGGGCGTGCAGGAAGGCGTGTAGATCAGACGATCCTGCACGTTTCCGAAGATCAGGCGCTCCAGGTGACGCAGGTCCATGGTTCCTTCAAACCCGACGAGTTCGCCCTTGAGACCTGGGTCACTCGATTTTGAGATATGGTTGATTGCGACCGGGGCGAAGAGAGAGAGGACCCATGCGATGCCGACGTAGATGGCGATGCCGACGAGGTAAAAACTGATGAATGGCGAGCCGAGCGCTTGTAATGTATAATACACTGCTTGCCTGTAGTCCTGTGGAATGTCTCGCAACGCTTGTGCGACCTCGTCATGGAAGAGGGCGACTGATAAGGGGATAGCAATCCAGAAGGCGGAAAGAGCCTGGTGCAGCCAAAAGCAGCCCCAGAGGACGACCTTCGTGGCGAGGACGCCGCGGATGGTTTTGAGTTGGCTGCTGTATCTCATTTGTGGGAAGCGTTTCCAGCGGATGGGCGTTGCGCGGCATTGGTCGAGGATGACCGTGGGAAGATGTACATCGTCGCCGATGCCGACGAGCTTACAGGTCGGCGTAATGTCCCAGAGGCGACTGCCGAATTGGTCTTCGACCGCCATGTTGAGGAGTTCCTCGCTGCACGCGACGGGGCAGTCCCGATTCAGGGCTTTCAAATGGTCTGGGTGAGCTCGGGCATAGGGGGCGGTGCGAGAGGCCGGGTTGGGTAGGAGACAGACCAGGCGCTCGAGGAGCTGGTCGCTGTCGTTGGCTAAGGACAGACGCGCCATGGCTTGGAAGTTGTTATCGCTGGGATCGGTGGGGATGCGATAGGCGAGGAGTCCCATAGTGGCGAGAGCGACATCGATCCGCGTGTGGGCCTTGACTTGGGTTGGCTCGCCAAACTTCAGGGAGACCTCGCGGCGCGAGATGGCTTGGGTGGCGTAGGCGAACAGCTGGATGTTGCTGAGCGAGAGCGTGCCGCTGAAATGTTCGACCAGGAGACCGATTTCCCTGTTGGCCACGGCCTTTTCGGACTCGTGTCGTTCCCAAAAGGTCTCATACACCTGCAGCAGAGTGAGGTGGGACTCGGGACAGATAAATTCAGCATCACGGTCAGGGACGCAGTACCGCATCTTGTCGGCAGCCAACAACGCTTCAGGGAGCGTCCAGACTCGGTTTCCCCAACGCTGTTTGGCTTCAATCGTGTCCTCGGGGAGAACGATGTAGACGCGCTCGGCGTGTCGGACAGCGTCGCAGATAGAGTTGACGTCCTCGGTATACTCGCGCGAGGGTTGCCCCTCGGGAATGCAGCTTCTATCCGTCCAGAACGCCTCGATCTGTTCATCCTTACCCCGCGAGGAATTCTCCTGCGCGATCATGGCCTTGCCTGCTTCGTCGATGTATTCTTTGATGTTTGAGACATTGGGAAAGCATCTCGGCGAGTAACTCATGAAGATGTACCGCGGCAATGCGCCGGTCGAGGGATGGCGGAGGTCTGCTGCCTTTCGTACGGCCCAGTCATTTGTTTGGCTATCGCATACCACCAGACGTCGGGGGAACCTAAGCATGGCAACTTCGGACTCCCGATCCTTTTTCTGCTCATTCGGCGAGATGGGCTGCTGGTCCAGGATGTTGGTAGCGTGTTTGGGCCATTCCCAGTGATAGTGCTCGATGTCCTCATAATCGCCCGAGTTGGACTCCTCATTATCCGTCCACGGAGCCAGCATCAGCTCTGAAGCCATCATAAGCTGGATCACAAACCCCAGGAACATTGTACAGATGGGCGACAGAGCCCACCCCGCGATCCGTTTTGCTATATGACGCTCCTCCGGCGGCGCGAGCTCGAACAGGGGATTCAGACACAGCTCTGTTAGTCGCATCACGAGGGGGACCCGGCCTTTGACCTTGCGGTACCGCCAATGGCGGGTCGGGTACTTTCCCAAGGACTCCTCAGTCACCTGGACCAGAAGCCGTCGCGGCCTCTTGCGGGTAGTGCTATAGTAGACATCGAGATCCAACTCCTTCTCAATCAGCTCGCCGTCGAGCTTGCGAAACTCTCCACGGAAGTCCGGCGTGATGCCTTCTTCAACGCGGCTCAACTCTCTAATGCGCAGGTCAATCGCCTCATCCGTCGCCAGGGGTTTTCGATACCGATAGTGACTCAGCCAGCCCACCAGACCCCGAGTCCCGTTATATTGGTGGTGAACGCGGTGATGAATGTCCCGCTCTCGACGAACCGCTTTCTCCTCCGGGGTTTCGGAGAAGATGAAGGGAAATGTATCAGCTTCCATATCGAGTCGACGGCAGGGTCAGCGGGGTCAAATTCGTCCTGCCCACAAGAAAGTTTATTCTCCTCAGGTTACAGAATCTCTGTGGGGGTGGAAGGGTTATAAACCCAAACCACCCCCCCCCTTTTTTATCTTGTCTAAAAGAACGAAATACAAGTCAGCTCACCGCGCTAAGTCCCTAATTACCTGCAGCGGTCTGTGCGATTCTCGTGTTGTGTTTTAGTTCACAGTCTTATATTTAACAAGCCAATGAGTTCAATGGCTGGTGTTGATCGCGCTAGCTGATCTTTCAGCTCAGCCTCGTCCCTGCCAATTGTTTGAAGCTAGCCGGCTTAGCTCGGCCAGCCTCGTCGCCCCCGAATAACTGTTCAGGGTTTGCTCTTTACTGCAACTTAGACAAGCGAGTCAACGGATAACCGACGGAGGGCGTGATAACGATTATCCTTCCCGTGATTCCTCACGTTTGGGCTGACCCTGTCGAAGGAATGATTGAGAACCCAAATCAAGCTTGTTTTGGGTAGCAAGTACAAGATACATAAGAGTGGGGTAGCGGGTCCCAGCTGATGGACCTGCACATTCAAGACCCTGAAGAGGAACTTAGCGTCTTGACTACGAGGTGACAGGCAGCACTAGTTGGATGGTGAGCTCGCACGCTGTTTAGGCAAGTGACACCGATTTGGTCCTCGCGCGCCCCCAAGCTCGTCATTGCAAACGTGGTGGATGTGCATTGACTCGCCGACTTTGCAGCCTCGCAACGTATTTTGCCTCGCACGCCATTTGACCTCCTTTCCCAGCGAAGCGAACGTAGACAAATTCACGTGTCATGCAGATCCATCAGGCTGGTCAGCCTGATGTTCTGTCTCTATATTGCTATCTTCTGGTAACCCGCGATGTCAAGATAATGCAGTCATACTGTTAGCTTGTACTATGGGACCGAATGCATATTTGTCGAGCTTGTCTAGAACCCTGGGTGACGATAACACGCCAGCGTCATTTGGTTCAGAGCCTAAAGTTCAACATTTAAAGGGGGCCCCACTGTGACGCGCCCCGCACTTTAGACTCACCTTTGCTTGCCAAGGAAGGTGTAGTCCATGATACACATTCCACGATCAACAAAAGATGCACACTGATAATTATCTCCACTTAGATAATTTTTTAAAGGAGCTCTCTCCTACATATTCTAGTAGTAGTTTTTACTGTAAGTATTTATTCAAAAAAATCCTATACACTCTTTTCTCTTATCGAGCAATTCTATATATTTGTTACCTTGGCTCTCGGCTGCTAGAATACCACCGAGCCAAAGTCCATTATGCCTGGCTTCCCACAGACGCTCTACATAGTAACGTACTGAATACTAGCCACGAGATTGTGCAGGGCACCTGTCTAACAAAGGTAAGCAATGCAAGTTCAAATAATACTACGCCGGTGGCGCCGCTCCCGGGGCACACAGCAAACATGATATAGGGTTCAAAAAAGCAAATAGCCACCGAAGCCAACAAGTGCAAAAAAGAATTGACCGACGCAGGGATCGAACCTGCAATCTCTTGATTCGTAGTCAAGCGCCTTGCCATTGGGCCAGCCGGCCTGTGTGTGAAAGAATATGTATCAACGGCCCGAGCCGCGGATCGAACGCGGGACCTCTCGCAGATATGCTTGGGTTTAAATCCCTAAGCGAGAATCATACCACTAGACCACCCGGGCTGTGAAGATGTTGAAGTGGGAGGATGCGCGGGTCTATAAATAATGTGTGATATTCCTGACCTAGTTCCAAATGGGATTATTCCTTGGTAGCTTGGCTAAATGCAGTATTAATAGTATGTACATGCGAAATTCGAATCTAACTTCAGGCCCAAAGTCTGTTCACTACCGGCAGCTGGCCTAATGATAGAAGGACCTAATTGATTAACTGCTTTGCATATATTTGGTTGGGATATCAGTCACGTCAAGGCTAACCAATTGCTGATCCTGTATGTTGGTGGGGTGACTGAGATACTCTAACCCTAATTTCAGATATATAACCTTTCTTGGCAGCTTGCCTAAACACCGGATTATCTCCAAGAAAAGTTCTAATTATAATTCGCAGTCTAAGGATGCTTAGACTTCCAAGCTCAGGTACCAACGCTAATTGCTCTTGGCAGCTAGCCTAATGATGATTATGGATAAATGTACGGCTTACGATCCTACCCTTGGTTTCCTATTCTAGGCAAGAGGTCGCAGTGCCAAGACGGAAGCCATCTATAGAGAGTTGCTTGACAACTTATTACCCTATATGGAGTCGCCGATACATCTCAGGCCTCGTATATCAAGGCAACTATTTTAACTCAGTAGCTGGTTGGGAGGCTTTAGGAGTCCCAGATTAGGCGTTCCCATGTAATTAAACCATGCACTTCTATAGTTGTAGCATCTAGAGAACGTCTTTGCTCATCCATTTGGTCCACAGCCGTAGCACATATCAGGCGTTCTGCCTCTTGCCAGCACATTCGCCAACAGTCTTACTACATAGGCAGTCCGAACCTATATAAGTGAGCTTCTGCTCTCCTCCGGTCAAATCCAGTCCACACACTCAAGCAATTCAAATCACATCCATCTCCAAGCACTCAAGCTACTGCACCGTACACCGTACAATCTATCTATTCTCAAGTCCCACCCACATTCAAAATGTTGTTCAACACCCTCTCTATCACCGCCGTTGGAGTGCTATCACTCCATGTTTCCGGAGCCATTGCTCAGCCCCACGAGCCTCGAGGCCTGGACGTTCAGCTGAAGTGGCACGAGAAGACCAACTGCGACGACAAGGGTGGCCCCAAGCGCGACTACAGCGACGGCGCCTGCTTGGACTTGGCTGAATCCACCCGTGGAGTCGAAATCCTTGACCTCAGTGGTAGTTGCCACCGTAAGTATCTATCCACACCTTTTTCAAATGAGTCCTACTGACCGTGTACGTGATAGTGATCTCTTATGACGACTCAAGCTGCCAATCTGGTTCTCGGATCCTTGATTCCTTGGGCTGCTGGAACCTGAAGGGAAAGAACTCCGTTCAGTTTAAGTGCGACTAAATTATCACTTATGGTAGCGGGGTTCACCAATCCGGCTCGAGGTGCTTGAGACGGATGAGTGTCGGACTTTGAAGGGAAGGAAATCGGTTGTGTTGAAGTGCTAGACTGCAGAATTGGTCTCCTGAATGATACTACATACAATGTTGTCGTATTACTGCGAGAAATGAGCCCAGTCCTTGGATTTGAGCACTAGGATATTATAGAGGGTCAAGCATCACAAGCTCTTAGGCGAGTTGGTCTCTTTCATATTCCATGTCCAACCATTAGTGTGGATATACTAGGATAATACGTTGTGTTGAGTTTGATCTACCTTAGTAACTTGCTGTCCGCGTAGTATCAAATAGATACATACTCCAATCAGGCGAAAGAGTGCACATTTATACATTCAGGTTAGCTGAGTAGCCGTAGAACCTGTCTCATGACGTAATCGTCAATATCCAGTGTGCAATGTTGGAATATCAGCCATAGCGGTCCCGACATAATGCCGATTTGGTATTATGCTGAAGTGGTTGAGAGCAAGTATGAGCAAGGGTTCATATTCGGCTCACCGGCATGTTATGCAAAAATCATACGATATAGACGTGGCTAATTAAGCAAAAAGCCCCGATTAAATTTCACATGACTTATTAGGGTTTCTTCAACAGTCTTGTTGCATTGAAGCAAGGGTTGTGAAGAATCATGAGTATGTACACTCCTGGGCTACCGCTGTGGATCTATGGCAGCGTGACCGCGCAAAAAATCACCAAAAATACTAGGAAGAAAGAGCCATATGTGACATTATAATTTACTAGGGCCAAGTCGTAAGTAGGGAGAGATATGCTATTAGCATACCAACAACCAACTTACCAAGTCATCGTTTATATCTTGGGCTATTATCGAGCTATCTAGGTCGTGATGAAAGAGGTTCTATTATTCTCAGTAGAAGATCACATACCGTGTTTTCCAACTTATCTGGTGCTATCTATTATATCGATAGTCTTCATCTACAGCAGTAGAATACCATCAATGATTGTAAGATATATCGTACATGCTTTGATACTTTCATATTTGAGGGCCTCTCATATCCCGTGAGTGACTTATTTTATGGCCCTAGCTTGCCCTACTTTCTCTAACTACTATTCCAAATGTGCGTCATAGACAGTATCTATGAGGTAAACTGCCTTGCTCAACAGGTATACCATATTTCTTTAGTGATTCAATCCCGAAATGATCTTCAGAGTGATGGTTTCCACTCGTGTGGTATTTACATGGTAAGTAATGCCTGTAGCTGCAGGCAACCCGAGAATTTTACCCTTGCATTGCACCACTCATCATTTCACCATTGAAACAGCAGAGCCGCTTCCGGAAAAGTATCTCCAACCAACAAGTACCTGAGATGGTTATGGTTGAGTCACACGGTAGCCCTTCTCTAAAAGAGTGTGTCACATGGAGTCATTGCTAATAAGATGTAAGGATACAATTGTCAAGATGGACGAACAGCATTTAGAGTGATGAGATGTATGCATAAACCGGTTGTTAGCTACTCTGAATATTCCCAATCAGGTATACTCCGATTGAGTCTGGTAATTTTGTTAGTATGGTGGGTATTGACAAGGATCGTGATCCCCGCAGTACCCATCAACCTAACAAAATTACCGGGGTCCACCGGAGTATATAGAAACTGTCTAAATACCATAGTAGTGCGATAGTTGTAACTAACATTGACAAATTGATAGCTAGCAAAATCTCCTGGACAAATTGGCGGATCACAAGTTAGCGGATCAGAGCATTGCGCGTCATTTGTCTATAAAGTCATTTAGGGTGATCATGCTTATGCTTCGTGTAACCGGTTATGCCACTCATTGTAGCAGATTTGAAGACGTCGACAGTGACCTGGAGCACATACTACTTATGTCGACTGACGCACGCGTAACATTACTGGAGACTGGGTCCTATGGAGTCACCCGGACCTCGGAATTTACCAATCAAGACGACCTCGGACTTTGCCAATTGAGTCGACTCGCGTCTAGACTTGTATTCGAACCAATATCCCTTACTGCCCCAGACAATCATGTTAACCGAACATTGACATCACAATGTTCAGACAATAACGATAGATGAGATGTGAGGAGAGGTTGGTCGATTTCAGCTGGTTATGCTAAATATTCAGGCAGCTGCATACGTTTATGGCAGGGGCATTATAAACATGGTTATATTCTACATCTGTCTGTGACCTCCTACATAATCCCATCAAGAGGAACCAAATTCAACCGTCTTGCACGCATACTCGATATGGCTCCACGACAGAATGACTCGACCCACACCCCGGTGGTCATCATAGGCGCGGGGTTTTCTGGCCTGGCCATGGCATGCCAGCTCAAACAACAGCTGGACTTCCATGATTTTAAGATTTATGATCGGGCCCCTAAACTAGGCGGTACATGGTATTCCAACAGATGTAAGACAGCACGAAAAGATCCGACTAGAATATCTCTCCATCGACGACTGACGAAGAGGAAGACCCTGGCTGCGGAGTCGACATCCCGGCTGCTTTCTATAGTCTATCATTTGCCCCCAACCCTCAGTTCTCGCGATTCTTTCCTAAGCAACAAGAGATTCTGGAATATATCGGTGACGTGGCAGATCAATTTAACGTGACTGAGCATTTTGTTGGAAGTACTGAGTGGGTCGGAGCAGATTGGCAGGACGATAGCTGCCGTTGGTCTCTTTCGCTGAGAGAGACGTCAACTGGCCGGGTGTTTACCCATCAATGCGATATATTGATTTCCGCAGTTGGAGGATTGTCAAATCCAAATCGGTTGTCTCTGCTCGGCCATGACAGATTCAAGGGGAGTATCGTGCATACCGCGGAGTGGGACCCCGATATCTCGATTGAGCAGCGAAATGTGGTGGTCCTTGGGAATGGCTGTATAATCTCACTCTCCTACCATCATTATCTCACCACTTTGCATGTTGGACCTAGCTTTTGCTGACTGAACTTATAGCATCGGCCACTCAATTGGTTCCAACAATTGCGGAGAAAGCCAAGTCGGCCACCCAGTTCATCCGGGTCTGTTCACCAAGTTCAACGTGCGATATCAACTCGCTGATAGACAAGATAGACTCCGCAGTACTACGTGCCCAGTCAAAATGCCCCGATTAGTGAGTTCTGGAGGAGTACTTTTCATGGCATACCAGGGGTTTTGAAGCTCTTCAGAGCCCTCGTCTTTTTTTACCTTGAAACTTCCGTCCTCCAGTTCAGCCGTACTTGGCTTGGCTCCAAAATGAGGAAACGTGCGTCGATAGAATGTCGTCGTTATATCAAAGAATGTGCACCCGGTGAGTCACTATATTGATAGTTAAATTGTTCACAAGTTCTCCTTGAGGGTTTAACCATTGTGCATTCTCATAGAAGAATACTGGCCTCTATTATTCCCTAGCTACGAGCTTGGGTGCAAGGTAAGTTGTGTCGCAACCATGATGTCGATAGCGCTAAACCCATGTAGCGCAGGGTCTATGATAACGATGGATATGTGGCTACTTTGCACAGAGACAATGTTCAAGTAGTCGATGACCCTATCGTTTCCTTACTTGAACAAGCCGCGTTGACCAAGTCTGGGAAGATCTATCCAGCAGATGTCATTGTAGGCGCGCCCTTCTCCATTCCAGTTCGGTTATCTAATAGATGAATTTTCTTATGTTTACAGGTGTTAGCCACTGGTTTTTCCCCGACACAGCATGACGTCGACCTACATGGTCGAAGCGGGTACAGTCGAAAAGGGCATTGGAAACGGGCTGGCGCTATGCAAGCGTTCAACACGGTTGCCATGTCTGGGTTTCCGAATTTCTTCTACATACTAGGGCCCAATTCTGGCCGTGGGCATACGTCGACAATTTATACCGTTGAGGTGTATGATGCTAAGCTTATTCCCCCTTTTCTTTTCTCTTTGTTGGGAAATACTAATGATGGTTTAGCTATGTCAACCTAGTCATCCGACTCATCGAACCAGTTATTTCGCGTCGAGCATCGTCCGTTGAAGTGAAGCGCTCGAGTGAGGAAAATTTTAATAGACAATTAAGAGCCGGGCTAGAAAAAACAATCTTGAATAATGCCTGTCGAAGTGTAAGCTAGAAACTCTACCCCCCCCCCCCCCCCCCCCGGACTCTATACCTCGCATGGGATTTGAACTAAGCGAACTAGTGGTATATCGATCCAAAGACCGAAAAGAATTGGTTTATCTACCCCTGGAGCTCTGTAAAGATGTGGTTCTCAATCCGTTCGGATGTCACAGAGGACTGGATATACCAGGTAAGTAGTACTCAACCACCTATAGCCCCGATACCATGCTTGATGGCGAGTCTCACCGGTGCTCCTTCAGCCTCCAGTAATAGAGCCATCTCATCAAAAAGAGCCCAGCCTGAGAACCCTAAAAAATTCGATTCCTGAATCTTGCTTCTATCCATCGGTCCTGGTGTCCTTTGCTTATCTGGGCCGTGACATTGCGTATGCGAGTGTCTTGATCTACTGCGCCTGGAATATCCCCCTCCTTCCCTCTCTGTGGTTACGTGCTATGGCCTGGGTACTGTATGGGGTTTTTCAGGGCTGTGTTGGCACAGGCTTGTGGATCATTGCACATGAATGTGGCCACGGTGCCTTTTCTCTATTTCCCTGGCTCAATGACTTGATTGGCTGGACCACCCATTCTATTCTCCTCGTGCCGTACTTCTCTTGGAAAATTACACATGCACGGCATCATCGGTACGCCGGAAATATGGACAGGGATACCGCGTTTGTCCCATTTACCGAGGATGAATATGCCAAAAAACGTGGCTTGTCGATTCAAGATGTCAGAAATATCGCGGAGGACACGCCGCTGGTAACTCTTGTCAATCTTGTTCTCCACCAACTGCTGGGATGGCCAATGTATCTCCTGGCGGCTGTTAGCGCAGGGAACGACAGCATACGTCACGACGGGGAACATAGCCATCGGACTAAGAGCCATTTTGATCCGTTGAGTGGGCTATTCTCGACGGAAGAGAGGGTGTACGTCCTCTTATCTGATCTCGGAGTGCTTGCAGCGGGGTGGGCACTGTTCCATATCAGTTCAACTATTGGGAAGGGAAATATCCTATTGCTCTATTTCATGCCATATCTTTGGGTAAACCACTGGATTGGTAGGTATCTGTCTGTTACTCCCTTCCTCTGTTCGTGATTAACCTTCCGTGACCAGTGGCCATTACTTACTTGCACCATACACACCCGTCAGTTCCGCACTATGCGGACCAGAGTTGGACATTTTCCAAAGGCGCCCTCTGCACGGTAGACCGCAGTTACGGGTTTATTGGCCGACATTTCTTTCATGACATTATTGATTACCATGTCATCCACCATCTTTTCCCCAGAATTCCGTTTTATAAAGCGGAAGAAGCGACTATGGCCATACGACCGCTGCTTGGCCATAGATATCGGGAGGAAAAAAGAGAAAGTTTTCTATTTTCGCTGTTCAAGACATTCAAGAAGTGCACCTTCGTAGCCCTCTCTCGTGAAGACTCGGGTGTCTTTCATTGGCACAGGAACAAATTGTAATATGTGCAAAGGACGGATTGAAGATGCCAGGGGCATCAATTCTCCAAGGCCTACGACCTCGAGATTGGTGATTTATGCAAACGAAAGCATTGAGATTGCTCTGTTAAGTATGATGATATTGGAAGCGCAATTTGATGTTTAGAGATTCTTATATACAATTGATTTGTCTGTCCCGTAAAGCTTTCATTATCTCTCATACATAGAATATGCGGCAAAGAATACAACTCGGCTACACAAGTTATCTAGACACTTCTGGGCTCTGTGGGTACCCTTTTATGCACTATCTCATATGGCGACAGCATAAGTCCTACCAGAAAGCATACAAGACGGTATCCCCTAATTATCTCGACGCTTTAGCTCCGAGATATCTTTGCAGGGTTCGCAGAGATGGTAGTAAATTGCTCAATGGGGTTATGTCCGATCTGTGATATTAGCAAGTTTCCTCCAATAATGTGTATACATACCATGCAGACCACACCTTACATCATCCCTTATCAGCTTGATGTACAAAGACTAACACGTCATGGGCCAAGGGATCGAAAGTCAAAGTTAGCATGGGGATGTACAGTCCTCCAAGCAAGGTCATCAGTCGGTGTGTAAAACAAGGACATGCATGATGATCATGACTTGGCACCATCACAAGATGCCTGCAATGAGTAACAATCTTGAATTTGATTCTTGATACGATAGCTGGCACATGTGCTATTACATCAGTCATGGAGACTTTTTTCCACTCAAGCATGCATCAGGCTCTATAAGAAGTCAGTTGTTTCTGCGTGTCAGACACCCAAACGGACAATGACACACTTGGGAAAGGAAACCTTGCCTTATCTCATTATGCTTCCACAAGTTGATATCACAGCAGTGACGAGTCTGTGCGCCGTCCTGACCTTTATTCTCTTGCCCCGAGCTGATCGAACCGCCGGCCTGAAATGGTATTCCTACCTTGCGATTGCCACTCTGGCCAATCGATCACCACAAACACAATGGATGGTCGTTATACCGATTACCATCGCTGTTGGGTTAACGACAATCATTGGCACAGCGCTCTTCTGGCTACTCCAAACAGCTTTCTTTCGTAGGAAGTGGTTGCCTGCGAGCGACCTAGGCGCACTGCAAGGAAATGAATGGCTGGGTAAACCGTTGCTCTTTCCTACGAAACTGTCTCACTCCCGTATGTTTCCAGAGCGATATAACTATACTTACAACTATTTCCTTGTCGGTGTTCCCATCGGCCTTCGCGGCCGAGTGGGCTCTGTTCTATCGATCGACATGGCGCAACCAGCACCAGATGATGCCAACAAACCAACTCAGTCTACTAAATGCTGGTTCAAGATAGACCAGAGGTACTACTTGGAGCCTGGAAACCACCCACAAGGGTTAGAGGGAAAGTTACATCGCTATCTACGGTCTCGGGTAGGTTTACGTGCCCCATCCATGACTCTTTGTAGTCTACTAACAAGGCGTAGGGTGAAGACCCCGAGCGATGGCCATACGCCTACATGATCAGCATTCCAAAATTCCTGTGGTTTACTCGCAATGCGGTGTCCTGGTGGTTGCTCTATTCTCCCACGCGAGAACTGGACGCCATGGTGATGGAAGTTAATAATTCATTCGGCGAGCGTAAAACTATCTTCATGAGGCTGGAAGGCGGAAGCGCCACGAATGAGGCGCATAAGATCACCACGATCAATAACACAGAGGGACCGCCGAATGCGAACTTCACTCCCTCAATCTCTAAGTATAAAATGTACAAGGGCAACTGGGATAAGGACTTTTTTCTCTCCCCTTTTGAAAAAGTTGAAGGATACTTTACAACGACGTGCAGCGACCCTTGTAATCCACACTCGGGGACAAAAGGCCCTCTGCATACCAACACCACATTGTATGCCCCCGATGGCCGTCCGAAAATCATCAGTCGTGTGTATTCCTGGGGCAACCCCTTGGATCCGCTGTCTGCATCGCCGTGGAGTTTGATTCGTTTCATTTGCGGCTGGGGCTATATAGGTGCTCTTTCCAAGCAGCGGATTATATACGAGGCACTCCGAGTTCGATTGCGGGGGAACCTCGCGTATCTCAGGAAACCTGAAGTGAAGAAGACTAATATTCCACGGGAGGAAACGAGTATTGAGCGGTGGGTGCTCATCAAGCAAAATTAAGAGATATAAAAAGACTAATCTCTGAAGCACCTAGGTCCCTGGAGTCGTTCTTTCGTCTCTTTCTCGCCCACGCTGTGGCTCGATATCCATCCCCTCTGACCGTCCTATACCACCCGTCAAAGTCGCATTGGCTAGTGTCCGAGACATTCCATTCGCGCGGAGTTAGTCGTGAATTACCAGAGCCGGGTGACACACCAACAGTCACAGTGCGCGTTCAGGGTCCAAGCTTCTACACCAGTATCATGCAGTACGAAGATGCCAGTGTAGGCATTGATACCGAGCTCAGTCATTTCCCAGTACCAGCTGAGCAGCACTCGCAGCGTCTATGGGCCTCTAATCCTACTCAGCTTCAAGAGATAGCTGCCTCCACGAAGCTGGGGTACACTGCCACCACCAACGCAAGGCTAGACTGGAAGACTCGAGTTCGACAGGTTTTGATACGATGGCTACGGAAGACCCCCAAACCCACATTTATGGATACTTTTGTTTACGGTCACCTCCAACCCTCTCAACAGAGGGGGTACCAAGTTGCGCTTCTCCGGCATCTTCTGGCGGAACGGTTCGCACTTGGGTCCCATGGATTGCTGCGCTTATACGAACATATGGCGTCGATAGCGGTGGCATGGGTGGTGCTCGTCCTACCGATTATCGCTACAGGGGGTTTCTCCTTGGAGAAAACACAGATTGCTGCGAATGCGGGTGTGATTGTCTTTGCGGGGTGGGCCCACCTGCGGAACTCTCTGTAGGAGACCTTGTGGCCGGTTGGATTGCCTGCCAGCCTCATGGGTTTGAAGTATATTCTTACGCATGTTCATGGGGTTCATCGCAAGGAGTGTTTCGATCTTGATCTATTTCCCAATGCAATCCAGTCGCCATACTTCCCAGCAAGTGACACTGAAGGAGAACCAACGCCCTTGATAAAGCCAGCTCTGAGTTTGGTGTCTTAGGAAGCGTCTATGAGAACGAGAAAAGCGTTGAAGAGACTTGTATCACCTACAAAGCCTTGCAAAAGGGCTTTCACCGCCTCAAGGAGTGGATATAGTAGGATATGTCGCAATAAAAATATTCTATTGGGTAGTCAGTCAATGCATTGAACTGATGACAGCCATTGATTTTCTCAATATACCTTACTGATCCTACTGCGTAAAAATTCATACTCCATGCAGTTTGGCATCTATAAGTGAGGATCTTATAGAGAAAAAGACGCGGTGCCAACTCGCGACTCGGAACGAGTAGGTGGGACCCACTCGAGACGTCGCAAAAAGAAGGCATTGGCTTGCGGACTATTCAATTGTATTACTCCCAGGGTATCTGCCACCGAGCATGAACACCTGACGCTGAATCCATTTAGAAAGAGACTAAACGCCATTCCAGTACTCCCAAAGATTGAAAAGTGAAGCCTGGTCCATGAGGGCATCCACAAACTCATCATTGAAGGATGTTTCCATCCCTTGGTCAGTGGCTTCGCCTATATGGCCAGCAACAGGCTCTGCATTGGCAGAGCCCGGTGGATCCGTACTCGTCAGACCGGGACTAGCAGCATGAGCTGAGAGCAATGTGCTCGGCCGGTAATCGGGAAAAATTTGTTGTATGGCTTTCATGAAGATTCCCCGGTAGACAGAAGCTGCCGTGTAGGTTTTTTGAAGCTCCTCCATGACGAGCATCAACGTGTCGATCTTATTCAGTCTGAAGGTCCGCGAGAGCGGGTCTGCAGATCGGCAGAAGTATAGATGCGTCTGCATTGCAGGGACTAAGAGCGGAGGTCTGGCCGAGTGGAACAGGATTTAGTAAAAAGTGCACATTGTATTTCTAGGTGGGACCGATCGGTCAGCGATAGGGTAAACCCGATACTTACGTCATGGGCCCCGCAAAGCCGAGCAGTTTAATTTGAGCCAGCGTCTCGAGAATCGCATTGGTCTGCGAAGCCGCTGCGTCGGTTTTGCGTCGCATTCGGAGACACCAGTCCTCCTGGTCGTTGGATGGGACAATGTGGGGTATCTCTGCCGAGAAGGGCCGATAGAAGGTCATCAATAGTGCCCTAGAAAGTCGACGTTAGAACAGACTCCCCTACCACTTCGAGGGGAACGGGAATGTACTGGTAGTGCAAATGAACGTGGCAGCAGTAGAATGTTGCCAGTCGAGTCAAGCCCTTTTCATATTGATCAGGCAGTTCGCACTGAAGCAGCCTTTGCTCCAGAGCCTCAACGTCGTCGACGGATGGTTTGGGCCTCTGGATTTGGTAGTTCATGATAATACAGTCACCTAGTAGCTTGCTTAGCTCGACCAGTGTCACCCAGTACCGGGCCAGCCGCGGCATTTCACTGGGCACAAAAGCTGCATAGAGGAATTCGGCGGTAGCCTCAACGTCATACATCAAATCAGAAGCCAGCGGCCAGGGGGTGTCGCAATCCTGTATGTTGATTCGAAATGGTCTTCCAAAAGTGAGACCAAGCCATCGGTCTCGGAAAAAGCAACTCCACCATAGACGTCGCCATAACATTCGCTGTCGATCTGTGACGGACGAATTATACCTTGAACCGTCAGGGTTCCGATGTAATCCAAGGACTTGGCATAGTGTAATTGCGATGCCGGTCCAGTACCAGGGCTGCATGTGCTCGTCGAGCTCGGAATGCCAGAATCCCAAGAGAAGCGAGGATTGCAGGAGGATAATTTTCTCTCGCTCCCCACCATTGTTGTACATGCACTGATATTGTGAACCACTTAGCTCGGCGATCCGGTACCGGCGAACGTGTCCGTATCCAACGTTTTAGCCACTTACCTTAGCTCGAGAATACAGAGCGCTTTTCATCTCCTTGCGCGATTTGTATCCTTCTTTCTCATAGATGGACTGTGGAACGAACTGAAAGGGATTCAGCCACAGACCAGTCCGGAAAAGCCAATGGGACAGCTTACGTTGACTGCAGCAAAAAACACACTCCATAAGAGAAGGATATTATATTCTCGTAGACGTCCAGAGTGATAGTAATCTAAGACTTGGTCAATTTCAATAATCGGCATGACCGGGTGGACGTGGGAGATGTAGCATCGAAGAAGTTCCGAGCAGGCATCATTCCCAGGTAAAGTGAAAACGCCCTTCATCCGCAGATATTCTCGATCTTCTTCTGCTAGGTATTCCCGCGCCCTCGACGGTAAAAGCAAGTGACGTGGAAGTGTTGTTTCCGACGAGCACGCATCCAATGTAGATGTGAAACCTGTCTGTTCGCCTATAGCGGAGATTAGTATGGCTTAAGACATTGTGGCGGTAGTGTTGCGCTGATTACCCGTATAGAAACGAACTCCGCCATTTGATCCCGGTTGTCCCAGTGCAGCAGCAGCGATTTCAAACCCGTTTCTCTCTTCTTCGAGATCATCGCGCTCATAACTCGAGCGGTTTTCGAGAGGTGTCGAGGGCTGTTGGGAGGCCGCGCGAGTCATGGTACTAGGATTATCATGGATAGTGAGCGAACGCGCCTCGGACGGAATCTCGCGAGGGCCACGAGTTGCCTTCTTCTGAGATTTGCGGACTCTAGGATAGAACCGTTCGTCAATATCTCGATGCCGAGGATCCAGGGTCATCTAGACCCACCCTCTGGTTTTCCTTGAACTAACAAGGCAATTCGTACCATCCTGGACACAGCCGCTGCAGGGCGCGCCCGTTACAGACAGACTGCATCGGACTTTGCGTTGACGACAGACGTCACAGGCTACTGCGGAGCGATGGCGTCGAACCGGCTTGGCTGCAGGGGTTGGTGACATGGACATTGATATTGCAGTTGATGTCTGAACTACGAAAAACCCCGAGGAGAAATAGGAATGGGAGAGGGTGACAATTAGCCCACCGCCACCTCGGAAAAATAAAGTATGGCTCTAATTAACCTCGGCATTCGGATCGACATTTGTTTTCTGTTGGGACCCACGAAGAGATGTTTTCCAATCCTAGATCCAGTAAAATGATAGGAAGCAGGTGATCATGCTTACAGTCAATTCCTTGGAAATTTCCAGTTGTTCTGCACATTCTAACACAAGGGTTCATCATTTGTACTGTCCAAAGAATCAACCAACATCGTGACGTCATATCAGTATTACAACTCCGCATATGATTCTGAGTTCGGAACAGACTAGCTTGGTAAAGTGAAATGACTGTAAATAATATTATCACTCGAAGTATAGTGAGATGAGTTTAGTGCTAGAAGATAAGAAAGCATGGTGGCACTATCTCCAACATGATGCTTGACATCAAACAGAAACATGATTGTCTAGTCTACTGGAAACAACACACAACGACGAAGACTGAAAACCTTCTAGATATCCTTCTATGCAGGTACATAAGCTACAGCGGTACAGAATATACACATTGTGAACTTTTAAGGGGAGGCCATGCATGCTCAAAAATAAGTATCGATTCCCGAAAATTAACTCTATGTTCTAAAACTGTACAACAAATAAAGCGGATGATAAGATGTAAAACCCCCAAGAACATCCCAAGACAGCTTGGCCGACTCGTCGATCAAGCCAAGACGATCCCCGTGAAAGCCCGGTTTTCATCGGACAGCAAGGTCACCTTGTTCTTCCCGTCACGGTCACACCGATAGAGATGACCACCCAGGTCGGTCAGGTAGATGTTGTTGTTTGGCAGGTCCAACTTCAATCCAATGGCTTCGTGCAGATTCCTGGTGAGCAACTCGTAGCCCAGAGGAGACATGCTCGGCAAGGGATGACCGAATTGATCAAGATGCAGTCGATTCAGGGAGTTGCCGATGGGCAACTCCCCACGATCAGTCCAGTAAAGGGTTTTGGACTCTTCATCCACTTCCAGATCAATGGGTTCCGGCAGTCCTCCCAGAATACACCGAATGTCGTCCCTGCTGGAGGCTGACTGGCCCTCGGGGGTCATGATATTTGCAGAGAAAATACGCCCCTGTCCACTCTTTGAAGGGCCTTTCTGAGTCCAGTAGAACTTGCCAAACTGTGGCGCAACCGTAATACCAACGCACCAGTTCATCGGAGTCTGAGCAGCGTCCGAGGTCCCCTTGGGTCCGCCGCCGGCTTGGACCAGAACTTCCAGCTCTGACCCGTCAAAATTGCAGCGGAAGACACGACACCCCTCGCGGTCAGAGATGTAGAGTTTCTGTGACGTTGTGTCCATGGTCATCTGCTTGGGCGTATTAATAGCTCCTGGGGGGACGATCGTCTGAGTGTCAGTTCCATCCAAGTTGGCTGACAACACGGCCCCGTCTTCCTTGCCGGGAATACCCATTGTGGTCCAGAACATCCGCTTGCTGTTGGGGTCGACGGCAATTCCATCTGGTAGGGCTTGCCCTTTGGCGAGAACCCGCTGCACACGCCCGGCCGGTGAAATTTCGAGGACCTCGCCGGCTGTCAAGCTCGGCTGCTTAGCTGACAAGCCAATGTCGAGAACCAAAAGGTTGGCGCTCTGAGAATCGCCGTTGGTGGCTTCAGCGGGTGGGTAAAGCCCACCATGGGGACACTTGGATCCGAGTTTGCCTTGATCTAGGTAATTGGTTTGGAGGAAGTCGACCGTTTTGTCGGCAGGGAGGCCTCGCTCCGCAATATAGTGTTTCTCAATCAAAGACACCGTGTCGAGACCGACAGCTATAGGAACAGTACGTTAGAATCGAAACAAAACATGGGGGAGTACAGAAGTCGAATTGTGCACACTGCACAAAGGAGTAAAATACAGAGAGCAGAGGGGGAAGAAAACGGCAAGAGGGAAACCACATACCATCCATGGTCTTGCAAGGCACAGTTGCTGGCTTGATAAACATCTCCGTCCACATCGAATCAATCTCCTCCGGCGTCGAAACATCCTCGGCAATAATCGTCAAAGCCTCTCGCTTGACCGCAGCCCACATTCGGTTAAAAATAAACCCCGTTGACTCCTTCCTAGCAACATATGGCTTAGTGGCTGCTTCCCTCAAGCGCTCGACCAGGAACTGAAGGATTGATGGATAAGTATAGCCGTCAGTCATCAGTTCCACAACCATGACTTGCGGCGGCATGTAATAGTGCATGTTCAGGATACGGGGCTTAGCGACAGCAGACACCTTGTCGAGCATCTCCGAGGACTTGTACGAAGAAGAGTTGGTCGCTAAGATGCAGTCATTCGGGGCCAACTTCTCAAGTTGAGCGAAGGTGTCGACCTTCAGCGGGAGTTTCTCAGGAACAGCTTCGATAACAAGCCAGGCACTGTTAACCGCCTGCGCCAAATCTTCGAATACTGTAATCTCGCCGGGCTCCGCTCCTGTGTGCTCGGCGTACGAAGCTACATTCTGTTTCACGTAGTTGACGCAATCTGTGCGTTGTTCCGAGCTCGGGTCACGGACTTGGACATTATACCCTGCCGATGCCCAAATGCAGGCTGTGGGGTTGGAGATATTGGTTAGCTCATGTAATGTTGTGTGCAAGTGTCAACTAGGAATTGTTTACGTACCGACTCGACGGCCCAAAACACCGGCGCCGAGAACGGCAACGGGACGCTCCCGATAGTCCTTAGGTGGCTGCCATTCTGGGGTCATGTTTGCAAATTGATAGAATAGTATATGGTGTTTTATCGTAAGGCAGTATGAATTCTCAGAAATAGATAGTATGTTTAAGGCTTTAAGCAATCGAGTCAGGTGATATGTGTACCAAGACAATAAAATACTTGGAAGTTCTAGATCTCTAGGACCACGGGAGCAGAAGTGGTTTTATAACTCTCCCATTGACTTGATGGAAGCCACCGCTGCTACAGCTTTGTGAAGGCATACCTCGGGATGAGGCTCGACAGCGGAAAGAAACAACCAAGCCACGACCCGAGTTATTGGTGGCATCTTTGAATCATCCGAGGATATATTCGGAGGTCGTTGCCTCAAAAATATTTCGCTCCATTGTTGACCCGGTCATGCCGGGGTGTTCTCGGTATTTTCAGACCGATGAATCCACTGGGTGGATGGGTCATGGCGTGGCCGCGTGGAAAGAATGCCTAGAACATGGTGGAGCTCGCAGCAGTTAGCGGCCCACCGTGACAGCCTGGACTATGTCAAGTTGCCGACTTGTCAAGAGCAAAGCTAGCGTGGCTAAACCGATAAGCTTGAAGACACCAGCTCCGATTGCCCAACTTGCCGCAATGCCGATATCTTTCGGCACCCCGACGGACGGACTGACAGGGATCCACCAACACGGCTCGGGATTCGGATCGGCGGGCGAATCAGTCGGTCAGCCGAATCCACCAAAGCTTCCTCGGAAGCAAATTGCTTACACCGATTCACCGTCCCATCAAACAATGACCGGTTCCGCGGCCACTAACTGGTGGTAATCTTCGCTATCTATGTTTGGTTGTTGAACCAATGGTTTTCATCATAGAGATTGATACACTGACCTAGCACTAATTGGTCAGGAAGAAATATCTTCACGATCCACTTCTCAGGGACCCTTGTACATGCCCATGCTCTATTGGCTTGAAATGCTCCCGAGACACCTTAGACATAATGATGAATGCTATTGACAGAACCTCATTGTTTGTTTTTTGGTTCGAGACAGAATGATTGATAAAAATACTCAGAGACTCAACGCAAAATGCTAGGCAGAACTGAACTGGGTACAGGGAAAGTTGCCGCAATGATAGAATGTAATAAGGTATCATATAACTACTTGCACCCACACAGTTACTGTATATAGATCTGAGTGTAATTAGGAGTGATATTATCACATACAATATGTCTGACTTGTACTTCTGGTCTATCAGTGAAAGAAACTTCATCACAGCGGATGGTGCCTGCCCGGAACCTTGAAATTATGTAATGGACTAACGAACAGGAGTAGTATATTCAGAGTTGATTTTCAAAACAAGAGGGTGAAATATAGAGTACAATGGAAACTGCTTCCCAGCCAAGAAAAAAATATCAAATCAAAACCAAAATCAAAACCCACTTCGCCTCCAAGTCTAAAAAGGAAGAAAAAAAAGAAAAACAAAACCCTTCGGCGTCTAGAAACAGAAAATCTGATCCGTCATTTTGGCTACTGAACCTGGGGCCTGGTACCCGAGCTCAGCCAAACCCTTCTTCGATGCATTGACCATCCCAGGAGGACCGCAAAGCATTATCCGAGACTCCGGCGAAGGCGCAGGGAGAATTTGGCGCATGACATCTTTAGTGACATATCCCTTGCCGTACTTCCAGTCCTGGGGTGGATGATCCAGCATGTACCAAATCTTGAGAGTGTTGGGATATGAGGAAGCAAATTCTTCGAGCTCCTCCCGCAAAAGAATGTCTTCTTCTGAGCGGTTTGCGTAGATCAGATGGATTTCCGTGGTATCCCTATCATTTTCGCAAATCGCTCGAATCAACTGGTACATCGGGGTAATACCAGTGCCGCCAGCAATCATCCCAATCTTCTTACAGAGGCCCTTCTTGTAGCGCATTGCGCCTTTGGGGCCCCGGAACAAAACCTTGTCGCCAACTTCGAGGTTGGCAAGGTACTTTCCGGTGAGTAGGCCATCTGGATAACACTTGATCACGAGCTCCAGCGTACCCAGGTCGAGATTATTTGATGTTGGCGTATAGGATCGGGACACTGTTTGACCATCAATCGTTGCTTTGATGGCGACGTGTTGGCCGATGGGAAGGCCAATGACATCACTCTTGCGAGGCAGCTGGAACACAAAGCGGTAGACATTAGGAGATAGGGCCTCTTTTGCGACTAAGGGCAAGGGCCTATACTCCTTGGGCTGGAGAAAGCCGGGGATCAAGTGCGGGTCTTGCTTGTAGATCGGGTTCCTCTTGATGTGAGGAGGATATTTCGTGAAGCCCGACTCAATTTGCGTGAGCTTCGAGAGGCGGGACGCTATGATACTACCCAGTATGGCACAGGCACAGGCAGTGACGGCAACTCCGTTGGCGAAACCACCCTGGGGGAGGAAGACGCCAGAGAGCTTGAGAGACGACAGCTTGTCGAGCCCGGGAAGCATTTTGGTGAAGTCATTGGGATTCAGGTATTTCCTGATGGAGTTGGAGGCAAGGTAAAGCGAAAGTAGCGAGCTCGCGGTGAGACCCAGGGTGCGGACAGCGCCTGAACTGGCTTTTGGAGGCGGCTGTGCTGGGGAATCTTGGACAACTCTCACGGTTTGACGAGCCTTGTATTCGACGGCGTCTTTCAAAGTTCCGATCAGGAAAGTCTCCAGAATCTCGTTTGCGTCCTCCGAGTGTCCCACATCCTCGTACGCGGCCGTTGCGTCTTGCCCAGCAACATCAACTAGGACGTCGGCACCACCCGGGTGATCTTTGACATATTCTGAGACATCGTAGACTATTGTAATGGCATAAGGATTCAGCAAGTTTTTTCTAAAACAAACAAGGAGGTATAACGACTGCGATATGCTTACCCTTTCCGTGAATAGTAACCCACAAGTCGGTCTTGCTCTTGTGAGCGCCAACCTCCTCCAATGTGTATTCTTGCATGTTGGTCGAAGATCACAAGCGTCAGGGTAACACTAGCTATAATCGAGTTCTCACACACGTATCAGAGTAGATGGATAGACAAGCGGAATTCTTCTGGGGTTTTAATACGAGAATCCGTGTGGACCGCGACATGTTGCTATATTTGTATGTTACGTTTTTATATGATAGCCCCAAGGCAAAACAAGACCGAGTATCTTTTCATCTCCGGGAAGCCGAGGAAATTTGATGTGTATTCGGCCTCTGCCGATTCTGTGATTGGCTCATGTTGAACCCCTCGTCGACTAAACTCGGGACCTCGGATATATTGATGACTCGGAACCTTCAATATTTCCGAGGATAAATTGGTGCCATAGAGAAGCAGCATTTCTGGCATCACACCAAAACTTGTTGAACCGAGAAGCAAAGCAGGGTGGGTCAGGGCGCCATGGATCATCTGTGGGCTTCTAGGTTAAAGAGTATATATAAAGGCCAGGATACACAAAGTGCCATGTTGTCGATTCAGTCGCTATCATCACAACGAGTGGATAACCCAAACGCCTGCCATGCCTCTCCAAACATTCTACCTATTCGGACAAAGTCCATCGACCGCCAAGGAGATTGAGATCGATGCATCCCAGACCTTTGAGAACTTGAAATTTATAATTGCTGCTCATTTTGCCATCGTCGAGCCAAATGGTAGGTAGTTTCTAGTTTCTACCACCCTTTCTTGTGTCCTGTTTTCTGACAAGTGGTATAAAGGGATTGGCTTCCAAGGACCGGATGCTGTCCTGACAGAGGTCTCGGAGATTTGCGCAGCCACGGCTCCCATCTCACTGACAATCGATGGACATGCGGTTCGCGATCCACCCTCTCCGAACGAATTGCCTTTTGTCGGTACCTTCTTCGAAGTTTATCCTGATCACCTTGGAAACCACCAACGTCTTTTCGAGAAATATGGGCCGATTATCAAAACAAGCAACCTAGGCCGCATCACCTACCAGACCAATGACCCGGAAATCTCTGCCATCGCTTTCGCGGAATCTGATTTTTTCACCAAGAAGATCAATGAAGCCCACCCACTCTCCGCTCTCAAAACGCCCGCTGCTGGTGTTTTCCTCGGAGACACTGACACGCCGGAATGGAAGGTTGCGCACAAATTCTTGCCCCCGGCGTTGGGTCCTAAAGCAGTTCGACACTACGCCCCAACCATGCAACAGACAGTGGAGGATTCGTTCAAAGTATTTGATAAGCTAGATGAACAGGATGAGGCCTGGAATGTCTACATGTACATGCTCAAGCTCGGTTCTCAGGCAGTTGGTAAGCTTACGCTTGGACTGGACTTTCAGCATTTCAGCGAGCCGGATTCTCCTATTCATGAGATGGTCCACAGTATCGCGGAGCTCCTTTCCCTCAATAAAAAGGTCACATCAAAGGGTGATTGGTATAGCTCATTGCCATTTGGTGATCCCAAACGACTCAGGACGTTGAAGGCTCGCATCGAAGAAATGGTGGAGGAGTCGATTCAAAAGGCGTCAAGAGGAGGAGTGGACGATCTTCCTTTACAAGACGCTGCCTTGACAGCAAGCAACATGGTCGGTAAGTATCAAGCATTGATTTTTCTAGCAGTACTTGCTATCCCCATGCCAAGTCACTAGTCAGGCTAACTTCTGGTAGATTATGCCGTTCGCGCTACCGATAACAAGGGCGAAAAGCTGCCAAAGTCCAGTGTTGTCTGGGCTCTGGTCGTGGCCACTGGTGCTGGTTTTACCACCACTAGCTCACTCCTCTCTTGGCTCATCTACGGCCTCTGCACATACGAGGGCATGCAAGAGCGCCTCCTGCAAGAGTTGATTGACCATGGATTCGACGAGAACACTCAAATGACGGCCGAGCTCACGGATAAATTGGAGTTTCTTGATAAATATATCAAGGAAACTCAGCGTCGTCACAATCCCTCCTTCCAACCCGGACGAACGACCAAGGTGGACATGATTCTACCAGGGGGCTATAGGCTGCCCAAAGACGCGGTTGTTATTCCCGCACTTCACCATATTCATAACCATCCTGATCTTTGGGATAATCCTGCTCGGTTTAACCCTGATCGCTGGGACACTGAGGAAGTCAAATCCCGGCACAAGGCGGCATACATACCTTTCGCGATGGGTCCCCGTATGTGTATCGGGTTTAACTTTGCACTCCAGGAGATCAAAGTCTTCCTTCCTAAACTTATCTACCGCTACAAGTTCTCGCGGGAAGGCGACGGTCCGATTGAGTATGATCCGATGTTCCAGCTGATCAGGCCCAACAATCTCTATGTACGCGCAGAACGGCGGGTTAGGTGGCCGTGCAAGTCAAGGGGTGCTAAGGTCTGAGGCATGTTTCTTTTGTGTTTAAATTCTATAGATTGTATCTATTTCTTTAGTAGCCTTGATTTTAATATACTTGAAATATCTTACGTGCTCTTGATGACCTTCGGGCCTGCTAGACACGCACAGATTATGAACAAACGCCCAACTGCATGTTAGAATATTCAGCAATCTCCTTGAACCCGCTTGATGCGGGTGTGCTATCCTGCGCATGCATTTTCGTTTGCATGACCGCTCTAGGGTTGGTGGTAGGCTGTGATGCTCTTAAGTTAGTCTAGAATCGGCATGTGCCCAGCCTCACTGCCTCGCTGTTTCTGACACAGCCGCCTGACAGTCCACGTTATAATACATACCCCTCGCAATTCCATACCAAGAATCCTCTTTCCCGGCCACTATTGCTATCAAGAATATCTCTTTTGAGACAGAAAATACCCATTCAGACAATATGCCAGTAACGCTCAAAGTCGCGGCGCATCCGCCTGAGAAATGGGAAGATCCCAAGGTTTCCACAGCTGAAGGTCTCTTGAAGGAATCATGCCCGCAAGAGTATGAAAGTAGTCAAGGTGTACTAAAGAGCTCGTTTGACAGCAGTCTTTTCAACACTTCCCATGTCTCCGCCTCGCGGAATGGTTTTGTCTGGGCAGTATTCCAAGCCTATAGCCATCATCACAACCTGACAATCCGACCGGAAGACGTATGGTTCTCTATCATAACACAGCTGAGTTTCTATATCAACGCACATGCGGAGGATCTACGGTCCTTCTTCGTTTCCCACGAGGGCAAGGAACAGCTAGAAGACACCGGTGGAGATGGTGGTCACGATTTCGGTAACATAGCGCTGCGAATGACCAAACTCATTGAAGAGAAGGTCGTGGATAAGGAATTCCGAAGCTGGATCATGCCTGACTTCAGCACCACTACCGAGTCTGACAGGGTGGTCGCGGCTGTTCTGATGATGGGGGCCATGCAGAAGTATTTCTCGTACTACGTGGCGATGACATGTGGCATCCCGTCTGTCACCTTACTGGGGGGGCGAAAGGATTGGGCAGACCTCGTGAAGAAACTCGACAAGCTATACCAGCTAGGCGACGAGCCAGCACGATTTGCTCAGCTTCTCCGCCCGGTGCTCAATCATTTTGTCTTGTCCTTTGACAGCCCCGATTCAACCAAGGCGCTTGCTTTCTGGGGCCGATGTGCACATCGTTCAGAAGGAAGTGGCATCGACTATCTCACTGGATGGATTTCCGCCTTTTGTTTTTGGAGTGAAAAAGGAGACCGTCTCTACTTCGGCGACACGATCGAACCGACCTGTTCGCCTCAGTTCACGGCGCGCAACACAGAGTTGGGACTCGATGATGTCTTGGCACGCGAAGTCGACATAGATAAAATCCCAGCTGGATTCGCCTCCGTGCCTCTTACTATCGACGATGATGGGAGAATCACGAAGGTGGTGATGTTGGCTGGACTGTTTGGTATCCAAGCCACGTCGAAGGCCCCGATCACCCCGGTCATGGAAGAACGCACCAGACGTCGTTGGGTTTCGTATTTGGTCCCAAGACGTACAAAAAAGCGGAGCACTCATACTCCCCCGGCAACCGCCGAGGAAGAGGGACCCAATACAATTCAGCCGTTTTCGGGGTGGCTGGCGTATGTGAAGAAAGATGTGGAGGATGGCGAATAATGTACCCAAGGAAATCAGAAGATCGAAGGGCCTGCCTAGAAACCAGAGACATGATCTTCTGGTCCTAACTTCCTTCAAGAAATAGCACTGCCGGAATTTGAACTTCCGATACCAAGTTTGAATATAAAAATAACGGTGGTGCGATGATCATTGCGAAAAGTTACAGGTGAAGCTCAACGCAATCATTTAATCCAGGTCACGCCCTTGGCTGCCTCAGGTTCAGTAGAGTCACGTGGTATGTTGTTCCATCCAGCGAGTTTCCATGTCCAACGCTTGTCAATGTTTATGTCAATCAAGAAAGGCCCTGTTTATCGTTTCTAGAAAATGGTCAAAGGCATGGTCCGATCGAAAAAGGTTAAAGATAAACATCGCCAAGTCGGGAAACCGGGGCGGCCCACTTCCACCCGCCACGCGTTCCATTTGCCTCGGTAATTCATCTCGACTTACGTTTTTGTACATGACGACATCCGACATTTGTCTCTTCTCAAGGGGTCTTTTGCTACTCAATTCAGTGTTTGTGTCAGAGACAGCTCTTCGCATTCGGTGGCCAATTGATTGAATTCCATCCACTACAGTACTACCGACATACTGAAAATTGATCTACCACAAACATAAGCCAAATTCCAACATGGCATCAAAAACTGCATCCGACCGCTTAACACAAGTAAGCAACCATATACAGTCCGCGCCAGCAGGACCCCAACCATCCCAAATCCAAGATGTCTACATCATCAGCGCATCGCGGACTCCCACGGCACGATTCAAAGGCTCCCTCGCCAGTGTCCCGGCGCCCCAACTCGGCGCCCACGCCATCAAGGACGCTGTCCTAAAGTCGAAGGTGCCTGTGTCGCGTATCACAGACGTTTACATGGGCAACGTAATGCAGGCCTCGAACGGGCAGGCGCCCGCGCGCCAGGCAGCCATCTTCGCCGGCCTGCCGACGGCAACGGAGGCGGTCACTATTAACAAGGTTTGCGCCTCGGGACTGAAGGCTGTGGCGCTCGCTGCGCAGAACATCCAGCTCGGGCTGTCCCAGGCGCAGGTTGCCGGCGGTATGGAGAATATGTCGAGTGTGCCGTATTATCTGGCGCGGGATGCGGCCGGCTCGACGGGCGATTTGAAGTTGCAGGATGGCTTGATAAAGGACGGCCTGTGGGATGTGTATAATCAGATTCATATGGGGAGCTGTGCGGATCTCACTGCGAAGAAATTCAACATCTCGAGGGAGGCGCAGGATGAGTATGCGATTCGCAGCTTCTTGAGGGCGCAGAAGGCTTGGGCTGAAGGGAAGTTCCAGGATGAAATTATCCCAGTTACCGTGAAGGGCCGGAAGGGGGAGACTGTGGTCCAGCGGGATGAAGGTTTTGAGAAACTCGATGAAAAGAAGGTGGCGACGTTGAAGCCGGCGTTCGTGAGGGATGGCACCGGCACGGTCACCGCTGCCAACTCATCCACTTTCAATGATGGCGCCAGTGCTTTGGTTTTAGGGGATCGTGCCATTGCCCAGCAGTACGGCCAGGATAGTCGGGTACTTTCGCGGATCATCAGCACGGCCGACGCGGCCCTGGACCCAGTGGATTTCCCGATTGCTCCAGCCAAAGCGGTCCGTGTTGCTCTGGAGAGAGCCGGTATCAAGAAAGAAGATGTCGCTGTGTGGGAGTTCAACGAAGCGTTTGCTTCTGTTATCAAGGCGAATGAGCAGGTGGGTTTGGCCTAGTTTTTCCACATGATAAACTGCTTGCTAACTTGACAACCAGATTCTCGGCCTTGGAGGCGCAAATGTGAATCCGCTTGGAGGCGCCATCTCGTTGGGCCACGCTCTGGGAAGTTCTGGGTCGAGGATCCTTACTACGTTGGTGCATCAGTTGAAGGTCGGAGAATACGGCGTTGCGGCGGTTTGCAATGGTGGTGGTGCAGCGACTGCCGTCGTTGTTCAGCGAGTTGCGTCTGTGTAAAGTTAACCTTAAAGATTCAATCAGACTATACAAGATAAAAAGATGTCCTGTATATTTACCTTCATCCTTGTTCTCCTGACTGTTAAGGAACTATAAATTTCAGCCCAGCAAACTTTGACTATACCCACAATAGCCATTTGAGCTTCTCTCCATCCACAAGCTCCCAATTCAGGAGCTACTACTCATGACTGTTATGTTGACTTCATGATTTGTTGTTGCATGCAAAAAGTTGACAATACGCGTTCGCAGCAAGTGCAGGACCCATGTGTTTAGATCTTCCTATATGTTCTAGAAAAGTACTAGTGATGACGACGCTGCTCTAAATACTTCGCCAAATCATGATACACAATGGCTGTCTCAAAAATGAGACAATCTCCCCTCGAGAACAATGCATATATAAAAATATAAAAGGAAAAACATACAACAGCCGGGATTCGCATGTGGTCACCCACCATACTACTAACCGGCCGGCGTGTGGCTTAAGTACGGCTGAGCGGACGGGAAGCCCTGTTCTCCACACCCTATGGTCGTATGTACTGGATTCTAGGAGAGAGTACATGATATTCCCAGCTAGAATATAGACTCAAGCTTTTCTAGGAGCGAATCAGTGGATCAATGGATTAAACAAGCCATATGATGGTGAGATATGTACTGAGATGAGCTTCTGAATATCTAGAAACCAACGAAAATGACCAACGGCGATAGACTACGCTTTAGTGATTGTTTCCCTTTTCGTGTAGAATGATGTGCATCATGGCCTTCTTTTCCTTGGTTTCTCATTCGGCGAAGCTAGATATACACCTAAAATCTTGGATGTTATGAGGTGTCAGTCTCAGTCATGAGTGAGATATTCTGCCTTGTGCTAGTTTGAGTATGGCATTGATAGGATCTCTTAGCAGAAACCAACACGCCATAGTAGCCATCAGGACTATAGACAGAGGAAGTCTGAGCATAATCTCCTACTCTCCAGTCTAGCCATGGTCATAAATTTGTATAAATCACCTACCCTAGATTGTGCTGGTATCTGACAGTCGCCGTCATGTTATCAGAATTCAAAGACTATCATAGACCTAGGTCGCGAGGTTTACTCCACTTTTGGTATAGATCTAACATGCATTAATTGAGCTAATGTCTAGACTTAGAAGACAGAGAATAAAAGCGTCAATACATCACCGTCCCTGGCTACTATACAAAACAGAACCCTAGCGATACTCCTCCTCATGCGAACTTTGATCAACCTGAACCACATTAGCTCTCCTCTCTATACCAATGCGTCATACAAGGGCATACTTACCACCTCAATATTATTCCCTATAGGATCTAACACATACGCAGCAAAATACGTCTCATTATTCTCCGGCCGCAAACCAGGCGCGCCGTTGCTCACGCCGCCCACCGCCAACGCAGCGTCGTAGAAAGCCCATACTGTCTCATGATCTAGATACGTTAGCAACTGAGTATACCCCCCATCTCCCCAGAAGAAGACCACCCACCTGGTGCCATGAACGCGACATGCATCCCAGGGCTCTTCACATCCCGTTTCCTAATCCAGAAGTTCGGCTCCGCGATGCCGAGCCCAACGGCATTTTCCAATCGCTTCACTTCCCGATATTGTAAAGGCATCAGGGCGGCCTTGTACCAATTTATGACGTGCTCGAATTTGTCCTCGGGGACGTAGATCTCCACGTGGTCGATGTTGGAGCACGGCATGGCGGAAATTTGGGGGATAATTCCTCGTAGGTGCGCACGACTTTATTCTCTAAAAGATAGAGCCAACGGGCTCCCGAAAGTTATATAAGAGGATCAATGATCGGTTCAGCCGGGATGTTCCTTGACCCGATCGCATGACATCAACCAATGCGTCCGAATTAGGGTTCCGCTTTGTTGGTGCCTCGGGCGCCAAGGCTGGCAACTATCCGTTTCCGCTTTGCGTCAGAATGACGAACACCGAGTATAAATCGATGATGATAACCCATCCGAGTGGGATTGCTCAAGGGATCTTGCCATGGGCACGTGGTGAATCACTGATTTCAACAAAGAATGGGAAGAATGTATTGTAACACAATTGCGCCCTATTGAAGCCGGCCCGTGCGTACTCTTGGGATACACGGTACACCCGTTTATTCGAAGTTCCTGCGCCTTGCTTTGTTGCCGGCAAGTCCAAATTGGTAATACTACAATTATAGGCAGCTTCCTTGGGTAAAGTTGTGCTTCGGTTGGCTTAAGAGGGTCTTTGCAATTGTCGTTTCACCCGTTTCTGTTGTTTTTCGGTGACCTTCGCTCATGGGAAAGCTTCATCAGGGTAGACCATTTATGTACAAAAAGTATTTCTAACTTCATTCTTTGGTCATTGCTGTTGGACTCCCGTCGCCTTTGTTGATCTCATGATACCAAACCGCAACCGACCATTGACTCGTTAACAAATCCACGAGTATCAAAGGGTTGCACAACCAGTTCCTTGGGCAGCGCTTGACGGGTGGATGGATACGGTAATGTTATGAGCGTATAAACACTGAATCAGCTTCAAAACATGGAGCAAACCGGATTTGGTGGTTAATCACGGTATGAACACGCCTCCGTTGCAGTCGCCGCCAAGGTTCAAAGTAAAGGTTGATCGCTGCCAACGGCTCGAAACAAAAAGCCGATCAAGTCTTCGGGCGCAGGGCATACATCTTGACCGGGAACAGATTGAACGACTTCGGAAACCCCGCCTGGATCTCAGACGTAATCAAATTCAGCTCGGCTTCGTTGAACAGCTGCCGTAACTTGGCGTCCGTCCTGGTAACGCTGCTGTCCAATTCATCGTAGATGTCTTCTCCGTCCACATCAGTCGAGTTGTTCTCTTTGATCACGAGCATCCCGGTCTCCGTCAAGGCATTTTTACAGCGCACAAAGCACTCCCTCAACTGCCCGTCGGTCAGATGCCCCACGCAGAACTGGATCCAGATCAAGTCGTACTTCTTCTCCGGAACCCAGCCCTCAAGACCAACAATGTAGACGTCTTCAACCGCGCAGTCCATTTTCGGCACACGCTCTTTCAGCACACACGCGAACTTCTCCACCGGCTCAACGGCATCCATTACCTCGCAGACCTGGCCGAGGAACCCCTCGGTGATTCGCCCGACGCCCGCCCCGCAATCGACGCCCCGGTGAAGCTTGCCCTCCTTCTTACAGGACGGCACGAGCCGATGAGCCTTGGCGAGAAACGTCCGAGACCCCCGTAGGTCGATGCGCGAGTACCACGGGTAGTCGCCTAGCATGCCGAGCATGCCGCCTGATGTCGCGGGCACCCCGTTCCAGTATTTGATGGAGGCGGCATGGTCTATGTAGCTATCAGCCGGGGCTTCTGCTTGGCTGTCGGAATCTATTGTATATTGGTCGAAAGACATGGTTATGAATGTGGCGTTTTTGGTGGAACGAGCGCCTCTTGACCTCTTTGTTGTCGGCCCTTTCGTTTGGAATCCCTTGGCAGGTTTTACGGTGGGTCCAAGGCGGTGTGGTGTGATTGGATTAGATGGCAGATGGATTGGTGTGTGTGGCGTTTAGAGCAATTGTGGATTTTCCAACTGCACGATCGTCCGATGGAATGTTGGCGACTTGGCATAGTGAAGAATATGGAAATGTCTTTTCACGTTTTGCAAGCGACCATTCAAGGATTTTGTCAATTCTCCTGTTTTAGCGACATTATCAGATTGAGCCCCTGCTAGTTCCTTACGTAATCCATATATAGCAGTTTTCTAATCCACCGCATATGACAAGCTTTGGGTATCTATCATGAGGGGGAGAACACAGAGAGAGAAAGTCTACCATGAAGATGTCAGCTCTCAGCATTATTCTTAGCAGCTTACTGGCGACAAGTCCGCCACAGGACATGAACATAGACATTTCGATAGGAACCGAGACCATCTATCCCCGGGATTCAAGTGCGTCCTGCAAATCAAACATCGATTAGCCCCCATGCAACAACTCAGACAAGGTCACCAACCATCAACCAATCCATTCCTTCGCTGATACCATAACCCTGTGTTATGGAAGACTCAACAGCCTTCCATTTTCGGTGACGAACTTCTCCCAATTTTAACCCCTTTGATACCTCCTCCGCCGACAATGCCCCATCCAGATCTTGCTTGTTGGCAAATACCAGAACAGGGGCACTGCTTAGCTCGTCACGGGGCCCATCTAAACTAAGTAGGAATTCCAGCGTGGAGGCTGCGTCGTCTAGCCGGTCTGTCTCTGTGGCGTCGACGATGTAAATGACGGCGTCTATATTGGAGAAGTATTGCCGCCACGCTGGCCGGAATTTATCTCGACCTCCCAAGTCCTAGGTGGTCAAACATCAACGACTGGTGTCTTGATAAGAAGATATCATGCTTATCTATGTACCCAGATAGTAAGTCCTTGGTTCCGGTATGTTACTGATTCGACATTGAACCCTATCGTGGACACCGGATTAATGTGGTCCCAGCCCTGTATGCGATCAGCATGTGTGTAGACTGTCGCCGATGCGCGGTCTACCAAGAGTCTGTTGTATAAAAATGTAGTCTTTCCAGAGTACCACTAAATCAAGCAAGCAAGTCAGTTCGTGGGTCCAGGCTCATGGTCCGGGATGGTAAACATACGGGCCCCCACATGATTACCCGGGCTTCTTTCTTCCTTGCACTTCCAGGCCATATACTTGATAATGAGCTTCCCATTTTGCCCGTGGTGAGTAGCAGAGGAATAGATGAGAGGCTTGCTTTAATTGAAAGGATGCCTAGTGATGAGGATGCCAATACGACGTGGTCACATGACAATACGAGAAATTCTTGGTGGCTGGCGCTTCAAAGACGAGTATCCGATACTCCGTACTGGGCAGTATACGCATATACTGCATACTGTATATTGGGCGAAATACCCGCTTAAGTAGGTATTCTTTACTTTCTGATCAAAAAATCTCTTTGAATGCCTTATGAGGGTGATACTATGGTTATGTATAGATTCAAGACATGTCATCCATTTCAAGACCTATCGGATGAACGCAGGATGGTTCACTTGAACGAAGTTTCCAACATTGCGATGTAACGACAGCACTTGCGCGGTAGGCAGACCATATGTCATCCCAATTGACCGTGTTGTGCTACCAAAGTATTCACTTATAGACATGGATTGTCATCAAAGATGCTGAGATTGGGGCAGCGCGTGTTAAGTTTAAGTTGTACGCACAAAGTTAACTAACGCATAACGGTTAGCGGCGTCCTGTTCGGCCCGCCTTACTGGCTGCTACTGGTTGATCCATGAGTGGCATAAATGACTAATCATCATAATGCAAGACGCACTGGGGCTAGAGTCAGGTGACCCCACTCACGTGTTATCTAGCGAAAGATTAAGCGAGCTTGGCAGCGAAATTCCAACCACACCAAAAATACTCCTCTCTCATCTCGAACATACTACCGCAGATTCCCCGACAACCACCACCTCGCCATCATGGGTCGCGTTCGCACGAAGACCGTCAAGCGGTCCGCCAAGGTCGTTATTGAGCGCTACTACCCCAAGCTCACTCTGGACTTCGAGGTCAACAAGAAGGTCTGCGATGAGGTCGCCATTATTGCCAGCAAGCGCCTGCGCAACAAGGTAATTCACCACGGGAGACTCAGGACGACAACCTAGCAACAGAAGGCTGACTTTGGAAAACGATAGATTGCCGGTTACACCACGCACCTGTATGAAAATCCCTATGAATTTCCCACCCGTTGATCCATCCACACGAACACCATCTCCAATCACAATTCAATATCGATGAAGGAAGGAACGAAGAAAATAGACCACCGCTAACCAATCTCGACAACAGGATGCGCCGTATCCAGCGTGGCCCCGTCCGCGGTATCTCCTTCAAGCTTCAGGAGGAGGAGCGTGAGCGCAAGGATCAGTACATCCCCGAGATCTCCGCTCTCGACTTCACCCAGAACAGCGAGACCGGCAAGCTCGATGTTGATCAGGACACCAAGGATCTCCTGAAGAGCATTGGCGTACGTGCACGCAGACTTCCATCAAGGATTCGGTCCCGGTAGAGCAGTGTGGCTAACCGCAATATAGTTCGACTCCATCCCCGTCAACATCCAGGCTGTTTCCCAGCAGCAGGTTGCCGACCGCCCCCGCCGTTTCGGCCGCTAAATTTGCACGTGAGTGCGCGTGGCAGATGGAACGATGATGGTTAGCAAATGATTGGGTGGGATTTGGAATGGAGGAAAACAGCGAGGTGGTGATCTTCCTTTTCTATGATGGGTAATGGCGTCCAAGATTTCAGCATATGTTTGCTCGCGGAGGTAGAATTAGGACATATCTTGAGCCATGAAAATGAAACGCCAGTCCTTCTCCGCAGCCGATGAATAGCCCCGTCTGTCAAGCCGTATCCGGGAGGCATATGCGTCGACGTCTCCTTTATGTGGAAGAACTGTCCGACAATCCGGCACCCATCATGGACTCTCAGCTGTTGTCTTGCGACTGACAATGGTCTGTTCACGGGGTTGAGCCAAATAGTACGATCTCTGGCTCCGTCAAGGAATATCCAACCCGCTGGATCTCTCCATGTCATGAATACATTTATGATGACAAAATATGGCGTCTCGTCTCCTCCACTTTGCTACAATGGCTATTCGTATCCATGTAGAGGATGCTATCGAGCTGGCTTATCCATCGTAGCTGTCGTATCAACCGGGGCGATACAGCACTCCGGACAGTCGATACCTAGAAACTGAGGCATCAATATGGGTTTTGCCCTATCGTCTAACCTCTTCAGGTTAGTGTATATTTTTGGCGTTACTGTGCGATTATGTCATCTTGTCAGAGGGCGGTGAGGCCACCACCCGTTATTCTGCCGCTCCTTGTATAGTTATGGATATTCACGAGTATCATTGATCATTCATGTGTTCATCAACATCATGATATATCTATTGATTTGAAATATCCACAGTCAACTCTCATATGAAGGGCTCTTTTTTGGCCCTAGAGAAACTGTGTGGGGAAACAATTGTACAGGTCAAAAGAATCATGATATTGCTGCTATGAAAAGTTGCGAATAGTTGCAAAATATGAAGAATTAGAAAAAAACAATTAATTCATGTTGGAAGAACACCGCAAGTCAGCTATTGTTGGCTGATTGTCTGTCTCATAATTCCACGAAATTTAGGAATAATCAAGGTCCTGGGTTTTTCTGTTGGTAGGCTGTAAAGTCATCAAAGCGTAGTTCCTGTCAAATATATATCCCCGCGTTATACAGTGCAATCTCCAGCAGTTTATAGATCAAATATTGACATGATTATCCCTTAGATCTTCAAAAAAAGTCCTAACTATCTTCACTGTCCATTCTCCATTAGTTCTAGTCGTCTCAAGCCCCCACGATCCCAGCCTGTGTATGTTTTGTGACGAAACACAGCGACCACCATAGAGTACCACAACCCCATGCAGGACCAAATCCAAGAATAATCTGTTCCTCAACACAATCCGGACCCACTTTGAAAATCCACTCCCTGACTAGCCATCCGAACTAGTAGCTTAACCCCAATGAAAAGGCCGATTCATTCAGATCCCCACTTTGTCGGTCCCTCTTGCGAGCGCACTGACCCACAGTACACCCGCCATAGAAGACCATAACATCTATATAAGGAGTACTGCGGTAATAAGATCATTGTTATATCTGCGGGGTTATGGATTACTGGAACTGGACGAACTACCTGCGTATTTAGCGGGATGGTGGTTCCATGGCCTGTTATTTCCTACATGGCGTGATGAGCAAGTAGATCTGCCAGTGCGCAAGGCTGAGGCTGCGAGAGTAGATATTGAGTCTTCGACCAGTATAGATGCTGACTGCTTTGCGTGAGTCATAATGCCATCCAATCTTCAATACAAATCAATTAAGACAGTGTGAAGGGTGTTTAGATAAACTGAAATACAGGTGTAGATTGTCGTTAACTATCGAGTTCCATGCTCAAGTTATTAATGGAAGAACGCCTGACTCAAAAGAATCTCAGTTGAATGAGCCGTAGATTAAGATGCACGCAGCTCGCGACAGCTAAGCAGCTATAGAGCATTTGGTGGGGTCATGTAGGCATCCATGCGAGGAGTGAATGAAAGGAACCAGGGAATAACATAAACGACAAGGCTATAAAATACCCCGCGTATCTTTTGACTTTACAACAACCTCACTTCCTCACTTCACCTATTTCCAACTCATCATATCATCATATCCGATATCCTCCAGACAAGCGCTCTCCAACACCATCATGGCCCAACCACAAGACCTCCAAGCACACATAGACCACCTCCCCAGCCTCCCCCTGGAAGAAACAATCCAAGAAATTCTGCGTCTCGTCCCCGGCCTCACCCCATCCGTCTCCCCAGCCGCCGACCGCCTCATCACCCACGACAACTACACCGGCACCGCCCACCTAGACAAGCTAGGCAAACTATACCTACAGACCGGCAGCCGCTGCATAGCAGAACACGCCTCCCTCGCAACCCGCCTGTCCTACCTTCCTCTCGACGCGCTCTTCCTGGAACTGTACGAGCGCAGCGACGACATTCGAAATGCAGCTATCACGGCCGGAACGGCGACAGAGCCCAGCTATGAAGGCCAAGGCTGTCCCTGCTGCAGCGGGGAGCCGTCGGCGGTGATTCTCATGGGGTTTGCGGATGGGGAGTCGTTGTATTTTGAGGAGGAGGAGTATCGACGGCTTTGGGGGAACGTGGAGTCCGTCGGGACGCGTTTGTACTATGAGGATGGGGATAGCAAACGTAGGGTGTGTATGCTTATGGCGTCGAAGGAACAGGTTGGGGAACTGATGGAGAGGGAGAGAGGTGCTATGGCTATGTTGTAGTGCTTTTTGGGTGGAGGGAATGTGAGTTGTTACAAGACAGAGACAGATAATGCCCAGAATGGGTGCTTCAGTAGCATGTTTATTATGAAAGCTCGAGTCTGATATTTGAGCCTGAACTAGTAGTAACTTGTACATGCCTGGTAGTGCCTCGTGACTGAAGACCTAGGTATTCTAGGTGTCACGACGCTATAATAGATGAGTATATTACTGCTGTGCTGTATCTTCTCTTAGCCTATTAATCATGTTTTGGTGTCAAGGACCAAGATCAACTAAGAATACAACAGGAGTTTTATACAAAACATTAGAGCTCATAGTGACAATAAAGAACAATGACTATACACAATGAAGGTGTTAAAAAACCAGCACCACCGAGTCCCAGACTCCCACCTGAAGGTATCCAATCATAATCACACCAATGCATCAATAGCAAAGAAATAGAGAGCCTAGTCAACACTGATATCCGACTATCTCAAGCCTCTTCATGCTGGATAGACACACTGTGGCGGGTATAGATGCCGCCCTGCACATACCTGATACTACTACCCTCCAACGATAGGTCCTGCGACTTGTTGAGCTCCTCTTTCGAGTGGCCCGCTGACTGGCGGGCCTGCGACCAAAAATCTCGCTGGCCGAGCCGGAAGAGAGGTCGCAGGTTAGAGAGACAAGCGGCGGTGATTCCCACCGCCGCTTCGATGCAGGTCCACACGACGAAGGGGACTTGGTTGTCTTTGGTTGTCAGTATTCATTTACAGTGGGGACTGGAACACAGGGGGGAGAGACACGCACAAGTGATGTCGGGACCAGAGTGGGTAAACTGGATCATGGCTACCAGTCGGATGATATCAAAAATCAAAGTTCTATTGCAGACGTCAGAGGTGGCATGGTTTTCGAGAGGGGACGAGGGGACACACAAAATACCAACGAGGAAAACGAATGAAAGAAGGGCTCTCTGGCTTTTGGAAACAGGAAGCGACCAAACCGGCTTCAGTGGCATGACTAGCAAGACAGCATCGGTAAGGATGTTGGGGATCTGCATGCCATAAAAGAACATGGCAGGGTCAATGCAGGTCCCCTCAATTTCACGGTTCCAAAACTTGTTCACCGGGAGGCATTGCAGGACCCCAACAATGTAAATACTCAATGTCCAGAGAATGATGAAAGAGGCGACAACGTTGACGGCAACGTACATGCGTTGTGTGGTAAAGAGGCGCTTGTAGAGGGCTAAGACGGACAATTTGATGAGTGCGATGCAGGTTGTGTAAACGAATGGATTGGACCATCCAATCTGTTTCATTTTAGCTCGGGGTCTAGTTGAGCCATGTAAAGAGATATAAACCTTCATGTAGACTTCGAGGTTCTCGGGTGGGATCGTTGTGATATGTGATCCCATGCCGTTGAAGAGCACTGCTCTGGTTAGACTTAATCTGAAATTATCTCAAAGTTTAGATTACTTACAGATGACGACTCCGATTGAGCATCCATACTTAAAGAGCTATCGTATAGATGTCAACGGTCAACATGCATACTGTGCAAGCAGCAGGTTATGCCTTACCAAAGCTGCTACAATTAGATAGTCGTCCAGCAAAAGTCCGGTGCCTGTGATACGTCTCGCTACCAGACGCAAGACAACTGACACAGTTGACAGGATAAATGCAAAATAAAGAGCGACAATGACGGCCCGGCGCAGGTTGGCATTCGGGTGCTCAAAGTCACCCGAGACGCCGCCGTCTGATACCTGCGATAGAGACATCTGATGGATTTTGCCTGAAAGAGTGAATAAGAGTGGGAGGAGAGGCAAAATTCAATTCTGACAGGGGGATAGCTAATTTGGCTGCATGTATTTGGAATTTTGAGAACGCTGGACATGGTTAGATATAAGAGGCCGCTTGACAGCCCCGCTAATGGTGTTTATCTTGTCGCGTTTTCTCAACCTTAACCGTTTGATTTGCATGATTCTACAGATCACATATGGCTTCCCGGAATCTTCAGCCCGGGAGTTTATTCTCGAGGTCATCTTTGGTTCTTCGAGTAAGGGGAAGCATTTTAGGTCCTTGGAAGACGTCAGAGGTGATACAGCAATAACAGTTGTCGATAGGAAATTTAGATCTATGCAAGGTGTATTGACACAGGGCCCGTCTACCTAGAAGGAAGGCGTTGGTTTAGCAGTTGTTAGCAGCTTCCGGATTGCGGATAATGATTTTAGGTAGAATATGACAGACAGCTGTCGAGTCTCTGTCTGTCACCTTGCATCGATCGGGGATAGCCCTGTAGTGACGGTTGCACACTGAAATCGGTCCCTCAGAGACTTTGTACACGGACCATTGGGGAAAGACGTATGCAAGGAGGTGACGCTATGCTCCAAATTGGGGCTGCCATGTGGTCTGTAAAGGATCTAGGCACCTACATAGGATGAGACTCATGTTTTTATATTGACAAGTGTCTAAATATAAACTTAGTGGTCAACGGGATGTTTCCGAACTATCGACTGACTCGAATGTGTAGGGTTGGCAACCCTAATACTTGGTGATCGTTCGTAAATGATACATCAGATTCAAGACCTGTCATATAGACAAACATTGTTATCTCCCCACACCCCACTCGCCTGGTCTGGCTGCTTGGTCAGACTACATGACGTACACTCGTCGAGGGGTAACTTCCTTCGCCCGCGATAAATGATGCTGTATTCAATCGCGAAAGCTGGGTCAGGATCCCACTTCCATGCTTCGTGAGCGAGCAAATACATCGCCCTCGAGCTAAACAAAGATAAAAGTCTATTATGAGAGGAGATGAGTATTCTATATCTGGAGAGTTTGCAATCGAAGACTAACGACTCGATAGTTGTGCCCCTTCCAAGTCAGCAGCTCTGAACATACTGCTAATGTAGGCTTTAGCCGCGTAGAAGCTAATCAGAATCAGGTCTATTGATACTTCGTGTTAAATAGTATCCAAGTAAATCATAGTAGTACCTTTGTACAGACGAGCATGGATGCAGTCAGTCCAAGAAAATAGATGTTACGTGGATAGTCAGGTGACGGTCACTGACGAGGTTCATTGTGTTTCTGACAGAATTGATCTCTCCCTCCAACACTTCTCCACATCGTCAGTTTTCGTCAAGCCCGTGAAATTCTCATCAATTCTACTTGTATGCCTCTCACCTATAGGTGTAGAGGTTTTTTTTTTTAAAAAAAAAAGTCATACCCCTTTTTAACGTTGTCCCCACTTATACGACATGAATTCTGGACCCATTCTCAATCCCTCTTTGGCACCATCTAACAGACGCGGGTTCTGGTAATCTCATGGCATCAGTCCTGGCTCATTGCGTCAAAGTATCATGGATCTGGATCAATAATGGTTGACAGCAACGACTCTTGTTTTTAGCATCAGTGCTGGTTAACGCTTGATGGCTGTGCGGTTGGTGACAATCAATGATTTAGACTCCATTTCTTGTCAGGGAAATCCTGAAAAAAATTTCTACAGGTGAAGGTCTAGTTCCCAGCAAACGATACTCACCCCAGATCTGGTTGTCACTGTTACCGCAGGCTCGGTTAGTACGGATAAACCAGGAGTTTATTCAATTCTCCGTTCGCGGATGCAAAACGTATACTCTAGGCTTTGTTGGCGTGATAAGTCACTGATCTCAGTATATGAGGATTACAACAGCTTCATCCCTGTGGTTAAGCAAGAGGTCCAGGAATGATTCCAGTGACCAAAATTACTGACTCGGTTTTCAATGTGCCGTTTAACAGACCCACGCACCTATCAGAAACATACACCGCAAAAAGTAGGTTGAAGCTAACACCGACGGAGGATCATAAAGCACCAGTAGGGGTACCTCCATTGGACGGAAAGAAAACCCCAGAAGACCCACACATTGCGCTGACCGTAATGCGGAGCAGCTTCCTGCCTATCATGCCCGTACAGAGGATAATGCTTACTCGTTCTATAATGATCGGCCAGGACAATTGGCTGATTTACTAGTCCATGATAAACGGAAAGTTCAGCCGCACTGATCGATGGAATAAAGACGTCCGAGGCCCGTCAGTCAGGAGTACCTATGTAAAAATCTACGAATGTCTGGTATGGAAATTGCCCTGATGGGTCCAATCCTTAATACTGGCTGGCACAATGCACTCGTCACAAAAGTTTCATCACATACCACTAGAAGACTTAAGCGGCAACACGTCCCAGAAAGCACCCAGCAACAAGCAGTATCATCGAGTGGGCCAAGATGCCACCGCCAATGACTCCATCCAGCAATGCCGCTGGGGCATCGGGTCTCGAGTCCCATCCCTGATGGTGGCCCCGTATATCTTAGGTTTGCGTGATATCCTCCGGGGACTGGGTCAGCACGCTAACGTACATATCTCATTGTAACAACAGGCCTACTGATTGCCATCGCACACTTGTTGACTTTTCAGTATTTCGACGGAAAGTATGAGAACGACCCAGACATCCCAGATCAAGCCCATATCATGACCTTCGCGACCATTGCGGCAACCGTCTTCAGTTTCAGCATCCGCACGACCTTGGCTGCCGTGTTCACGCAATACTTCTGGCGACTCGTCCGGCTTTCACCGATCAAGCTCGGCATCGTTGAAACACTATACACCCTACGGAGCAATCCCGTTTTTGGTTTTCAGCCGCAAGTCCTACAGCATGGATCGTTGCTCGTGGCCGTCGCCTGTCAAATCTGGCTGATCCCAATCGCTACCGCGTTCCCGCCCAGTTCGTTGTCGTTGGACAGTGCCAGCTACGTGCACTCCGACATGGCGGATGTACCGACGTTTAATCCCTCAGATGTGAGTCCTGTCCGGCAGACAGGTGGATTGGTGTGAAAAGATACTGACGTGTCTTCTTCAAGATGTGGAATGGCGATTTCAAGGCCCTCCGGGACAACTCGTTAGCCCTGGTCAACTCCGACCCGGATGGCATTTACCCGCTAACCCCCAACCCGGACGGCCTATGGACCAAACCCTCCGTGTCGCAGCTCGCATTCGGCACGATCGTCAACGGCGAGGTCTCCAACGGCCCCTCGCCCTGTGGCGGGTCGTGCTCCTACCACATGACGGTTGACGCGCCATACCTGCGCTGCACGAACAAGACCAGCCCTGTCCTGAACATGACTTCGATCGAGGAACCCATTTACACCGCGCACTGGGCATCGGGTTACGAGAACGGCGACCAGCCGGACAGGGACGCGACATTTCGATTTACCAATCTCGTCTCCGTGGCCGCCGTCGACCTAGATGACGATGAGACTATGCTCTATTACAAACGAGAAACCCTCCTCTGCGTCCCGCACCGAGTCACCTACGATGTCTTCCAGAACTACACCCACAATCAGCTCACGTCAAAAGCCACCCCCAAATCCGTGCACCCGCTGGTGGATCTGATAGACACGGTGCCACCTCCAGCTGGAAAGTCCGTCGACCAGTGGATCCACCACTCCAAAGGCGGGGACTGGGGTCCGGCCGTGACTGAGAAAGTCCGTGACGCGAATATCATGACGCTGGCTGTTGCTATGCTTTCGCAACTGACGGGGCAATACGACTCGACGACATTTCAAGAGGGCGACGACAAGCACGCAAACGCTATAGGCAGGGACTTCTGGTGGTGGTATGCAGACCCAGATCAAGGTATTTACGGTATGTTCTCTGTCTCTCTTGCATTTCCTTCTGTGCCCCATCAAAAACAAAAAAAAAAAAAAAAGAGGAAAGAGAAAAGAAAGAAGAAAAAGTACTAATCGACAACCTCCAGGCTACGCAAACAACACAATCGCCCACTACACCCCCCTCTTCATAGCCTGGAACCTCAAGCTCTCCCAAGGAACCTACGTCTCAAACAGCCTCTTCGACCTCAACTCGGGCATCCTCAACGAAATGCTGCTCAACATCACCCTCTCCGCAATCGTCAAATACGACCGCTGGACAACACGCACAAACGTCACCCGCCACGACCCACGCCAGCAGTACCACTTTTCGCGCATCCAGCGCCTCGTCATACCCTACTTCGGGACTCTGTTTATCGCCCTGCCGTTCCTGGTCGCAGGGCTGTGGGCGCTCTGGACGAATGGCGTCCCCGCTACCGATCACGGCTTCTTGCAGATTCTTATGACGACTCGGGGGAGTCCGACTGTTGATAGACTCGCTGCGGGTGGGTGTCTCGGGGGCGAAGTGAACGTCCCTAATAAGTTGAAGGATCTTCCCGTGCAGTTTGGGGAGGTCGTGCTGGGGTCATCGTCGTCGTCGTCGTCGTCGTCGTCGAAGCTGGATGGTGGTGGTGGGGGGGGGCTTCGGAAACGGAAGCGAGGACTCTCTGGAAGTGAGGCTAATGATGACCGTGATGGGAGTCAGGTAAGGCTCGTGCCGGAGTCTGGGAGTGGTGATGGTGGTGGTGGTGATGTCGCCGATGATGAAGCCGGTTCGCGTCAGCTTGCGTTGGCTGGGTTTGGGACTCCCGATGAGGTCACGGGGATTACGCGCGGTCGGTCTTATGGTGGTATGTATTGAGATGTATTATATGTGAATGTATGTGTACGATATTTGCGATGAGTATATGCTGGGGAGTTCTAGTAGACTGGTAGATAGTCTGAAGTAAGTTCGATGTTAGCACGACAGGCAAGACTAGGATACCAGTCTTATTATCTCGCCATGTAATTGATCCTGCATGAGCAGCAAGGTTCGAGCCCAGCGAGGAAGAAAGAAGTAGTGGCTACAGAGAATAGATGTACCAAGACCGTGTCTATATTTTGCTCTATATGATCAACCGTTGTTTAATTTTTATTCCAAGATCATTGCTTATTTTTCCCCCCACGTGAGATAATCGCTTAGACGATCTCCTCCTTGCACGCAATGCCGTATTGCTCCTAAAACGATACGCGTCAGTATCATCAACCTGATTGAATGAGACAGGTTGTAGTTGACATACCTTAAGCTCCTTCATGAGAGGCTCGTTGATCTTGCCGTTCATAGGCGCCAGAACACCCTTCTCGGCGAGGGTGCCGTTCAGAACCTGCTTGACGGCGACGGCGCAGGGGATACCGACCAGCTTGGCCATGGCGGAGTAGCCGGTGGGGTCGGTGCTGCCGTACTCGACGAGAGTGGACAGGCGGGTCTGTTTGGTGCCGTCCTTCAGCTCGACTTCGAACTTGTGTTGGAGGCTGGGATGTATTAGTAGTATTCTTATGTATCTGGGAATAGTGGTCTTACATGACGATATCGCGCTCGCCTTCGCCGAATTGCATCTTCTTTTCGAGGGTGGCGCAGAGGGTGTCCAGGGGGTTGCCGCGGGGGATGGTCTTGATCACTTCTTAGCTAACTGCCCTATGGGTCTCCCTAAGTGATGGATAGAAGAAGACTTACCTTCTCGTCGGAGAAGATGCCAATCCACCGGAGGCCGGACAGAATGTGGTCTCTCTGCTCGTTGTCCTTGAAAGAGGTCTTGGAGGCAATAGCGCGGAGCAATTCGCCTTCATCCGAGGACGAGGCACCGAGGAGCTTCTGGGTGGCCTCCTTCCAGGCGATGGGGGTCTTCCAGTAGTCCTGCTCGGTGTCTTGGAGGAAGCCCATGTCGACAAGGACCTTGATGAACTCAGGGAAGCCGGCGTATCTCAGAGTACCTCTGATAGGTGTTAGTCATCCATATAGGGCTCAATCGCTGGTTTTCAATCGTACCTGATGATGGTCTGCGCCTCAGGGATGTTGTAGCGCTCCTTGTAGGGGGTGGAGTCGCGGTTGGGGTACGCAACAGTGGCGAAGCCTGAACCCGTCAGTATTACATATTAAGATATGGTGTGCGCCTTTCGGCTTCATGGCTACTCACCGGGGTAGATGTGGTAGGGCTTGGCAGTAGCCATCAGATCTGTCAAATATCAGCATTCACTTTCCGCAAGATAGCGAGCAACTGCGCTCCTTACCCGGACCAGCGACGTTGACAACCTTGCCATCCTTGTAGAAGCTAGCGGCGTTTCTCAAGGCGAGCAGGACACCGCGGGGAGACCTTCACCGTACAGTCAGTATCATCAAGTGACAAGTGTGTAATGTACAGGAATCGTACCAAGAGAACTTGTAGCCGAGAGGGTTACCGGAGCTCTCGGGGGCGGGCAGACCACCACAGTACGACAGGAACGAGGTGATCTTTCCGCCTTCGGCGTGGACCTCCTCAATGGTCTTGACGGCGTCTATACCGATCAGTTGGCTGCATTTGTTCAAGTCCTGATGAAATCCTTACAGAGGTGATCAATGCCGGGATCTGTATAAATCACAGTTAGTCAATACTCAGACAAGAAACCGCTGGACTAGACTAGATCACGTACCCAGACCAATCTCGTTCATAACAGTGATACCAGCCTTCTTGCACTCCTCATCCAGCTCCAGCATAGCAGGAGAGACATAGGAGGTGGTAACAACATGCTTCTTGGTGCGGATAGCGGACTTGATGACGACGGCGTGGAAGGTGTAGGGGATCAAGCTGATGACGAGGTCGTGCTTGGCGAGCTCAGCATCCAGAGCCTGGTCGTTGGTCACATCGAGCGAGATGGGAGTGGCGTTCTTGACGCCGGCCGACAGGGCTTTGGCGGACTCCAGGGTGCGGCAGGCCACGGTAACGGCGACACCGGACTCGGAGAGGATATCGAGCGTGGGTCGGGTGACGAACCCCGCACCCAGCATCAGCACTCTAGAGAGGATAGGTGGTCAGCATGGGACTTCGAATCTGTCGGAGGGGTTATATCATACTTGTAGGGCGACATTTTGCAGGTTAGGATAGTTGGAATTGGGAATGGAGAGATATCGAGTGTGGGATGCGAAATCGGAGTCGAAGGATGACTCGAAAAGCACAACAAATCCGGCCGCGGGGTATGTCACGTGGGGATCTTCGTCACTCGTTTCTCTCACCGCCTGCCGTTTGTAGATATGCACTGATTACGTTAGGCTTATAACTTTTGCCATCGAGTATGTCAAAATATGCGGGGTTTAATGATAGCAAATACTGACAGCCATGGAGGAACAAACTGGTCTGAATATGTCAAGATCATGTATACAGACCAATACTATGTTCATCAATAGATAATATGTTCATTAAGATCTTTGTACACCATCAAGGGAATTGCGACCAAGATGAAAATCATACCATACCCACAAAATGGGACCCATCCCATGCAAACAACAAAAATAGATGATAAAGAAGAGAAATAAAAATAATAAGTACAACGCCAATGCTCACGGCTGGTATATTACGCTGAAGTTTGTTTTCCCTGCTGTTGTTCCTGTTGTTTCTGCTGCTGCTCCTGCTGCTGCTTTTTCCGCTCCTTGGCGGCTGCATCGGCCTCTTTCCACGAGCCCTCGTAATGGTGAGAGACAAAAACATCCCCCTGGTCTTGCGGGAATCCGTTGTTCTGGGCGGCAAACGCAGCGCCCGGTAGGATCAAAACATCACCGACCAGTCTGGGCGTCTTGGTGTGGGCGAAGTCGCGGTCGTCGACCGGTCTGCCCAGCATCTCGGCCAGACTTTTCAGGATAGCGATGGTCATGATCTTGGGCCCGGTGACGTCCACGACGTCCACCGGCAGCATGTCCAGGGTGATGCCGCTGACGGGGACGCCGTTGCTGTTGGCAATCTCCTTCAGCTTGTCGACCACCGAGTTGACGACCATCATGAGATGGCGCGACCATGGCTCCGCCATGAACGCCCAGTTGCAGAACTGCGATGCCACCTGCTTATCTGGGCCTCGCCATTCAAAGTCCCACTCGATGCCCACGACCATGCTGATCTTCTCGCGCTTGTGCTCCTCGGGCACCCAGTCGGCGATGGGCTTCTCGCACGTGACATCCAGGTCGCTCCAGATGCCGCCCTCGGCGAGGACGATCAGGTAGCGGAGGAGGTCCGCGCGAAAGATGGGGATGGGGATCTGCTCGTAGACCTCGACGATGTCCGGTCGCGTCTCGTAGTAGTGGGTGCGGACGAACGCCGCGCCGGCCTCGTCGTTTAGCAGCTCCTGGCGACAGGAGGGATTCTTCGCCTTCCAGCTGTTGGTCCATTCCCGCTGCTGGTCCGTGATGTTGTCGAATTTCGCCGAGTGCCACACTTTCTCGGGGATGGTATAGCCAGAGGGCTCGGCGTTTGGGGGGCGACTCTTTGGGTCGCTGCTCCAGTGGCTGTCGGGGGTTGGGTCTGTATTGTACCATGGCGATGTGTCTGCGTCACCGGTCGCCGGCTGCGTCGCTTCGGATGGTGGGGGCGATGAAGTCTGACTGCTCGAGAAGACCTGAGAAGGGACCTGGGGCCATCCTAAATAAAAGGAGTACAGGATCACGAAGGAAAGAGATAAAGCCACGACCAGACGCACGGAGCGCCCGGTCTGCATGAGGGGGGCCGGTATCATGGAAGGACCGCCCATTTGAGACCAGTCGATGAATCAAATCAAATATGAGGGGAACATTCACATCCGAATGAACCCACTAGGATACAGCGGTACCTATATAATAGCAGAAGGTGCAAGTGACATCTTCTCTCACACCAAGACAGAGAAAGCTTGAGGGGGCGAGTCGCGAGGCGAGGTGGCACATCACAAAGCGTCTGTCTGGCCTGTGATGAGACAGGGGACAGAGCCAATCTTGGGCGTCCAGTTTAGCGCCGACTAAATTAGTCAGTTGGGCCAAGAGCCTCGATGGACACCAAACGAGCCGATCAAATTAGTTTCACGTTAGTCCTCCGGAGAGTTCGCCTGGAGTGGACATTTATCGACCGGAGACCCACCAGGGTCAAGGTTCCGGCGTTAAGATGATCGATCAAGCCTTGTGAGAGGTCAGACACGCAGGGAATAATCTCACCCCAGCAAGTGGATGCAGTCGGACGTTTTCACAGCAGCGCGTACTTGCAGCATTTAGCCTGTCAATCTATTTTGATCGCGACAAAAAGTCCTCTCTACTCCGCCGGCGGCAATCTCCAGTCAGCGATTGGATCTGGACCCACTCTGTCACCACCTGGTTGAGTGCTAAACATATCTCAGCACTTGTCTCGGGTTCAGCCCAATGCCCTGTGGTTAAGTTCGACCTCTGGTGGCTTGCGAAACCACGAAGGATTACAATTTCCAGAATGTCGGGTTTGCTCAAACCCCCCCTTTGCCATGCGCCGGCGCTGGGGACACAGCGCATATATGCGCTCCCACAGCCCGGACGCGCTGGTCGTCTCTGTTGTGTTTGAAACTTCGCGCAATCTCTCGGAGCAAACATACCAACTTCCTCGAACCTCCCTCTATGTATTGAGAACTATTTTCGCAGTGGGATCTCTATTTGCGGCGAGACCTATTCTGCCTTGGGTGTTATTCTTGCCGTGATCCTTATAATTGCCGTGGGTCCTATATTCGCGGGGAAACATACCTATTCTTAGGGCTTTAAGGGTTGTGTGACCTTGGAAGATCAAAAGTCATAAAACCATCCAACCAAAGCCGTCGCTTTGCCAGAGAAAAGAAATTCTGAGGCCGGATGGGCAAAGTGTCAATGACTTCTAATCCCTTCAAGTCTGTTTCGGGATGGCTGCTGTTCCTCCATGGCTTCCTGGGTCCCATCACAGCCCGAGCCGACCCCGTGCCCACCTCAGTACAATATGATCCCCATTTCATAGGGTGGTTCATTGGGCCCACAACGAGTGAGAGCCTCTCTCTTTCCATCCAGTTCAGTTTCCAAGTATAAATCCACGAGACTAACCCTGCCGTCCAGCCCAGGCACTGACGGACCCGGACTTCTGGAGCACGACGGGGCCCTATGCACGCGGGTGCTCCACAAACCCATGCTCCGTTGCGACAGACTGTCAGAGTAACTCCATCACCTATGACAATGGCAAGACCAGCACTTGGTGAGTTGCAGCTGTTTGAACACGCTCAAACCACGCAAGCAAGCACTAACGCAGATCGTGTTTGTCCGAATCTAGCAACGTATGTCGCACGATGACAATCTATCAATCAGCGCCGTTCAAAGGCCCAACGGCCAGTAATATCTTCTGCGCAGAGCATTGGAGCGCGTTTCAAGTTTATCGCAGGTTACCAGAACCGACCACCACGCCAGGTACACGTCCCCATCCCAGCTTGCTCTGCGGGAGTTCTAATCTTCTATAGAAGCAGAAGAGTCGTCCACAAAATCAAAGCCCCAGCCGGCATCACCTGCCTCCACAACGTCGACCACCAAGGAAACCGCAAAGCCCACCGAGGATAAGCCAACCGAAGACAAGCCCACCAAAGCCAAGTCCACAGAAGCCTCCCCCTCAGAAGCCTCTCCCACAGCAGCCAAGCCCACATCCACAGAAGATAAGCCCACCGACGACCCACCCAATTCAAAACCAGACCCCTCTCCACCCAGCCAAGCATGGATCGCAGGCGCCGTCGCAGGGCCAATCGCAGGGATCGCCTTCTTCGCCGGCATCGTCGTCTGGGTCATCTACCGACGAAAACACCGACGAGACCGTGTCGCATGGCCGCACGATCACCCGTACATGGGCCCGCCGGTCATGAAACAACCGCAGCACTTTCCGTACGAGATGAGCGCGCCGGGCTTGAAGCAGCCGCAACAATTTCCTTACGAGATGGACCCGACTGGTCGTCGTCCGTCTATTTATGAATTAAGTTCTGGTCATCAGCACTAGCTGGGTTGGCATGGGGTACAATTATGTGAAGCAGGAATGGGACGGTGTGTGTAGATGGTTTTATGTATATAATTAATTTTTTGCATCGGTTTGCAAATCTATTGCATAGCTTTTTGTCACTTTATGATATCATCCAGAAACTAGTGGATTAGTCTCTGGGACAGCAAAACATGGGGAAACGATACACACGGTTGGTTTATGTGTTAAAATAAACTTAAATTTTAACTTGAATTTGAAAGCTGTGGCAGCCGGATATATCCTTGAGAGCATCGTGCCACCCCGCGTGTTCTCCAATGTCTCCTTTCAGTGAGTCTGGATGAAACTTGACCAATCCATCCAGAATATTGTCTGGTTGACAATGTTATGCTATGGATTTTGAATATTCGGTGTAACAGTTTAAAAAAGAAAATTCCTTATATCCAGGGAATAAGTACCCCAGAGTGTCATATCCAGACACCGTCGACAGAAAACAGAAGTGGGCTGGCATTTCTGGCATTTTAACTCCCAAGTCCAGTCCAATTTCGAAGAGAACCCAACATTCCACATTATAAATATTTACAGCTTGGGACACTCGGGGCCCCTAGACACACAAGGATCCTGCCAATCCCTTCCACATAGGTCAGTCCTATAGATATAACAGGCAGGAGATTGATCAGTGTTTGTAAGAACTGTGATTTCTTCATTTTATCAACCCCTTCTTGGTGTCAGGATAAGCAATACAATAGGTAAAGTAGTCTACCTTATTCAAGGCAAGCCCTAAAAAACAACTGATGGTGTAGCCAAAAAAAGCCTGCCTTCGCCCAAATGACAAACACGCGATCAGCACACGCTACCTTGTCAAGTGTTGACTTAGACAGAGCCCATTCATTTTTTGTCTACGTTAGCATTCGTAGCTACCAACTCAAAGCTATCTAGTTGCTGTGCAGCCTCGAAGCCTTGCACCTCCTTGCAACAAAATATCTTGGCGAATGTAAACATTCCAACTTCTCGTGTTATCTGATTCTCCTCACCCGCATAAAGTTCTTATTCTGAGTATAACTAGAAATTTGAATGGAGATGCCATTTCTTAGGTAAATTGGAATGTGCCAAGATCACAAGAAAGTGCTTCTCATTACTCGAATTGGAAACTGCCAATTTTCACATTGCCATACAGTAAGGGACTGAGGAATTTCAGAGATACACCCTCTTATTGGTTGCTTGGTATCTTGGCAGCCGAATGGAGTTGAACTGTGCTGAATATCAGTCATATCAAGTTCGACCAAATGCCTATTCGGTTTTTAATGCAGTGGCTGAAGGAATGCAAACACTACACCGCCGACATGTTTCAGTCTAGACCGTAATATCTCAGTTATTTGACCCTGACAAAGTGATTCAATCCCGGCCAAATCTTCAAAAACACAACTGTTTAGTATGCAAGGATCCAATATTATGTGGTCCGGAGGTGTAATCCGGCATTTCTCACTCCTCCCTGATGAGGTCTGTCCACACTATGGTACCTGCCATTGATGATCAGGGGTATAAAATCTACTTGATTCCCAGCTATCATAGCTCTCTTTAACAGCATACCCATCATCTGTTTACTTGCTATCATTCCTTGGTTTATTTAGTCAATCTTCACAAAATCCCTTACAATGAAGCTCCTCTACACCACCGTCGCCATGCTCTGCCTCATTAGCACGGGTCTGGCAGCCAAACCAGCTCCCAATTCTCTCGAGGGAACGCAGAACTGCTGCCATACCGTCAAGAAAGGTAAAGGTCACAGGGTAAGCTTCCTAACAACTGATACCACTCTAGTGGGAGACATTTGCTGAATAGTGAATTAGTTGTGTGCTGATGGCACGGCTGGCACCCCTTATTGTGGCAAGGGCCGTGAGTCTCCTTTACCTATCTGTAAATGAATACGTACTAATATCTGCAGCTTGCAATGCCCTTGGATGTGCATGCAAAGGTGGATGCCGCAAGAAGTAGGTTGTCTTGCAACTACTAGTATCTGGGGGGTTATATATGGCCGTGTGTGGTTTTCTTCGTGTTCCGGTATATGTTTCATGTCTTGACGCGGGTGCAAAGTCTATGGACCGCGTTTAATAGACTGCTTTGCTAGTGTTATAATGAGATAGATGTGCTGTAGCTTTATGAAACTGTTGCCTGCGCTCGACGATTGCCTCGTAATAGACCATACAGTTTATCATGGGCTTGGGGATATTTGGAACGCAGCCAGCCAAGACATATTATACTTGTTGGGGATAGGGAGTACGAAGAGACAAAATGCATATGGCCTTTAATATGAAAGCATGCTGACAAAAATGTCTTGTGTTTTAAAGCAAGGCTCGAATCAATAAAGTCTCCTGCCCCTATCATATTTTCAAAGTCTGAAGGAGGTAAAGGCGTCTCTGAAATATCTAAGGTCAATTAACCATCCCTATTTCGGGGTAATACAGTAAAGACATGCGCTTGTACAATACTCGGGAAGCATCTCGACTTGCTAGAATGCATGGGAAAGGGTCAAAGAATTTTTATAAAATAAAGACAAAAGACAATATTTGGGTAATCGGTGGAACGATGAAAGCCCACTTAGAATGATAACAGAATATGCAGGAATGAGAATATTTCAATGAGAACATTTTGCTTCATGTGGTCGGCTAACCTCTTACAGTGACTGTATCCCTAAAGATTCACTGTGGGTTACCTGCTCAACATTAAACATTTCGTGGGTCCCATATGCTTGACTTTAGCTGTAGTTAATATTTCAAATATAGTTACCAGTATAACATCACGTGCAGCATGTTGCCCTGGGTTGTCTACAGCAATATGGGTTATACGCTGCAGGGTCTGACCATAGCTCAATATATACTGTTGATATGGCTTATAATCTGACAAGTAGAGAATAATAGATTCCAGGAACCCGAGCCGAGCTAAACCTGAATAGGGAGTTCTGCGCAGACTGCAGAGAAAAGTACATTTCCTTATGCTATTAGCGATATCAAATACCTTAATCAAGCTTAATCATGATCCTTGGGTTTTCGCAAGCTCGGAGAGAGTCGGCGACCAATTGAACCAAAAGCCAGGTACCATGGAAGACAGCGGTATCCGACCTAGGTGCTGAGATATATGCCCTAGACAATAAGGGAAAAAGGTGTGCTTCGAAATCGGCTACTGTAGCCTCGCATTAGAGTTTTGTGCCCATAGGTGGCTAGCCACTTTCCCTGCACACACCGAGCTAATCAAGTAGTCTTGTAATTCCCAACCAACCATTCTGTCAGAGCAGACGATTCTTTGCTAATAGCAGCCGTCTCTCAAAGAAATAGAAGATTAGTACTGGGAATCACATTTGATCAACCAGATAAATCACTATGGAGGTGGTGGCATCTGCCGAAGCTGCGGCGGCGCTTGCTGGCATGTTTCTCGAGATTGTGCGGACTATGAAGCATGTTATCGAGACCATGAAAGGGGCACGGCTCGCTCTATTCGAAGTGTTCACTCGCGCAGAACGCATTCGTCTCAACTTGGAGCTCTTCCGCTCGCTCACTAACAGATTGTCCGATCCTATGGAGAAGTCTACTGCCCTTTCATTCAATGAGAGTGCGTATAGGCAGACTGTAAATGAGGTGCTGGAGTTGGTGCGCAAAGTTGCAGGCTTGGCTAAACGACATGACCTCTTGTTGAAGATCAGTTGGCTATTTTACAGGTCAGATGTCGCCGCACTTGTGAAGAAATTGGAGGAGAGAGAGAGGGACCTGGGGCTCGTCTTGACATTCATTGCTGCGTATGTCCTCAACTATCCTTGAAATTCGAGAGTCGTTCACAAGATTCTGAGTCCGTCACATCTTTTAGAGAATCTCCTTGGTCTGAACACTGTTATTAATGTCTTTCTAGGCAATCAAATGTTATCACTGAAAGCGAAATGTTCAAGCTTAGATCTAAAGTCGAGGAGCGCACGAAGATTAGCAATACCTTTCACGATGTGCTTCATGCACAAAACTCCTACAAGCGTCGCCTACTCTGTGGCTTGGAGTCCTGGTCAGGGAGCCTTTCGCTCCGGTGTATCTAGAAAAACTGGACAAACTAGTCCATGCAGCGAAATACGGTGACTGGTCGACTGTATTGGAATCCTTGGATGAAGGGAGGAGCGTTTTCAACGAGTCATGGTCAAATGCCGTCCGGCTTCGTATGTACTAATACCACGCAAGTCTGCATCTGAAATCAACTCATCAAGCAGCAGGCCCAGCCAAGAATCATCATAAGCTGTCTCTCTGGACCCCACTCCATCAGGCTGCCTACATGCGAGCCCCTATTAGCATCATCTCGCAGCTGCTCGAATAGGGAGCTTTCCGTACGAGCGTCATGTTTCTCTTTTCTGAAGCTAATGTGCTGATATATTGGGGCAATCCCACTAATGTGAAATTTGTCGTCTAGGAACCCTCGCAACCGGTCGGACAAAAGGTGAATTCCAATGCGCAGATATCACAGCCGCTGAAATTGCCCGCGAGCTCGGATACGACGATATATACGACATCCTGGCCCCTGTAGTCAGGCATGTACTGCCTGCCGCGACTCTGACCCTTTTGCAAAGAAAATTCGACGAGTTTCTCCAAGCGGAGCTGGAGGAATGTGTGACCCTGACCCGTGGAGAAATACGTTTGCCTCCCTTGTCTGCATTCACTAAGCTCGAACGCCCGGAGATGTGGTTTCCTCTTGCGTTGTTTCAGAAGGTCAGGATTGTTTTCAGTATGCGCTTTGTTAAAGAAAATGAGAAACTGATTGCTTATGGCAGGGATTTTTAATTCGTCTTGACGGGAGGGAGTTGGTGGTACTCAGCCTCGGACGCAGACAGCCACCGTCAAGGCAGGTCTTTCGTATCACCACCAAGGGGTGGACTGCGATTCAGGATGTCATTATCACAGGGCATTAAAATGTGTTGCAATGACCCTCTGGTTTTGGGAGGGGGAAGACATGGACGTTCGCACCCGGAGAGCACGTGAGCTTTACAGCGTGAGCAACTTAAACGAGGTGGAATTTTACATGCAGGCAAGAGCTGAATTCAAGAATAAAAAAAGTAGATATACAAAATAAGAAAAAGAAAAACATACAACAGCCGGGATTCGCATGTGGTCACCCACCATACTACTAACCGGCCGGCGTGTGGCTTAAGTACGGCTGAGCGGACGGGAAGCCCTGTTCTCCACACCCTATGGTCGTATGTACTAGATACCACAAAAGTAGGGTAAATATAGGGACAATCATTAGAATCAGGTTACTTGAGCCCTCAGGCCTGATATCTTTCCTAGTATATGTGACCGGTTCCTTTACGTTGCCTCGCACTGTTCATGCCTCTCTATGAGATCGCCCAGTCGGTGATTTCCACCCGCTTGATGGCGTTTCATGCGACCGCCAGAGGCTCCAGCAGAGCCGCGACACTCAGGTCCACCGAATCCGGCAGCGGGTGTATCCTTGCCGTGTCGACAGCCACAGCCTCTGACAGATCTCCTCCCCGCCCAGACAGACCTAAAAACCCCCATTTCTCACACCCGTGGGTCAGTCCCTTCTGGCAGGTCGCGCAGGACAAGCAGTACAATTGTGGATCAACCATGACGGGCTGACCCGGTGCCAGGGACGAATTGCGAGGGGCTTCAAGGATGCGTCTGGCCAACTCGTGGCCCATGATGACGGGGAGTTTCTCGTCTGAGAGGGGATGTGGTTGTGTGGGAACCGCCAAAGGGCCTGACTCTCCGTCCATTACAATCAATCTAAGCTCTCGCAGTTCAGAGGGGTGACCAACCGTGTAGATATTCGTGCAGATCGCTGGCACATAGTCCACACCATTCTACCGCAACTAGGGCTTGGTCGGCCGTGGGAAGGGGAATTTCTTCATCTTCTATACGAATGTCTCTGGCAACATGGAATCGGGCCGCTTTCATGGAAGGCATGGTAATATTGTGGCTTGAAGGTTGAAGATTGCTAGATTGGTTGTAAGTTCTGAGGTGATTTGTTTAATACGCGATTGTCCAAATGCCTGGTTGCCAACGGAGCTGATTTCAACCCGCGTGCAACTCGACTGTGCGGGGAGTGCTGTCTGACAGCTCATGTACGATGAATTTACCCATGGTCATATCGTTAGTTGATTTCTGCGCAATTGCGTACTGTTCAATAGGTATGCTGTCCATCAGTATATGCCCCAACTCGAACTACACTCTAGTTTTATCACATTGTTGATATGCCCCAGCCTTCTGTCGCAGAACTTGATTAGGATAACCTTCCATTAGCTATGGTATATATTCCCCGAAAGCAACACTCCCTGCAGTAGCATTCTAGTGTAATGAAAACTTCATATATTGTATAGCTTGCTCAGCCACATTGCCAGAAACATTGACCAGATTTTCGTCTCCTATCATCGCTGCCTCCAACCATGCTTTCTAATATGCACTGTAGCCCTCATATCCCTTGTCTGCATCACTCCTAGCTTCCACGTCTGTATCTCTCTTGAGTAGCCCTGCATCCGAGGTCGCAGCGGCGTTATCTGTAGCAGGATCAGTCTCGACTTTTCTTCTGCATCTCTAGAACCATATTCATACCGCCAGCGTTGGTAGGCAGAGCCTGAGACCCGATGGCCAGGAGAACCAGGGTAGTAAAGATAGTAGGGACTCGCATTGTGATAGTAAAGAGGGCACGTTAGGGCTATTTCTTTTTGTCGGATGATATTTGAGAAGGAAATATTAGGGAAATCGAGGAATGATTGTTTGTTTCCATGTGCGATAGGCAGGGAGGGACGTGGTATATATAGGGCCACGACGGTCAGCTCACCGATTGATGTATCCTGTATGTTGTCCTAACTAACTGTCAATAGATACATGTCGGGTCTACGCATGATATACACGCGTACATAAAAATGCCCTCACTGGAAGGACATGTAGTGTCACAATGTCTCTTTCACTTGACTTTTCAAAGCATCTCTCTTTCTCTTGCGTATCTTGCTTATTTCTTCCATACTGTTGAACATTTACTAAGTTTCTGACAGCTCATGTAGGACGAATATATGGTCATGTCAATCAGTATAGTCTCTACGCCTTCGAACTAGAATTTGTGGCATATGTCCAGTTTGTAGAGCAGCATAGTGCTAGATGTTAGGTTTGTTTCTATTTATTTGCGACGGGCAGAGACGTATGTTGTATAGATATAGGGTTCTAGTGACCAACTGTAGAGTTCTGCAAAGCACTTCCCCTTTGTCTATCTACAAATAGTGGAAGTGGTACGTTTTTCATCATTCTTTTACGTCTTGTAAAGCTTTTTCCCTACATAATTGACGCAGCTAGAGCCCCGCTTGGGCGTGGCACTCTCCACCAACTCAGCGATCGATTTGTCCTGTACATCCTCCAAACTATTGATCAAATACGTCAGATACGTCAGATCATGCATGATGTACACGTATGCATTGAATCGCACACACTGGAAGGACTCATCTAGCATATCCCTTCCTTGCTTGACTTCCCAAGCCACCCTCGCTCTCCCATGTTTCTTGCTCATTCCTTGAATCCTATCAAACAGGCATCCACCATGAGGGATTTTACACCATACACCCATCTACGGCAATCCTCCGACCTGACCATCGACCTAGACGACCGCACCCTCAAAGAACAAGACACATTCTTGCCTCGAAGTCGCGACTCCGAAGAAACCAGAGAGTCCCACTGCGAAGAAGAAGACACCCCATTCACACATCGCTCCTCGGCAGCTCTGGTCGCTCACGCAGTCCTTCTCGTCTGTAACACGGTCATCCTCGGCCTCTCCGTCCTACTATGGCTACGAGGGGAGAGTAACTGTCCGTATGGGGTCAATGGACCGGGCCTCATTCGCAGCATGTCTTCCTCTACTCCTTGCCTCTCCCACTCAACCCTAACATAGTTATACAGCCCCCATGGAAGAAGCCGTAGCCTACACTACCCACAGTCTCACCGTCGACACAAAGTACTTTTCCAACGGGACGATCATCCCCGATCCACAACACAAGGAGTTTGGTCCCCTTGGTCTGGAAGCGGACGCCGTGTGGTCGGCGATGCTAGAGCGTATGTGCTATTTTTCCCTTCTTCCCGTTACTGCAAATCGTCAAGTTAATCATTCTGTCTTCAGACTCGAACATCCGTCTTTCCCGCGATGAGCTCAACGAAGACTACCACGACATGCCAGGTCTAGTAGAGTTCAGCGACGGGTCGGGTATCTACGGCTCGGTAGCGGTGTACCACTCCATCCACTGTATCAAGCGAGTGCACCATTTGCTGCACTTTGACCATTACCACCCGAACAAGAGTGCCGAGGAGACTCGTGCTCTTATGCACCACGGCGGTTTGTCTAAACCTTAATATTGCAGTGGAAACTAGGCTAATGCACTGACTGGTTGAGTAGAACACTGTCTGAGCTACCTGATGGAGGCAGTCAAATGTAACGCCGACCTGACTATCTTTCCCATGCAATGGGGTACCGAGTACGCACTTCTTTTTTTTTGAAGACTACAAACAGCACTAATATAAGGACAGAACGCGTATTCCCCTCGGTATCGACCAAGGCCAACATCAGTGCAAAGACTGGGGCCGCATCGAGGAATGGATGAAGACGCGCAGCGTGGATATTTACACGCCGGGTTTATTGGTGCATCCGAAATTCGGTATGTTTGATGTTCTTTGAGTGAGTGGATTGCGCTGATGATGATAGGATGGGCATATGCGGATGGTGTCGACCATCTTACTGGCGTTGCGCCGGGTACGACTGTTGCTGGTGGGATGTCGGATGGGCATTAGGTGTTATGGTTGTTGTACATGGATTGGATATGAATAATGTCGTGGAGTCGACTCATGGGGACATGAATTGTAATGATGGGGTGTATATCATAAAAAACATCGTTCTAATATTCAAGGGTGACTTGAGATTAGGTTCTTATTAGCGGTCTGGCTAAGACAGTAGTAGGTGGTTGCTGCTAAAAGTATAGCAGAATGCATAGTAGAATGCACGGCAAAGTGGATCAAAAAGCACAATCGATATACACTGCAGCCGCCACGAGTCCAACATCTTGGCATCATGCATAAGCTTCGAAGCAAGCCACTAAAAAAAGAATGAAAAAGCGTCCACTACTTTGCCATTCAAGATAAGAAAAAAATAGTGATAAGGATGAGGAAGAAAAAGCAAAAAGAAATGACCAGACTGGGGCTCGAACCCAGGACCTTGTGCGTGTTAAGCAAACGATATGACCAACTAATCCATCCGGCCGTTGTTGAAGAAAGCTTTCTGTTTTGGATATATCAGCAATATTCTGTTTGAGAGTAACAGCAATTGATTGACTCTTGGGTTGAGGTTGTGAGGTTTTTGGGTATACCAGGTATATTTCACCACACCATTTGCTGATGCAGATTATGTGTTTAGGATATTTCAGTGATTTTCAAATGTATATCTCATTACATAAAATTAAGATCAACAGCAAAATACTCGGTTATTGCCCTTTATACATCTATACCGTTCAATATATATTTTGTCACATTAGTATGGTGCTTATCCGCATAAGTCTAGAGATCATATTTCAACAACACTGGATATTGTTACAAAAAAAAAAAGGCAGTGACTGATTCTCTCACCTAATCATTGCCTAGAAGAAAAGGAATAATCTAGAAACAAATGCCATGTTAGATCTTTAACTCCATCCTCCATTTTATTACCATCCCACACCTGTATCAATCCTTTCTTTTGATTATTAGCCCTATTTTTATTTCCAAGCCGATTCAACTGACGTTCCAATAACACAGTGGTTGTATAATAACCCACCGTATCATCGCCAGTATATAATGCAGATCAAATCTTGATACGCCAATGCCACTTATAGTCCAGACAAGCCCACCGCGCCGTCAAAAATAGCAGCGTCGACAGCAGCAGCATACACCCCAACCACACTACCACAATCCTTGAGCCAACCTTTTCAAGCACCTCGCCACCGATAGGAATACAGATTAACGTGCTGCAAATATCAGCCCGACCGCCATATCTAGACCATGGGAGTGAGGGATACATACGCAAAACTAACAAGACAGTAGCACGTCCCAAATCGCATCCCAATCTCCTTGGCGTGCGACACCTGGCGGATACAAACAGGCGCCAGACTGATGAACGACCCCGAGAAGAGTCCGTACAGCGCGCTGAAGAGATACAGTGCTGGGAGGTGGTGGCTGAAGGGGTACAGGATGACGAAGATGGTGATCACTGCTGCTGAGATTAGGATGATGAGCACGTTTAGCCGGCCGTAGCGGTCGGCGATGCGGCCTGCGAGAAGTCTGCCGATGCAGGAGCATCTGTTTCGTCTTGGTTAGTGTGGGGAAGAGGGTGTGTAGAGTGGTTACTTACACGTTCAACACGACTAGGGTGTACACGCCGGCGCTGGTGCTGAACCCCTGCTTGGCTACGTATGTTGGGTATAGACCGATCAGGGCAAACACTTCCAGCTCCAGTGCTATCTGCGTTAGCGGTACCTCAATAACAGGCAAGCCAGCTTACTGAAGATCGCCGCACTCAACCACGTAAAGCGCGAATCCCGAAAACAACGAATATCAATAGCCGCCTTGAGCTGCCCCTTTGGCAGCCGCGACTTAACCAAGAACGAGCCCAACCCGGACAAAATCAGAACCACAAACGCCAAGATGCGCATCCCCCACTTAAATCCCAGACTGGCGAACGCTCCCTTCAGGATAAACGGGAAGATGACACCCCCCAGCCCTGCCCCGGCCATCGCCGTGCCGAGCGCCATGCCGGCGCGCGCCTGGAACCAGTGCGGCACACACGACATGCCCACTGTGCTGGTCAGGGCGCCGCCTATACCGGCCATGATTCCGAAACAGAGGATGAAGTGCCAGTAGAGCGTACATTCTGCGGTGAGAAAGAGACTGGCTGCGTAGAAGACGGATCCGGACATTACTAGCTCTCGGGGCCCGTATGTGTCGAACATGGGTCCGACCAACACGCCCAGACCGAGGGACATGAACACGAATAGGCCTGAGATCCAGCCGACGTTTTGGCTGGAGTAGTCCGAGAGCTGGTGGCTCTCGAGGTAGGACTGCAACACTCCGACTGAGTTCATCAGTCCGTAGGAGGACATGAGTAGCAGGAATGATCCCATGACGACGAGCCATGACCGGTAGCCGCCGTCGGGGAAGCTCTCAGCGGTGTCAGTGGAGCGTTCTTGGGATTCTGGGGGATCGGTGACTGAGTGGATGGTGGTCATTGATGTATCGAATCCACCGTCAGGGGGGTATCTCTAAATGGGCTGGTGCTGGGTCCAACTCCGACAGAAGACTCGTCCACCTCAAAGGGAGTGACGGTTGTCTGGTTCTTTGGGGGCTCCATGGTGAATCTGCTGGATTGAGCTGTGTTTGGTGTCTAAACTTTCATTCAAGCTAGATGCCATTCATATAAGGAGAAGCAATGCGCAATGTATGCATGAGGCATGAGTCACTGAGGAATGGCGGGGTCGTCGGGGATATTCATTAGATTGCGCATTAGGAGTGTGGATGTGGCGTGAATCTTATCAAGACAGGAAATTCTTTCCCAATGAGTAAAGGGCTAGATTATCGAATTTGCTCTTATTATGCAGGGGTTCATGAAGATGATCCAGGCATCTGCAGGTCCGTAGATGGGTTTGCCCTAACCGTGATGGATCCGTCATTCTGTTGGTATGTGGGACGGACTTCCGCATTCAGTATCTGGATCCTGCTTAATTTAGAGGAAGTAGAGTTGACCAGGATTGATAAATATATGCTCCGTACTTTATTTATCCTTATTATTCTCCAGTGAAATGGGGATAAGATGATAGTGTGTCATGGTTGATGATGTTGACACATACCAACAATAGTGCTAATTCTTAACATAGTTCAGTTCCGGTTTGAATAGGTAAACAGTCTACAAATATTTACCCATGAGGATATAGTATGAATCACACAATTGATCTATTCTCATTCAAACCTGATGTCTAGCGGGGTCAACAAATCTCCAACACCAACATGAAAGAAGAGTGGGACGACTAGACTGCATGAGGAATAGCATCTCCTAGTCGGGTCAATTCTATCGATCTATCTATCGATTGATCGATTGATCGATCGAGGAATGATCGACTAGTTTGACCTGTTTGTTTACAGCTTCATCACATCTCATTCTCTCCCTTTCTTCTCTCCACACTAAATCTGTAGAATGTCGATGGCCAGTTTCATCGTGACCGTCAGCATCGCTCTGCTGACGGCTGTAGGATATGGACTCTATGTCGGGTATCACCACCGACGGCGCATCTACCGACTGCGCCAACAGGGGATGGTGAGTCTACCACGTTCAAGACCGACCACTTGTCTAACACACGACAGGCCATGCCCGAATGGAGCTGGATAACGGGCCACCTCCTAGTCTTGAACAAATACCTCAAGACCCTACCCCGCGACGTGAGCGTCAACCTGGCCGTTCGCGATCTCGCCTTAGAGTACGGCGCCACGGAGATCTTCCTCCTCGACATGTGGCCCATCTACCCAGCCGAGTTGGTCGTCTACGACCCCGACGCCGCCATCCAAATCACCTCCAAGTGGAACCTACCGAAAACAGAAAAGTTCGCCCACGCGATGACGCCCATCACAGGCGGCCCGAGTCTAATCGCCATGGGCGGCGCAGAGTGGAAACGCTGGCGCGCGTTGTTCAATCCTGGCTTTAGCGCCGCGAGCATGACGGACCTCGTGCCGAGTATCGTGGACTCGGCGCAGGTGTTTTGCGATAAGTTGCGCGATCGAGTTGGGAAGGGGCTGTTTCTTCTTGATGATTTGACTACGCGTTTGACAATGGATGTTATTCTGAAAGTGACGCTGTAGCCTCCCCCTATTATTCTCTCCGTCTACAACAATCACGCACCTACTTACTTACTATATAGCGACGCCGACCTCGACTACCAGCGATCTGACAACCCCCTAGCGACAGCACTCAACAAAGTCACCACCTGGCACAGTTTCTGGGACCCGCGCATTCTAGCACACCCCCTCCGGCCCTTCATCCAACGCTACTACGGCTCTGTAATGGACCGCTACATCCGCACAGAGCTCGACAAGCGATTTTCCGAAGCGCATGACAACAACTCTACCAAGCGAGGCAAATCAGTCATCTCCCTCGCCCTCGAGGCCTACCGCACCTCCAACGATGGGGACCATGACCCCAACCACCTGGACGAATCGTTCGCCCGCTATGCTACCCACCAAATCCGCCTCTTCCTCTTCGCTGGCAACGACACTACCTCCAGTACAATAGTCTACATATACCACCTGCTGTCCCAACACCCAGCCATCCTCGCCCGCCTCCGCAGCGAACACGACACCATCTTCGGCACCGACCCCAACCCCGCTGAACTGCTCCGCGCCCGCCCAGCCCTCCTCAACGACTGCACCTACACAACCGCAGTAATCAAAGAAACCCTCCGTCTCTACCCCCCAGCCGCAACCCTCCGCCAAGGCGCCAGCAACCACACCTTCACAGACCGGCACGGCACGCTCTACCCAACAGACGGTCTAGCAACACTCGTCCTACACCCCGCCTCACACGCCAACCCCCGCGTCTGGCCCCGTCCGACCGAGTTCCTACCGGAGCGCTTCCTCGTCCCTGAGTCGCATGCGCTTCATCCTGTGCCTGGCGCGTATCGGCCTTTTGAGCATGGTCCGAGGGCGTGTATTGGCCAGACTCTCGTGTTTAGGGAGATTCAGGCTGTGTTGGCTTTGACGGTTAGGGAGTTTGATGTTAAGCCTGCTTATGAGGAGTGGGATGCGATGCGGGCTGGTTGGGGGGGTGAGGGGGTGAAGACTGTTTGGGGGGATAGGGCGTATCAGACTGATAGGGCGGGGACGCATCCCGCTGATGGGTATCCTTGTCGGGTGGTTGCTCGGGAGCTTAAGCGGGAGGAGTGAGTGAGTATCTACTGGTCTGCTAAAGCGATTGATAATATGACAGCTACAATGAACTGCATCATTCCTGTTGTTTGTTTGGCCTATGTCATCGGACAATACAACCACCCCCCACAAGATCCAATAGACACATCCCATGCACACATCCAGAGAAGCATCACTCCGCATCAAAAGGACAAGCCGGCGGCTGCTCATCAACCTGAATCCCCCCCCTCTTCGCCTCTCCACAATCAGGATACGGCAACCTCCACCCCCCCTCACCCTGCGGCACCGCCAACCACAACCTCATCAAATGCCGTCTCCGACAAGGCCGTCCCGCCTCATCCACCGCCCCAGGCGGATAATCCTCATACGCCGTGCGCGCGTGAAACACATGCGAGTTACTCAGGAACTGGATGTCGCCGGGGGCTAGAATCATATGGAGCGCATGTGTCTTGCACGTCGTCTCCAGCACCTCCATCGCGTATTTCTGCTTCTCAGACAGCGGTGGAATGCGCGCGTCAGGCCCGCTGTTGAATCTCCCCAGCGAGGTAACATTGTTGGGATCGAACCGCGCGTAGACGCGGGGTTCTTGCCCGTCGGTCCTGTTTTCCAAGTAGATAACGCTGCCGCGGATCCACGGCTCCTGGCCAGCGGAGACTTCGCCCTTGCGGTCAAAGTACCAGTTTGGGGTGGCGAGGGTTTCGACGACGTCTGGGTGCGTGCGTTGCAGGATGTTGAGGATGTGGTGCGTGGAGACGATGTCGGATTCGCCGCCGGATTGGGACTTCGCGATGCAGAGGAGGCCGACGAGGTCGGCGCCGTCTGTGTGGAAGTATTGTCTTTTTCATCTATCATTAGTGGTTCTCTATTCTGGAGGACTGGGGGAGACGTACCGTGCGTTGGTGCGGTAGATCCGCACTTTATCTGTCCGTGTCGGATCTTCGCCTAGATCCTTGACGTGGCCGAGGACATGGCCCCGTCCGTTCTGGCTGACGAAGTAGCCCAGGTACGTGCCTAGTCCCATGTACGCGACAGCCGCCTTCTGCAAGTCCCAGTCCTGCACGGGCAGATTGCGGAAGAGAAAGAAGCCTTTTCCGTCGACGAGATCCTTGCGCAGTTCTTCCATCCGATCGGACAGACCGGGGAGGGGGAAATGGTCCTACAATATCTTAGTAGTTGTGTGAATCTAGTGCTGGCTGGGTGAATTACCTTGGTAATACCCGTCAAAGGCGTCCCCGCGTGGATGAACCGATCTGCAGCCGTGCTGATCTCGTCGATGTCGCGTTCATTGAAGGAGTACGTCCATCGCTCCGGACTGTCCCTGTAGTCGTCGGCTTGCCAGACTGTTGGGCCGGTGATCTCCTTGGGGAAGGCTGAGTAGGGCTTTACGAGGGTGTAATCCGGGGCGTGTTGGCCTGAGGTCTTGAGGCCATCTGGAAAGGCGGATTTGTTGGCTGCTGCTGCGGCCGCAGTAGGGGTTTCCACGAGTCCGGGCGCCATTGTGGTTATTGAGTGGCTTATTTGGTATCTATCGTGATGAGGCTACTACTAAGTACTATGATACCCCGCATCCTGAGACACCCCGCATTGATGCATATCGGCTGTCGGGGGAGTCGCCGTGTCGGAGATTCTCCGCGTCTTATCAGTGGTGTTTTGACTACATCGAATATACAATTCTTCAAAAGGCCATATTGTGCTGTGTTTTTGATTTGATACAGAGAGATAGCAGAAGCTATCGATAAATCGCGTCCCTCAATATGATAACTACCGTGTAGATCTACATGACGTCTCTACTCCGCCGAGACCACCGACCAAGGGATGACGAGCGACGCGACAATTGGACACGTTACTCTAACATTCGCAATGGAGACTTCAGCCACGATAGATTTGTCTGATCCGCCGTAGACAAAAGGAAAAGGTGAAGGGAAAAGGGGAAGAAGGCACCGGTTGCATGGTCCCACCCAGACTATCCCACTTCAGCGTCTGCCGTTGGGGTTAGGAGGCGCCGTGAGTGAAAGAGATATTTCAATCGAATGCGTCGAGGAGCATCGGAGGCGAACATGTATTGGGAGTAAGCAGGGATGACACCGTTCCCTGTCCATCGTTGATTGTATGTTACTCCAGATTTTGACCCTCCGTTCCTGATGGCTTCATCCAACCATAGAGATGGCGATTGAATTTTTACAAACTTTGTCGCCAATGCCTTGTTTTCTGGTTGCCGGATAATTCTTCTCCGACCATCTGAATTCAGTCGAAGAGACGAACAATGGTTCCGACCATGTAAACCAGGTTCCCCTAATCGGTCTTGATCCGGAGGGGTGAACCACGGAACGTGGTGTGCGAAAAGCAGTCAGGGTGCTGTCTGATGGTTACAACGCGGATAAGTTGCCTATCAAATCAGTGGCGTCTGTGTGCCAAGGTGTGCCAATTTGGTGGCGACGGCATAAGGTGGAGAAAAGGATTGTCGGTGGAATTACTGGAATGGGAGAAGGATCTGGTCGATCAAGATGGTTCGGTCCGGGAGTAGATGATTGATCATCGTTTCGTTGTACTGTTCTATTCAGGTTACTATCATCAAGGGGGTTATTATGGGGTAGATGGGGAGATGGATAGAAATGATACGGTATCTTGATCCACTGACGGATTAGGATGATGTGTCTGGGTTAAAGTGAAGGAATTCTGGGGACGGATAGGGGGATCTATGTATAGCTTCATCTGTCTCATTCTATATATAATATATTATATTATACACTACTATTTATATATTCAATTGTATATTCAATTGTATATTCAATTTTACACTATAATATACTCTAATTATATACTATATACTATATGCCATCATATACTCTCATTATATTCTATTATCTATCTACCATTCATATTCATCTCCGTACTCCCACAGAGTATAGGGGGAGATGTAACTCATCACAGACAAATCTATTCATTCATTACCTGTCGAATCATACGTTGACCGAATGCAGCACCAGAAGCCAATCCAATTAAACGATCTATAAATGGCGACGACTCCACTTGATCCAGACAATCCTCGAGTCGGGAAACGCGACGAGGATCCACCCAGGTCTAGATTTGCCTTCTTTCTTTATTCTTTATTCTGTTTCTATTTCCATTCCTTGTTTTTGTTCTTTCTTGTTCTTTCTTGTTATATTTCTTGCTGCTCATCCTCTCATCCTCTCCTCCTTTGGTTTCTTCTTCATCTTCTTTCTCTCCTTCATACCCTCTTTATACCTGATTCACTCTCTCGTTGGATTCGGGTTTCTATTCAACCCTATCATCACTCCATTCGTTGGATTCATACTCTCTTTTGTACTTCATACCACTCCCTTCGTTCAAGATGCACCTTAAATCCGCCGTCGCCCTCGCCCTCACCTTGGTCTCCGCCGAAGCCGTCCACCAGGGCTTCAACTATGGCGCCGCCAAGGTCGACGGCAGCAGCAAGGTCCAAACCGACTTTGAAGCCGAGTTCAAGACCGCCAAGAACCTCGTCGGCACCTCCGGCTTCACCAGTGCCCGTCTCTACACCATGATCCAAGGCGGCACCGCCAACGACCCCATCTCCGCCATCCCCGCCGCCATCGCCGAGGAGACCTCCCTCTTGCTGGGTCTCTGGGCCTCCGGCGGCGGCATGGACAACGAGATCGCCGCCCTCAAGAAGGCCATCGACCAGTACGGCGACGCCTTTACCAAGCTCGTCGTCGGCATCTCCGTCGGCAGCGAGGACCTCTACCGCAACTCCGTCGACGGCGTCAAGGCCCACGCCGGCATCGGCGTCAACCCCGACGAACTCGTCTCCTACATCGACCGGGTCCGCTCCACCATCTCCGGCACCTCCCTCAGCGACGCCACCATCGGCCACGTCGATACCTGGACCGCCTGGGTCAACGGCACCAACTCCGCCGTCATCGAAGCCTGCGACTGGCTCGGCTTCGACGGCTACCCTTACTTCCAGAACACCATGCCCAACGGCATCGAAGACGCCAAGGCGCTCTTCGACGAGTCCGTCGCCAAGACCAAGGCCGCCGCCGGGGGCAAGGAGGTCTGGATCACCGAGACTGGCTGGCCCGTCAGCGGCAAGACCGAGAACCTGGCTGTCGCCAATACCGAGAATGCCAAGATCTACTGGGACGAGGTCGGCTGCCCGCTGTTCGGTAATGTTAACACCTGGTGGTATATTCTCGAGGATGCCGGTTCCAGCCCTAGCTTTGGTGTCACCGGTGCCGATCTGAGCACTACTCCTTTGTATGATCTCAGCTGCAAGGGTGGTTCGTCGTCGTCTTCTGCCAGCGCGTCTCACTCTAGTGCCTCTCCGGTCGCTTCTGCTGGTGCTGCTGGTGCTGCTGGTGCCTCTTCCGGTGCCTCTACTGGCTCTGGCTCTGGCTCCAGCTCTGGCTCTGGCTCTGCTGGAGTCGCGGCTGACTCCTCCTCTGGCCAGTCTGCCGGTTCGTCCGAGGGCTCGTCGGGTGGCTCTTCTGGCCAGTTCGCTGGTTCGTCTGCTGGTTCTTCTGGCTCTGGCTCTGGTTCCTCTGGCTCTGAGCAGGCTGCCGGCTCTGAAGGCCAGTCTACTGGATCGTCCACTGGCTCTGGTTCTTCTTCCGGCTCTGGTGAGCAGGCTGCTGGCTCTACTGGCTCGTCCACTGGCTCGTCCACTGGCTCTGGTTCTTCTGGCTCTGGTTCTTCTTCCGGCTCTGCTGAACAGGCTGCTGGATCTACTGGCGCTGACTCTACTGGCTCATCCGCTGGCTCGTCCACTGGCTCTGGTTCCTCGTCTGGCTCTGCTGAACAGGCTACTGGCTCTACTGGCGCCGGCTCCACTGGCGCCGGTTCCTCTTCTGGCTCCGCCGACCAATCCACTGGCTCATCTGCTGGCTCTACCGGTTCGACCTCTGGCTCTGACCAATCTAGTGGCTCGTCCACCGGCGCATCCGCTGGTTCGTCTGGCTCATCCACTGGTTCATCCGCCGGTGCCGTCGGCTCCTCCGGTGCCTCGTCTGGTTCCTCCTCCGGTTCCTCGGGCTTGGGCTCGGCCTCGGGCTCGGGCTCCCCAGCCGGAACCTCCGGAGTGTCCTCCTCAGCCGTCATCCCCAGCAGCCAGTCTACCCCCCACCCCGGCCGCCCCAACGTCCCCGTCAGCTCCGGTGCCTCTCGCGCCCCCACGCTCGCGTCCTCGCGCGCCTCCTCCATCGTCGTCTCGTCCACCAAGGCAGCCGTCTCCTCCCACCCCACCTCCGGCAGCGAGTCCTCTGAAGGCTCTGGCTCCGGCGTTGGCGCCGGCAAGTCCGAGGGCTCGGCCTCGTCGTCGGCTTCCGTGCCGCTCGCTACTAGCGGTGCTACCCAGTTGACTGGGTCGGTGTTTGGCATTGTTGTGCTGATGGTTGCTCTTGTTGTGGCGGTTTAATTTTGCCGACTTCCTTCCTTATCTACCTTCCTTACCTTACTTGATCCTATCCATACTACTTACTGTACTACTACTGTGGTGGAAAGAGATTCGCGGCGTTTTTGAAATTCTTTTGATTGTTATTTTTTTTCTCTCACTTGTCTTTTAGATTAGAAGTTAGGATTATTATCATATGGTAAATTGTCGTTCGTTTAGATTGGTTGTTAATTCTGGTTTACAATTCGTATTGTAGTATTGATCATTCATCATTCATCATTATAGCGCTAGAGTAGGCCATGATTGACTGAACTTGACACTCGACTCTCGAACACAATCTATACCAGAGAAAAGTCTGATTTCTGACAACGAAAACATTGACCAAACTCACCCTTTACTCCTTACCTTAGTAGGTAAGGTACCAATCCACAATGAATTCCACATCACAACCAGCCAAACAGAGTTACATCCACCTAACAGTGTGATCAAGGAGATAAAGCATTGTCCAATACAACTTAAACCCCAGATCACGCCCGGATTGTGGAGTCCTTCCGAAACCGGCATCCATCCACATGTGGTACTACTACTACCCGGTTTACTGCAATTCCTACTGTGACTTTCTTCGGGTGTAGTGTTAAAGAAAAATATGCATTGGAAGAGAAAGAACCATGGGTGGTTCAGCAGTGGAGTCGATCAAGGATTGCAGGTAGGGCTGTTTTCACATTCTTTGCCTGTGGTTGGAATGTTGGATCTATTGGGGTTGTAGTAGGGAGGGGTATCACTTACTTGATTGGAATGTGGGGATTTTGTTAGAATCTTCATATGCAGTTGATAGAATAATTAAAGCGAGGTACTGGTAAAGTAACATTTCAGTGTTATTCATGTTGTAGTATTCTGGTGGTTGACATGATCACGTCTATGTTGAACACCCTTCCATTTGTGGAGGAATACTAAGTACGGAGGAAACTGAAGAGATTCGGTCTCCCAGCTGCGATGCAGTATATCACTAGTATTACTTGTCTTGATCTATGGTTAATGACTGACTAGTCACCTCGATCAGTCCAGTTCCTGACAGTCTGGATATGGATATGGACAACAGACGGTAACGATCGGCATGACGACATGCCCCTCACCGATCAATTTTGACTCTCCCTTCAACAACCGCATCGCAATCAACCAGACCATTGACGACCATGACAACCCCATATCCCTTCAATCCCTCCCCTCCCCAGTCCACTCCCGAATCCACCAACAATGTCAACGGACGCACCCCCTCCCCCCAAACATCACGCCTCCGCGCCATAATGCGCGAGGCCCATCGCGACCCGTCCAAAATCCTCGCCTTCCCCTGCAGCTACGACGGGCTCTCCTCGCGACTAATCGAGGAGGCCGGATTCCCCATGCTCTTCCTGTCCGGCTTCGCCGTCGCCAGCTCCTTCGGCCTCCCCGACACAGGATACATCGCCATGGCGGAGATGTGCGCTCGCATCCAGGAGATCGTGCGCGTCACGTCCATTCCGCTCATGGCGGATGGAGACACGGGCTACGGCAGTCCTATGAATGTTAGGCGCACGGTGGAGTCGTTCGCTGCGGCGGGCGCGGCGGGCGTTATGATCGAGGATCAGACGTGGCCTAAGCGTGGGTTCCCGTTATCAACATATTTGGGCTGTGTTCAGGGGTAGCTAATGTAATCTGTCAGGATGTGGTCACACGAAAGGTAAATCGGTCGTCTCGCGAGGCGAAGCTTACGCGCGCATCCAGGCTGCATGTGACGCGCGCAACGAAGGCCGGGATATCTTCATCCTGGCGCGCACTGACGCCCTGATCCACGGGTGGGACGAGGCGATGGCGCGCGCCGCCGAGTTTAAGCGCATGGGGGCCGATGCTGTCTTTGTTGAGGCTCTTCCGGACAAGGATGCAATGGCGCGGTGCGTCAAGGAGCTGGATATGCCTATGCTGGCGAATATTATCGAGGGCGGCAAGACCGAGAATCTCCCTGCTGGGGAGCTTGCTCGGATGGGGTTTGCTGCGGTCGCGTATCCGTGGACGCTGGTCGCTGCGCGGTTGAAGAGTATTCGGGATGCGCTGGAGGGACTGAAGCGGAGTATGGTGGATGGGACGCCGCCGCCGCAGATCCTGGGGTATTCGGAGATGTGCGAAGGGGTCGGATTTAACCGATATTGGGTGAGTGGCTACTATACAGTTGACTACAGCTGGGCTAACTCCTGCAGAATCAAGAGGCGCGGTATGAGTACACGGAGGAGGGCTTGGTTCGCCCGTCTAAGACTAGTGACGGGACTTGATATTGGCTTCTGCCTGGCCTCTTGTCCAAAGTCTGTAGACAGTCGATGGTAAACTCGGTGTTCGGCCTGAGTGTCTCCGCATACGTCATAACGGGGAGATTCATATCCCCGACCGAGATTAGTCATTCAGCATAACGCATGAATGGAATGCATAACACAGCACAAACATGTGATCTTCTTCTTTCTCTTAGGCTTCATTTCTATTTCCCTTTCTTCTATTTTCTTCCGTACGGGATAAGCCAACAGGCGAGGGTATCTCGGTATCCAGTTCTGAACCTTGAAGGGATGCCATGCTGAATCTTGAAGGGATGCCATTATTGAGCCCCGATGCCTCCACTTCGGCCTCGGCCTTTACTCGAATAATCAAGAATAGCAAACTAGTTGCACCAAGTCCTAACGCCGATCCCTAGGTTGCCGGTTATGCTTAGCATAATTCCTGCTCGGTCTAACTATTGCCTGTACCCCATTCGACTCTGATTTCATCGGTCTAGCGTTATAAAAGCCCGATCCACCCAGCAGCCAGGTTTTGGGGCACAAAATCACACCCCTCAATAAGGTCTTCAACCACCTCACTGCCAACTGCCTCTAGCGACATGATTTTAGAGAGCGTCCACTCGCCTGTGGCGGTCGTTGCGACCGCCGTAGTGGCCCTGCTCTACCTCATCTCCGTCCTCCAGCGCAAATTGGCCCAACGCCGCATGGCGCGGGAGAACAACTGTCTCCCCCCCGTGCGGATCATGGGCAAGGATCCCCTTTTTGGCCTCGACGAGATCTACAGCATGATACAAGCCGGCAAACAGCATATCATGCTGGATCGCGCGCTCAAGCGGTTCAATCTCTACGGCAAGACCTTCGCCAGCACCCGCATCCGCACCAACCTCATCTTCACCTGCGAGCCGCTCAACGTCAAGACCATCCTCTCCCTCAAGTTCAAGGACTTTAGCCTGGGTAACCGCATCTCGTCCTTTGGCCCCTTGCTCGGCCACGGTATCTTTACCACAGACGGCGCCCACTGGGCGCAGTCGCGCGCCATGATCCGTCCCAACTTCGTCAAGGACCAGGTCGCCCACCTCGACCTGTTCGAGGACCTCATGGCGGACCTCTTCGACCTGATCCCCACCGACGGGAGCACCGTCGATCTGCAGGATCTCTTCTTCGGCTACACCATCGACTCCGCCACCGAGTTCCTCTTCGGCCACAGCGTCCACAGTCTGAAGAAGCGCCTTTCCCGCGTCAACGACGACAACAAGCCCGATTTCGCCGAGGCCTTCAACTACGCCCAGGACGCGACGGCCACCAAGGCCCGTCTGGGCGGCCTGCGTCGCTTCTACCGGAATCCCAAAGCTGACGAATGCAACCGCGTCTGCCACGAGATGGTCGACGAGTTTGTCGACAAAGCTATGAAGGTGCGCGACCGCTACGACGAGGAGAAGGCCGCCGGCGCCGGTGAGTCCAACGGTCGCTACTACTTCCTGTCTGGACTGGCGCGCCAGACTGGCGATCGCCGTCGTATCCGCGACGAGCTGATGAACGTTCTCCTCGCGGGGAGAGACACCACCGCCTCCCTGCTGAGCAACATGTTCTTCATGCTGGCTAAGAACCCGCGCATTTGGAACAAGCTGCGCGAAGAGATCGCCACGCTGGACGGTCGCGCCCCTACCTACGAGCAGCTCCGCAATCTGACCTATCTCAAGTACTGCATGAACGAATGTAAGCATCCCCGAAAAAAGTCCCCCACCCTAATCCCACTAACGAATACCAGCCCTCCGCCTCCACCCCGTCGTCCCATCCAACTCCCGCCTAGCCGTAGCCGACACGGTCCTCCCCGTCGGCGGCGGGCCCGACGGCAAGTCCCCGGTCTTCGTACCCAAGGGCACGATCATCGCCTACAGCGTGTACACCATGCACAGACGGGAAGACATCTACGGCCCCGACGCCAACGAGTTCCGTCCGGAACGGTGGGCCGACATCCGTCCCGGGTGGGAGTATCTGCCGTTCAACGGCGGCCCGCGTATCTGCGTCGGGCAGCAGTACGCGCTGACGGAGGCGGGCTATGTTACTGTGCGTCTGGCGCAGCGGTTTGCGACGCTGGAGAGTCGCGACCCTGGACCTTGGGAGGAGAGTCTGACGTTGACGCTTTGTTCACGGAATGGGACGAAGGTTAGTGTACGGCCTTGATTGTCTTGGGTTGTGTGTTGATGATTTATGATACTGTAACTACTCTGTTGGTTGGCTTGTAAATTGTGATTGCTAGTATTATGTCTATAGTTGTCTATATTTATTATCTAGTCTCCCCGTACATGCCTTCGTCTCAGCCCATACCAACCTCGATATGTCCCTAGTCAAGTCTACCAGCACGGCCACCACCTCCCCCCTCCCTATCCCCCGTAATCCGCCCAAACAACCCTCCTCACTCTCCTCCCGAAACAGCACCCTCCCCCGCATCTCCGCTCCCCACAACTTATCCCGATACACCTCCCATCTAGCCTCAGTATCAACATCCACCTCATGCCCTCCGCCCACGCCTCCAAACCAACCGCAACATCCTCCTGCAATCCCCCAATATTAAACATCGTATCTGGATCAGACTCTTCCTCATCCTCCCTCTCCACAACCCCAGCAGACTCATCAAAGAATCCTACCCGTCTCAAATACTCCACCCTATCAATCTCCTCCCTCCCCTCCCCCTTCCACACAACCCCCAAAAGCAACTCCAGTATATGCGCCGGCCTCAAATACCTCATCAAACACCGCACAAAATACATCCAGTTCGTCCCCACCGGCTCCTCCTCATCGTAGAATTCATCAAACACACTCGTCCCACCCACCCACTTCACGATCACGTCTTTCTCCTGGAACACCTTCCGTCCGAGATATCCCCACACGAACTCGACTACTTCCAGCACGTCGATCTTGATCTTCAGTGGTCGGGCCGTATCCGTCCACTGCGTCCAGATGTGCTCGAAGCGCGCGTTGCGCTCGGTGCTGGAGGTGTATGATGCGGCGCGTGCTAGGCAGAGCGTTTCGATGACGGCCCAGTGGAGGGTTAGGGCTTGGTAAAAGCGCTCGTAGGCGCGCCATAACGCTTGCTTCTCCTGCGCCGCACTATCAATCGTGATAGTAACACCAGCTGGTGGAGCCAAGGGATCTTCAGCAGCAAGCCGATCCCTATACCGATTCGACTCTTTAAACTGCGCCCTGGGCGGGGTCGAGTTGACGTACGAAGCATGCACAGACTCATCGCAGTACAGCCCGAAAAAAAGAACTTTCATCCCGTGCCACCGGGCAACAGTGTCCCAGACGAATTGGTCGGACATGTACTTGTCGCTGGTAAGGAGGGAGTCTACGTGGGTGAAGATCTTGTCTGACGGGCGCAGAAAGCCCATTGTTAGGTTGTTGTTGGCGCCGTAGAGTGTTTCTAGGGTTGAGTGGAGATCTTGGAGGTAGCTTATTTGGTGGTCTGTTTTGTGGTGGGGGGTGGATTTCTAGTCTGGTTAGTTAGGTGGTTTATTATTATAGGATTTACTTTGGGGATAGGATGGATGATATATGGTTATAATGAAGGGGTTGTGACATACTATAACCGAGCGAAAGATCTCAACGCGGTTCCGCGGCGCGTGGAAGATAGCGTGCATCTGCCGACATGTTCGCGCCAGGTGCAGCACGTCGTCAATGTTGGATGTGTTGTGGTAGATGCTGAGGAGGATTTCTGTTGGGAGGTGGAGGAGGTGTGGCATTTTGCATGCTGTTATATACCTATAAATATGTATGGTTTTATTGTTTGGTTTTGATGGGATTCTGCTAGAATCCTACTGTAGGTCATTATTGTGGTGTTGATGGGTAGGGTCCACTTAACCTATCTACAAGGCCAATAGGATGCTTTATTACTGTCAACGCATTTGTAGGTACGGAGTAGTAAAAGATGTTGTAACTAACTGAATATTGAAGGGATTACTACTCAGCTACAAGATATCATGACATTTGTAAATCATTGTAAACTTGTGCGATATATGTTATTCGGTCTAGTGGATAGTGGCTGTGCCAAGATTTGCTGTCGATCTATATTGCTACGCCTACTATATTCTGACGATCTACTACGTATAGTTCTACATAGATATTTTCAAAATACAAGGTGCAAGGCGACTTGCAAGCCACATCAACGCCTCAGACGCAGTTCGGTGCTTGCACTGTTGAAACTGCGAACCAACCAATACACTTGCAGAGCGGAGCCAAGTCATGCATCTCGATGGTAGTCAAGCACTAATGTTGGGCAGGAGGATCGGCAATAACACTTAAGACACTGAAGTAAATCTAAGCGGATAGGCAGTAGGCAACCAGTCGGGCAGATCAGGTCTGCAAGCAGATACATCGAACATGCTGTCATGAGTCATATGTCCACCTGCTGGGCGGACGGGTATATCTCTTACATCCCCGACCGCGTTGAAATCACTCCCACAGCCTCTGCCTTACGGGTCAAGGAAGTGTCGGTGGAGGGCTTGAGAAAGGCATCTATGTAGGACCAACCGGGTGACTTTGGGCTGCATCAGACCACTCAGGTCGAATGGAAATCCCGCGGTGCATGTCCGTCTGCGTCCGGCATTGCAACAGAAAAAAGATGAAAGGTCGATCCCATTCCTCTCAAGTTTGCTCCGCTGCCGCATCAACTCCAATCACAGAGTTCAGCACGGGCAGCCTTGCGCCTGACCATCACGGAACTGCAGGAGCGGTCATGTCCTGGCAAATGACGGGGCGATTATCCTGACATCACGTCGTAATTAGGTAGCCATGCAACCCCCTGTCACGGTCACGGTCACGGTCACGGGGTGGGATGGGAGATCGAGGCGAAGTATTCCGATGCAGGCCCGACGTGACTCTCTTGTCTCCGGAATTCCCTGTCAAGCAGGGTTTGAAGGGGACATGCTGTGGACTTCCGACCTTGCATGATCCTTTCTCTCCCACTGGTGCCCTTCAGGTATGTTCCGCTGTCGCATGATCCAGGGTTTCTACGCCGACGTCACGGTGGCAGCGCGCCCCGCCGGAGGACAGGGGAGGAGCCGATCTGGGTTCGGAGATGGTGAGGTTCCACCGGTCTGCTGCCGTTGGGACCGGGCCGTCTTTGATGGTTTGGTTTCATGGTCGCATCGTAGGATCGTTTGCCTTTATTCCGAGAGCGTTGTAGGTAGGTAGGATGTAGGATGTATACTCTGGCCAGGATCCCTAGACGCCACACCGCCGAAGGAGGGGAGGCATGACCGTCGGGAATCATTTCCAGGGATCCCGAAGTGGACCGACACGATTGGATTCGAACGATGGCGGTGTGGATGAGGAGTAGAAGTGGCGGTGAAGCTGGGCCGTGATGAAGACCAATTTGAGTAACCAGAGGATAGGAGGATAGGAACAAGGACAATGGTGAGTCTGTCACGGTGTTGATCTGATTGATTGCTGAAGAAGACTGATGTCATCGATCGTGTATAAAAGCCGGAGATGAGCCGGCGAATCAGACGGACAGGCATCGCTATGGGCGGTTATGAAAAATTATACATTAGTATAGATCAATAACACAACAAATCAAACAAGGAAGAAAGATGAAGATTGAATGGATCGAGTGGATCTCATATATTCTTTGTTATGATTCTGTAGATTTATGAATTAGTGGTCGAAGCAAAAGTACCTTACTGTAGGATATGCCAGTTGACAATGTCCAAACAATGAAGTCGGAGAGTAAAAACCAATAACCTCCTGCCCGAATTCCCGACATGCTGTCCCACAGTATCCTGATAGATCGACTGGAATAGCATCCCAGGTATATAGGTATGAAAGTACCAAGTGAAAGTACCCATCCAATAAGTCTTCCCCGTCCAATCGGAATCTCGATTCCTTGATAGATGATCCATCCGATCTATACCGTTGTCTTTGATCCACGCAAGGGAGAATGAAAGAACGACCCGTCTCCCCGGCACCGTTTCAACCATCCATGACCAAAGTACAATGTCAGAAATCATAATAAAAAGAAAAGAGAGCAAAGAAAGAATACAGACCCAATCTGACGGGGAAGCCGGAATCCAAAGGGAAGGGTACCCGCCCTTGGTTCCATCCCGAACCACAACCACATGGCGATGTGCGACCAGGTCTATTCTGACCAGGTCGACTGGACTAGGTCTCTGGCTAGGTTGAAGGGGACGGGAAATGATTGACAAAGATTATGCTGGTCATAATTGTCTTGGATGTGGATGTGGATGTTGGTGGTACCATCATCGTGACTCTGAATCCTCTATAAATACTTCTCTCCCTGTCTTTCAGAGCTTCTCTCACAACACACCACCATCATACTTCTATCCTCTGTCTGTCTCTGTCTCTTCAGGCTTCAGTCTTCAAACTTCAAACTTCAATCTTCAATCTTCAATCTTCAATCTTCAATCTTCAATCTTCAATCTTCAGTCTCAGTCTCAGTCTCAGTCTTTGCAATCTTTCTGTCACTACATCTCCTTGTGGCTACTTGATCCCGTCCTCCAATATCTCCAACCAATCCTCCAACCAATCTATCCGGCTACCATGGACAAGAAAGAATCGACCAGACAACAAAATGGCACCGTTGCTGCCTCTGATCTGGCTCAATACCAAGCCCGCTGGGAACAAATCCACAACGACACCATTCGTCAGATTCAACAAGCCCGAGGTAACCTCTCCTCCCAACTTCCCCCCATCAATAAACAACAAATCTAACCTGAATAGAGAAAGAAAGAATGGCCAACGGTCAGGCCCAAAAGTCCAACCTGTCGGGCTAGCCTCGCACACCTCCTTTCAAACGCGTTATCATGATCGTTCTCGCATTGGATTATCGGCGGAGTTGGGTTATCTTGGCATAGGCGTTTTGCATCTCTTCTTTTGTCCTTTTACTTCTTTTTTGTTTCTATATACCACTAGCGTTTACTTAGCATTCACTCGCATTTGCATCTAATTTGTATTGAATACTACTGAGTAGATTGACATCTACAGCTGTCGGGACGGGACGTATACTACGTATTTTCCTCTAGTATCAAATCTTCTTTTCCCCACCTAACCATCCCAAATTTTACAATTCCACCCTATAATCCCCTATAAGATCTGTTTGCTTCCAACAACGAAAACAAAAACCAAGACACCCATCCTGAAACAAGAAGTGGAGCCGGCCAACTCAAGCAGCGTCCCGGTGTAACCAGATGGATCACGCCTCGCGCTGTTGGCTGGTTTGAGAGCCTCCTACTCCGTCTTGGGCGGACATCCAGTTGGGCATCGAACTGTCAGCATGATAGACTATATACTATGCTATATACCGGAAGCAAAGCTAGAATATTCTGTAGGGTGCGTCATTTCTTGGATATATCCATGCGGATAATTCCCGGCGGACTGGTCAAGATTAAATGATCCCTGTCTTCACATTTATACATATAAAATTATATATATGAAAATATATATAAATGATGGAAATAAGACCCACAGTGGATGTTCTAGAAAGACGCCAAACCCGCCACCGAATTCGAGCTATCTATTTACTTATTCTTTTTCGTTCCGTTGGTTTATTATAGCAATTCGATCAGTATCATCATGGTAGGTACTTTGTACCCTTCAGCATCTGATCGATCGCTGTCTATTCTCCTTAATACCTAGTTGATCCTATACCGAAGAACAGTTCAATTAAAGAATCGGAATATGATCCGATCTACCTTACCCTGATTCCACCGGCGATCATCCAACCCAGATCCGATTAAGGATTTAAAAAACCTGTATTAAAATAAATCATCCTATATGATTATGTTCGTATCCACGGGTTATTACATATGTCTCTTCGCCGTTGACACCGGAGTGATCCTTTCAGCCTTTTCTTTCTTTTCTTTTCTTTTCTTTTTATTCCGTTTTATATCATCTGTCAGATAGAGGTTATTTATTTATCCTATTTTCTTTCTTTTTCGTCTCATTCTGTTTTATATTATTGTTTTGAAAGACAATGATGCTTAGTGCCTACAAGTACCTACCAGTTCGGAGTACCACGGAATACTACACTAATGATCCAGATGAATCATTCGATTTTATCCGTCTTTCAACCACTGCCATGAATACACCCTTAACTCCAGTTATTATCAGCTGGCCTATAACAACCCTTCTACAAATAAACAAGGATACTCGTCGGATCAAGTACTAACACCACGGAGTACTCTCTGACGAACAAGAATAAAAGAAACACCCGCTTAATGTCCAATTTCATCATACAGGGTATCGTAGCAGCCTGTTCTATATCTATCATACATACATCTATTATAATACATGAAGGGGAGTATCAATGGAAAGGGAGTAGTGAGGTAAAATGCAGTTACCGTCCCTCCAGGACCTTGAGAACCAGCTCATACGTCCCAATGGTGATCGCCGCCGACGGCACCGTCCGGAGAAGATGCGCCGTCAGCCCGCCGTACAGCGCGATCATGCCCTCCTCCTTCAGGATCAGTCGCGCGCACTGGAGGATCCCTGTGTATTTTTGTCGGCCGTCGGCCATGGGGGCCTGACGCAGTCGGGTGCGGATAACCTGTTCTACATTAGACCGGTTGTGCAATATATGGTGAAGAATGGGGTGTTACCTCGTGAGGATACGCGATCAAGCATGCGAATAGCTTGGAGAGCCCAGAAGCTCCACTCAGCGCCAAGCCTTGAACTAACTGGTTGTCCTTGCTCCCCTCGAGGTCGATTTCCTTCGCCATCAATCCCTTGATCTTCTCGTACATCGCGAGATGCAGCGTCGTTTCGATAGTGCCCAGATAGCTGGCCGTTAGACCCCTGTAGAGGCCCTTGGGGCCCTCCTGCTGTATAATCTGCTTCAAACAGTCCAGACTGTTCTTATATCGCCGCGCGCCGGCCTTATCAAGCTGCAGACGGGTCTTGACGACCCAGATCGGGTTGGTGGCGGAACCCGTCGCCACGCCCGCACTGGCGGCGGACAGGGCATGCACCAGCGTCGAGTCCTTCTCGAGCCCCAAGAGCTCCGGATAAAGACGCTTGCAGTTGCCGTATGCGTAGAACTTGACCGCGCTGGCGGGGACAACGCCCGTCAGACTGGGGCCGAGGCCCTTGAACATCCCGCGCCAGCCTTCGACGGCGTGGATGTTGAAGAGGATCGCGAACGTTTCGCGGAAATGGACGATGGAGGAGCGGTAGAAGGACTGGCGGAACTGGGGGTGCGGCGCTTTGATTAAACGACCGGCTGACTGGGTCTGATAGTAGTCGGTTTGTAACCTGCGCGTTGTCGTTTGATTAGCCTTCGGCGCGGATATCGCGAGGATATGGACGTGTCAGCATACCGTGTTCGGAGGACATCGAGCGGACTGGTCAAGACCGCTGTGACCATACCACCGGCTCTATACATATCGGTGGTTAGCATATCGCAGAGACAGACATCGGTGAGAGGCATCACTCACGCGCCGGCGATCAAATGAGACCATGATCCGAAAGCTGAACCGCCCTTCTGGCCAGCCAGTTCATCAGTCGGAAGAGTCGGGGGCAACGAATCCGAAGCCGGATCGGCTGGGTTATGGACATGAGACTGCATATTCTCAAGTATGACGAGATCGACGCGTGTCAAAGAGAAATTAAGCGTCCTCTTCTGCTCCAGCAACTTGTCTTTGATGAAGGAGAAGAAAACTTAATCATGGATTTTCGGTCTGGCCCGGTCGGGGAAATTCTTTTATTTTTTATTTTTTACCTGTAGCCACCCGGCAGTTCGGGGCGGTGAGAGGAGGCGGTGAGCTGGATGACTAGTCTTTAGATAATTCGATGTGATTGGCTGGACAATGCGGCTCCAGATCGGCTGTCCGGATGATACCTTGGTGCCTGAGGTTGACATTCTCGCGTACGGAGTACACCTTCAATTATACGTGTCCGAAGTTCTTTACATTTTCTTCATCGTACTGGCGCTTGCCTTTCTATCATATTCTCGCTCACTATGTCTTATCAAAACCATATTTTACTATGTGCACTACAATCATCTCCAACCCTGGAGAATGAAGAAACGCAGCTGACAAGTTATATAAAAACAGTAGATATAAATTAAGTATCGCATATTACATAGCAGGCCTACTCCTGCTTCAGTCTCGGGTACTTCCAGGTCCAATTCCGAATGTGGTCGGGATCGATCCCGTCGTCATAGGCCGCCGACTTGGCGTCCAGCTGCCAGTTGATGAACTTCTCCCGCACCCCCGAAGCCGTGTTCCCTAGATGCTGAGCACGGTCGATAGCGTCGATCGCCAGGCTGTACCGGTCGGTCTGGTTGCGGATCGCCAGCTCGAATGGCGTGTCGATGTTGCCCTTCTCGCGGTATCCGCGGACGTGCAGATTGCCCTGCCCCGGACGCCTGTAGGTCATGCGGTGGATGAGCCACGGGTAGGAGTGGAAGTTGAAGATGATGGGCTTGTTGTCCGTGAAGACCGACACCCAGTGGCGGTCTGACATGCCGTGCGGGTGCTCGGTCTCCGAGATCAGTCGGAAGAGGTCGACCACGTTGACGAATCGGACCTTCAGCTCGGGCAGATAATCGCGGAGGAGGGTGACGGCTGCGAGCGCCTCCTGGGTGGGGACGTCGCCGCATGCTGCCATGACGATGTCTGGCTCCTGGCCCTGGTCGTTGCACGCCCAGTCCCAGATCCCCACGCCCTTGGTGCAGTGCTCGATGGCCTCTTGCATGTTCAGGTACTGGATGTGGTCCTGCTTGTCGGCGACCACCACGTTGATGTAGTTCACGCTGCGGAAGCAGTGGTCCATGACGGAGAGCAGGGTGTTCCCGTCGGGTGGGAGATAGACGCGGACAACCTCCGGGCTCTTGTTAGCGACGATGTCCAGGAAGCCTGGATCCTGGTGGGTGAAGCCGTTGTGATCCTGTCTCCACACGGTGGCAGTGAGAAGGATGTTGAGAGAGGCGACCTTGGAGCGCCATTCGACTTCGAGGCACTTCTCGATCCACTTGCAGTGCTGGTTGACCATGGAGTCGATGACGTGGATGAACGGCTCGTAGCTGTTCAGGATACCGTGTCGGCCAGACAGGATGTAGCCTTCCAGCCAGCCCTCGCAGGTATGCTCGCTCAGCATCTCCATCACACGACCCGCCGGGGCGAGGTTGCCTCCGTCCTTGTCCTCTTCGAAATACTCGCCCATCCACACCTTCTTGCCGGCCTTGTAAACTTCGCCCAGCTTGTTGGACTCGGTCTCATCCGGTCCAAACACCCGGAATGAAGTCATATTCCGCGCGACCACGTCCCGCAGGAACTTCGACATGTTGATCATGCTTCCGCGGATCGAGACGCCGGGCTCGATGTCAGGGAAGGCGTACTCACGGAAATCCGGCATGTCGAGGGGCCTGCGGAGCAAACCGCCATTGGTCACGGGATTGGCACTCATACGGGAGTTTCCCTTCGGCGCAAGTGCCTTGAGCTCCGGCTTCAACGTTCCATTCGAGTCGAAAAATTCCTCTGGCTTGTAACTCTTCATCCATGACTCCAACAGCTTCAAGTGGGCAGGGTTCTTGAGAACATCGGGAAGGGGAATCTGATGCGCGCGCCAGAATCCCTCAAGGTACTTCCCGTCCACTTCTCTCGGGGCAGACCACCCTTTGGGGGTTCGGAGAATGATCATGGGCCAACGGGGCCTAAATGGCTTTCCGGAATCCCGCGCTTGCTTCTGATACTTCTTGATCTCCACGACGCATTGCTCCAGGGTTGCTGCCATGGCTTGGTGCATGCTCTCCCTGTCGCTTCCTTCCACAAAGTACGGAGTCCAGCCGTAGCCAGCAAACAGATTCGACAGTTCGTCGTGGCTGATACGCGCCAGGACAGTCGGGTTGTTGATCTTGTACCCGTTGAGATGGAGCACAGGAAGAACCGCCCCGTCGGTAATAGGGTTGAGGAACTTCGTGCTGTGCCAGCTCGTCGCCAGGGGCCCGGTCTCCGACTCACCGTCACCCACCATCGTCAGGGCGATCAGGTCGGGATGGTCAAAGACGCTGCCGAACGCATGCGAGATCGAGTACCCGAGCTCGCCACCCTCGTGGAGACTGCCCGGTGTCTCAGGGGTGGCATGGCTGCCAATACCGCCAGGGAAGGAGAACTGCTTGAAGAACTTCTGCATGCCCTTCTCGGTCTCGCTCTTGCAGGTGTACACTTCCGAGTAGACGCCCTCCAGATACGCCTGCGACAGGATTCCAGGCGCACCGTGGCCCGGACCGGAAACGAAAAACGCGTCCAGGTCGTACTTTTTGATCAACCGGTTCATGTGAATCCAGGTGAAGGACTGGCCGGCGTCCGAACCCCAGTGACCCAGGAGTCGAGCCTTCAGATGCTCCACTTTCAAGGGCTCCTTCAGGAGAACGTTGTCGCGCAGAAAGAGCATACCAAGACACAGGTACATGCTCGCTCGGAAGTACGTGTCCATCTTTTTCAGCTCCTGCGCCTCAAGGGGCTCGCCCTTCACTGTGGAGCGAGCTGGGCCATAGGCAGCGATGCTGGCTTTGTCCGCGTTCGACGCCATGATTGATCTGCTGTGGAGTCAGTCCACGAAGACAAAGGTGAGGGGTAGTCAGTAGAAGAGCTATAGCATACATACCTATTTCTGCGACGGGATGTTATAAAGAATCGCTGTGGTTATCCGTCCTCAATGATCTGCCACATATGGGTAAGGCAGAACGAAGCGGGTAAATCGGCTTTTCCACCTTCGAAGCCAGTTCCTGAGCGCAAGCAGGTATATAAGCTTGCTGACGAGCACATCCTCTGCAACATCGTTATGCACTACTACTATGTTCGTGTGACGGATAACGCGAAGACGGCAAGTCAATGACGTCTACATAGGTGTCAACCGGTCACCACTACGCTGCAATGCGGTTCAGGTCCAGCTGGTCCCTGACTCTTCAGGTAGGAAAAGTAAAAGATTTAGAGATGAATGATGGACGTGATGTTTGTTAAGAAAGTGATTTGATCATGGCTTTGAGAGTCGATAAGTCGGATGATGCATCTGATAAGGGTATCAAAAGCGTCGCTTTGATCTGGGTACCATGACGTCATGTTGCTGGCGCGCATCAACCAAGGGGGGTATTTCCGTGCAGGTAATTTACTTGGGGTAATTCCTGCTGAGTCCATGAGTACGGGGTTTATTCTTGCGAAAAGGTTGTGATGGTGATAGTAAAAGATGGTTGTAGTCAGAGGGACGCCCATGTGCCTCCTGTCACAATGCTTCGACCAACTAGTTGTTCTGCATGACGGGGCTGATATGCTAAGAAACTAATTTACTGCCACTTATACCACCGACAGCATTGTCTTCTCTCCTACTTTCACTCCCACTTCCATAATCACCCGCAACATCGCACGTCCCATCACTGAGCTCCTGTTTCTATCAAGAACTGTCTTCTTTTCTCTTCACCGATACTTCGAACCCCCGTTGAACCCACGTTTGGGGCGAGTTCGGCAAATCGGTAGTAGTCTTATGTCGCAATATAAGATTGGCTATATAAGGGTACTCACAGAGCTCAGAAGTGTCTAGATATCTTTTGTAGCCGAGTGGTATTCTTTGCCACATCTTACTTCTGGTATGGAAGCCTATCCAGAGATCAACAGCGAGAAGGCAGACCTCATACATGAGCTCTCTGAGCCCGCATAAGTTACCAATGTGAATACGACCATCAGGGCATGTCTCTGGTATTCGGACGTCGATAGGTCAAAGAATCTTGTCAAAATGGCCCGTGACCCAGACACCCGCGATCCGGTTATAACGATACTGACAACCAGTGATTTCACCCGCACATTGAAAACCTGTAAGTCCATCGAAACGATTGTTGACGTACAGTCTGTGATTTGGGGCTAAATAATTATTTTTTACCTAGGGGCTAGCCGTAGACGGACGGACACCGTAGCGGTATCGGTCAAACGAAAGCTTGAAGAGTCGGGAAGTGTTGAAGACCTTCAAAGCGGCGGTCTGAATGTCCCAAGACTGCGGTAAGATTCTATCCGACATAGTGGAAAGACAGGTGCTAATAATGTTTTAGTGCCAAGTGCGCGACAATGGCCACTGCATCATCACTAGAACCTCAACGCCCGTTGATGTCGCCCATATATACTCATTCGCGCTGGGCAAGAATCAGAATGCGCAAACGATTTTTTGGTCAAACCTGAGAAATTTCTGGAACCCGCAGAGGGTGCGCAAGTGGGAAGAGGTCCTGAACAGTGCCCAAGGCACTGAGATATGTGCCAATATGTTGTCGCTGTCCGCTTCAGTCCATCGACTTTGGGGTATGGCCTCATTTGCTCTGAAACCACCGGGGTACTCAACCGATCAAAAGACACTCCGTGTCCGTTTTTTCTGGTTGCCGAAGTTTGTTTGTAGCCCGCAGGTGTCTCTCGAAGAGAGACCGTTATTCTCGAACGATCTCAAGGGGGGCCAGGGAAATACGAAACTCTTTGACTGTGATTCAGAGAAGAAAATAGTGTCTGGTGATGTTATTACAATCACGACCCCAGACCCAAAAAAGTACCCACTACCGTCCATCGAGTTACTCGGTATGCAGTGGGCTTTAAACCGAGTCCTGGCTATAAGCGGGGCAGCGGACGTCTTGGACACCGCTCTTGAGGACGACGACGACGACGACGACGACGACGACGGCGGCGGCGAGCCTGTAATGGCAACTTGTTATTCGTCAGAACAAGAAGAGTATTTGAAGAGGAGGACATTGCCCCGTTGCCTCGGAGCCCCCGGCCTTCAATGACTAGACTCGACGAGAACGTCCGCATTGGCCGACCATCTCAAGCGGAGAAGGCAGGACACGTCTCACAAAGCCAATCGGGCAATCCCTGGTGTTAGGTGATCGCAAGACAAACACCTAATAAATAACGATATGAATTGAAATGATTAGCAATCAGCACAAGGATATATTATTCTTATATTAGCATGGTCATGAAATTCAAAGGTATATCTTATAAAGAATGTTGATGTATACGTATGGGTATATCTTGAGTACTTAACCCTATGCAGGCGAACACATCATGACTTGGCCACATGTATAGATAACATCGAGTATAAAGAGAAGTATCAATAATTCTTCCTCTATATAACGTGACTCCCGACTGGGCGTTCTCCTGATGGAAAACGGCTTGAACCGTACAAAAGGGTGATGGTAATGATACTCGATGAATGACCTGAAGGAGGGGGGTATGGAAATTTATGTATGATTCCCATAAGCTAAAAGATGACTTACTGCCGCCCTTTCCCCTTAACAGCAGGGTCTAGTAGGATTCAGTAAGATAGTAAGGTCCTAAAAGAGTTCCTTGTATTATTTTTTGTAAGGTTCCTTGGGTATTTTAGGGGCCTTACCTGGGGGGTTCTTAGAGAGTCAGACACTATGTGAGTACTTTTAGAGAGAAGAGGATATAGCTCAGCGTGGTTCAAAGAGTGGGGGAAGATCACTCCACGAACCATACCAAAAGATTTTCCAGTGCTTTATAGGATTATACACAGATGCTTTCGTAGAGTAGCGTGAGTGTGTTTCAAAGGGGGTTAGATTCCTGAACTATACTCAACATACTGGCGTGGTTCAGGATTTTAGCATGATTTTCTCAACCACGCTGAGCACTAGTCTGAACCACGCTCAGCTGTAACCCCGAAAGCAGCCGCTAGAGACTCTTCATACTCCTGACAGGGTGTATACGCCGTCCGACTACAGATCCCAGCCACCCTGTTTCTTCATAAAGCCCTTGGGATCATAAGCTTTGGCAATCTTCTGCAGTCTCGCCTTATTCTCCTCTCCATAACTCGAGTACACGTCCTGATAATCAGCGGCATCGTTCATGAACAGCGGGTTTTGTCTAATATATACACGTTAGTATTTCCACGGATAGACAACTAACAACTAAAGAGAGAAGAGGGGGGGTTCTTACGAGATGAACTCCACATCGCCAGACTTGTAGTTGGTGGGCTTCTCTCCCTTGAACTTCTCGTCAAACTTGGCATTGGCACCGTCTCCCATATTCTTCAGATATGTCGGACAGGCGTTGTTGCATACGGGGTTCACCCAGATCAGGTCATTCTCTACCCAGATGCGGTCCCCGTGGTCGGGATGCAGTCCCATGGCGTTACCCCCGTTGGCCTGCGAAGCTTTGGCGATCAAGACGGATACGGGTTGGGGAGTGAATGTGCCGATTTGGATGTCGATGTCCCGGCTCGAGTCGTTCTTGATCTGGTCCTGGTATAGTTTCCAGTGATCCTCAAAAAGCTCGCTGGTCTTTTTGGGGTCCAGGTTGGGAAATGCATTCACTCGGGCTGCCGCGTTGATGCCATAGATCTTGCCCCCGCCCGCTTGGTCGGCCAGCTTGGGGTAGGTCGTGGTATCCGTGGTGTTCAACAACGGCTTGATCTTGTCCAAGCTTCCAAACGCACCCGCAGGCGGCGTCGGTCCATCGTAGAAGAAGAACAGAGCCGGGTTGGACACGATTGCTCCCGGTAGACCAAAGTCGAAGGTCGGAATGACGGCGGACTTGGGGTCTGGGTAGTCCCGGACGAATTCCGACACGGCCTCGAAGACGGCCTGTCGGTCGTTGCGAGAGTAGAAGCGGATACCACCCCAGACTTTGCCGTCCACGCCGGCGGGATGCGCTTTCAAGGTGAACTTGGTTACGATGGCGAAGCGATTGCCGCCTCCTTTCAGTGCCCACCAGAGGTCTGGGTTGGTCTTGCTGTTCGCGTGGGTTACTGTGCCGTTGCCGAGGACCACTTCGAAATCGATCACGTTATCACAGGCCAATCCCTAAGCAATCCGTCAGTTTCGCATCCCCATACTTCATGGGGGAAAGGACTTTGTTTACATATTGAGCTGACAAGTAAGAAAGGCCTCCTCCCAGAACGAAGCCGCCAACGCCAATGTTGGAGAGTCGGCCTCCGACGGCGATCTTGTTGTCCTTGGCCCCCGCCTCGTAGACATCGCCCCATCTGGCACCGGGGCCCACCTCGAAGCTCTTTCCATCGGAGGACAGGGTCGCCGAGGAGAGGTTCTCGTTGAAAGAGATCAGGACACCCCCTGCCGTGCTTGAAATGCCCGCATTGAAGTTGTGGCCACCGGACTTGAGAGCGAATTCGACGTTAGGATATTCGTTCAGGTGCTTGACGGCGTCGGAAACCTGCTCGGCGTTGGACGGGAAGAAGATACACGCTGGGCGATTTCTCGCATTGACTCCATTCCAATACTCGGAGCGCGCAGTCCGGTACATGGAGGCATTGAGGGCGGACTCGGGGCCTTGCGGGCTCAAGGGGTCCCACACAGTGTACTCGGGGTAATGGGAGTGAAGCTTCTCGCACACGTCAATGCTCGAGGCTGCCGCCAGGGCGCCAAACGACAGGATGGTCGGGATCTTCATGTTGTGGCGGGGGGTGATGCGATCCACGGGAATTCCTCCTGTCCCCCGGACAGCAAAGGGGGACTTGCGGGGGAGTTATAGTCGCCATTCTCCTGGTCCATGTTCGGATCTAGACAAGGACGGCTTAACGGCTGATTGGGTCCGATGCCGACCTCGGTTATGTCACATTCAGATTGTTGCTGAAGATCATCATTAGGATGGGTCTGGGGAATTCATCCTTTAATATCAACCCTATCAACCGTTATTGCGGGGTGGATAGGGGAAGAAGAAATGCTGATCTTCAAGGGGCTAGTTCTGCTTCCTGCTTACCACTTACGGAGTAGTCGTGATTTTCGTGCGGAGAAGAGGCCGGAATACGATGAATACGTCGAATACGTTCGTTTGGACGCGACGATCGCGAAATGGCTCATCGCGGCAGGAACCTCGGGCTCTCCATCCTAGAAATATCATTAAATTGGATTTTTGAACTTTTTGGTTTATACTTACTTCCTCATTGACATGCGTGGCCCATTGTATCTTGTCTCAAGGTGTACGGTTGTTCAATTCTATTGCGTCAGGGGGATGAAACCCTTCATTGGATACCCTTAATCAAATAGCATTAAGGTTCAAGGTTGAACAGAGGGCCTAAGCTGTCCTAACGGTGAGTGGTTGTACCTGGCAACTCATGAGGTGCTACGGTGCATGTCTAGAGACCACATAACGATGATATGGACAAGATATGTAGTAAGTATGTATATACATAGAAGATAATATGTACTCTATCTAGTCAAGAAAATAGACTCCTTGGATATGTTCCAAAAACGCCAACGTAAAAATGGACCTACACCCAGCTATAGAACCAAAGTCTAAGTGGTGACCTTTTTCGCATCGGTCGTGGGTTGATACTCGGAGAAGGTCTCCGGCCAGAACATCATCTTCTCTTCTTTCGGTGTCGCGGCAACGAGCTTAGGAACCTGCGGGCATTTCAAATCAGCCATGTCCTATACTCAAATCAGATATAATACCAACATACCGCTTGTCTGCTGGAGATGCGTCTCCACATATTAGCACGTGGGTTGAACCGCGCCGGCGTTCCCACGCCACCGGTCTTCTCCTCGTCTTCCTTGATGATCTTCTCGAGTGCATTCTTCACATCCGAGAAGCTTTCGAAGGCAATGTACGGGATCTTGTGTTCGATGCAGTATTCTTCCAAGCGAAGACCTTTTCGTGCAAACAGAACGTCTGCTTCGTGCGCTGCCGCCAGATCAGAGATACCGTCGCCGATGAAAATAACGAGAGGGATCTCGCCGTCGACACAATCTGCCTCAGCCTCTGCACGAGCCTCTTTCATGGATATGGATTTGTCGTGACCCAGTTCAGTTTCATGTCGCCAGATGGGCTTCCACTGCGACCCATCGTTACCGATGTCGGCTTCGTTGGCCACGATTTGAATTTTCGAGGACTATCGGTTGGTTAGTTACTTCATTGTTCAATACAAAAAAGGGGGGAACCGAAACACCAAAAGCGAAAATAATGGTGAAAGACATAAGATATAAATGAAACAAAAAAAGAAACATAGATAACATAAAATAAACAAGGAAAGGAAAATTCCGAACGCACCTCGTCTTCTCCTAGGAAAGTGTCCAGCACCTTCCGTAGGACAGGCTTCAACCCGGCGCTAATGATATTGAAATCAATACCCTTATCAATGCAGAATTGGTGAAAATCTTGGAACCCTGCGTCCATCTCTAGGTGCTTCTCCATGACTTCGAACCCATCTTCAAAGGGAACCCGGAGCGTACCCCACATCTCTTCGGAGGCTTCGCGGAAGGACCGCTGTCCCGACTTGATCTGCTCCTCAATGAGCTGCCGATGCTTCGATCCGCAGCCAAGATTGTCGACGAGCACATGGCCCGTGTCTTGCATGAAGATGGTGCCATCGAAATCTACAGTATGGTGGTTAGTGTCCGGCGGGAATCTTTGGTTCCTGGCTCGTGTTCCTGGCTTGTGGCTGGCTTACCGGAAAAGCAAACTGTCTTTCTCATTTTGTTTGGTGTGTTTGTGCTGAGCAATATGGTAAATAGAGTTGAAATGGGTTGGACCGATTGGGGAGTCGGGCATGTTATATTTTCGCGTGGCAAATGGACGGTGGCCACAATCTGAGGCACTCCCAGGGCAGCATGACGTAGACATCGTCGACTGGTTTACGACTCTTTCCCAGTTTCCACCGAAGGAGGGCCGTGGTGGGCGCGAAGTGCGGATCCAGAGGCAAAGCCTATAATAATCGGCATATGTGTGGACCCAGAGGGCCAAGACTATGAAAAAAGTCCTGGCTTAAAACTGGGAAATCCCATCCCGCCGGCATGCCGACCGAGCTGTCGCGCTGATTGGTAAATTCTCCTGGCTGATATAAGATTAACGTCATCGTTCCCATGCAAAAGAGTCTGGCGGGCTCTTCTGCCACCTGTGGCCAAGACGGAGACTCACAGTCCTCGGTAGACCTTCCCATAAATTACATCCACACTTTCCTATCTAGCCAGATAACTTGAAGACCATCATCGTGAAAAATGACATATGACCTAGGATCGTATTGATAAGACATTGTCTTTTTGGCAGAATCACGGGTGTTGGGTGTTTGATTTCTCGAATATCAGCCCAATAGGGCGCTTTATCAAGTTGTGCATTCTCATATTTGTAGACTCCATAGGGAAGAAAGTCAGTACCGCATATGTAGCACGGAGATATAATATCCATCCACTGTAGCGATCACGAAATAGCGTCAGTTTTTATCGTAAGGAATGAGATGGAATGCTCATCGTTTCCTTTTCGAGCACCACAACAACCAAAATATACCTGTGCTTTCGGCCTTCCATGTGACATATGAGCATATAGTATTGAGTGTGGCTGTTGTTATCACAACAGCTTCAACGTATGCTGTTCCATGGCGGCGACCATCACCATCACGAGACTGTCTCCTCTCACTATCCTTGGTACAGTAGAGTGGAAGACTGAGTATGGGGTCATTGAAACCCCAGGTGGGGAATGGGGTGTTTGTGGAGCCACAGAAAGAAGCAAAGTATGGGCATTGGGCACGTTAAAGATGGAGCACTCTGATACTTTACCGTTACTGGAATTGAAGGAGGAGCGGTTGCATATGGAGACTACATTTATTTTATATTTAGTGACAGCACAGGCAGAACAATCCAACGAATAAAATAGAATTGTTCTCAATTATTTCTTGATTGAAACATTAATACATATTAATATTCATAAATGAATAAAAACAAAGTAGAAACAAAGGGAGTAGCCCATTTATCCTTTATAAAATCGACGGATAAGGTCATGGTGCACACAAAGTGACCGCATGCGGCGTCGTCTCCAATAGTAAATCAAGATATACGGGATAATCATGGATAATCCCTTTCGAAGATGCACTAAATTGTCTTCTCATTCTCAGATTCAACACATCTCTAGTCTGGCCTAGAACAATTTCAAATATTTTATTCGATGAATAGTCCGCTACCCCATTCAATAAGCTTTTGAGCCAACATCATAGATAGTTGACCCCCATTTGCATTAAGGTTGACCGATCCATCTGAGCTTAAAAAGTGGTGACTGCAACCGTACATTCTCAGGTAGGGATGTGTTCATATATAACATATGGAGTCTTTATGCGCGTTGGAAGAAGTCCATGACACATTCAGACTTCCCAGCATCATTCATACTTGCAGAACAACAAAGACAGCCTCTCAATCCTAAATATCAAAACCAACATCAACTCAATCGACACAATGGCAACCGTCAACACCACACCCCTAAGGATCGCCATCGCCTGCGACGAAGCCGGCCACGACTACAAAGAAGCCGTCAAAGAGGCCCTTGAGAACCACCCGCTCGTGGAGTCCGTCACAGACGTCGGCGTCGACTCGCCAGCCGACAAAACCGCCTACCCCCACCCCGCCGTCCACGCATCTCTGCTCGTCCGCGCCGGCCAGGTGGACCGCGCGCTACTGATCTGCGGGACCGGGATGGGCGTCGCCATCTCCGCGAACAAGGTCCCCGGCATCCGGGCGGTGTCTGCGCATGACCCGTTCAGTGTCGAGCGGTCAGTGCTCAGCAATAATGCGCAGGTTCTGTGCTTTGGGCAGAGGGTGATTGGGGTGGAGTTGGCGAAGAAGTTGGCGTCGGAGTGGGTGCAGCATCGGTTTGATCCGAAGAGTGCCAGTGCGCAGAAGATCGAGACGATCCATAATTATGAGAGGGATTTGGTGGGGGTTGCGGCGTCATAGAATTGTTATATCATACCGTAATCATATCATACTGTAATGAAGAGGGAAGAAAGCGATCTCCCTTGAAGTTGTCACAAGAGCTGAATAGTCCGCGAGGCTGACCATGTAAGAGAATTGGCTACCAAAACTGTAACAGCAAAAGATCAAGACAGGGCCAGGAGACGTAAAGCAACATGCGAATAAGACAGACACTATAAAAAAACACCTTACAGCCAAGCAAAAAGTAGAAAATAGAAAAATATGAGCCCAACGCGGGGGTCGAACCCGCAACCTTGAGATTAAGAGTCTCACGCTCTGCCGATTGAGCTAGCCAGGCGACTCGTGATTGGACCGTAGAACAGTTTGCATAACGAAACATGCCATACCAGATGATTGTTTATCCCGTTTATGAAAAAGAGCAAGACATTCCTAGAGAAGTCCCCGGAACACTTCTTGACCATAACCTGGCACCCGCCTGGAAAAGCTAGTTTATGAAACATGCCATGAGCATCGTATAAGAGATATGCTGTTACAGGAAGTTAGAAACAATTCCAAGAAAGAGGTCTGTGTTATTACCATAAAGAGGGCGTAACTTCATGAATATCCATATAAAGAAAGGGAAAGCGGAACTGCATGGGGGTCTACAGTTCAAAACATCGAAGGGATATATGTGCAGAAATCAAGACACCACCTGTAATCTCACGATCCCCGAACGGAAGAGATCGAGAAAGTCTGATGCTGTTTAATTCGCCGCGCGAAGAGCACGTAGCCTTGCCCCCAGCCCATCCTCGAGCTCTGTCTCGCTCTGCTTCTGATCTTTGACATCTTCCTTCGGAGCCGGGTTTGTTTCCAAAGCCATTCGCATATCGACGCCGGCGTCATCAGCAAGTTGCTCCATTAAACGGTCAACATCAGTCTCTCCCTCCGCACCGTATTCCTGCATCGAAATCCCCGAGGCGACATCCTCGATAGCACTACTAGCGATCTTGAAATCTTCCGAGCGCGCCAGGAAGTTGTTCGCGTGAGAGACCAGATGCTCAAGATTGACACTCTTCGATGCGGCGTCCAGACCCCGGGACGCCAGCGCCAGCGTCCTCGAAGTGTCGCGAGTGCTCTGTGCCGCCTTGAGCTCATTGATTATCACGTCAGCCCGAGCGGCCTCCGCTCTCAGGGTAACCTGTCGACGTTTTTCGCGCACGGCGGACGAGGCATGGATGCGAGCGATTTGGAATTCGCGGTTTTTCATGGCTTTGTCGGCCTTGGCTTTCTCGGATTTGAAGGTGGACTCTGCGCGAGAAGCCTCTTTTTTGAGCCGGTTGGAATGTAACTACAAAGATAGTATCAATTAGCAACACTGAATGACCGTAATAAACGGGAAGAATGTCCCACCTTGACATTAGTCCGGGCTTCGAAGATTGGATCCTTGCGAACCATCGTGGAAAAGGCGGGGTGGAAACGCTTCTTCTGTTTTCGCTTTCGTTTCCGTAGGGTTGGTAATGAAATTTGGATGTTCTCAAGGTATATATCAGAGAGAAAGCGAAAGTAGAAGACAAAAAAAAAGTAGGTTATGTCAAAGTAGTAGTGGGAGGCAGTTTCTGGCGCAAACAAGTGGGAGGCAACGTTCGTGGTCGAAAGATTCTAGAATGAGTGAGGGGAGCCTTGTGTGGCAACGTCACCCCGACCTTAACAGGGATCAGCCCGAGGAGTACCCAGATAATCTAGTGCATCCTTCCCAGTTAGGTAAGCCACATGTACATTTATTTCAATGGACTTGAGTATACTTCATGTACCAGTTACTACACAACCATATTGGTACGATCAGACATTTTATTACGCCTACAAAGACCATGATTCTGCAATTCTTTGACCAAGATCAAGGGATATGCGCATAACAAAGAAACAAGTAAATGCCGTGAAAACTCCTATCCACTATATAAATGAATAAACTCAAGGAAAACTCATGTCAAGTCATAGAGACATAAACATATGCCGTTAAGGTCTCTCCGGGCGAAAATAGGCTGAATGGAAAGACCAAAAAGGTATCTAACAGAAAATGGCTGAGGAGGGCACAATGTACACGCCTTCCTCCAGCCGGCGCACATGGTCCCCGACCCGTTCGATGTACATCGGCTACGCCGTAACATCCATGGTATCATCTCCTGCTTCAAGAGCGCTCTGTCTCTCGGGATCAGGGACGACCACTCCACGTCCTCTGCCCGCCAGCAATTCTCGTCGAACCTCGGGCCCGATATCCTTGTGTCCGCGAACCAACAACAAATCGAGGAGCGCCTCTCGTTGATCTTCGGTGATATCGTTGCGGTAGCGTTGTGCGAACACCAGCAAGGACTGGTGCCAAAGCACGGGAAGTTTGTATGCTTTGCTGGCTTCGCGCGAATGTCCATCCGCCATAATCGAATCCTCATCGTTGGCGCGGAAGCGGAGGAAATGGAAAACAAGAGCGTCAATGACCTTGTAGGGCAAAGCATATTTCTTCTCCAGGAACACACGGATGAACATATTCACAGCACCGGTGCTTTCCAGCGATCTCGACGATTGTTCCGCAGAAAGATCGCACATGCGCAGTAATGCGGCGGCCGAGTGCAACACTGGAATAGAGACTCGAGAAAGGACTGACGAGACGATGTGAGCCTCCCGCAGGGTACACATGCCGCCGGAGACAAGAGGGAACAAGAATCCCTTGAAAAAGCAAGCCGGCTTGTATAGGGCCTTCTTCAGGGAGTTGTACGTATGGACGTTGAGTTTCTTGGTCTCACGGATCTCTTCGCGAACACGGTCCAGCAAAACCATGGAGATGAATTCCTGCGCCACCGCAGGCTTGGACGAGATGAAAATCCTTGTTGCAGCATAAGTGGCGTTGGCGGTCCACGACTCCGGACGGGTGATATCGAGAAGAGTAGGCCAGTTGGGGATCGAAGGGAGAATTTTGAACGGTTTCGGGAGAGGTCCGGACTTGTAGCGGGAAAGAATCATGCCAACTCTGGTCTATGTTAGAATCCTAGACATGCAAGTGCTGTTCCAAGGTGCTCACTTTTCATATACTTCTATCGCCTTAGCTGGGATTTGAACGGCATCTTCAGGCGCTCCACCACCTTGGACGAATGGCGCGCTCTCCCCAGAACCCGACTGCTTTGCTTCATGCTCTGCGATCTTCTCCAGAATGAGATCAGCCAGGTTCGTGCTCTGGCCACGGGCTTCTGGCCCCGAGGGGTTGAAGATCGGGTCTTCATCGTCGCGAGGAATAAATTTATGGAATAAATCGAGATCATTCGGATCAACTTCCTGTTAAATCAGTCAGCATGGAGTGTTTCATTGGAATACAGCCGTATCCATACCACTTCCTCAACCTCTTCCTCCTCGTCGCCCCATTGTTCCTCCATATTTCCTTCATCATCCGACAACAGTTCATCGTCCTCCGGTCGAGAGCCGAAGTCGAACGCCGAGTGCTCATTTGTGGGCATCGGTCCCGCGATAGATTTCCGTTCGGCGGCATCTTCGTCGGCTAGTTCCTGGCCGATTTGAAGGATCTTGCGCGACGTTTTCGCGTCGATAAAACGCTCGCCATCCTCATTGTCTTCGCCATTCTGCGACACACGCTTGTTCTTTTTGCCGGGTTGGGCCCGAATATGGCCTGCAGTTACGATATCCTCGGCGAGAGGATTATGTCTGCGCGCACCAGCGGTGGCGCGAGTTGCAGCTACCTTGGGCATCGTGGCTGCGATCCCTCGATTTGGGTAAAGCTATGGGATCGAAAGTATTCCCAAAAGAAAATCCACGACAGGATCGAAGGATAGACAAATTTTTTCCTCAGAGACTTAGATCGCCAGGACGCCAAGGCGGAGATAAAGCATGATATGGAAAATGTGTGTAAATTTCGGGTCATGTGACTACTGCGGCCAAACTTTTTTTTTCTGCCCTTTTTTCCCCTCCTTAGGCTTCCAAGTGGGGAATTGTTCCTTTCCTGTTCCGCCGGGCGGTATACTTTCTTACCGCCTATCTTACCGCTCAGATTGCCGGCAGCTCTTCTGCTGGCATTATACCTACTGACCGCCTCCTCTTACGTCGTAATCCATCTTGCGCTCATGTTTTTTCCACCTTCGACTCTCTTGATATTGCAGGAATTTTGACTTTGGATTGTTTACTGTATACCTACTACAAATTGTACAGTTTCCTTCATTCTATCCATTACTAGTTAAACTACTGTACGTGCTGGAGCCCCACTTTGGAACTCCTCGTAATGAGGACTTGTTCTACATACCGTGGACACTCAATTCATTTCTTCATTGTCGCTAGAATGCGAAGCTGACCAATCCATAGCTAGAAACAGGCTTTCTACGAGATATCTACTTCCTATCGACGTATACGACAGGGGCAGGGATCTCGCGTTGTATAAGACTTTCTAGCCTCCAATTGCGTCATATCCATATCCGGTCACCGCGGTGTTTTCACCTGCGCATCTAGCACCCTACATCCTCGTCGCTAATGCGCGTTTCTCATCCACCATAACAACTATCTCAAACGGCCAATCCGCAATTCCTCCGATCGATCGACACTATCTATACCCGACTTGACCGCCCGGGGAGCTATACTTGTTACTGTATGTGTCATCCCTCAGGGAGCTCGCCTTTCCCGCCTGGGATTCCACGGCCGTGAAGAGCTCTGCCAGAAGCGTGACAATCGCAAAACACCACATTGCTTCGAGACAATTACTCTGAAGATAGTCATCCTCCTAGTACCACTTGGCCCAAATTCGAGTGTCAAGGGCAACACCACCACAGTCGCACATTATGGCGTCTACACAACCGACCGGATCCCCCGCCCCCTCATCAAACATCAATTCTCCAATCCAACCCCCGGGAAGCGTACCTTTCTTCAACGGACCTCCATCAGACCAAAATGTCAGATCCTCGCCCGCGCCCCCAAGTATAGTCTCCGCCCAAGGTGACGGGGGGAGGTCGAAGCGCAACAAACGGGACAGTCGTAAAAAGCGCGAAGCGAAAGGTCTCGACACGGATAGTGCGCCCCCCAAGAAAAAAACTACCGCCGTCCAAAACTCCACCCTCTCGAGCTCGGAATTGTCTATCCTACGGCCACTGCTGATTTCAGAGCCAAGACCATCGGACTTGCTGCCTCCCCAACCTCGCCAGATGAACTTTGTGGCTCGGAAAGAATCAGGGACAATCGGCCAGGACTACGAATTCTACGAAGTCGCCGACAAACTCACAAATAAGAACGGATACCGCTATAGCTACGCCATCGCTGACCCAGGATTCCCGCATATCAAATACCGCCAAACTGATGTCAGCCCGTATCACGCCCGTTTCAGCTTCGAGGACTCGCCAGCTGCGATATCCTTCAGCAAAGACGCCCTCGCCGTTACGACCAGCGAACCGTGGCATACCGCGCGCGCGAACGTTTGCGCGCGTGAAGGGACCTTCTACTACGAAGCGCGCATCATCAACGGCGTCATGCAAGGTCCAGATGCAATGGAGACGTCCGGGAACGGAGGGTTACCTTCTAGGGGCCATGTGCGTCTAGGATTCGCGCGCAGGGAGGCAGACCTCGACGTCAACGTGGGCGTTGACTGCTACGGTTACGGAATACGCGATGTGAATGGAGAGGTGGTCAATCGGATGCGCTGCGAGTATTTCTTCCCGAAAGGCGAATCGATCCGCGAGGGGGATGTCATCGGTTTACTCATTACTCTTCCGCCTCTGTCTCTCCATAAGAAAATAGTGGAGGGCGCCTATGATCCTGCGGTTGATGGCGATGCATCGACTCCGAATTCTGAACCTCCGTCCGCCGCGAACATCATTCGCGATCGTATCCCCTTCCATTATAAATCCGACTTTTACTGGCAGCAGTCGAATGTGTTTCCCTCGAAACAGCTCCGCGATTATGCTTTCAATCTTAAAGAAACCTCCACCCTGGGACAACCGTCACCAACCAATACCGAGGACGCCTCGTTGCGCACCCTCCCCGGGTCCAGCATTACCATCTTCAAAAACGGTGTAAAGATGGGCACTCCTTTCAGGGAGTTATACGCCTTCCTTCCGCCGGCAAGTCGACTCGTAAACGGGACCAACAATCTGGGCCTCGGCGAGCGAGAGAACGCAGATGACGGCATGGTTGGGTATTACCCAGCAGTGAGCTGCTACAACGGCGGTGCAGTGGAATGTCGCTTTGAGGCGCCCTGGTGGTTCGGCCCGCCGCCTTATGCGGACAATGACGAACCTGTCCGCGGCATGGGGGATCGGTTCAACGAGCAGATCGTTGAAGATATCGTGGCCGACGTCGTCGATGAGGTCGAGGCTATGCTGGTCTGGGGCGGCGTTGATGGCGACGTTGTTGGGAAAGCAGAAATCGATGGCACGGGTTCTGGGGCTGTTGGGGGTTCTGAGGTTCTCAAAGGAGGTGTTGGAGCGGCGTATGAATCCGCTATGCCTGCAGACGTTGCGTCGAACAATGCGGTCCTTGAAAACACCGGCAACAGTACTGTGCCGGCTCCTTCAAAGCTAGAGGTTGGTGCTAGCCATACCACGGGCGACACGCCTATGGCAGATGGTGCTGAAGGTACATCGAATGCAGAAGCTCCAGAAAATGCAGCAACTGGTGGAGACATCGAGATGTCCTAAGTTTGCTTGCGTGGGCTTTTACCGCGTGGATAGTGGGTAATTTGCATATAATTCCCTTTGATTGTTGACTGTTGATACCAATCTCCATCATCCAATCAACAGAATAAGACATGTCGTTTGTTTGGACTGGAGACAATTTGTGACTCCTTACCCAATGTAATTTACAGGCTGTGGGTTGGTTTAGTATAATGAATTGGAAGAGAAAGAAAGGGAGAAAGAAAAAAGGATTCGGAGTCGAAGTCCTGCAGCACTTCCTATATCAACCGTAGGAGTTTGTGGCCCATGATATTCAAGAATTCGACCGTACAAGATAATCCGCTGTCTGTAGGACCAGGTCATCATCGCCGTATTGGCCAATTACTTGGATCCCGGCTGGGCCCTCATCGTCGCCCTCATGGCAATCCGTAGTGGACGGGATGGAGATAGCTGGTAGCCCGGCTAAACTGGCAGGGACTGTGAACACATCATTCATGTACCCATCTAAAGGGGTAGTGGCGCTCGGATCCAAAAGCTTTGAGATTTTTGGAGGTGAAGAGGGAGCTGTCGGACATATAAGGATATCGACACCGTCATCTGGTTCTTGGCCCTCATTCGGTTGCAGAGAAGACAGCGGTTCATTTGCCGCAAAAACGTCATTGAAATCTTTCTGGACAAGACGACGGACTCGTTGCGCTTGAATGAAATAATTGTCCATAGCGTCGGCGCTCAGGCTGAACGCGCCGAGAAGGATCCGTCTTTGGACCTCTTGTCCAAAGCCCTCCCCTCTTGTTGTGGCATAGAGAGCTTCCCCTGGGTGCATGTCACCACCTTCTGAACGTGTCCCGTATCTTACACCGTCGTATTTCGCCAGGTTGGAAGAAGCTTCTGCCGGCGCGAGAACGTAATATGCCGATAAAGCTGATTTAGTAGTCGGAAGGGAGACAGGAAGGATGGTGTGGCCTTGTTTTCGCATACGATCCAAGGTGCTGGACCAGGCACGGCGAACCGAAGGCGCAAGTTCTTGTATATTGTACTCGACGGGGAATCCAACTCTGAGGGGTCGAGATGTCATCCGAGATGCGAATTTAGGCATCTGAAGGTTGGAGAGGATTCGGGAACGCGAAGACGGGGAAAGGTTCGTCGGGTCGCGTCGATCGTGCTGATTCAAGATGCCTACATTCAACAGTCAGCCAGTACGATAGGCTTCACATATGCTAAGAACGACTTACCAAAGACATCCTGGACATCGGATACCCTCTTCCCCAATATCCCGACTGTGTCCAGTGAGTTCGCGTATGCGACCACACCCCACCGGGAGACCAATCCATAAGACGGCTTGAATCCAAAAGTGCCAGTATACGCAGCTGGCAACCTAACAGAGCCACCGGTATCTGTACCCAAAGCTCTAAACACATGTCAGGTCTGTTCGTTGAATTCGGTCCACAGCGCGTGATGGAATTCACTTACGCAAAACACTGGTCCGTCGCGACAGCTACAGCGCTCCCACCAGAACTACCACCGGACGACAAGGCCTCTTGGTCGTGCGACACCCGGGAGTTTTGAACAGGCCCAAAAGACGAGTATATCGAATGCGAACCCATGCCAAACTCATCCAAATTGGTCTTTCCTGCCACGACGGCACCGGCATCGTTCAATTGTTCGACCACTGTCGCGTTAAACGGGCTGGAGAAGTCTTTCAGGATCGCAGAGGCGCATGTTGTTGGGAATTCGCGGGTACAGATATTGTCTTTGACGGAGACTAGACGCCCGTCTACTTTGGATTTTGGTTTGCCTGTATGTATCCAAGCTGGTTAGTCTATAGGATTAAATACCCCGGGGGTTGACATAACCGCTCAACCGACAACTCACCCTGCTCACTTCGAAGGTCCGCCTCTCTCACACACTCCCTCCACTGCCCCGAGCGCTGAAGCGGGGTTATAAAGGCATTGAGAGCTGCATGACTCGTCTGGTTAATGATGCATCTTTCGGCTTCGCGCAAAAGAGACATTTAGGACTCCGGTAGAGAAACAACTCGCGACAAGCTGTTGGATGCCCACTCCAGGATAGCGAGATTGTGATTGAAAGCGCGTCACCTACTAGCACAGCCACTAAGGCGAGACAAGGGTATTATAGTACTTAAGTAGGCAGTATCAATTGCTGGCTAGAAGCTATCAGAAAGTCGATCCGATCTGATTATCGGACCCGAACTTGACATTCTTGGCTGGACCTTAATGACTAATCAATGGTTTGGATCAATGTCATGCAGTAGACAGGAATATACGAAGACATTCTAAAGAGAGTACTCCTCAGATCTGATCATGAGACAAGTTTGCAATATGTACAATCAATTATTTTCAGTGGTGAAGTAAAATGGATCAACAAACTTCCACTTCGATAACCTAGATCCAGCTGGAGTCGGCGTCTTAGAATCTCCGTCGGCCCGACGGTTAGAAGAACGACGTCATCCGCAGTCTCTTCGACAATCGTGGAGAGCTGTTCGACAACTGGGACTCACAACAGTTTCTTGACCCGAACATACACAATTGGACATCGAAATCGAACGTCACCATGTTGTCCCATCGATTTCTGCGAACCGCCGTGGAGACTACACGGAACAATTCTCTATTTCTGACGTTGAAAGCTGGTGCCCGCCCTTATGCCCCGGTAGCTGCAACTGCCGCAAGAGGCTGGGCTCCGGGCCCCTCGTTCGGAGATAGAAGGTCTATCTCGGTGTATGGGTATACGCAGGCAAAGGCGTTGGTGTATTCGCAGTATGGGGAGCCGAAGGATGTTCTTCAGTAAGTTGTGCTCGGACGCGTCGACGTCATGTATCATGGATATCATCTACACATACTAACTAACCCTGCTTAACTTTATAGACTCCACAAACACTCCATCTCCCCACCTTCCGGTACAGAGGTCACGCTCCGTCTCCTCGCCGCGCCGCTCAACCCCGCCGACGTGAACCAAATCCAAGGCGTATACCCGAGCAAGCCACCTTTCCAAACGGATCTCGGAACACACGATCCGTCGGCCGTGGCTGGAAACGAAGGCGCCTTCGAAGTACTCGCAATCGGTCACAACGTCAAGACTCTATCCAAAGGTGACTGGGTCGTCATGAAAAAGACGGGCCAGGGCACGTGGCGCACCCACGCTCAGATGGACGAGTCGCAGCTGATCAAGATCGAGGACAAGGAGGGCTTGACTCCCCTGCAGATCAGCACTGTGAGCGTTAACCCCGTCACTGCTTACCGCATGATCAAGGATTTCTGCGAGTGGGATTGGCTGCGCTCTGGGGAGGAGTGGCTCATCCAGAACGGGGCCAACAGCGGTGTCGGACGCGCGGCTATCCAGCTCGCGCGGGAATGGGGCATCAAGACGCTCAATGTCGTTCGTGAGAGGAAGACCCCGGAGGAGACGGAGGTCCTGAAGAAGGAACTGAAGGAGCTTGGAGCAACCGCTGTTATTACCGAGTCGGAGCTGGTTTCTGGCGAGTTCAGGAACATGGTGAATGAGTTTACTCGCAAGGGCAAGGAGCCTATCCGACTGGCTCTCAACTGCGTCGGTGGTAAGAGCGCCACTGCGCTGGCGAAGTGCCTCGCGCCGGGTTCGCATATGGTCACCTACGGTGCCATGTCGAAGCAGCCCGTTGCCCTGCCGTCTGGGCTGCTGATCTTTAAGAACCTGGTGTTCGATGGTTTCTGGGTGAGCCGGTGGGGAGACAAGAACCCGCACGAGAAGGAAAACACCATCAGGGACGTGTTGCAGCTAACTCGGACGGGCAAGTTCAAGGATATTCCTGTGGACGAGATCAAGTGGAAGTGGGACACTGAGGGCACGGAGCTTGCGGCAGGTGTGCAGGGAACCCTGGAGGGATACCGCAGCGGTAAGGGCCTACTGAAGTATGAGGGCGGCGATTGAGATATTTGAACGGTTTCCCATGTATAATATAGATGATCTAATCTGGACTGTAACAAACACATAATGACAGACAGGGCTACCGCGATGCAGCATCACACACCCAATTGCTCTTCACCCAATCCAGAAGCATGCTATTCAGTGTCGTCGACGGCATATATACATCACTGTCCTCTGTAAAATTCACGTCCAGCCGTGCCATCTTCGCAGCAAGAGCCACGTAGGGCTCGATGAAATCAATGTAGACGAGATCAACGGTTTGTGGGGTTTCGGATGTGTTCCCTGGGACAAGAGATTGAATGCAATTGGGAACACGGTACATTGGAATAGACGAATGGATCGTATCGTCACCGTCGGTACCACCATCGTCAACGGTAGTATATCCTGGAATAGAGTCCTTGTCGGAACGGTCAAGGTCCAGCAGCGGTTTCTGATTCATGCGGGAATCGTGCCCGATTGCATTGTTCTCCACGACAGAGTCTGAGGATAAAGCTTGTTGCTCAGGAGGTGCTAGGTTCCAAGTTGGAAAATCTACTTGAGCCCCGCCTTTGGAAAGAATCTGTGGCTGCTTATTCAGAATCTCCACGATCAACTGTGCTTTGTCGTAAGGAACATCTTTCAAATAGCGGAATCCGCTCGTAAAGGGACACACTATGAAGGTCGTGTCGTATGTAAAGGGACCCTTGAAGATATCGAAGCGGATAGCGCCGGTGTTTATAATAGCAAGGGCGGGGTTTCCGCCACGAGTGTCATCTCTCAATGAATCGGGGAGTACCTGGCTCGCGAGCCAGGTATATATGCTATCCTCACTCGGATATTTTACGCGGGACATCCAGAGATCCCTGGGGGCGCACCCATAAACCTTATCTAGCTGGAGTTCCTCTCGACTTTCTTGGATAAGTTTTGATACGTTGCGACCTTCGGCTGTGGGAAAAGTATCACTGGCGAGGCCGGTGTGGTGGTGAAAAGAGAATAGGTTGTTATCGATATACCTTCGATTGAAGCTAGGATTGGTCAAAACGGGGTTTATTTGCCGTGTAGCGGTGGCAAGGCCATCGATTGACATGAATCCGATGGTTTCCATGAACCGACCACTGGCCAATCCATACGCTTTGGAATCATAGCGGGCATAGTCTCGGATGTGATAGTGACCACCAAAGAATTGAATCGGTGTATCCCATCGGACATTCCTGATCTCGCTGAAGACCGCGTTGTATTCCGTGGAGTGGACGGCCACATGGCCGATCACCAGAAAGAGATCAACATCTTTGTCTCTGATGATTTCTTGAAACCAGTCTTCTTTGATTGTCTTCTCCACGGAGTGCACAACAGTGTTGTTGCTATTTTTTGTGAAATCAAAGAGAAAGCCAAATGCGACAATGCGAATGCCCTGCTTTTTGGTAGCAAATTTCTTAAAGCGAGGAGCCAGTGGCACCAGCTCCTCCGTCACCGGGTGTAGAATGTCAATATTGGATGCCAGGTAACTCCCACGGAAGTTGGGTACTGTGGTGAAGAGCTCAGCCTCCGAGGTACTCTGCTTGTACAATTCATGGTTTCCCGATGTGAGCAAGTCGATGTGTTGCCGTCGCAGGATCTCGGAGATATACACTCCCTTGGGCTCTGACGAGTCGTAGAGACCATTTCCCTCTACTCTATCCCCTGTATCAATCACCAATAGATCCTGTCCCTGTGCCTCAGCCTTCTCCCGCATCCGACTTGCGAAGGAGACATAGTCGCCCCAGTCTGCGGTGTAAGATGGTCTGGATGTATCCGATTAGCATACACTAGTATGAGTCGGAATGGATCATTCGGGATGAACCACTCCCGGATTCCAAAGCCATACTCTTGGAGATGGCCGGCTAGCCAGCCGTGTGTGTCAGTAGTGTGGAGAAAATTAAGTTGACCCCATTTCAGATCACGTAACGGGGCCGGGATAGGATCTGGAGCGGATGGCTGGACAGCGAAGACGGCACAACAAAGGGATAGGATAAGGATCCGAGTCGTCATATCGATTCAACCGGTTGAACGAAATGCGGTCTCTGTCCGAAGCTCCTCACAGAGCGATACTCGCAGCAAGAACCACCGTAATCATCGAGAGATAGCTAGTATCTCTCCAGTTTACAACACTTTCGGTCTAGAAAGACGGACAGAAGTGGGCACCGGTGAACCAACCCCCGGCTTAGTCAGCCGTGCCCAACAGTCTCGAAACTCTCAGCAAAATCCAGCAAAATAGACTGGAGGAAAAGAGAAGAAATCGCCCTTAGTATCGACGCCTAACCCAACGGAGTTGCCTGTCTTTGGATCTTGACATCTTCTTGCAACTCTTTCGTTTCCCACTTTTCCATCTCGTCTGCATTTTCTTGTCCTCCAGCCCGGCCATGGCTGCTCCCCGACTCTTCCGCCCTGCAGCTCGTCTGCTCTCATCGCGTCCTACCTCCGCTCCCCTCCGCCCTGCTTTTCGCAAGCCGGTATATGCCTCCTTGGCCGTGCGCTCCCAGGGATACGCCACGGAGAGCGGTACCAAGGATGTCACCGTTCGCGATGCACTGAACGAAGCCCTTGCCGAGGAGTTGGAAAGCAACCAGAAGACTTTCATTCTGGGCGAGGAGGTCGCGCAGTACAATGGAGCGTATGATTCCCCGGTCTACAGCAGCACTCGGTTGATGATAAGGTTGCGGTTTGGCTAATGGTGTTTCCCGCTTCCAGTTACAAGGTGACGAGGGGTCTTTTGGACCGCTTTGGTCCTAAGAGGGTCATTGATACCCCGATTACTGAGGCTGGCTTCGGCGGTCTCGCCGTCGGTGCTGCTCTCGCGGGCCTGCACCCCATTGTGAGTGTCCACTGAGTTGTTACATTGGATGTATAGCAAGGAGCGACTTTCGCTAACGAGACGATGATATGACGGTAGTGCGAGTTCATGACTTTCAACTTTGCCATGCAGGCGATCGATCAAATCATCAACTCCGCCGCTAAGACACACTACATGTCGGGTGGTATCCAACCTTGCAACATCACTTTCCGTGGCCCCAACGGTTTCGCCGCCGGTGTCGCCGCGCAGCACTCCCAGGATTACTCCGCCTGGTACGGCAGCATCCCTGGCCTGAAGGTTGTCTCGCCCTGGAGCTCGGAGGATGCCAAGGGTCTGTTGAAGGCCGCCATTCGCGACCCCAACCCGGTCGTCTTCTTGGAGAACGAGTATGTGTGACTCTGGTATCACGTGTCCTGCGAATGCGTTTGCGCTGACAAATTCTAGGCTCATGTACGGACAGGCCTTCCCCATGAGCGAGGCTGCTCAGAAGAGTGACTTCGTTCTGCCTCTTGGCAAGGCCAAGATCGAGCGCCCCGGAAAGGATCTGACTATCGTTTCCCTTTCCCGCTGTGTGGGTCAGTCTCTCAATGCCGCGGCGGAGCTCAAGCAAAAATATGGAGTCGAAGCCGAAGTGATCAACCTTCGGTCCGTGAAGCCGCTCGACGTGGAGACCATCATCCAGTCTCTCAAGAAGACCGGCCGTATCATGGCCGTTGAATCTGGTTACCCCATGTTCGGTGTCTCCTCCGAAATCCTCGCCCTGTCCATGGAGTACGGTTTCGACTACCTGACGGCGCCCGCTGTCCGTGTCACCGGTGCTGAGGTGCCCACGCCCTACGCTCTTGGTCTGGAGCAGCTCAGCTTCCCCCAGGAGGACACGATCGTTGGCCAGGCCGCCAAGCTGCTGCGTTTGTAAATGGTATGACAAGAAAACTGGCGCTATAAAAAGAGGATAAATTCTGTTTTGTTTTTGGTAACTTTTTGACCTGTTCCTGTCTACTTTCAAGCTCTAAGTCGTTTTCGTTTCCATGTTCACTTTTAAATCTGTACGACTACTGATTAATCAACCTTTACATCTTCATTCTTCTTTTTTTTTTTTTTTTTCTTTTTTGGTGTTGATGATGCCATGTTATCAGAATCTACGAACAATAGAGTATTAAGGATAATATGCCTTAAGTCCCTGCAGTCCCTTTCAGATCCACGTAGCCTCGTTGTCCACGAGATCTTCGGACTTCATGTGAATGCCTTATGAGAGAATAGATGGACAGAAGAATCTACCGTAGCAACAAAGTATATTTAGAGTTCAGAGTTTTCAGAGCCAATGATGGCTAAGTATAAAATTGTATTCATGTCTTCATATTGCCAAATGCTTCAACCATGTTGGACTTACCGCAAACGCCTTATCCCGCCTAACACCGCCAATTCAAAGGTCCCATCATGAATACATAACCATCAACAATATACAAAGGGCAAACCCGTAAATCACACTCTGGCAGGTACAGACTCGGCATTTCCAGCACCACCACAGTTGACAAAACACCCCGTTGGATGTCGAGGATTATAGTAGCCACCGCCCATGGTATCATTCGCGTACTCTTCGTCAGTGTCGCTCTCCTCGGTATCCTGTCGCATTTTCACGTCTCTGACAGGCGAGTTCCGCGCAGGCACATCTACCTCATCAGCCCCAGGGCTGTCATCGTCATCTTCTCCTAGGACGTTTTTCTTCGTCGGCGCGGAGGGCGGGACGGGCGCTTTGACAGTCGTAAAGGAACTCTTGAATCCCCCCTTTTTGAATCCACCACCGCTACCACCTCCCGAAGGTGCGGGACGGGCTGCAGCTCCAGTCGCTACGCCACTCTTGTTCGTGTCGATCACCCTCAGCCCGGCCTCTGCGTCAGCCTTTTTCTCAGCCCGCCTGGCTTTCTCTGCGGCGTTGGGGTCGCGCGACAGTTGTTTCAGTTCTTGTAGACGTTTGCGGTGTTGGTGATCGTATGAGGAGATGTGGGCTTCGTATTCGGGATGGCGGGAGTAGGATTTGTTGCAAAGGGAGCAGGTGAAGGAGCTCAGTGCAGAGCGGGCGGACTCCGTCTAGAGAAGTCGGCATATGCTCAGTTATGGGTGTTCGTTGTGGCCGGTGGTCATTCCGGTAAGAACAGTTCTTTCGTGCATCATACCTTCGGAGCTGGGTTTGTAAAACCTCGCTGGTGTCGAAGTAGGAATTCAGCGATCTAGAATGTGATGTTGGCGTCGGGGAAAAGAACATACCGGAGGCATCTTCGTTGATGTATTTGGATGAGGAAAGGAACGCTCTGGTTATGAGGTTTGGGAGAGAAAAGCAAAACACCGGAAAAAACGAAAAGCTATCATTAGCCAGGTGTCTTGGGTGGACTGTCAATCTATGGTTTTTGTCGTTGTTGTACCTCCGAAGTATCGAAGCCGCTCCGGGTTGCCCGTTCCAGGTCAGCCGGCCTACCGCCGAGGCGACAATATATATAGCGAAGTAGGCCTACAAATGCCATTGTCCCACCACGATTAAATCTAGAGTGCTATGTTTTGTAAGTGCGAGGTGCGTCGAGTAAGATGTATAGAGGAAAAGAGAAGTTAAAAAAGAATACAATATCATAGGAGAAACAGGTGATAGAAACCAATGCCAAGAAGTTCCTTACCCTGTAGTCAATCTGTGACCGCCCGAGATCGACGCCGTTACGTCTCTAGACCTGCTTGTATACATCATACCCTGAACAATTGTACCTCTACCCAATCTTTTCTGTCTATTTCACTATAGTACCAGCAAGGCCATACACCCCCAAACAGTATGGGTTTATAACCGGAACTTTTGCTAAACTGATACATTCCTGTCGACTCTATCGCTCGCCTTATCACCATGGCATCACCTACCGACGAGGGTCGCACACCCCCGCAGACCTCTGATGACATCAATACACAACGCATGGATTCTATAACGTCTATGCAGGAATTGGATCCCTCTCCGGTCCACGAGGAGCCTCCACCGATCGAGTCTGACAATGGCAATTGCTTTACAAAAAGACAAGGCTCTTTGCCTAGTCAGTCCAGTTCGTCAACAGGGCGATCTTCCGCTCTAAACCTAGGCCTCAGTGGGTATAATTGGGATTCGTGGTGTGAGTTGATATACTCTGTTTTCTTGATACCACAGTGGGTTGAAACTAACCATTCAGGGTGTCAGTTGTCGCTCTCCAGAGATACTCGACTTACCCGCCCACCGTCTTCTTCGGCCTGCACTTTGCCAACACGTCCCTTATTCCCCTGATCACTCGTTCCGTCTCCGACAGTGAAAACTATCTACTGTTGACTCGCCCTTTCTATCAATCTCCGTCGCTGGAACATGTCGTGTTGACAGCCCCGATATTGATCCATATCGTGTCTGGAATCGCTCTGCGAAGTATCAGATCCCGCCGGCGAGCGCGGCTCTACGGCGCAGAGACCAGATCGCAAAGATATTCGTTAAATTTCTGGCCACGGATGAGCCTTCAATCCCGACTGGGATATCTCCTTATCCCGCTACTAGGCGCCCACGCCCTTGTCAACCGTGTCATGCCCGTGATCGTCGACGGTGGAAGTTCAGGAGTGGGGCTGGGCTATGTGGCACACGGTTTCGCACGCAGTCCAGTATTTTGGAATACGTTCTACACTGCGTTTGTCACTGCTAGTGTGTGGCATATAATCGGGGGTTGGGCCGCTTGGATGGGATGGAAAGTCACCACGGTGCGGAAAGAGCGTGGTAAACAAGGCTCTATCGAATACGGTCTAGGGCAAACAGAGGACAGTCTGATTGCTAAAAGGCAAAAGAAATCACGGTGGCTCGTGAGCGGCACAATCGCCGTGGGGGCCGCCGTTTGGCTCGCTGGGGCTTTGGGAATCATCGGACGAGGAGGTCAGGGTTCCGGCTGGGAGGCCAACGGATGGAACAAAATGTACAGCCAGGTGCCTGTTATTGGGGCATGGTTGTGATACTAGCTATTGAATAGAAACTACTACCTAGTGTCTTAAAATGTATAACAACAAAAGTCTAGTGACCTCCGAGTTGTAAGGTATGCATACGAATAAAACAGCATTTTTCTCTTTCAACGCATAGACTTCAGATAGGATAGTCGTTCTCCCTACAACTGACCTGAAGCATAATGGGTGTAATGATAAACAACAGACTTGGATGGTGAAGAAGCCGATAAGCGGCCCGATAGAGAATACGGCGCAAACCCGAAAGTCTGGGTGGCTCGTGCGCCAGACTTTTTCCCCCGGTCCTTTCTCAACCACCAACGGCGACGCTGTCTACAGTCAATTCCTTGGTGAGTCCTCGACGCTTGACTGATGTTTCTCTACAAGCGCAACTTCATCCAACTAAATCGTTATGCTATTCAGTCTTTGAACTACAAGGCCTTAGTTATCCTTTCGCATACAGAGCCCCGTTCGGTTCCCCGCCATCCTGCAAGCCTCAGTCACAAGCGATACAATTCGTCTACACCTTCAGTCATGGAGACACCGGAGTCTGTCGGTCCTGGTCAGACGGTACAGCATAATGGCAAGGAATACACGGCTGTGAGGGAAGGTCTGGCCTATATCTTGAATCAGCCTGCGGACGCGACCTCTAAAAGCGGGAGCAAAAATGGCTCCAAAGCGGAGGAACCTCAATCAGTCTTCTACAATCCAATCCAGCAATTCAATAGGGACCTCAGCGTACTTGCGATCAAAGCCTACGGTAGACATGCGATAGCTGTGAAGGAAGAAAAAGCTGCGAAGAAGTCGCATGCGCCGGCAAAAGGGAAGAAGCGCAAGAGAGACGGAGACCAAGGCAGCACTGAGGCTGGTACTTCTCATAATGGCGAGCAGCCAGCTCCCGAGTCGGAACCAGCGCAAAAGTCTACGCCGTCGTTCACAATCCTCGATGCCTTGTCGGCTACTGGGCTGCGCGCATTGCGATACGCCCTCGAACTCCCGTTCACCACTCGCGTCGTCGCGAATGACATGTCACTACCTGCCATTCAAGCCATGAAAACAAACATCGAATACAACGGGCTCGAAGACCGCATTAAACAGAATACGGGCGATGCGCGGGCTTACATGTACAACCTCGATACTGGAAATGGGCCTCACACCGAGAAATTCGACGTCATTGACCTCGACCCTTACGGCACTGCAGCTCCATTCATGGACGCTGCCGTACAAGGCGTCAAGGACGGCGGTCTTCTGTGTGTGACCTGTACCGACGCAGGCGTCTGGGCGTCAACCGGCTATCCCGAGAAGACATACGCCCTATACGGCGGAGTTCCATTAAAGGGCACGCCCTCGCACGAGGGCGGGCTGCGTCTCATTCTCCACGCGCTCTCAGCATCCGCAGCCAAATACGGACTCGCAATCGAGCCGCTCCTGTCGCTGTCAATCGATTTCTACGCTCGAGTATTCGTCCGCGTCCACCGATCACCCGCCCAGGTCAAGTTCGCCTCAGGCAACACGATGCTGGTCTACAACTGCGATGCAGGCTGCGGCGCATGGACCACGCAGCCCCTAACACACACCAAGCACAAGCTCGACAAAAAGGGCGGCACCTTCCACCACTACGGAATCGCCCAAGGTCCAGTCGCAGACGCGCACTGCGAGCACTGCGGTCGCAAGACTCACCTGGCAGGCCCAATGTGGGCAGGCCCCCTCCACAACCCGGATTTCATCCGCAAAATCCTCGCCATGGTCCCAACTGTAGACAGAACCACATACCAGACAATGGACAGACTCGAGGGGATGTTAACCACAGCCCTCGAAGAAGACCTGGCCGTCGCCGACCCCCCCGCAGACTCCAAACCCGACTCGGAAGAAGACCAGAACGCCGAAGACGCCGCAGCAAGTAATACCTCGCCCATCTTCACCCGCGCAGACCCCTCCGCTCGCGAACCCCACCCATTCTACTTCACCCCCGCAGCCCTCTGCAAGGTCCTCCACACGTCCACCATCTCAGCCGACGCCCTCCGCGGCGCCCTCCGCCACCTAGGCTACCGCTCGACGCGAAGCCACGCCAAGCCCAACACGCTCCGCACAGACGCCCCCTGGGCCATCATCTGGGAGATCATGCGCGAGTGGGTTCGCCAAAAGTCGCCCATCAAGCAAGACGCCCTCAAACCAGGCACCGCCGGCGCAACCATCATGGCCAAGTCCCGCGAGAACATCCAAAAAGTGCAACAGGAGCAGACCGCGCTCGACACCATTAAGACCGATATCATCGCTGCTGCGCAGACCGGAGCTGATATCAACGACCTCGTGACGAAGGTCGAGGCGGCGCTGTACCGCTCCCGGTCTCAGCAGAAGCTTGCGCAGGGTGCGTGCGAGCCAAGCGAGTTGGAGGTGAACTTTGATGAGGCGCTTGGTCGGGACGTCGCTTTGAAGAAGAGGCTTGTGAGGTATCAGCTGAATCCGAGGGCTAATTGGGGGCCGTTGAATCGGGCGTCTGGGGGGCGATGATGCTGTCAACGTTGGGGGGTTTGGGTTGTTTGACTGTGTTGCTGTTTCTGGCGCTGTATTATAGACGTTGGATAAAAGCATATGATACGATTTTTATTTACTACACCGAGTCCATTCGACGGTGTTTTCTATTCGATGGAGATTTAGAATGTTTACCAAGGCTCAAGTTAGACATGGCTTTGACCAAAAGATCTAATATACATCTACGGTATCTGAGGCCTATCTTAAGCACAAGGTGATCGATCCGTCGGAAATAGGAAGGTAATGAAGGAAGGCGCGAAAATAAATGGTAGAGGAATAACTGAATAATTGAATCTCTTCACATTGCATGTTACATGTCTAATAAAAAGACAAATACTCTATAAATCATAAACACCCACCGACATGTCTCATCGCATCTCACATTAGAACTTCGAAATCGCAACCGCAACTGCCTGGATATCACTGTGGCTAATGCTGACATTAACCTGTTTGGCGCCAGCCTGCTTCGCGGCCTCAGCGGCAGCACCGTGAAGCTGAGTTCATGTTAGCTATATCACTCAGATGTAATAGTTTAGGATAGACATGGACTTACATTGACGATTGGTGCCCCGGTCGTATCGCTGGCAATTTCAATGTCTTTCAACGAAGCGCCTGCGCCCTTGCTGTGGACGCCCAAAGACTTGAACACGGCTTCCTTTGCGCTCCATCTGCCGGCGAATGATGCCTGAGGAGAAGGTGCCTTGCGACAGTACTCCTGTTCTTGGGCGGTGAAGTTCCGCTCAATGAAGGTTTCATTGTGAATGTTGACGGACTCGATGATCTCCACATCCACCCCGACCTTCGAATTGTCGGCAGCGTAAGCATTCGCCAGCGATTCCACCATCTGCTTAGTGCCCTGAGCCCCTGCGTCGTTCACTTTGGGAGGCGCAGACGGGAACTTGAGTTCAGAGGTCTTCTTGTCGACAGCAACACGGTAATCGGGGTTGAGGAAGACCTTGCTCTGCTGCGCATCTTCATATGGTGCCTTGCTCTTGGCAACGAAGATGCTGTTGTTGATTAGGCCATTGTGGAAGTATCGGTAGGCCTTCTTCTGCCTAGCTTCAACCTTGGACTTGTAGGCCTGGAAATGAGCCTGATCGAGTGTCGCATAAAGGTACTTGGGATGAATTCCGATCACCTGAGCACCCTTCTGGCCGAAACCGAACGATGTGACTGAGAACGCCTTAACACCATCTGTTTGGATGCTGCGGCTGGGATAGACAATGTAGTCAAACTTCTCCATCACCTTGTCAACATTGTCCGCATTGCGGTTACCAGGGACCAGTCCACTATCCAACACTTGCAGACAGCCGTTGAACATCCAGGCACCAGCGGCACCCTTGGGGTGTCCCGTCAGGTATTTCTGGAAGATACCCATGAGAGCATTGCCCTTCTTGCGGCCCAGATGCCTCATCTGCTCGCAAATAACATCAGATTCGTTCTTGTCGTTCGCGACAGTCGAAGTGCCATGGAAAGAAGCGACGTTGATGTCATCAACAGTGAGACCCCAGGTTGCAAGGGCACCACGCAGAGGAGCAATCCGAGAGTCCTGCTTCCAGAAGTTGTTTCCAAGGCTGAATTGAGCATCCTTCTCCTGGCGAACGGCTTCGCGCTCAATGTGCTGGGCTCGTTCTTGCATGTACTCAGGCACATTGAACGATTCAGACTCCTGGGACTTCATAGCCTCAACTTCCTCCTGGAGATACAAGAGCTCCGATTCTTGCCACTCCTTGATCTGCTTCTTGCGGAGTTCCAGCTGGCGGCGGCGGTACTTGATGTCCAACAAGGGAGAGGGGAATTTGCCAGGGTTCTCGCGCGCAGTGGTCAAAACACCTTGGCCGGGAGCGGGAACGGAACGACCGATCTTGTCCGTCGCCGTGGTTGTCAAGGCAATGACACCATGGATCGGGACACCCATGTCAAGAGCAAGCTGAGCACTCATGAGAAGCTGCATACCACAGCCTTGGGATTCCATGAACCCTGAGCGAGTGGTGGTTGTAGGCCGCGACATCTCCTGCGGGGTACGGCCGTGGGCAAACTCATCTTCCGCGTTGCTGGTAGCCTTCATGTTGGCAAACTCATACGATCCTTCTTCCTGGAAATCGTCGAATCCACCGACAAAGCAGACGCGCGCTTTCCCTTCGACAATGGTCTCATAGCCGATGTCCACAGACTCCACGGCGGTAGCACAGGCACCGACTGGTGTCTTGATGGGCCCTGTGGACGACAGAAGCAACATGTTGACCCAGGCACTCATGGTATTGATGAAGGATTCCTGGAGGATATCCTTCTGCACAGGCTTGTCAAGGTACCGGTCCTTGTACATGCCTCGCAAGGCATGCGTACCGCCGATACCCGAGCCAATGCAGTTGCCGACTTCAGACAGATGGACGTACTTGTAGAACTCATAAGGGTCCGTAATGCCGGCGGAAAGCATCGATTCGGCGGTACAGACGAGGACAAACAGTGTGACCGGATCAACTTGCTCGATGATATCGTCGGGAATACCATAGCGCTTCGCGTCCCAGCCAGTCGGGACTTGACCGGCGACAAGACGGTCAAACCGAAGAGCCTTGGGAATGAGGAGGGTGGCCCCCTTCCTGAGACGAACTGTGAATTCGCCCGACTCCGCGACCTCGAAGATCTCAACATTATCACCGTGTTCCCGCTTGAACTCCTCCGCGGTTTCCTTGGAAGCCTCGAAGGGATCCAAGTCTTCCTGGATGACAATCTCTTGCAGCAGCTGCTTCTTGTTGGGGTCATAGCCTTTGAAGAGCTCGGGCTCGATAAGCCGGATACCAGTGTGCTCCAGGATCGAGGCCTCGTACTTGGGCTTGATATCCTTATCATCCACTGGCTCGCCAGACTTGGCATCAACCCAGCCGGAATAGGCTTGTCCTTTCAGAGGACCGTTATGATGTTTGATGAGTCCCATGATCCAGGCCATTTCCACGCAACCTTCGAGGGAGAACCGGCCGTGGGCCTCCATTTCCCAGCGAGTTCGGGAGTTACCCCATGGCCCGACCTCGGAGAAACCAGCGACAACCACGACCTTGTCCAAGTTCACCATGCCCTTGAGAGATTCATTCAGAGGCTTGACTTCTTGCTCCCAGTCAGGGACATTCGGGAACTCGAACTTGATATTCGCGCGAGGTTCGGCAGTGACCCGCTTGTAGAGCGCTTCACTGTCTTCTCCGTTGACAATCTTGTTCTCGATGGCGGTTTCCTTGATCACGGCTTGGCGAACGTCGCTCGTCTCCATGATGTCGGTTCGGAGTTTGGTCATAAGACCCTTGAGGTCGGGAATGAATTGGAGACCACCGTTGAGGTCGGCAAAGACCGGGTCCAGTTGACAGAGATTGACAATCGCAGGAGCCATGAGACCAAGCAAGTTGAAAGCCATCTCTTGCTGCGAGAAAGTACGGACGCCAAGCTTCTCAACTCCTTCCGCCACCATGTTGTTACCGCTCATGAGTCCAGTGCCGCGAGTCCATCCGATAACAGCACCGCAGATGGTGAGGTAATTGCTCCAGCTCTCCGAGTACCAGCGGTTGAAGAGGGTCTCCAATGCAAGCTTGGACTCGGAATAAAGCCCGTCATTACCGAAGGTACCGTGGTTCGGGGACATGGGAAGGATGACCTGAGCGGGGCGAGTCTCGAATCCGTTGGTCTGTTTCTGGGCCTTGATGCAGCCGAGGAGGCGCAACAGATTCGTGAGCATGATGCGGTGAGCGAGTTCGGACTTGGAGTCAATCGAGTCGATCTCTCGGCCGTTCTCGGGGATGGCAGCAAACGGAACGACGAAATCCAGATCCCATCCAAGCCCCTTCTTTGCATCGTAGATATAATCAACGAGAGCCTCCACATCCTGCTTGCTACCCTGGTTGAAGGGAACAACCACGAGCTGCGACCCCTTGGCACCGAAGCGAGCGTACATGGCCTGGTAGTACTCGGTCACCTCACGAGAGTATCGGCTCGTTGTCACAGTGACCTTAGCGCCACCGCTGATCAGGCCCTGAAGGACCTCTGCTCCAATGGAACCGGCACCAGCACCAGTCATCAAAACATTCTTGCCCTGGAACGACAAGCCGGACCGCGCGGCGGACTCCAAGCCGTCCAGGTAGACTCCCGTGAGCTTCTTATTGTACTCCCAGCCGTGCTCAAGCTTTTTCTTGAGATGCAAGAAAGGTATGGTCTCAACCTTACCCATACGGGGACCACCGCTGCGCTTGACATTGCTGCGACCGGTTTTCTTGGCGGCGTCCGTGTCTTGGGACATGATCTGGTTTTCATTCATGTTCAGAGCGCGGATAACCTCCTTGTACAAGGCATTGAACTGCAGCTGTGAAGACTTTGATAGCCGGTGTTGCCCGCGAATCAATTTGTAGACACTTTTCAGATCGTTCTGGACCTTGGTTCGGTTGCTATACTCGGAGATCGGGCCGCCCTCGGTCATCTGCTTCACGTAATGCTCCAGCTTGCGGGCGCTGGCACGAGGGGCCTCTTCGTATGCGATATTGCCGCGTGCGTCCACGGTGGTTTGCGGACCAGTGGGGACCGCGACGTCCTTGTAAACCGGAGCCTCTCCCAGGACTTCCTTGCAGTTTTCGATGAGCTGCTGGCCCAGTTCCTTGGCGAGCTTGTATGTCTCCCCGCGATCAGTCGGGCAGTTGTCGATGTGGTACTGCATGAACTCCAAAAGCAGGGGGTTCGACCGGTTCATAATCCGGATACACTGGCTCACAATCTCGCGGTCGATAACCCTCAGCCTGCCGAAGATGATGTCGTAATACATGCTAAGGGCATCTTGCCGGGCCCAGTTCCAGGACGAATCATACACCCGAGCCTTCAGAGGTTCAAAGGATGGTTCAATGCCCGCAGCGTAGAAATCGCCATGCTCTGCTTGCCAGAGATCCAATTGCGCCTGCAGGGTCTTCTGGGTCTCCTGCGAGGTGATGAACGCCTTCTGTCCAGCACGCAGGTCCATCTTCAAGTATCGCGCAATGAGCTCGAGCTGCTGTTTGAATAGTGCTCGTTGGTCTTTGGTGAGCGCATCGATGGCGGCAGGGTCCATCATCATGCCGCCCGCACCACCCGCGGAGTCGCCACCAGCGGTGGGCGTTGAAAGGCTGATTCCAGCAGCTGCGGCATATTTATTGGCAACGTCGTCCAGATAAGCTTTTGCGTCGGCCTCCGAACCGATACGGGAGGGGGGTTCCATGGTGATGGCGAGCAGGAGGACTCCATCTTGCCGGCCGGAGCCCAAGCCCCATCTCGTCTCGAGGTATTTGCGGACTGCTGTGATATTGAAGCCACCGGGCATTTTGGACGACACCATGCGGGCAATGAGAGACAGGGATTGTTTCCCGAGCTGGCCGTTGAAAGTCGCTTGCATGGCGGCACCCAGTTCATCCAGAGGAATATCTTCCGGTTTCTCCGGGGTCGACCCGAACTCCTTGCCCAGGTCACCGAGGATTTCGTTCTGCAGAGTGGATTTACCTGATGAGAAGGTCAAGTTAGTTAACTGCAATCTTCGAGTCCCAATGGAATGAACTTACCGCCGACCAGATCCTTGATGGCTTTGCTCAGAGGTATATCAGACAATCCTTTCTTCAACTTCTGTGCTACTAAAGATCTCAAGACGTCCACCGCCGTTACCGGAGCATCTTCAACAGCGGCGGCCGGCCCAGCACTTGGAGGCGGCGCGGACTGTGCAGGCGCAGCCGCTGTAGCGGGCGAAGCAGCCGGGGCCGCTGTGCTGGCAGCCGGTTCGGCCGCGGCCTCGGCCTCTTCTTCGACGGGGTCGACATCATAATATATTTCTTTCGCATCCTTGTTGTAGCAGAGTATTTGGCGTTGCACGGAGGTGGCGGCGTCGTAGGCTTCATACTTGGAGGCGAGAGTCCGTCTTGCCATTCCACCTAGAGTGTCTGCGGGACCGATTTCCACGATGCGCTCCGTCCTTTGTTCGGCCAGGATGACATCCTGGGTTTCGATCCATCTCACTGGGGACGCAAACTGGTAAGCCAACAGCTCCACCAGCAAGGTATGTGAAAGCTCCTGTTCGATTTCGGGCCGCATGGCGGGGGGCCAGAAGGGCAGGTATCCGGGTTTAAAAAAAGAGAATAGAAGAAGGAAGAGAAGGAGAGCGAGGATTAAATCGAGTAGGCGAGAAGAAGTTCCAAACTGATATCTATCATAAACCGGGAAAATACAGCAATGGTATGAAAGAGGGTCCCAAGGGGAGAAAGAAGAAGAATTGCAATTAAAGTAGTAAGAATTCCAGACCTGAACCGTTCAGCATCAGCAAACAGTCAATGCAGAACCCCAGGAATGAAGAATGTCAAGGGGGAGATTATTGGAGTGGGCTGCTTTTCCGCGATGAATGATTGACCAGAGCATCTGGCAAGTACCGCAAGAAAAGACAGTAAGAACTCACCTAGTATGATCAGACCGGTAACGACACCACAGGCGGTGGGGGAGAAATTGCCAAAGTGGTTACTCTGTAAAAAAAAAAAAAAAAAAAAAACACTGGGGCCAAATCATATAGAAAGCAAATGAAAGGACTTTCGGATCCGAGAAGGGCAACCGTGGAAGGAGGCGTGGGAGTGGGAACAAGCTCACCAGTTGGATGAGGTTTTGCTGAGTGTTGGGGCGAGCAGACCCGGCCCAGTACGGACAGTACGGAGATAGTACGTCGATTCCTTTAGTGTTGACCACCACCAGGTGGGAACGGAGAGCCGCTGAACCATGCCTAAAAGGAAAAGGGGAACAGATTTCAAAATTAAAAATGAATAATGAAGAATATTACAAAAGAAGTCCACTCCACTGGTTGGGTCCAAGGATATGGTAATTTTCTTACATACCGTGAGGACGAGAGGAAGTTAGGTAGACATGCAGGTACTGGCAGGTACTGGCAGGTACTGGCAGGTACTGGCAGGTACTGGCAGGTACTGGCAGGTACTGGCAGGTACTGGCAGGTACTACTATTATCTACTGCATTCTTGGGTATTGAGTATTAGTATTAGGTATTGGTACATGAAAGGTATCTGTACATATGACCTGGCATATAGACCATACCGATGGCCAGTATACAATTACAATCACCCTCTATATATGATATGAGATACCTGGAGTATTCTCGGCCATAAGGTCGGTATCCATGACAGAGGCGAGACCGGCCCAGAATAGCGGTGATTCTTACCGAAAGTGACAGAGGACACTACGCTTTAGTTTCAGATTGGCGGTCAGATCCTTAGATGTTAGTCGTCATCGGCTTGCCGGATCCCTACGGTTCTATACCACATTACAGCAGGATTAGGTGGACAAATACATGTATCGATGTAAAATGGTTTCAGGTACATCCAGCGGGTCCAGCCCAACCGTTTTAGACCTTTGGGGAGTGCCACTGCCCACTAGACCGCTTCGGGACAGTTCTTGTTCAACCGGACCTCCAACTGTATGGACCAGTTCAACATTGGTCATTTCTCAATGGAGATTAACAGTCCCAGGAACTGGTCTATATGCTTGGGAGCCTCTTACCTGGTTTGGATTATGTGGTTCTACTAATCCATCCTTCCATCCTCTTGCCCGCCCGAAACTGATACATCTGCCTCTCTCTGACTTTTTGAACCTTCTTATTATTCTCTTTTTTTTTTTTTTTTTTACCCCTCTATACTCTTTTTTTTCTTTTCTTTCTTTCTTGGATTTCCTTTCTGTAATCCTCTTCCTCTTCTTCGGCCGACTCCCTGTTGATTCTTTATCGCTCTTCTAATTAGACTTTTACTATCTTATTTCCCATACAGCTTCCTGTCTTCAAGAGATAAGTGGAGCCCTACTTTGATCACCCACTTTGGGCTCAAGTGTTCGGTTTTTGGAAGATATTTCCTCCTGTTCTGTTTCAGCTGTTGCATAGAGGTAGGTTAATTATTTGATCTGATATTGATTGCACTTTGTTCCCTCTACCTTGCCTAGACGTCTTCCTCTTCCCCAATTTACTTCCCCGTGTCTTCGTCTGCCACCACTGGCTCAATTCTTCCCGTTCTCCAAGATTGATTTTCTAACTTCCTATCTGCAAATCGCAGACTCTTCTACTCCACTTCCTTGTTTGACTTGCAACCCAACGAGCGACAGAAAATTGACACGAACAACGAGATGCATGGAACATCGACCGGCCCTCAAACGGGCATTAATACCCCACGTTCATCCCAATCACTGCGGCCTCTCATCCTGACGCATGGATCCCTGGAATTCTCCTTTCTTGTGCCCACCTCTCTTCATTTCCACGCTTCGCAATTGAAAGATACCTTCATCGCCTCGTTACCACAGCCGACAGATGAGCTCGCCCAGGATGACGAACCGTCCTCCGTCGAGGAGCTGGTGGCTCGTTACATCGGTCACGTCTCCCAGGAGGTCGAAGAGGGCGAGGATGGTGTTCATGGAACATATATGGAGGTGTTGAAGTTAGCCCTCAACGAATTCGAGCGCGCCTTCATGCGTGGGAATGATGTCCATGCCATCGCCGCCGGTCTTCCGGGGATTGTCGACAAGAAGGTGTTGGTCGTGAAAGCGTACTACGCCGGGAGAGCTGCGGCTGGGCGGCCCGTCAAGCCTTACGACTCGGCCTTGTTCCGAGCCGCGGCCGACGGAAAGGCTGGCTTGTATTCCATCTTCGGCGGCCAGGGCAACATTGAGGAATACTTCGACGAACTCAGGGAAATCCACACCACATATCCGTCCTTCGTCGATGGTCTGGTCACCTCGTCGGCCGAGTTGCTTCAGACTCTGTCGCGGGAACCAGAGGCCAGCAAACTCTACCCCAAGGGGCTCGATATCATCAAGTGGCTGCAGGACCCCGACTCCCAACCGGACACCGACTACCTCGTCTCGGCCCCAGTGAGTCTGCCGTTGATCGGCTTGGTTCAACTGGCCCATTTCGTCGTCACGTGCAGAGTCTTGGGCAAAGAGCCCGGGGAGATCCTGGAGAGATTCAGTGGAACGACGGGTCACTCGCAGGGGATCGTGACCGCGGCCGCCATTGCTTCCGCCACAACATGGGAAAACTTCGATAAAGTCGCCCACGATGCCTTGACAATGCTGTTCTGGATCGGTCTTCGCAGCCAACAAGCCTACCCTCGAACCTCTCTCGCCCCCTCCGTGCTGCAGGACTCCGTCGAGAACGGGGAGGGCGTCCCGTCGCCCATGTTATCCATTCGCGATCTCCCCGAAGCCGCCGTTCAGGAGCACATCGACACCACGAATCAGCACTTACCGGAGGATCGCCACATCTCGATCTCTCTGGTCAATAGCGCTCGTAACTTTGTCGTCACGGGGCCGCCAATCTCCCTCTATGGTCTCAACCTGCGTCTGCGCAAGGTGAAGGCCGCCACGGGCTTGGATCAAAACCGCGTGCCTTACACGCAGCGCAAAGTTCGCTTCGTCAACCGGTTCCTGCCCATCACCGCGCCCTTCCACAGCCAGTACTTGTACTCCGCTTACGACCGCATCCTCGAGGATTTGGAGGATCTGGAGATCCCCGGCAAGTCGCTCAACATCCCGGTATACGACACGAAAACCGGCGATGACCTCAGAAACCTTGGGACCGCCAACGTCGTGCCCGCTTTGGTTCGGATGATTACCCATGATGCCGTCAGCTGGGAGAAGGCCACCGTCTTCCCCGGTGCTACTCACATCCTTGACTTCGGCCCCGGGGGTATCTCTGGTCTCGGAGTTTTGACAAACCGCAACAAGGACGGCACCGGCGTTCGCGTGGTGCTGGCCGGAGCCATTGATGGTACCAACGGCGAAGTCGGGTACAAGCCGGAGCTGTTTGACCGTGACGAACACTCGGTCGAATATGCCATCGATTGGGTGAAAGAATATGGTCCCCGTCTGGTCAAGAACGCCGTTGGCCAAACCTTCGTCGATACCAAGATGAGCCGACTGTTAGGTATCCCTCCGGTCATGGTCGCGGGGATGACGCCGACCACGGTGCCTTGGGATTTCGTTGCGGCGACAATGAATGCGGGCTATCATGTCGAACTTGCCGGTGGTGGCTATTATAACGCCAAGACCATGACCGCTGCCATCTCCAAGATCGAGAAAGCGATCCCGCCGGGGCGTGGTATCACGGTCAACCTGATCTATGTCAACCCCCGCGCCATGGCATGGCAAATCCCCCTCATTGGTAAATTGAGGGCCGATGGGGTCCCGGTTGAAGGACTGACCATCGGCGCGGGAGTGCCGTCCATTGAAGTCGCCAACGAATACATCGAAACCCTGGGTATCAAGCATATTGCCTTCAAGCCTGGCTCTACCGATGCCATCCAGCAAGTCATTAATATCGCAAAGGCGAATCCCAAATTCCCCATCATCCTTCAGTGGACTGGTGGCCGTGGTGGCGGACATCACTCCTTTGAGGACTTCCACCAACCCATCTTGCAGATGTACAGCCGTATCAGGCGCTATGAGAACATCGTTCTTGTCGCCGGTAGTGGCTTCGGTGGCTCGGAGGACACTTACCCGTATCTTACGGGCGCTTGGTCCTCCCATTACGGATACCCGCCCATGCCTTTCGACGGCTGCTTGTTCGGAAGCCGCATGATGATTGCCAAGGAAGCGCATACGTCCAAGAACGCCAAGAAAGCGATTGCAGAGGCACCTGGTCTCAATGACCAAGACTGGGAAAAGACGTACAAGGGCGCTGCTGGTGGGGTTGTCACGGTTCTGTCGGAGATGGGGGAGCCCATCCACAAGTTAGCCACCCGAGGTGTTTTGTTCTGGCATGAGATGGATCAAAAAATCTTCAAACTCGACAAAGCCAAGCGTGTGCCTGAGCTCAAGAAGCAACGGAACTACATCATCCAGAAGCTCAACGATGATTTCCACAAAGTTTGGTTCGGCCGCAATGCTGCGGGTGAAACTGTTGATCTGGAAGACATGACATACACTGAAGTCGTTCACCGTATGGTTGAGCTCATGTATGTCACCCATGAAAGCCGGTGGATTGACGCCTCCTTGAAAAAGTTGACGGGCGATTTCATCCGTCGCGTTGAAGAGCGCTTCACCAATGAGGGCAGACCGTCGTTGCTCCAGAACTATACCGACCTCGACACCCCGTATCCCGCCGTCGATGATATCCTGGCCGCCTACCCGGAGGCTGCGACCCAGCTCATTAACGCCCAAGACGTCCAACATTTCCTTCTCCTTTGCCAACGGCGCGGCCAAAAGCCTGTCCCTTTCGTCCCCTCGCTGGACGAGAACTTCGAATATTGGTTCAAGAAGGATTCGCTATGGCAGAGCGAGGATCTGGAGGCAGTCGTGGGTCAGGACGTGGGGAGAACCTGTATCCTCCAAGGACCGATGGCTGCCAAGTTCTCGAACATCATTGACGAGCCGGTACATGACATCTTGAGCGGTGTTCACCAGGGACACATCAGTAGCTTGATCAAGGATGTTTACGGTGGCAATGAATCGCAAATCCCTGCCGTTGAATACT